AGAAGATGTGAACGAGAATGCATATGATTGAATACTTTTAAGAGGTTCCCTATGGAGGAGACTACCGAGCTCGGCATCGATAATATAGAGACCGTGCATAACGCGCAAAAGTTCCTCATGGCGGGCCCATGACTTCCACAAATTCTCAAGCTCAGCTCCTTCAAGGCTTGCGTCAAGTTGTATATGATTATGGCCTTCAAGTAGTTGAATATGTCTTGCCCATGCTATTGGTGGACCGTGAAATGCGTCGACGGTAATTAACAGGGTCGGACATCCGGAAAGCATACCAAACATTTGGCAAATAAGCGCACATTGCACAATGGAAATCATCTTGCTTGGCCTTCTGAGCAACAATTTTTCCCAGTCCAGAAGAGTCGCCTTATGAATACGCTCGAACAAGTGAATGCCTTGTTGAAGTCCGTGTTCAGAGCCTAGAAAGAGGCTTCCCATTGCGCACATCGCAATTATCAAGCTCGCGTTATCTTTGCTTGGGCCAAAAGTTGCCGCGTGAATGATTGGGAATATTGGATGTACTTTAGTAAAGTAAATCCGTATGCAGATATTTAAAACATCCAACGAGGGTATTGTTGGTTCGTGCGGAAGTATTCGAAGACAACGTTCAAGAGTTCCTCGATACCGACTGTCAATTTCTGTACCGAGGCTGTTCGGGGACACAGGCTCTGACCCAAAGCTGTAATCTTCTGAGAAGCTTTTCACCGGGTATATGCTGTCGTTAGATTTCTCAGGAACATGTGTGTACCACATTTCATGAATGTACTGAGCTTGTAAGATACTGGCGTCCACAGACTCGTTGAAAGTGTCTGCAAGCGGCCCACTATTGACCACGCCAAATGTTTCCATGTCGAAAATGTCGTTGTGCAGCCTAGTATCAATATTCCATGCTGTAAAGTTTTCGTTGAAAGTTGGGCACGATAGTAGCGTGCTGCTGTCATGACCTTGGAGTGTCGTTGACAATGATGGCTCTCGACTATGATTCTCGTGATTGTCCTGACACAGATCACCAGGATTTTCCAGACTTTCAGGACTGCCAAGAAACGGAGGTTTATTACTGATATTACAGGAGCTTACTGCCGCTACACGATGCCCGGAAGCGTCGAAGTTGGACACAGAGGACCGGGCAGAAATAGCTGTAGGCGTTGATGGGGCCTCGGCATTGGATGCCATCATTGGGTCGAGGGTCGCTATTATGCTAGGTGGTTTGTTCGCATCTGATGGAATTACCGGCTGAGGTGGCTCACAAACTTCACGACGGTGCCGCGCCAGGGTATCCCTTAAGAGCGGTTCAACACCATATTCATGAACTCTTGATTGGACATACTTTCTACTGTATGACTTCTTACAGTCAGGACACTGATATGGTTTCTCCTTTCTATGAGAGCGTAAATGTCGTTGAACATGCTCTTTCTTTGTAAAGCTTTGGTGGCATATGCTGCATTGAAATGGTTTGGGCCGATTTAACGAAGAACGAGGACCAGTAGCCGTTGCAGCCATCGAATTCTTCCTGAATCCTCGCAAGTCAAGCAAAACTTCAAACGAAATACAGTCAGTGAATGACCAGCCTGACTTGGCTCAATAGTAGAAGTTAGCGGCCTAGCCGAAACGGAACCTCCGGGCTCCGAAATTGTCGCCTTCCGATCGTATCCACATCAGAACCATGATCACGTTAGCAGCATATACTTCTGGATGAGGAATGGTGTTGGTTTGGAGTAAAGAAATGAGGAAAAAAAGAAGGGTAAATTTCGTGTAAATCTCACTAGTAGAGTAATTATTTTCCCGCTTCTTTACAACCTCCGTGAGAGCCTGATAGCTTCAAAAGCAGCGAGCAGCACTGCGTCATCTTGGTCGACCCGTGCCTGTACAGAATGAAGAAAATCGGAGACTGAGTTGATTAGGGCCAAAGTCAGTAAATACAGATATATATATATGTCTTGATGTTGCAGCTTTGTCGACTAGTTCCAAATAATGGACGCGCTTCTTAGCTTGATTCAACTTATTGCTATTGTAGTTAAAGTTCTACAAATGGAGGCATTACTTCGTAAAAATAACCGCTTAAAAATCATCAGAATCCAGCAAATAAGTTATTGCACCTTTGTAAATTTATTCCACTCGTTCATGTGATCCATAGTCTGCTCAAGAAGTCCGTTGGAAATATAAACTTACTCAGGACTGTTCTCAGTGATTAGGGCTTTTATCGTGTCCTTTTCTCTGATTTCCCTAACCAATTCCTCCAAAGACCATAAATTTATGCATCAAAAGTCCTGTCCTAGCTGTGGCAATTTATTCAACCAATATTTCGCCATAGACCTCCTCAGTTCATTTTTCAGGTTTTCTTTGACGACAAGTACTGCTTCAAAGGCCTCATAAAGTTGGACTTGAAGGTATAACGCCAGTACAAGAGTTTCAAAACCATAGAATTAGTTCGGACTGCAGATCATTGCTTATTCGACCAGAAATGGCAGTCACTATCTCTGGTCTATGTCGACTTAGATGGCACGAGTAGTCCTTCGACCCGTAAAGTGGCGCAATGAAAATTTTGGCCATTCAAAAACACATACAAGTCGTGGAGCGAAGGGCGTGGAGCGCGGGGCATGGGGCGTGGGGCGTGGGGCGCGGGCCGCGATACGTGGAGATCTCATTGCCCGTCTGCTGTTGAACGTGAGCAGTGAGCTCTAAGACTGCTGATGTTTCAGGGGAAGTGAGGTCAATGGGAAATGTCAGGTTTACTGAGTGGTCAGCAAGGGGGAGTTCAGAGAGGGCAGTCTTGACTCCGGATAGTATCGTTTTGTAGGTTGTCGAAGTGCAACACATTTCAGCGATATTGGAAGCCACATGACGACCAACTGGCATTCCATGACGCCGCTGATCTCTTTCTTTCTAAATGGAATCTAATTCCTGCAAATGCGACAGCCTTGTAACATAATGAGACTTAGGCAGTCATGTGCAAAAAAAAATGGACAGCCTAGGAGAAGCTACAAATTTACACCGGACGCGATGTTCCTCATCAGATCCAGTTGCACATCACTTGCCATACCATGCTAATGGAAGTTCTCAAGCAATTGATAGCCTCTTTTTGTGGAAAGCACTGTCAGCAGACGACACGAGCATAGGTGGCATTAATCAAATCCTAATCTCAGCAACAAGGCGCTCGGCGTCATTAACTTCAATGCAATTTGAGCCCGGAACGCACTATTTCCCACTGAGGCATGGCGCCCATGCGTTCCATCAGGTGTGTTGCCCATATCTAGTGCAGAAAATTCATCAGTTTCGGTCGAGAGATTTGGGTTTTTGGACTGACGAGTATTTGATCTCTTTCAGGCTTTTATCGTCATTACGAATGAACGAAGGACTTCTAGCTCAAGAAGCAACTCAGACGAACCAGATTGACAACAAAGGCTAGTTTGCAGCAAGCGAATTGACTCTAATTGTTCAAGACGCTCAGTCGGTACTTCCAGTTGAAGCAAAATGCCTGTGCTGAACAGCCCGAAAAGCTTCAGCTATTACATTTTCCAGCCTCGCAACTATGTAGAAATCAAATTGCGATAGAACTGCCGGGATAAGGGACGTCGTTCAGCGACGACAGCCCATATGTCTGGAGCATCTTAATAAAAAGAAGTAGATACTTCCACTAAGCTCGCTAGGTCTTTTCTTTCCGAAACATCACATTTTGAGGAGATGAATTTTTGGCGTCCAGCTGTTTTGACGAATGTTTTCGCTCCTTTTGTTAAGTTTAAGTCGCCAATTATGACTCTGGTCCCATTCTCAACTTATAGTTCGGCAAACGAAAGATGTATGCCTGAACCAGTCCCAATGATAGTCGCAATTTTGTCTTTGACAGGAAAGGGCCGAAGCGGCATCTTAAATATCAATGAGTCTTCTTCTATGCTTAAAATAGAGGTTGTAAAGACTCATGTAGGTTTATTGAAGCTCCAGTACATCCCATGACGGAACATGTTAGCCACTGGGGAAAATCTCGGAGGCTTGATTCCATTGAAGCTAAACAGTGAAGCTCAACAACCTCAACCAGTGCAAACAGGAAAGACCACTTTGACAATGGACGGCAATCATCGTCGACTAAAGATTGGTCATCTGTACACGATAAGGCAAAACAACCAAAACGATGTCTGGTGATAGCCTCAGAACATGTTCTCAAATTTATGCATCCATCACGTGTGAACTCTTGTCAGTACGCAGAAAGGATCGAATCTTATCGCTTGTATGATGTAGTCTGAAAATCCCTTGCAGCTTGCAAGAACTGTGTGTGTTGGTCTGATTTCCACTTCAAGTTCGGATCGATGTAGAAAACAAAGATGGGGTACACGAGGGTTTCCTGTGATCAGAATTGCGTGATGGGGTTTCATTTTCGAGTTTTCGATTTTTCAGAGGTTCCTCGTCAAGCTTTGACAAATTGAGCGGATGTCGTATTCATCTCGTTCGTCGTCGATCAGCGGCAAGGATGTTAAATTCTTGTGAGTCCACCGTTTCAAAAGAGCTCTTGTCAGCGGAGAATGGTCTTTCACTACAAATGATTGACAGTCAGGACTTGAGAGGCTTACGAAACGAATCCCGAGGTCAATCTTTTGAAATAGGAAGGCGTTAACAGGGATGCATTACAAAGCGAGGCTCGGCTTTTGAATATGACGCTATAGCAAACAGCAGTTCGTTATGCTGCCGTCTTCTCGAATCCATCTCCGTCTACTGTACGGAGCACCCAGACTTTCCTGCGGTCAATTATTTTACCTAGCATTGTGGCTGGTGGGATGTTCTATTAACGAATCGCTTCTCCATTGGCTAACAATAAGCTAGTTCGTTTCATATTGTCCCATTACCTGCAAATTGCTCGAGTCAACGACCTAGATCCGAACATGATCAAATGTATGCGATGTAGTCCTCATGACAGCAAGTATGCCCCACTGACGGTGTGCCGTAGCACCGGCCAACCGTACCAGTGAAAAAAAGATGGAGTAGAAATAGGAGTTCATCTCCAGATTAACTTACAGTTTACCACTTCACTCTAGCCAACATTCATTTAGAACATCCCGATCTCAGCTTGCATCTCAATCGATTTTACACGGGTATCCCAAACATGCGTCTTTCATTCATCTCAGTGCTACTCTGGGGGGCTTTTTCTCTTGCCTCACCTTCAGCTGTCAACGAGCGGAGTGCAGCTCCAGACCCTAATCCCGTCGCATCATCCGACACAACTGCCTTACATCCTGCAGTGGAAGCGCTAGTCGAACGTTCGATAGCAGAGCGTCAGTCTTTGACGGACATCGCTACGTTGTTAAACGACATTGGACCGACGCTTCAAGCTCTGGGCACACTTTTGAACTCAAACACGTTGAACGAGATCATCTCAGTGATCAGCCACGCTAATGCTCTTCTCGATGACGAGGGCACAGCTGCTGCGCACAGCGTTCTTATTCAAGCCAACAGACTATTGTCTGAAAACAACACGGACACACTGATTACGCTATTCAACGATGTTGGACCACTGATCACGGAACTCTCGCCGGTATGCCCTGCTCATCTCTTCTGGTCATTAAGAAGAGTACTGACTAGAATAGCTTTTCTCTTCTCTCAATTCTGTATTGACAGGTCTTTCGAATTTCTTCGGCATCAAGGCATAGCACCTTTTCGTCGCAGAAATCATTCACCTAGTGGAGGTCTAATCATTCAGATTTGGCTTTCTCTTGTCCCCTGACATCCTGGGGGAGAGCATCGAGAATATGGTTCCGCACATGAAGAACGTGGTCAGTGTCACATTTACGAAACAACCTTGAGCTGTAACTGGGGCAGTATACAGCCGCATAACAGAATGTTCCTTCGTCCAAAATATCAATAAAATTTTCGCGGATCCGAGGTGATGGGTTTGCAAACCTATGCCCGGATATTGACCTTTCGACGGAAGGTCTGAATTCACGGCATGATAATAATATTAAAACTGTATACCATTCAGCATCTTCATTGTTGATAACTTGAAAAAATAAAAGGGTAAAAATTAATAAGACCAAATGTCTACGCTAATATTGATATCGTTATGACTCTTATCATGATAAAAATCATTTGATATTTTTCCATGCATCGAGCTTTTTCTTCTCTGCACGCATAATCTTTTGAATGCTGCTGTTTTTGCTGATTTTTGCCTTAGCGCCTTTGTTCTGCTCGACGTAGACCATGTGGCTACCTCCAGATAAGTCTGCCAGCATCCCCCCAGAGCGTTTGTACGAAAACTTCTTGCTGCTGCCGCCAGCTCGTTTCGACATTTTTCCGCTGCCCCATATGTCGTCCTCGATTTCTTCCGCCTCTGCGTTTGCCGTGGCAGCGTCAACTGCAACAGCTTTTAACAGTTCGATCTGCTCATTTCGTGTAGCAAAAGCGAGACCAGGAAGCTTATCAATACCCGAAAGATGAGTGATGACCTTGAAGGCATAGCCTTGATCAACAAGGAAGCGTTGACGTTTTGTTGCGTAGTAGACCTCCTGTGTGTCCTTGCTGACGAGAGTATAGAAAAATGCGTTGAAACCTTCGTCATTTCTCCGTTTTGCTCGAAGAATTCTACCGAGCCGTTGAGCCTCCTGGCGACGGGAGCCATAATGGGAAGATATCTGAATAAGGCAAGTCGCTTCGGGAATGTCAAGTGACGTGTCACCGATTTTGGACAAAAACAAAGCAGCAGCCCATGTCTCGTTCGCGTATTTAAAGTTCTCCAAAGTTTGCAAACGTTCGGCATCAGAAGTCTTGCCATCGATGCGTAATTTGCCCATTTTGTCGCAATATGCCTTGAGTGCATAGACATTGTCGCTGAACACGATAATCTTATCCCCACGCTTCTCGTGGTAGTCGATCAAGAACTGACATGCCTGAAACTTTCGGGGGTTCATTGTAGAAAGCAAGAGTCGCTGCTGTGGAGTCTTTGCCTTGAGATATTCCTCGTAGAACTCAGATGTCATAGGACACCAGACCTCAGCGCACTGAACACGAGCAATGTGTCCCTGCTCGCTGAGCTCTTGCCAATTTGCCTCAAACAACTTTGGACCAATCAGAAAATTGAGTTCCGTGATTTTGTCGTCCTCTCTAAGAAGCGTCGCGGTCAAACCTAGCTTTGTGTGCGCCTTGACACGATACGTTACTTTTGAGAACATCTCTGCTGGTACAACGTGCACCTCATCAAGGATCATGAGGCCCCATTCACGGTTACGGATGAAGTCGATGACACGCTTCGTGTCATGCGCCATGCGACGTTTGTCCTGACCGGGGCCTTTCTTTGCAGCTGTCGACGCTTCACCATCATCGTCCTCACCACGGCCCATTGAGATCATAGTGTAGTTGGTGATCAGAACACCTGTATCACGGGGAAATCGTTGTTTCTCGTGTCGAGTGAAACATGCAATGTCTTCAGGGTTTATGTTTGTCCAGTTAAGAAACTCATTTCGCCACTGCGTAACGGACATGGTGCTCGTACAGAGTACAATAATCCCTTTCTTGACGGTACATGCTGCCGTAATACCAACCAACGTTTTGCCTGCTCCGCATGGGAGGACTATAATCCCGCTACGCGCTCGGCCATTTCCAAACATCTTGCTTAGCGCTTGTTCCTGGTATGGACGAATCTGTGCCGCCGGTTTGAGGTCGATCTCAAGATTTGGATTCATGGTGTCGTTTCTAAAATCGTATTCGACAGTGAGGGGGTAATCAATCTCCTCGCAGCGCTTTCGCAGCGCTTGAATTGAAGCAGGCTTAACTTCAAAGGCATGGACTTGATCAGGCTCTTCGTCATCGTCATCTTCCTCGAGAAGCTGCGCCATCATTGCATCTTGCTCGGTCGACTCCTTTGGTTGGTCTTCATCTTGGACTCTTGTCTGTGCATTATCTGCCTGCTTCGCTCCAGCCGCAAGTTTCGTGCCGGGGATGAACAAACTCCCCATTTGCGGCGCTGCCTCGGTGGTCAGCTCGGTCGAGCCTTCATCTGCCCGGTAACCACGTATCTCAGGATCTTGCAAAAGGGTTTGGAGAATTGACGGGTCCGAGCTCTCAACCATAAATTTGTTGTGTTTTAGCACCAATCTTGCCTGGCCGTAAGCCTTAGTAGACTGGTAGATGAAGTCAACGAGCTCTTCCGGGAGCGGCGTTTTGGAGAAGTAGTCTAGACGGGTTATGATATCTTGAGTGGTTAAGCCTACAGAAACGGCGGCATACAGGCTGTTGCTTGTTAGGCTGTACTCGTGAATACGTGACACTCGAGACTGGGGCTCAGCTACGTTGATCAGGAAGTCTTCTGCCTGCTTGAAGGTCGGCGCAAAGCTTTCAACGATGATGTTATAATTCACAGGGTCGATGAACATGGGCCGTTGTGCGTGGTCCGGCTTAAGTTCAAGGTGGGAAAAGTCTCGCGTGCCGTTTCCAAATGCCTTGTCGCCACCGGCGCCGCCGCCTGTCCGTTGAGCAGCCTTTGCCGCTGCTGTTTTCTGGGCCTTACCACCGAACCGGCTTGCGAGACGATTGGCCTGCATATACTCGCCATCGCTGCTTAAATTGTGGTCATCCGATATGTAGTCATCATCACTATCAGCTTGCGAAGACGGTGTTGCAGGGCCAGAGGCTCCTCGTTTCGAAATGGCTCCGCTGGCGACATCGCTGGCTTTTCGCTTCGACATGGCTCGGCAATAGTGTCAAGATGTTCGGCGACGTTATATGGTCTTAGTTATGTGATGGGGGCACAAGGTGGCCTTTGAATTGGAAGCCGTTTGACGTACGCGAGAAACAGTAGCGAACGGGTAAATGCTAGTCTTGGGTTCTACTCTATTGTGTTATTACTGGTTCTAGGTCCTGCAAAATGGAGACATGACGCGGCGCGTCACCCTCTGAGTGGTGTGCTAATGCACTCGAGCCTGCAAACTCAGAGCCAGCAGAGGATTAGCAAGCGGTTTGGAGAGCAGACAGCCAGTTCAAGATGTACAGCCCGCAGCAAGCAACGATACAGAAGGCAAGTGAAACTAAGAGCAAAAGCTCAAATGGATAGCAGCGGCGTAGAGCCGAGAGCAAAGCAGAGCAGTGCGAGCAGTTTGCCTTGGACAATGCAGGAAGCATGAAGACTGAACTGAAAAGTTGGTTACTTGAGAACTGTCGCCTTTGTGCCTTAATACCTCAGGACACCAGGACACCATGCGGCCAGACGTCAGTGTTCCGGACAACCAACTGAGCTCCATCAGCAAAGTGCAAGCACAGCTACAAACCGTCCTGGCGCTCACGATCTCGCACTCCTTTACCGTATAGAGCGCTCCACTTTGTCTTTCCGCTTTGACTGTTGTAGGATTATAAACTCGCTACACACTGCTGTATGCATGGGCTCGTACGAGTTGCAGGCTTACCGGCTCACCGAGAATGGGGGCATCCGACTCCAAGTTGGTCTTCAAACAGGGCATTTTCAAGCTGTCTGAAGACAATGTCATAGCCGCGGACGATGACTACTGGACCGGTGTATGTATGCCGTGGACACACCTGGTGTGATCTGAAGACATTAAACCTCTGTTCCTCCTATGTCATCGGCCTCTTTTGTACGTCCACAAACTAACTAGGTTCATGTCCTTTCTGTAGTTCTGGGAGCTCCCCGAGTCGGCCGAAGATGTTTTCACCCTTTTCTCGCCCACCGATATACGTCGTGCACGAGATAAAAACCTTCCAAATCTTGAGACGCTGATTCTTGCCGTGTCCTCGAAGCTCTGCATCCTACGCAATCACCCATCCTTCCCAGATCCCGACATCGCCCCGGAGCGGGACGCCTTGAATTGTATCCGCGTCCTCACTCGAATCCTGCCTTTTCTGTACGAAGCCGAAAATTTAGAAGAATGGGAAGAGAAATTTTTTTGGTCCGCGCGCAAAAAACGAACAAGGAAAGGCCAGGTACATGACAAAGCGGAAGTAATTTTTGATGGCGACTCTACAACGGCCAACCCGGCCATGACCACAACGGAGCCAGAGTTTGAAAATGCGAAGCCGCTCGCAGAAGAGCTCCTTGACACACTAGTGGACTTACTGTTTTACTCGGAGTTCACTCTTCCCAAGACACCACCGGGAAAGTCAAAGGTCAGTTACGCAATATGGCAGACAGGCGTAGGCTGCCATACGCCAATACCCAGCACCAAAGAGTTTGAGAACAATCGTACCGAGATTCTACGTCTACTTCTCGTCATGTGCAGTCGCGCGATGTACATGTCTCCCACGATTCTTCCCATTAAAGGCGTGCGTGCCATCACATATCTGACTACAATGCCGGATAAACAGATTGTCCTCTCTACTTTGTGCTCATTAATGAACACGACCCTCAAATATAATCCCGCAAGCTGGCGAGTTCCATATGATCACATGGTATTTAAGGACAACAGACAACTTCTAGTGACATATTGTCTTCAATTGCTTCTTGTCCTTATGTTGTATCCCATTCCAGAGACACAACAGGGAGTCACCCCGAAGAATTACTTCCGACATTTCCTAGGCCGACTTCATAGGCCGCAAGACTTCCAATTCATTGTAGACGGCATGACAAGAATTCTGAATCAACCGGTACGCAATAACAACCAAGACAGTAATCAAGTGTCTCTGACCAAATGCTGTATAGTTACAAGCGAGCAATTCTTACCTACCGGGAAGTCAAAAATCGATCGCTTGGGCGCCAGAGATGCTCATGTTCTTCTGGGAAGCACTCCAGTGTAATAAACGCTTTAGATCCTTCATCATCAACACGGAGCGAGCGCATGATTTTACAATTCTGGTCCTGTTTTATGCACTTGATCAGCGTAACGATCCTTCAAAACAAGGCCTGATCCGCATGTGTGTATTCATCCTGCAAACGATGAGCGTGGAACCGAACTATGGCAAGAGCCTGAATCAGCGCTTCAAAGGCCAAGAAACTCTGCCACAAAGTATTCGCATACAGAACTTTCATGGCACATATGCCGACTATTTGCTCACCGTGAGTGTTAGCAGGCCTTATGATGCAAGATTTACTAACGCAATCCAAAGTCAATCTATACTCTCCTTACCTCAGGTAAAGGGAAGCATGATGCGATTTTTCCGGCCCTACTCGCAATTATCAACAACATCGCACCTTATTTAGAAGGCATCGGTCGCGCCACGTCGTTGAAGCTTTTAAATCTTTTTGCCTCCATGTCCTCGCCCTCCTTTCTCCTAGCCAATGAGACGAATCATGATCTATTACAGTCTCTGCTCGAGGCTCTTAATGCCATTTTGGAACATCAATTTCAAAAAAACCCGAACCTTGTGTATGCGATTCTAAGGAACAGAAGGCGATTCGAGGCTCTCAGAGAATTCTCTCTGGAAGCAGGCCAGCATGAGTTACAGCGGCTCGCCCAACAGAGGAAGGACCAACAAGATATGGCGTCTCAACGCCTAATACGCGTTAACTCGACCGACAGCAGTCGCCCTCCAGTTCAACAGCGTCCGGTAAATTTGCGGGAGGTCCCAGAGGATAGCGCATTTACAATCGGTGACGATGAAGATGATGACAACGCCCAAGAGTCGCCGACTCAAACAGGCCCGCAGTCATCAACCTCGCCACCTCCGCACTCCAGTAGCCATGGGTCGAGAGCGGCGTCTATATCATCTACAACAGATGAAACCGTTCCGCAACAGTTACGAGGCATGTCTGAGAAAGCAAGAGGGAAAATGCCAGTTGGCGCGCCTCTGCTATCCAGAACAAACAGCGTAAGCAGTCTGCATAGTTTAACGCCTTTAGTAACAGCAAGTGGTTCATTTCAGCCCACTGCTGACTGGATCGAAAGTTGGCAGCCCGAATTGCCGCTTCACACCATTCTAACAATTGTGTCCGAACTGCCTTCACAGCTTCCCCAAATGACGTTGGAGGATACGACTGCCATTCTTGCTGCAATTCAAACTGTGCAACTCCCAGTCATTGAACCTGCGCCCATACGCGTCCATTTGTTCGAATGGTCCCCGCTCTCACTGGGCTGGTATGAGAGTCTCCTGTGGGGGTTCATCTTCACGAGCGAGCTTCTAGTTTCAAAGGGGACTGCCGGAGTCTGGAACAAGACTAATATCAAGTTGTTCCGCGTGCAAGAAACCGCTGCACAAGCACCGAGTTTGGCTAGTCCCCGTGGGGCTGTAGACGCCGTCGGTGGTGCACTCGTTAGTCGCATTGGCAACTTGAATCTTCGGGGCTCTAATCCGAACAACGGCACCGGAACAAGTGTTGCCAACCAACAGATGAGAGTCAGAGAAGTCTAACCGCGCACCGCGCCACATAGGCCTGCTGGCAGAGAGATCAAGGCAGCGTCAGGGCTTTGCGATGAAACATAACAGCTTTTTTACTCTCGGGTTGGTGAATCCTATTTCCGAAAGCGTCAAATGGAAATTCAGAGCTTGGTTTGTGAGGCAAAAGAAGAGTTAATTGGTTCGTATCAGGGGCTTAGGATCAAGCGACGGTTATAATGAAGAAAGCCCCATTTTCTCGTGGAGAGTTCGTGTGGCACATTCCGGAAATGATGGCAGACATCGTCAGCAGCCTTGCAGATCCCTACGAACGCTTTACAACCTTCGCAACGGTAAAGTCGAAATCTGTAGGCGCGGAACAGTGCTCCCTGTCATTTCACATGCGTCTGGATATTAGGGAATCTTTCATAGCCTTCTAACGAAAATCATGTCTTCTGCACTGTGAGTGGCCAACTTCCTGGTCTTACCCTGCAGACGCCACTTCCTGGTGTGGCAAATGCGGCGGTGCACTTGTTGATCATTTCCGTCAAAGAGCATGGTCAATAACTGAGAGGATGATCCAGATTCAAATGACTCTGCAAACAAGAAGTAAAAGAAAATTAGAGATCATTCTAGTCACTGCAAGATAAGGACGACGTAGTCTTTTGCGGCTGTGGCAATAGCCTTACCGTCTTTCTGAGCGCTTTTCCTTACACATTGGCTTACAGGCATGATGCTCTTTGTCGCTCAAGTACTTTTCTCGCTTCTATCTCGTACTTATTATACAATACTGTCTGCGTATTCCTGATCCATAATTGATCGATTTTACAGCTCAGGCGGGCCCTGCTACTATGGTCTCGTTTCTCCTCTCATGGCCTCGCCAACATCACCAGCCTCGACGGTCATAGAACCATATACTATGCATGTGTCATTGCGTTATCTAGATCTTACAAGGAAGAAATTAGAACTGACACGCATGCCACGTGAAGCATCAATTGCGGAGTTTGGAAAATGGGCAGTTGGAACTCCAAGAGCTGTCCTAGAGCCTCTAATTGATTACTGGTATATCAACATCGGCACTAGATCCCAGAATTACTGGACTACTTGCTTACTATCAGGGATAGGCTCGAAAACTACGACTGGCGTTCACAAGAAGCGTTCTTCAATTCAACATTACGACAGTATCGTACACTCATTACATATCATCCCTTGTCTGCCTCCTCGTCAACTCCGACCAGTGACATTGACATAGAGGACGTTGCTGCCAGTCCGGAAATGAGAACAGAGTCTTTACGTGTCCATTTTGTGCACCATAGATCAGACAGAGTATCGGCAATCCCCCTACTTTATTGTCATACGTGGCCAGGATCATTTCTCGAGATAACTCGCTGCATCGATGCACTCGTGAACCCTGTTGAACCAGAACCGAAACCAATCCAAGAGGGCGGAATTCACAGGGAGCGCGTTGCGTTCCACGTAGTGGTACCTAGTATTCCGGGCTTTGGGTTTAGCGACGCTAGTCAATATCCAGATTTTGGCGCGGCTAAAACAGCAGATGTGCTTGCAGTGTTGATGGAGAGATTAGGGTATGGAAGATTTGCTGTTTGGGGCGATGGCTGGTATCCAACATGTAAACTCCCTCATTTCAGTCTACTGCTAACTAAATCGTTTCAGGGGCTTCAAAATCGCGCGTATGCTTGTCCAACGACATGAGAGCATGGTTGCTGCTGTTTACACAAGCTGTGCAAACGATCTTGCTCCGCCACAACCATTGAAAAGCAAGGACGCTTGGCTAAAATATCAGATTGCTAGACTTACCGGGGCTAGATTCTCATGGCTCGCATTTGGCTACACGAGTTCTGATTTTGGCGCAGCAGCAGATACTAGTATTGCCGATGATTCTACGAATCACTCTCATGCAAAGGAAGATGGCATTGAATTGGGACAGAACTTTGTGTCTGGTAACGACAGTCAATATGACGTGGAAACTGAATCCTTTGCATTTAAATATGGGTTCTCAACAGATTCAGTGACTAAGCGACCACAGACCCTCGCGTATGGGTTCTGTGACTCTCCTGCCGGACTCCTAGCATTCCTCTTGGACGTACTCAAACCGAATATCTCCCATATCCCTCCCCCTCCTCCATTTATGAAGACTCAAACACGCCACCGATCGTCCGCTGTTCTACAGCACAGAATGTCTACTATAATCGAGAACGTTCCTGAACATACCAACTTCACACCTGCAAATGTGTTGGATTGGGTTATGATGTACTGGCTCCCAGGGCCGGAAGCCAGCCTTAGGTGGCTCGCTACTGTTGAGAAAGAGGATTGCTTTGCTCGATACTCGGAGGTACCTTTAGGAATCAGCTGGTACAACACCAATTCATCGGTTCAGCTGCGTAGACAGGGTCTACCACACGCAAGATCCTTCGAGGCTTCCTTGTCTTCCGGGCTAGGTAGCAAGGCTGTTGGCTTTAAAGGATCGTCTCAAGCATCTACACAAGACCGCCCAAGCACTATAAGTCCCATGTGGGCCGCAGCGGTTCAGAATCTCAAATGGGTCAAACGACGGAAAGAAAATCTGAGCAACGGGGTCCCTGCGTGGGAAAAAAGTAGTGAAGTGGTTGAAGATATCAAGGAATTTTTTGAGTTAGGAAGAAGCAAAGGTTGGTTGGGTTTGTAATACTTTTTTCCAGTATAATTGGTGCGATTGTACACATATTCAAGACTTTGGTCCAAAGAGATGTAATGCGACGAGTACACAGCACAGAAAATACGAAGAAAACTGGTTTTCAATCAAAAGATTCAATTTGAGAATCTTCTACGTGACTTGCATTTGTAGCTCCAAAGTTTAGGCTAGCTTGAGAAAAGCACTCCCAGTCTATACATCTAACTGCTCCATGGAGCTCTGAAACTCTTGCCATACTTGGACCACAGTATCTAAATCTTCAAGTCGCATCTTTCCGTTGTTCTCCGCGGTTGCAAGTGTCTTTGCTGTATTGACAGCATTGTTTATTTCTCTGCCATTCATAGCCGGCTTGCTTAATGTTTTGATCGCGTCCTCCATATCGAAGCTTATATCCACTTCCTGCAGTTGACTCAACTTTTGCCTCCAAAGCAGTGCTCGACGTGATTCATCTGGTGCGTGGTACTGCATAGCAAGGTGCAAGCGTGAACGAATTGCCTGGTCGAATACGCCGACCCGGTTTGAGGTCAGGAACAAAATGCCCTGAAAATATTCAAGCTGCTTAAGAAAGATAGCTACCATGTTGTTCGAGTTGAACGCGCTGTCAGAGCCAGATCTACGTGCTTCAAGAAAAACATCGGCCTCATCAATCAATACCACAGCTTTCCATATGCTGGCATAAGTGAGTAGTTTCTTGAGCTCGTGGCTCAAACGTTCTTCCCAAGATCCAAGCTCGCCAGTAGAGAGTTTCAAAAGAGGACGCTTGGTCTGCTCCGCGGTAAGCTCTGCTGTCAACGTTTTGCCCGAGCCTGGAGTACCATGAAGGAGCATGATCAAGCCTTTGCCTTTGAGTGATGCCTCGTCACGGGCGTGATCAGGATACCGATGCGACGTGACCAGCGAACGGATTAGTCTCCGCTGAGCATTCGGGAGTATCAAAGCATCCATCGCATTCTCTTGCCAGACTACAGGTGACAAATTGTCCACAAAATATTTGCACCATTCCTTCGACTCAAGCGAGAAACCATACACGTAAGGAGGACATAGCATGGGATCCGCTTCAAGCGACTGATATTGGTTGCTATCACAGTTTGAGAGGCGGCAGCAATCTGAAGTTCCCATAGCAGCGCTAACATCTTTCTGGTCACGCATCTCTTCGATAAAAGTTTTAGGGTCCAGTACGACTCGCTCAGTGCAGGTGCGAGGAAGCCACTTGCCATCGTAATTTGAACGCTCGTCGTAGAAGTCGTAAGGGGGGGTTTTCAGGTACAGATACAGTCCGTCGTATTCCCAACTTTTAACACCGCGAATTTCAAGATACCGCTTACCGCGTTCGGTGAGTTTCGCCTTGATAAGTTCTTGTTGATCCTCGTCTAAGTATTTTAGTGGTATCGCACTTAAGCTGGTGATTTTCGAGGCCGTCTTTCCCACGAAGTCGTCTTTCTCCCAAATAACAAGGTTAGTCTGAGCTGTGCCAACATTCTCGCCATCACAGGAACTGAAATTGCATGACAGTTGAAAATATCTTCCACGACAGTTGTCTTTGTGGTATCCTGTCTGGTTCAGAATATACAACCTGTCTTGACCATAAGAGCTCGTGAATATTAGTTCTCCGGGTTTATAGGCCATCCAGGCATTTTCAAAAGTGACCAATCCAGATGCCAGGGCTTTCTCGGCGTCCTTGCCCTTGTCGCCTGCCTCGCTTGCTAGAAAATGTAGAAGGAGATCGATATGCTCGCTCGTCATCTCATCATTCTGATTCTCTTTGTAAGATTCTAATTGACTGCGATGATGGTATAGCAGTTCATATGGGCTGTCGTACGAAACCTGGTTGGTGAAGTCCAGCGACTCAGACGGGTAATACTCGACCACGTCCTTTAAAGCATTCAGAAGCTGAGGAGAATTTATTTGTAGTGTCCTTATTTTTAATTTTCCCTCTTCATCAAGAATCCGTTTTGTAACAAGCGCGTATTGCTCAAATGGTTTTTTTTCCAAGGTTGAGTCGTACTTGTCCTTCTCGATAACCTCCATCTCGCCACCCTTAGGCTTCTCGACCAAGCTCTTGATTTCACATACGCTTCCTGTGAGCAGTTCAACTTCATCGTCACTTTTAGTAGATGTAGCGGACGTTTGATTTGTCTCATAAGGGGTTTCATCACTATCGTGACCGTTGTTGATTTCGGCCATCTTGCTTAAGAAGTTAATTCTTACAAGGGTAAGAGAAGAAAAAAAAAGGTATGGAGCCAATTCTATTTGGTTATGAAAGACCAGGTGGACAATAATGAGTAAGATTAAAGACGCCGCCAATACTGGACATTATATACTTCTCGCATTGACCGGTAATCTGAGAGGCCTCCCTTCTGCCTAAAAACAGTATAGAAAATGAATGCGGTCTACCAAAACTAGATGTCTTTTTATCCAATGATATAAGGAATTCGATCAGCACACCCATGCATTTATGTAATGTAAGCGGAACAGAGTTCAGGGAGTTAGGAGGCGCAGCAGTAATACCATGCTGACATGGATTATCAGCTGCTCAAAGTTGATAAGTTAGCAGACAAACTTATGCCGAACATGGACACTATGACGAAAACATCATGCAAGGAGGAGCTGAGTGCACAGTTTGTCTACCAGAATGACGTTCGGTGGTTGGACAAAGTTATTAAGCGGTCACGAAGTGGGGATCGCATCTGGTACAGAACCTTAGGTTACAGAACCTTAGGTTACAGAAGCTGCCTCAGCTCTCGTGACATCAGGATAAGCATCCTGTTGTTGCTCTTCAAACGCTTCAAGCCGTGAAATACCCATGTACCAGAAATGGAAAATAGTCAATGATGTGAAGCTGAAGTATGGGGCTGTTGAGTCAGGTTTGCTTTGTCAACGAGTTTAGTATCACGTGAGATTTGCATACATTGTCCGTAACTTAGTCCTTAGGCGGCTGAGGTCTTTAAAAAGCCGAGGCCAAACCCCTCTGACACCCCTCGCGCCAGCGCCCATCCGTGTCAGTGGCAATGAACGGTATTTTTATACGGTTCAGGACCCATCAGTCCATGACTTTGCCGTCAGCTCTACCCAAGTATGGCTTCCGACGACAAGAAACTCCAAGGGATCGCGCCGTGGGCTGAGCCTGCATGGAACTATATCCATTCGCCGTACTACAACGATACACATCGACGATTGCGTGATGGACTGCGCGCGTATCTCGAAGAAAACATCTTGCCTTACGCGCTTGAGTGGGAAGAGAAAGGAGAAGCTCCTCGTGAGGCCGCGCTCAAATGGACCAGATCCGGTTTTGCTCATACCGACATTCCTGCGAAATACCGTCCCAAGAACCACCCTTTACCAGCCGGTATCTCTCTAGACAAACTTGATGCCTTCCATCTTCTCGTGTCCACTGACGAGACTTCTCGCGTTCCGGCCGGCGGCGTTATGACGAGCTTGTCCGGAGCCTCGGTCATTGGCGCACCGCCTATCGTACATTGGGGAACGGAGGAACAGAAGCGCAAATGGCTGCCGGGGCTCTTCACGCTGGAAACAAGCTTCTGCTTAGGCATTACGGAGCCTGATGCAGGAAGTGATGTGGCGCAGCTCAAAACCACGGCCAAAAAGTCACCAGACGGGAAGTTCTACATTGTGAATGGCTACAAGAAGTGGATTACAGGAGCACCATACGCCTCTCATATGACGACAGCCGTGCGTACAGGCGGCCCCGGGATGAGCGGTCTTTCAGTCCTAGTGATTCCTATGAACAGCCCGGGTCTATCTCATCGTCGTATTCCAAACTCGGGCCAAAAAGCTGGCGGCGCTTCCTTCATTGAGCTTGACAACGTCAAGGTGCCCGTTGAGAATCTCATTGGTAAAGAAGGCCAAGGTTTCAAGATCATCATGAAGAACTTCAATCGAGAGCGTTATGTTATGGCAATCGGCTGCAACCGTCGAGCGCGGGACTGCATGAGTGACGCGTTTGCTTACGCTCACAAGAGGCATACATTTGGCAAGCCGTTGATCACTAATCAGGTCATCAGGGCGAAGATAGCTCGCATCGCGAGAGATGTAGAGTCTCATTGGGCGTGGCTTGAGCAAATTGCCTACCACGTGAACCTTTCAGAAGAAAAATGGGAATCGCAGGAGATAGCCGGCCGAATTGCGCTTGCCAAAGTGATGGGCGGCAAGCTGCTAGAGAAAGCTGCACGCGAGGCTCAACAGATCTTCGGTGGTGCAGGCTACCAGCGGGGAGGAGCTGGCGCCAACGTTGAGCAAACTTCGCGGGATTTGAGGATGATGGTCGTCGGCGGCGGTTCGGAAGAGATCCTAAATGATCTTGCCGTCCGGCAAGAGATTTTGAATGCGACGAAGCGAGGATGGAAACCTCGTTTGTAGACAAGTGTCCAACAGCATAATGATCAGGCTTTCATTTTCGGTATCTGTCCAAGTCAAATACAAGCCCGACTGCTCCGCCCTACGTACTTCATCGCATTCAAGAGCGACGAGGACAAAGTACGACATGTACTCCCTACCCTACTTTATTTGCATAAAGATTTAGGATCGAATGGACAGACGTATTTTTTTCACTACATTGAGCCATTCCATCTGCTGACCGGTTCCATTGACTCCTGCCCCGTACACGGAGACAAATAGAGATTGTTCGTCTTCTTTTAGCACGCCCTAATGGCATCAAAATTTCGACGTATGTAGTTTCTGTGACTAGTGAGATCATTCATTCCTAAAAGGTTAATCCGTTCCTCGAAGAACTTTGCTGTTAACTTCGCAACGTCGTACTGTCGCCCAAACAGCTTCAACGCCTGGATACAAACAACGTAGTTGTCAAGCACCTCGCGCAAGTCGATATTACGGTGAAGCCAGATGTTGCCGGGCTGTGAGCTATCCGGGGGTAATTGTAAGGTACGCATCCATGAGAAGAATGTGTCGCATGACGTTGACAAAGCAAGAAACATACAATCCCCGCATGGGTCTGTAAGCATCGAGCTATCCCTACATGCATCGTGATAAACTTGATTGCTTTTATCGTAAACGTTATTCTCGACATCCTCGCACGATACACGAGCGAGGGTTGAGATGGTGAATGCCCCTTCCCGCTGCAGCTGTTGGACAAGAGAAGAAGCTCGTCGAAGCTGAGCCTGTATTGTCGTGCAGGTCAATTGCTTGTCGCACTGCTCTATGCAATTGGCAACTTGCAAATAGCCAAGATACCAATGTCCAAGCAGCATAACATACCAACTGCGGATGCTAAAGGGGATGCTCCGGTGCTGCGAGATAGAATTCTGGAAAAATTCACCGAATCTCATGTTCCAATAGGTGCAGACCTGTAGAGCATCACTGATACATTGTTCAATAGCCCCTGGAGACGCTTTTTCTTTCATCAAGGCCTGCAGCTGACAAACCTTGCGGAGCAGTAAAATCTTAAGTGGTGATGCTTCTCGCAAGATTCTCTTCGCGGACTCGACTAGGTCATCTCCTCGATACAAGTACGGATTTTCACAAGGTTCATTTGAGAGCATCAAAAACCGTCCCCATAGCTTAGGAGCTACCGTATTTCCGTTGATTTCCAACTTGGACTGGTTGAAAACTTCATCCTTGTTATCAGCTTCTCCATCTGCGTCGAACCTTTCGCTGTTAAATAATTGTATCTCAGCATCCTGGTCTGAGACTGTCAAGGCTCGTTGGTCGAGTGCTGAGCCAGCTGTATCGCACATAATCGCTAGCCAAAACATGATGTTGAAATTTGATAAGACTTGCTTAGCAAGTTCTAGATTCGATGATCCTTCGTTGTCATTGATGTGACGAAGAAAAGCTTGTCTTATATAGCAGCGTATCTTTGGGCCCCATGCTAGTAAATGTCGAAGCGCATTACCAACATGGACCTCTCGGGAGTCACTCCGCATCAAGTTCCGGAAAGATTGAGAGGTCGTGAAATTATCTGCCGCGGTGAGAGGGTCGGAACAGGTTGCGCGCGACTCTGGATAATGCGTTGACTTATTAATTTCACTCGCAGCTCCAGGTTCCGCTTGAAAGTGTCCGCATCGCTTCCGCTCGGCCCAAAGGTTTTGGATTTCGACCACGTCGTTCTCATCTGGAGGTCTTTTGATAAAGAACACGAGGATTTGGGCCAGAATCATCCTAAAAGAATCACATTTTGACCATCGCTGAATCGACGTCATCGCTGCGGTGTACAGACTCTGTTGAAGGAGATGCTCAAAATCATTGGACTCCGACATCTCCTCCTGAGAGACGACATTCTCCAAGGTAGATTCTCCGGTATGAAAGGGGTTCTCAACATGGAGAGACGTAACTGGGGCCCGAGACCAGCGACTCGCAAAAGCCATAACAGCAAGTTTCAGCGACCTTGCAGAGCCAGCGTCCTCAGCAGCAGTTAGGGGTCGTGTTCGAAGGTGCGCCAGAGCCTTGTCCAATTGGCAAGCACGCTGATAAAGACTGGTTGGCACAAATGCAGACGAATCTTCCCGAACAGAGCAGTTTTGGAACCATAAACTAGTTTTGCTATACGGGCAGTTTTGTTCCGTGCTCCAAAGGGACACACCATGCTCTAAGCTATTGTCATAAATCTGACGCAATCCGGATATGATGAAGGCCTTGTTGGTAACTTCGTAAAGTTTAAACTCGTGTAAATTGACCACTTGATGCGGACGTGAAGTCATCACTTTCGACTTCTTTGTCGGAGGCTCTTCTGCGAATTTGCTGTCTCGATCTCGGGCAGGATTTATCCCGCGCACACTCAGAGAAGGCCTTAATTTGGGAATAGGGAGCACAATGTCCATCCATCTCGTCGATTGTTGCTCCTCATCGAACAGAGTCGAAAATCCACCGTTGCAAGAGCGCGAATGCAGTGAGTTCGCCATGGACAGGTTCCTGCTAAATTCGGCCTTGGCCAGCGGCAAAAGTGGAGATACTGGTCAATGCAAATCGAGCGAACTCTCTATCGAGCTTGTTACCAATTTCAGCAGCCGTGCCAAGCACGATTCAGTGTTTTGAGAATCGTCCGGATATGAAATGAATCGCTTCCAGGATTCCAGGAGTGGGTATCCACGGTATTCAGCCCGGATCCGCGTGAACAAAAGACCCTGCGGAGTTGGAAACCGAACGGAAACGAAGTTCGAGTGTTTCTTCGAGGTTAACTTGGGATGGAACAGAGCGAAAGTCGATCCTGTCAGTGTTCTGCATTTTAGAAGAGATGGAGGAGGGGAAAGGGTCGATGAAAAGATAGTGGCCAGTCGAGAACAAATCGGCGCAAGCTCCTGGGAGCCGTAGACGTGTATTCAACAGAAATGTGACACATCGGGCCGATGTCATTTTTACGAAGTAGGGACTGTTCAGCTTTCGGACAGATCACCCATCCCATTGACCTACGTCTTTGTTGCGCTGGAATTCATTTGCTGGCTAAGATGCCTGCCATGAATCATGACGAGACTATCTTGGTGCTTTTGGCGCCTAGGATCGATGGGCTCAGTCAGGACTGAGCACGACGTGCGTGCACACTGGGTGGAGAGGGAGATGTGGCGAAGACAGAATTCCAGATTTGGATTTGACCAATCATTATCAAACGTAGTGAGAGCATCGACCCGCCTTCAGAGCGGATCTGCGCCGTCGGTGCCGTCACCTCCGTGAGGTGGCCAAAGCCTTCCGTCTGGCTCCTTTGTTTATGAAAATGGCCACCGACACATGACGGCTGGAAAGAGCACGAAAGGCCGGGTAGACAGGGTCAAAGTTTTCGCACTGGTGAGGATGCTCGACAAGCCCTTCAAACCAGTGTGCCCAAAGCATTAGAAAGTTGACGGTCACCATTGCTCAGAGTTCTCAAGTTCTTGGGCTGCAGAGAAGGCATCTGCTATGCCATACCTCTTTCCCTGAGCTTGTGTGCATACGGACGCAAGGAAAAGGGAGCCAACCGTTGTTTCGGAATGTTCCTGAAGACTTGCAGACTGTGCTAACGTTTCTAGATTCTTGAACAATGGTCGCCAGTGTCACGCCAAACGTAATTTGCTCTTTAGCGTCGTTCGGAACACAGGGAGGCCCTCGTTAGGCTTCGTCTGCAGCAAATCCGCACCAACTAGCCGAGCATAGACCCAAGCCACACGGGACAAGGCGTTTCTCCATGTGCAGAGATAGCAACAGCGCAATAATAAGTTGTATAGTTGCATTACAACAATGCAGATGTTCTCCATATAGCACCAGGCTTTCCATACTGTGGGCTGGAGCTAACAGCAGCGAGCGCACAATACCGCCCGTAGCGTACCTCAGATCCCAAGCTATCACAGGCCTCATTCTTTGACCGTGCGTTTATGCTTGCTGGTCAAAAGTGATGCTTGGGCTAGACAGACCAGCTCTTTTTTTTTTTTTTTTTTTTTTTTTTTTTTTTTTTTGGCTTAGAGCTGATGCTGATGCTGCTGTGTGATCATGACGACGAGGGCACAAGCCGATGACAATGCTGATGCTGACGATGGTTCGACAAAATGTTCCTTCTTCGAACCTGTACACACGAGGCCCGCTAGTGACACTGAGATAAGCTCTGGCTGTTGGAAGCCAGTATCCAGCAAATTGGTTCCGTCGACGACATCGGATGTCAGCAACGCGCAAATCAAAGAAGTCCCCCGTACCTTGCAGAGCACATTGAATCCCCCCCCCCCCCCCGCAGTAGTGCGAAGGACAAACTTTTGCAATTCATGCATCACCCAGCGGATAACGTGAATCCCCTATCACGGAGGGCACATCATCCAGCATCAAGGCTCTCTGGAGACCTAGACGAAGGTGCTGCTTTCCAAGGTGAGCACGGTTCGTCTGCATGGAAGCCATGTTTAAGGGATGCTACGCGACATGTCAGGCCAGTGCGCACCCTCGAGCGAGGCTGCAAAACGCAACGGCGCAATTGGATGGCGTGTATCCGATGATCCGTGCTTAAGATGAACACCACCAGCATCGTGCTTTGCGCACGGCAAGAGGGCATGCATCGGGAACGTCTTCCTGTCTTAGCCCCAGATAGTGTGTCGTTCGTTGTCTTTGCCGTGACATGGGGCCGTTGTGGAGAATGACGAGCGCGGTTCTAAGAAACGAAAGATTGAATAGCCATGTGCGATACAAGAAGGGCCCGCCTCGTATGTAAAGTTTAAACTTTGGAGTGACGGCTGCCGTTCCCGCTCTCTAAAAAATTTTGGCCTAATCCTTACAGCTCACGCTCCACAGCCCGTCGAAACTCCATCAATTACACGTTCTCGAATACATCTGAGCCGCATGTCTACGCAGTAGATTCTCAAAACAATGAAACAGCGCCTGCACGGTGCCATTGTGGCCTTAGGCTTGTTTCAATACGCATTGGCTCAAGCAACCAACTCGTCTGCTGTCCTGGAAGAGTTGCAAAAGGCCTTGCCATCATGTGCAGTTCGTAACCATCCCCGGAGGGACGGCCATTGCTCACGCAGCTCAGCTTCAATGTACTCTGACGGAGGTGCCCAAATCGACTTGCGCGCTCACGGATATCTCGTGCATATGTACGAATGAGGCACTGAACAACGAAATACTCGTCTGCTTGCAACAGAGTTGCACAGTGGTAGAGCAGCTCCGTAAGTCTTTCTCTCTCCGTCCGCTGCCTCCGTAAATTGACGTTTATATCAAGAGACAAAGAAGGTTTTCAATGGTGCCTGTGGTGTACCCGTTCGAAATGTCGGCTCCCATCTCTCGGCCATCAACTGGACATTTTTTGGACTAGCAACCCTGGCCGTCGGTTGCAGGTTGCTTGCGCGCCTGAAATATTTTGGCGGCAACTTTGCTTGGGACGACTACACGATTGGAATCAGTCTGGTGTGTTTAACCTTACCCTCATGGTCACCTAACGGCTTGCTAATGCAACTGCTAAGCTTTGCCTAACGCCGATTGCTGTTATTGCGCAGTTGATGGTTGACCACGGGCTGGGACAAGACATCTGGCAGCTTGAGGCTCATGATATCTCCAAGACGCTCCTTGTATGTCGTAAACTTGTTTGAAGTACGCCAGGAACTAACGACGCCACAGTATTTTTATATTGAGGAGTTCTTGTACGTCTTTCTCTCCAGCGTCACGAAGCTGTCGATCCTGCTCTTGTACCTTCAGATATTCAAGACGAAGAGTTTCCAGATACGGTGCTATGTTGTCATAGCCCTGATCGTTGGCTATCTGCTTGGTGGAACAATTTCGACGGGCTTGTACTGTCGTCCTCTCAATTACGTTTGGGAAGGCTGGGATGGTCTGCATCCTGCGAAGTGCGTCAATATCAACGCACAGACATTTGCCATGGCAGGTGTTAATATGGCCCTCGACATTGCAATTTTCATTTTGCCCATTCCGCCAATCATGAGGTTGCATATGACGATGAGGAAACGGATCGCTGTTTCTGGGGTCTTCGCCACTGGTTTATTGTACGTGTTAAGCCACACCATCTAGATGATTTTGTCTTTGCTGATGCCTAATAGTGTCACTGCTTGTAGTGTTGTACGCCTAACAACGCTGCTGAAATGGGGTAAATCACAAAACCCTACTTACGACTACACTGAGGTTGCGATATGGTCTCTTATTGAACTTATGACTGCTGTGATTTGCGCTTGCATGCCGGGCATAGCCAGTCTAATCCGGCGAGTCTGGCCTCGCGCATTCGGAACAACAAAGGGCAACTCTTACATGAATTCGGAACCGTTCTCGAGCAACTTGGATCAAAAGATGCAATCGTCAAAGAATATCCAATCAAGGACCATCATATCAGTGTCATTCGCTTCTAGGGACGCGGCGATGAAAGATGAGCACAGCGATGAGTTCGAGCTCACCCCCGGTCCAGGTTTTAGACATCAAGGAAATTACACTAGATACTCGGAAGAATCCTGATTTTTGGTATGAAGCAAAGGTGTACAATAGAATAAAGTTCTTCGCTCGAATTGACACTGTCAGACGAGCAACGTTTAATTCGTTAGAAAGCAGGACATGTCTCATTCGCCGACCAGCAGGTCTCGTGCTTGATCCTTGAGTCTTGGTGCGATTCATTTCCAGCTGTCTGTCGAGAATCTCGGCATATGCACCTTGTTAGAAGAGGCCAGTGTTTGTAGGTGGCTAGTAGCGAAGCCTACTGAGCGTCGACATGTGACAAGAAATGCCTACACGTAAGGCAATTCTGATCGCTTGTGCAATCTCCAGACTGTGAGGTCAGACCATGCTGTGAGGCAAACTGGATTTTGACAGGATGTCAAAGAATGCAACCCAATCGAGACTGCGTCCACTAGTAACCTACTCATACAAGTGGATTTAAGTGGGTGGTCACGTGACAGAGGTGCGAACGTGAACGAATGTGATTGGCTCAGCTGACGTGGTCCCAAGCCCAGATCACGTTTCTCGCGTCACCAGCGCGTCTTGCCTGGCGTTCACCGATTGATATCTTCATGTGCAAACTCGAACACTAAACACGTCCCCAATGTCATGGAAAACATCCTCTTTGGTCTCAATGACCAGCAAAAATGTGCAGTGTCCTGCCCGTCCGATGTTCTGCAGGTGCTGGCACCTCCAGGCTCCGGCAAAACAAAGACGCTCACCGCACGCGTAGCCTATCACATCGCGCACGACGGCTTGAAACCATGGAACATGATCGTGTGTACATTCACCATCAAAGCAGCACGTGAGATGAAAGAACGCATTCGTGCCTTCGTAGGTGAAGAGCTAGAGCGAAAGTTGATTCTCGGAACGTTTCATTCAGTGGCGAGGCGCTATCTCAGTACCTATGGCCATCACATTGGCATTCCTGCCCATTTCGGCATTGCAGACTCGAATGATAGCCTTGCAATGATAAAGCGCATTATAAAGAGAAATAACTTTAGCATGGAGCCGGCAAGAGCAAGGTCGGCGATATCGAAGAGGAAGTCAGGCCTGGAAGCTTTTACCTCCACACGAAGAGCTGCGCGAATTGAAGCCGATCAGCAAGAATTCGAGGCCATCTGTGCTGAGTATGAGGAGGAGCTAAAAAGCGCGAAGTTACTGGATTATGACGACCTTCTTCTGCGCTGTGTGGAGCTTCTTACCAAGTTTCCTGAATGTGTCTCCAACATTGAGGCAGTTTTGATTGATGAGTTCCAGGACACAAATCATGTCCAGTACGAATTGATGAATTTGTTTGCACAACATCGACAGAGACGCCCCAGGAACAGAGTACCGAAAATCACCATTGTCGGGGACCCCGACCAGAGCATCTACAGCTTCAGATCGGCGGAGATCGAAAATTTGGCCCGTATGCAGGGCAAATATAAAGATACGCAGATTGTCCATCTTGAAGAGAACTATCGCTCATCAGGCGCCATTTTGCGACTCGCCCTCGAGGTCATCGAGCAAGATGCAAGTCGTCCGCAGAAGAGTGTGCGTGCTACTCATTCCGTTGGAGAGTCCCCAGTCTTGCGAACGCTAGCATCGGCTGGTGCAGAAGCTGCGTGGCTTGTGTCAGAGATACGCCGCTCACTTCATCTGAATGCTGGCTTGCTCAACTATGCAGATTACGCAGTTCTTTTGCGATCAGCATCTTTGTCTCGCCTTATAGAGGCGGAACTTGGAAGGGCCGGTATACCATACCGAATGGTCGGAGGCCACAAATTCTTTGACCGCGTAGAGGTACGAATTCTGCTGGATTATCTACGCGTTATCAGCCAGCCAGATCACAATGATGCGCTTCTACGCGTTCTCAACGTACCTTCTCGCAAATTGGGCGAAACAGCAACGAAAGTGCTCCTTGAAGAGTCACATACTCGTCAAAAATCTCTTTGGCATATCGTCAAAGGAGTTGCTCAGGGCAAGTTAAGAACGGCCGTAAAGCTCTCTCAGCAAGCAGTATCAGGCTTGGAAAATTTTGTAAACATCATATTGACGGCCCATCAAAAACTGCTTCTTCCACACACAAGCGTAGCTGACTTGCTAGCACATGTCATGCACAAAACTAATTACGAAACCTTCCTGAAAGATACATATAAACAGGAATATGAAGATCGTTCGGCAAACGTGGATGAGCTGATTCAACTTGCGCATAGTGGTCGAGTCTTCGCAGAGCAAGAAGCTGAGCTTATTGAACTCGATGGGGTTCAACAGGCAATAGATGACAGTACTACTCCAGCTTCTTGTCTCGCCCAGTTCCTAGCCAACATTGCTCTGGCTACAGATGCAGAGAAGCACGATGCTGAAGATAGCATGGAAAAGGTTGTCATCTCTACCATACATGCAGCTAAAGGGCTCGAGTGGCCTGTCGTATTCATCCCTTCGGTATATGAAGGGTCCATACCGCATTCAAGGGCTGAAAATATTGATGAAGAGAGGCGCCTGCTGTACGTTGGCATAACGCGGGCGAAGTCTCTACTCTATCTGAGTTACCCTAAGAAGAGTACAAATACCGAGCGAACCACATTGTCGTCTTTCCTGTCAACTCCAACAATGGCGAGGTACTACCATGATCGAGGACCTACTTTTGGTTGGCAAGTTAGCCGTGACCTTGCGAGTATTCTAGGTCGAGATTGTCCATCAAGTGCCGACATCCATGAAAGGTATAAGTTGATTGGCACCGACCAGACTTGGGACATACACGCAGAAGACGATCAATACCCAGATGATGAGGCAAAGTTCGACAATTCCAAACTTCTATCGAACGATACATGCACCGCTGAGCCATTTCACAGAACCTATGGTGGCCAAAGCCAGAAGAGAAAATTTGGCCGCATGTATGAATCGGATGCCGTTCAAGCTTCAGTGGAAGCAAGTTGCGGTTTCATTAGTGCAAGGTATGCTAAGATACAAACCGATTCAGAGATACCACATCCGGCGGACAGACCTGAGGAAAAGTCCAGAAGTTACAAAATTCCGGCAAAATCATCTGATCTAAGCAAATCCGATGTCGCCAGTCAAAAATCGATCAAAACATTCTTCTCATTGTCAACGAATCAAGCACCTCAGCGAACAGTTGCATTAGACACACCCTCATTGAAAACAAGCATCCAAGTTCGTCCTCCTATGGCAATAGCATCTAAGACATTTCGGAGCAATCAAATGGGAAAGTGCAGCAGCACTACTTCTCCAAGCTTACCACCGCGGCAAGTAAAGCAACCACGGCTAGTTCGTCCTCAATTTGAAATGGAATCTGAGACACAAAGACGCAAGCACATCCTATTGTCAAGTTCGCCGGTAAAGGATAGTACAGATTTAATATGCCATGACTCTGCCGGTATGTCCGAGGAAGAAATCGAGAAAGAGAACCAGCAACAGGCTGCGAAGGATGAACAAGCTCGAAAATTAGGATTTTGCAAGTCAACAGTTTTCCATCAGACCTCCATGGAGAAGTTGTCGAGCCTGCAGAACCGACCTGGAGCAAGAAGAACGATTGGAAATCGTCCCGTTCCTGGCTCTCGAGTCCACGCACAGTTTCGACCCCCGACGATCAAATAGGCCATAATAGATGTATAAATGAGTAATACTAGTGTAAAGCAAGCCCACCGAACCGGATAGATCCTGGCGTTGAAAGTGCAATTCTCGATCTAGCTGGGCTGTCGCCAGTTCTACCAATATCTACTTAGCTGCCCGTCTGGACGAGATACACATTACCATCCATTCGTTGAAATGGGGATCGGATGTTTCTTCGTGGGTTTTCGTTTTGCACCTTGAGAAAGAGCAGAGATTAATATAAGGGGAGGCCAGTTGTTGAGTTTTGACTTCATCGGTGTGTAGTAAAATCTTGATGAGAACACTTTGTAGCCAGTCGGACATATTTCTTCGGTCCTTACCATCTACATGACGCGGATTCTATTTCAGGAGAGGTCAAACTCACTTTATACCAACGATGACGAGGTTGCGCGGTGACAAAGCATAGGAGAACACAGGTTGAACCCATGCGTGCTTGATACACGCCTGTTCTTTGAGCCAGAGCCAGCGATCAACCACAATCATCGCCTCCACCACACCAGCAGAAAAGGCCATCATGCTCCATAAAATGCTCATGTCTTTCTTCCGTGCCCAGTATTTTTGTTCATAGCTCCTGATTTCATCATCACTCATGTTGCCAACCTTGGCTTCGATCACTTCGGCAATCTCTCCGCCTCCAGCGATCAACTTCTCCACTGCACCGCGAACATATGTGTTGAAAGATTCGTAATTTTTTTTCTTGAGGTTTCCTATCACGATGGGTGCAGTGCCGCCCCCGTCACTGTTCGCCAATCCCCACGACGACCCAGCTGGACTACACCCCATGTCGTCCTCTTGATTTGGCGGAGCGCTTACGACACCCTTATCCAAAAATATACGCTGCAGAACCGCACGATAGAAGTGTCGCTTGAAGAACGATGAGCTCTCTCCCTCTGTCCAGTTTTCGGGGGCCTGGACTGCCATCATGCGAGCCGTGATATTCAGTCTTATTCCTTCGATGATGTCGTCGCAGGACGTGTCATCCATTGCTTCGGCCTGGAATTCGGATGACTCACAGCCTGCTAGTGCTTTTTCATCGCACGATTTGGCGAGTGAGAAGTCTGGATGTGGTATGACGCGGTACTTGTAGCGGACAAAGCGTTCAGACATTGGGAAACCGTTGGGGTCGTAGGTTCCAGCTGTGGCATCGAGACGTGGATGATGTCGTCTCCGATGTAGTTTGTGGGTAGGGGGTCCTAGTCGTTCCGTCATCAGGTTGTAGCAACACCCTACGAGGGCAACGGCTTTCACCGAAGGGTTTAAAACAAGAGTTCGCAGACCATGATGAACCAAGTTACCACACGAATGTAGAGAAATTACCATGACGACAGGATATCCCTCACGACAATTTCTGCCTGGTGTTACCGGCTCGGTCCGCTCTGCGCGAGTTACTGTTCGTGATCCACATTCATAAGCAACGGCGGGCGCTTCTGTCTCCCGTTGCGAACTATTCGCGTGCGATGGGACCTTGATGTGTTCTATGACGGAAGAAAGATCGCCGTCCACTATACGGTGCTCAATGTACTGAATAGTTCCGCCCCCAGCTTGCGTCGTTTCCTCAGACTCATCGTGCCCCTGCCGGTCCACTCGCGATGGCTCCAGATCAGACTGCCCAACAGCGTGTGTTTTGCCAACCACGCTTGTGTCATCTGAAATTTCCACCCGGTTGTCAGGAGAGTTCTCACACTCGATTCCACTACCAAAGCCGCCCTTGGGAGTAGACGATGGCTCGTTCCGCCCCGCCGTTTTTCTGGCCCGGAACAACTTCTTGTTACGCATCACCAGTGGTTTCTTCACCACCTTCGTGTTCACATCTAGACCCTTCGCGCCTTCGACGACGTGCGCCCGACTTTCAATGGCAACTATGTTGCGGTTGTACGGGGCGCTCGCCAGGACGCGGCCCAGGTAGTTCTGCCCGGCGCCAAAATCGGCCAGGTGGGTGACGCAGTGGCCATTGTGACAGTCAATGTCAGAGGCAAGGCTGTCCACGTATCGAGCAAAGTTGTCCACCTCGTGGATCTTCTTCGGGTTCATGCCTGCAAAGATCTGCTTGTTCGATCTGGCCTCGCCGTGCCGCGAGGCCAGGGGCTCGAACTCACGATTCAACAGGTGCTTCTTCACGCTCCGAACGTACTCGATCAGGCTTGGAGGAGGCGGTGGGTGACCTCGCCATTGCCGACCAGCCTTGGCAGCCTCTTCGAGCCGTGCCTGGTCTTCCCGCATGAGAAGGTCCAGGACATCTTGGACGTCGACGTGCGCGAACCACTGTCGCCAAGAGGCGGGGATGACGGAAGAATATAGATCTGGCGACCTCGTCAAAAAGTCAAGGATGTGCACGCCACCGCACAGCGTGTGGAGAATTGGAGAAGACGTGGTGAAAATCAGCAGCGAATCAACATATTCCTCTACGTCGGTAAAGCCTGGTGGAAGCGGAAGCGGGCTCTCTGGAGCCACAGAGTCAAGTTTCATAGTTGGTAAGATATTCCCACTGTTTTCGTGGAATCTGGTTTAATCACCTTCACGATCATCATGCTCTGATCGCAGGGATGGTGGATTATTGCAAAAGCAACCGCGCAAAAGCATTTCAAGCCGACACGCTATTTCTAATGGGGTTGGGGAAAAAAAAGATTGCAGGTGGCCTGCTGAGACAAAAGGCTGCAAGGCAGAACTCTTCTTCAGGCATTTTAACTCACAACACATTGCTAGGTTTTCATAGCATTGACGCAAAACAAGTGTAAAGATTCGTGCCATATCAATGATGCATTCGTATATAACTGGATATTGCGTACACACATCAATGTAGATGCAGTCCGCTTCGGTCATCCATGTGAGTGAGCGCATTAAACCAACCGCCGTTCATGCATCCACGGAGGATCCTTTATCCAGTCCCTCTTGCCAGAAAGATGAATACGCCTCGCAACTTCTTGGAAGACTTTGTAGTCTTGAGATTCAAAGTACTCTGGACTGTCCCAGGTGATCACAGTCCGCCGTATCTTATTTAAAAGCGCGTCGGCCTTTCTGATCTTTTCCTCTGTTATGTCCCGGTCGCGGGGACGCAGAAAGCGCTCGCTCCATATCTGGAGATCAAGCTCATAGCGTTGTCGAATCAGCTCTCGCAGCTCACGAAGTTCCTCGGGCGTGATCTTCTGTCCGGGGGAGCGCTCTAGCGGCAGGTCTCCAGGCATGGGATTTTGAAAGTCTCGATGAGCCCCGGATGACTGCAGACCTAGTCCGTCAGCAGTCGGTACTACACCCGGCTGCTCATGATAAGGTAGTACTGTTGGCACTGGAGCCGCTCGCGTGTGATCATAAGACGCAGATGGTAATACCGAGCTCGACTGTGCTGCACGAATCTGTTCGGCTGTCCTATGGTTGGTCGACAGTTGGGCATGGCGGTCTCGTACATCTGGCTCTGGGGAATGCCCAGGCGGCCTGGTGAACGGTGATGTGTTTACAGATGGCTCGCGCGATACATAGAGTGGTGGGGGAATGGGGCTTGCTGTTAATGTAGGCGAACCGGGGGAGGGTGAATAAGTAGCGCTCGGACTAAACTTGACATCAGCATTGACAAAGTCTACCACGGCTGTGACGATAGGCTCTGATGGCGCTGCAGATGCGGTTGGTGGTGCAATAACGGGTACCGTAGGTAACGTTTCTGGCTGCGACGACGGATACGACGGTGGCTGCGTGTCCGGTTGTGCTTGAGGCTGGGGTCGGGGAACGTTCTGAGCATTGTAGGGGGTCACCAAATTGTTGTCGGAAACTCGACGGCGATGAACTAGTTTTTTGAGACTGTTCATGGTGTCTCGTGGGTTTCCTGTGCTGGGATGTAGCAAGACTGCAGGCGGGAGATCAAATTATTGCTGAGACGAGGCTGTGATAGGCTCGCCATGTTGTTATGCATAATGCCATGGGGACATGGCGACAGCGCAGCCAGGTGCTAAGCAAGCAGCAGTAGGCGCAGCAGCTCAGCATCAATAAGGCCTGATAGCTTGCGATGCGGGGGAAGCGTGATAATCGCAAGTACACAGTACCCAAGCACAAGCAGCGGGTGATGACGCGACAAGGCATTTTTGCAGGTCTGCCTCAGCTCAATCTCACGTATCAAGTCGTCCCAGAGGCCCAGACGACGGAGCCTCCATCCAGGCTGATGAATCTTTACTGACCTAAGCTATCAAAGGAAAACGAGTCGACACGGCACATAATGGCTGGTTGGAAGTGGGGGAAGCGTAGAGCTGGTGCTGGTCAGGCTGAGCAGGCCAAGAAGAAGCACAATTCCAAGCGATGGCGATCCAATCCGCGCCACTGGTCGTATTGGAAAGACCAACTGAGGGGCGTTGAAAGGAGAATCTCCTCTGCTGAACAAAAGGGACTGCCGATGAGTTCCAGCAAGGTCCACTGCTGCAGTTTGCCCGGCCTGGTGGACTCTCGAGTCTCGAGGGCGAAGACGAAGAGGACGACGAGGACGAAGAACAGAGCAAAGGAACGAGAAAGAAGAAGTCGAAATCGAATATGCAAATGCAATTGGAATTGCAATGACAAATAGCAGGTTGTGGTTCAGGCGCGCTCCTGCCTTACGCGCTCGTAGAGGGACGCAAAGCAGCAGAGTTCCTTCCTCAGTCAAAGCGGTTCTGCAACGTCGGGGCTGGATCGGCACCTTCCTTGAGGCACGGCCCTGGCCCCATGATGCTGATCGAGGTAGGCGCCATCATCATCATGGCCTGCAACGTCGTCATCGTCGTCACGATGATCACCGTCGCTCCTGCCCTTCCAACGTCGGACTTGTGCGGGAGGACCTTCCCGCCCAGCGGAACGTTCGTCGTGATTTCCAGAACAAAAAAGAAGAAGAAAGGGAGAGACAAAGGCCGCGCGCGTCGAAATCGGCACACGACAAATCTTCACCTCAGCAGCTCGCGCAAGCGTCACAGTCCACTGTCCATGCATCGCCGCCCTTTGTCCGCCGCCTGTTATACGCCACCTACGTTCCAGCTGACCACTGCCCACTGGACATTGTACTCCCTCTGTCAGCAGTACATTCCAATGCATCTGGCTTTTCCACGCAGCATGTACCCCCAGCGTCTACGAGATCAATCAACATGAGAAATATGATCTGGAAACCAAGTCACCGAAGGCGTCCTCTCTCCCTCACAGCCCTTTACCACGTTGCCACCGTTTGGACGTCCATCTTGCACAGAACAGCGTCATGTGTGTCCAGATGCTCGCCCTGTCCGTTGCCGAATCGTTGCACCCCTGGATGCACCACCAGTTCTCGTGGTCGCCCTACATCATGCATCCGCGATGCTGCCCGACTTTCCAGCGGCACCGTGATCAAGATTCTACACCGCTGAACCCCTATGTCAAGCCAGAGTCTGGCCGCCTGATGCGCAATGTCCTTGACGCTCATCTGCTGGCTCTTCGATGGCTCGACGACACGGTTTAGCTCTTGCAATATCTCGTCCTCGATCCGCTGTATGCTCTGGATGAACGCCCGCTTCAGAATCGGATCTCCAGCCGTCTTATGGACTGCCTCCATGCACATTTCCATCTTGCTGTATCTCCACTCCTCCGACTTCTTGCTCGCTTCTGGCCAGTGCGGCGCGATCTTTGAGTTCGTGTCTGTCTCGAGAGTCAGCCCGTTTCGGTCCATACATAGCGTTCGCCAACGAGCGCCCAGACGCCTTGCCTTACCTTGCCCAAAAGTGTCAACCCACTCGCCGAAGAACTTCTCGCCATCAATGCCAAACGACTTGAACGGATGTACAAACAAACCGTCGTAGAACACCATCCAAATCAGGTTGTGCACAAAATACTGCTTGATCTGCCGTGGATTCTCGTTCGCTTGGATCAAGCTCTCCGGACATAGCCAGTCTGCCTCTCGGTTCTTGTCCCAGTTCGTGCATGTTCGCGAGAACTGGTCCACCGCCTTGGCCATTTTCTTGAATCGAGACTCGATGACCCGGTCCGAGATGCCTTTAAAAGAACCCCGCTCGACCAGCTCGCCTACGAGGTTCTCGTTGCGCTTCTTATACTCCTTCAGCTCCTGCGCAAACTGTTGCCTGACCCGTCTCTCTGTTGCATGCTGTTCCGCTTCCAGCTCCTCAATCATTTTGTTTCGATTGTTGATCTGTTCTTCGTATCTTCTCGCTCGAGATGTGAGCTCTTTGGCGTGCCTATCCTTCAGGCTTTTGATCTCATCTTCCTTTGCCTGGAGCTTTTCTTGGGATAGCAGCAGAGTAAGTTGTTCCTCTTTTCGCACCTCATTTTCCTTCTCCTTCAGAGCTTGTTCATACTTTATGCGTAAGTTGGAAAGTTCAACTTCATGCAACATACGCATTTCAGATGCTTTCTTGTCATTTTCGGCCTGAAGTGCTCCTATTTCTGCCCCGTGCTTTTCGACTGCGTCTATCAGATGTTTCGTATCCGCCGCATGGCTTATCTCAAGAGCCGCTATTTCCTCGCGTTTCTCGCTAATTATCCTTTCCTTATCTTGTTTCACGCGACGAACGTCAGCCTCTAATCGTGAAATTGTGCTCTTTAATGAATCATCGAGCCTGCTGTTCTCTCTCTCGAGATGGCTAATTTCATGCTCATTGTGACTAACAGTCTGTCGCAGCTTTGAATTGTTGGCTTGAAGCTCGTTAATGGTAATTGAGAGACGACCGATTTCTTCTTGTAATGGCGCCTTCTCCTCTCCCAATTTCTGCTGCCACCATCGATTATTGCTCTCCATTTCCTTCTTCTGTTGAGCTTTTGCTTCCTCGATACGAACTTTCAGGTCTTCATTGTTCTGCTTTACTACCTCATAGGCTTCGTCCCTGTAACGACAATTTTGCTGAAAATATCTGTAACGCTCCGAGAGATCGTTAATTCTTCTAGTCAGTTGCTCATTTTCAGATTTAAGATGGCTAACTTCTTGTACGGACTGTTCTGAAAGTTTTCTGTGCGCAGTCTCCTCGCGTAGTAGTTGAACTTTGTTTCGATACAATGCTGCAACCCGTTTTGCAGCTTTTTCCGCACTTTGGCATCTGGACAGCTCTGAGTCACTAGCATCAATTCTTTTTAAGTAATCGCGAAGTTGACACAGCTCTTCCCATGCTTTCTGTGCAGTCCCAGAATCTTCGGCTTTTAAAGATGAGCCTTGATGTGGCTGCTCCAGCTCCGATGCATCGATGTATGCATAGGGATCAAGCTGGAATTGGTCCCTGTTAGTGATAGAATGCCGAAATTGTTGGACCTCTGAACGGGACCTATTTGCTGGCTCATGATCGCATTTGTTGTTTAGCTTCACTGGCTCCTGTGTGTCTCGACCGCGCGATGCTAAAGCTGGACTATCATCTTCCGGGACTTCCTTCGAAATATGAAAATAGCCATCTCCAGTATGCCCGGGAAAAAGCTCTGTTGTAGGAACCTTCTTCATATCTGGCTGGCTCCTTTCAGTTGCATTGGAGGTGGAGTCGAAGCGAGTTCGAGATAGATCCCCGAGAACATCAGGCGATGCTCTCTTCAGGGCATTCTCATGATAGGTGGAATGATCAATGTTTCTGTTATTTCCTTTGTCTGTGTCCTCTGTTGTACATGTATCTGCGACACTTGTAAAACTTTGCTTCTTACAAGCGCCCCCCACGAGCTTGTTCGCTTGAGAAATTTCCAAGGTTGCAAATTCGCTTAGGCCATTATGTTTCTGACCTTGCACAGGTCCATCCAGGCCCTCTGTATTGACGGCTTTCTGGGGATTGTTCAAATACGGCTGTGCCAACGGCAGGGGTTTTTGGGCCACATCAGCATTCTCGGCCTCCTCTAAAGGCATACTGGACTGCTCAGGCCTTCCTGATGGCGGAAGCAACTGGCTTGCGTCTTGTTGGCGAATTAGCGAAGTAGCTATTGTAGCTTTTCGACATTTGAGGCTAGGGCTCAGGATACGTACAATTAAGATCATCAGCATGGTCTCGTAGATTCTTTGCAGCCGTGTCCATATGACGCCGCTGTTCCCCGTCCCGATCGCCCGGATTTGAGCCCAAAGGAGCACGGGAATGTCTATGTCTCTCAGATCTTTGAAAATTCGGCGCATCTATCTCCGTATCCCTTTCTTTATTCCTGCGCTTACCATGATTCCTGAACCTATCATGTGCCCAAGAAACAAACGCCTTTGACATTTAGCCAGGATCGTCTTGGTTGATCTTCCTTGTGTGGTTTGAAAAGGTAAGAAGTGTATATGGATATGTCCGGTTCGTACTCAAGTATAAATATTGCGTTTGGAAAGCAGACAATGTAGAAAGTGATGTTGGAGGAAAACGAGGGTGTCGTTCAGCCAGGCTGGACAGAGAGACTGCACACAAAGGTAGTTCTACAGCTTGAGCACGGACGTTTTGCACGAGGCTGAGGGCTGTTCGTGCTGTTCCACATCACACACAACCTTCGCTGGGGTTAAGAGGCCTGCGCAGCACCTTGTGACCCTCGCCTGAGTTTTGACAAGCATCACTTAGGCTCTTTGCTGGAGCAGCTGTCGAATTTAAAAGGTGAACTGGGGCTCTGCGCGAGATCGATTGGGACCTTATGGGTTCTAACCTTCCTGTCGTGATCCCCCCCACATGTAACGTGACGCGACCGCGGCGTCAGGATTCAGCCTGATCAGTGAGCAACGCAGAGAAAATTTCTTTGACACGGGCTCCAATCCAAATCTACTCCAAACCGTCGCATGTAGTCTTTTTTCTTAAGTCTTTTCGACCGAGTGTGCCATGGACGACGTGGCCGACTCTGTCTACGACTCTGATAACGACGATGACTACAGTGCGGATGAAGATGAGATTGAGAATCGTAGGCTGGTCATATCTATAGATTTTGGCACGACGTATACGGGTTGGTAGAAAGCCAATTTCTAGAGCCCGCTATTGACTGACGCTGCAGGCATCGCGTTCGCTACTCCGCTCGGGAGCTCGTCAAAACTCAACGATATCGACATCGTGCTAGACTGGGGAGAGAATATGGGCAACATGGACAAAGTTCCTAGCGTCATCTCCTACTCAAACAAGTCGAAGGATGGCAATGAGGCGAACTGGGGGAAGGATTTAGCCCCGGGTGCTGTCGCTATGAAGCACATGAAGCTGCGACTCCAAGCTCATAGCGTGAGCAACGAGCTCGAATTTTTACTTCAATTCCTGGATGGAACTCGGAACCTGGATTTTGCTCACATCAAGGATTCTAAAGGCATGCCGGAATATACGGCTAAAGCTCCGGAGGACATCACGTCGGATTACTTGGCGAAAGTTTTCGAACATGTCCTGCAGACTGTAAATGGGTTTTCAAAAACAGTCAGAGAGACGATACCGACAGATATTGTCATCACCATTCCTGTGGTATGGATAGGTATCTGTTTCATGGATGATTGCACTCTTAACGATGCTCACAGGATTGGGGCTATGATGCAATGAACAGCACGTATCGTGCTGTCACCAAAGCAGGTTTTAACGAGAAGACATTCCCAAAACTCGAAGATGTCATGTTTGTGACCGAGCCTGAGGCGGCGGCAATCTATACCGCGAGGTATTATGAGGAGCTCAACGAGCAATTCCTCAAGGTATGTTGCACGATTGTCCAGTGATAGATGTGCGCTTAGGATAGAATCCACAGGAAGATGAATGTTTCATTCTGGTGGACGCTGGCGGCGGTACTGTTGACATAGTCTCGTACCAGGTCAAGCGTCTGCGGCCTTTAGAGCTTGTGCCAGTAGGTGTGCCAACAGGAGCCAGATGTGGTGCCATCTTCGTAGACCAGGCCTTCAACATGTGGTTGCGCCATCTGTTGACGGATAGATACTACCTTGAACTGGATCCGGACGCAGATCTAAACAACATATACGGCATCCAAAGTCATCACATTCGTGAGATTATGGATGAATTCGACATCATCAAAAAGTATTTTCACCAGGAGAGCGGAGACATGTTTATGGACCTGCCTCGATCGTCTCCCTTGAGAAATCTTACGCTTGAGAATCGGGTTGACTGCGGACAAATCACCATAAAAAATGAAACGATGCGAGACTTTTTCAATCCATGCGTAGACGAGATCATCGAGATGATAAAGCTCCACATCCGGGAGATTGAAAGTCATGGTTCACGCGCCAAGAACCTCTTCCTCATTGGTGGTTTCGGGGAATCCAAATTTCTGCAAGAAGAGATACGTGACTCATTACGGATGCGCTCAGAAATAGCGTTGCGTATGCCCGAAACGTCGTGGACGGCGGTTGCCCGTGGTGGTGTCATCTGTGGCGTTGAGAAGAAGCATCTGAAGACACTTGTTCGAACGTCGAGAAGTCAAAAAAGTTACGGTATCGCCGTTGATGAAAGCTTCTCGTATGCAAACGACGCGCGTGATCTTGACACCAACCGACTCACCGGTAAAAGGGTGGCAAGAAACCAGATGAAATGGCTTATCAACAAAGGTGATCTTATTTTGAACACCACGCCAACAATCAAAGAGCATAAATTCGTGAAACGGTTCGTCGATCACGAGGCTGGGAGCAAAAAAGGTAGCGTTGTAATCTATAGTTGGCCGGACGATAAGCATCGGCCCACCCGGCTATCGAATGCGCACAGAGGTACTGTCTTCTGAATCTTTAACCTGGAGATTTTCTGACGTCAGTTGACAGAGCTCATGATAGAAGAGGTGCTTAATTATGACCTTTCTTCCTTAAGGCATTCTGACTTCACGCTTCGACGTGGTCCAAGTCCAAACTGCGACCACTATGTTGCAACGATCAATCTCCGATTGAGTTTGACGAGGACAGGTCTAAAATCCGAGCTCTTGTTCAAGGGTGAGCCGCTGCCAGCGGTGAGCACAGGATCGCCGCCCATGCAGAGCACCATAGCGGACATGCACGGCGTAGGTGTCACTCCAGACAGGACTGGTCTGGGACGAGGTAGCTCATTTACCAGGAGAAGCGAACGAAGGAGGTTAAATGTGAGCGATCCAGACTTTGAGCACTGGGGGCGTTTAAGTTGATACTCCTGTTTCGAGCAAGACTTTTGTAGAAAATCGTGTGCATAAATGGATTGTATGTAGTGGAGAGCCAGTCAGCTGTGGCAGCGGGTGTGTGGTGTCTCCCCTGTTTTGGGATGAATCACGACGCCATGGCACGCGCAACGGCAAGGAATTTCAGTCCTGTGTATCTTTGTGCGGAGCAAGTCCAGGGGCATGGGTAAAGACGTGTCGCAATGTCGCCTTTCGATTTCAATCTATGCTCATCTTTTCCAGTACGAAAGAGAACATAGAAAAGGGTGAGTGGGTAGCCGGGTGGAAAGGCACCGAACGTTTTCTGTTTTCGAAGTCAATCGGTGGCGGCGTCCTTGATACCCATCGAGACTCGGTAGGCTTTTCGATGCTCCATCGGAAAAAAAGAAAACAGGAAAGAAAGAGATGTGGGAAAAAACTGGAGCGGGACCCAAGAGGTCGTGTTCGGAAGATGAATAGATTGTACACTATATACCGAGCACGTGACAGAACCAAAAATCAGATCTATAGCTTGCTGTCTGGAACGTACAGACTCTGCTTCGCGGCCAAGGTCTCTACGGCCTCCTTTTCGATGCGCTTGAGGAGCTCTTCACAAGTGGGAATGTCGTGGATCAGGCCGATGACTTGGCCAGCGGTCCACACCTGTTCGTTTTGCACGATTAGCACATGTCGTCGGCACGCGGGTGGAAGGGGGAGGAAAAAGAGAGATTCGTCTTACGCCATAATCCTTGTCGCCGTTGATGAAGACCTGGCGACCCCTCTGGCCAGAGACGTACTGACCAATGCCCGACTTGGCAAAATCTCCCGTCGTGTCGGCCTTCTCGATGGCGACGGCCTGCTTGGCGACCTTGTTCGAGAACAGGCGGGAGGTGTTCCTCCACTTCCTCATGACGAGCTCGGTGTCGGTCTCTTCGGCCTCCGTGATGGCCTTCTTGATGTTGATGTGGATGGGGGCCTCGACGGTGCACATGAACCGGGTGCCCATGTTGATGCCCTCGGCGCCGAGCGCAAGCGCGGCGGCGAGGCCCTGGCCATCGGCGAAGCCGCCAGAGGCGATGAAGGGCACGCTGAGGGACTGGCGGGCGCGAGAGAGGAGGATGAAGTTGGTGATGTCGGACTCGCCGACGTGGCCGGCGCACTCGAAGCCGTCGATGGAGAGGAAGTCGACGCCGAGCTTGACGGCGGACTGGGCGTGGCGGATGGTGGTGCACTTGTGCAGGATGATGACGCCGGCGGCCTTAAGCTGCTTGATAACGGGGCCGGGCGAGTTGCCGGCCGTCTCGACGATCTTGACGCCCTCCTCAACCACGACGCGCGCGTACGCACCGTAGTCTGGCGGCACCATGGCCGGCAGGAGCGTGATGTTGACGCCGAACGGCTTGTTGGTCATGGTCCGGCATCGTCGAATCTCTTTGCGGAGGTCTTCGGGCGTGGGCTGCGTCAGGGCCGTGAGCTGCGCGTCGCACAAGTCAGCAAAACGGTGCTTCGTCCTCGACGGTGCCGATGGAGGGCGTGGAGGCGTACGATACCCAGGCCGCCGGCGTTGGAGACGGCCGCTGCCAGCTCGGCGTACCCAACCCATTGCATGCCACCCTGCACGACGGGGACTGTTGTTCGGCGTTCGTCTGTCAGCACGCATTCTTGTTGTCCAGACCAGCGGCCGGGTCATCGCCGAACACGGCCCGACGTACCTCTGATCCCCAGCTTGCGCGTCAGCGCAGTGTTGAAAGGCATCCTGGACCGGATCTATTCCTGTTCTTCTCACGCAAACAGCAGCACGACGGGAGGGAAAAAAGAAGGAAGACAACGACGGGACGAGCTGGTCTGGGGGTATCAGAAAGCCACAGGGACAAAGAGAGGTTAACAAAACGAAGAAAAGAGGGCGCAAAGGGGTCAGACGGCCGTTATGTACGGAGATTTCAGCATTGCCGGTTCCACTGCGCGGAGCCCTCGCTTGTTGCGTGCTCTCGGGAATCGCAGGTTGTGCTGGGTGCTGGTGCTGGTGCTGGCGGGTGGTGCGATGTGGGGTGTTGCCGAGGTCTACCGCTTCTGTCTGGGGCTCACTAATCCCACGGGCGGAGCGTCAGGCTGATCCGCGGCCGAGTCAGCTGGAGCGAGCCCATCCAGCGCGTCTCCTGCGCGCGGACAGACGACACGACACAAGACGAGGCTCGACAGCACTCGACAGCAGGACGACCGCTCGGCCTCAGCCTGCCGCCGTGCATCCACGTCGACTGGCCTCCGGTCCTGCGACACGCACTCCCGCCGGCCGCGTCCCACGTCGGCGGTCGCTCCTCGGCACCGCGGTCGAGCCCGCGCCGCTGATTGGGCCCCGACGCCGTTCACAGTCCTCGCGGGCGGCGGCGGGCTGGCGGCTCCGCTGCGCTCGAGACAAGCCGCCCCACGGCATCTCGCATCGAGCAGAGTCGCGCGACCACGCGTGTTTTCTGTGCACCGTCAAGAGTCTCCCTCGGCTCGCCGCTGTCCTGCTTACCGTGCGTGCTTCCACGCGTTGAGACCGTCTTTGCTTGGGCCACGTCTGGACCCAGACCGGACAGCGAGACCAAAGGCACAAACAGCGGGGAGGTAATCCAGGATAACATGAAAAAAAAAAAAAAAAAATAGAAATAAAAAGCACATAGGAATCCTTCTCTCTTCCTTTCTTTCCTTCTTTGTTTCTTCAATTTCCCATCCCGGTACGTGCCCATAATGCCTCCCACACGTCACCGCTTTCCGGCATCGGTAACTGTGTGGTACTGTTCGAGCACGCGCGCATCACAGCACAGAGGACGTACATGTTATACACGGTTCAATTGCTTTTTCTACTCACGAAACGCAAGAGAAGAGTTCTATGCACACATACAGCAGCCAGGTTCTCCAATGGCAAAAGGTACTATTATACACGCAAGCACATTGCGACCCTCTCTTACCTTCCTCTCATTTCTCTCGCCTTCTCCTCTCTTGCTCTGACCTGTTCCTCGTACCGCCTCGCCTCGCTCAAGAACTTGGCGCTTCTCCCCTTGTCTCCTGCTTTGGTCTGGTTCGCCATCATGGTCTTGCCTTTCTCAGTGATGCCTTCGACCATGCTTCCCAAGCCCTTCCGAGCGTTCTTCAGCTCTCTCGTCACAAAGTTGCCGTCCTTGGGCGTTTCGACCGCTTGCGGCGACGAAGAAGACGCCCTGGGCGGTCCCGCAGCAAGAGTCTCGGCCGCGCTCGGCGCCTGATATCGCACGCCTGATTCGAAAACCGAACCGGACGTTTTCAACGGACGCGACGTGTTCAGATTGGCAAACGGGTTGTCCTTGAACGGGTTCTGCTGCGGAGCTGCTGCCTGTCCCGGCGTCGACTTGGAGCCCTCTCCGGACGCGGCCGTCAAGTTTGCAGCCGCACTCAAATTCAACGCCTTTCTTTGTCCCAACGGCTCCATTCCCATCATCTCCCTAAACTTTGCGTTTCTGAACAGCAGATTCTGGATCGTTCCAAACATGGTAGCCGTCAGGAAGGAGATCTGCAGGGCTGCAGATTGCCAAAACGTGAAGAGGAACATGAGTGCTGGGAAGACGTATAAGCCGAGCGGTCTTGTCATTTTGGCTACGGATGGATCGGCGGTAGCAGAGGCGTCAACTTGGGCCCACTACGTGACATGTCAGCATGCGTCGTACGAAGACGAGAAGAGGCCTCGAAAAAGATGTCAGAAACGCATACCCTCGCCATTAGATGCATTGTGACACCTAGTGCGATCGGTGTGATGAAGTACGGGTCCGGAAGAGTAAGATTCGTCAACCACGCGATACCACCGGTTTCAAAGCCCGGCACAGGCAGCGCAGCCATAGCACGCGTAAGCTTGAACGCTCCAAAGCCAAATACACCCTGTGCGAAGACCGGAGCGAGCATCCAGCCCATGCTTACGCCATTCTTCCGTCTCACGATGGAGACCTGCTTGCTGGCTATCTGCGCCGCCAACTTGTCGCCAGAGACTTGGGCAGCCTGATACTCGGCCATGTAGTGCTGGAGTTGCGGGTGAAGTCTCTGCAGCTTGGCCTGCTGGTTGGACATGCGGTAGAAAGGATAGATCATGAGAAGACGCATCGCAATGGCGGAAAGGATGATGGTGCCGTACCAGGGAGTACCTGCGTACACGTGGATATGCTCGACGACCCATTCAACACATGACGTAGGCCCCCAGCCGTAGTCAAGGCCAAGTTGCTTCAGTTGGCCGATCTGGGTGATGTTGTCAAGAAGGACAGGGTTGATTGAAGCCGCCTCCGCTGCTGCATCTGCCGTTTCTGTCGAACCCGTCACCGCTCGTGCTGCCTCTTCCAACGATGACTGCGCCTGTGCCGACGCTGCGCCTGCGGCATCCTGTATCGATGATGCGAAGGATTGTGCGGTTTCCGATGGCGTTGATGCGGCCGACGGTGCAGGAGCAGAGGAGGGGCCGTCTGGTATCCCTTCGGGGACCGGCTGTTGCGATGACTTGCTGCTGCTGCTGGAGAACGGCCACAGACTCAGGTTCGCCCTGCCACTTGCAAGCACGTATCCCGTGACAGGCAGAGCTGCCCGAGGCACAGCATTGGCTCTCACGCCGTGCTGCCTCACCAGCGACGATGTGGACGTCAGCTGCAATTGCGGCCCTGTCAGCAGTTTGCGGAGGGAACAGCGTTCACGCGAACAAAAACTCACCGTCCGCACGTTGATTCTGGCAGCAATTGGCTGTCTCGAGATGCCACTCGCAAGGCGGCCAGTGGCCCAGATGCCTCTGCTGGGAGGCATCGCTGCGTTTCTCGATGCCGCGTGAGATAGATATGCGTCTATGCGGAGCCCGTTCGAGGTCGGACGACGCGAACGAATTTCGAGGTCGGACGAGAAAAAGAACAGCGCCGTAATTTTGCGTGAAACAAATTACCGTATCGTTTCTCCCGTTCGGGCGACGTTTGTTCTCCGCAAGGCGCGCTAGTGCTCTTTTCGGAAATATGCGCGGCCGCTTCGGCTCCGTCCAGCCTCGTCCGCAAGGCTAAGCTCGTCTTAAGAGGACATGCTGCGGTCGAAGCGCAACCTCCGTTTGCACGAGCGGCTATGCTTTGAGGACGGCGAGGTGACACGCAGCTGTGTCGTTGCTGTTGGAATACCGGGTGCATGGCGTCTCGATCTCATGACGGCGCTGAATTGAAGTTGACTTTGGACAGGGGTTAGTGTACCACACGGGAGGGGGTACACGTGCTATCCCCCAGGCTACGTGTGAGGCAATCGAACGTGATGGAAAGCCTGAAGATACAGACCGCCACAGCCTTTTGCTCGGTGATGGGACGGAAGGCGAACGGGCACGAAGTTGACAGCTTGGTTCATCAAATGAAAAGGACTTCCATTTACTTCATTCTTGACCTGGAAAGTACCTTCGTACATGTTCAGATGACTCTTTCATTCAAGCTAGTCGTCAGAGAGGCTTCCTCGTCCAAGCCAAATAAAGAGGAGCAGCGCTGTGCATAGTCGAGCCAGTGTCCATTTTACTCCCTCAATGGTCTCCATTCACTTCTTCATCCGTACGTCTTTCATTTCTCCACCAAATACGGCCATCCGTTGGAGTCGATCTTCCAAGCCCCCTGGAAATTGATTCTAATAGTGCCTAGCGGATAGGCTCGCAAGCCGCCATCCTTATGCTGGACCCAGTACAGGTCCGTCGGCTTGCCTTTGGGTTCTATGGCCTTTGCTTCCTCGTCACCACTGCAGTGTGCTCTTTCCGCGCCTTTCGCTTCCTTCCCCATCTGGCGCTCGCACTGCTCACGTTCCTTCCACCCATCCGCTTGGACCTCGTCTCTAGTGCGGCCGTACCATGGATATGTACCGTCGCGCAGACGTCTGCCATTGTATGAGGATGCTGCTAGCATCGGCGGCTGGCTAGGTGTGTAATAATAACATCCATCAACTTGGTAATATTTTGGAATTGGTTGTTGCATCAGACAATTGTAGCACAGCGGCTTCGTTTCAAATGAGCCTGGCCAACATGCCGGCAATGTAGAGGGGAGCGGCTGTGAGTAGTGTGAGTAGCACGGCTGAGACCCGTACGAATGGAACCATGGCACTTCATATATGGGGACGAGCCGATACTGAGGACGCAAGTCTGACGTTTGAAAGTTAGGAGGCGCGTTAGATGGCGCCGAACCCTCGCTACCGCTTGGCGTGGGTGCTCCTGAGCTGCGTGGTACGTACGTGAAGGTCGCTGCCTCGTTTGCAAAAGGCTGCGAAGTCTCGTTGGTCTGTTCTCTCGCTCGCTTTGCCATGGCTACTGTCTCTGAAACCTTGAACTTGACTTCGCGACTTAGAAGGGTGTTGATGAAACTCGATCACAGAGTGAAGCGCAACCGAGGGCATCGGAGTCGACAAAATATCGAGGCCTGGCCTCGTCATAGTCACTAGAACATGACAGTTTTGGAAGGAACGATAGTCAAGGACCAACGCTCTTACCTCCTTGGGCACTCACTTGTCGACACTGAGGTCGTCAAGCCCACACACTTTGATTGATTTCTTCGACCGATTCTGACCAACTCCGGTTCAATCTAGCCATCGAGGGGATGACCTCGCCACATCCGTCGAGCTCTAGCTTTCTGAGTAGCTGGCACCTTGGTTTGCGCGTTTAGAGCCATGGAGGCGTCATGGGCGACAGATGTCACACGCCTCCAGTTGCACGAGGCATCGCAAGACAAGAGAGTTACCCGCTGACGCAACGGGCAGACAAAAGATAGGATGCTCACTTGCTATAGCCGTGTCCAAGCAACAGCGACGACGAAGCACGATATGAAAGTCAAAATTAGGCATCTTAAAGCTACTTCTGCGTGTGCCTTTTGCTCGAAAATACTCCTTTGTAGGTCATCTAGTATGACTCCGGGTTAACTGGTCTTCAGCTCCGCATACCACCACTGAACATTTCGTTCTGCCTGCTCTCATCAGAAAGTCAGCAGTTTGTGTACGTGGTATTGCTTCAGATACTTGGTAGAAAATGCAATGGCCCGATTGTCATTCGAGATGCAGTTCTATCAAGATGGCATATGGACTTGTCAGCTTGAATTGCTTGAAAATTTCTTTCTAACGAAGCCTGGTGACCGGGAACTACGTTGATGTTATCACTGCAATAGCTATCAGGATAATCAGCAAAAAAAAAAAAAGAAATCGGAAAATGATCTGTCGCAAGTACGCTTCAACTCGAGAGTAAAAATTAGGGGTTCACTTTACTAGGACTTATTTCAGTGATATTTACGGTCTTGCTCCAGAAGATACGGTGCCTTGAAATGTGAATCGGCTTGAGGGAAATATCTCCCAGTAATCTCTCTGTCCCTGCGTACAAGATTTCGGTTGACCTACATGGCTATACACACAAATTATAGCAGCACCTTTCCGTAGCCACCGCAATACTAGCCACATAGTCAAGTACGAGGTCCAGGGAAGACTCAGATTTTTAACACGCGTTGGACGGACCGAGTCCTTAGTACAACGGACTTACCGGCATTTTGTCGCTCGCGACACCACACAGAACGATGCGTGCAGAGTGAGTCCGAGCAGTAAATCTTCTAACCAAGCATCTAGAACCGTATACACTGACAAAGCATCTTTCTTATGGATACGGCGTAAAAGAGGGTATAGAGAGGAGACCAAGGTGATATTATTAAGGATGGCGGAATTGAGCGCGGCAAGTCCCACCCAACTTTGCCGATTTAGGGTCGCGAGGTTGGTCAACAGAGCGGATGATCCGAAAACCATCTACGCCTTGTGGATCCCTTGATGCAATATAGATCGAGAAAATCTAGCCGGTTTAGAAATGGCGATAAGAAAAAGTTCTTGGTTATCTGAAATGGCTTCCGCTGAAAATCTCGTTTTTCATTTCCATTCCGCGCATTGCATCTCTGTCACTACGGACGACAGACATTTCTGCGATGGAAGAATTAGGCGAAGACATCGAAAAGCTTGACCAAACCTCAAAAAACTCTTCATCGCCTGGGACACCAACTGTGAACGCCCGAGATGCTGTCGATGAATTGCACCACGTTGAAACGGGCAAAGTTAAAGAGCACGATGGCGAGAACATACAGCTTGAGAAGACTAAGTCTCTCGCTGAAACTATGTCTTTGCCTCACGAGATAGCGTTCATTGCAATTGTATGCATGGCGCAATTTTTCACCCGTATGTTGCACCATTGCTCTCTACCAAGTCTGTCATGTATACTAACCTGTGCCTTTAGAAGCTGCCCTTGGTCAAGCGGTCTCGATCATTAACGTTATAGGCGAGTCCTTCAACATCACCAGCCCTGGCATCCTATCTTGGCTACTCGCTGGCTACTCTCTTACTGTCGGAACCTTCATTTTAATCTCCGGTCGTCTCGGCGATCTCTTCGGATACAAGCGCCTCCTTCTCATCGGCTTCTCCTGGTTTGCTCTCTGGTCCATGGTCGCCGGTCTTGCCGTCTACTCAAACTCAGTCCTCTTCATATTTGCGCGTGTCCTACAGGGCATTGGCCCCGCGATCGTGCTCCCCAATGGAGTCGCAATCTTCGGAGCCATGTATGCGCCAGGGCCAAGAAAGGCTATGGTCTTCTCCATCTTTGGTGCATGTGCGCCCAATGGCAGCGTTGCCGGTTCAGCCATGGCTGGTGTGTTTGCATTAACATGGTGGCCATGGGCATTTTGGAGCGAGGCAATCGCATTGATCTTCATCACGGTCTCCGCATATTTCGTCATACCAGAACCTCCAAAGAAGAAGGAAGCAACCACGTTAACACTATGGGAAAAGATGGAGCACATTGACCCTTTTGGGTCCGTCACTGGTGTCACCGCTCTCGTTCTTATCAATTTCGCGTGGAACCAGGCTCCGGTCGTCGGGTGGCAAGAAGCATATGTCTACATCTGCCTTATCCTTGGATTTATCTTCTTGGGTTTATTCTTCTTTGTTGAGTTTCGCATCTCAAAATATCCGCTCATCCCATTCGAAGCTTTTACTGCCGACGTGGCATATGTCCTCGGCGCCATAGTTTGCGCATGGGGCACTTTCGGCATTTGGTTCTTTTATACATGGTTATTCTTTCTGAATCTAAGGCATGCGTCGCCGCTCCTGACCACCGCATACATGTCGCCCGTCTGCCCGTCTGGAGCGATTGCAGCATTGTGTACCGGTTGGATGCTGGGACGCTTCCGCGCAGGCGTTGTGATGACGATGTCCCTTGCCGCTTTCTTGATTGGTACAATTCTCATGATGACTGCTCCAGTCGACCAAACGTACTGGGCGCAAACCTTCGTCGCCGCAATTATAACGCCTTGGGGCATGGATATGTCCTTCCCTGCGGCAACACTAATTCTCAGCAATGCAGTCAAAAAAGAACATCAGGGCATTGCCGCCAGTCTCGTAAACACGTTGGTTAACTACAGCATCTCCATAGCGCTAGGCTTTGCTGGTACAGTGGAAGTACATGTGAATCATGGCGGCCGCTCACCCGACGATCTGCTCCTGGGTTATCGTGGAGCTTGGTACATTGCCACTGGTCTTGCAAGTCTCGGACTTGCGATCAGTATACTTTTCCTGGCACGAAGTCATTGGCACGATTACAGGCAGTCAAAACAAAGTCATGTTTAGGTAGTGACTTAAAGTTTGAAGACACAAAATGGCGAGCGAAGCTTATACTTAAGTAGTACTCTTTTCTCTTCTCCAGAATTGAACACTGGAGAGAATGCAGCCCCAAAAGAGAAAAATATACATAATGCAAAGGCCTTTTGCACATTTTTCTGTAAATCTCTTGTACGATGGTTCGCATTTGTCATTCGAGAGTCCTAACATAGTCAAGACTCTGGCATATCCTGTCGGCAATTTTGCCAAACGTCTGGGCTACCATTATGTCGATTTAGTCGATCACACAGTAAAGAGTTCGCTGCCACGCCAGAGCAAAGGAGCAGATCACTGTGATACTTTAGTATCTTCTGTTTAATTTAACAAAACCAGGACTAAGTAATTCAATGGGGGTCAGCAGGAAACAGTTAAAAACCTGCCGCCCGATGGTCTTCTTGCGCGAGAGTTTTCTATCGCCACAAGATAAGAGAGCCGGAAACGATGGACTCTAGGAGTTTCTGTCGGTTTGCAACGCGAAAAGGGATGCACGTGGCGAATTTCCATTGACATCAATAGATCATGCACGCTTTATGTTGACACGTGCAACTTTGTCGAGAGCTCATTGTGACCATTGGATGCCTACACCGCCTGACTGTGCTTCAGGCAGCATACCTTGAGGCGCGCAGTTTATTCTGTCTCATTAGCAAGCCCCACCACCCCGCCTTCATCGTTGATACCATCATCACCCCCAGTCTGCGTCTTCATCTGTCAGGCATTCGCAAAATATACCTGGCACGTACACACATTCTTTTTCCGTGCCAACCGTCACATATTTCACAGGTTTACGGATGAGGAGTCAAGCACAAAATCAACTCGCGTCTCTCAATATCGTAGAATAAGCGCAAACAATGCCAAAGCGCAAAAGAACAATGTTCTCAAGTCACCAGCTCAAGCGCCGGAAGGTAACCAGATCAGGTTTGATAGAACAACCGATTGCTAGAACCTACCCGGAAAATTCCTTTTTGGGTCTCCCAGCGGAGCTACGGATTGCAATCTTCTTCCACGTCTTTCACACGGAGCCAGGAAAGGACAAAGATCTCCAAGTCCTCTTGACATGCCGCCGGTTCTACCACGACGCGTATGCCTTGGCTTATCTGGGCTGTGTCCTCAAGATCAACGGATTCGAAACCACCGATCAGATAAGTGCCAGGATGTTGTCACTGCGGAAACTATCTCCCTACTTCAGATCTAGCATCAAAACCATCCAGTTTTGGCATTACAAAGACATCGGCGCAATCCTCAGATCGGGTATTTTCCAGCCTACACGCCTCATCGACATGTGCCCCATGTATGGCATACTGTCAGACTTAATATTAAGAGTTCTCTATGACCTTGCATGTAGTAATTCGAGCTCAAAGGTGGATTATATCCTTTCATGTTGGTACATGAGGCCCGTGCCTATAATTGGACGCAGCGAAATTGAGAGTGCTCGCAACAGGATCGTCTCTGACAGTGGATGGAAGAAGAAGCTTATGCACGGCATTATGAAGCGATATGAGGAGATTCGGGTCGGAGAGATATGCGAGAGGGGAGTCCACGTGTCTCTTGGAATAGAGGCAACAAGGCTTGACGGATCGCATCTTCAGTTTCGAGTGATGACAGACGACGTGTCAGTCCTATGATTTTGATTTTCCATCTCTTTAATTCGCGCTTTTGTGATATTGCGCCCACTTGCAGGCCAATCCCAAGGGAGGTTGTACGTGTGGAGTATGTGCACCGAAAGCTTGCAAGCTGCGAGTTTGTAATCCGAGTCAAAAAAAAAACAAAAAACAAAATTGTAAAGTTAGAAGAAGAATTGAAAGGTACTTGAATGACCAAGAAATGGCGCAGATCACGTTGCTGTCTGCTGTAGATTCTTTCGAGCGCATAGTGAGCGAATCAATGCCGTCGCCTCTTTACGTGAGGTGACTGATTGTTGTCGGTAGGCTCGAAATCAACGTAGCAGGGTGACATGTAAATAGCACGCAATCGTCTTGGTTTCACCAGTTCCGTTCTCGTCAGAAGTCAAGCTCGTCGTTGAGGCGTTTCACGACCCAGTGAAAAGGTCGCATCTCCAAAATCTTGCCTGTCCGGCGGTCCACCTTTGACGTGCTGGACAGAAGTGTTGTCGATCTCTCTTTTGCCATCTTTAGGACAGTCAGATTCCACGTCGAGAGTGCCACAACATTCGTCACCGGTCTCCAGCACGTTTGGTTGTTTGGACGTTCGATTTGCTGAAGAAGCTTGCCATTTCCCCAGCACAGGTCAGGAAGTCTGGAAACCCTGGTAATTTTCCGCGTAGGGATGGGAGGACCAGGCGACGGATAGAGTGTTGACATTCGAAGCCAACGTGTTTGCCAGAACTCCCGGATCGGCATCCTCCGGCGGTTGTGCCATGTAGAGACACTACTCTCTACGGAATTGGTCGAGAACCTGCTTGAGAGAGGGCACGATCACGCGAGGAGCGCATTTGGCGTATCTATCTCAGGGTCTGGACGGTCTGGCCCTTTCTTTCGGCCTTTTTGTTTTTGGCGAGGAGCATGTAGGAAGGAAGCTTTCTTCAAGAATCGTCGTTCGATATTCATGACTGCGTTTACCTACATCTGTGAGCGCTTCTTGGCCCGACGTTCACCCGCCATCCGAGATTCGTACGGCCAGTAGCAATCGCCATCGTGCTCGACCAAGCCGGTCGAAGAATACACTTGAAGCTGCTACCATTCTGAACTCTCATCCTCATAGGCTTGTAGTGCGTGCCTCCATCTTCTCGCGCATCTACGGAGCGTAGAGAGGGAGCAGACGCGATTTTGGAACGTAAGGCTAGGCGATCAAAGTGGCACGGGACGCTGAGGACAGTGGTTAGACTCCATTCCGCACGCTTCCGTCTCGTCTTCCACGACCAGTTCGCGTTCTTCACGTCGGATGGGTTCCATCATGGACGGACATGGACAGATGGGATCCAGCTGTACTCTGAGCCGAGGCGTGAGTCGTACGAGCGCAAGAAAGATGCCATCCTCGAAGAAAACACAGGCGTCCCGAGGTGGTCGACAGAGTATTAAAGCATGCCAAGGTCACGGCGCGAGACGGACAAACGGAGATCTGGTGTGACTGGCAAGCTCAGATGGCGGGCGGCAGAAGATTACAGTGCCAAAGGGCAGGAGCCGACACCGCCATGCTGGGCGAGTCCTGAAACCGAAGCTGAAACTACTGCAAGGCTGAGTTCGGCGGCGCAGGATGGTGGGCCAGAGGTGAGGACGTGCGGCCTCGATAAGCATCAGGTGGTCGAGGAGACGGGGGCGACGCAACGGCTGGCGCGTGGCGGTGGCAAGGTCCTTACTGCTGCTCGCACCCCGGGCTAGCAGAAAAGGACCTCGTTCCTTTCCACCGAGCGACAAACGCACGAATGGATGGATCTGGACGCGCAGCAGCGTGCATTGGCTGGATCGGGGAGGGCCAAAATTACTCCGGGCCGCAAGCGGTGGTTCGATGGTCGTTCACATGCGGAACCATCGCCGGCAGCGTGCTCGCGGCGGCAGCAGGCTCAGAGACGCGGACGCCTTTGCAGCGCCCAGCGACGACTCCGTCCCATCGCCACGCCGCGCACAAAGGGCTGCCGGGCGACGGCGACGGCGACGGCGACGGCGGCCAGGCAGCGCAACAGGCCGCGTTGGCGAAATAAAGTTAAGCTCGCACGCTGGCCACGGGCCGATGCACACCGAGCCAGCGCCCCCAAGCCGCCTCGGGCTGGGCGCTGCAACGTCGCCAGCGTGGCCCGTCTGGGTAGCCAGGCCGGCGGAAGAGAAGACGCACTGCCAGGGCCAGGCAGCGCACCAGGCGGTCGACTTCACCGCAGAGACGTTGCTCGACCTTCGCCCAGAACCTGTTCGGCGCATGAGCAGCGCGGTTCTCGTCCCCTGGGCCCCAGCGTCGGCATCGCGATTTCGCGTGTTCGAATCAGGATGGCCGTCCGCGGCGCGCCAGCAGACGGCCGTGATCTGCGGCGGGAACACGCACGGCGCCCTGTGATGACGTACCGGAAACACACTTCGCGCCATGCCCGTAGCCGATCGACGAGGAGGCGCTCGAGGCGCTTGCGTCTGGTCGTTCTTGTGCGTGCGCAAGAGGCAAAGGAACCCACAATGGCCTCGTCGCTGGCGTCAGTCTTGCGTGCGGATGTCCACGGATCGCCGTCGCCGGTGGATGACCAATCTGCTCCCGTACGGTGCTGACCAGACGCCGTCCACAGGCCTCGCACCACCCCCGATCACGCGTCGACGAAACACATCACGTCCCATTCTCCACACTGGAATGCGGGATAGCTGGGGTCGTTCCACCTTGAGGCGATCGCCATGACCACCCTCCAAACAAGGGCCAGAGGAATCTCCTTTTGTGCGTGGTCCTCCGTCCCATTGGACGTCGTGCCTCACTAACGCAGAGGCGGGGGCCTCGATATTGTTGACCTTTGCAACGCCGTGCAAGGTGACCTGGGCCTTCATCTCGTTGACCCTTCCATCGCTACGCTAGAACTCCCCCAGACGAACAGGCCCTGCGCTGATGATCGTGCACATTCGGATGCACTAGCTTACCTCGCCTGTAGCTTGGAGCTGGAGCTTTGATGAATCAAATTGGTTTGCCTTGACCCGACCATTGCTCGCTCCTCCAGCACTATATATGAGACCTACCCCAACCGTGACCCGCTCTCTCCTTTCTGCTGTCCACCTCCCGAGTCTGTTCTTGTTCCCCACCGGGTACCCAAGACCCACCGTGCACGCTTCAACTCGTTCTTCAGGCACAAAGTCTACATAAGGTACACGCCATGGCGACAGACGTATGTTGTGATCCTCTCTCCCCACCCGCTCACCCAAGACATCTGGTCTCGAACGGGGTATTAACACAACCTCCCAGGATTCTCACAACGCGACAATGGCAGCCAAGGAAGGCCTGACCGATGGCCACAGCACCGGACTAGCTACGCAAGACCACGCTGCCAAACAGCGGGGGACTGGATGGGGCCCAGCAGGCGGCAACCCGCTTGCCCACGTCGCCACCAACGACAGCAGCTTGCGTCTCGCAGCCTTTGGCGGCGAGTTCCAGCCAGGTCTGTACCGTGCGCCAAAGAGGAACTTTGCCAACCCTGCCCCTCTGGGCCTGTCGGCCTTTGCGCTCACCACCTTTGTGCTGTCCTTGATCAACATGCGGACCAAGAACGTGGCTGAGCCAAACCTGGTCGTCGCCGCGGCCTACGGCTACGGCGGTCTGGTCCAGCTTCTTGCGGGAATGTGGGAGATGGCCGTCGGCAACACTTTCGGTGCCACCGCGCTGTCCTCGTACGGTGGATTCTGGATTTCCTTCGCCCTCATCCTCACCCCTGGCGGGTTCGAAATCATCGAGGCTCTTGGTGGGGCCACGAGCGATGAGTTCCTGTACTCGTTTGGCTTCTTCTTGATGGTACGTCCTCGCCCACCCCACCCGGTACCGACTGGACCACATTTGGCCGATGCTGTTGCTAACCATTCTTCTTCCGCAGGGCTGGTTCATCTTCACGTTCATTCTGCTGATGTGCACCCTTCGCTCGACCGTCGCCTTCTTCCTGCTCTTCTTCACCCTGGACTTGGCGTTCCTTATGCTGGGCATTGGCTACCTGACTCCTCAAAATGGCGCTCCACGCATCGGCTGCATCAAGGCCGGTGGTGCGTTTGGAATCCTCGCTGCCTTTTTGGCTTGGTACAACGCCTTCGCCGGTATCGCCGATTCTAGCAACAGCTTCTTCGTCGTGCCCGTGGCACACTTCCCGTGGTCCGAGAAGGGACGTGAGCGACGAAACAAGGTCAACAACGACGCCGCGCGCGCCGAGCAGATTGCGTGAAGCGCCAGGTGCTTAATGTCTAATTTTGCGGTGGGAAAGTCTTTTGTTCTGTTCAAAAAATAATACCAAACTGTTTGTGCGCAAAAATATCCTAGACCTGCTTAAACGCAAGGCAAGTTTTTTAATTCTAGCAACCAAAGCCATTGTCTTTTTTGTCTTGCCCAACATGATCTGGTTTCCTCGTCTTCCGCAAACCGCGTGCCACATTTGCCAAATTCCCACTTAGTCCGTACGCTGCTTCGTGCTTGGCATGCGAGTAAGGGCGAAAGGGAAATAAGTCTTGTGTTGGGCGATCATGGCGAACGTACCATTGCATCATGTACACCGCATCACGATTTGAGCTAGGGATGGGCTTCCCCGCAGACACGTCGTTCGAATAGAACAAAAAAAAAAAGACCGAGATCATGCGTCCATCCATCATCGAGACTTAGCTGCATCTCGCAAGCGTCGATCGTCACGAGGCGAATCTCACAAAATACTGTGCATTCCCACGATCACGAACAGGCGTGGAAATCAAACCTGTCGGGGCGGAGATTTGCTCTCACTTAGCGACGGCTCTTGACCCGCCCAGGCCCACTCGCTTTCGCCCGTCGTCATGGACCAAAAAGAAAAGGAAAAAAAAAAAAATTTTTCCGCCGTGGAAAAAATGACGATGAAAAAGGCCGTCCCCTTTTATTTCGTACGGACTCACACGTCGTCTTGCTCTTTGATCATCGAGCGTTGCGCGATCCAAGCTTTGTGGCTTGACTCGGCAGACATATGCTGGCGCAGGCACCAATGACGTTAGCTCCGGAAATGGTGCTTTTGGTTTGGAGGAGGAAAGGGGACGGATGGGCTGAGCGGGTTGCAGAAGGCCTGTTGGTCTCCGGTCAATTTATTTTTGTTTTTGTTTTTGTTTTTGTTTTTTCGTCCTCCCCGTCGCAGCTCGAGTTGGTAGCGAGTTGGATGAGCAGAGCCGTGCCAACGACGGGCGAGCCAGAACCGTTGCGGCGGGTATAAGCTTCAGGACCGTGGCCCGACAGGAGCTCTCAATGGACAGCTGTGGGATCGAGCGTCCGGCAAGGGGGGGGGGCGTTCTGGTCGAATCGGTAGTTGTACTCGGATAGTGTGCGTGGTAGGTCGACAAGGCGTCCTGGAACGATCGCTTACTCCATCTGTCCCGAAGCTGGGATGAAATGACGGCTACTACGTTGAGTTTCCCATCAGACCGAGCGGGTTTGCCAAGACAGCAGCTGATTTCATTGCTTCGTTCGCTTGCGTTTTCCTCCTTCCCTTTGAGAGATGCGTTTCAAGCCAGGACGGATGGTTGACCGTTAGTGCTCGCGACGTCTTCGCCAATGCGATCTATTTAGTTCCATCGTGGACCGACTTTTTCTTTTGGAATCCTTGTTTTTTCTCTGAAGCCATCCTCGCTTCGACTGTCTGACGTGAGAATGCATGATGGCGACATGTTGCGAGCTAAGATCTTAGCCACGGCAGTTCCCGTACCACGAGGTATCCACTTCACACTGCCTCAGTTTTTCAGTTGCTCCTGTTCGTGCCCTCGCTCTTTTTGCTGTACAATAATGAACGCAACATGGCTTAGCCCATGCCCGGATCGTGACTACTTCCAATTCGTATACTCGCCTTCTATTGCCCCTTCTATCATGATCTTTACTGCATTTCTGATTCGTCTAGTGGCATGCTGTCCAGCCTCGTCAATCCGTAGACTTAAATCCACAGCTTTTCTCTAGGCACGCTGAGGCTGGCATCTATGTTCCCGTCCGATTGGTCCGGGTATACATGCTTACTAAATGAAGTGGTGGTCATCTCGGCATCGTAATACATCGCGATTGAGTCTCATTTTGGCATCGGCGCTCATGTCGGACCGCCATGAAAATGCACATCCGGTACGATGAATTGCGGCATCTGACCCAACGAATGGTTATCCACTAAAACGAAAGAGTTCTCAGTTGCGTCAGTGTAGGATGCACCACTGAAGGACTGGAAGTGCGACTGATCAGACGGGATATGCGCGTCAAAGTTTCCGAACGGAAAGTGAGACGGGATTTGGAGATAATCGTCGTGATTAGAGTGTTCGCTAGGTGACGGTGGTCCATGGTACCTGTTCTTCAACGGAGCGAGTGATGAGATACGCCCTGACTTGGCTAGCAGCGTGAGATATTCGCGTGTAAAGTTCGCAATCCGGCGGGGCACGTCGTTGTTGTCGAGCGAGTCGAGGACGTGCAGAGCCTGGATGACAGCGTCTCGATCTTTGGAGGTCTGATGCGAGATCCCGGCTGTACGGGTTAGGCTTGTGAGCACGACGGCAAGGGCGCGAAGCATGTACGCGGAGTAATAGGACCTTGATACGGTAAGCTGCAATGAAAAGGGCAAGACCAAATCTGCTTACTCACCACGTTCGTTGAAGGTTTTGGGTTTTGTAGCCTCTAAACACTTCGCGGATGAGTTGGCACGAGGCCTCCAGACAGTTTGACGCGGCTAGAGCCACGAAGGGCTCATCTGCTGAAAATTCCTTCGCCTGGTCGACGTGGAGGAAGAAGGGGTAAAAGAGCGCAACTTTCGCGTGTAGATATCCTGGTCTAAGTCAGCACAGGCTGCAAGATGAAGGAGAAGAGCAAGAATTGAAGATAAATGAAAAGGAGGACGAGGAGCGAACTCACGGATTCTCAAAAGACACAGTTGCCATTGCACCCAGAATCTGTCTCCCGCAAGCACGGAGGCTTGGTTCTGGACTTGAGTGTCGTTGAAGCCCTGTATGTAGCTCGATGCTTGTAGCAGCGCCCGGTCAAGGTTCGCGTCGATAGTCGATGCCTTGGAGAGCATAAATGGAAGATCGCCGTTGCCGTGGTACAGATGAGTCGATATGTCTCGCATTGCCTTCGAAATCCCGTGCATGGCCGGTATAATATTGATCTCTGACCCCTGGGAGACAGGCGGTAGTTGTCGCGTGAAACACGTCTCGTCGCCCAAGCTGTCCGGGCGGCCGAGGAGGAAGCTCAGCTCTATCTCTTGCGAGTACAGGGACCACCAGACTCGGGAGATGATGGACGTGGGGCTGTCGACGGGGACCTTGGAGTCTTCTTGCTTCATCTGACGATGGCAGGCCCCCGCATGTGCGATACGAATCGCGTTGCCTAGGTAGGTGTGGGCTGTGTTGTAAGACAGGAACTGGAGATGAACTTGTGCGAGAAGAAACATGGCTTGCGCGCCCTCGAAGTCTGTTTGATATTCGACCTCGGTCATGGTCTGCTCTGCCTTGCTAATGAACATCTGCGTCCATTCGACTTGGTTCAGGCCATTGATCGGCCCGTCACGCCACGATCGCGTCGCGGCGCCTAGTGCCAGCACTCCATAGTACTGCAACCTGAAGCTCGCCCGCAGTCTGGACGTGTCTCCCCTCCACATGTCGCTGCAGCGCTTGAGGAAAAAGCCTTGATCAATCAGGGGATAAATGTAGTGCAGCCCCGTAAAGTAGGCGTCGAGAAACACGGGCGCGTACAGAGAGAAGTACTCATCGTCGCTGAAGCTCATCGACAGAAGGAGGGGCTTGTGGGCCTTGAGCATGAATGAGTCGTTTTGGAACTCGGTCACAGCCGAGATGGACCGCGCGGCAAGCGTGATGTCCGATGTGGGCGACTTGGTGATGATGTCGCTCCGCAACTGGACGAGGCGATCCAGCGCCGTGATGATGGAGGACGTCCCGTGAAACTCAAACCGCTTCGTCGCGACATTTACATCCATCACCTCGGGAAGAGACTCCAACGTCGCCGCGGGTGGCCTCGGCGGCAGAGATGCCCGCTCGCCCGCGCTGCGATCGGGCGTGGACACCGGCGACTTCATGCGTGACGACGATGCCGAGCTGACGGCTGTCGCTGACGCAGTCGTCTGCGCGCTTCCAAGATGTTCATATTGTTTCAGCTGCGCTTCGGCAGCCTCAAGTCTGCGTTCCAGCTGCTTCACGTACCTGTTTTCGTAGTCAGCCAATCGAGTCTCAGCAGAAGTGTCAATTAGGCCCTTTGAACGCGATCGACGTACGCAATGGAAATATTCGCAGTGCCCGTCTCTGGCGCAGAGCTGAAGGTGCAGTTCTGGTTGAGCCCTGGAAGACAGATCAGCACTCCCACTTTGTCGCGCTTCATCACGCGGGACGTTCGTACTTTTGCAATTGGCGCACGGCAAAGAGCCGTCGCACTTGTATTTCTTGGTTCTGCAGAAATTGCACGCTTGGATTGTTCGTGGACGGCGCTCCTTTCGTGCCTGCTTCGGCCGCTGTGTGGGCTCCATTGATCGCGCTCGGAAAAGCCGGAGAGGTAGCGAAGCCAGCGGCCGTTCAAGCAACACGGCGCGCTTATATGGTTGTATCGGTCAACTACAGCGAAAGATTCAGGAACGACGCGCCTGCATTTCGTTTGCTTTAATGGCGAAACGACACCTCTCGGTCAGGAACAGCTGTCATGTTCGAGACCAGGAGGCGGTCCAGTTACAGCTTGCGTCGCTGGAGAGGCTGATCGCACTGGGTCCTCCCGACACTTTTGAGGATGGCGACGATGATGGCGATGATGAACCTGGGCTCCCTGCCTGCGGCCTTATGCCCTGAATCGAACAAGACGCGATGGAGACGGCCGTCCGGGCACGACAGGACAGAGACACACGCGCTCCCCTCGCCGTCTTACTCGGTCGCGTTTGGCCGTGGCCGGCCGGGATTCCTCAAACCTTTTCTCGGCCCGAGCACAGCAAGCAAGCTTTGGGGAAGTCTGGAGTCGCCCGCCTCAGCCACGGTGCATTGTCGTGGTCCCATATACTCTCGGCTGGTGGTGATCCAGGGCAGTATGAGGCGAAGCAGGACGAACCTAAAAAAGAAGATTTACACAGGAACTCGACCCTGTATGGGCATTCCTCTTTTGCGGTGGCCGCGTATGCTGGGGGATTTGCTAACCGCATCGAGCCTCTCCCTGCACCCCATGAGGCGGTTGCCAAGCGTATCTTGGGCCCATTCCATTACACAATCGCCGTGGGAACTGTCATGCTCCCGGCGTCAATCTAGGGCGCGAATCTGGCATGCCTCATGCTGTCCATCTGTGCCTACGTCTATCTCCAAGCCTCGTTCGTCGCGATGGCGTGGCGCGCACAGGATTATGCCGAAGCAGCCCAGGCCGCGTTGCCCAAGGCCTGGTCGTAGGAGTTGTCCAGGCTCATGCTGGACACCGCTGTGTCGAAGACGTTGTCACAGGAGTCAGCCCTATCAACTTGAATGACAGGGACTCGCTCGTGACCGAGAACGCTGTGTCATCGCAGTGGCATCTGCTTTCTCTCAGATGGCCCCTGATTGCATTGCATAACAGCGATGAGCACCAGCAGTGGCTTTGGCTTGTAAGCAAACGGTGCATATCTGCAACGTCCAGTGCATTTGTTAAGCAAGGGGCATTCAGTGGAAGAGTTGGCCCGAGGGTGCGTGGTCACGACTCAATCATCGACATCTCTCGCTGGATAGATACCGTAGGAGAGGCGTCACCCGCACCGCCTGTTCACCCTAGCCAGAGCGTGCTGTCTCCTGATACAGACCTTGAGGCCTCTTACTTCTTCCCATATGTCCAGACGTCCCGATCAACCATCCTATCGATCAATCGCCTTCCACTTCCAACAATGACTATGCAAATTTGATGGAGAGACATAGCACCTGTTAGCGTGCCCATCTCGCAAAGATTGTTACCAGGCTCTATACATGCGCTAGCTCCAAGGACGATTTTCGAACCGTAGCTCCAGGCACTTTTTTGTCTGTACTCTCGTAGGATTCGTAAAGAAAGCTATGGATAAAGCCTTGACAGAGGCTTGGTTCATAATTGTCTTCTATTTGCTACACAGTCCCATCGACCACAGGGACTCGCACGATCGGATCTCAGGCCTGTCTTATCCTTCCGTCTTCAATTAACATGATCTTTCGAGCTTTCTGTATCTACGTTCGACTGCTTTCAAAGATAGTCAAGTCTGCGCTTCGCATGCGTACTCCGACCGTCGAGAAGCATATATCCTGTGCTTGATCCACGCCAACGGATGGTATTTTTTCGTGGACACTCCCGACAGGCTTCAGAAAAAAGAAAAAAGAACAAACAATATCTTTACAATAAGCACACCGAATTTTTGGTAGTTAATCCTGGGGTTCCACCTCTAAATGGCAAATCATGAGAAAGATACGTCGAACGCTGTTTGACTTCACATAGGCTACGTCCTATGCATCATTTGCGAAGACGTCCGTGCAAGTAGTCACACCCTTGGTCACTACTTCGAACTGTCACTACCAAATCGGCGATATTAAAGCTTGAAAGGCGAATGCTGTCGAGCTAAAGCACGCATCAAGGTAGTAAAACAACTTGTCCAATTTGAGGCTCGTTGATGCTCAGCGTCGAAGCAGACTCTACACGTGCAAAAAGTACGCGTTTTCGCCGCTTGATTAACACATGGTCTCACTATAATATGTAGTAGAGTGAGGTCGACGTAGCGCTTGAATGAGAACATTGATATTACATCGTGAAAGGTTCGCTCAACATGGCGCAGCACCAGTTCTGCGATTGTGCACTAGACAACGGGACTGTCCGTTCCAATTGCTATCTGGAAGACGTCGTGATCGAGCTCGATGCGCAGAAGTAATGTTGACGGCGATAGTGGTACAGCTTCTACAGAGTTGATGGCCTCGACCGCTGTCATGTCGCCTCAACATCGGCCGCATACTTTCCTGGCTTCTCCGCCTCCTCTGCGGCCTGCATCTTGGCTTCCTCCTCCGGTGTCCTCGTCCTCAACTGTAGCGCGTGTATCCCACCCTCGCGAGCCATCTCTTCCTTCAGCAAACCATACACCATTCTATGCCGCGCAGCCTGCATCTTCTTCTCAAACGCTTGCGACGTGACGACTACTCTAAAATGTGTCTGCGGGTTTCTCAGTTCAGGGCCCAGAAATGACAAGGCAGATTTTCAAAATACCTCCTTAGAAGTGCTGCCTTCCATTGCCTTGTGGTGAGCATGCAAGTGCGAATCATTGTAGATCTCCAGCCTAGTCGGCTGCAGAGCCTCCGTCAGCTTTGCACGGATCGTGTCTTCCACTGGTGTGCTTGAGGCCATAGTAGCGTACAGCCGACGTGATGGCGCGCGCAGGAACACGCCTCTCAGCATTTATGAATCGCAGACCCAGACGAGCACTAGTAATGAAGTTAAACTAGGGGTTTGGCAAGACGGGGAATATCATAATGATGAAAAAACGGCCCGGGGACAGCCCAAGTGGAAGGTTTTCGGCGTTTGCGACTAGCTTCCGCCGAGCTTCTAGAACAAAGGACATATTTGTGCCATTGCGTCCGTCAGAACAGCTCCTCTCGTCGATTTAGAATTAATGAGCTTTTCGGCCCAGAGTGCATTACATTTCTCCTGCTCTGTCATATGTCAATGGCATCGATAATATGACGTATACGTCCCGGGCCTATCTACCGAGCAGAAACATCCCCCTCTCGCCGTAGCTTCGGATCCCGGCATTGACAGCATCGCATCGCTACAATTCCTTGCAATCGAAGCTCACGTCGTGAGACATGCGTCGCATCGCACACGGCCTCTTTTCCTCCTTGAGACACCCAGTGCGCACACCGTACTGTTGGACAACCCTCAGATACACGCGCACTGCCAGAATGGCGTCGACACTCCCCAGACTCCCCATCTTCGAGGCTATTCGAGGACACGACGCTCAGTCTACTGCCGTAGTTCATTATCCGTCGGGGAGGAGTTTCACGTACGGCGAATTAGTTCACGATGTGGCAGACGCTGCGGAAGAGCTCAGATTGAAAGCCCAGGGGAAGACGCTGCCCGGAGAGAGAATCGCCTTTCTCGTCGAGAACGGGTACGACTATGTGGGTGCGCTCGGCTACTGCCCTCCTGCTTCGTCGACCGCACCATGCTTACATTCGTGCTTCTAGTCACGCTTCTCTCGATATTCGCAAACCATTCCATAGCCGTGCCGCTATGCACGACACATCCCGACCAGGAATTGCGGTACATCATCGACCAGAGCCAGAGCCTGATGCTGCTAAGCAGCGAGAAATTCAAGGAAAAGGCGCAGAATGTGGTCAAGGAAGGGTTGCAGGAGTCAAGTCCTTTGGTATCTGTAGAGAAAATCAAGGAGGGCAAGAAGAGTAGTGAGCAGATCACTTTGGAGACTCCTAAGAGTGAAGATGGCGGAATGATGCTGTACACAAGTGGGACTACAAGCCGGCCAGTACGTTGCGGAATTAATAGTCTCAGACTGGAAGTGCTGACAGAGCGACAGAAAGGCGTGCTACTTCCTACGGCGACACTGACCGCTCAGTGCTCATCTCTCCTGCAAGCGTGGAACTACTCGCCGCAAGATCGACTCTTGCACGTCCTTCCCTTGCACCACATTCATGGTACGGTAAATGCATTGCTCACACCTCTTCTCGCCGGCTCGACAATAGAGTTCATGTTCCCGTTCAACGCCCAAAACGTATGGGAACGCTTCGCCTCGCCCTTTCTCTCGGCTTCATCGCTGCCCGAGAATCTCAAAGAAAAGATCACCTTTTTCACTGTCGTGCCAACGATATACAACCGGCTGCTGCAGACCTATGACTCCCTTGCTGAGGAGACAAAGTTGGCTGTCCGAGAAGCGACTAACCCGAAAAACCTGAGGCTGAACATCTCCGGCTCGGCTGCCCTACCAACGCCCACTAAGCAGGCCTGGTTCGATCTAACCGGCGGCAATGTCCTTCTTGAACGCTATGGCATGACGGAGGTCGGCATGGCTCTTTCATGTGGTCTTTCCTTTGCCGATCGTGTCGACGGTTCAGTTGGCTGGCCCTTGCCAGGTGTCGAAGCCAGACTCGTCGATACAGAAACCGACAAAGTCATCGAAATTGGACAGGAAATCGACGCAGAAGGCAAGGAGAGGCACGGTGAGATACAACTACGCGGACCGGGCATATTCAAAGAATATTGGCGAAACCCGGACGCGACGGCCAAAGAATTCGTGGAGGGCGAGGACGGGAAAGGCAAGTGGTTCAAGACGGGAGATGTCGCTGTTCGAAGAATCGTCGAAGGAGCAGGAAAGTCAGACCAGGAGTGGGCAAAGGGGCCAATGTACTTCATCCAGGGTCGAAAATCTGCCGACATCATCAAGACCGGTGGCGAGAAGGTATCCGCGCTGGAAGTGGAAAGAGAAATGCTTGCCTTGCCCGAGATCAGCGAATGTGCGGTCGTAGCGCTGCCAAGTGATGCTTGGGGACAAAAGGTTGCTGCAGTGGTCGTGCTGAGCGAGAAGGGAAAGACTGGAGGACGGGGTGGCAAGCCATGGGGACCAATGGACCTAAGAAGAGCCTTACGAGATGTCCTAGCAAATTACAAGATCCCGCAGGACATGAAGGTCGTGGAGAGCATACCGAGAAACGCCATGGGTAAAAGTAAGTGCTCATCAGCTTCTTTTTGGGAATATTTCGGAGGAGCTTCACTAACGTGGGTAATAGTAAATAAGAAGGAATTGGTAAAGACGGTATTCCCAGATGCGTAGATTATGAACCTGCCCCAATTGTACATATTCAGCATGCATAAGACGGAGTGGAGGTCGCATGTGCCCAATAGACATTCGAAACATCGATCATATTCTGCATACCCAAGCTGCTATCCCGACGCATCACAAGAGCTTCCTCAACTGAAATCGGTTCAAGGATGTGCTGCAGCATTACAGTAATGCTGTTTTCGTTTCAGCGAAGTCGTCCGCAAATCGTACCTGTGAACGACTAGACACACACGACTCAGTGCTCTGAATAACAACCACTAAAAAGAGCCTCTGCTAACGCTCTGGCAGTTTTCTTTTACTGATGCTCATCCGACATCATCGGGGCGGCCTGAACGCGAAGGGAATTCTGAGTGAGGACCCGAACTGGTAGCGGAAATGGAGTGGAAATACGCGAATTACGTACAACATGCGGGGTTCGATAAAGAGCAATCATGTCGCTTATTCCACCTACTCACCTGCTCCAAAGATCTGATCCGTACTTTGAGCCGCGCCTAGTCTATTTTCGCCATTCTTGCAAGCTCCCTTGCTGCGCATGCATCTCCAGGCGTTCCTTGGAACAATCCACCCAGATCTTTTGCCCTCTGGCGTATCATCACGGCCTCATCGTTTTCGCCGACCACCTTCAAAAAGGCAGCGCTTAGTTCGTCGGCAGTCCAGTCTGGCGCGCTGGCTTTGTTACCCCAGACACCTACGCCTAAGTATTCTACCCGCGTGGCATAATCGTATAAATCGACCCACTTGGGAAGAACTACCTGCGCGATACCGTTCCTGTGAATATTAGTCCACATACTGAGCTCTTGTCTGACGCTACGACTCACCCGATGGCTTCGTGATAGCAGTTCGCGCCACCGTGGTGAACGGACGCAATGATGTTTCCGGTCTTCATCATCGCGGCAGGATCGATCTGGATCCATTTCTCCAAGCGTAGCCTCGAGCCGAGCATATCCTTCAGAGGTCCGAGAAAGTCATCGCTGAAATCCGCGGTGTAGTTCTGGTATTTCCGCCGTTTGAATTTCCAGAGGACCTGAACATTGGTCGCGCCTAAGAGAATCTCAATGGCTTTCGCCATTTGTACGGCACTCTCCTCGTCGTAGTCGGTCGTACTGCCAAGGTTAATGAGGACTGTGGGAGCTTGGGCTAGCCAAGAAGCCAGCTCCGGATCTTGCCCCGCTGCTGGAGCTGTATCTAAGTAAATCGGGCCGCATGCTTTGACGTTTTCGGGAACGATTGAGATAGGAAAGTCTGCTTCTAGTGCAGACTGACATATCCACGTCATTTGATCGTTGTACACGGAGAAAAAATCAGCCGGATTTGAGAGACCTCTCTCCTTCAGGTACTTCTTCTTCGCTGCAAGATCGGGCGTGGCCAAAACACTGTATATGAAGCGGAGATTCATAAAAATATTTGCTGGGATTAGAGACCAAGGGACTGGATAAGGGAATCCCGATCCCATACTGCCGATGTGCCCTCTTGTCAGCGAGATTCTTCAATCATACCTTCGCATGGCTACTCACGCTGGGTATTTCCAGAACATGCTTCCCCATGGTTGATACTGCGCAAAGCTATCACGCAAAGAATTTGGGGAGATGACGGCGTGCCTCCGCCTCCTCTCCTTAGTGGCGTCAAATGCAGGTCCGAACTGTGGATCAAGAACGACCAGTGCAGGATCGACATCATCTATTATGCGCAAGACTTGTTCGTACAGATTGAGATATTCAGACCCATTCCATGGCATGAGATACATCTGCATGTTTCGACATAACTGGGCACCTCCGACAACACCGGGAGGGTGAATCGCCTGATCGATGAAGTGGCCTTGCGCATTCAGGGCATCGCCATATGTTGGACCATATATCGTGTGGAAAGTTATTGAGCCAGCATCTGGGAATTGTTCACGAGCGAACTTTGAAATTTTGAGAGCGTCTGCCTGGCGTTGCGGGAAGGACGCAAAGTGAACTTGGATGTCATTGTGATGGACCAGCAAGGCATGGCTCGTGGCTAACAGCACATTTGCTAGGCCATATTCGTAGTTGGACAGGAGCAGTATAGTGTTGTTTATACCTCTTGGACCATGTCCAGCTACTTCATGGTCCCGCTTTGAGAGGCTGAGAGAAAGAAGAACAGCGATGCAAGCAAGAACGCCTGCGAAAAGGTATGGCTTCCGCCCAAACATTGGTCAAGTGAAATGGAACGAAAGAGATGATGGAATCCGGTCGCATCAGACAAAAGAAAACAGAAAAATATTAAATACGGTAATTCCCGTTCATTTTTCTTTGATTGGAGCTAAAACCTGACAACAGCAACCTATTCCATTTTTGGAAATTCGTGAGTGGTCACCCCTTTGCTGACAAGACGAAAAGGTCAGACCGTGCAGAGTCGTTATTCAGTCTACGTTGTCTTATCTTATCGAGATAAGGACGACTCCGTAGAAAGTGGCAGGTTTCGAGTTCGTCGAACTGCTTTGATTTACCAAAAGGAACGTCTCTGTCGACCACTGCTTCTTTTCTTACTTTGCTGTGGCAGGTGAACTCAGGGCGGCCTGATTAAGATGGGACATCGGCTGCTAAAGCTTGGCCAAAAGAAATACTTTGCGAGGTTCACTCATCCATGCAAGAAATCCAGGTCATAAAAAAACAGGTTGTTCTGAATGTGTTTCAATTTTGGTAAATTTCGGCCTCCCTTCAGCTCAGATCTCCACAAATTTGTTTCTCCCAACCCGCTACAGCGGAGCACTCTGTACACTTTCTCCAACTATTTGAATTCATTCGCCTAGCACTGTCTCTTCTGGAGCAAGTCGAATAGCTCAGATCGCTTCACTGGCACCAACTCGTACTTGGCATAGCAACTAGAGATGGAGCATGAGGATGAGAGTCAATCAATGAAAGAATGATCTGCTTACGCCATATACTTATCCAGCATTCTTTTATCGAGCTCAGCCAGATCAGCGGCACTTAAAAGCCAAATTAGTGATAAAAAAGTCGGACCTAAGGCTGAATAGAAAAATCCACTTACTCCGCCTCAGGATCTCGAGAGACCAGGAGATTGCTATGGGCAGGAGCAGCCGTCGCGATGGCTGATGTCATGAACACAAGAGCAACGAGTGAGGAGATTAGACGCATATCTGCTTTGTTGGGTTGGTGTTTATGGAAGCCAGGTCACAAAATGTCGAGGAAGAAAAATATTTCCAAACGAGTATGTTGAAATGGTCGCGAGGATGAAGAATTGATTAACGGCTTCGAGTTCGAGCGGCCTTTTATACTTGTTCTCAGTCATACTGTGTTCTTCCCAGCGAAGCTTTGCTAGAGATCGCGGAATATTCCTCATGTTGAAATTTCCACAAGTTTCTTGGAGCACTCGTTGATGAGATGAGTACGGACTGGAAGGGGGCGAAATTTGGACCAGTAGCATATTGTCTTCCAAGATCTAGGCCACCAACAGTGGTATGTGTATCTGGTGTCTCATTGGTTTTGCTGCCTTCGCAGAGATGCTTTTCATCTCCTTCTGTGTCAAAGCAGCCTCGTGAGTTTATTTTCATCGCTTTGGGTCCGCGGTTTTTTCCGAGCAGGAAAAGGGGCTATGTAGTGTGCGTCTTTGTTGCAGATATACTATCGTTAAACGGATTGGGCGATTTGGTGTCGCACCGAGGCGGTCGATACGAGATGTGAGATGGACCTCTGTTGTGGTTGGTCAGCCGTATGACCGGAAAGTCCTGTACTGCCTCCACCAAAACCTTGCATCTTCAACAATGCTCTGCATCTGCTGCTTAACTCGATGCTACTGGAAGGGTGGGTTAGGCTCAAACTCCACACGAGAAGGAGCAAGCGAAGGAGATGGTGGGTTAAAAAAAGTGCTTGTTCAAAGTGGAATTCGGGTTCAATATATCCCCAGACCGGCGTCGATTTTTGAAAGTGTAGCTATCACTCTCACTAACCCTTGTGTTTCGTCCTGTTATTTGAGTGAAATTCTCGAAATTTTGTGCAGTAGAATATGTTCAGCACCCAAGAGCCTCGATATCTTCCTCTAAATAACGACCGTGAGAGTTTAGAGGCACAGAAACCCGTGTCATGGCTTGGTTATAATGTAAGCCTGGAAAATAGGATGCTGAACTTTTCAATCAGATCCGTGGCTCTTCTCACCCTCCTTATTTCGATCTTTTTCAGCTCTCTTGGATTTTGGGTGTCGAGGCGTGTACCATGGGGCATGAATTCGCTTTGCACGAAACGAACGTCGAAGTTTTGTTAGCGTTTCCTGCCTCTCTTTGAACTAAAGATAAATCGCTGACTATTTCTGCAGCCCCAATTCTGCGGGACATGGATTTGAGGTATAAAGAGGTACAGTTTGATGGGAGGTTTGTGAAGGAGAACGTGTATCGAAAGATGGCACCATCACCAGAGACGGACGAGGCCTGGGACAAACTAGGAATAGGCTGTACGTATATCTTCATCACATCTGGTCCGCCTGACATCTGTTGCTAATATGACTTAGATAATCAGGTCCGACTACCTGAAGCTTTGGCAGTGAAGGCTGGTATAACCAGAAACCACACCCGTATAAAGGCGAAATACGGCGGAGGCTACCCTGTGTTTGTAGAGGGACTGCATCAACTACATTGCCTCGTGGGTGCTTTCTTTGCTTGTGTCAAAGTCTGTCTTCTTAACTGTTTGCTCAGAATCTTGTCCGGAAATCTCTGTGGTATAATTATGAGCATTATCACGGTGCTCACGAAGTCGAGTTCTCAGATTCAGATAAGGTTATTTATTGGCACGTCTGTACGTAGCCCCGATTCATTCACCGCTGCCTTTGCTGACTGCGTTCTAGCACACTGTCTTGACATCATTCGCCAACGTCTGATGTGCACCATGGACACCAGTGTGTTTGGTTCAGTATGGGTGGACCGGAATGATCCTCGGCCATTCACAGATTTCAACACAAAGCATGTCTGTAGAGACTTTGAACAGATTAGAGAATGGGCAGAAGACCATCAGCTCGGAGATGATACTCCTGAGGACTTCCTGGAACTTCCCGGCGAGGATGTGTACGTATGGGACGTAGCGCCTTGAGTAGAATGAGCGGCAATGTTTTACTGGGAAAAGGAAATAGAGTCTAGACGAAGCAGATTTATACGTTTCAGCAAAATGAATTTCAGCAAGACTTTTTCGCCTTTCTCGCTTTGCGCACTTCCAGAGCCGACCATCTCCTCATCCCAAGACCCAAGTTTCGTCATGTCTTCATCTGAGCTCTGCTAAACTATGGTGAATGGAATGTGTGGATTTGTTCGGACTCGGCCTTGAGTCTTTGAAGAAGGGCCGAGACCGAAGTACGGAGCTAGAAACGTGCGACTTTTGGAGCTAACGAAGTGCTGCGGTCTCACGGCTTTAACTCGGATGTGCTCGCAAAAGCCTTGCATAAGCTACTGATCATATTCTCTCTTCTCGTATGCTCCCGGAAAGAGTCGTAAAGAACACCGACTGTACGGCTGGTTCATTCCGTCATTATATTGGTTATTTGGTTTGAAGAGACTTGGCGAGATGACGATATCAACTTAGGCTGTGTGCCCCAAGGTTTACATAACCGACGCTGACTGTCTTCTGTGGCTGAATAAGCATAAATTGGGCGCTGCTTACTCACCCCGGCCATGCAGGTGAAAGGTAGATTGATTCAACGACGACAAGCATTTTCAGCAGAAATAAAGACTAGTTCTGGACGTTGACGCCCTGGGAACCCTGGGGAGAAATTGTGCAAACCACGGAACAATAACTTATCAAACTCAGCTGAAGAGATACAGTTATAAGCTAGGCTCAGCCTCATATACGATTTCAGCTCGGAGGGTTTTGCACACTGCATTAGTGGCTCAATGGCTCCTGTAAATAAAGAAACGGACCTTAAGAAAGGCGAGGATGGGACCGATGTAAACAAGAAGGCACCGCTGATCAAACGTATTCGAGACTACAAGCTTTATCCACGAGCGCACGAGGCAAACATATCCGTACGCGATCCGTCCATCAGAACTTCACGAGTTGCGTTGCTTCGGGCAGCAGCTAAGAACTTTGTCATCCTGCAGACTTTGTTCTTTGCCCTGTTTTGTTACATATTCGGTGGATTGTACAGGCAAAACAGCCTTACCAAGAATCTCAATGTAGTCTTTGTGGACTACGATGGGGGCGTCATTGGCGAGGCAGTGCGCTCCGCGTACGGGCAGCTGCAAGGCGGAAGTTTTCCAACGCTACAGGAGAAATTGCCGGCAGAGTATCCAGATCCTTCAGCATTGAGAGAAGAAGTGTGCCGAATCAGGTCCTGGGGCGCTTTGTACATCAGACCTGGATCGTCCGACGCTGTCCAGAAAGCTCTTGCTGGCGGCCCTGAGTATGATCACGAGGATATCATGGCATACGTCTGGAATGAAGCTCGCTACAGCGCCATAGCTGACAGCGGCGTGTCCGCAAACATGCAACTCCTTTCCAACACAGCTCGTTCTGCGTTTGCTGCGCAGACGAATTGGACCAGCATCATTCGCAGCCCAAGCGAGAACACATACGCTACATTTGCGAGTCCGTGGACGTTGGTGAGCGACAATATTCAGCCGACCACGCAGGGAACGCGCCTTGTGTACAACACGCTCGTTGTCATCCTGCTCATGATCCAGGAGTTCTTCTACCTTGGGACCTTGAATCAGCTCTACGACATATTCAAGATTTACAGAAGCCTAAACCCGCATCGCATAATCGTCTTCCGTAACTTGATTTCCTTATCATACTGCTTCATCGGCTCGCTTAGTGTAACGGGTGCCATTTGGATCTTCAAAACTGGCTGGCATGTCAACGGCAACCAGTTTGTACTCACGTGGATGGTGCTCTGGCTGTTTGCTCACCTGAATTTCCTGACGCTAGACGTTTTTACCGTGTGGTTGCCACCACCATTTGTGCCAATGGCTTTGATCACGTGGCTAATGTTCAACGTGACGTCCATCCTCGTGCCATTTGAGCTTATGTCGGACTTTTACCTATGGTCTTACGTAAGTCGTTTTGCAACCGTAAAGTGTCTTCAGAATCGATGCTAACATAGATACAACAGGTCATGCCCGCCCATGAAGTATATAACACGTTGGTTGATATATGGTCCTCGGGCTGCAATCCCGTGCTTCGCTATTCTCTTCCTATCCTGTTTGCGATAGAAATCTCCTCCTTTATCTTGTCCGCCCTGGGAATCCACCGACGCTGTCACTACGCTATTGTAGCTGCAGAGGCGGAACAGCGCGCGGCGAACGATCGCCTCGAGGCCGCGCTCGCGTTTGATCGAAAGAAGCGTCGTGAAGAAAAGGAGAAACTTGTTCACGCTGCCACTACCCTCACTTCTGGGCAAAGGGGTGTAAATGGCGATATAGTAGAGGATATTGGGCGGACAAGCGGCGAAATTAAGGCAGCGGCCGCTGAGGATGCCGAAGATCGTGAAGAGCTGTCCAGTCTGTTCAGCGATGATCGGAAGAGGCTGGCTGCGATTCCAAACTACGGCTTTGGACCGAGCTTCGGATTTGGGCTGACTTCTGGAAACATAGGCAAGGAAGAGGATGGTGGAGAGCTTCAAAGGCGCAGGACTTTCGCCGGATTGGGTTCAAGAAGGAGAGCTTCCATAGTGTGAAGGATGTTTGGAGGAGACCAAGCCAAAAACAGCAAAACATAGTGTATTAAATCCTATGAGTAATTTAGCGTTCTGCTTCCATTTCGAACGACCAAATTAAAAGGGGTTTTTATGCAGCATATTGGCGCTGTTCATGTACATGTTCATCTCAAGGTCCCCAACCGTGTTCCCCGAGCGAGGCGTCCTCAGTCCATATGTCGATTGCAGGATATCGAAAAAACCACTCTGCACTATTCCAAGCAATACAGAACATTCACCATCCAATACCTAGCCTATGCTCCAACTTCTGTAGTCACAACTCCTCTCTCGCCTCGCCCTCGTCCGCGGAGTCGGCAGCAGCTGGCTCCTCCTTGGGCACGCCCGCAATGGAGACGAGCTCCGTTTCAAAAATGAGCACTGAATTGGCCGGAATTGGACCCATGGATCTGCTACCGTACGCCCACTCAGGCTGGATGGTCAGCTTGCGCTTCTCGCCGGGGCACATGTCCAGCAGGCCTTCATCCCAGCCCTTGATGACCTGACCCTTTCCGACAGTGAAAGACAGCGGTGTGCCACGCTTATATGATGCGTCGAATTCAGTGCCTGTTCATGTTTGTCAGTAGGCTGTCCTGACGTCACATCTCAAGTGGGGTGTTTTGGACGCTCTACGAACCATCAGATTCCAAGGTGCCTCGGTAGTGGACATCAATCTTGTCCCCACGCTGTGTCTTGCGTTTACACGCGACCTCTTCGGTGACCTCAATATTCAGTGGCTTGTCGAGGGCAAAGGCGAAGGAGGCGAAGAGTAGCGACGCAGCTGCGAAAAGCGATGAGGAGCGCATGATTACTGTGATTGGCTGTGGTATGGGGCGTCAATGTTTCAATCGGATGCTCAGCAGGTCCTTCTTGAGAGGATAAGCTTATCAGGTTGAGACTTTTGATAGTTGTTGTTCTGCTGGAAGTAGGTGGTGATGGTCTGGGAAACGTTGGCACCAATTCGTCAGCTCTGGGTTGAGCTCCTGTGGCTGGTCAGGGACGTCTCTCAGCCGCCCCCACTAAACCTAGCGCCCGCACCAGCCACGCTGGTTGGGGGGCCTCCGCCTGGCCACGGGGCCTGGTCGCATGTCAAGCATCACGCTCAGCTTTATGAGCCTCATACCGCTCTCATATTCCGGACGTGAGATACACGTTGCCTTTCCGCTTCCTTACCCGCCTATCGAACCATGACCAAGAATATTCGCAAAGCCAAATCCATGGGCGCAATGCGCCGCTCCAGCCTTGGAGAGGTCAAGACCTTACAAGAGGTGTGCTCAGCACTCACCCACATCGGTCGACCGTACGGGCGCCAGCAGTCGTCCCTGCAGCCTGAAGCAGAGCGAGCGAAACCAGATGATCCATACCCGCAGAATCCTAAGCGTGTTGCATTCAAGGAGCTTGGCGCCATGGCACAAGAAGCCATACGCGACTCCATATTGGCGCTTCCTTCGGTGCCAACTCACACGCCTACTTCAGGGACACGCGCTGCGGTCTCCAAGCGGAGCGAAATACCAGGCTACAGGCCGTATCGATTCTCAAAGGACCCAGCTGCCTACACTCAGCCGTTTTGCGATTTCTTGACCGAGAACCCGACTGTCTTCCACGCCGTCTCCGCCGTTGCTGCCGAGTGTACCGCCGCGGGCTACACACAACTGTCCGAGCGCTCTGAATGGAACCTGGTGCCAGGCGGGAAGTACATCGTTACGCGTAATGGCAGCAGTCTCATTGCTTTCACCGTAGGCGACGATTACAAGCCCGGCAACGGAATGGCCATGCTAGCAGGTCATGTGGACGTACTCACGGCAAGATTAAAGCCGATACCAAAGCTGAGAACAAAAGCAGGATATGTACAGCTCGGTGTGGCCCCATATGCAGGCGCGCTGAACAGCACCTGGTGGGATCGTGATCTCGGCATCGGCGGAAGGGTGCTTGTCAGGCACGCCTCGGGCAAGGTTGAATCGAAGCTGGTCAGTCTACCCTGGCCGATAGCGAGGATACCGACCCTGGCGCCTCATTTTGGTGCTGCTGCAAATGGTCCATTCAACAAGGAAACGCAGATGGTACCTATCATTGGGCTTGACAACAGTGATCTGAGTGACTTCTCCAAGTCAAGTTCAGATGACCCCTCTTTTGATTCATCATCGTGTCTAGGGGGTGCAGGTTCCTTTACCGCTACGCAACCAGAGCGTCTTGTAAAAGCGATCGCAAACGAGATCGGCGTGGCCGACTACTCCCAAATTATCAATTGGGAGCTGGAGCTCTTCGATATACAGCCCGCGCAAACAGGTGGCCTGGACCGCGAGTTTATCTTTGCTGGCCGCATCGACGATAGACTGTGCTCTTGGGCTGCCGTACAAGCCCTCCTCAATACGGATACCAAGGGCAGCGGTATAATAAAACTCGTGGGCCTCTTTGACGACGAGGAAGTTGGTTCATTACTTCGCCAGGGCGCTCGCGGCAATTTTCTACCAATGACCATTGAGCGCATCGTTGAAACGTTCGCCTTCTCAAACGTGAGCAACACACTTGCTCGTACATATGCAAACTCTTTCCTTGTTTCCTCAGACGTCATCCACGCCGTCAACCCGAACTTCCTTGGCGCCTACTTAGAGAACCATTCACCCCGCCTCAACGTTGGCGTGGCAGTCACGGCAGACTCCAACGCGCATATGACGACGGATTCCGTTTCGACTGCAATCTTCCAGGCCTGCGCGGACAAGGCAGGTCAGAAACTGCAGGTGTTCCAAATCCGGAACGACAGTCGAAGCGGCGGAACTGTCGGGCCCATGCTGAGTTCTGCGATGGGCGTGCGGGCCATCGACGCCGGAATCGTCCAACTAAGTATGCATAGCATTCGCGCAACTACCGGCTCTCTGGATCCCGGACTTGGTGTGATCATGTTCCAGGCATTTCTGGAGCACTTTGAGAGTGTCGACAAAGATTTTTCAGCATTTTAGCTGCGTTGCAAGTAATGCTTTCTTATATACCAATGCTCGAAGCGGTTTTAGCGGCTATCCGAGTGTATTATGTGATGACATGCTCGTCTTCTTTCTGTGTATTTTCGTGGCGTTTGGGCTTGATTAGGACTGGAGCACTACTCTTGTAACCTGGTAGATATCTAGATAGTTCTGAACGCTAAACTTGCCCTTTCATAACAGTCCCTTGATTTGCAAGTAAGCGGAGAGTCGCAATGAGTACATTAATCCTGGTACCATCATGTATTGCATCATGGGCACCCTTCTGTTGTATACGCGGAATTCCTCGTCACACTTTTGATTGATGAAAAGTTAGGCCCACGATTTAAGCTTGCGTCGGGGGCTACAACAAAGTGCTTTTGCATCTCCATCTTGTCTCGAATGTCCTTGCAGAAGTGTCCTATCCAGCATGGCCATCCTGCGGTGGTCGTCGTCAAGAGTCGTGTCCTCAAAACAGCCTACCACACTCGAAACCCCGCAAAATGACTATGATATTTTCTAGGCACTGAGTTATCTCCCTACATGGCACTCCTAGACGCCCAAAGGCCCCTGCAAGTTGTGAGCATAATTCCACTCGCGAACGATAACCGAAGCCTTTGCAACGACTCCCCGATTGGGACAACGCTGGTGGGCACAAGCCAAGTGCCGCGGAGTGCCTCAGCTACTTGGGGAAAAGGTTTTATTGAAGAGATAGTCTTCGCGCAGAAACGCTTTTCAAATGGGAGGGACTGAGTTTGAAGCTCTTGTTTTTGGTACATAAACTAGCGTCAACGTAGCTGAATTCTTCTGACTTATATCTTGGAACTGATTAGTTGGGACATTGAAGAAATATGCACACTTTGTGATCAATGAAGTTTAAGAAATAAGAAAAAGGGCCTAGGGATGAAGAATTGACAGAACTTTAGCTCCGCTCACAGCTAGCATACATACGAGAATGACATGTGCCATAAGGCTTTGAAACAAATTCAATCTCTTTTCCTGTCATTTTTCACTCTAGTATACAGCGCCGAGGTAGAGCGCCGAGAGTACGCTTGCGATGACGACAGTCCAGCCAGTTTGTTGAACCTTCTTGTTCGTGATCATCTTTCCGAGGTCCCACGTCAGATGCCTCAACCCGTTCAGACTGTGGAATGTGAAAGGTAGAGCCAAAGTCGTCTTCAGCAGAACCTTCGCGGCGACCGGCCACGCGGCAACTGAGGCAGCGACCACAGCACTTTCGAGGTGCCAGCCCATCGCGGGGGCGATTAGATAGCCGATGCCATAGAGGTAGAACAACCCAGAGAGCGCCACGCCCGTCACACGGTTGGCGGCCGAGGGTATCCAAGTTATCTGCCAGCGGTAGATGGAGAGGTGAGGGGAAACTGGTCGGCGCAGACGTTGTTTCGCAAGAATCTCGCCGGCGGCTTCTTTGGACACGTTCTGCGACGTCACTTCTCTAAGGGCGAACTTTTAGCCATCTGAAGCTCCTCGACACCGATCGGAGCATGGAGAAATGCGACTGTGGCGTAGATACCTTCTCTGCAAGAATCGCGTGCTTGTGGCCACCGCCGCGGGCGATGCGAAGGTGACGACACTGCTCGGGCGCTGGTTAACCACTGTGCTTGACATTAGCATGTCTTCCGCGTCATTGAAACATAGGCTGCAGCATACGCCGTCTGGTCGAGCTCTGTAACACTCTTTGGGCGAACATTGTTGATCAATTGCAGATGATGTAGCTCCAGAATGGACGTTGCCAAAGCAGCCCGCCAGACGTTGTGGAGGACGAGCGGAATCCCGAGGGCCGATCCGGGTACATGATCACGTGAAATGCTCTTAGCCAATCACCGCTGGGACATTACAGTCGGTCTTGTCAAGAGAGCTATTAGGCGCACCACCGAGAAATTCAACATAAGTTCATGTCGTGGATTGAAGTCTCTTGAGAAGAAAGTCGAAGAAGAGGGTTGAGAAGATGAAGAGAGAATTTGCACGACGATAGGCATAGGGTTCTAAATAAGAGCCTGAAGAGATCGATAAGTTACCAGGATAGCTTATGCAAAGATAGATCCTGCGAAATCATGAAGCCTTCTCTGTAGCAACTCGGCACATTCGTCCAACACATGATGATTCTATTCCAGCAATGGATCATTAAACAGAACCACGTTCTTCAATTCGTTCGCTTACCGTTGATCGTTCGCTGTTTCCAGCTGCTCCGGGTTCTTCAGAAGTTGGCCAAGGAATCGTCGAACATATCCAATCCGGCTTCTTCGTCTTCTGCTCAACGCTGCATTCCCATGCGCGAGCACCACCAGAAATGGGAATCGCATTCAACGAATATGCAGCATCTCCACCTCGTCGCCTGCGTCTGTTTCGTGAATGTGTATCCGGGCCGGAGCACGACTCGTCAACATGACGAAACTTGGCCATAAAGCCCGGTCTGATCCTCGCTATCAAGCCTCTTGCATCAGGCAACGACGCAGCAGTAAGGCCTAAGCAAAGTTCTACGGCAATAAAAGTGCTGACTTGACTACCGAACCATCTCTTTCCTGTAGAATCGTTGTAGCGATAGTTCATAATGATAAATGGGATCTGCAGCAATGCGAAGAAACATGCTATGATGCCGATCCCAAAAATGAACACCAGCGCAAGCCGCTGCTCAAGCTTTAACTTCTTGAGTCCCCAGACGTAGGGCAGAGGGAGAACGTATATCGCGGCATTAATTGCAGCATCGCCAATCGCGCCGCTATATGTGAAAGGGGGGGCGTCCGCACATCGGGGATTATGGTACTTTTCCAAATCTCCTCGGTACAAATCTGTGATGTCGTCGCAGTACACGGCAAGCACGACGCACAGCTGCAGACATTGTGCAAGACTGAACATAAGGAGGATCCACGAATAGAACCGTAGTCGAGAAAGCGTTCGCGGAAACAAGCGCAGATAGTACAGCAGCACACCCGTCCTTATGAAGAAAGCACTCAGAGCGTAAAAGAGACGTCGCTCGAAATAGTGAGTGTAATACGGCACTTGAAAGGCATGATCAGGGCCTTTTCTGCTTGCCCACCCGCTCTGGGACGAAAGTGAGGCCACCACTGCTCGCGCTATTGCGAAGAGTAGACCGAGGATGATGCTCAAATCATCCAGAGCGAGCTTCTTGTGGAGGGATATGCGCGCATAGATGCGTAAAGCGACCGCAAGGGATGCGATGAACGCGAGCAGAGCTTGTACTACAACGAGACCTACGTTTGCTGACTTCCAACTGCGACTTGGAAAAAGGTCATCTGCGGCCATAGCGAGCTCGAGAAGGGTTTGGTGAGATATATCATGTCGTCCGCGACATCCTCAAATAGGGACGGGAAGGGGGACTAGCAGCGAAGGAGACGAAAAGACCAGATATCATGAACGAAAGTCAGGACACAGGAAAGGCCTAAAATATGAGGAGTCCTATTAAGCTGAACAGCTGCGGTCGAAGCACGCTTGAAAATAATCCATTTTCGCAACCAATAAAGAAGAAATAAGTTTATTTTTCTCAGTCTAGGCTAGCCGCCATGGCGCATACTGACCATTATGTCGAGGCCGATTGATTCTTCGACTGGTGAAAGGGCGCTGGGTATATGTGAGAAGTCGACATTGTTCTCCGTTTGAGGACATGCGACTGTGAGGGATCAAAAGATCTCAATCACGTGCCACACTTCTCAGCCGCGCATCATGCTATAATAGGTCTAGCGGATGAAAATGGATCACGCTATACCATAAAAAGTATAGCTCTTCAGGCCGCGGAACGGGTCATGCCGCTGCCGTCATCGCTGTTCAGCCATCTCGTCCGCTTCGCGTCAAAGTCTTCTTGTCTTCTTCGTCGCTGCGTCCACTGCAAGGCGGACCGAAAATGCTGTGCTCGCTCGGAATTGTACGTGCAGGAAGGCCGTCTGCGAGACTGGCCGCAGCGGCAGCAAGGCGAGGAACAGCAGCAGCAGCCTACTTTTCAACTTCGCGCATCAGAATGTCGAACAGGTTGAGGATAGGTTTCGTGCCTGAGCACTTTTCGGTCAGTAGTTCGCCTCGTCTCGATGGCGCTGCCTAGGCGCTTTTTCCATCGCTTTGGTCGACTCGCTTGCGTACCTCGCCTTCGTCAATGGCAGAAATCTGACATGGCAAGCGTGCAGACACCCCTCCACTTTGCTCAAACTCGCTTCGGCCTCGATGCAGATCTCATAGAATACAAGTCTGGAACCGGTCATATGGTACAATCTTTCAAGTCTAACGATATAGATGTCGGAATTGGTCTCACCGAAGGTTGGGTTGCTGGACTTGGCAAGGAACAGGTCTCAAGTTCGCAGTCTCCTCTGCCGTACAGGATCGTGGGAACCTACGTCTCCACACCTTTGTGCTGGGCTATATCTACTGGATCCAAACGGTCGGAAATAAGTAGTGTTGACGATCTCAATGGGAAGAAAATTGGCGTGAGCAGAATAGGCAGTGGCAGCTATGTCATGGGCTTCGTTCTTGCAGACCAAGAAGGCTGGTTAAGTGACAAGGACGGCGAGCCCTTTGAAGAGTTTGTAGTGCTGAATGACTTCAAACAGCTAAGAGAAGGTGTGAACGCTGGTAAAGTTGATTTTTTCATGTGGGAGCACTTCACCTCGAAGCGTTATTACGACAACGGCGAGATCAAACGCATAGGCGAAATCTACACTCCATGGAGTAGTTGGAAGATTGTCGCATCTCCATCTGTAACGTCGTCGCAACTTGACCGACTGTTTGAAAGCGTGAACAAGGGCATCAAACACTTTAACGAACATCCGGACGAGGCCGTGCAGTATATAAGCACAAGTCTGGACTACTCGAGAGAGGACGCCACCGCTTGGCTGGATACCGTCAAGTTCCCCAACGATGTTACAGGCGTGGATGAGTCCGTGATTGGCAAGACGGTCGACATCCTAAGCAAAGCCGGGGTTCTTGACGCGAGCAAAGTGAACGCGAGGGATATGGTCGCTATATCAAGAAAGTAGTAAATGCATGCGTATCGTCTTTGTTAGGGAAAACCTTTATGAAGAGGCGAATTCTGACATGTCAACCTGGCCAAGCCGCCGAGGTGGAATAGCTACTATCACGCATTCGCAGCGACAGTCTTCTTTCCTCCGCTACTGATCAGATCCAGGAATCCCTTCTTACTCATCTCACTGACCTTTTCCTCCCTATTTCCTATGCCCACGACTCCATCCCGAACGGCTCCTCGTCGAGCCTCTTCTGCTCTCTTCTGCGCCTCCCTCACGGCGTTGAACAGCTTCACTACACCCCTCTGCGCTGTTTTTCTCAACTTCGCCTCCCTCTCCATGATCTTTTGCGTGCTCTCTTCTTCATTCTCCAGTCCCAGCACATCGCGCACCCTGCCCTTTTCCAAAGCCTTCTTTCTATCTGCCCTCAGCTTCTGCCGCACTTTGAGGTCGAGCTTTGACTCCGAAAGTGCCTTCGAGGTGGCCGCTGCGGATGCGCTCCGACTCAGAACGGGGTCAGAGCGTTTTTCCTTTGTAAGTTTCGAAGAGAGAATCTTGGAGATGGACGTTGCAAAGGCCGTGGGGTCGTTTCTCTTTTTCCGTTTCGTGCCGCCTTCTGTAACTGCGGTAGACGTCTCAGATATTTCAGATTCGGAAGAGGCACCAGTTATATCTGATTCTGCGCCATTTGATGCTTCCTCATCGCCGTCCTCGCCTTCGTCTTGAGACGTGTCATTGTCCTCATCCGCTACGTACTTCGGTGTATGTCTAGACGTGGAAGTTTGTGCATCTTCCTCATCTGAATCCTGCAGATTTACCGCCTGAAAATCCGTGGCCCCTTCATCCTCCTCGTCCGAGCTACTATGATACTCAGTCTGCTTCTTGAATTTGCGCAATTTTTTGGCCGGTCGTTCTCTTCTCGTGCGATCTTCGGCCCTTGGGCGCTTCAATATTGAGGATGCCATTCGATCTGTATAGATAGAATGAGCTGCGTGTGCTGCCGGCGAATTGGACTGGCTTTGAATCTTGTCCTACTGCAGCTGATTTTTTTTTGTCTTGGGATTGATGAAATCAGGAGCGGAGCGGAGCAGAAAGCGCCCGCAATTCTTGGCGTGTGGATTGTCCCCGCGGTGACATATTCCACACCAACACCTCTTGACATATCTCACCTCCCTACGACCTGAATTTTCCCCGCTTTCATTCTCATATAGTCCGCTGCCATGGTTCTTTCGGATTTAGGGCGTAAAATAAACGCCGCCGTCGCCGATCTCACGCGTTCACCTAATCTCGATGAAAAGGCCTTTGACCATATGATCAAGGAAATATGCAACGCGCTTGTCCAGGCAGACGTCGCCGTAAGGCTTGTCACATCTTTGCGGAAGTCGATAAAGGCTACCGTAAATTTTAAAGAGCTCGCACCGGGCGTCAACAAGAAGCGGATCATTCAAAAGGCAGTGTTCGATGAGCTGGTGAAGTTGGTGGACCCGCACAATGAGCCTTACAAGCCCAAAAAAGGAAGACCAAACGTGATTATGTTTGTTGGACTTCAGGGTGCTGGCAAAACGACAACATGTACCAAGCTGGCAAGGTGGTACGCTGCGAGAGGATTTAAAAGTTGTCTCGTTTGCGCCGATACGTTTCGAGCTGGTGCATTCGACCAGCTGAAGCAAAATGCAACAAAGGCCAAGATACCATACTACGGCTCGTTAACTCAGACGGATCCGGTACAGGTTGCAAGGGATGGTGTTGAAAAGTTCAAGAAGGAGCGCTTTGAGATCATCATTGTGGATACGTCTGGACGACATCGGCAAGAAAAGGATCTATTTGACGAAATGGTGCAAATCCAAAACGCTGTCAAGCCGGATCAAACCATCATGGTGCTTGACGCCTCAATTGGTCAAGCTGCAGAGCAACAGTCCCGGGCCTTCAAAGAGACGGCCGATTTTGGTGCTATTATCATTACCAAGACGGACGGTGCAGCAAGCGGTGGTGGAGCTATATCTGCTGTTGCAGCTACACATACGCCCATCGTATTCATTGGCACAGGCGAGCACATGACCGACCTTGAACGATTCTCTCCACAACCCTTCGTTTCTAAATTGCTTGGTATGGGCGACATGCAAGGGCTGGTAGATATGGTTCAATCACTCAAGTTGGATCAAAAGGACACCATGAAACACATTGCCGAAGGAGTCTTCACCGTGCGGGACTTGAGAGACCAGATTGGGAATATCATGAAAATGGGCCCCCTGTCCAAGATGGCAGGTATGATCCCTGGATTATCCAACATGATGGGTGGCATGGACGATGAGGAAGGCTCAATGAAGTTGAAACGTATGATTTACATCTGCGACTCGATGACGGAAAAGGAGCTGGACTCAAACGGTCAAATATTCATTGATCAACCTTCCCGAATGGTACGCGTGGCTCGCGGTTCGGGTACCAGTGTGCGCGAAGTCGAAGATCTGTTGACACAGCACAAGGTAATGGCCAACATGGCTAAGAAGATGAAGGGAAACATGGCGAACATGGAGAAGGCTAAGGGAGTCATGCAAGGCAAGAACAATAAGCAGCAACTGGAGGCTGCGCAAAAGCGATTACAGTCAATGGGCGGTGCTGCTGGACTGGGTGGACTACCAGGCGGCGCGGATCTGGCCAACATGATGAAGATGTTTCAGGGCGCTGGGGGCGCACCTGGAGGTGGGCTGCCTGCTGGCGGATTCCCGGGTATGGGTGGTGGGATGCCAGATATCGGCAGTTTGATGAAAATGATGGGACAGATGGGCGGTGGGGCCGGCGGGCAAGGAAGGGGAAGAAGATGAGCAGCGCAGCGAGAGAGATGGAGAAGGTGGAACAGGACGTACTTACAAACAGAAAATTTTCCCGCCCTCGAGATGGGCCATGAAGATTCCATGTGCTCGCTAGCGCGCTATGCGCTCCAAGGAAGCATTTGGCGCCAAGCCGGATACAACATACAGCTTCGGGAGAGATGGAAATCAAGGTGTGTATCGATGGATGTCTGCAAGACTACGAGACTCCTCAATCACCTGAAGCACTGGCACGTTGGATGTGGCAACAATACTTTAAGAAATTCAACGTGTCTGGACAATATTCATATGCTCTATATCGAGTAAATCAAATCGACTGCCACAACGATAAAGAAGATTCGTTGTATATAATAATTCCGAGCCTGTTCAAGCTCCTTCTTTAACACGCTAAAACGCTTCATATGCCGAGCTAATTCGTATGGCCATGCGAACGGCAAATGAACTACGGATATTAGCTAGCGCCAATTCGTCTGGAAACAGTCATGCACTTGACAAACAGCGAGGCTGAAAGCCATGTGCAAGAAATGGTTGGTACTCGTCGAGCATGCGAGTTTTGTGCCGCGTCATCAACGGCGATCTAATATTACCCCAGTGCAACCACATTCAGGCCACCTCTCCGCAAAAACCCTGTCAAGCTGACTCCTTGTCACAACGCAGGAAGCCAGAGATGTCCACATGCAATGGAAAACCCACGTGTAAGAACGCCGCCCGTGATGCAATGCTAGCTACAATCAAACAGAAATATGACCCATGCAGGGAAAAAATGGTGAGGTGAAAAAAAAAATCAGGAGCTTCGAATTCGACACTATCGATCCGCAGGTTGAGGATGAGGTGACGTATTTGTGGCCCTTGTCTTTCTCTTGAGCTCCACGCTCGAATACCACGCAGCACCCCCGAGGGCGAGCAACATGCCCGTTCCGTTGACGGTGTCGACACGCACGTTGAAAAGGACTATGCCGAACAGGACTGTCAGGCACTGCTTTACGTTCCCGCACACGGTCATTGTGAGAGCGCCAGCGACCTTGTTCGTCTGAAAGCTCGACACGTTTAGCATGAAAGCCAAGATACCGTTTCCCACGAGCGCGAGGGCGGCGCCTCTCGTGAAGTTCCCTGCATCGACCCATTCCTTGAAGGTGGGTATTTCGCCGCTTAGGGCTGAGATGGCGAGCGACTGGATTGCCGCAAGAGGCGACATGCGAGCCAGGAGCTCCAACGCGGGCAGGCTCAAGCTTCCCGTCATGAGTCTGTTGGTGGACACCGTCTTGACAGCCGCAAGTACGGCTCCTGAAAGCGTGCACCAGAATCCTAAAGCGGTGAAGTAGTAGTCACCGTAGGTAGTGAGTGCCACACCCGTGATCAGCGGGATTAGACTCAGGTATGTGCTCGTGGCGTAAGTGCGAGAATACATGAGGCGATAAATGATGATGGTGAAGACCGGAGTGGTGGACCTCATGATTTGGTGGAAAGGCACGGAGACCATTGCAAGCGAGACGTTCGACATGGCGATGTTGATCGTAAACAGAGCAGAGAAAGCGACGAGGATGAATTGCTCGCTGCGGTTGAGTTCGGTGGGTGTGAAGTGCCCACGATGCTGGAGGATAGAACAGCCGAGGGCCGCAAAACTTGAGTGGATGCAAGTGAGCAGCCACGGAAATCGAAACTATACCAGGACTATCAGTTTCTAGCAGGACCAGAATGTCGATTTTGTCTGAGAGCACTCACGGGTCCCAGCAGAGCCTTGTTATACAGAGTAAGACTGAGGTTGAGAAGGAAATACCCGGCAAGATAGACAATCTTCGTTTTCATGTTTGTTCGGTACTCCACCGCCAGCGGTGGCGCTGATGAGGCTGCGTCTGGCCTGAAGAATTTCTGTGCTTCGAGATCCTGCATGTTGTTCTCGTGCTCGGACTTTTCAGAGCTCTCGGTGTCGTCCATCTTGTCAGTAAGCAAAGGCTCCTCCAGAGGGATCTCATTAGGTGACATTCCCGGCTGGCCAGGTTTAAACGAGAAGAACGACAGAATGTTCATACTCAGAACGTCGTCTGCTATTAAGAAATTATCCAAGGGCGAGATGCTGAAGTCAATTGCCGCTGCTCCTCCAATTCAGAAAGTCGTGACGATAGATAGTTTCGATAAGATGCGGATTGATATCTCCGATGCTTTCTGTATAGGATGGCAAGGTTGTATAAGATCTTATCGTATGAATAAAGTTGCTGATAAGATTCGGGGACGAGCTGACCCACGCATATCAGATTGCAAATCTGAACAACAAAAGCAACTGATTTTTCTAATGGATCATGGAAAACTTGTGCCAAGAAGTCGCGTGCCTCTGCAAAGATGAAAACAACAACGATTCCCGGTACACTTGGCGATGAGGGGAGTCGTTATGCAGCTTTTCCTTCCGTGGGGTTAGAAATGAACGAACTGTACAGGCGAAATAAAATAAATTGGAAGAGGGAAAGAGACATGGGCAATGAAGGCTCAAGATTACGAAGTAGAACTTGGTCGTGCGACAGGCGATATTCTATACAAGAACAGGCTGGGGCGCCACCGTGTACCGTAATCACTTGGCAACGCGTCCATCAAGGCTCTGCTGATCAGGATATGCCCCATCCAGAAGCCGATGACGGTACAAGTCCAGGGATTTTGGCAGAGCACAGTGCCCTGTTGACGACTCTGACCAGGCTTCTAAGGGAAGTCAGGAGGGCCAGTGGGTCAGGGACGCATACGCATAAATCAAGATGCCAATGCTGAGCGGAGCGAATCAGACCTTCGCGGGCCATCAAAGTGCCTAGATAAAAAAGCTGGGCATCGCCTTCGAAGCCGGCACTCCGGAATACCATCAAACCGTGGCCACGCCAAGGTCGTTGTTGAAGGGCGACGAACGTGTGAACAAAAGTTATCGCGACACTTCGAAGGCCGCTGCCACGCCGCCCTTGTAGCCGACCTCGCAAGCGTCGGTCGCTTCACAACAGTCGTCGTCAGCAGATCAGTGTCGCCGTGAAAGATAGGGATGCAGAAAGCCGCTCGAACAGGATAGGCGTCCGCTTTGGATGACGCGCTTGGCGCCTGCTGCTGATCCTTCTCATCAACCAGCAATCAAGCCACGGGCTTGCGCTTGTGCCTGGTGGGTCTCTATGATTCGCCCATTCGGTGGACCAGGGGGGCGATGGGTCTCGGGAGTGCAACGGAGCGAGTAAATCGTTCAGTCCCGCCCACGAGGCAACTGGCGATACTGAGCTGTGGATGGATGACGAGCAGAGAAAGACTGGTCAGTGTCTCGCCTTTGCAAGCAGATGGCGGAGCTGGATGGTCGTTCGCGCGACTTCGGGGCGCACAACAACAGCGAGAGGAGGTTTATATACTCGTCCAAGCACAACCACTTACTCAAGACCCGCCGTGATCTTCCTTTTCCTTCGAAGTGTCGCCTGCTCCCGTCCCCATCCGTGGCTTTCGCAGACCAGGGACTAACTCTGAATGTACGTTCGCCTCAGCTCAACCGTCGGCCCCATTAAAACGTCGCATAGATTACCTCAATGGGGGGGCGTGACTGACAGTAGCTAGCAATAGTGTTGGCATACGTAAATCGTCATTCCTTGAAAACTCTCTGTGCCTTCGTGATCCCTGTTGCGGCTCGCTAGGCTGAGGTGCCCAGAAACTATTAAATCCGGCGTCTGCTCTATCCGACAAGGGTCAAAGCCAACGCTGAAAGTGTTGGCTTTGCTGGAGTTGGAATATCTCCGTCAAGGAAATCATGGAACAAGAAACAAGAAAATCGAGCTGGAACGTGAGGAAGATTTGTTGTATAGGTGCTGGCTATGTGGTACGTTACTTCTCGCCCCAAAGGTTGCCCGTCGTCTGTCCGCTAACCGTTATTCTTTCTATTCTCTAGGGCGGACCGACATGTGCTGTTATTGCAGCCAAAAACCCACACATCCAAGTCACAGTTGTCGACTTGAGCCAGACCAGAATTGACGCATGGAAGTCGGACAATCTTCCAATCTACGAGCCTGGCCTTCATGAGATAGTCACGAACGCACGAGACGGCGACGACGCTGGCCGTCAGCCTAACCTGTTTTTCTCTACCAATATAGAGACAGCTATCGCCGAGGCTGATCTGATATTTGTTGCTGTCAACACGCCAACGAAAGGCACCGGAACGGGTGCAGGCCGTGCATATGAGCTGGGATGGTTCGAGTCAGCAATCCGCAAGGTCGCTGAGGTGGCGACGAGTGACAAGATTATCGTTGAGAAAAGCACGGTGCCAGTAAGAACGGCCGACAACGTCCGGGACGTCCTTTCGGCCATTGCACGACCAGGCGTGCATTTCGAGATCTTGTCTAATCCCGAGTTTCTTGCCGAGGGAACAGCAATCCGCGACCTGCTGTCGCCAGATCGCATTCTGATCGGCTCCTTGCAGACGCAGAGCGGCATTGAGGCCGCCGAGGCTCTCGCCAACATTTACGGCGCTTGGGTCCCTCGCCAGCGCATCATCACACTCAACACATGGTCTTCTGAGCTCTCCAAGCTCGCCGCCAATTGCTTGCTCGCGCAGCGGATCAGCAGCATCAACAGCCTGAGCGCACTGTGCGAGGCAACCGGTGCCGACATCGACGAGATTTCGTACGCGTGCGGACTGGATTCGCGAATCGGATCCAAGATGCTCAAAGCGTCCGTTGGATTTGGCGGTTCGTGCTTCAAGAAGGATGTCCTCTGCCTGGTCTACATAGCCGAGTCGCTGCATCTTCCCGAGGTGGCCGGATACTGGAAGGGTGTGGTGGACATTAACGAATACCAAAAGGACCGATTCACAAAGCGAATTACTAGCCGTCTGTTCAACAGCTTGACGAACAAAAAGATAGCAATCTTGGGTTTCGCGTACAAAAAGAACACGGCCGACACGCGCGAAAGTGCCGCGATCACGGTCATGACTAATTTGGCTGCCGAAGGTGCGAAGCTCAGCATCTACGATCCCAAGGTCAAAGATGACCAGATCTACCAGGACCTCGAGTTGGCGTGCACATCTACTCAGGAGTACTGGCAGCTAAGGCCAAACGTGACCGTCTGCTCAGATGTGTATGCCGCATGCGAAGGTGCACACGCCGTCGTCGTGTTGACAGAGTGGGACGAATTTAGCAACAAACCGAGTGCAGGCTACAATGGTCCAAGACTGGACTGGTCGCGCGTGTCGCGCTCAATGCAAAGACCTATGTTCGTCTTCGATGGTCGCAACATCATAGACGCGACCGCGCTTGAAGAGCTCGGTTTTCGGGTAGAATGCATCGGAAAGCCTGGTTTTGCGGGTGTTAGCAGCGCACATCCGAGTCCGATCATGGCTCCCAAGAGAAGCCAGTCTCCTCCAGAGTTCAAGAGGGTCAACACCGCAAGCAGCACAAGCTGGAGCACGCCACGGTGGGCGGGGAGCAGTGATGATGGTTCGCGAAGCAGCAGACGAGGAAGTGAAGGGGCGAGCAGTGGGAGCGGTGGACTCTTGTAAAAGTAGAGTATTTTGATACCCTTTCATTTATCTCTCGCTAAAGGGAGACGCCGAAGGTGCGAGCTTGAACGCAAAGCGGGCTGCACGTAGAGAAGACGTGCAGAGACACATTTTACAGCTTTATTTAGGACGCAGTCGATATTTAATGATGCGATCAATCAATTTAGAGGCCAAAATGTGAAAGTTGGAAACATGCAACTTCCTTCTGGTACTGTCCTGTGTCTTTCCTGGGCGGATGGGATCCACTATAAGTAGCTCATGCGAGCACACTGATGAGCGTCGTAGAATACCGACTCATGATGGCGGTTATTCGCGTAAGCCGCGCATGCCGATATTCTATGTGCTCTCTGCGGCCTAGAGAATATCGTCCCCGATTTCCAGGAAGCCATGATGTATCCAGTCTACTGGGCACCGATTAGTACTACATTACGACGATTATTTCGATGCAGGTCCGTCTCATCGAGCTGTGCAGTTAGTGCTGGGCAACGTCCCAGTTGCATGTGAGATTAAAGAAAGGAGAAGATGAAAGAATAAAATCTCGACGGTGACTTCTGGGCAGCAGACCACTCACCGAAACTCTTCTCCACATCAAACCAAGCTTTTGTGATCAGTCCTTCAGCCAGGCACGCCTCTTCTCCTCCTTTTTCGCTCTCCTCTTGTCATTGAACGCCTTGATCTGCTCCTTTGTCAACTTCCGGTTGCGTCGCTCCTCTTTTAAGCTGCGTCCATCGTGGCTATTTGCGGCAGCGTCCACATCGAAGATGGCGCGCATTTGCCGCCTCGCCTTTTCTGCATCACTGTGCCTCTCAGGACCCAGGTCGGCGGCTTGCCATTTGCCAGTAAAGCGGTTGAAGCTGCCGGCCTGAGCGTACAGCTGGCTCGGGTCGGTGATCGTCGGGGCTTCGTAGTCGATATCGTCGTCAGGGTCTTTGTTGGCGAGGGCGTAGTCTGCGTTAGGGTCGTAGTCCCCGTGTATCGCGGGGTTGTAGCCTCCTGCAGCGCCTGTCGACCTGGTCGCTGCGGATGAGGATGCTGCGGTCGCGTCGCTGGCCGGCCCTGTCGCTATCGAAGCCGTAGCTTCGGGCACGCGTGGGTTCTCCCACTGTGACTTGCCAGTAAAACGATTGTAAAAGTACCATGCTTGCTTCGAATCATCCCACACTGGCTGCCAGCCGTCGTCCTCGGGGGTCGGTTCGTTGGGCAGCGGAGGCGGTTCTTCGTCTGGCAGTGGAGGCGCGTTTTCGTCTGAAGATCCAGCCGGCTTCTCAGAGGGCGGCGCGTTGCCCTCGTGGATCTCGCCGTCCTCTGACTCTGCCGGCACTGTGCTTGGCTTGGGCTCGTTTTCAGACGTGGCGTCCTCGGCCATGGAATGGACCAGCAAAGAATGCTAAGCGCTAATCGATACCGTCGTAAGTACGATGTCGGCAAAGCGATGCTGCTATAATGTAAGGGAGCAGGGAGTGAGGATGGCGGGCGACGGGAGCGACAGTCGACGAAGGGCGAAGAAGGATTGAGGAACGATTGATGAGTTTATATGTCTTGGTGACGACCAAAGGCTGCGATTTGCTTCATCCTCGGCCGGTTTTGCCTAGTCCGAATGCAGAAGGCGATCCACACGTCAACGAAGGTAAGTCGAGCCACAACACAACTTGCACGTGCAACACGGCAAACCCTCACCTTAGCCACGGGCTCACATCCCTCCGCTTGAATTTCGCTTGTTCCTCTGCCCTTCCCAGGCCCACCGAATCTCCTCATGAACGTGTCGCGGCGTCAGAAGCAGCGCAAGGTGCTGCTCATGGGCAAGAGCGGTGCCGGGAAGTCGTCGATGCGAGCCGTGGTCTTCAGCAATTACGTCGCCAAAGATGTTCGCCGTCTGGGTGCCACGATCGACGTCGAGCACAGCAACATCAAGTTCATGGGAAATCTCATGTTGAACCTCTGGGACTGTGGTGGGTACGTGTAGTCCGATTCACCTCGCGAAAGACCGTTGGTGTACATGACTGTGTCCAACATCAAGATCGCGGCTCAGAAGCCATGTGATGGCGCTTCTTACGAACCTCTCAAAAAAGCTTTTGATCTTGTCTCTCTTTGTACTTAGTCTGCTCACCATGGTGCTTGATTTAGACAGGATGGCTTTGTCGAAAACTACCTCAACAGCCAACGTTCGCATGTCTTTGGCTCCGTCGCCGTTCTTATATTCGTATTCGACATCGAATCTCGTGAGTTTATGGCGGATGTTGCCTCGTACCAGAACATCATCATGGCTCTCGAGGAATTCTCACCCCAAGCCAAGGTATTTTGTCTCATTCACAAGATGGATCTGGTCCAGAACCGTATGCGTGCCGAGCTGTTTGAGCAACGGTGCAGTGTCGTGCGAGAATCTTCACGCCGCTTCGCGGACGGGATCGAGTTCTATGCAACGAGCATCTGGGATCAAAGCTTGTACAAGGCTTGGACGCAGATCATCTATTATCTTGTTCCCAACGCGAACCAAATTGAAATGATGCTCCAGCGGCTTGCAGAGCTGATCGATGCGAAAGAGATGATCCTGTATGAACGTGTCACATGTCTTATGGTAACGAGGGTCACGCGCAGCGAGACTGAGAATCCGTACACAGACCGTTTCGAGCGCATCAGCTCCATCCTGAAGACACACAAGCAATCCATGGCGTACGTCCTCCACCAAGGTTTTTCCGCTGACAAGCTTTCGGCCGTACTGACGAAGCTCTGCAACAGAAAACACACTGGTATTCCTGCTGGCAGTGCCAACTTTGCTGAGCTGCAGATCAAAGCATCTGGCTTCATGTTCTTTATCACAAGGCTGACGGAGAACACGAATCTCGCCGGTGTACTCCCGCCGCACGAAGGTCTCTTCAACACCGCGCGCTTGAACATCACGCTCGCTCGGCCGAAATTTGCGGAGCTGGATGTAGGTGTGACAAAAAGATCGACTGCACAAGCTGTTACCGCGCCACCACCGGAGCCGTCGAGGCATGCGTCGGAAGAGCACATGGCGCGATAGTCATAGTATCACACAGCTTTGTAAGTGCAAGGCAGGACGATTAATGACGACACGCGGATACCACTGTACTACTACTACTTTTTTTTTCTAACGAGGAAAGAATACGAAATTGAAGTAGACACGGACGTTTGAGAACCCTTAAGCTGCCGACGAGGACGCTTCAGCTTTGCTGCAGTCTTTACACCATTTCCAATAGAAACGTAAGGTGCATTATGTGACCTAGAAGCTCAGGGGTCGTGCGAGACGAGCAAGCTGTTATGTGTACCGCCGTTCATGGGTCATGGCTCAGCGGAGTTGACCATCTCACCCATTGAGTTGCGGCATGATCGATGTGCAATACTAGAGCTTTGCTTCAGCCTAGCTACATGTATATATATACTTACACACACATATATATATACATGAAGCGAAGCCCGGCGACTTGTCACTTTGTGAGGGGACGTTCGTTGATTAAATGCATAAGCCTCACTGCATCCGTAGCCGAACAAATCGGAATTTAAATCCTTGGTTTGTCGACGATGCCAGCACATGACTCCAGCGAGTCCAACCACCAGCCATGACGCAGTCCCCTGGACGGCTCGTGTTTCGCATACACGAAGAAGCTTGATCCAGGCTCGTCTTTTGCAACAGACTTCAGGTGATGACACTCCTTTTCTGCGATAATCCTGCAGTGCTTGGACAGCGCAGTGTTATTCGTTACGGATTCTTACCATAGTCGAGCATAAAATGGTGGTAAATAGGGCAAGCAGGCGATCTCCATTGCTACCCCGTTGGCACAATCCGAAGATCCCGAGAAAAAGCATGATCCTGCATCCATGGTATAGCGACCAACGGCAGCCATCCAGGCAGTTTGATGCGTTGAATCCCTCGTGCGCAGCAAGAGAATCAATGATGCAAAAACGAAACGAGGATACTGTTCTCCGCTGCATGTACTAAAACAATAAAATTCGTTGAATATCAGGTGAATGTTTCTATTCGTACTGAGTCAGTTGGCCTCCGACAACTAAGATAATCTCCGCAAGGTACGGGCCTTTTCTTCCTGAAGCTAGCAATGCAAGAAACTTTCTCAATCTAGCGCTCAGCTTTTTGACAAGTGCCACCCCAACCCTAGCGACGACTGCTGGTTCTGATACACGAGACGAGCTTCTGCAGTTGTTTGCGTGGTGAATTCCACGCGGTCATGCAAGGCGAGGCATGGCTTTCCTTGCTTGTTAAGCCTTGACGTCTGCCCAGGGGACATAACCCGAAGCAGCAGGGTCTCCAGCTCATCACAAAGGTCTGTCCACGCGCGGTGTTTCTGCTGCACAGCCAATGCTTCGTTGCCATCAAGCTGTAGGGGAATCAGCGATCAGGCCGTGTTCGGAGAGCTGGTCGGAAAACACGAGTGAGCCGTTCAACTGTGCAGCTTCCAGCAAGGTCTTCTCGTCAAGCTGAGAGCTGGAAGCAGAGGTACACCATGGATTGATGGCCTAAGGTCTAAGGCGCGTGCGAAGAGCACGAGTTGCTACCGCTAGGCCAAGATCGAAATACAGTTCAATCTCAGTGTGGCTGGTGAAAAGGTCATCAATAATACACAACAACGGGAGGTTACAGTCGAGGTAAACGCATTGACAAGCTCATTACAGAGACTATACCAATACAGGTAGCGACTCCTAGATCCACAAAGGAGACTGTGGATCCGTGTAGGCATCCTCGGCTTACCCATGGCGATCTGCGATGGGGCATCCAAGGTCGCCGTCCAGGTTTCCTGCTTTTTTTCATCAGCGAAGAACACCGTTTTCTGAATGTCTTTATCTGCGGGTTCCGGGATGCCGGGGACATCGGCAGGCTTGTTCGTTCGCCAACCTCATTCTGGAGACTCCACTGCTGCAACTACGAGTCAAGACGAGCTGCAACGCGACCAATCAGTGTCCAGTCCTGGAAAGCCCTCTACCTACCACCGTAAGTTGTGATACGTGAAGCCCGCGAGAAGCGCGTGTGGTGGCAATTCTGGAAAGTCGATTTGCCCCCACAACGAACGCTCGTGCGCCACACTCAAAATCCTACGGTATGTTCGAAGATGGTGGATGGTTTTCCATTGGCCTTGAATGTGCTGAACAGCTCTCTCTCTCCTCTCTCTCAAGATTGTGAGCCAGACACACTCTGAAGACCTCGACTTTTGCCCTTTCCACAACGTAGCAAATTCTCGTTTCTCTGGCCATGTCAGGTACGCCTTCCAGCTCCACATTACTCGCGTGGAAGACTGCAAGTCCAGTCCAAAAAGAGGCGCGCCACCCGGGGTTGTTCATCTCTTCTTGGATGGGTCTAGGTTTCCGACATCCTTGTCGACGAAATGGTCAGTCCGTCAAAGGCATGGGAATTGTTCCAACACAAGTGCCAACCACAGCTCGTTGCTTCGCCGGAGCCGCTAGACACAGATTGGTCAGGCGCAAGATGACAGCAGCCAGTAGAATGCTCGGACTTTAAAGAAGACCTGATTCGAGAACAGGATGTCATCGTGAGGAACGAACCCGGCGCTGTGGTAACCCCATGTTTCTGAAACCCTAGATCCGAATGAATCTTTTGTGTTGCCTGTACAAACTATACCTCGCCGGCTCGAAACAATAGAACTGTCGTCGCGATTCTTAGTCCCTTCTGTACAAGCGACCGCTTGATGGATGCAACGCACCCAGGATCAAGGCGATCGTCGGGTGGGCCTCTGCAAAAATTCGAGGTTTGGACCACTTTAACAGGAGTTTGCCATAGGATCCCCCAGACCACGACTCGTGGGTGTGTTGCACGTCTAGATAGCCCATGTCGTTCCAATCGACGTTCGCTTGACGATTTCCTTTATCTTCTCCTCCCAAGCTTTCAGTCTGAAAACATCTTTCGACGCATCCACGCTGATTCCGTTTTTCTGCAGTCGATCCCAGATCAAATTCAAAATGTGTACAACATTGCACTAAGCTCCTCAAGCCCACGAATCCGCTTGCTACGGGCGCCAGAACTCCAAGACGATGGGGTGGACGCCATTACCGCCGTTGAGCGTCCTTCTGTCCTGGCCGGCCAAGTCAGACAACCCTCCAACGCGAGGTCCAGAGCAATACATCGTCACTGGCATATTTGGCTCCATAGCCGTTGCAGCTGTCTCAGCTCGTTTCTACACTCGTATTTTTGTGCGTCGCTACTTCGGTATCGATGATTATTTGATGGTGCTTGCCGTCGTAAGAACCACCGGGCTGCGGCCGGAGATTTATTTTGCAGACTAACCTCTAGCTAGTTATGCGCCATTGCCGTTGAAGTTTGCATCACCATAGGCAAGGCAAAATACCAATGGGATAGACATCTCTGGGATTGGAATATGGATTTCTCAAGAGGTATCTAGCATTTATTTCGATTTGCCACCGTCCTTGTTCAGCAATCAACTAACACCATTTCAGGTTCTCTGATTGTGCTCTATCTGGCACGCATTTTCTGGGGAGTGTGCACTTGTTGCGTGCGTCTGTCGATATTGTGTCTCTACTACAGGCTCCTGCGGCGCCTGGGTGCTCGGAAGCATCATTTCTGGATTCTGCACTTCGTTACCGCCATCACGGTCTTATTTTTGATCGACATGATTGTCGGAGGTGCGATTCCCTGCCTGTAAGTTGCTTGCACTTCGAGGGCCAGCTGATCACGATACTGACGGATTTAGACCCGTACGTGCGTATTGGGACTACTCAGAAATGATTTTGAAAGGTGAAAAGTTCTACTGCATCAATGACTACCGGGGAATGCAGTTTGCAGCCGTCTTCAACACCGTGTGTGAGATAGTCATTGCCGTTCTACCCGCCATCGCCGTCTTCCGGTTCAAGGTCGACCCCAAACAAAGATGGAGCGTCATTGGTCTACTCTCACTCGGCTACCTGGTGGCGATCGCAGGCACTCTTCGCTCATATTACCTCTGGAAAGCTGCTGAGACATATGATCTAACATGGTGGGCTTCGCCACAGTGGTGTTGCGCGGAAGTTGAGGTGGACCTTGCCATTACTTGCGCATGCGCTGCACCGCTACGTCCTCCAATTACTCGATTGATCCGGCGGCTCAAAGGTATTCCGGAGATAGTGTCATCCATAGGGGGAAGACGAACGCCACATGGAAAGGACGACCGCTCCATCTTGTCGACTACGGCGCTGTCTGGACAGCATGACATGGACAAGTTTGAGGGCGTTGCAGTAATAGCAGAGGAAGACCGCAACGCCTGGGTTCGGCAAATGTCGCGTACAATTGACTTAGAGGGTATCGCTGTCGACGGGTTCGGTTACACCGTGACGATCCAAGGTCCAGAGCAGCCTCCTAGACGGAAATTATCGCGATACGTCAAAAATACAGTTGGAGCTCTTGGCTCGACCACGCCTTCGAGAAGGAATACTGTCAAAGATAAGGACCGCACGAACGTGGGAAGAGAGCAAATTGAGCTAGGTCAACCTAGACAATCGAACGTCGAATGTTCTGCTCGGGAGTCGCACGAGGAGATCTCACGAGTCAACAGCGAGGAACACGCTTCAAAATGGAACCACACCCGGTCATCTTCAAAGCAGGGTTCTTCACGCGCCTCGGACCTGAATGGTCCGTCCTCTAAGAATTGGACATTCTTTGATGCTGCGTCCTCATACAATCTGAAGTGAAAAAAAAACCAACAATCCTCGACGTTCGCAAATCGCGCACACCAAAGACCACAGCCGGCCCTGATGCGCTTGAGGATGGCATCCGACCAGATCTCGCTCAAGTGTACGCCTCAAGAGACACCGAAAATATAACATAGGAATCGCAAACGCAGTAGACACGGTAGTCGGAGGTCGTCCGGGGAAGGCACAAAAGTTGACCGCTGCTCATGCCTTTGAAGGCAACATCAGTAAGCGGCTACAACAGGACTGGGTACATAGGTACGGATATTGGCTTTTCAGTCGAAAGCTCAAATTAGAGAATGGACAACGTATGGACGATCGTGATGAACATCGTATTAGAATCTCGTTCAATGATACCCAAATGAAACATTTGTACAATCGCACTTGGCGCCCACCCTTCTTTGTTTGTGCTCTGCAAGTGGCCGAATTAGGGGAGTCAGCTTCCGGACGGCCGCTTGGCCATGCTTATGGTGACAATTGTTCAAAAAGATCATTGGACCACGCACATCCATGTTCCATGCCATCGACGGGTGTGAAATCCTACGTGCGATTCAATTCTACTATTGCGGTGCCGAGAGCGAGGCCCGATGGGAAAAGAAAATGTCCGCTGGACAATAAATCTCGGATTCGCGTTTTGCCGTGGCATCGAGACATTCAATTGGCCCCGCAAGAAGCCTCAGCAGCAAGGGCGTATGGTAACTGACTTCAAGCCCCTAAACTTGCAAGCTTAAGAGCTCAGGATATAATGGGCGAAACAGACGTGGCGGGATGCTGCTGTATGATGAACTGATCGTAGAATCCCTCGCATCAAGAATTAAGATACTCGTAAGGAGGTCCGGATGAGCAGTGCATCGTCCATCGGTCCGTGTCTTTCGGAACGAAGTCTCGTTCTGGTAACTTAGCTGAGGTTATCAAGCACGTGATCAACAAGTGCTCATCGGGAGATTTGAGCTTCTGTAAGCTGCGGATTCTCGTTGAGAACGCAGACCCGCTCCAACTTGGCTTAAGCCATGTTGATCTGGTGACATCAAACCTACCAGCTTTGTTGATTATTATGGTGTAGAAACAGAGCACGAGGGCGGTATTTTTGGTCTAGCCGTTGCTGGTGCGAAAAAGCAAAACCATCGGCTTGCATGCCATGACTGAGCGAAAGCAGTCGAAGGAGGGCGGATGTGGCATTTCTTAACCTATTTGAACCTCTTGCCATCCTTTTACTCGCTCAAATCAACCGCGACCTTGACAATCCTGCCGCGAATGACTGCGTCGCAAAGGTCGGAAGGGGGTCTCTTATCGCCTCAAGCCGCCTTAGCGACGTTACAACGGCTGGGCATGCATGACGTTGTATCTGATAAGGTGCCGTTGGAGTGTTATTGCTGCTGTGCCTTCTGAATGTGTCCCCCGAGCACAAGGTCGCACACGAATTTCATTCAGTCTGTCGTGTCAGCGCGAATGAGCAAGTGATGGCAAGGCATTCTAGCGTACGAACGAAACCTTCTGCTTCAGTTGCTTCTTTTGCAGCAAACCAAGGACCCTGCTGAGAGACCGTCCTACTCCGCTCCTGTCGAGCGACAGGTCTCGACGCTGTGCAGGATGAAGGCGACGACACGCGCCACAACTATCGTTTGGGATTGAGGCACGTCCAGCGTTCAAGATCCTGCTTCAAGCAACAAATCTGAGGCTTCGTAGCTGATAAGCAAGCCCCAAAGCCACGTCGATCCTGAGGAGTCCAGACGCATCATTGGCGAATGCTTCCTGCGATGAGGAATCTTCTTATCATTTTCGCGCCATCCATGACAGCTGGGGTAGACTACTTCGGACGTGAAATGAACAGCCATTCGAGCCTAGGCTCGTAAATCAGAGAATCTCCATCCCCATGTCAATCTTTGATTGCTATAAGTTGCTGGGGATAGACTGCACTTCGGTGCTACAGCAGCGTCCTGTGGCTTTTCTCATGCTGGACAGGTGCACATCTCCTGACTACAATTGTCTATAATTGCCTTTTCTATTCTTGCTTGTTTGTATAACTTGCTGCAGACGACATTGTGACATACGCCTTGTCGCCGTTGATAGCAACCTTTCTGCGTCGTCGCTTATGCGATCTTAGCGGCGCAACCAAGCTGTTCTACAAATCTGAGCTTGCTCAGCGTTCAGGCAAGGTCTGCTCCTTGGTCACAACTTCCAGGAAAGTCAAAATGTCCGCTCCCATGAGTGGCCCGTCGCCGCCGACTTACTCACATGATGAGAAGACCTCTGGGGGTGATGTTGAAAAGAGTGGTGCCGATGTCTCCACGGGTGATGTCTATCATCCCGACGAAGTCATTAACAAGGCCAATCCGTTGCAGCGCAATCTTCATGGCCGCCACATGCAGATGATTGCCATCGGTGGTTCGATCGGTGGGTCAAAATAGCTTTGGGCTCTGCGAACAAGACTGTTGACGACATGAGGTGTAGGCGCAGGTCTCTTCGTCAGCTCTGGTGGCGCCCTCAGCACCGGTGGTCCAGCTTCTCTCACGCTTGGGTTCATTGTAAGTCTCAAAGGGCGATTGAAATTGGTTTCCAACATTCGTCTGTAAAGAGCTATCTGCGTTGCTGGCACAAGTCAGGCTGGGCGCAATTCACTGCTGAAAACTTTGTTGTGATGTCAAGAATCTCACACGGCGAGACTCAGTGTCTCATACTTAGGACGCACACTGATTCGATATTTTATCCAGATCATCGGATTCATGTTGCTGTTCACCGTTCAGGCACTTGGAGAACTTGCTGTCGTGTATCCCGTAAACGGCGCGTTTTACAACTACATGGTTCGCTTTATCGACCCAGCTTGGTGAGCGATGGCAGACATTTTCGTTCGGTGCACAGGATTGACTGACATTGATTTCAATAGGGGCTTTGCTGTTGGCTGGGACTACGCCATTGGCTGGCTTACCGTTTTGCCTTTTGGTGAGTTACATAACTAGGCTGAGAGAGAGCTCAATGGGAGCCCAAAGCTGACGAGGAGATTGCAAGAACTTACCGCCGCCGGTATCACGATTAGGTTTTGGCGACCAGACCTCAACATAGGGATCTGGATAGCTGTATTTTTCGTAGCTTTGTGCATTATTCAAGTATTTGGTGTCCGCGGGTACGGCGAAGTCGAGTACATACTCGGAATCATCAAGATCCTCGCCTGCGCCGGGTTTATCCTCTTCGGAATCATCGATGCATGCGGTGGAGTCCCTACCGATAGTCGTGGCTACATTGGTGCGCGGTACTGGCATGACCCGGGTGCGTTCCGGAACGGCTTTAAGGGCTTCTGCTCCGTCTTCGTGACCGCCGCCTTTGCCTTTGGCGGTACTGAACTTTCTGGTTTGGCCGCCGCGGAGGCTGCAAACCCGACAAGATCGCTGCCGCGTGCGACCAAGCAGGTCTTTTGGCGTGTCTTCTTTTTCTACATCGTGAACACCTTCATTGTTGGTTTGCTCGTGCCTTCTGATAATCCAAACCTGCTCAACGCGTCGGGCGCAAACACCAAGTATTCACCATTCGTCATCGCGATCCGGCTCGCCGGTGTCAAGGGCTTGCCCTCGGTTTTCAATGCAGTCATCACGATTTCCGTTCTCTCCGTTGCGAACTCTTGCACGTTCGGATCCACCCGCACGTTCCAGGCTCTTGCTCAACAAGGGATGGCACCTAAAATTCTTGCATATGTGGACAAAAAAGGCCGACCGCTCGCGACTGTCGTCTTGCAACTTGTGTTTGCCCTCCTTGCCTTTATCAACGAGGCTCCAGGTGTTGGTAATCAGTTCTTCAACTGGCTGCTTGCACTCTCTGGCGTTCAAAACTTCTTTACATGGGGCTCCATCTGTTTGGCACACATCCGGTTCCGAAAGGCTTGGCTTGCACAGGGGCACACCGTAGACGAGCTTCCATTCTCTGCCCTCGCCGGTGTATACGGCTCCTACTTTGGCCTATTCCTGAATGTTGTCTGCCTGATCGCGCAGTTTTACATCGCCGTGTTCCCGATCGGCGAAGGCGAACTGTCTGCCCAGGATCGTGCCAAAGGCTTCTTCAGCACCTTCCTCGCTGCACCGCTCATTCTCAGCTTATCCGGCTTTTGGAAGGTGTACAGTGCTATGAGTAAAGATCCCAGGATCAACCACCGCGGCTGGAAGCTTTACATCAGGACAAATGAGATTGATGTCAATCATGGAATCCGTGAAGGAGTTCTGAGGACGCCGGAGGAGGTCATGGCAATCAAGCAAAGCCGATCTTCGCGTACAACTGCTCAAAAGATCCTTGCAGTCCCTCTCGGCTTATGGGAGAATTTGCTGAAGCCATGAGATATTCCTTCTGTGAGATAAGAATGCAGAAAGCGCCTCTGATACAGATCTGAATGGTGCTTGACGGTTTCATTTTGTGCACTCCCTAGCCTTGTTTTATGTAAAGAACGTACATGGCCCTGTTCCGCTCGTTGTTCAAGACACACCCTGCGTCACTGAACAATGATCTGCGAGACCCTGTATCTTTGCATCATCTACACTTTGCTCTCGTACTTTACTTGGCCTAATACAGATCTAAGTTTCAATTCAATCCCCTTTATACCTACCGTCTCACCGCCTGTGCGCTGTTCCTCTCCCTTAAGTAGTTGATGTCCATTGTAAGCGCTCTCACCTGCTCTCGGATCTTGGCGGCAGTTACCTCCGCGTCGTTCTTCGTAGCCTCAAAATCCTGATCCCAGTGATTTGAGCGCATGTAAGCCATCGCCAATGTTGCATGCTGCCTAGCGAAATGTTCCACTTCAGCTTGCTGTGCGGCTGCTGCACGTGACCAAGTTTTTTGCACGTAAGCCATGTCCTCTGCAATCAAACCGCCGATCTTAAGCCAGGGCGTCGATTCGGTTTTAATGACCTCTTCTGCAACAGTTGAGAATCCTTTGATGTATATCAGCTGCCAGCGTGACAGCAGACGTGCGCGTAGTCGTTGGGGGGAGAGGGTCAAATGTATGATTTCCTGTCTGAGCTCTGGAGGTAGAGATAAGAAGTCTGTAGGATGTGCACGCGATCGATCCATGGATTCTGTGTCTGGACTTTTGCGAGAATTTGTGCTGTTCATTGAGAATGATTTGCTCGTGACCATCTTTTGAAAGGCTGTAGAAGACGAAGGCTTCTCTTTTCTGCCTTGAGACGAAATGCTTCAGTCCCTCAACGATTGGAATCCTCTACGTCGTCGAGATTTCTTATATAGTATTCGTCGCTGCGGCTCCACGGTTGCACAACTTTGGTTGCCAGTTACATTTTGGGAAGAAGGTAAACACTCTTCTGAATCTCCAATCTCCCACTGATCCCGATCCTAGACTTCAACATTCATACCCAGCTATGTCCAAAGACATAAGGCCATGATCTTATGAAATGATCGGCAAGCTTCCAGTGACATATGCAGAACTCTTGACTTTATTCTTAACCCTTCTTCGCCACTATTGACTTTAATTCTGACAAACAGAAGTGGAGCTGCGCTACCTAAAGAAGGTTACAATACTCACAAACATCCATATTCAACGTCACCATCTTCCTTTTGGCTGCCATCCTACGAGATGTCTATGAAAACACACGATCAGGATATGAGAACTTTTGATAGCTTCTCATGCAGTGGCCAGTTCTTTCTTCATCCTGCCGATGCTTTTTCGAAAGCAAACTTGTCTTCTCGATAAGCCCTGCTAAATGGAGATCCAATCGATGGAGAATATGACTGTCATTTCTTGCTAGCCTTTTGCATAGCCCGCGGCTGCAATGTACTACTTCAATAAAAACATGGGAGAGAATGTTGAGTTGAATGAAGTCTCTATCACGCCAAGACATGAGAGGTACGGCTCCTGATCATCCTCTCGGAGTTTGTTGCGTATTATTTTCAGCTTGATCAATTTTTGATTAAGAAATATGGCAACGGCAACAAAACATAACACGTTCCGCCGATGCTAGCTACTCTTGCACAAGCTGTGCCAGCTTGTAAAGTATTTTCGTGTCTCAAAATACCGAATATCACAGCCGATGGAATCCTCTATTTCCAGATCTCTTTTATCTTTTCGACCGTGGTGTTTCCTCCGCTAAGAATGATGCCGATATTTTCTTCACTTGCCGACATGCCATCAATGTAAACGTTCTGAAATTCTCTGTTGTACAGTAGTATCGCTAGAGGCAAAGCGGCGCTAGGCTCGATCAAAACGCCAGCCCATTCAAGCACTAACTTCATTGCAGACTTGATGTGCTCTTCAGTCGCAGAGAATACACCCTCAACGTATTCTCGGCGCTTTATGATCTCCCAGTTCGACTCTCCTACTGGAGATCGTAAACCGTCTGCGATCGTAAGAGATTGTACAGAACCGATTCGTTTGCCGAGTTTCAGTCCACGAACGACGTCATCAGCACCTCCTTCACTAGGCTCAGCCCCAAAAACTCTCGTCGAGGTATTTTTGCAGGCTATGGCAGTCCCTGTAAGCAAACTCCCGCTCCCACAAGGTACAATGACTGACGCGAGGGAGCCTAGCCCTTCTTCTTCCATTTGCCTCTTGAACTCGTAAATCGCCGTTCCTTGTCCAAGCATAACGTCGCAATTACCAAAAGGCGCTATCATGGTTGCTCCAGTGTTCTTTTGCACTTCGTATGCCTTTTTCTGTCTCTCAGGAAGAGTGTACCCGGAGAAATATACCTCACCTCCATAGTCTCTGGTAGCGTCGATCTTTGAAGAAGTTGCAATCTCAGGAAGCACAATATACGCGGGAATATGGAACCCTCTCTCAACGGACACCAGCTTTGCTGCTAATGCCAGGCCTTGGCCATGATTTCCTGCAACAGCCCGGCACGTCGTTAGTTCTATGACTTTTGAAATGTTCGGTCGCCGTCCTTACCTGTACTTTGAGCAACAACTCCATTTCGCAAGGAGCCATCGGCTAACTTCATGATGCTGTGAAGCGCTCCACGAAATTTGAATGATCCAGTCTTTTGTAGTCCTTCGCATTTAAAGAAAACGTTGACGCGTAGAAGACCGTTACAGCTTGGTCTCGCCTTATTCAGAAGCTCCGAAGCATACTCGGACAGCCGACTGCATTCGATTACTGGAGTGCAATTGATCTTTCCAGATATCAAGCTATACGCCTCTTCCACCGCAGCAAGATCCAAGCTTAAGTAATCCATCAATAGTATCAACGAGCTTGATACAAGGCTATGACTCTGGGACGAAACGTACTGCAAAATTGGAAAGTTAATTCAGTGTGTTTTTTTCTTCGCTTTGGAAACCACACGTGAGATTGCTGACTTTATACAAAAACTAGTAAATATGCTAAACAAGCCTATTTGAGCAATCATTCTCTCAGTACATCCATGTAGAGCTAATGCAGGCGACGCATTGCATGTTTCTTTGTCCAAAACAAGATCTATCATGTGGAAATGCTCACCGGAGACCCAAACCGGCGAAAAATTGAAAAGAGAAGCAATCCGGTCAGTAGGTTTCTTCTGGAGGAGTACTGAATGGTTGCCTAACGTCATTGAATTGTCGAGCGTGCACAGTTGCTTTGATTCATCAAATTACACCATTGGATTTGGAAATTTTAGGAGTCGTTCTCTCTGAGCCTGAGTATAAAGGAAGACGTACAATCCATCCGAGCTAATCGAGCGTTCAAATTCTCGCATCTCTACAGGCATCCTGAACTTTAATCTAAGTTTCACAAGATTCAACTCTTCACATGGACAATACAGCCAAAGAAAAGATTCATGAACAGAAGCTCCAGCTGTTGCACATAATAGATTATGCCCAATTGATTCAAGGCGTCGCGAATGAAAAATCTCGTTTAAAGACAGCATGTGTCGCAGACGGTTTTTTCTATCTTAATCTCTCGTCGACAGAACCAAGCCTTCTCCACTACGTGGAACAAGTTTTTGCCATTTCACAATCGTACTTCGACCAGGACTTGTCAAAGAAAATCAAGTTTGATGTCAAGAAGGTTGGCCTTTGCGAAACATTCGGGTAAAGATCTCCCCGCGGCTTCAATGAACCCTCTGAAAAGACCAGCTTTATGCTGATATTGAATACGAAGATATAAACCCATAGGGACTCATGCTGGCGTCCTTGATGGACAGAGGGATGGTTTTGAATCATTCAAGGTACCTTAAGGAAGTTTAACGCGAAAACTCGCTTCACTAACTCTTCTGCGTAGATCCCCCTTGATCATCTTTCTGGCCTGCAGCCCATACCAGAAGTTCCTGAGATAGTCAAGCACTATGAGGGAATTTTTGAAAAATTTGCCCTGGGTTGCAGGGAAATTAGCTTAAATATACTTTCTATATTGTCAGATTTATTGGACATGCCGTCTGATAGTCGATTCGAAACTTTTCACGACAAGTTAGCTTCGTCCAATAGTTCAATGGTGATGACGAAATACGCTCCCTATTCCGGTTTATACTCTAACGTTGGCCACAATGCCCACACAGATTTGGGAAGCTTGACACTTCTTTTTACCAATCAATGGGGTTTGCAGGTATTTCAAGCCACCAATGAAGAATGGCAATACATCCCACCCATGGCTGGAGCTGCCATAGTCAACGTCGGTGACTCTCTTCGCTTTCTCTCTGGCTTGAAATTGCGGTCATCTCTTCATAGAGTGGTACCTCATTTCACAGTTCAAGGGCCTCGTTATTCTTTGGCAACTTTTCTCCGGCCACAGAAGGAGACCATGTTAAAAAATGCAGAAGGGGGAATATGTTCAGCGCAAGATTGGCATGAAAAAAAATTCGCCAACTTCATGGAGTCTCATGAGACACAGAGAAAAAGTACGATACAAACCGGAGGACTTGGCCCTGTTAGTGTATGGAATCCGTAAATCGGAAATTTATTCGGCGGGCTTCTAGATAAGAATGCAGAAAAGCAGAGAAAGTTCACAGTGGCGAGTGAAGGAAGCCTTCAAGAAACAGAAAGACGCATTGAGAATTCGCACGAAACTATACCGTATTTATTATTTAGCTTCATTTTCGTCTGTAAACGAACGCAGCATCATCTCTGTAGCTTCTGGGTGACAAATATCAAAGAATAAGCCTGAACATCGTTGTATTATGTAGTCTTGCGTTGTCAAACGCCACGGAGATCCTAGAATGAATGTGACAGAGCTAATGAACACCAGCCCCGCATATGAATCTGACAGCGCGATGACACTTGCCTAGCGGTATATCCCGAGCCATGACACGTTTCGATATAGCACATCAATATTGGACTCGAGTTTTAAGGCATAATGGGGGAGTCGGCTATCGCCGTTCAAATATACTCTTGGTTTCTTGGCTTTACGAGACATGTCTCTTCTTTTCCTCCGTCTGATTCATGCACACCACTACTGCCAACAAGGCTGGAGACCGGATACTTGGCGAGCTAGTCTCAGCCTCAAAGCATGCTCATATGGTTAGCTTTAAGAGTGGGCATTCATCCCTGAAATGACACGCGGTCATCACACCTGAATAGACGAAAGTATTCCGTGCTTGCTCTGAGAATATTTCCCGGTCAACAGCATTGCCTCATTTCCCCCACTTTAGAAGCCATCCTAGTCATCTTGTGCATTCTTCCCCGCTTTAGCTCAGCCTTCTCTTCCCTATATTGACACTCAACGTAAGTGGGGTGATCAATGAACACCCCGCAGCTGAGAGCTCACTCATACGATTATCACATCCATCACTTCCACAATCAAGATACTTGCTGTACCATTGGTTGTTCTGCTCGAATTTTGCACACAGTCTCCTACTCCTCCAAGAATGGCGCTTCTCGAATGGCTAAATTGGCCTCGTTTCTACCAATCTAACCTAGCTATCCGTGACTCCGTCGTGGTGTTAGGGTTCGTCAGGTGCCCCCCAAAATGTTCTTTATGGCACATAAGTTTAACGCGTTTTTGAAAGTGCCGGAGTGATTGGCTTAACAACAGCTCTCCGTCTAGCGAAAAACGGCTTCAAAAATGTCACGGTCATTGCTCGGCATATGCCAGAGGACAGAGATCCGCTTTACACTAGTCCGTGGGCAGGAGCTAATGTTGTACCGTAAGGCAACTCTTTTCATTCATTCGACTCTATTGCTTATACTTGCGCTAAACGTCGGCGGGTAGGAGCCAATCGAAAGAAGGGACGATTCAGTCCCTATGGGAAAAAGAGACATTTCACGAGCTACTGCGCCTGGTGAAATCGGAACCGGGTGCAGGCGTTTGGATTCAGGGTAATTCTATGGTGGTTTGACAAGGACGCCGCCTAATAGGAAAATGTGGCGGTCTAGTTCTGACAAGCTGTTTTGCAGAGAAAACTACCTACTACTTAAACCACGCTGGATCACCTGATCAGTTGAAGCACTGGTTTAAGGATATGGTCTTCGATGTGAGTCAAGCACTCTCTTGAGAGCGAGGTCATCTATACTCTAACAGGTGGCAAAAGTATCAAATACTTTCCAAAGACCAGGTACCAGCATTCGCTGACTGGGGTGTTCGGTATGGAACAATAGGTCTGGATCCAAGCATATACCTACACTGGCTACAGTCCAAATGCCTAGATAATGGAGTGAAATTTCAAAGAAGGACTCTAAAACACATTAATGAGGCGTTCTACGAAAGCCCAGATCCTGGAAGTGAACGGAGTCGACCGCGTGTGGTTGTCAACTGTAGCGGAGTTTTGGCGAGCAAACTTGGAGGTGTAAAAGATGATAATATTATACCCATGCGTGGTCAGCTCGTTATTGTTGCGAATGAGAGCAAGGGCATGTTCTCGCTTTACGGTCTTCGTGAGGTAGATGAAAGCATTGGAGAGTGCATTTACATCATAGATCGACCGGCAGGTAAGTGGCAAATGCAGAAGATGCATTGTACACTGCCTTTGTCTCAGCTGACGGGACTCTTAAGGTGGGGGCACCGCAATAGGGGGATCGTATTATCCAACCTGGTCCACCGAGCCAGACATGGAACTTGCCGGGCGTCTTTTAAAGAGAGCCATTCAAATCTGCCCGAATCTAGACCCGGATGGAAAGGGTGTAGAGGCGCTGGAGATAGTTAGGCATCAAGTAGGTCTTCGACCTAATCGAAATGGAGGGGAGAGAATTGAAATTGAAGAAATAAAGCTTCCAGGAGGAGAAAATGAAGTTGGAAAGGTTGTCCATTGCTATGGCTGCGGGGGCGCTGGCTTCCAGCGCAGCTATGGCATTGCTGACAAAGCTGTGTCTTTGGTTCGTGATTGTCTGAATAATTAATGCAAGTTAAAGTACGGTGAGGCGATTCTCTCTGTTCACATGCCAAGACGAAGCATGCGCAAAGAGCACCAGCATATTATCTGAATGTGACCACAAGGCTGAGAGGAAGCCTTAGCCGAGACTTACGCGCAGCCGCCACCATCCCAACCTGCAGAATGACACAAACGGTCGTTGCTCATGTGATATATAATTTATCCATTTCAGGGATTTGCCGCCGGTTTCCATAGACAGGTTGAATATTCTCCCGCTCAGCTTTTGAGTGAAGTGTGTAGACCGGTCATCGTTTGCAAGAAGACAGCTTAAATGCAGAAGTCCTGTTCGGCTATAAAAAAGTGTTCCAATTGCTCTCATCCTGCACGATTTGTTACAGGTTTATAGAGATAGAAGTACTCTGAACTCACTGCCGCGGTGAAGTGGTCTCCCATGGTCCATTTCTCCGTTTTATACAGCCAACTGAAGTCAAGATATAAAACCATAAGAACATGCGCAGATTCGATATCGCTTCCTACACAATGGCACGCACAAATGTTGCTTTTAATAGAATATCTCCAGGTACATTGATAATCTCGCAAAAGGGTTTAAGATGTTTATTGAATTTAACATTTCGTAGCCCTTTGGTTCTTCTCCCTGCTCAGTCTTCCAAGACATGTCTGTGCTGCAATACAATGGGATACTCTGCTCACAAGATCTCGTGAGCTCTCCATGTCTGGATTATTAGGTCTTATCGAAACCGATATACTCTACGCAGAGCCGGGAACGGAACAGGCCGAGAAATGGCGGATCGCGCAGTCTATCCTTGGTATTGGATCACTCCGTGTTCTCTCAAAGATCTGCAGATCTCCGTGCTTCGAAATATTGCATCAGATGTACGGCATCCAGCCTCCGGAAAGCAAGTGGGCAAGGGATTTTTGGCTTGCCCAGCGCAGTTGGACTGAGCTTGCTCTGATTAACATGACTTCTGAGGACACAAGTTACCACAGGGTGAATCAAGGCACTGGCCCACAAGCAAAAGTTCTTTGGACTTGGGATGAAATTTGCGCCGAGAGGATTTGGTGGGCACCGGCGACCCCCAATACTCCATCCAAGAATACGTCAATGACAGGCGAACCCTTGAAGTGCCGAAGTGATTCAACCTTAGCAACTCAAACAGGAAGACCAGCCGGAACACGAGGGGACTCCATTCCGACTTCATTATCTGCGGCATCGACAGCTCTCATATCAGACGATCATGTAAGCATTGGCGAAAACAGTCATACGGAAAAGAGTCACCAGAAGAGCCCATTGCCCCCTGGGCGACTCAGATTGTTTCCACCGAAGAACAGCACCGATATCACTGAAGGCACGACGGACAAATGGTGGATGGATCGTTGGCAGTGCGAATTCTTGGCCGTTGCCGCACTTCACAACATCACCAATGACAAGGCTTGTGAGATCTTGACAGCAGCTTACTTTGGATATCCAGCCAACGCAGCCTACCACATCTTCATTGGGGCATTGTGCATCACAATGGCCACCGCAACGTTCATTGCCGGTGTTTTCTCTGATTGGTCGTGGTGTCTACAGTTCACTTCTTTGACAAGCCTGGGCTATTTCGTTAATAGGACTGCCTGCCTGCGTGCATGGAAATTTGAGCCGAACGCAGCACTGAAGAACAAGGTGCCAGAAATCTTACAGGACTGGCCGTCGACCGATGAAGGCAAAGTGGTGGTGCGGTTCGCAACCCAGAGCTCTGGTATTTGCAACCTACGCGTTTTGATTGCATTCGAGAGACAAGACATGGATGCCGCTAAGGACATAGCTCAGAAAATGAAAGGCCGTTACAGGTCGCTACGCAAAGCAGCCAAGGAGGATATCATTCCATATGCCGAATCGGGTCCAGGGTCTGCACCAACGACTAACTGGCTGAGCTACGAGGTTCAGTCCACATTTTACGGGCTAGCAGGAACAGTCATGCCGGACAATGTTGCACTACGTTCCATGTCTGTTGTCGCAAGTATACCATTGGGTATTATCTTACTCATGCTCGGATTCGGATCCACGGCGAAGAAAGGATGGAACAGCTATATCCTGATCATATATATTGCAGGCATTGTCTGTGCTATATTTAGCAGATCCCGCACCGCAAATTGGACGATGCCGGAGTTCGAAGTAGTAGACTTGACGCGGATGGTCGCGCCTCCCGTGGTGGCCGCAAGATTGGAAAATTTCATTGCTGATATCCCTCAAGCTCGTCCGCTCCTGGAGCAGATAAGCCGCAGGAAAGCGACATCTAAGAATAAGAAGAAGCCCAGTTAGTAAATACACGTCCTACACAAAGTGTGAGAGCTACTGATGGCATTGTTTACAGAGAAAAACGAAGACATAGAGGATGAGAGTGCGAAGGGGCAGTGACGCTTAAACACTATAAGAGTCATTGTGACCAGCACGAGTGGCAGAGGATAGCAGATTGAATGGTCTAAACGCACTAATAGCAGCTAGGCGCACAGCGCAATGTTCAACACGTATTGCTAAACAAGCTGGAATGATATCAACGAGTATTCCTGCACATCGACACTCGGCTTTGACGTTTCATTTCTCAAAGGAACATCGACTTACGGAAACTTTCTAGCTGTTCCTGAAACGGCTGACATCCAACTTATTTGAAGGATGCCACGTCTATTCATGACTTCCGGTCCTTATATTGATTATTAACCGAACTGCGACGCTGTAGCATGCAAAGTCTAGACGTCAGCAGGCATCAACGCAGATTGCAATGTTGCTGGACCAGAATTCGAGACGATGATGTCAAATGAATTTAGGAGCAAAAAAGGGTTACTACGTGGAACAGATATGGCATCGGGCTCGGGAACGCATAACGATGGCAGAAACCTGATGGTCCATCATGACAAACCCGAACCATCCATCTCCGAAAAGGTAAGACTGTGAATTGGGGTTTCATCACCCACAATTCTCCTGCAGGACCTTTGTACTTGCCTCAGCCCCTTTAGTAAATGCATAATATTGATTTGACCTTAACTCTTGCACGATCGCACATGACAAGGAACTAGTTCGTAGATCTTCTGGTATCCCTCAGCCGATGAAAACATTCAAATTACGTTCAGGGTTTCCTAGCTGGGAATAAGTGGCAGCACATGCATGACTCGGTCTTATCATCTGCTTTGCATTTAGCAATTTTGTGGGACTTCACTCAACCGCTTCTCTCTGTCTTGCTACTCAACAATTCTAACACCCCTCGTATTCCCGCATCTCATCAGCTGCCCTCTGATGATTCCCTGCGCTCTCTTCAGGGCGGGTCACAGGAACGGAAAAATCCTTACGGGCGGGGTACAAGCCATCTGCAGCCTGCTGCAAGCATTGTTGATCTCGATGCTGCACATGCGGAACCTCGCAGCTCAGCATGCAAAGGATCGGCTCAGCCTGAGATTGTGAGATTCTTGACGACAAACAGGGAGCGAATATCATCTTCTACCAAGCAAAAGTTCCTGAGTGGTTAGATAAATCAAATCAATATGGTGAATAGTAGAAGGCTCACACTTTGAATTTGCAGTTGAGGGGTTTCTAGTGGTGTCGGTAGTGAACGAAAACATTTTTGTCCGCCAAATTTGTGTTTTCAGTTGAACTCATTGTCCCATCCTTATAAACGTGCGCTGTAATTTCGCTGCCCATGCCGACGAAAAAAAAACACTTCAAATACAAGAAGACGTACGAAGAATAACGAGTGCTATCCCGGCACAAAGTCCATAGCTTCAAGACTCCTGGGTTGGTGCAGGGTTCATGGGCTTCTGGCCGTAACATATCGATCTGCACAACAAACGCATCAGCTCAAAGTGTTCGGAGCGCAGGATGTGTTTGGAGACTCACATATTTTGCCACCCGTGAAGGTTTGGGTCTCTCAGGTTCTTTCTGATGCCAGCGATCAGAACCTGCACTTCCTCCTTCTGCCACTTTAGGTAGTTCGTGAACAGAAACATGGCCCAACCTTCGATGCCGTCCTCCCATCCCATCCTATTATATGCCCCGATGGTCTTGTACATGGGGTCTTTTGGCCACGTGCCAATTGGCCATTTGAAGGTCTTGTATTCTATGTTTTCGAAGCCAGCCTTTCTGAACTCGTGCTCCGAATCCTCTGCGATGGCGAAGGACTTGCCGAACTTCTCACCGCACTCGATGGCCAGTTTGCCCCACTGCTCGAGGTACGTGCCGTCGATGCTTCCGTCGTCGGACTTGGGCACGACGCTGATCTCGGCCTGCTCGAACCACGCACCCGGCTTTAGCGCCTTAAGGACTTCGGCGTACAGGGCCTGATAGTCCGCAACGCAGCCGTACAGGCTCCGCGCGTGTATGAAGTCGAAGCTGGATGGCTTAAAGGTCCATTCCTCGGTGAAGTCGTCGATCTGGAACTCCACATTGGGCGGAACAAGGTCAGGCTGGATGGGGGAAAGATCTGTCGCGATGACATGCGCTGAAGGGTACGTGTCGCCGAATTCGATCGCCCATATTCCAGTGCCGGTGCCGATGTCTAGGACGCGCTGGGGATTGTCGAGCGGCGCCAGGTGCAGGCGCCCGCCGAGAGAGAGGGCAAAAATGTGGTGAAAGAGGTCGAGATTGTCCTCTGGCAGTCGGGTTAGCTGGCGTCTCCGCTAGCTTCGACTTCAGAGCCTAAGCATGGCGCACAAGGCTGATCAGCAGGAAGTTGATCTACATACGGGCCTCTTCGTCGTTGGGTCCCCTGACGCCAAGTCGTCAAAACTGCATGTTCTGCGAAGACGGCTGGACTGCGACATACCAGTACGCCCCTTGCCTGAAGCTGTGGTATCTCCTCCCGTTTTCGTACACGTAATTGTAGATTGATGAACGCAAGGTCGCCGTCTCCGAAGCGGCGTCGTCTCCCAGCGCGGATTCCTCCTCCCAATCTATCGCAATCGCCTGCTGAGGCTGCTCATCAACTTGGTCGGCCATGGCTGACCGGGGTTCTCAGACGATACAAGATCGCTTTCCGGGCTGAGCAGAATTTTCAGCGTTGCTGGCTGCTGTGCGAAACCAAGCGCGGACGAAGCAGCACGCCATCGAGGCACGGCTCTCAGTCTATACTCTCCTATCTCCCTCTTACCACGGCCTTGGGTTGAGACGAGGGGGGAGGCAGCGCGGGACGTGACATGTGAGTGCTGGCCATCCGCGCCGTCGCTATTGGCCAATTGCGCATTCGCATATGCAGGGCGGAACTGCTAATTGGAAATGCCGCAGCGCTGAGCGGAACGACGGGCCTGAACGGTGGAAAGCTGCAGATGCAACGGCACGTTGCCCAGGTGGTCGAAACGGCTGTTCCGGGCGGTGGCCAGACGTCGGTGAGGACGAGCGGCGGGCATCTGGACGAAGACACTAGCAAAGGCTTCCGTCGTACAATCACCGCTTTGCGTGCATCCACCAGCGCGTTGGCAGGATCGTCGCCACCGCCAGCCTTCTCTCAGCCTTCCGCCAGCTGTTAGTGCCTTGCAAGTCGTACTCATGGCCGTCGACTCCGGGGGCTCGCTGTCCGGCCTGCTGCCCTACGCTTTTGCCGCCTTCGTCGTCTACGTGATAGGCCTGTACTCGTACCGGCTGTTTCTCCATCCGCTCGCTCGTTTCCCAGGCCCCAAGCTTGCTGCCATAAGCAACTGGTACGAGTTCTACTACGACGTGTATCTGCACGGCAAGTTTACAGAGCACATCCAACAGCTTCACAAGCAGTATGGTACGCCTCCCATGTGCCGCTCCGTCTCATCTCCTAGCTGGACTCACCACGAGAGAGTGCAGGCCCCATCATTCGCATCACGCCGTCCGAGCTCCATATAGACGACCCGGATTACTTCGAGGTCCTGTACGAACGTGCCGGCCGACGGGACAGGTACTCTTACTTCGCAGCGCGCTTCGGCCATGGCGCGGACACCTTCAGCACCGTGCCGCACGATCTGCATCGCAACAGGAGGAAGCCCCTCAACCCCATGTTCTCTGCGAAACGGATCTCCGAGTTCCAGCCCGTGATTCGCACCATGGTGGAGAAGCTGTGCTCCAAGCTTGACGAGTTCAAACAGTCGGGTGCCGTGCTCAACCTGGATCGCGCCCTCATGGCCCTGACAACGGACATCATCACCGAGTACGCGTTCGCCAAGAGCTACAACCAGCTCGACGTGCCCAACTTCACCGAGACCATGCACGAGGCGCTCGTCGCCATCTACGTGGTGGGCCACTTCGCGCTCCATTTCCCCATCGTGTTCCCCATCCTCGACATGCTGCCGGACTGGTTCACGCTCACGGTCCAGCCCGTGCTCCAGCCCGTCATAGGGCTGCGGTACGACCTGGCCAAGAAGGTGCGCGAGATCAGGGACGGCATCAACGAGGGCCACAAGCATGTTTCGCACCCAACCATCTTCCACGAGCTGCTGAACAGCGATCAGCCGGAAGAGGAGAAGACCGACGCGCGGCTCGGGGACGAGGCCCAGCTCATTGTCGCCGCCGGCCTGGTGACGACCTCCCGCGCCCTCACCGTCGGAAGCTTCCACATGATCTCGAAGCCGGAAATTGTCCGTAAGCTGCGCGAGGAGCTCCAGGCCGCCGGCATGATGGGCAGTCTGGATCAGCTGGACTGGCACAAGCTCGAGGCGCTCCCGTATCTCAACGGATGCGTGCACGAAGCCATCAGACTCGCCCATGGCATAACCACCCGCAACCCTCGCCTGGCCCCCGACCAGGAGCTGCGGTACGGAGACTACGTCATCGCGAAGAACACGCCCGTCTCCATGACGACGGTCGACATCTTGATGAACGAAAAGATCTACCCGAACCCACGAGAGTTCCTGCCGGAACGATGGATTGGACATCCTGAGCTGGAACGCTACTTTGTGCCCTTTGGCAAGGGCAGCCGACAGTGCATGGGCGTGAAGTGAGTTTTTGTTGCTTCTCTTTTCTGTTATGCTCATCTCTTATTTCCCCCACCCTCGTTCCACTCTTAACTGCATCCCTCTCACAACGTGAGCGAATGCTGATGCGCGTCAAACAGCCTGGCTTTTGCCGAAATGTACATCACGCTGGCGAGAATCTTCAGCTCGTATGACTTTGAGCTCTTCGAGACCGACCTGTCGGATGTGGAGATGGCGCACGCGTATCTCGTCCCGTATCCGAAGTGGGACTCGAAGGGCGTGAGAGTCAGAGTCAAGAAATGACGTCTTTACCGAAGAATCGAGATGAGCTGTTTCCGCCTCGTTCGTTTTTGTCCACAACACAATTCTGCACCCTTTTGAATCTGATGATGAGAAATGTTGTTTCGACCGTAAATCGCATCAATCTTACCCCAACAAAGCACAGACGAAAGGCAGACCAATCCTATATCCCCACGTTCTAGGAGTAGTGCAGATAACCGATTCACAATTTGATGGTTATGAACATGAATGGAACAGGAAGAGTCATTCTCATCGTCTACATCCACAAGCAAGATCTACATTCCCGACAGCATCGCTTGAGTATGTGTGTCCTCAGGTCCGAAAATTGCCACTCATAGTTTTATCTTCTGTTTAATCAAACCGCCTTTCCTTTTCACCAGCGTATCAAGCGTTCGGATTGGCACGCACAAATTGAGCAAGTCTTCAACTCCACTGCAGATAGTTTGAGTTTCCGATACTGTAAGATTCAATTCGGAAATTGTTTAAAATGCCTTGAGTGTGAAGGCCTCGGTGCAGAGACTTCCGCTGGCAGCAAAGGTATTCTATCGCTTGTCAACACAAAGGGGCTTCTCGGGTTTCATTTTCACGCGAAGGGTTGTCTCTATTGCTCATTAGCTATTTCTCCTTCTAAATGCATTCCTCCTGAGCTTCTCCCATTTTCAGACGTCTCTTTTCCTTATATGATCATATCCCAGTACTTCCTCCCAGAGGCCCAAACTATCGGAAAAAATCGTCTTGTCAGCGTCTTTACTTCTGTCTCTTGTAAATCTTCCTCAAGAACGACTCATAAACCTCCTTCTTCATGCCCTTGCTCTCGTCCACCTGGCTGATCTGTTTCCTGATTTCTGCCACTTTCTCCTCCTCGTACTTCTCATAGATCTGCTTCAGGTTCAGCTCATCATACAACGCCTTGACCTTGGCCTCCTTCGCTGCATCCTTCCGTCCGTAGTTCTCTTCCAATATTTGACGCTGCTCCGGTGTCACAATCTTCAGGGCCTGGTTGACCAGCCAGCTGCACTTGTTGTCCTGAATGTCCGTGCCGATCTTGCCCAGCGTCTCCGGGTCTGCGAAGTTGTCCAGGTAGTCGTCCTGGACCTGGAAGTATTCGCCCATAGGAATCAAAATATCATGAGCCTGCTTCAGGTTTTCTGGCGAGGCGACACCGCAGTAGTGCATGGCAAGAGCGACAGGCAGGTAGAAACTGTAGTACGCAGTCTTGTAGATGACGATGAAGGTGTACTTCTCCAAGCTGAAGTTGTCGAGGTCGACGTGGTCCTCTGGCGCTGTGAGAAGATCGCACGTCTGCCCAAGTTCTGTCTGGAAGGTGACCTCGTGGAAAAGCTCCATCAGGTCCACGTAACAGGGCTCCGAGCGGAAGTACTTCTTTAGCAGAACGTAGATGGCACCTTCGAGCATGAAAGCGTCATTGATGGCAATCATACCCACCTTTGGCATCAGGTACCAGCAGGGACTTCCACGGCGAGTCTTGGACGAGTCCATGATGTCGTCGGCGACAAGGAAAAAGGCTTGCAGGAGCTCGATCATCCATCCCAGAGTCTGGGACTTGAAGGAGTCGTCGGCATTGAAGGCGTCTCCTTTCAGGAGGGCAGTAGTATCGTAGACGGAAAGACCGCGGTTGTACTTGCCGCCTTTCGTGTTGTGTAGGAGATTCTACAGCATACCGGAGGCGCAATTAGCCACGGTTTGTTGTGGCCAGTTCCACAGGGTCGTGGCCAATTGAGGGATGGGAGGAGCCAAATACCGTTCTAAACCAATCCAGAGCTTGCTTGGGAAGCTTGTACTCTTCGCAATGCTTGATCAGGTCCTCGACTAGGATGTCGAAAGTCTTTTCGAAGTCGCCGCGTGAGAGTCCCATGACGCTTTCAGAGAGCTCGTCGGTGAGTGTTGCTGAAGCAGGACCTAGAATCACGACTCAACTCAGAGAGACAAAGGACACGGGGGTGTTCAGGGTGAATGACTTGGAAGACGGTGGAAGATGTCGCAGAGGAATGGAGCACACCGCATTGAGGGGCTTCGAACTAGGGTGTTATATGTTAATGTTCGTCGTTGACTAGGGAAAATTCGGTGGGGGCGGGAGATCATCTGCAGGGCAGCTCAGGCACAAATTCAGGGTCCCGCGGAATGAGGAAGCGGCCGCCCACCTACCCAAGAAGAAGCAGAAAGAGCTACCACGATACCGTTTGTGGCTTGACCGCGTGGTGGCTGGTGGCCAACTGCCCCCGTCACGTCGCGTGGTGCTGGTGGGGGAATTTTGGATACGGCCGGATCGTCGACGTACGCTGCTGTACCGTATATCTGAAGGCAAATTTCCCCTAGATCACTGCTGTGCGACTTCCGTCAAATGGTTCTACCGTAATCATGTCTAAGCTTTCGGACGCTCAGGTCGCTGAGCTGCAGTTTCACTTGCAAGGTGCCGTACAGAGCTGCATCGACCGTTGTCTGTACCAATCTGCTAAATGGTATAGTCACTAGTCCTTGCTTGTATCTCGTCCTTTTGTCGGCCCAGATTTACTTACGGAACACTTACACAGGGCAGCCGAGCTGCTGAATTCGCTCCCGCCGTCAGATGACGGGTCAGACACCGAAGCCGACTCACCAACACCTGCAAGGTCCGTTAAGCCTGCATCATTCGAGAAGCCAGCAGTCGACTTGGAAGAGGCGAGACTAGAGAGCAAAGAGCAACACAAATATTTACTAGCGAAGACGTTCTTCGATTGTCGCGAGTTTGACCGATGTGCTGCCGTGTTCCTCCCACAGACACTACCGCAAGTGCCTAAACTTGCTTCATCATCTCCACCCTCGGCGAAGAAGGGTAAAGGAAAAGCCAAGACTGGGAACACACCTACCAAGCAGAAAGAAACCGACAAGGTAGTACGGAATGTCAGCCAACGCTCTCTCTTCCTGGCACTGTACGCCAAATACCTATCAGGCGAGAAGAAGAAGGATGAAGAGAGCGAAATGATACTAGGCCCGTGTGATGGACCGGTCACGCCAAACAGGCAGCTTAACAGTATATCGGCTGTGCTGGAGCAGTATTTCAGTGAAAGGCATGCGGAAAACAAGAACGGTGGGGGTTGGCTTGAATACCTGTATGGTGTTGTCCTGGCCAAAGCCAAGGACGAAGAAATGGCCAAAGAATGGCTGATTCAAAGCGTGAACATATATCCCTTCAACTGGGGTGCATGGCAGGAGTTGCAAAATCTAATTGGCAGCGTCGAAGAGGTATGTTCTCGCTGTCCTGCTCGTCTCCCATGTCCGCTAAGAACATTTCCGCAGTTGGACCAAGTACTCGAACGGCTTCCCCGCAACATAATGACTTTCATATTCCACATTCACACGTCCCAAGAGCTCTTTCAAACAGACTCTCGTGTCTTCGCAGCTCTATCTCAGATTCAATCCTTCTTTCCTACCTCACTTTTCTTGCAAACCCAACGCGCCCTCCTCCACTACCACGCCAAGGACCACGAAGAGGCTGCCAGCATTTTCACGTCCATCTTGGAAGCGGATCCATATCGTCTCGACGCAATGGACTCATATTCCAATTGTCTGTACGTGCTCGAGGCGCGGCCCCGGCTTGCATTTCTGGCCCATCTTGCCAGTGCAACGGATAAGTTCAGACCCGAAACGTGTTGCATTATTGGAAATTATTATTCACTGCTTTCAGAGCACGAGAAAGCAGTCATCTATTTCAGACGCGCATTGCAGCTTGATCGCTCGTTCCTGACTGCGTGGACACTCATGGGCCACGAGTTTGTGGAGATGAAGAACTCACACGCCGCGTTAGAAGCGTACCGGCGAGCTGTCGATGTGAATCGTAAGGACTACAGAGCTTGGTATGGTATGGGACAGACATACGAAATGCTCAAGATGCATTCGTATGCGCTCTACTACTATCAGAGAGCCAGTGCGCTGAGACCGTTTGATGCGAAGATATGGGGTGCAGTGGCGGCATGTTTTGCACGCATAGGGAAGGTAGGGAATGCAATTCGAGCCTACAAACGTGCATTGGTAGCGGGAAGCTGGTATGAGGGTAGCGGAACCAGAGGTGGTGCAGACACATCCTTTGGGAGCGAAGGGTCAGGTCTGCAAGGTCTTGCGGGCGGAGTCCTTGATCCAGACTGCCTTTATCAAATCGCTCTTCTCTACGAACGGATGGGTGAAGTGCGGGAATGCAGCGCATATATGGAGCTCTGTCTTGCGCAAGAAGAGGGTCCCGGTAATGGCGATGACTTCGACGAAGACGACGCCGGTAGCCAGCAAGGTGGCGGCGGGGTCGGTGTCACGGCAACAACAAGCAAGGCAAGGATGTGGCTTGCGAAGTGGGCTTACTCGAGAGGAGACTACGCGAGAGCGCTGGAACTCGCGACAGAACTTTGTGAAGATGGGGTGGAAGTCGAGGAAGCGAAGGCATTGCAAAGAGATGTGAGGGCTCGAGAAGAAGCAGAAAGAGCCTGAGAAACATTTCAGGAGCAAGCCTGACATCGTGGGAAACGACTGCACTCCGCAACGGTGCACATACCATTCCATATGTGGTGTATTGCTCGAGAGTAGCCGCGCTAACATACGTCTAATACATGAGTTGCCGCGATAATTCCGTTTTTCGGCAGCTCCCGACAAAGCTTTAACGACAAGTATTGACGTACACAACCTCAATATGGATACGCTGTTCGAGGGACTAGATAGAAGAGAATCTTATGCGGTCATGCTGGCAAAGGTCTTCCATACCAAGAAGGATCTATTAGTAAATCGCAACGGATTCAAGTCTGAAGGGGGTTCTGGAAATGGTGCCGAGGGAGACATTTCCAGGTCGGGTTTCCTGGAGCTGCCTCAAAACGTCAGCAATGAATTGAGAGAAATGAAATTTGACTCTGCTGTTAGAGAATAGCTTGTAAGAAGCTTCAACCGATGGATACTCGACTTGTATACGTTTCATCCAGTACGACGTTCTTCTCCGGAATCAGATCCGTGGCTCCTGCAGAAACCTCTTCCAGTGGTACTGAACCGCTGGTCCATTTTTGCGGCGTAGGCGATGCGACTGCGTTCCACGAGTGTTTTCCTTGCAGAATGTCTTCCTCGAGAAAGATGCGTTCGGCAGATAAAAAGCTCATGATCGAGCGGAGCTCATCGTTCATTCGTACAACCGTATACTCTAGATCAGCTGCCCGTTCAGAATCACAAATCTTCTTTTTTTCGGAGCTGGTGGTTAACTTATTGCTCTCAAAACGCCTTGGCAAGTTGCAAAGAAACAAGTGAGGATAGTTCCACGGGGCAAAGGTTGTCCAATATAGTCCAAAGACCCGGAATGACGGTAGCCTTGTGTGGGCCATCAGCTGGCCACTGCCAGGTACACCCACCAGACGGACTGCTCGGATTCGCATCTAGCATCTTGATGGCATGTATGCTCAGCTCTCAGATCTCCGTTATCTCTTTGGATGGAGCCAGGTCAAGGATAAGACCAGCGTGATTGGACATCCGTCCAAACCAGGGCCGAGGCATCTCTTCCTCGAACCCGAGGGGGAATAAGCAGGACAGGGCGAGGAGTGAGAAAGGGAGCGGAGCGGCTGCGCTGCAGTTCCTGTGTCGGAATCTGGCTAGAGACGCACGCAATGCTAGAGAGGTTTGACTCAGGTGTGACTGAAGAGGGAGAGAAGTTTGTGTTTGTATGGGTGATGGGGGAGCAAAAAAAAAGTTATTAGATGCTATATGGCTACACTATTTGGACGAGGCTCTTCTACAAGCGAGCGTCAATTTGATCGAGGGTTTTGCCAAGGGCATAGTCTTCCCTCGCCTTCTTGCTGCGGACGGCGTCGCCCTGCGCTCTGGTGACGTACCTAGCCTCCGTGGCGGGGTTGTAGCCCACGCCGCTGGCCTTCTTGACCTCCTCGTCGGAGAGCTTGGTGTTCTTCTTGCCGTCGGCGCGCTTGTAGATGGTGATGACGACGCAGCCGCCAAGGCCGAGGTTGTGCTGGAGCGCAACGTCGGCGTCAACGTGTCTGTTGTTGGCCCAGCCTCGCAGCTGCCAGGTCAGCTCGGCGCATTGCGCCAGGCCGGTGGCGCCGAGAGGGTGTCCCTTAGAGATGAGGCCGCCGGATGGGTTGATGATCGGGCCCTTGCCACCGTACGTGATATCACCGCGGCGGACCATCTCGTGCGCCTTGCCCGGCTCTGAGAATCCAAGGCCATCGAGCAGGATCAGCTCGTTGGCAGAGAAGCAGTCGTGGAGCTCGCACACAGCAATGTCCTTTGGCGTCACGCCGGCCTCCTTGTAAGCAGCCTTGGCCGCTCGCGCGGTCATGTCGAAGCCGACGAGATCCATGTCGCTCTTCGAGTAGAGCCGGGGCGAGTCAGTCATCATGCACTGGCCAGCCATGAGAATAGCCTGCGAGCGGAGATGCGGCCTGGCATTGAGGAACTTCTCGGAAACGATGACGGCAGCTCCGGCACCGTCGCTGGTAGGGCTGCACTGAAGTTTGGTCAACGGGAAGTGAATCATGGGCGACTTTTCAATCTCCTCGAGGGTATAGTTCTGTCGGAACTGGGCGTACGGGTTGCGCTGAGAATGCTCGTGGCTGATGCGACCGATCTCTGCGAAATCTCGTGCCTCCGCGCCATACCTATATTCAACGCATCAGTGCCTGTACTAGTCTGCAGATAAGAATATTCAACGTACTTCTCCATGTACTCCTTTCCGGCGTTGCCGAACATCTGAGCGTTCGGAGGGCTGTTGGTGATACCACGTCCCTTCGCCATCAGCTTGAACGATAGTTCCATTGGTGGCGGGTGTTCACCAGGTGCTCCAACGAGCGGGCCTGGCTTCATCTGTTCCCAGCCGATCACAAGGGCGCAATCGATGGCGCCGTTCCGGACGAGGGTTCGACCAAGATTAAGACCAGTCGATCCAGTGGCGCATGCATTGTTGGTGTTGTAGATTGGGATGCTGTCATGCCACTCAGTACTCGCAGTACTCGACAAGATGATACGTATTGCAACTCACGTTGTCATACCGAACTGGTAGAAGACCCTCTGGCCACAAGTCGTCGGGCCCGAGCAGTAGCAGGCGACACCGGCTTCTACATCATCGTAGTTGATCCTGGCATCCAGCATGGCCTTTACACCCGCCTCATAACCCATCTCCACATACGTCCGCTCTCCTCTGGGCTTGAGGAACTTGGTGAGGCCAACGCCCAAGACGTACGCATTACCCGGTGCCATTTCCGCAACAATATCTCCTTTCAAGACCAATTGCCGCAAGAGCTATGAACCGGACCTTTTTGTTCTTCTTCCTTGAGCAGCTTAGCAAACAACACAAGAGAGAAGCGATTTTGTCCCTCTTCAAAAATAATATTTTTTTTCAAAAAAAAAAAAAAAAATAAAAGAAGCCAAACATCCGGAGCCGTACGAGGATTCAAGGCTGTTTACATATCATGGTGAGCAGCCCCGCACGAACACCCCGAGTTGGCTGACAGTGCCGCTCGGTACCATTTTAGGATGAGCCGAGGATCTCGAGAGCGACATCCAAGAGGGCTCCCGAGTCAACAAGCGATGACTCTGGCCGCCGCTTCGAGACGTTTCACATTATTTCAAGCACGTCAAGTAGGTAATCTGTTTCGATTCACGGCGAGCGAGGTGCTTAGCCGGCGCGGGTGGTCATGAAGCCTTTTCCGCCGTTTCGCCGCCAGCGGCTGAAATTGTAGGAGCTTTGCTTTTTTGGGGGGGCCTTATCCGGCGCGTCTTCGACGGGACGAAAAAATTCCTTACCCAAAAAGTACATCCGCTACCACAAACTATGTCGCGATTGCAGTTAATCGACGGTGGCATTACCGGCGCATTGCCTGCTAGACGATCCTGTACTGTGATATCACGTGCGCTGTCAGTTTCTCCGTTCAACTTACACCACCCAAGAGCCAGTTGCCCCCGCTTGAACATCGTTTCAGGCGTCAAGACACATTTTGCTCAGTTCCTCGTATCCTCCACGATGGAACCTTGAAGCTTGTTTGTAATCCACCATGGTTAATTTGGTGTCTACACTTAGCCGATTACTATTCAGCCTAAGCAACTGAGTCGTTATCGGGGGCTCAGGGCATAGATCTCTATCTCCACGATGGCCACACATCCGAGGATCGAGCTATTTCCATCGGGAATCGGTTTCCTGCATCACGATCATAGTATCTGCTGGATTCTGTATACGCCTCCAAAGGTTAAGGTGGTGAAATGTCGACCAGAAAAACTCGATAAAATTTCTCGGCACAAACTTGGGGCCATATGAATAGAAAAGATACAGAATTTATGATATTCCTATTGCATCTTTTTAGCATTCTCGTGATCCACACTGGTACGATCGATCTCTCTAAACTAGATTACACTATCCCCTTGTTTTTCGTCGGCAATTCCAGATTCTGACAGTTTCGTCCTGCAATAGCGAGGGACGTCGGGTTGGAGAAGATGCAAAAGGAAAGGATTCTAAGGAAAAGAGTGACGCAGCCGTTCCTAGAACGTGTGAGTACGGCATCTCACAGCAATCTGCGTTAGTGACGCCTGTGAGGCGCAGTTCAAACGGGCAAAAGCATTTCAAAGATCACCGTGAAACAAACGAAAGCAAAAACAAGAACCAAACATGACTCCGAGCTTACATGCAAATCCAACGCCGTGCCGTATGCTTGCCTCGCCTTGGTATATCAATTGACAAAGGAAACATTGTTGCCCTGCTCGCAGAGAAATCCACCCAGCTACTTCTCATGAGATGTAAATTCTGCGCTGTACACTGTTGTGAAGATGAACGCACAGTCTTACTATGAATCTACCTTTGTGGGTGCAATCCTTCTCTTCTTTGTTCCCTTGGCCTCACCCTCCTCTGGAGCTTCTCTCTTCCGAGGCGGCTCTACAGCGACAACCCCCTCGATGCTGGGATGCGGTTCATTCTCGCTCTCTCGCCTCGCGTGAACTGTCGTTGCCCCGCTGACAGAGCTACTTGCACTATGCGTTCGGTGCCCTGTAGCGGCTGGTCGTGAAGCTCCGCCAGCTTCGGCACCCATCGGCGTCTCAGGGGGCGTCCATAGAGGAACAGCGCCGGGAACGGGTGCCGAATGTGCAGCTGCGACACCGCCAACGCTGCTCATAGAGGGCGTGGCATGCATAAGTACATTGGCCTCACCTGAGGCAGAAGGCTGTACGAAGGACGAAGCCACGGAGGAGACGGACATGGACCGTGCGGGACTAGCCGGTCTTGCTGGGGCAAATGTCGACGGAGATGCGGGAAAGCCGGCATCGGACGATTTCTTCGACATGGGAGGAGCAGATGTGTTGACGGGGGTAGCGTTCGGCGTCGACTGAGCAGAAGAAACCGTGGTGTTGATATTTGACGGCTGTGCCTGGCTTTTTGTCGCGATTGGTCCATGATAGACCTGGCCTAACTCTCCGGGAGAGAAAGATAGCGAGGAGCAGAAGCCATCAGACGAAGTCATAAGCAGGGTCAGGCCGTCGTTGGACCAGGCCAGATCCGTGAACGTAGCGAAGTGAAGATTGCTTACAATCACTAGTGGCTTAGACTGCTGTGTATCATAAACGTGCACAGCATCTGACGTGGCCACCGCGTAAACAATTCTGTACGGTAGACCAAAAGCCAACGACGGACCACCAGATGTTGAGGATGGAGGGGCCGAGTCGCTTTCAGACGGTTTGGGCGAAGCAGCAGCCATGCTAGGGGAGGGAGAAGGTGCACTAGTCACAGGAGGGGGATCCATGGTGGACTGTGTCGGAGTCTTGGACGACATTACGGGTTCTGGCAGTGGAGGTATGTCGTCGCTAGAGGCAGTGTCGATAGTGATCTGGCGGGGAGGCGCAGGAGGAGCTTGCCTTAGCGTGTAGAATACGGGAGAACATTTGACTGCGACGGAAGGTTTCTTGTGTCCTGGAAGATACGCCACCGGAGGTTTATTAAGGCCAGCACGTGTGTAAATATAGACGGTGTTGATGATCTCCTCTGGTTGCTTCGCAGTACCTGGGGGGTGTATCACGCGGTACTGGCCCGCAGGCGTGAAACTATCATTTCAATGTTAGCTTTGATCCTATGAGAGATGAATGCTTGGCATGGTTACGCACAGTAAGCTGCCATCCGGTGCAAACGTGAGTCGTCTGAAAAAGGAAGAAAAGGTCTCTTCACCAGCGTAAATCCTCTCATTCCGCAATCCTTCCGTTCGAAGAGCCTCAGATCGCAGACCAAGCCCCGAAGCCTGCAGACTTGGCGAGTTCGCTGAAGGCATGACGGCTGGGAGTGGAAGCGAAGGAGCCGGGGAGACGGATCGCCTAATCGATGGCGATGAGCCAAACGAAGAGCGTCTGGAGTGAGAAGTTGGTGCCGGTGGGTTCATTGGCAATGCCAAACTCTGTGGTGTCCCCGGGACAGACGGAATGGGTGATCCAGCGCCATGAGAGACGGCATCCGACACAAATGAGGCACGGCCCGGCAAATCTGGCGGCGCTGGCGAGCTAGATGAGATGCGGCGGCCGGGTAAGTCCATACGTGAGACCTTATTATGTAGTGCAAATTGACCCTCCTTGGTCTTTAACGTGTATATGTGTACAGAACGATCGGAGGATTGAGTAGCTAGATACTCGTTGAGCGGATCCCAGGCAACACCCTGTACAAAATGAGAGTGCTCCGCAATCTGGCGTACGCAGGCCCCCGTCGAGGTGTTATATATGCGAGCAATGTTGTCCATACTGCCGGATAAGATGAAGGCACCATCCGGGGACCAGGCCAGGTCGTAGATCTCAGAGCCCATTGAGCGGCACATATGCTTTACTCGCCACGTCTCTTTGTCCCCCAGGTTGTCATCTCCCAGGGCACCGTGTTCTTGATGCTCTGAAGGCACCCATATCAGAATGTTTCCGTCGTCACCAGCGCTGGCGAGCGTCTCGCCCTTGGGGGCCCACCGCACGACATTGACGGTGGCCGAATGTCTGCTTAGCGTAGATAGGTATGTAACGCTCCGCTCTTCGCCTTTCGACTCGATCTTCCACAGCTGCAGGCATCATAGTCAGTCAATTCGAGCTCTTGAAATGCCGCAGCACAGACATTAGATGAGCTGCAAGGAAATGACCATTGACTTACGCGAACATTGTTGTCGCCTCCCGCAGTGGCCAGTCTGCCCTTTCCATGGGGCTCAAAGTGAGCAGAGAAGATGGGCGTGCCGTCGTTGTGCCACTGCACCAGCAGCGGCGTAGCCTTCATGGTCTAGGCCGCCCGCTTCGTGAGCAGCAACAACAGCAGCAAGACGGCAATTGAGCTGACGTTGTAAAGATACTGCCTGATGGAGATGAGAAATACGTGGATCTAATGCTGGATGTCCTTCTTCTCTCTTCGTTTCCGTGCCCAGAGTTGTGCGGAGGCGGGAAAAGAGCGTCGAAAGCGGACGGGAAGATGGTATGAGGTTGGAAGCTCGCGCAGATGGGAGGACCAGGGTGCGTCCACGGTGCGGAGGAAGCCAGAGAGCACGACGCCAACAATGGGCCCGGCGTGTACCTTGCTGATAGCGCAGCAGACGAAGATTGGAACGAGGCGAGCTGTTGCTTGGTTTCTCTCCTTTGGTGCGTCCAACGGCGGGAACTAGCACGCCAGCGCCGATTGAAACACGGCTGCCACGACGGCACGCAGATCGCCGGGGACGGGCCACGGAGCCGCACGCGACACAGATCAGTGGCGACGAAAAGGAACTCGACGTGTATTCGCGTGCAGGCGACGGCCGAAACACTGGAGCAGCAGGTGGATCGAGTGAATGTTCGACGTGATGCCTCTGTTTTTGCCGTCTCCGCAGGGCAACGCGGCGACGCGGCGACGATCGTGTGTGCGACGGCCAGTCAGAGAGCGCAGCAGAAGCTCAAGACGACGCGCTAACCGGCTTCGGGCATGTGAGTGGTTTTTGCTGGCTGCGTGTGGGCGACGCATTCAGTACGGGGCCCGGCGTCGACGCAGCCACTTGCTTGTTCTTTGACACGACCACTTTTGGCTCTGGCTTTGGATCGGGGAATCATCTTTCTTCACCCATCGTTCTTGCTTGCTTGTTGTTGTCGTTGCCTTCGTCGTCTTCGTCCTCGTCTTCGTCCTCGTCTTCGTCCTCGTCTTCGTCCTCGTCTTCGTCCTCCTCCTCGTCCTCCTCGTCATCCTGCTGCCATCACCACTACAGCCACTACACTCACATGGCCAGTCGGCCTAGATCTCCCTCCCGCCACTCTCACCGTTGTTCCAGTCCCTTCCCGTCTTCACAGCCTTCCCCGCATGGACTTGATCATTTCTCCGAACAATGAATCCTCCAGTGCCTGCACGTGTTAATGTATGTACCTCGCCATCTCCCCGATGGCCTGATATGCGTGGCTTTCTACACTCTAAGCTCCCATGACGTCTGGCATGACGTCGCCCGACATGCGTTTCCATTCTTGTCGGCTGTGTACAATGCTCCTGTGTAGCGGACATTAGCACTGGGCCTCACTCTTTCTTCCCGCCTACTGCTGATCCGAAGCCACCACCTGAGCAATAAAGGTTCTACCGCTGCTCTTAGTGTTCCATTTGAGCGTACCAACGGTCACTTGCCCAAGTTGAATTTTTTATGTCTGTTTCTTAACCGAGGACTTATCTGCTACCACATTGCTGGTCAAGTACACCATCTGCACTCTGCCATTTCGTGGGCATGTAATTCTCATTCACCCGGCAATCAAACAACCGATATCACTTCCCCTCTCGTCCGTGATCTTTCGAATGACTTTGGTGACGTAACAAATCCGAACGAGTCACATAAGCGCACAGCCTCTGCAAGGTGTGTCATCCAGTCATCAACCATCTAAAGCCACGCAACCCTCGAATGCAGGAGCAATTCTTTTATATCTATATTGTCTTTTTCCTCTGGTATACTGATTTTTCTTCATATTCGTGCTTGAAATGGGCGGCAAAGTCTTCACAGACCTTAGAGTTCCCCGCCTTCCCCATGAGCTGTACCATCACGTCCGTATCCACTGCCAGAAGGCCCTAAGAGACTTCTATGTGGATGTACTCTCGCCTCCTGAAGCACCAGACAAGCCTGACCATGGAGACATTGACTTTCTCGTTGCAAGGCCTATCCTCTCGCCAATCGAGCCCGACGACGTGGCCTCATCGTTCGGTGCATTAAAGCACAAGCGAATTCCTAACTCTAAGACGACGCACTATGCAGTTCCCCTTCCGGGTCGTGAGCATGAGTTTGCCCAGGTCGATGTCCATGTCTGCTCGGAAGGTCATTTCCACTGGGAAGCCTTCTTGCACGCTTACGGGGACATGATGCAGATCTTGGGTGTCTTGAACCGCCCCATCGGTCTCACAGCCAACGAAAAAGGCCTACATATACGCGTCCGTGAGATCGAAGCTAAGAATCGAAAGAGAGCCATGGTGTTCCTAACCTCAGACCCGCATGTCGCAATGCGTTTCCTGCGACTGGACGTGGACGCCTACGAGGCTGGTTTCCAATCAAACGAACAGATATATCGGTGGTGCTTTCAGGGCGAGCTGTATTCTGAGCCCATCATGCTTGCGACGACTTCAAACGATCGAAGCCGACTACGGAAACGTGACATGTTCACAACATGCCTTCAGGATTGGCTACCTGCGCACAGGCAGGAGCTCTTTCCGCCCACACGCAGGATATGGACGCGCGACGAGGTGCGGGATAAGGCTCTAGAGTGGTTCCCTGACGCGCAGCGCAAGTATGAAGAGGCCATGGGCCATAACATGCTAGAGGAATGGCAACTTGGAGTTCTCGCTGATATGCGTGAAAAATGCCTTGGCGAACTAGGCGAGAAGGCTGCTCGGGAAGTGATCCGTGGATCGAAAAGATTTGTTGATCGCGCTGACGGTGCATGGAGAGTGAACGAAGCTGCACCCGAGGAGAACATTGGGCTGGTTCCAGTCTGGATGGACCATTTGCAGACTGAAGATGACAAGGCAAGGTTTCTAGAATGGTTCAAGGAGAATTGGCGGGATGTTAAGGCTCTAGAGACGAAACGCGGGAAAGTAGCCAAGGATCTGAGAGCCACTGCAAAAAGCGGCCGTGAAACAATTCTACCATGACGGGAGCTATTCAATTGCAGGTTTTGGGCTGGCCAAAACTGCACGTTTATCCAACACTCGTCACGCAGAATTTGATACCGAAGGAAATGGTGCATGGCACGGCTTGTAGCCAGCCAACCAATACCCCACAGGGTTCATTCGAATCCTCAACGTCGACAACGAGAGCATAGCTTGAAGCTTTTACGTCCATTGTGATTATGAACTGCCGTTGAACGCATCTTTTAAAACCCACAGTTACAACGCAGATACCCCGGATAAGCAGAAAAATAGTGGACCCTGATGAGAGTTGAAGCTGCGATCTCGCACCCGCTCGGCGTACCTCTTCCCGAATGGTCGTCCCGAGCGGTCGCCCCTGCGGAGAAGCTGAGTAGTATATACGGAGCTGGCTGTCCATGTCTTTTGCCTGCCGCGTTTCCTGAAGCCAAAGAACTTCATAAGACCGACAATGCCGTTCGACACAGCGCTAGACAAGGCCTCCACGGACGGCTCCACGCAGTTCGGATTTTGGCTCACGTGCGTACACACCCCAATTTACTCAAGATGCACTTAGAGATGCTCACGGCAGGAAAGGATCCCGAGCGCGGCTCTCGCCAGAACGATCTTGAGATCTAACGCGAGTTCGTCCGCCAAGAGATTCAGCTGGGTCCTTATCGATGCCGAGCACGGCTTCATCACGGACCAGGATTACTACGAGGTGAAGGCTCCCGCGAGAACGTGCTCGGCCGCAGTCGACGGCTTGCTGCATCCTTATGCGTATCTGCGTTTGCTGACTTGTGGCGTGCTCATAGCTCAGCAGTGCCGTTGGGTCTGAAGGCGCCAGTCCTATCATTCGCGTTCCGTGGAACGAGGAATGGATGATTAAACGAGCTCTGGATGCTGGCGCCCACGGTATTCTAACTCCTATGTGTATGTTTGTTCTACATCAGAGCCCGAAATTACCTTTAATCGCTTTATGCTGACAGATATGCGCATACAGGCCACTCAGAGGTGCGCCCAGCATAAACTGAACGTAATTTTTCTTGTTGGGACCCTTCTGACGTTCGCATCCTCAAATAGGCCGATGCTGCGAAGATAGTGCAATACTGTAAATATCCGCCCTTGGGCTCCCGTGGATATGGACCTGCGTTTGCGCCGCACGCTTTCCCCGGTCTCAAGGTTGGTCCCACGTACGAGCAGGGCGCGAACGAAACCTTGAAAGTTATGGTCCAGATCGAATCCAAAGCAGGCGTCGAGAATGTGGAAAAGATTGCGCAGGTCGAAGGCTTGGATGTCCTTCTGATAGGTAGGTACTTCCTTATTTCACCCTGGAGGGTAGTGCGGGAGCATGTAACCCCAGAGAATCTTGCACCGCTAGACTCTCCGTGAAGTCTGCTAAAAAAAAATTTTTTTTGAGTTTAGGGCCTTTCGATCTTTCGAAGCAGCTTCAGGTCCCACGTGGTGGTGAGGAACACGAGGCTGCCATCAAGCGCATTTTGAGCGCCGCACATGCGGCTGGAAAGAAAGCAGCGATATATTGTAAGTGAGAGTGGCTGGGACACGTAGCTCCGATTATGACATTTCCAAGCGCTACGGTGTTGTTGTGCGATATACTAACGTAATTCTCCTAGGTACAAATGGCGAAGATGCTCAGCGCCGCGCGCAGCAGGGCTTCGATATGGTTTCAATCGCGTCGATCGAGGGAGCACTAGCGGAAAAGATGCAGGCGGAACTAGACGTAGCAACTGGTCAAACTGAGCAGACCAAGGTTGAGCGAAGCTACTAAAAACTACACTGTTGACGCAACCTGCCCTTGGTCCCGAATCCCTATCGCGCACCAGTTGACACGCAACTGTGTAGACTCTGTGCATTACAGCACGACCTCCTCATGGAGACATGAAGGTTTGAGCTCTTCTTCTAGAAGCGCCTAGTGAAAGAATGGCATTTGTTCAAACTCGCGCCGAAGCCCAACTTGAGCCCACCGAAAGGCTCAACAATCAGGTGCAAATATTTTGTGCCTCTTTTTACCCGAACGAAAACTTCCCCAAACCCCCCACCGATAGTCCCAATCCCGCATTGACTAGATTATCTCTGCGAAGCTTATCATGAGAATACAAGGCTATCAACAATGGAAGAAGACCGAAGGAAGGCATCGCTAACTGACCCAACCCCCCCGACTAAGAGAAACTATCTCGCGATCGACAATCATTGCCATATTGTAAACGTGCGGTGAACTTGAGCCGATTTGCAAACTACAAAGAGACAAGATGCCACCTGGCATGTAGCATTCGAACTCCTAACTCTGGCCTTGGCTTTTATTGAACCCATCACATCTGTGATATTCCCATGCTTTTTTTTTCAATTCATAATCTCATCCATCGTCTCCGATGTTTTACCCTTTGCCTCTACCCAGAAACCCCAAATAAAGAGCAGGGTCAACACATCGAAGACCAGATTGATCATACACTTTTCCGACATCATTGCTTCGAAGGAGTACTGGAATAGAAATGCAATCATCGATCTGACACCATTTGTGAACAAGGTACACATGCCCAGGCCAGTGGTTCGGATGGAGTATGCCTACAGGATACATCATGCTTAGAAGCGTACACTGGATGGACTGAGCACGCAGAAACAAGACTATGTGCAGGCCTATATTTGGCGTGATGAGGGACTCTTCTATGTTACAATTGTTCAATTGGGCGGGCCCGGGTCAAACCTGGTCAATTAATCTCCTATTTTGGATAATTTGACTCCTCACAACTCTAGATATCTTACGACTGGCTAGTGACGAAAATTAGCTGTTCCCTTATACTTGGACAAGGGAGCTCCTTAAAGTGTGTGCTACGCATGTCTTTTGAGAGACTGAATCTTGGCCTGGATCAAACTGGCGTTTCTATTAGTGACCCTGTGTTTCTATGAGTAACGATTAAGACTCCTTTCAAACCTCTCCCAGCATCTAGCTAAGCAGAGATCAGCTTATGCGCGTCTTCTGCAGCACGGGTAGCTGTACAGAAGAAGGGACGACGTTTGCAGAAGGTTTTGACCCAGAAGGATTGGATAATGCCCGTCTTGGACAAGCTCGACCAATTTTAGTATAATGGCGGTGCAATTATGTACTTGCCGCGAAAGGCACAGGCCCAGCCTCGGTCAACGTATATTTAAAATACCTCTACTACAGTTGATCGTGTCCAAGTTTCAGATAACCAACTTCCGCTGAACTGAATTGGATAAAATTCTTAGAAACGTAGTCCTCCAGTTGCAGAATGCATGTTTAGTGTGCCGCAGAGTGTACCATAAAGTGACCAAATACCATACTTCCTAGAAATATACCCGCGAGGATGGAGAGAAAATAGCCAACATTCATCGTCATCACCGCAATCATTCTGGTCTAAGGTCAGCAAACCGGTACTTGAAGAATCTGCCAGTGCCATACAGGAGATATCCCACCCCCGCAAGCACCATGTCCGCAAAGGCCAGGCACACTGCTTCATTCGCTCTCCAAGGGCGTATATTGGATTTACTGTCTGCTTCGTATCCATACAGCACCCCTCCACTACGCCTTTGCCGGAGGACCTCGATAAATTCAAACAGATTGATTCTGATGGCTAATATAGCTCGGAACATGGCTGAGAGAGCAATGAGAAATATGCATGTCCCAGCATACTGGCCTGTTGAGTTCGGCGTCCAAGTCGATGAGAAGAGAGGTGTGGTTGTTGATGCAAAGAATGTCATAGCCATCGTTTCCATATCCATCATTCCCGACGAAGACATTTCCGCAGCGTTCGACGAGGAAGAAGTGGCCATAGACATGGCAGACATTGTACTCGACGCTGCAGAGGCTGCAGACATCGTCATCCCTGACATCGTGCTCATGTCCATATTGTAAGGAACTCAGATCCAAGTTGGAAGAATTAAATTTTTGAAGCAGCTTGAAGTACACTCCAAATTTTGAGCCTGTAGCTGATGAAGTTTGGCCGGGAGAATCAACTCACGAGGCGATCTTTAGTAAGGCTAACCCTCCACCTTGCGACAGCTACGATTTAACTGATTCAAGGTTAAGTTCCGAACTCGTGCCTTTGACATTGATAGTTGGACATCCCATGTCGCAATGCCGATCTTCCGTCGCAGAGGCTGGAAATCCCGGGACTACAAGGCTCCACCTTCGCGCGGTGGTGAGAAACTTGCTCAAAAGTGCGCAAAAGCGCTGATCGATTGAGTGCAGCCCGGCCTCACGTCGCAACAATGGACGCAAATGCTCTTAGAAATCGCCCAGTACGACTGGCTACTGGTAGCACCAGAATGGTCTGATGCAGCTAGTTGCATCGAAACTTCGCAAGCCTTTGCAAGCCTCCGCAAGCCCTCGCAATGGAGTGCTTGTTCTTCGCGAAGTCCCATCTTGCGATGTGCTTTGAGCAACCTACATGTAGCGCCAGGCCCCCTTATCTTCTACAAGCGAGGACGAATACGTTGAGAAATTCGTAAATTTTCTTTCTCCTCGTCGGGAGACGCGCAAATTCATATCTATTCCGCCCTCCTATATCCCCAAGAATTTGACATCACCAAAGGGCTGCAGGAACATAAACAGTCGCAATGAGTGCAGCGTGGCTCACTCCACCAGTTCAATTGACTGGCATGCGCATGTTCGAATGCGGCGATCTGACGGCTGAACAGTGCAGCTACTACAAGGAACGATGGCACTTTTGGTGAGTGGTGCTTATAACCACACGCCTTGCAATAGGCTGAGTGAAACCAAATAGGTACATTGCCGACTACGTGTTTGCTCTCCCGACTGTAGCATTTTTCATGAGCGCCATTGGGATTTTCATCATAGGCTACGGTGCTTCTCTGCTTCTCCACATCACTCGCGTTTCGGAAAAAGCATTCGTCGGAAGAAGACTTGTTGCAGCTGTTCGCTACCTGTCTTATCGTGGCTTTCACATTCGAAAGCTGAATTGGAATTCAGCCCCAGTCGGCGTGCTATCTCTGGGGTTCGCGGGCACGATTTTCTTTTTCTGTGCGTCTCCCTTGAGGTCTCGCACCAGCCTGGTGTTTTGTATGCTATCTGCCATCCACAAGCTAATTATTCCTCAGGTATGGATTTGGCTCCAAAGCCGTACTATTGGTCTGACGAAATCTACGGCGGCTCGCCTCCTCTGGCAACGAGATCGGGATGGATGGCGCTCGGTTGCATGCCTTTTGTCTTGTGAGTAGTCAATCGCTGCAGTATTGGCCTAAATTGATCTCGCCCTAGCGCTACGGCAAGTAAGACGAACTGGATCACGCTATGTACAGGAGTATCCCACGAAAGACTCCAGGTCTTTCATCGATGGATAGCTTATGCGTTTTTTATTCTTGCGCTATTGCATACATTTCCGTTCATTGTGTACCACATTCACTGGCATGATATGGAGGCACATTTCTCTGAGAGTTTACTCTTCTACTGGACCGGAATTGTCGCCATCATCTTTCAAGCGTGGCTCACTTTTGCGTCTCACAGTACCATTCGGTAGGAAGCTCTTGTACTTGGAACATTAGTGGATTTTTCTGACTCTTGAGAACAGGAAGCTAGGATATGAATTCTTCAAATTGACACATTTCTTAGCTGTGGTTGTGTTCGTGGTCACATTCTTCTGGCATTGTGATTATACCTTAACATCATGGTATGGATACAGGATTTCTGGCTAACACGATAACTAATAAGTTATCAGGCACTACTTCATAGCTACAGCCGCCATATATGTACCCTGCTACGTCTATCCCTGGATACGAACCGGTTTTCAATATGGGATGATCCAGCAAGCTCAGATTGCCGTGGAAGATAATGGCTTTACACGAATCAAGATACCGGCGAAATTCACTTGGAAGCCTGGACAGCATTGTTTTCTACGATTCACCAGCTTTGGTCTCGCGGCTGCACTGTCGAGTCATCCATTTACGATATGCTCGTCACCTCCTTTCACATCCGACGAGAAGCCAGAACTCGTCTTCTACATTCGCCATCAACGAGGCTTCACTGAGAAGCTATATAGGCATGCACTTGAAAACCCAAACAACAGCGTTCCAGTTCTCGTCGACGGACCGTACGGAGGAATAAATGCAGGCACCTATCATGAAGCTGATCACCACTTGGTCATAGCTGGAGGGTCGGGAGCCGGTTGGTGTTTGCCTTTCATTGAACATTTCCTGAGATCTAGCTTTTCGGTAGGAGATGAAGAACATGCAAACGAATTGCCTCATGTGGGTACAAAGGAGGCAATTTCCGTGATTCACGAGAAAGGCCAGGTTCTTGGAAAAGCCGTCACGCTTCGAGTAATTCTTGCTACTCGGGATGTCAGCAGCCGTCTGTGGTTTTTGAGCACTGTAGAGGCATTGTTTTCAAAATATGGTGCCACGAATTCAGCGTCACATATTTCTGTTCAAGTATACCTGACAGGGACTGCGGCAGATGAAGCGATCCCAACCAAAGAGGTGTCAAAGGATTCCGAAAGCTGTTCCCAAGGATCAAACTCACCAGCTGACAGAATTAATGTGCCTGTTGTTGGGCAGCAAGCAATTACTCTTGGAGCCGAGACGAAGGGACGACCTCCCCTGCGAACTATTATCCATGAGGAGGCATGTAAAGCGGCCAAGGCCCGAGAATCGCTCAATGTCTTCGTTTGCGGGCCTACTACAATGCAGAATGATGTTCGTAATGCTGTAGCCTACGAGAACCTTGAAATAATCAAGGGCTCGAAGGCCAAGGCCGTTTACTTACATTCTGAGCACTTCTCGTGGGCATAAGTGCTGGCGTTTGAGATCGAGTGTCTTGCCATGTGGCTGTCCATAAGATAGAAGGATGAAGATGCAAAGAGAATGCAACTGATGGATTTAAACGCCCGAACTATCATCGTGACTTACCCTGAACATGGATCAAAAGGTTCTAGATAGATGGCCGGCGAAGAATGGCAGCGTTCTACATTCTTTGATACTCAAGTCTTCGGGCTAACCAACAACCGATTATGACGCTGATCGCCGCCCCGTTCTCATCGCGCTTGAACACGAGCGTCCAATCGCCGGGAGCAGGGGCGTCAACGCCACGTGCACATGCAAGAGCCCACACGTCATTGCCCAAATGCTTCATTATGTTCGCCGGGCCTCGACCAAGGTACCCGTCGAAAGCTCCGTACAGCAGACCAGTCTGACCCTCGCAGTGGAAAGTGGACTCCAGTTCTTCGCAGTAGAAGCTGCCCTTCAAGGATTCGTCATAGGGCAAAGCATCAATCGTACTAATCCGAAAGGCGTTAAGGACTCGGTTATCTCCCAGACAATGAATGTGCAAAGAGTCCTCTTGTATCCTAGCTATCATGCTCTCAGACCGGGCGTTCCTCTCATCAGTTAGGGTCAGTGTCTCAGGGTAGCCAGCATACGTGACGGAGATTTTGCCTTTACCATAGGAGGATACTCTGATGGCCAACTGAGTGGACTGGTCAAGAAAGCTGCCGAACCATTCTGAAACGGGTTCGGCGGAGGGGATAGTGGGTTTTGGCCTATTCAAAAGCGTCAAAAGTGTGTAGAAAGCTGCGTTGGACGCGTCTGATTCATGGTTGAACATGACAACGACGGAGAGACACTCCTTAGGTGCGTATACGCGACATAGTCGATATCCACGGAGCGCTCCGCTGTGGCCAACAGTTGCTACACCTCGCGTGACGCCTTGCTCTAAGCCGTACCTGTAGCTGGATCGTCTTCCATCCTTGTAAGACCGCGCCTCAGCCGCTGCCCGATAACCACTTTGAGGGTCCGTCCAGCGGGAATGAAAAAATCGCTCATACGCAATCATGTCTTTGAGTGAACATACCACACCCGCGTCTCCTGACCACTCGATGGCATTATGTGCCCGAAAGAATCCGCCTTGCGTATCACCTTCATATCCAATACACGGTCCGGGTTGTTTGGCCGTGTCGGGACACAGCTTTGCCGTTTTCATGCCTGCCGGCTGGAAGATCCGCTCAGAAAGTAGGTTAGCGAGCGGCTCCTTGCTAACGGCCTCAATGAGTCGTCCTAGAATGTAGAAATTTGTGTTGCAGTAGGAAAATTCAGTGCCTGGCTCGAAGTGCAACGACTTCAGCTTACGCAGCATAGGCGTGCCGTCCTCAATGATTGAGAATTTGCTGTCTACTTGGGCCCCACAAAGCATGCACAGGGCCCAGTAGTCGCGGATTCCTGATTGCATGTCGCACAAATGATCTATTGTCAATTCCGTGTCTTGCAGGATTTCGCTGGGAAGAATCTGCGGCAGCATGTTTGACATCTGTTCCAGAACAGGGCCCTTGTTTGCCATGGAGTCAGTTGGATTGCGCTCCAGGTCTAACATAAGAGTGCAGAACATTTGCTTGGAAATTGAACAGATAGGCATCGGTGTGTCGGCCGACAAGGGAATTCTACGCTCAAGATCAGCGTATCCCCAGACGTGCTGGCCGATGACTTCGCCATCTTGCAAAACTGCAACTGCACCGGCTGGGCCTCGATATTGATTCGGCAGTGTTTCGAGAAGTTGTCGCACCTCTTGCGGGGAAAGGGACATGGTGAAATGGGTATGAGTAAGATCCGTGAAAGATCACGAGCGTTGAGACGTTGGTGCTTTTTCCGAGATTGCGGGGTGCTACTATTATTCTAGTCGCAAGCAGAGCTTCAATTGAATACATTTGCACTCGCAGCCAAATGTTTTTCGACACTTCACGAGTACGCAAAGTAATAGGTGATATATAGCACATGCGGCGGTGACATGCTATTGCACGTAAATCAAATAGCTTCCCAACCAAGTCTAGATCCTATCAGCGGCATTGAGAATACTTGGCTCTCGGCTTAGGAGTCTGAAAACTACATGAAGAGAGCAGATAGCTTTGCAAGGGAGCAAGCCTATGTACAACCTCGTTTTTGCAGATGGTTTGTTGAATTCGCATGCGAGTTCCACGAGAAACCAATAGCTTCATCCCGCACGCATCGGAAAAGGCATGGATACAAAATTCTGCACGGTTTCGAAGAAGTCCGGCATTGTTTCAAGGAGCTGAGGTGCTGATCAAGTATGGGACATCGATAGTCTTTCCGAGCGAGAAGTTTGTTCTCCAGACAACATCTTCGATGAGGAACATGAATGCAGATATTTCCGCCTTGCTGTTCTCTTGTTTCTTACAACGATTATATCGCTTAAAGATCCACGAACAACAAAATGCTAACTCCTTGAAGGCTTTCACGAAGGACAACTGCTGCGCTTTCTGCTGGTCAAGCCTAGCCCGCGTACTTCAGTTGTACCTGACATACTTGCCTTATCTGTGTTTCACTCTTCAGATCTTGGGCTGTGTTGATTTTTCGCACAATGAGGCTTATTGTAAATCTTTGCTATAGTTCATATTCTTGAAAAAAAGTCATGCATTGTCTACAAGTCGACAATAACGGTAAGAATATTGTTGTGCGCGAAGAATCGCTATCGAGCAAAACAATTCCAACGATAGAGGAGTAGAAGATTATTATAGTTCTAACCCTCCCCCCAAAAAAAGAACACAAAACAGCCTCAGGCATAGTGATTTTTGGGGGCAACGTTCAAAAAAAGAAGGGCAAAAGAAATGCTCCCAGCCAGGTTCGAACTGGCGACCTTCAGATAACCCTAGATGAACTAGGTCATACATATTTGTTATATGAGACTGACGTGATAACCAACTACACCATGGAAGCTTGGTGGAGGAGACGGCATTATTTCATTATATACTCTCTTTTCAGTTCTCAACATTACTTTTTCTTTGTGATAGCTCCGCACGAGCACGGTTCATAGCTTTCTCTTGCGACTGTTTGTCAGGTCTCATCTCGACTGTGTACTCCGTACGGGGATGAAGGTTTGGCCCAGGCACACAACTGTCCTTTGACATTTCATACATCGAAATAGAAAAAAAAGAAAGAAAGAAAGAAAGAACCTCGTATGCTCGACAACCTTATGTCTTGTGGTTTGCACAATCGTCGCAAGCGCTGGAACTTGTTCTCTCTTCAACAGACCGCACCACGGTTCCTGCAGCGAATTCTCCTTGCGGCTGAGTTTTACGGACTAGCTTCTGTCGACGCTGATACTGTTGCACGCATCTGTTGGGGTTTTCCTCAGGTGCGTTTGTTGGCGGTTAAAGAGTCAATTGGGATGCTACTTTCGCTGTCGTCCGAATTTCTTCGCTTCCAACAGCTTCGCGCCCGGAATGACGGTTTGATAAAGCAAGTGAAATTCAGCCACGGATATCGCTATTCTTTCGAAGGAGGTGGAAAAGAGCCGAAATTGGAGGGCCAGGTGAAGGGAGGCTGCCATCATTCTCAACGTTTGACTATCTTCTGATTTCATACTTCTTCCCGCGATTCTTACTTTACGATTACTTCCATTCTTCTTGTTCTTGATTAAAATTGTGTGCTGAACGGGTTTTTCTCCAGGTCTACGTCCTTCTGACGAACCTTGCCACGTAAATTGTTCCGTCTTCAAGCGCTGAACAGTCGGGGCTAAGGAGCCTAGTCAATCCCGGCTCAAGGCCGTGGTACGACCCTGCTAGCATGCGAGTCTAAACACAACCAGGTAACATGCTCACTTTGGCAGCGATGTGTACAGAGTGGCGCTTTGGAAGCTAGTACAGTATTGGGAGCGCTAGGCCAAATCAGAAAGACAATAAACCGATTAATTCCTCTGCTCCTCAAGCCATTAAACCAAAGAAAGCCAAGACTAAGTTAGGTTCCTACACAGTAGAATACAGATGGCTCGTCGAGTACGGAAATGGATCGTACCGTGAACCTTTTTGTGTTTCTTTATTCCAAGGTCATACCCGACACACAGCTACTACCAGCCAGAAATGTCGGTCGAGAGCAAGGCAAACGTCTGCATGGCTCGTATACAGGTTGAGGCCGAACACGCCAAGCAATATATAAAGATCGACGTAGGCACGAGTCGGCACCGGCCTTCAAGATCACCACAGTGATCCTGGGGGGTTTCAGAGTACCTATTTCTGCCAATTCGGAGTTCTTAAGCTGGAGCTTTCTTGCAGGATGACCTTGGGCCAGCATACTCAGCTTCCTCGTGGCAGATACATACATACTACGCGACGTATGCGTACTGTTGTCTTTTGACAGCGTCCACTCATTTATGATTGCTTCTATGAAACCGACAAGTGCAGGCTCGTTAGCCTTACTTTTCTTCAGCTTTCTTCATTTCGTATTTTCTTCAAATGCACCCGATATAGACATTCGCTATGCAAAGCTGAAGGGGAGAGTGAATGACGTTGACCATTCTTGGGAGTTTCTGGGTTGGTACAATCTATCAGCGTGACACCAGCATGCTCAATCATTGAAACAAAGCCCGTGCTTCGGCGCATAGCGGTCTACCGACATTATGCGTCAATCAGGTATTCCGTTCGCAGAAGCAGGAAGGTTCGAACAACCGCGGTTGTACAATCATTCCATCGGCACTTTCAACGCAGTCGAGTATGGCGCCATATGTCCTCAACACTCCATAGGCGCCATCCTTACAACGGGATCTGAGGACCGTTCCTTACTAGGTGAAGTTGACTCGGAAATTGGACCCATCGTGGGCATACTGGTGGAAAGCATCTACTCGTTCTCCGCGAACCGGAGCGAGGACTGTCTATTCATCAATGTCCAGACTCCCCAAAACATTTCATCCGATGCTGCTCTGCCCATCATTTTCTGGATCCACGGCGGTGGTTTTGAGGTTGGATCGCCCGTCAGTGACATCAGCGAGACAGACATCTTGCGTGCCGCGCTGTTCAACTACAACCCTGGCAGACTCCTACGAACAGCCGTCGAGATAGATCAGCCCGTCATCATGGTATCAGCAAACCATCGCCTCAATGCTTTCGGCTTTAGTGCCTCTCGTGAGATGGAGGAAGCCGGGCTCCTGAATCTCGGTCTCGAGGACCAGCGCGTTGCTTTGCAATGGGTCCAAGAGCATATTGCAGAATTTGGAGGCGATCCAAGCAAGGTCACGCTGATGGGGGATTCGTCCGGCTCCTGGTCTACTGTAGCTCATCTGCTTTGGGACGAAGGCGACACCCAAGGTTGGTAGGGGCTCAAGATAGAGTTTTCACCAAGGATTCCACTGATGTCGAGCAAGGTCTGTTCAGAGCAGCGATAGCCATGTCCGGAGGACCAGTAGCCGTCGACGGACCGGAGCGCCAGCAAGAAACTTTCGACAACATGGTCAATCAGACAGGCTGCGCCGGCGCGCCCGACAAGATCGCGTGCTTTAAGGAGGCAAAGTACGAGGACATCGTGGCGTCCGTGAATCAAGAAGGCCACCGTAAGCACGACACACCATCTCCACCTCCACCTCTGTGCCACGAGAATCCACTGACACGTATCACCTAGTCATGGGGCCCCGCTCGCTGGCTTCCACATGGACGATCCGACCAGATGGGAAGCACTTGAAGGACTCACCACATCGCCTCGTAAAGTCAGGCTAGATGGCTTCGGTTCCACTGATGACAGGAGGTAAGACAGCTGTTTGACCTTTACGGCTTCGAGAAGACAAACGGGCGAGAGCAAAGTGGAACATGCTAACAAGGCCTCGCGTGGGTTAAATGCAGACATGCGAGACGAGGGCACCTTCTTCACTTTGGTCGCGCAGCTGGAGACGCTGACGGAGAGCGATTTCCGGCAGTACCTACACACGACGTGGTGGCCGCACGCGAGCAACGCGCAGATCGAGCGCCTGGCACAGCTATACCCTGCCGACCCGGCGGCTGGGTCTCCGTTCGGGACGGGCGCGCTGTGGGCGACGACGCCGAACTTCAAGCGCCTGGCCGCGCTGGTGGGCGACTACAGCTTCCAAGCGCAGCGGCGAAACCTGCTGGCGAACTACGCCGGGCCGGCGTGGAACTACGTGATCGACGTGGAGGTGCCGACGGCGGGGCTGACGGGCCTGCTGGCGGGCAGCCGCGTGGCCGACGCCGTCGACGCCCTCACGGGCATCCCCGTCCTGGGCTCCCTGCATGCCTAGGACTGCTTCTTCTACGTCTTCGCCGGCCTGCCGGGCCTGCTGAGCACCAACACGGTCAACAGGCAGGCCACCATCCTCGCCTTCGCCCGCACCCTCGACCCGAACAAGCACGGCCTCGACATCCCGCACTGGCCCGCCTTCACGCGTGACGGCCGCGAGACGTACAACCTGCGCGAGAGCGGCCCGCGCCTCGAGAAGGACGATTACCGCTGGGACGCGATCGAGTACATCAACGCAAACGCCGACTCGCTCGTCATCTAGCGTCGCGAACGAGTACTGTGAGGTCTGAGTCCCCCAGGTCCGCTTCCCCCATCGATGCCTGCCAAGGTCAGCGCATTCCGCATACATGCATATACATATCTATATAAGCATCAACACCAACGACCAATTATGGATGTGCTAGCGATCTACATAACCACCCGTATTTTTGGAAACAGGCAAGCCTTTTCGCATCTTTGTCAAAATGACGGTCCACTTGCTCGGTGGATAACGCCATGTATAATTACCCCAACATGTTGTGAGCGGGCCGTAACGAAGGGGGGAGAATCAAGCCAAAGAACAGAGAAAGGGTCTTGCGCAAATGGTACATTATGCTTCTTTAGAACACTTAACATGATTCGAATTCTTTTTGTCGAGTTCAGCTGGTGCGAAGCGAAATCACCGATGTTTTCAGTCGTTCATGGAAATGTTGCTCAGGAAGACTGGAAAAAACCATCCGCGGAGATGGTCCAAGATTCACATTTATTACGTGATGAATGATCGCGTCTCATCATCAATGCTGACTTGGAAGAAAAGACAAATGCATGAAAGCCTCATTCCCATTTCCCTCAGCTCGATAGGGACCCCATCAATTGCTGTGCCATGCTCACTTTCCAGAATCCAAAAGCTAAAAGTGCAAACCACCTGGTACCTTCGAACCTTTCGCAGCAAATCAATGATGAAAGAACTGTGAATCATAAGGGGGAATAGAAACTACCGGCCGCAATGCTTGAGCAAAGTAAATCCTATGCATACATGGTTTTAGTCGAAATTGATGACGCCAAGTAGTCGGCGACATCATAGGCATGCAAAAAAAGATGGTAAATAAGGCAAAATAAAGACGACCCCGACAAAATAACATGATGATAAAATGTGAATGAACAAAAGAAAAATGGAATCATTTGATTTGCCAATGCGCGGCCTTGTTCCCTTTGCATGCATGCGGTGGCATCCCATGTTCATCAACTCTGTCGGCTCTCCCATCGCCGAGCGCAACTTGAGCTCGCGAATCTGCGCCCAGATCCCTCGGGTTTCACGCAAAGCAAGCAACGGGCAATATTCAGTCAAACGCGTAAAAGTGCAGGTCCTACACTTCGCCGTCAGTCCTACGAAACACCATTGACGGGGCCGTTGATGCTGGGAGACGATGGACCTGGACTCTTGTTCTTCAGCTTGAGCGTGAGCGGGAATGGGTAATCTTCCGGATCCTCTTCCTCCCTATTTGCCTTTGATTAGCACTTTTCTTTTTCCTGGATTGAACGCCAACGATTCAAAACTTACGGCAACTTCCACGCGATATAGTCTTCCGTGCTGAGACCCTCACGACCCTCCTGAAGAGATCCAAAATCTCCGGGTGTCATTAGTCCCGACCTCTCTCGAGGAGATCCCGGTGCGGACAGCGGTCGCGTAATCTTCGTCTCTGCCGAACCAAACAAATCCGGCTCGTCTTCGCCATCAAACGCATCAGGGTACGCACGTCGAAGCGCCAACTGCCTTGCCTTGACATATTCTAAGCCCATCCTCTTCCAGTCGAGCAGGTCGCTAAGTCGCTCCGTGCGATTGCGCTGGTTGATGCGCTGGCGCGTACTCTTCTTGGTGAAGTCGAACATGTACTCCGTCAGCTGATTCACAGAGTCGTCAACGCCCTTCATACGACGATCGACAATGTAGATGCCGTAGTCCTGCGCGTTCTCAATCAGCTCCTCCATGTAGCAGCCGAAGCCGGCCAGATTCGACGTGATACTGGGCACTCCCATGACGGTGCACTCGGCAGGGGTGTAGCCCCACGGCTCGTAATACGATGCAAAGACGCCGAGGTGGGAGCCCCGGACAAATTCCTCATAGTCCATGGGGAGGACAGGATTGTTCGAGTTGAGAAACTCCGGATGGAAGACGACCTTGACGCGGTCGGACGGGTGGTTGAAGAGCTGGCAGCGGCGCAGCTGGTTAAGAATGGGGTCCTCGGCGTCGTTGACCATGTTGTGCGTCACGATTGGTGGTAAACCATGGCGCTTCATTGCAAACAGGCGACGACGGAGCATGATCATGTCGGCCTGACTGAGAAGCTCCTTTTCGTCGGGAAGAGGTTGACCTTCATGCCAGGCTAGCGACTTCTCGAACAACCTCTTTGCCGCGTTCTTGGTAATGGCGTTGACGGTATCATGCAGGGCCTTCACAACCGCCTGGCCTTTGAGGGCCTCCACAGAGTACGACTGAGTCTGGGCAGGCATGATGATGAAGGCCACGACGGTCATCTTCGATCCAGAACTCTTCATCCTATGATTCAAGCGGGCCAGAGACTCGATAAACATGTCTACACCCTTGTTTCGATACTCGTATCGGCCAGCAGTGAAGAAGTACAGCGTGTTCTCTGGGTCGAAGTCGTTGTTTCCATAAAAGTGACCACGCACAAAGTCGCTGATTTTCTCCTTTGCTTGCATATGCAAGTTTTGATGCTCGTGCATAGCGGTGAACTTCTTGACGTTAAGGCCGTTCGGAAGTACGCCGTCCGGCTTTCTCTTGAGCAAGTGCTCGCTCTCATACGCGGTAATGTGTGAGACGGTGGTAAAGACGTCGCAAGAATGAGCAGCAGCTCGTTCGATGCAGTACCGGTGGTATATACCTCGCTTGCCAGCCTCCGCATCCACGTCGAAGTACTGCAGGTTGTTGTAGAAATCGACAGAACCGGCACACAAGTACCGGCCGAGAAGGGTGGCGTGCGTGGTGAATATGGTCGTCACGTCAATCCGTCGTTTCTTGCAGAGAGGAAGAGCCACACCCGCCAACCACTCGTGGAACTGTACCACGACAGCTCGCTTCTTCTCGTGGTACACATACTGCCATCCGTCAGCAAATGGCGTGTCGAAGACCAAGCGGAAATCGGTTGCGACTCACCTCGCCCAAAAACCAAGCAATCAGGTATCCAAAGACAATCGCCTCGTTGGTCTCATGATCGCCTGGCGGCGATGGGATACCAGCGACGTTCCAAAGATCGCCCTTCCACTCGTCTAAAAAGCGATATGCAGTGCCTGTGTCAAAGAGCAGCACACGTGGGGCACCATCGATAAGCCATCGTCCATAAAGAGTGCTGATACCACGGTCGTTCATCGATCGAATGGTCTCGGCAAGGGCAGGGTCGCGCGGCTCGAGTTCTTCCACTTCGACGGAGGCCTGGCAGGCACAGTATTGTTAATCTATATACGCCTTGCTCACAAACAAGACAGGACAGGAATGGGAAGAGATGGAGACGTTGATGCTAACGAACGCACGTACCGAATTTCTGTTAAGAGGACCAAGCAGTGTGTATCGTCCGCCATATTCTGCTGTGGTGACTTGTGCTTTCGACTTCAGCACTGAATAGATACCGCCGACTGGGAAAGGGAGGTTAGCGTAAGGCGTTATGCAAAGCGAATCCAGCGGCCAGAAGGTGCTCACCTCGATTGGCAACTTCTGTTGCAACCTCGAAGAGGACATGGTTTGTAACGTCGCGAGTAGCCAATTCCCCAGCCATGGCTTCTTGTGCTTAATGTGATGCGGGAGAGATGGGCGGAGGAATGGAATGAAAGGACAAGCAGCCGGCAGCAGGAAAGCGTGGAGCTAGAGGACGGTCTTTGGCGTGATGTAATTCGATGTGGGGCTGTTGTGATGCCGGACGCGGATTGAAGCTGTACAGGGTAGGACAAGCGAACAAGATCAGAGGACGGCCGGGGAAGAGTATGAGTATTGTCGAACCCCGGTAGGTGGTTCGGTTCAATGGCTTGGGGTGGTCTTCGCAGGAACGACTACGAGATCGCACAGCGGGCGACGATGGAGGCAGCTGGGCGGGGACCGGGAAAGGTGGAAGAAGACTAGCAAAGAAAAGATTGTGGAGTTCCGGGGGAAGGATGCGGAGAGGACGAGAGACAAAGAAAGAGAGTGGCAGTCGTAGAGAAGAGCGTGGAATGGCAGAGCTGGTGATCTTTTTCGAAGCGCAGCTAGCGTGAGGAAGGGCGTAAGGAAGCTCGCGATAGCTCGACGCACTATGATCTCACTTCTCACTCCTCACGACTGTCCGCAACGGGGGCGCACGCAAACGCTGGAACTTCTCTTCGGGAGATGCCTGAACGTATTTATTTTCCACCCAGCGACAACGTCAAGCACCCGCTGCGCCATCGCGCCGTGGTCGGTTCCAGCGAATTTTGCCTCTTCCACCCGCTACTCCGGCGTCGCATCTCGTAATTCTTATCGGCGGCGCCCATCCCATCGTCAACAAAAGAGCTATGACCCCCTCATCACCGTTGAGCGAGGGCTTTGGCGTGTGGCGCTCACGCGGCTTCGCGGTCGACATTGGGCCAATCATCAATGGGTGGTGCCAACTACCAGACTGACTTCTTAGTTTGGCGATGGTGCGAGCAAAATGCAAAAAAACCTGTTGGGTTCTCGTCAGATGATGATGATGATTACTCCTTATGATGATGGCTGGGAGGCATGATCATAGCTTTGAGTTTTTTGCTTCTCTCGCTCTGCCTCTCTTTCAGCTTTCTCCGCTCGAACCCAGTCTCCCCGTCCTGTGGCTACAACGACGCGTGGGGACATTGAGATGAAGAGCAGCCAATAATGGGCTCCTACCGGGAGCCTGCAGCAATGATGCCCGTGGTTCATTCTGTAAGGAAGAAAAAAAGTTTGTGCGGGGAAGAGGCTCGCACGGGCTGGACGGAGACGGCGTGTGAGATTGGGTTCGCGCCATTCACATGCACTTGTGGGTTTGACAGGCCGCTCCTGCTTGCTGCTGCTGCGAGTTGCGCTGCTGCTTCCTGCTTCGAAAGGCGACAAGACGACGAGGCCGGCCTGTCGTGGCTGCGTTCTCCTACTTCACGGTCGCAGCTGCTTTTGTCTGCGGCTCGCCGACAGATGCTTCCCTCTTCCCACTTCGTGCCCCCTGCTTCTTCGCTCCTTCCTGCCTCTCCAACTCGCTGCTTCCCATGCCGCGTCCCGCCTGGCTCCTGCCTGGCTCCCGCGGGCCGTGCATCGCGCCTGCTCCGGCATGGCGATACGCTGCGTTCCTTCCAGCCTTGGGCCCCTGCAAACTCTCAAAATCTGCCAAACGCCCTGGGCCGTCGCTGAGGCTCGACGTCTGGTCAGCCACCGACGCTCGTTTTGTTCACTGCTCATAACCTCCGTCGGGCCACTCTTGTCGCTCACATCGTCATCATCCCGCACTCGCTTTGCTTGTCAAACCTTATCTGAATCGCTCTTGCCATTATTTTCTCGTAAGTCTTGATGTCGAGCATCTACCTTATGGCAGCTTTGTTGGTGCTCTCGCACTGATCTAGCCCCAATGTTGGGACCTTTTGCTGAGAAACTTCTGCATACCGTGTTCATGCTGCCAAAAACGTTAAAGCCTGCGAAAAATGCTTCTCGATCGGCACTATAGCCCTGGCTCTGCCTCGACACTTCATCTGCTTCCCAGGAGTCCTCCCCGACATGCCCGTCTTCTCGGCCGGTTGTCTACACTGCAACGTGAATCATTCAACGACAAAATTGCGACGTATTCCTGCTTGAGGCTGCTGTTGCACGTATACTCTTCCCGTAGCTCTCGTCTCCGCACACGAACAATTCGTGCTTGTTCGATCTTTTTTTGAGTGCAATCCCATATGTTTGCTCTTTTTTGCTGAGAGGGCCCACGAAGGCCTTAGAGCTGACAATTGCGCGGACCATAGACGAAACTTGTTCGCCGCCTACTCCAACCGTTCTCGGCTGCACGCTGCCATCGTTGACCTTCCACAGTGCAGCAATGACCCCGAACTTCATATAGAAGACGGAAACCAGATCCAACCCATTTGAGATGATCAGCTTCTGACCCACCTCCACTTCGAACGGCTGCAGGCACCCAATCATGTGCCCTTCAGGTGGCTCTGCCTCTCAAAGAAGCATCCTTACCAGACATTTCATGGGTCGGGAAAGACCCGTTAGAAGGTGACGAACGAGACCTGTTAGTGCTCGCTGCACGACGACCAGCACGAGCTGCCGGGGCTAAAGTGGATAGAGTGTGGTTCAATTGGGGCTGTCATGATTGCGAGTTTATAGGAGTGCATGGTCGTGCAAAGACTGCACAAAAACGTGGCAGCATTAAGTTCCAATACTGAACCAGATCCCGGCTTCTCGTCACGCTGAACATTATATTCCGCTGCACGCGGGGACTAGATCATATCCAAAAGCAATATACACTAACACACATCACGTAGAGGATGAACGGCACGCGACGGCAGCATACAGTAACACAAGAGAGTTCTCGTTTTCGGTCGTCAACCTCGCAACAGCCATTAGCTTACGATTACGACTTATCTCGACGACCAAAGAGCCTTCAATCACGGTTTGAAGCTCGAGGAGCTCGGGTCCAGCGCCGCCGATGTCAGATTTTCCAATCCAATCCTTGGCTGGACTGCGGACAGGCTATCTACAAGAAAGCTGCATCGTAGATTAAGGGCTATTTGCAGCATTGCTACGAATTTCACACCAGTGAGGTCAACGATTTGCTGATCAGTCTTCTGAGCATGATCAGAACAAGTTGAATCGGCGCCAACATGAGACGAGCTGACAAATTCCTTCGGAAACTGAGTGCTCTTATCAAAACCCATAAGGACGTATAAGCGCTGCTAGCTCCTCCAAATCCGACCTTAGATCCGTGCTTCGGCAGATTTACACGTATTTATGCGCTATTTTCGATAGCGCAAGTGTCTCGCTATCGTCGAAGTAGCGTGCCTACAAAGCTACCAAGAGTTGATATCAGCAAATACAGAGAACATTCAAAGCCATAATTCTGTTCAGGCCAAGAAAACAGATTTCTTTTCGTTCATGTTATTGTTATCCACAGGTCTGATTCGAGATGACATGGTGATTCGGGACGGCTGCTGTATGTTTTACTGCTCATACCTTACCACAACCTGACGACTGTATATGGAGGGCGGATTAAAACGGTCTCGATTTGCCCATGGCGATCCATCCAGAATGGAGTTTCCAGTCAATGCACAGAATTAGCATTCTCAAGCAGGCTTCCGCCACAAGAGATCCTTACAGAGTAGTTGAATCCCATGTGGACCTCTCATATTTCCATTACACCTCTATGGACGTGGAAATTTATGCCAGGGAATGGAATGCTAAAGAACAAGCTATGACGTATTTCGGACTCCTTTGGCATATGTCAGCCAAACCCGGTGGAACAAGTCGTATCGCAAATATAGGTCTCTACGAGCACTTTCAACATGATCGGTAGTTACCTTGGTATATTTTGAGTTACTAGGAGGTATAAGCTGAATATTTTAACAGTGCTTCGATCTTTATGCCATACTTAACTGCTGTGCATGCAAGCTACGTCTTTCAGGCTTCAACCACAGCCATGCGCATGCAGATCGATCGGTATTGCGAATTTAGAGTACATCTGATCATATCCCTTGTGCCGTACATGAAAACAAACTTTTATCAAGCATGGTAGAGGTTTGTTACGCTCATTCTACAGCCGGATACAATGTCATAAATCCATTTGTTTGTCTCGGACACTCTTCGTCAATTTGTTTAGCATTGTAAAACCAATTGCGAATTTCACCAGCTTTCTCTCAATATCGAAGTCATCCTACAAACATGCACGACGTATTCTGGCCTTGTGATATAGTCTAATGGACTTTATGACGCAGTTTGCCAGGTTTCAGGGTTGTGATGCAACAAACATACTTGCCACTGGCTTTTAACAAACTCAGTTGCTGACCAAATAGTCACGAAGGCTACATAGAGGCTTTGCGGCTTTACTCGTGAAAGTGGAGTTGAGTAGTTACGAATTGAGAAATACCTCTGGATCGTTGTTTGCGGGCCCAATCGCCTCGCTCGGATTGACCTTAAGAAAATGCTTTGTTCAATCATTGGTGGACTTTTTTCAGGAAGGGTTGCTTGGATTCCTGCAGAAAGTTGATGGCTTCACCATCTCAGAATGTTTGGTTCAGTGTTGGCGCCTCCTGGGACGTTTCAGAGCTATGGCAACACTCAAGGATGAAAAAAGTAGTGCCCATGTAACTCTTCAACTGGAGAGCGAATGCAAACGAAGCGTGTCACAGATCTATAACACGATTAAAAAAGGAAATATAAAAGATCTCAACGGTGATAGGCTCTCGGCGACAAATCGCGCAAGGGTAGTTGATATGATATACGAGCACGGACGCTAAACTAATCTTCTTTTCGTACGGAATAGTCCAAGTATGGTGGAATGTTATATTCGAGAGTACTTTAAGGGTGGGCTGTTTGCTAGACGTTCGAATTATGAACAAAGGAAGGCTGACAAAATTGTGATGTCTCAAAACCGGGTTCCGAAAACTGCCTCCACGAAGGAGCAGATCTCGACTTCGTTCGTTTGGTCTAGTCCAAAATGCTCACTTCTTTCCCCATGAGCATGTTCCACTCGATCTTTGCATACAATCTTTCTTTTTCCAAGTCGTTCTTGTAGCTCTTCAGGTCCATCGTAGTCCCCCTCCGGTCTCCAGAATCGCTCGCCCTTCTTGCAGATGAGCTAGAGTGACGGTCCACATTCGCGTCATCGATCCACTGCGGCTCCACCTTCTGCGAAAGCTCTTTCAATTTGAACTCAAGGCGCATTGCACGGTCCATCTCCGCGGCAAGGTGCGCAGAGATCATCTGATTTGGATCGGATGTGCAGCGGACATGACCACGCTTGTGGGACGGAGCTACAGCAGGGCCCGGAGATGCCCATGCCTTAGGCGGAACCGTAGGCGGAAACGGAGCCGACTTGTTGCGAGAATGATTGCGGGAGTAGGTGTGTGCGGGCTCGCTTGGAATAAGCGGCTTTTGCGATGCTTTCAGGTCGAGACGTTGCGATGCAGGCTCTATCTTTGTGATTCTCGACTGAACTTGCGACTGATAAGGGTGGGATGAGAGTGGCGCCTTAGATGACGGACGAAATCGGCTCGTTGGAAGACTGAGGGGCTGTTTTGCAGGAATTCTTGAGATGGTTGTTGCCGGAAGAGGTTGTGCAATTTCCTTCTGTGCTATGGTTTCCTGAGACGTGCCCACATCCTTGCTTGGGTCGCGACGCTGATCTGTGGATGTGTTGCTGTGTCTGAGATTCGATGGTTTCTTTGGGGTGTGATTTGGAGCTGGTTGAAGTTCGGACCTTAGCGTACTTCGAGTCGTTGGTGGTGATACCGCGAGATTGACCGCAGTCAATATCTGAAGGCTGATCGGATCAACTGTTTCAACAGCCGGCGTGGATGGTCTTGTCGAATTCGGCGTTTTTGGTAAAGGCTTTGCAGCTAATTTTGACTCATTACTATTTCGTCGCTTGAGCACCAATCCTTGCTTGCCCTTCGATAATCGAAATGTGGCAGAAAATTTGTACGGCGTAACGGTGTTTGGGCGATCTCGTGCTTTGCCCAGCAAATGTGTACCGTAAGGATCCCTTGTGCTTAACATGTGCGCGAACAAGGCACATGCTATCAGGAGGTTAAGAATCGAGAACGCGGCTCCTGCACGTTGCGCTATGCAAGTTCCTTCTCTTTGCCATAACCTCAGCGTTGGTTGACCGCTCTTGCAGATTGGCTGACGAGCTGCAATGATCATGTTCCAGCCGCTGCTTAGTAGCCAAAGCATAGCGAGCGCAATGGAAAGACGACTGGCGATATAGACGGGTTTCCTAGCAGCAGAATAAACTTCTTCGGTTCGCACCATTATCGTCCGCTTTCGAGCATGGTACTCGTAAAACGCTATGTAAGCGAACGAAGCACTTGTCTTGTGACGAATTAGCAGTGCTCATGCCCTTTACTTGTGAATAGAAGAGACATACAGCAATGATCAGGAGGATTGCACAAGGCACAAGCACCTCGTCGCTCGCACCGACAGCGAAAAGATAAAGTGCCAAAACAAGTGTAGTCAACGACCCCCAAAGCGCTAGGTGAATGTATACGAATCCGGCTGTTGAAGCATTGTACTTCCACCTGGAGAGGAACATTGCTTGCGTTCATCTGGAAAATCCCTCTATTCGTCTATGAGAGTAGGACCGGCCCGGGTGTGCTCAGTCAAGAATAGGATGAGGATTGCTTCAGGCACGGAAGGTCGCTAGATACTATAGCGGCTTCCATGACCTTCAGCAGCCTAGATTTACCGAATGGCAACTTTTAGAGTTCGAAGTTGTAGTTCGCGGGGTGATTGGAGATAATATTCATCTCTCCGGGAACCTAGGTTACCGGCATATGAGTGAAGAGGTGCAACCAATCAGCTGAATGCCACAAAATCGCGATACCGAGAATGATCAGCGACGGTGGCTTGCACTTCGTGGGTTGCCGAATACAAACACTAGTCTTGGTGTTTCAAGCCAAATGCAATGCTTGAATTGCTTGGTGGGTCATTCGAATCCCATGATCATGGGAAGCAAGCCATGGTTCTCGTGGGAAAAGCCGGAGTTGATCCTAGCTCATGCTTACGATATAAACACATTCATGTACAGTGCAAACGCGCGTCGTCCATTCAAAAGTTTTCTCGATTTTACGTGAAGCGGTGGTTGTGGCAGAGATCCCTAGCCCTGAAACGCGGGATCTGATTGGACCAGCTTGCACCATATGAGGCATTAGCATGTGGTCTCCTGCGCAAAGTGCACGCAGGAGAACTGCAGATCGACTCCTGAAAGATGGTACAGAAGCGCGCTGCTTTGGGCTTTCTTCGCTCTTTGAAGCACATGTCGCTTGTGCGCGCGTTTGTACATCCCTACTGAACCAAAATGAGGTCCTCTAAGAGAAGTCAACCTTTTCCTCTTTCCTCCCGACCATTGCAAGAAGATCACTCGAACTTCCAAAGAATCCACTGGGTTAAAATAGCTTGACGACCTTAAAACTCGTGCCCGTGGTGCGTCCATTCCTACGTAATAGACGTAATAGAGTTTGTGGACTCTTTGCTCATGAATTGAGCGACCAGAGGGACGAAACAAGCACCTCCTGCAGGGAGTTCTGCGGCCAGCGCTTAACAGACGCAGCCCAAAAAAATTGAAATCGCTTGTCCTGCCGATACGCGCCCTCAACCATATGGCTTGCACTCTGCAGATGGGGACTTTAACCGTGGCTGACGGTGGGAGATGCCGAAATGGAGAGAATTGCGAGTGCACGACTCGAACCACTTTCCAATTTCCTAGTGGATCGCGAAACGTAGGAAAGAAACCAAGAGCCATTTGGTCTGCCGTCCTTTGGAGCGCAATTGCCGCAGAGCAAGAATGTCACGAGGCTTCGAAGCTAAGCTCATATCACAACGACTATTATTAGTAGTATGATCAGAACGACAATCAGAACCGCAATGCAGCAACTTGAATACGTGTCTGCCAACATGAGCCCTTGTCCTACAGATCAAAATGGTGTCAATATCTTACCTTCGTTTTTCTTTATGACCCACTGGACTTTCTTCATGCCACTTTGAATCTTCCCTCCGACGCGGTCCGTGATTGTATCCACTTCGTGGAGCATCTGGGCTTGCTCATCCAATTCTTGTCCCATAGCATCTGCTTGCTGTCGCAAATTCCCAACCGTTCGAAACACGCCATCTAATGCTTCGTCCTGTTCTGCCATGATCTCCTGTTGCCTCTCTTGCTCGAACATTGCGTATCCATCTTCCTCGTCATCAAACGTGTCCGGATCAGGCAGCGCACTCCCATTGCCTTTATTTTTTGCTTCTTGAATGGTTTTGCCCAACTCCTCACGCATATCTTCGATCTCGCCGCCTACTTCTTCTACCAGCCTTCGCCTCCGTGCAACTTCATCGAGCTCGACACCAAACTTATACGGATCCTGCTCAATAGCTTTAACACTTTGGATCAGGTCTGCTAAGTCCTCGGACAGCTCCTTGAGCGTGGATTCAAGGTCACCTCGCGCTTCTAGCAGCTCCGGAGATTGTGCTGATGAGGCCGAAGAGCGTATTCGAAGATAGGACGAGAACAGCGGGCGCGTTTGGTTGAGTAGGGACAACACATCACTGTTGCCGTTAGCAGTCCGGATCGTAAGCCTCAAAATCATCGCCATACGCTTGCACTTGGAGGAACGGATCCTCCTCATTTGTAGATGCCATCATATTGACTCCAGCTTTTTGTATACCTTATGCAATGGCAGGCTATTGTTTGGAGAGTTCCGTGGTAAAGACGGACAGATTGCTTGTCCGCTGTGGCTTGCAAGCCTTAAGCTTTCCCAGTATGGAGAACGAATAGCAAAGTGGCATGGATATCGGCTAGGGGAGACTGCGCATTCAGCAGACTGGTCAGCAGTCCTCGGCATGAGCCCTTCAACCCTGTCTCGATTCTAGCGTACCTTCTTACTGCCAACTTCTCCCACCTGAGCCCGCCTTTTCTCCATGAAAGGGAGGCTTGCCAGCACTAGCTATCGGTGCCTAGCTGTAGGTATAACATCAGAAAGTTATTGAGAAACGCAGCACGTCCCAAATTGATAAGGTAAGTTGATAAGGTAAGTTGGGGTTGAAAAACGTAGCGATTTTGGGATGGCTGCAAAGCAGTCCAGATTTGCGCACACAGATCTTCTGTCTTTCAAGCCGATACTTACCCTTAGCTATTTGCTGCCAGCACTGTGCCGTCGAATTATTAGCAGAGTATACTACTCCGTTCAGAGGTGCTTGACCGGCCCAATGTCATCTCTCGATTGCTTGGCTCGCATGACTCGATACGAGAAGCAGTTTCAAATATTACACAAGTCGATTGTCAATCCTGCATAATTGACTGTCTCTGCATATTTAGAAACATCAGATTTCGCTGCTGAATTGAGCTTTGTTAAGATCACAGCACATAATCTTGCTGCACCAAATGCAATTCCTGCAGAGCAGTCCTCCATGACAGAGCATTGGCGGCCTCCAACTCGTTCCCCTCCATGGACCATTACCCCTCAGAATCAGAGCCACACGACCTGCCACGAGGAAAATTTTTTGACAATAGTAAATAAACCGGTGTGAAGAAAGTGGAATTCGTACAATTGTGTTTATTTATGGTGCTGCTTGAATACGAAAAGTCGCTGTTTCACGAGTTTAGCCTGCGCCTAGCGAACGCCATTCAACGCCTCACGGCTTGCTGTCATCTCAGGTCTCCCCCCTCCCCTTCAACCAACAGAGGAGAAATCATGGACGTCCAGGTGTACTTAGCATCTTCGTCACCAGCCTTCATATGGAGAAGTCATAAGGCTGTCCGATCTGTGTATTCGCCACCATGAGAAAATCATTGTGTCTCTTGCTGCTCTGCGACTTCATCCATTTCTCACACTGTTCTCCGGCAGCCTCTGAGATAACTCCTCCTCCGGTTCTGAAGCGAACCCTAGATAATGATCCAGCTTTTCGAGGATATACAAGCACTCTAGGCTCATGTAAGATACTCGCTTAATGGTATGGATTCGTACTCAATGCTCTCAAGGGTCACCACTTTATTGTTATGGCGATTATACCTATTCTGATTTCGGGAATATCGCCGACTGCTGCAGTCAAGGTGGCGGTATATGCCATCCTGCGACGGAATGTGGGACAGACTCTGAAGGAAGTACCAGAGCGATCAAATACCAAGGCGGAGAGACGTTGACTTGGTATGAGCGCATATCTACAAGAGCAGATTTCAGAAACATGCACTAATTCTCGCAAGTTTCGATACAACATGTGGAACTCAGACAATCTACAAGACGGAAGGTGATCCCAACCCTCTGTCAATTTTTGGCTGCTTTGCTGCCGGGGAGCTCTATCTCACCACGCCGGGTACGTACTCCGAGCAAGGCCGCAAATTTACCATGACATGGTCTTAACTAGCTCCAGGCTCTCCAGTTTCGACATCTACGACCGGTTCTGCGGCATCTACAGGTACTTTACAGTCTTCTGCGCCATCTTCGTTGACTTCTTCTGCCCCAAGTGCAGCAGCTCCCATCCCTTCATCCACTAGTCACGTCGGCCTCATCGCTGGAGGGGCCACTGTAGGGGTTATCCTGCTCCTAGCAATAGCCGGTCTTACAGCTTGGGTCATTATTCTCAAAAGAAAGAATGCCACGACCAAATCTTCGCCAAATACGGAACTACAAAAAATGCAAGGTTCAGGTGCAAGGCCAAACGATGGGCCTCCCCAAGATTTCAAGGCTGAGCTTCCTACGAAAGAGGGTTGGGCAGCTGAACTCTCGCCAGAATCGGCGCCACCAAGTCGACAGGAACAAAAGCCATGGAGCAATTTGAACAGTATGCCACAAAGTCCGGCTCCGACTTATAGCCCCGTGCCGCCTTATCAAAGTCCCGCTAGCCCTTTTATGCCTGTTGGGCCTGCTAGTCAAGCTCCTTTCTACGGAGCTAATAATGGGCCTTACGGTGGACTGATTGAGGCCCCAGGGCCAGGAACGCAGTACCAAGAGCTTCCTGCATCGACGCAGCCACAATACGCTGAATTGCGCTGAATGTGTTTGGTAGGACTACGTCAAACAGTATATTCCAAGACACTTTCAAATTGCTCGTGTTCATTCAAAACATGCGGGCTACCACGCTGCGAGGGAGCGCCCTCGAAGTCGACCCTGCTCAAAGAGCTAGTTCGTCGACACTTGTGACGTTTGAATCAGAAGAGATGTTCAGAAGAACTTGCGCCACGAAAAGGACAAACCTGGGTTTGCGTGAGCTAAAAGGTGTTGAATCAACTGGATAGACTGCTCGTCGAAGTCAAGCCTTCGAAGTTTATGAACCTTCATCTTTAAGTGGTCCTTTGCATCACGATCTGTACCACTTCTCTGGTGCCGACAAGAGTACCCTTCAGCAACTTCACCGATCATATTCGGTCACTGACTTGACGGCACTGTCTCAATGGAAAATGTGCTTATCACCGACGACATGGAATTGTGTTCATCAACTCCCGAGGAGGAGGCCATGGCACAGGTCGTACTACGGCGCCCTCAATACCCAGTGGCAATCTCTGCTTTGTTACGGCATTATGTTAATGTCTCCTGACAACAAAGCATGGAAGACTTAACATAACGGCGGAAACACATATAGAAATGCAAGATCCAGTACGAATGTGGGATTGTCGATAAACAGAATAGAGGAACTGATGTCATGAGTGATCATGTTGTTTTGACGCAGGATATGATATGTCACGTAATTATTCACAGTATCTGACAGCAATTTGTTATAATGAATGCGGCATATACTTCAATCGTTAAGAACGGCCACTTGATGATCATTGAGTCGGCCCTGGTGATGATGCGAGATAGTTCCCGACGTTTCCTACGTATCATTGCTCCACTTGAGCATAAAAATTAAAACAATGTCTTCGGCTTGACTGGAGCGCTTGTTTCTCTATCTCGATCGTCAATTGCCCTCTCAATGTGTTTCAGACGTACTCGTGTGTTTATCACCTCGCATGCTATAAGCACGACTCGCAGACATACGCGGAGGACTCTTTTGCGGTTCTTGTGATCTATCCAGTTTTCCCAGTCCCCCTAGATGTGGTTTATTCCTCGAAAACTTGCAATCGTGGCCAGAGAGGCGGAAGGCGAATTTTAGATCCGTCCCGTCCAGGGCTAGGACCAGAAACGTCGAATCTAAGTCCGAGGAGCTACTTGTACCCAGATTTGGCTAGGGGAGCTTAAAATGGAGGAGAATTGAAGCAGTTGGATCCGAATACAAGTTTGAACGCAATGACCGTTGCGTCATGTTCGCCTACTTGGGAAAATGACCTTTAGGAACTGCGTACCAGGTTTCTCTGCTGTTCGCCGTAGGCAGTCACTGCTAAACCACAATTGGCATCATATGAATCACAAGATGGATTGTCACTGATATATCGGAAGAAGAATAATGCATTTCTACGCATAAAAAGACCATTCCCGCTTTCGCCGTATGCTACATACGTTTCAAAATCTAGCACGTCACATTAGCCTACCATACAAAGCCACTTATCCAAACTATTCATGCCAGTAACGAAGAACGAGAACTCACAATTCTGTCCTCTCTTCCAGTTTCCTCCTATCCAAGGATTGTTTGGGTGGCACCATGAATCCTTCCAGATCCATCCACTCCGCGGCAAACGCGGCCGTAAGCACGGCCCAATCCTCCGTTGTTTTGATATCCAAGTGCTCTCCATCGTCATGTTCAGTATGCCACACACTTGGAAATGGACTAGGAATAAGGTGCAAGACCTCAACACCCCTCGCCATAAAGGGGAGGTGGTCATCTTGCACCATGCCGCCCATAAAGGGTCCAATGTCAGGATTTTTGTTCGCATCAGTGAACCAAGCATTTCCGGAGGACTTGAAAAGATTTGCAGCACGGAGCCGCGATTCTAGATCGGCCATATGTTTATAGGCCCAGTGCGTGGTTTTAAAATAAGAGGGCATGCGTGGATTGGCAGATCCTAACAAGTCGAGCAGCACAAAGAGGTCGATCTCATGGAGCGGGGTTCTATATGTCGACATCGCGGGATTAAGAGATTGTTCCCAGGCCTCGGCGAGCGCCCTCGCTCCATACAGCGAATCTCTGTCGGACCAGCTCACAAACGCCTCTTCACCGTCGAGCAGCAGGATCTGGATGCCCTTCTCGCCCTCCAGTCCATCCGTCTCCCCGTTTGCCTGCATATTCTCCCATTTCCGCGTCAAAGCCTCATCGAGAACTTTCGCCGCGTGCAATAACATTGCGCAAGGAGCCGCGCTGTCCGTCGCTCCAATAAACCCCTCCGGCGTAAGTTTCGAGTCGTAATGCGCCACCAGCGTCAGCCTACCCACTTCTCCCGGCTGAGACCAGGGCGGATCTCGCGTCGCGATGATATTCACAAAGTCGATCGGCGCGCCGCCCAGGGCGGTGTGCTGAGAGCTGTTCTGCGTGGAGAGCGTCCACGACGGGAGCTGCTGGCTAAAGAAGTCAACGAAGTGCTGGCGCACTTTCGCAATGCCCGGCGTGCCAGGGACGCGAACTTGGAGAATGGGCGCGAGAAGAGAGCCCGTTTTTATGTCGAAGTCATCGCCAGGCGCTGGAATGGCCTTGAGAGAGGCTTCCGAGAGGGTGGTATATGCTGTTGCTAGATGGAGGAGTCCGACAACGAAAGTGATAATAGTGGATATCATGGTCGCAAGCTACCTGTAAGAGTATCATTATGAGTATCGTTGTCACGCTTTGCGCATTTGTAACTAGGGCTTTGGGGACGTCGTTTGCATCGTTGGCAATCAGCGGAGGACGCTGGTAGAGACAGTACACCCCGTGAAACACTCACCGTGACCGTCGCATCGTGATTTCAAGCTGTGAAAAACTACCTCAAGCAAGTAGTGGCATATGAGAGAATAGGCCTACGCAAAGCAAGACAACCAAGTTGTGGATAGATCGTCCGAAACACAAAGCATACAGGGATCCAGCCGATGATATACAGGAGCGAAGCTTCGTGGCGCAGGGTCCAGACGCGCAAGTATCGTTAGAACTTTTGTATCGCACATTCCCATCTTAGCACCTTTCGCAGCTAAGCAAAGAGCACGGCGGATCATAAATGTCATGATACGAATTTTCAGCCTTTCCAGGCGGGCCTTCAATGGCAATATACTGTTTCGCAATGCCTCCGTCCACCAACTCCTAACCAGGAACACGCGACAATATGCCTCGAAGCTCAAAAAGTCAAATGCCGTGTTGCCAGCGAGGCGACCAAAGTTGGCTAAGGCTTCAGAGGGAGCATCTTCATCGTCGCAAGGCGCAATAACAGGCACATTCGAGTATCCTACCGCGCTACGAGTCTACTCCCGCTCCGCGCCACGTATCGCCTTCCTGGGCGTTGTTCGGCTCGCGCCCTTCGTCCTAGTCGTGATCTGGCTATTCCAAGTCGGCGCAGAGGCTCTGTCATCCCCCGAACCGCTCAATTGGCCTTTGGTTCTTCAGGCCGGCGCGTCACTGCTGCCCATTCTGCTTGTGACGCCCATGACATCTGGGTACGTCGCCCGTATCCTCGTCCAGCTGCCGCCACAGGCGAGACTCAACAAGGAGATGCTGAAGAAGTGGATGTCTGACATACCTGGTGACACATTACTGGAGATCAAGACGGTCAGGGCAAATGGGTTTAGCTGGGCGACAGATCAGTGTCTTCTGAAGGATTTGAGGGCGAGAAAACCAACGTGGCTGAGGAAAGGGAACTTCGAGAGGCATGTTGATCCGTCTTTGGATAAACGTAGGAGCTCGAATATATGGACGAGGCTCTATGCTCTGGCTTCTGAACCCCCGAGAATTTTGAATATTGTCGCTGAGGAGGGGCTGAAATCAAAGCTCGTAAAGGAACCAAAAATCTGGCCCCTTATCGAAGAGCAGATCAAAAAGAGAAGTAATAACTGAACTTCACGTATATTGAAATGACGTGAAAAAAAAATATTACAGAATGCGGCCAAATCGGTCGCGATCGTCTCTTGAGGGTATTTTTGACGGGCTACCAAACAACTTTCGGAAGTAGTGACTAGTCCCAGTACTTGATGATGCCGTTTACATCACCTGTAACCACCTTGCTCGTCTCCCTTGGATGCCACGCACAGCTCACCACAGGCACTTGGCTTGCCTGGATCTTGTGGAGCATCTTGCAAGTCTTCCAGCTCCACCAGCACACATATCCACCGGTATCACCGGACATGACGAACTCACCATCGGGACTGATGGAGACATCAATAGCATGGCCGGCATTGTTATGACCACGGAAACCCTTCTTTCGATTCTGTCGGAAGCGTTCGGAAGAGGCGTACACGACGATCTGGTTGTCGGACGATTGCATGGCGATAAACTCCTTGGTGGGATGATGCACGGCGCGGGTGAGGGGGTACATGTGCGGTTCGGCGATGAATTTGATAGGAACAGGGATGTTGTATTCTGCAAATGATATTAGCATCTTGCTTGAAGGGACATGGAGCGATACCTACCCCAAGCACGCAGTGACTTATCGTCAGACGTCGTCACAAACCTCCTGTTCTCGTCGCAGAACGTGATGGTGTTCACAGCATCCAAGTGATGGTCGTATTCCTGTATCATCTCGCCGGATCGTATATCGTATTGCACGATCTTTTTGTCGCGCATGCCAGCCACAAACTGGTTGTTATCCAGTGGGTAATACCGCACCACGTGAGGTGTCTGCCCCGTTGTGAATTTCGCTTTGCAAGCCCCCGTCTCCGTGTCCCAAACTTTCATATATCGGTCGTAGCTCGCCGTCAAGAATTCGGTGCCGTCGTTGTTGAAACTGACATCGTTGCAGCTCCTGTTATGTCCGGAATACGTGCGAAGGAGCTCGCGTTGATGGTAAACGTCAAAAAGCTTGACTTTGCCGCTCGCGCTCGCGGCTAACAGCAGGTGTCCCGAGCTTGGGAAAAATCGCATCTGCGTTATTGCATGGCCAGAGTGATGCTTCCAAGTGAATATGTTCTTCTTCGGCACATAGCACTTAAAGTCGTCGGGAAGGTCGCCGGTCAGGCTTACGTCCAGATCCATAGGTACATGCATGTACGTCCTCCCCTGATAATCAGACATGCTCTCGCCATGAAACTCAGTGGATTCCTCTTGTCCTTCTGGTTTGTAGTCCGTCGCCATTTGAGGGGGCACTTTTGGCGCGTCCTCCTCTTCTTCTGAGTAGTCTGTCACCTCGATTTCGCTACCGCTCTCGTCCTCTTCCGGCGTCTTCTCCCGAAATTTTGCCCATGGGCCTTTGTATGCGTTCTCGCCGAAGACTACACTGCTGTCGCCCTTTCCCTCCCGTTTGCGCTTCTGCCCTGCTTTCTGGCCGGGTAACACGCCATTTTGAAGTGCTCGCTGTTGCGCCTTGAATGTCGAGCTCGAAATTACAATCTCATCTGCATATCCTGTTGGCACTGAGCCTTTCGAAGGCATCGCAAATTTGGAGTGAGATGTACAAGATAAAGGTGGGCGCAAATTGTAGTGCGTTCTTGTTGTCGTTTTCACAAAGCCTGGATCGCAAAAGTGAAGGGACGCTGTCAACCAATGTCGTCAGAGGCCGCCTTTCACGTGCTGGACAGGCTTTAAAAACACCCATAATATTTTCGACATTTTGTCTATGAATGGCGTACATAATATCTTTCTACGTTGCTTTATTTTGTTTATTCTACATTTCTTTTTCTGCCGTAGCACAAGGGGTGAAAAAAAAAGTTGGAATGCAGGTTAGCATGCCCAGAGCTTCTGGGCAGAACGATCATTGTTTGAACTTTTCATTCGTTACGGCTTCATGATGATGTATATCCTCGAATTCTGAGCTGTCCGCTGCGAAGATCATCGCTGCCTATAGCATGACAACTCCTACGCCACCCATATTCTTGTCGCTTGCTCGTCCGTCCTTACCAAGCCCGCCCTCAATTTGCGCGGCACGATAGTTGTACACATAATAATGCAACTGGCCGTCTCCTGCTCCAAATAGCTGCTCCTCCAAGAACAGCGGGTTATCCATCAAGGTCAACGCATTCATCACATCGAAATTCTCCTTCTTCGCAAGGATAAGGGCGTCCTTCACAAGCGCGTTCAATCTTGCCTTTGTCTTTTTTCCGTCTCCCTCGAACACAGTCTCTGTCGCGTAGTAATACATGTACGCTGCGTTAACAAATTGATGCTTCTTGCCGCCGATCACGGTGGAACTGAGGCGATAGAACGAGACGAAATCGGTAATTTTGCCAGATTCTTCGATGACGTACGTGTATATGACGCGCTCAGGGCAAATCTGAGGATCGTGAAGAAGCCAATGTTTTACTTCATCGGAAGAAAAGATCTGCCCCAGGTCGAATCGCCCAAGGTAGCGCGTGAGAAGGTCAGCTACAGCAGAAACCTATCAGAACTGATTAGCACGTGATCCATTCCAAGAACAAGTATAGGCACTTGCATCTTTCAGTTCCATCGGCCGCAGACCAGGCATCAAAGTCGTATCAGGCAGCTTGAATTTCGCCGCTTGACGTAACGGGGTCGAACCTGGCGGCAGGGGAGAGAAACCAGTCTCGTACAGCTTTTGCCAATCAAGGCTGCGATGGTAGTACCTGCACGTGGCCACAGGAGTTGGCAGTAAAACTCCACCCGTGTACAGAGCTTGGAATATGCCCTCGACATAGTTTCGGCGCGTGATCTCCTTGATCAAGACAGGTGCCTGCAGCTCTATTTAGTTTCGGCAGACGAGGACGAACTTCATCGCTCAAACCGTACCAATCTCTTGTTCCGCAACTTTCTGTGCACGCACAAAAAGTTGACTTCCGACCCTTTCAGGACATTCTTGCGTATTCTAAAATCGACTGGTATGGCTGAGATGAAGGCAACCAACTTCTTCGACTTGCTCGCGCGAACTCCAACGTGCCACTCCTTCTTCCAACCCGGCGATTTTAGTGCCCAGTTCAAGAATGAGGCAGAGTAATGGAACCTAAATGTCGCATCCGCATCCTCCACGTAGTGATCAGACAGCAATTCAAACACCTCGCTGAGCTCCTTTTCGTTGTCCAAATTCATGGTGACCCACTCGTATCCCTCCACCATAGGGGGCGGCTCCTTAGGTACAGTTGCAGGGTCAATTTGCTTGATAGGGCCTTCTTCCTTTGGGGCCGTCTTCGCCTCTTCAAAGGATTGTACAGGCTGTGTCTGCCAGAATTTGTAGCTTGCCATGTCCTTTTGGTTTTTCCCCGTGATGGACATTCCCGTCAGCGTATCCGCAAGCGATATTTTCTTCATCATTTCCATGAGCTTCGCATGATCCATGCCTGCAAGCTCGTTTTTAAGAGACGGGTTCATGGACAGCAGCTGCTGGAACTGTTCTGTTGAAAGCGACGCCGCGGTTTCCGGCTGCTTGCTGCTGCCTTCTCCGGCTGATTTGCCACCGGTAACGGCATCTTTAAGCTTCTTAGACTTGGATTTCTTCTTCTTTTTCTTGGGAGCGCCGGTTGGCGTCGTCGAAGAGCCCTCTGCAACTTCTTCCTCGGGTCCAGAGTCGTCATCGTTTTCATGTTCAGTCCCAGCAGGCATGGCCATCTTGTTTGGATCAATCTCCTTCGATTCCTCAGACATTCTGGCAGATGGTGGAATCCAATGGTTTTTTTTGTTTCTTAAGATCCTGAGGCTAGTCCAATGTTATTGATATGCAGCTGAAAAATGCAAGTGTACGTCTCCTCACGGCTCGTGCAAAAGGCAACCAGGCACGCGCACACGATGCGATTCACCTCACAAGTGCCAAGCGGCTAAAATTTCAGGCTTAATATTTGAAAATCGCTCGGCAGCTTTGCTTTGTTTCGAGCGTCCTAGGAGACGATTTCCGGCTTACGGTGCTGCTACGGAAAGAGAGCTTTTTATTCAATAACAGGCAACGAAATTAAGGCTCCAAGGTGCGGGATGTGAGCGTCCGAAATGGGTAACCAGTGTCAGGTGATCTTGTCTAACCATAAGCGGGTAGGTTTACTTAGAACGTATGAAGCAGACACTCCACGCTTCATAAGATCATGAGCAAATGGAGAGGGGGAAAACATGCTGAACGCTCAGAATAAGAGAGATTCATTTTAAGAATTCACAAATCCGAGATTATTGAACACGTATGCTAGACCAACAAAACTCCAGATTGCCCAATCCCGGATATGCGCTAACGCTCATGTGCTCCGTGCAATTTCGAACAATCATGACTTCAAATCGTTGTGGATGCGAGAATGGATCACCAAAATTTGTCATGCACTGCCAGAGGCGGTGTGGGTTGGTGCTGTTGACGAGCTTACACCGAGATCGCCACCGCTCGGTTCTGCAGGCTTAACCGTTTGTCTGCTTTCAGCTTGTGCTTGCGGAGCTCTGTAGGCCGAGTACGAGGTGTTTTCCGGAGTCAGATATCTCATTGGGGGATCATAGCGCGTTTCTCCAGAAACCGCAGGTCGTGCATATGACGGCTGGAGTTCAACATCATTTCCCCCTTCATCATCCGTTGACTCATCCCACTCGTCTCTCCTTCCAGGCCTTCTCATCTCACCTTGCGTGAATGGATTTCCAGTTCCATGCTGTGATAGGTACTTTGCTGTGTCTACTGCAGACGTCACGTCTGAAAATGAGCCGTCGTAATTGGGATCCTGTAAGCGCCTTCTCCGCTGAGATGCTCCAACCTCATCACGAAAGACATTTCCTGAGCTTGGTTGCGGAGGTGTCTCTCTGCCACTTCCGAATGCCATGCCAGAGATATCCGATTTCAATGGCAACTTATCCACCTCCTGATAATCTTCGCTAATTCGACCCCATGTGCGGATTGGATACGCCCGTCCTTTGGCACGGAAATCACTTACGGAAGGAAAGTATTGACGGTACGCCACCCAAGCACAGAAGATTCCAAGCAGACTGCCAGTGATGACATCAAAAGGGTGGTGTCTTGCGTCCATGATCCTTGAGCCTGCAATGAGAGCAGCACCTAGGGAAGGTACAAGAACAATAAATGTCTTCCACACCTCGCCTCTAGAGTCTAAAACGTGCATCTTTCCTGTAAGATATAGAGAAAGGTAGAAGAGACCAGCCCAGGCGCCTGTCTATATCAGCAGTGTACTTCGAAAGTACAGATGGCAGTTACTCACTGCTGCTATGCCCCGAAGGAAAGCTTCGAAAACCATCCTTGAGGATAGCGTTGTCCGTCTGAGTACAAATCGCGTGCTGGGCCAGACTGAAATTGCCAGGAAGCAAAAAGTCAGCTTCCACAGTTGGATCCGGCTTGCACCTATCGATCAGATCTGGTCTGGGCTTTCCAATGGCGTTCTTGAGTGCTCCCGTGATCACAAAGGAGGCTCCGACCCCCAAAAGGAGACCAAGGATGCCGCAATTCAGCTCCCAGAGCCTGCTCTTGAGCGGGTACCTCTTTCGTCTTCCCCCGGCTTGGTGTGAGAAGAGTCCATCTATCACCAGCGTGTACACAGCAATTATAACTGCAGGCGCCAGAACTGCGGCGGCGAGAAGGAGTGGAATCGGAACTCGCTCGTGGACGGCGTAGGGGTAACGGAGAGTGTAGTTTTTCAGTGAGAATTGTTGATGAAACGGCTCGACTGCGTCAAGGGCGTAGAATCCAGCTACTAGCACGCTGCTCTCTGTTAGCCAAAACGCCAACGTAGAGTAGATGGCCGACCAACACAATGATGACATAGTCAAAGATGTACGACAGAACCACCTTCGTCTTGAGTCTTTTGCTCGAAAAGGGCAGTTTTTGGGGCAACCGATAGTTATCCATCACATCCGTTCAACACGAATCATACGAAAGGAAAAGAAGATCGTGCTAGAAAACTGGTCGCGTGAGAGGCTAGGAGCGCTGTCAGCCCGCACGAGGAAATCTCGAAGATGGCTGCTGCGGCGTCAGGAAGGAATAAAAGGCTGAAAAGCAAGTGAATGCTGAAGAGCGAGTCATAAAGAATGCAAGCCTTGGGTTGTTCAATGTGACTCTGCGTGGACGGGCTCTGGTATCGCAGGTCAGAGGAAGAACAATAGCGGCACCCAGGAGCAGAACACAGTCTCCCATCTGGGACCTGGAGCAATGGTCTTTGCCGTGTCTGGCGTAAGCACAGTGGGCTGTGGGCTTGGCCATTCGTGCAAGCCTCCATGTGGAACGTCCTAAGCCTGAGGAGCAACGTTTTGACGCGCCACGTACGGGGTCTAGCCCTTTAAGAATTGTTTCCTTTGTTCAGACAGGCATTGTTGATCTGTTTCGAGAACATGGCAGAGCTCCCAGGTTTTTTTCCCAGAAAGCTCCTCGATCTCGGCCACCTTTCTTCGGCTTAGCTCACCGCTGGGACGACCTGGGAGAGGACCGGGGCTTGATCAAGGATTGTGATTGGCACAGTGATATCTCGACGAGCCCACTGGAAAGATCTTCCCGTGTGGGACCAACAACACTGACGGAGTTCGGTACTTGCTGTGAGGTTCATTGGGTGCGCAGAGTTCGCGTGCGGAATCAAGAAACTGCCATGTTTGATCTCAATCTGGTCCGGTCCCTTTCCAGTCGCTTCTCAAAGACGTCGTGTTTGATACCCGTTGGTGCGATTTCGCTATTTCTGCTGCATGTCTATCGATCAAATTCGAAAAGGACTCGTAGTCCGGACCCGTTAGGTTCTGTTACGCCTTCTCCTTTAAAGTCCGTGTTGCCACAGCTCTCAGAGACGGAAAGGCAGGAGCTGGCGTATCCGCCGGACCTGTTCCCTGGTGCGCGAGATGTTCAGACGCCGTATGGAAGCTTGAGAGTGTACGAGTGGGGACCTGAGAGTGGCAGAAAAGTCTTGTTCGTGCATGGCATCAGCACCCCCTGTCTAAGTATGGGCTTACTAGCTGAGAAGATGGTTGAGAATGGGTGCCGAGTGATGCTATTTGGTAAGGTCTCATGGATGATGCGTCCATGAAAAACAACAGATGAATGAGCAGAACAGGATTCACATTCAACACGCTAATACTAAGGTCCAGACTTGTTCGGCAGAGGCTACTCTGATAACCCAGGTGATCTCAAGCACGATTCGCGATTGTATACGTCTCAAATTCTGCTTGCTCTAGCGTCGTCCCCACTCGCATGGACCGGTACGAATGGTTTCTCTATCGTAGGATACTCGTTAGGCGGCGGCATTAGCGCTTCATTTACGGATACTTTCCCAGATCTTGTTCGTTCCCTCGTGCTGCTGACACCTGGGGGACTGGTAAGACTTGCACACGTCGCCTGGTCGAGCAGGTTCCTGTACCATATGGAAGGCTTTCTACCAGATCCAGTAATGTAAGTACGCAATCTTACTGCAGAGCACGACTTCTAACATCGGGTATACAATTTCTCGTACGACGACGACTATGGTATGACACTGTCAACAGCAACCGGCCAGAACCGGCTACCACCGACCAGGTTACGCCTACAGCAGCTGAGCTGGGCGATCACAATCGTGTCTTATTTCCATCAAGGCCGTTTGTCGACCCTGTCTCTGCCGTCAGGTGGCAGATCGAAAACCACAAGGGTTTCGTTCCGGCGTTGATCTCTTCCATCCGTAATGCCCCAATCACAGACCAGCATCCGTCCTGGAGAAGGATTGGCATGCGTCTCCACGCGCAAAGAGCCAACGGTACGGATCGGCAAGCGATAGATTCTGGTCTGTCGCGAAGCAAGGTGCTTCTCATTCTGGGTAGGACAGATCCCATTATTGTCCCAGAGGAAATGATCCAAGACGCCATTTCGTGCTTTGGAGAAGACAACCTGGAATCGGTCGTCATCGACGGAGGGCATGAGATCCCAATCAGTCATGCTGCAGAGGTTGCGAGAGCAATACTACATTTCTGGGAAGACGACGAATAGAGTTCAAACTACAAATTATAGAGCAGTGAAGAAGGATAGTTCACGCATCCACAGTTGGTTCTGGTGCGAAAAGAGGATTTGTTAGACGTAGACGGACTAGACAAGCGAAGCAATTTGAGGAGTTTGTGTTTGCTGACATGTATAGGCTGCATGCTGTTGAGTACGAGTCTGGTCGAGATCCCGTTTGAGTGTCAGTAGAGTTTCTGCTCATCAACACGGTCCTAAGTGATCTTGCTCGACGGTTTCCATGGTTATACGTGAAGCATGGCCACGTTACGAATGATTTGACTCCGCATCTATCATCGCCGCCAATTCGTGCTACTAACTTTCGCAGGACAAATGAACAGACATCATCGTGAAACATGGACAATCGCCATCTAAACAAGCCGCGGTTCCGATATACACGCTGCTCGCCAGAGCAACAAGACCAAGCTTAAGTGGCTCACGGATCGTCAATCACCTTTCTTATTTTCATACTGAGCTCATGATCCTCTGCCATCCACCTCGACGGCTTCGAAAGCACACCATTGTTCCCAGGCCAGGCCGAGAGGCTGGCAAGGTAGCACGCCGTTGCACCAAGGTGGCACGGCGGAACTGAGATCCGCCTTTGGATGTCCGCCACGATCCTGTCAGGACGTCGCAACGTGTACGGCTGTGAGCGTCGAGGTTTCGTCGCGGAAAATTTGCACAACACCGATGCGACGCTCAAGGCAAACAAGAAAAAAAGAAAAAAAAAAGGAGGAAGCGAGATCTTCAAGAAGCGGCGGAGGTTATGTCGGTAAGTTGGACCGGTGCCTTTGCACCTACAGCCAATTCTAGTATCTTACACTTGCGGCTTGATAGAGTCAGGATGGTCAAGGCTAGGGAGAACAAGCTACAAACTGGTAACGCACATGGTTCTGCACACATCTACCCACAAATGAACCCCTTCTACATTCACAGCGCGAGCAAGGTTCCCACGGTGTGTAACACGATGCACACAGCAAGGACGTAGAGACGTAGTCGTTACGCTCAGGCATAGATATCAGTGCAGAGCTGCAATTCGTTGCACCAATACAGAAAACCCATATATATAAGAGAGAGTGCGAGAGAGAGAGAGGGAGCATCGTCAACGAACATGGCGCAAGCTATAAAATGAGTAAGGGATCAGAAAATCTGCGTCGGGATTGAACAAGATGAAGCGCGAAGTGGCGTTGAACTTGTCCCACAAACGTATTGCACGGAACGAACGCAAGAGGCCCGGGCGGCCGGAGTCGCACCAGCGAGCATAAATCCTTCGCCAAGAGCATGTCGGACGCGAGCTTCGGCGTCCGTTTGGACGTCAACATTTTTCCGCTCATTCCACGTAGGATATAAGACGAGCCGGCCGCGCGAGAACGCTTCGCAACGATCGGCAAGCCGTTCCTCGAGTCTGGACTCGGTCGTCACACGAGCCCTCTTTCGTTCGAGACACTCTCCAGCACCCGCTCCGCCAGCCATGAAGCTCTTCGCCTTGTCCGTCTTCTCGCTTCCTCTTCTCGCTCTCGCTGCCCCGATCGAGCAGGCCTGCTCGATTGACGCCGCTGGACATCGACATTGCACAGACGGCGCCCTAACCGTTGTCACGGCGCCCCAGGCGCATCCCAAACGATCGCCAAATGACGAAGCATGCATATTTTACCCCAATGGAACCTTGTACTCATGCAGCGACGGCGCTTCGACCATCGCCCGATGGTCAAACGACACGTAATACTCTCGCACGATCTACTAACCGCCGGCCAGTCAGGGCCAGGGTGGATCCGGCGCAAGCTAAGGACGATCATAGGTCTTGGACGTAGGCTGTTGCAATAGGGCCATTCAGGTGAACAGCCTTGGGCGCTACCACTAAGCGTTAAATACCTCCTTAGAGAGGCGTTGTTCAGTTCGTAATATCAGACAGGTTGGAATAATATAGTGCACGTTCTTGCTCATTTGCATGTTCGATCGCTCACCTGGGTGTCCTAACCTGACGAAAAAGTTATTCTTGCTGCCTAGCTCATGACGAAAGTTTAATGAAGAAATAAAAAGCGCGTTCCTCAATCACACACGATAAAATGAAAGAAGACGTATCCAAGCAGCCGGGTAACCCTTGCGTCGTGGTGGTGCACCTTGCTCTTGTCCCCAGTTCAACCTCTGAAAGTCATTAGTCTGCAGATGAAGCGCACACATGCACAATTTAGCGGTCGAGCCCCCCTTTGATTGTGATCCTGAAGCTGAGAGTACACAGCTAGTTCACGTATCGATCGTGACCCCACGTGCCTGAACCGTTTTCCAGGCCAAGCTCGTGGCGAGTCTCCGCAGCGTGCGTATGCAATTTTTACAGGGCGCCCATACGTGCAAGAGTACAGAGAGACAGTCTGCAGAAGGTCAGACTGCATGCAACGCTTTGGGAAGGAAAAACAGTTGAGCACCATTTCGTCCCATGTCGTCGACGACGTTTCGAATCGTGCCTGTGGCGGCCAACCCCCCCGAGGCCCTCCGATCTCGCAAGCTTGATTTCAAAGCCACCAGGGAAACCTGCCGTGACGCGATCGAGAAAAGGAAAAAATGGCCATATAGCGATGCTCGCCCGTCTCCCGACTCCGTGACCAGAAACACCATATCGTAAAAGCGACAGAGAGGGAGATAGAGAGAGAGGGAAAGAACGAGATTAAAAAAAAAAAAATAGGAAGCAACCCGAAAAAGGAAGACCAGGACGAACACCCGCGAACCGAGCGCTGAAACGCCCAAAAAAACACCCGTTGCCCGCCAGACCATGGGCCTCGAGACCGTGAAACACATCGTCCTGGTGCTCAGCGGCAAAGGCGGCGTGGGCAAGTCGTCCGTGACGACGCAGCTCGCGCTCGCGCTTTCGCTGCAGGGCCGCAGCGTGGGCGTGCTCGACGTCGACCTGACGGGTCCCAACGTGCCCCGGTTCTTCGGCATCGAGGACAAGAAGGTGACGCAGGCGGCGGGCGGGCTCGTGCCCGTCACCGTGCACGAGGCGCGCGGGCCCCGCAGCGGCGACGGCGAGGCCGCGGCGCCCGGCCTCGGCAAGCTGTCGTGCATGTCGCTCGGCTTCATCCTCAACGACCGCGCGACGGCCGTGATCTGGCGCGGCCCCAAGAAGACGGCGATGGTGCGGCAGTTCCTGACCTCGACGGCCTGGCCGGCCGACCTCGACTACCTGCTGATCGACACGCCGCCGGGCACGTCGGACGAGCACATCTCGCTGCTGGAGACGCTGCTCAAGGAGGCGACGCCGGCGCAGCTGGCCGGCGCCGTCGTCGTGACCACGCCGCAGGCCGTCGCCGTGTCCGACGTCAAAAAGGAGCTCAACTTCTGCCGCAAGACCGGCCTGGCCGTCCTCGGCGTGATAGAGAACATGAGCGGCTTCGTGTGTCCGCACTGCAGGGAGTGCACCAACGTCTTCTCCAAGGGTGGAGGCGAGATCATGGCGCGGGAGAACGGCCTCGCGTTTCTGGGAAGCGTGCCTATCGATCCGGCCTTCGTGACGCTTATTGAAGAGGGGAAGCGGCCCAGCTATCCCGAGGGAACGGTGATAGAAGGCCAGGACGTGGGAGGTCGACAGGAGGCCACGGGAGAGGACGAGGGCCTGCTTGTAGACAAATACGTCAGTTGCTCGCTGTATCCGATATTCAATGGGATTGTGAAACAGCTGAGAGAAAAAATCGAGAACTCGTGAAAGCAAAAAAAAAAAGAGAGGACCAAAAAAAAGGAAAAAAAAAAAAAAAAGAAAGGCAAAGGGCAAAATACAGCCGTATAGACGTATGGTTTTGAGCATAGCGAATGGCGTTCAGGAGGTACGGGATGGAAGGTAGATTCATCATGCATAGGAATGGCAAGAGCCTCATGCGATTCCAGACGTTGTGCGCCGCAAGCTATGCAGTCTCGAGATATATATATAATGTACACCGCCCAATGACACCTATACGCAATGGACCCGACCCCTTCTTTTCTTGTTTTGGTTTTCCTTCTCTCATGTCCCGAACGAAAAAAAAAAAGTCGTCAAGTCTCGAACGCCCGCTGCAAAGCATCGTGCTGTGCACATGAGGGAAAAAAAAAAAAGAGAAGCGGCTCACACGTAGCCCTTTCTCGCTCCCTGGAAGAAGAATCGCACGATGAAGACCTGCAGACCAGCCATAGTGACCATCATGAAGCTCTCCAGGATGCTGAAGTTGAAGATGCGGCTCTCGGTGCTGCGAACGGTGCTGAAGTTGCGGTTCTCCCGCGTGCGGAAGTACTTCTGGTTCCGATTTATGGTGGAGAGCTGCGACGACAGCTTGAGGATGGACTCCTCGAGAACGGAGGTCTGTTCGGGCGTCGAGCCCTGCTTCGCGGGGAGCTGTGCTCGCGATTCGTTCTCGACCTGTCAGCGAACGGTTGGTCAGCGATAACGGTTCGAAGACGGAAACGCCGTCAACCTCGTGTGGTACTGTCTTTGTCGATTCTGGCACGACGAAAGCATGCGCAGGCGCTGAGGAGGAGAAGGGGGAAAAAAAAAAGGCGGCATAACTTCGTCTCCCCAGACGAGGCATCCACCATAAACGTCAGGGCACTTACAGCGATTTCAAAGTCGACCAGCTTCTCCGCCCACGTGCTCATCTCATTGTTGAAGCAAAACCTGTATTCGCCAACGTCGTTGGCCGTGAACACAAAGTCGCCTTGTCTCTCCTTCTCCCCCTTCATGATGACGCGCTCGGCCGGGCCCACGACCTCGTAGTCAATGTCGAACGAGCCGCCAGATTGGACCTACGAGTTACGAGACAAAGTCAGCACGACCAAGTTTCTGAGAGAAAGAAAAACACCCCCCCCCCCTCCCCGAGTCCATCGAGGGAGAACAACAGAAGGCCCGACGGCCCAAACCTGACGAAGCAGGTCTGGCCAAATCGGGCCCGGCGCAAGGGGCCAGACTCAGCGAGCACGTACGGCGAAGTAGAAGGCGATCTTGCTCTGCGGCTGCTTCACGTCGGCGAAGAAGCACGCCTTCTCGTTCGGCTGCAACTTGTACGTGAGCGCCGTCGCCGACACGGAGGACGCAAAGAGCGCCAGCAGCAGCGCCCACGTCGAAGAGAGCAGCATCATCATCATGTGCGGGAAACCTGATTCGGACGGATCCCGAAGAACAGTCGGGACGGAGGAGGAAGGGAGAGGCGTCGGGTGGTGGTTGAGAGAGAGCAAACAAAACAAAAGGTGCCCTTTTTTGCTGACCGCAGCCGTGATTCAACTTTCGAAAATGCTCCAAGGTGTCACCTTCTTTGGGGAAGGGGGGGGACGTTTTCGATTTCAGGGAGCGCGCTAGCCGTTCTTAGCCCATAGCGGCGGTTTCTGCGCCGGTCGCACTGAGTGCTCGCTCTGACCTCTCCCCATAACCGCACGACACCCTCCCTCAGCACAGTGCGGAGCACATAAAGCCACGGGATTCGACTGCTGCAGTCAGTCCGACGCGAGAACAGAAGAGTCACGTACTCCAACGTGCGTCTTTCGCTCAGCCCAGAGACTTGGGTACAGCACACTGAACATGCCGCTGAACGCGGGATGTGCGGCAGGTGTTTGAGAAGGGCGAAGGTGCGAGCTAGAGCCGTCCGGCTCAGTGGAAGCAGTACGGAGCCAGAACAGAGCATGCAAGTTACGGCACAACAAGTCATAATCCGGGCATTTGGTTGCGCATGTGTCCGAAGAGAGCGGGCGTGGACACGTACCATGCGTGGTGATTTGTGGGAAGTCCTGCTTGCCCGAGGTCCAAGGCGTACATGGGGAACAAGAATAAGAAGCGAAAAAAAAAGAGAGAGAGGTGTGAAAAGGTGGGAAAATGCCGATTGACAAAGCGTAGTTATGCAATTAGCGCAAAAGCTCACGCTATCTCTACAACCTTCATGACTTTGGCCGATATCATGCTCGAAATATGATGTTCGTCGAACTCAACGCAGCCTTGCTTCCAGAAAATTTGCCACTTCCATCCTAATTTCGTCCGTCATTGTCGTGGTGGTAGTAGCGGGACGTACTGTAAAGATGATAGGTATTCCGTGCCATTTCTATCGGTGGTATATGCACACATCCCATTTCGTTAGCGAAGTCCCTTTTTTCCCCCTCATTTCAACCCTCCCATGCTCGTGTCTTGAGGACCAGAGTGATGTCTCGTCCGGGTGGCCACATGCTCCACACCCGGCTTTCCCCCAGGAGACCCTCTCTCCTCCAGTATTATCCTCGTGCCTGTTTTGGTCTGCCTGAAACGCCAATGCTAATGCCCGTAAAATGCTGATGTTGCATAGGAGAGTAACGGGGTCGCGTGACCCTCTTTGTAAACACCGGCTCACATTGTTTGTCGATCGAGCACGCTCAGATCGAAGATCCAAGGAAAGTGAAAAAGATAAAAAAAAAAAAAAAGAAGGAGGAGGCTAGACTCTACCAAGCCGTCTAGCAGGTGAACTTGGCCTTCGCGCGAGTGGAACCCGAGTGCGCAGCGTCAACATGGCCGGAGAACTCGACAACGTCGCTGTCCTTGAGCGCCAACACCTCCTTGAAACGTCTGCCAATCTTCATCAAGATCTCCTGGCCCTGCTGGGGACTGCGTCCCTTGCCACCGGCCGTGTTGCCGTCGCCGCCGCCGGGGAACGGTTTGCCCGTGGATCGGGTCCACAGGCCGATGCGGTAGAAGCCCTTGCGGACGTTGACGACGACACCCATGACCTCGCCGTCGTCCTCGTCCTCGAGAGTCTCGCCGATGGCGGCGAGCATGACGTGCAACCACAGATCGTTGATGTTGATCAGCTTCTTGTCGCGAAACGAGTACGACCACTTGCCGCCGTGCTTGTTGTTCGCGTCTTCCCACTCCGGGCGCACGCCAGCCTTGAACAGGTGGTAGTCGGACTTTTGAGCGAGCTGGTCGGCAGGCGTGATGTTGTTCTGCGCAGACGTTGATGTTAGCCACGGGAACAGTGAAGAGAGACGTGTGAGGGGAGGAATCAAAGAGAGGGGCGAAGAAAAAGAAAACGAACGAGATGGATGATGAAACGTACATAGATGCCCCAAAACTCCTCGACTGAGTCGAACGAGATGACCTCCTTCAGCAAGTCGTTCCAGTTGTCGCCCTGTCATGTACCTTTGTCAGTCCGGCGCTTTTGCCATTCGGAGCTCTTCTGACTCTTCGCCAGGGTCACGGCCTACCTTGCCGGTCTGCGGCTTTGTGAACCACAGCGTCCACTTGTGCATGAGCGGGTGCTTGACGTTAAAGTTTTCCGGGTCGTCGAAGACGGTGACGGGCTTGCTCGCGGGAGCCGGGGACTCGTCGCCGTTGCCGTAGTTGGGGTGAGAATCCGGCGGCGAGATTGGGATCGTGTCGAGCGGCACTTGTACCTCAGCCATTGTTTGCTTTCACTTTTACACTTTTTCTCTTTTTTTTTGAACTTCTTTTTTCTTCACGCAAAGCGCAGGAAAGGTTTTTCTTTTGGCCGGAGGCGGGATTCAGGAAAGCCGAAAGTGTTTCTGCAGCGTTCGAAGCACGTGTGCTCGTTCCCGTCACGCAGAAGGACAGAACAGACAAGCGTTTGTAAGTGTTTTGGACGGCTGGTGCGCAAGTAGATGGACGATGGGTCCGGTTGAGATTACAGAAAAGTCGTTTGGAGTCGAGGACAGCAGAAGGCGCAATGTGTGAGTGATATAAGTCCGAAGGCGAAGGGACTGCACCGGCCAACTTGCGCTTGGGTGCGACCGACGCTGAAACTGGCCACTCAGGGCCCGCGCTGCCCATGAGACGCTTGAATGCCTTGGCGCCTGCGTCATCACTCTCTTTGCGCCTGAGGTTTGGTCCTCAGCGTTTGGCTGCGACAGCCACGACGGTACGAGAGTTCAAGTCTAGCAGCACGGAGTCGGCGTCAGCTGGATGTCAATCGCAGTTGAGAGCAAGCCTATACACAAGCTTTTGCGGGAGCTGGCCATCCTCTCGGCTGCGCTCAGGCGCTGTGTCCAGCTATCAAGCTGTCAACATGTGTTTCACCGAGCCTCGTCTCGGCTTTGTCACTGCGTAACGACCAATTGATCGAGCTTCGAGCTCTCATGCCATGAGATCAGACCCATCAGTTCGGACGCAGCGAAACGAAACACAATCCGCTCGCGCGTGTGCCGCATGGCTGGAAACACGCTCGACCGACCACGTTACTCAAACAAGCTGTTGAAATTTCTTCACGGGGAAAATGAACGACGAGGACAAGGGCCCCAGGCTACTTGCGTAGAAAGAAGGACAACAGCAAAGAACTTCGTGTCTCTATATAGAACCCAAGCGTGCCCCACTCCAGAATACACCGTGAGTAATACGCTCACGTTGTCGTCCGTCTGCTGGGGAAGTCACAGATGATCATCTAAACCCCAACCCCCCTCTTCCTCGTCATGCCGCCCGTCAGATCGCGTACATGCTACATGCAAACACAATACGTGAGTTACAGAGACCTCGTGGATAGCGTGTATTGGGGGTGGGGGGTTGTTCGTCATCTATGTCGTCGAAGTGTCGTACTGCTACATATCAAACTGCTCATTTCTGCTCTTCCCTGCTCCTCCACCTTAGACCTACTACTGTTCTCAATTCTCATGCGACTGCCGCGCACTCGCCGTCCGGGTTGAATATTCACGTGTGTTCTCTAGCTTCGCAATGGGGACTCGGACACGGCCGCAACCGCATTCACCTTCGGTCGCCTCTCTCTGTCTCCGTCGACAGATTTACGGCGATGGGATGCGGGACTATGTCCTGCGTGGTAGTCGTAGAAAGGAGCCAAGTCGCTTAGTGCGACTCGTCGCGAATGAGGGCAACGATCATGCTGTTATGGTCAGCACTCCAACAAATGAGACGCTGCGGAACGGATTAGAACGAACCTGTAGAGGTAGAAGAAGAACATGACGAGATGGAAGCCCAGCTTGATGAATGACTCCTACAGCCCAACGGTTAGCTTCCTTTGTCTCTGGCGCCTGCCGTCTCCATGCAGCGGCCTAAGAGCCTGTATCTCACCTTCTTGTGCACGTTCAGCTTCCTGAAGATCTCCGTGGCGTCGAGCAAGTGCTGGTTTTCCATGATTCTGCTCGCCTGTTAGCTCCAGTTCACACGTCATCGCGCCCAGCTTGGGTTGCTTAAACGGCGAGTGGGTGCGACGTACTTCTTCGCATTGTATCCCAACAATGGCAGGTTCAGGAGCAGGGCCATCCAGTATCCATTGATCAGGAACAAAAAGGTCAAGAAGGCGTGAACGGCGGCTTCGGGGATGATGTAGGTGTTGAGGCGGTTGCAGAGGTCGATCGGGTTGATGTAGTCACTATCGATGGCCCGTCAGTACAACACCAGCACGTCGCAGAGGCGAAAGGTTCCGATTCGTCTGCGATGTGACGTGGGAGAACAACGGGGGAATAAAACGGGGAAGACGGCGTTGGTGTTGCATCCTCGTGGTTGAGCCGGAGCAACACCAAGCGCAAAGATAGAGAGCTGCCAACACGGCTACCGTGCTCGCGGCCACGCAAGCACCGGCCGCGGAGCGCGCAAAGCGGGACCAGCGGGACGCAGCCCAGCTCAAGGCACACAAGTAGACAACGTGGGACACACGACGTACCATTCCAAGTCGCTGTACATGATGGTGAAGAAGACCTGCAGGAACAGGTTGACGGCGTTTATGAGCACCGCCAGCAGGTACAGCCAAGCTTCGCCGGACATCCTGGCGCGTATGGAGAGCGGGCGCGGATGTGATGTTGCGCGCGGGTCGACGCAGCAAAAGGACGTGAAAACAGAGGGGGGTTTTGAAGGACGAGGCCGGAGGCGGGTCGAGCAAAGACGGGCGACGCTCTTTGTTGGACGGTTGCACGGAGGACGGGCAGGGGGAGGGGGAGAAGGACGAGTGCGACGCCGGGCAAGCGACGAGTTTTCGATTCTTCTCTGGGCGGCGTGAGCGTGCGGGCGTGCGTGGGTGAGTGGATGGGTGCGAGAGCGTGGTGACGGGCAGAAAAGAGCAGGAGCGCTGCTTGCGTGGAAGAGCAAAAGGTCGAGCAGCAGCAGAACCGGGCTGGAGTCGAGGGCTGGCCAATCGCTGGTCTGCTGGGTTTTGCTGGTTTTTGCAGCCGGTGCTGGGTGCTGGTGCTCGACCTGGCCTGGGGCGGCGCGAACGGACGAGCGAGGCGTCGCTCGGAGCTGGCGTTGGCTGGTCCGGCCGGGCACTGGCTCGCTACGGAGCACGGCAGCGGACGTGAGGTCGCTGGCGGCAGACACGATGAACTGAAGACCTTTTTTTCCGCGTTCGCATCGGTTCGCCGCAGATCGCGACCGAGCATCCGCCAGAACGCTCGCCCCGAACACAGGACTGTCCGGCGACAGATGGCCCTGCACCGGCAAGCGGAAGTGGCAGGCTGCGATGGCCTCCTCTGCCGTCCTCGTGCTCACCGCTTTGTCTCTGCAAACGGGTGCCGCCTTTGCTGTTCTCCGCCGTGAGCTCGACACGTGCTCAGGCCACGCAGGAAAACGTCATGTCTGCGCTGCCGATCAGTCGAGGCCAAGGCACGGCTGGTCCAGTGGTTCATCCGACGGCCGCCTACGATGCGAGCAACGGGCCGCCAGACGCACTCATAGGTGGCCTCGCGAGAAAGATTGAACTGGGTCAAACGCCGCCGGTCGGGACACTCCCCAACACTGGGGACGAGCGCTGCTCCGGCAGCTTCTTACTGTTACTCATTCTACCTGATGAACACGTCCAGCACGCGCTGAGCTAGCACCTACGCCCCGTCGTCTCTGAGTCTGCCGCCGGGTTTCTCGACATGCCTCCAGCCGGTCCCAGCTTGCACAGACCTTTCCGCTCTCGCCCTCCCGCGGCGACGGCAAGTTCAGGACCTGCCATGCCCGTTCCGCCATCTCTCCTGTCCCTCGATCAACCGCAGAAGCCTGCCAACTGCTCATCCCAGGCATCAAGTTCGTCTCCCAGCCCCATTCCTCCAGGCACCCAGGCGCATCGCTGGGAGGAGCGACCGGCGAGTCTGCAAGCGAGCCCCTGCCCGTCTCGCAAACGTCGCGTGAAGCATCGCGCTGCGCCTTCCGAAAAAGCTGCCCCGGACACGGAACCGAGCCAAAGAGCTGGTCAGGCAGCCACGAGCCTGGCTGCTGCTTCCTCCGTCCCATCGCCTATGACTTGGCAGCCCCTTCCGCCTTTGGAATCGGGACGGGCCCGCCAGGCGAATCCGCCTTTCTCGCTGTCAGAACCTCCACTCCGTCCTCCGTGACGAGCAGTGTATGCTCTGGTCCAACACATTAGCCACCAGAGGGATTACAGACAGATGCGTCAGTGTGGTACACTCACCGAATTGCGCCGTCCTCTTGCCATCCTGCGTGACACTCGTCCAGTCATCCGGCCATGTCTTGTCTTTCCACGTGCCTAGCGCAATCATGGGCTCAATCGTGAAGCACATGCCCGCCTTCGCCGTACCTACCGCCTTGTTCTTTGCATAGTGCGGGATGTTCGGGGCACAGTGGAACAGCTGGTTGATGCCATGCCCGCAATACGTCTTGATGACGCTGCAGTCAAGCGTCTTCGCGTGCTTCTCGATCACGTTGCCCGGCTCGCGGAACAGCATGCCCGGCTTGACAAGTTTGATGGCTTCGTCGAGGCACTGACGCGAGCATTCGACCACGCGCACGCTGTCTGGGTCCGCGAGTGCCTTGTCGCCGATGTAGTACGTCTCGTTGAGGTCGCCGTGAAAACCGCCGTGGTACAGAGTCACATCGATGTTGAGAATGTCGCCGTCCTGGAGGACGTACTGGTCAGGAATGCCATGGCAGATGACTTCATTGACCGAAGTGCAAACAGATTTGGGGAAGTGGCAGTAGTTCAAGGGCGAAGGATACGACTACGACGGTTAGCACGGCGCGAATCGTCATCAGTGCAATTCCAGATCAAACTCACGTCACGTTCAATGCAAGCCTTGTGCACAATCTCGTCAATGTAGTCCGTCGTAACGCCGGGCTTCGCCGCGGCCGCAGCAATGTCAAGCACCTCTCGGGCGAGCCTGCACACTTTGCGCATGGCCTCCTGCTCCTTCTCGTTCAGAATGGCGATGTTCCTTCTCCCAATCAGATTCTGCTCAGATCGCGGGATTCCATCCCTCGCATAGTCCGGATGCCTGATCTTCGCAGGAACATGGCGTCGCGGAGAGAGCGGGTACACAGGCCTGAGGGGCCCCGTGTACGCGAACGTCGGGAATGGGTTGTAATGACCAGCTGCGTCAGGTTCAGATACGACTTTCGGGGCAATGAAGGAGCGCAATGGGTTGTTACTTTGTGTCTTGTGCTCTTTCTTGTGCTCGCTCCAGTTCTTCTTGAAGCAGTCCTGAGAGCAGAAGAAGCTGTCCTTGCCTTGCTTCTGGCACGTAGGACACTGCAGTGTTGTCGCTTCGTTCTTGCAGTCGGCACCGAGACAGATGCGTTGCGCAGGGACGCTGTCGTCGCCCATGTTCGACTCTTTGTGTTCTTGACGAGTAGAGCGTGATTTATCAGCTCTGTGCGGACAGTTAGAGACGGATCTCTGCATACCAGTGCAAACCGATCGAACATTCACCCCCTTACAGACTACGAGGCATTCGTATACTCACCAGAGCCGTCGGAAAATCGTGTTTGGAGAACCCTGTCCGTGATCAGTCGGCGAGCGAACGCGCCACTTTTGGGCACGGAATGGTCGTTGTGGGGCGGTATCACAAGCGCAGACTTGAGTGCACACACGTTAAATATGCAGGAAGAATTTTCGACCAAACCATGCGTGCACAGAATCAGGAGTTGGGTTAGCACCTGTTATCGTTGCGAACAGCACAAAGAAAAGTTTGTACGAAGGTTGACTAACTTCCTGCGCCGATCAAAGGGTCTGTTGTGTCCAGGCCTCTTGTCCTTCCCCCGTCCTCCGCACCGGCGCAAGTCACCCGAACCTCGCCCGTCACGTTATCTTACGATCAAACCCCCGAAACTTTTCTAGCGAGATGAATCATCGTCACGTCAATTCCATCCGTGCCAGCCAACATGGCGGCTCCAGGTCGGCAAAAGACCGTTATTGTCGGTGCCGGGCCTGTTGGTGCTCTCGCGGCTTTGTACGCCGCAGGGCGAGGCGATGAGGTTGAAGTGTATGAGCTGAGAGGCGGTATGTATGCTGCTGCGCCGCCGGTTCATAGGATATGTCTCAAGGCATCGAAATCAAGGCTAAATGTGTTTCTCAGATCTTCGGGATCCATCAACTGTTCCGTTAAACTTCACAAGGTCAATCAATCTCGCGCTCTCCGAGCGCGGGATCAACTCGATGAGAAATGCCAAGTGCAAAGGCCTCGTGGAATCTGTGCTCGCTGACACCATTCCTATGCATGGTCGTATGATTCATGGCATCAAAAACGGTTCTTTGTTTGAAGAATCTCAAGCATATGATATCCATGGCAGAGTACGCTACATCAGTGGTTGTCTGACGTCTGCTAATTGATCATAGTTTATCCGAGCTGTCGATCGCGCAGGACTCAACAAGCGTCTTCTAGACGAGCTGGACAACATGCCCAATGTGAAGTTCTTTTACAACCACAAGCTCGTTGGCGCGGACTTCGCAAATAAGAAAGCCTGGTTTGAAAAACGACAGCCTGGTGCTCCACGGTATTCACGTGCCGAAGAGGTTGAAATTGCTTTCGATTTCATGATTGGTGCCGATGGTGCCCACTCAGCCGTACGCTATCATTTGATGAAGTTCACGAGGATGAACTACACACAGGAGTACATTGACACGCTGTGGTGCGAGTTCCACATCACACCGAAGAAGACTGAATCAGGTGATGAATTCAGGATCTCCCCCAACCACCTGCACATATGGCCCGCCGGTGGATTCATGTTCATTGCCATTCCCAGTCTTGATAAGAGCTTTACGTCGACCCTTTTCATGCCTGCGACCAACTTTGAGCGACTAAACTCAAACCCAGACGCAATCGTTCCCTTCTTCAAGGAGCATTTTCCGGGCGTAGTCGGCACACTCATCTCGGAATCCGAAATACGGAGGCAGTACAAAGAGAATCCACACTTGCCGCTTATTTCCATCAAGTGTACACCCTACCACTTCGATTCTGCGGTCGTTATCCTGGGAGATGCCGCACACGCCATGGTCCCTTTCTACGGCCAAGGCATGAACGCCGGTCTTGAGTCTGTGCGCGTCCTCTACGACAAACTAGATGAGCATCTTCTTCCAACATCGTCCACTGCGCTCCTTACAAAGGCCGAACGAGATGCGCTGCGCGCAAAAGCACTTGCCGCGTACACAGAAACACGCACGCCTGATGCCCTTGCGATCTCTGATCTCGCGCTCCGAAACTACAAAGAAATGCGCTCAGACGTGCGATCGCCAGTCTATCTTTTGCGTAAATTTGTTGAAGAGCGATTATACGCGTATGCTCCTTCCCTGGGCTGGGCAACGCAATATTCGAGAGTCAGTTTTGGCAACATGCGGTATTCTGATATTGAGAAGAGGACGCAGCGCCAGGCTAGAATCCTAGGCACAAGTTTGGTGGTGGCACTGGGGGGAATAGCTGGCTGGGTTGGATGGTGGCTGTGGAAGTGGAAGGGACTGGGTGGAGGAGTGAGTTCAGTTAAGGAGAGCATATTTAATTTGGGATTGCGATTTGAACGGATGGGTGGACGAAGGACTTAGACATAGAGAAGGTAATATGCTCGCAAAATACCCAACCTATAGAAGAGAGAAATTTCAAAACGGTTTCCAAGCTTGTTGAGCACGTTCAAAGCAGCGCCTTTCTAATGGCTTGAAGAAGTTGATGCCTAAGGCCGAAATCGAGATGTACCAATGCGGCTGTTTGCGGCGGGTCATGCATCTTTTTGGAGCGAGACTCAATAAGCCATAAAGCATTTGCTGCTCGTACACCTTCCATAGCTCTCGAACATCAAATCTTCCTCTATAATTACGTCTCTTTCAATGTTCTAGTCCTTTGAGCGCCCTACAAATTGTTTCATTCGCCGCCCTTCCCTCAGGGCGAGCAACACTGCCACTGTCCTCCTTTCCAACACACGTCTCACAATGTCCAACTTCCTAAATCAGGACTTCGGTTCGGAGTCAGAAGACGACAATGACTTCAACCCCGTTCAAGAACAGGGCTCAGATATCGAGGATGACGACAACTCGGAGGCTGGGGTGAATGGCAAGCGAGACAGTGATGTCGGTTCTCCGCGGCGCAAACGGGACGAAGAGAGTGGAGGTAGTCGCAAGCCGAAAGCGCGTTTCGGACTAGAAGACGATGAAGAGGATGAGGAGGACGATGCGGAAGGACTAGGCGAGGACGTGGAGAATAATGATGACGAGGACGAGGATGAGGATGACGAAGAGGATGAGGAGGAGGAAGAAGAAGAAGAAGAAGAAGAAGAAGACAGGCCTCGAAAGCGATTGAAGCGCAGAAAGCGAAACCAATTCATAGATGTAGAAGCCGAAGTCGACGAAGAGGAGGACGAGGAGCTTGAGGAGGACGATGAGGAGATCGTTAACGAGCTTCACCCTGACGATGCATTGGATCTTCCTCCAGGCACCGAGCACGACGATCGTAGACACCGAGAGCTTGACCAGCTACGCGAGCGGGAGCAGGCAAAAGACGCCGAAGAGCAGGCGAGAATCTACGCTGAGCGATATGGACGCAACAAATACACGGGGGGTAGTGGTAGCGACGTGGCAGTCACGCCGCAGCACTTGCTGCTGCCCAGCGTGCATGACCCTCCCATCTACGCCATCAAAGTCAAGATCGGCAAAGAGATCGAAGTCGTGAACTCGATCATGAAGCGATACGCTGAACGCAAGGATTCGCGTGATCCGCTACGGATTCTTTGCGCCTTTTCTCGGCCAGACACCGCCATGAGCGGCTATGTCTACGTCGAAGCTCGTACTCAGATGGATGTTCTGCATGCCACGGAAGACATTCAGAACTGCTACGCCCGCAATTCGATCACGCTTCTCAATATTTCCGAGCGCCCAGATCTACTGCGCGTAGTCGCGCCAAAGGATGTTGACGTTGGCATGTGGGTGCGAGTTAAGCGCGACCCGTTATATGCGGGCGATCTCGCCAAAGTCTACTCCGTAGAGGATAATGCTGGCACGATGGAGCTGCAGCTTGTGCCGCGCCTGGACTACACCGAGGACGATGGAGTGGGTGCATTTGGCAAGCGGAAGAGAAATGCTGTCCGACCTCCCGCTCGCCTTTTCAACGAGCACAAAGCTCGTGCAGTCGGCAACGGCCGCTATCTCTCAACCGTAGGCGGCTTTTCTGCCGGACGCACGTTTTCATTCAGGAATCAGACGTACGAGAAGGGTTTCCTGATCAAGGCTTTCAAGTTCAAGGACGTCGAGCTGGATATCGTGAATCCCACTCTAGAAGAGGTAGCCAAATTTGCAGAGGAAGACGAAAGCGGCAATGCAAACCTTGACCTGACGGCCATTGCGCAGACGCTCAAGACAGTCACGGGAGACTACCTCGCCGGTGACAAGGTTGAGATCTACCAAGGCGAGCAACAAGGGGTATCAGGCAAGGTTGTTGCGGTAAGAGGTGATATCGTCACACTCGAAGTCGATCAGGGCTCGATGAAAGGACAGAAGATTGATGCACCTATGAAGGATCTAAGAAAGAAGTTTAGGGAGGGTGATCACGTCAAAGTTACTGGCGGCGCGAGCAAATACAAGGACGAAGTTGGTATGGTGGTACGCATCAAAGATGACCGCGTCACGATCGTCACAGACGCAACGCAAGATGAGGTGCACGTCTTTAGCAGGGACTTGCGGCTCACAGGCGAGGCCGGATCAACACCGATTGGCAGCAGGTACAATTTGCATGACCTAGTTCAGCTGGATGCCACTACCGTCGGTTGTGTAGTGAAAGTGGACAAAGAGTCTCTGCGCGTCCTCGATCAGAATGGACAGGTGCGAACATTGCTTCCCAGCAACATATCGAACAAGCTTGAGCGACGGAAAAATGCCGTAGCGACCGACCGCGAGGGCTCCGAGATCCACGTCGACGACACTGTCAAAGAGTGGATGGGCGCTCAGCGACAAGGACACGTCTTGTACGTGCACCGCAACTTTTTGTTCATCCTCAATCGCTCCCAGGTTGAAAATGCGGGAATGTTCGTCACGACGTCGCAGAATGTACAGACGGTCGCGGCAAAGGGAGGCAAGATCAACAATGTTGGACCTGACTTGACGAAGATGAATCCCGCGCTTCAAAGAAATGGTCCTAACGGCGGAGCGCCTCCCTCGATGCCGCCTCCCAAGACGGTGGGACGCGATCGACTGATTGGCAAGACTGTTACAATTGCCAAGGGCCCGTACAAGGGGCTTCTGGGCATAGTCAAAGATACTACGGACACGAAAGCACGTGTGGAGATTCACTCCAAGAAGAAGGATTTGACGTTCGAGAAAGACATCCTCCGTATCAAGGACCCCATCACAGGCCAATCAATCAGTCTTGGACGTGGTGGCCCCAGACCTCCACCCGGTGGTCCTGCACCCGGCGGCTTTGGACGAACACCTATGGCGAGTCGCGTTCCTGGTGGTATGGCCACAGGACGTACTCCGGCTGCTGCTGGTGGCGATACTTGGGGTGCTGGAGGACGCACGCCAGCGGCTGCTGGGTTGAGCGGAGGGAGAACACCGGCGTGGGGTAGAGGTCCTGTGGATAATTCTGGGGGTGACAGTTGGAGAGTTGGTGATGGTGGACGCACGAGCTACGGCGGCGATGGGTCCAGGACAGTATATGGTGGTAACGACGGAAGCAGGACAAGTTATGGAGGCGCTGATGGGAGCAGAACTGCTTACGGTGGCAGCGTACGTACTGTCCCGTCTTCAACCGTTCCAGGTTGTCTGCTTATGGCCTTGGACTAACATAAAAATGAACAGGCATGGAGTACCTCCTCTAGAACGCCCTATTCTGGAAATGCTGGCTACTCTGGAAACGACTATGCTTCTGGCTCCAAGACACCACTTGGTGTCTGGGGCGCTTCCGGGGGCCGTACTCCAGCGTACACGGGCAACTCCAGCACAACCAGCTACAACAGTGCCCCCACGCCAGGTGCAGGTCCCACTCCGTACAATTCAGCGCCAACGCCAGGAGCTTACGCTGCACCTACGCCCGGTGCGATGGACGGCCCAACACCACGGCCGTATGGTGATTTCAGGACGCCAGGAGCGGTTGCTGCGCCAACGCCTGGTGCTGGATACCCTGAGACACCAGGGGCGTTTGCAGCGGAGACGCCTGCAGCGTGGGAGGATGATGGGCCGAGATACGAGTAATGTGACTGGAGAGAGCCTGACCATAGCTATGGAGGGTTTTCCATGTCGTGGAAGGATTTGCGTGGGGCATGATCAAAGGCATATATGTTGCCAAGCATAGTCTTCCTCAGGTCTGCCTTTTCAAAAAAGAAAAAAAAAAGCATATCCAGGATCGGCGTTTTCCCAGCGAAAGGCATGAAGCAAATGCCGTCCTCGGACCAAAATCAAACTTTTTTCGAGGGTGCATAGAGTATGTAAAATTATTTCCGGCCTGATTTAGCTTGCATATGTGACAGACATGTATCCCAGAAACGGAAAAATTTACGCTGTTGCTAAGGCTGATTAGCCCTTCTTTCACGCAGACACTTCTTTTTTAAATCTCTCTGCTTTTCCTCTTGCTGCCTCTTGCATTTCAAATGCTTCAGCTTCTGGGAGCCGTACGGCAGTTCGTACACGGGCCTGACGCACTTCTAGAATGTCCAAGCGGATACAGACAATCTGCACCGGCGTTTGAACACGCCTTTCCCTCCGCCATCCCCCTCCCCACACTCCCCCCCCCCCCCCCCCCCCCCCCCCCCCCCCCCCCCCCCCCCCCCCTTGCACGCATCGCTTCGTCCCCATCCATCTCTTTCTTTCACGCCGTAAAAGTAGCGGCCGTCTGTCCCCAGCGGACGCCAAAGCACTCCTGCTACCACCTGTGTTGCCACTGTTGCTACTGCTGCCACCGCGACGGCCTTTGTGCCTCCCCGAGGAACGTCGGCCGGGCTGCCTTTTTTTTTTTTTTTTTCCTCTTCAATATTTTTATTTCTTAACTTGGAAAGTTTGCGCACGATTCGAGAAATATTTCCGATTGGGCCATTTGTAGGAGCGAGAGACGGGGGGCGGGCCGAGAGGAGGGTGGGAGAGGACCAACGGTTCGCCCGTCCGTGGGACGCCAACGCTGCTGTGAGAAAGAAAGGAGGGGGGGGGGGGGGGGGAAGCCACGAACTGGAGAGTGGTACAGACGAGGTGGTAAGAGAGAGAGAGAGAGAGAGATAGACCGCGTCCTTACGACGCCGGTTGCGGATCCAACAAAAAAAAAAATTAAAAAGTCGCGTGTTTGCAGATGAGAATAGGGATGTTGCAGTCTGCCCCGCCGTTGTGGTCGCTGTTGCTGTTGACGTTGTCGTTGATCGATGCCGTCGACATCGCCTCCGCGGCGAACGCGACCCGCGTGGCGTCCTGGGGCCAGCCAAGGCTTGCGACGGGGGAGGACGGTTCAAGATTCCCACGTGGAGTCATCTTTTTCTTTTCTTTTTCTTTTTCGTGGCTAGACGCAAATTACTCACTTATGCGAAGGCCGGCTCCAAAATCGCTTCGTGTGTGGTCCTCTCTCACTCTCTGTTGGTATGTCTTTATTTTTTTTTTTTTTTGGGCGCAGAGATTGTGGGCATGAGACCACTGCAGATTACGCCATCCTCGCGTATCGCGGATGAGCGGGCCTTGCAAATGGGCGGCCGAGCATGCAAGGGAAGACCAAAGGGAATAAAAATAAGAAGGACAAGAGACAAGAATCACCCGTCCTCGGGGGCGAGGCTACGGGAAGACGAAAAGAATAAAACTCGGACATGCATTTGGTAGACTAGCTGCATCAGTCAAATCATCCTTTCGTTTTCGTGTGTGTGGACCGAACCGCCCATGTGAACAAAAACACAAAGACTCTTGCCTCCCTCCCCTCTTTCCTCCCGGCAAAAAAAATTCCCAAAGTGAAGGTTCCCGCGAAATCGTTTGTTGCCAGAGGTTGGCAGGGAAAAAAAATGCAATTTGTGCCGCCCATCGTCCTGTACGTCGCTAAAGGGTAAACGTGCCGCCCGTCAGATATGCATGGAAGAAAATACGTGGTGAGATCCTATTCGTAAGAGGTGCGCCGGGAACATGCTCGCAAGGGGAAGAAGCTAAAATATGCGCGTTGCTAGTGCATGCCGAACATTCTTGTAGAAAAATCGAGTAAGTGCTTGATTGAGAAAGCCGAGTTTTTTTGGGTGTGTTGGGTTATCGCTGGAGTCGCTCGCCAAAGAAGAATGATCCTCGTTTACGGCGCGGTTAAGGCACGACTCGGAAGCATGCAGACAGCTCTTTCGATCTGGCGTGTGGAAGGCTTTCCGTCTGCGCCTCGTGTCAAGAAGCGGCAAAACAAGACAAAAGTCTGCACACAATCCGCACTTGCGTGCATGCCTTTGCAGAGGGAGAAGGAAAAGGTTTCGTGCAGCCCCAAAACGTAAACTATGAGGGCGAAGGATCATGCACTGGGCATCTGCCAATGATCCACTTCTCCCACACCTTCCGGGTCCGATTCGACACGTCTACACCATTGTCGCTGTATGGCCCTGCGTTTTCGAGATCGAGCTGTATGGACTGGTTGCTGCAATTGCACCACAAAATCGCCGAGGGAGTCTCTGGCTTGGTGGCATGGCGGTCGTGGTTCGGAGCGACCTGCGAAGGAAAGCCCATCTGATTGCCCGCCATGCCGTGTTCGTCATCTGTGTGGTCTGAGTGCGTTGACGCGGTTGTGCTGTCCTGATCCGAGTCGTAGCCGTTCGATTGGGACCATCCCGCAATAGACGATGCAGAATGCGAGGCATTTCCGTTTATATGGTTTGCATGAGCATTTGCTGAGTTTGAGTCCACCATGTCCGTATCGCCATCGTCGGACTGATGATCGGTCTGCATCCCATCGCTGTCACCGTCGCTGCTCTCGTCGCTGCTGTCGCTTGTTCCGCCCAAGGGCAGATCGGGTATCTCTGCCCCCTGTGCGGCCCACAGCTCGTCGAAATGCGTGGCGTATCCAACTCGGCGCAGGCTGCACCACTCCAGTCTGATCATGTTGTTCTTGAGGTGCGGCAACACGTCTTTCCACCGGCTGCCCTCCTTAAGCAGGACGTCTCTGAGACGTAAGCCTTTGAGCGTCTTTCTATGACGTGTCGTCATTGCAATGATTTCGTCTGCGTGTAGTTTCCATCCCTGGACGCCGAAGCACAGCAGTTTCTCCCACGAGACGCCGTGAAAGATGTCGTCGAGGCGCAGCGAGATCGGACGATGGGAGGGAAAGCCAACGTGAACGGCCTGCAGATTCGGGGCAGATTGCTCAAAGACGGCCCGTAGCATAGGCGCAAGCTCGCGCATTCTCGTGTCGAGATCTTGCGTTCCGTCGTCGAAGTGCAGCTCGATGGATATGAGTTTGGAGACGAGCAGGGCGAATATTCCTGGCTGAACCAACGATATGGCGCTCTGGGGCTCCAGATGGGGTGAGGAAAATCGTGTGCACGGTGACCGTGACTCGAGCAAAGCTTCGCCTATGGTGCGTGTGCTGTGCGAACACGCCGGTCGCCAGTCAAGCTCGAGATACTGCGAGAAATGGCGGTTCTGCCGGAGCCATGTGAGAAGCTCACGGTCCTGGGAGTCCTGCACTGGGAGTATCTGGACATGTTGTAGCTTTGTGAAGGCCGACAGCGCCTTGAACAGGGTGTCTCGGTCCTTGCGGGTTCGTAGAATGGTCTGCTGCTGCCGCAGCTTGTCCTCATAGATTCGCACGTCGAGCTTCCCAAGGCTGTCGGTCAGGCTTGGGAGGACGTCTTGCACCCGGTCTCTACCTGTACGGCATTAGAATCTGCACATGAAAGCAGCGGAGGCGGGCGCGGGCAGGGGGGTTCGTGGGTGTTGCGATCCACTTGCCGTCGACGAAGAAGTACGGAACCATGTAGCTGAATTTTCGTACTTCGGACGCGAGATGCGGGCTGCTCGCAATCTTCTCCAGGCGCTCAAAGTCCTTGATCGAGAACCTGGTGGTGACCCGGGCGAACTGATGTTGCGCTCCGATCATGGAGAAGCGCTTGCAGGTCCGCCTCCAGTTGCCCAGATCCTGCGCCCTCGTGGCCGAAGGCGGCGGGGGCGGCCTGAAACTCTCCTGGGAAAGATAAGCCCGACGCTCGAAGCTGATGCTCTTGTTCGGGTCGTCCTCGAGGAAGTCCAGGATGGTGAGCAGCTGCTCGTTGGCGAGCCTCAGGATGTGAGGTACGGCGGCGCGGTCGTCCGCGGCGGGAGTTGATAATGAGCCTCCGACATCTTTGACAGCCGCAGCACTCCGTCGGGGCACGGATGTGGCGCCGTTTGCGGTACTCGTGGTGGACGAGAACGATTTTCGAGCCATGTTCTGATGGTGTGACGTCGCGGCAAGTCAGTCGTGTGGATTGGGACTAGTTGCGGTTATGACTGACATTCGAGAGATGTGGGGAGAGGTGGGTGCAACGAGAGCAACGCAAGAGGATGAAAAATTCGAACCGCATGCACCATGACCACAGCCAGCATGCCGGACAGGCGAGCGCTATCGTGCAATGAGCATAGAGCGTACTGGGTCGATTACGGACGCAGAAGCAAGCGCAATGTACGCGCCCCGGGCCGCTGATTGGGCTGGGCAGCGGTCACGTTACTGAACTGTCCTGCGGGCTCCAGGCCTAAGCATGCAGGCTAGGATGTCGAGAGCGGCACGTTGCAGAAGAGCCGACCCGTAGGAAACCGTCTGGATGTTGTATCCTTGCCGGCAGCCTGGCCGTGGCTCTCAGAGGGCTGAACGGCGTCGTCGTGCAGACGAGTTTGCGCGCTTTTGTGGCCCCCCGGCTGGTCCACCATCGCAGCGCGGGCGTGGCACCAGTCGGTCGACCGCGCTGGAGAGCGACTCCTCGACCCGGCCGCTGGCACGCCAGCTGGAGTCGAACCGACGCTTACAAGGCCTCGCTGTCCAAGGCGGACCCAAGCCCATATCCACCCGGGCCAGGGGACCAGACGCTCGCCTCCGCCAACGGCGCTTCTCGATGCGGACGATTGCGGGACGGCAAGAAAGGAGGGGGCTGCATAAGCAGCTTGCTACTTTCTGCCGTCCGTGAGGCCTCGGAGCGCGCCTCTGCCAGGCCCTCTTCTCAGCAATACGACCTGCCTGGACGCAAGACAGCCGAAGAAACCTTGCCGTGCTAGTCAGATGCTCTAAAGACGGGCACGGGTCGATCCGGCTTGCCGTTTTTGCTCGGCAGCTTCGAACGTCTGCCCGTTGTTCCTGTGCCCGCCCACTCTTGCGAACCAAAGAGCAAGCTGGCCTTGCGGGCATGCCACGGCCGCCAGGAGAGGCACGAGGCCGCTGGGCCGTGTTGGCTCTGCAGCGTCCAGCAGTCGCGAGACCCGTGAAGGCGTGCAAGGGGAGATGTACGACGAAGAATACGGCGCCTGAACTGGACGGACAACGGGTAGGCTTTGCCCTCATGCACGTCCCCGTCGTCGACCTTTCGGTGTCCAGACGCCGCCAGGACGACGACAGACGGCGCGCTGCTCGCTATGCGACGTAGAACGCGGATCACCAGCATATAAGGTCGCATTCTGAGAACAGGCCGGACGCTGCGGAAAAGAAGCTGTCAAGCGCTTGTGCTACCTGCTGCCCACAGCATAACGATGAGCTGGCTCCGCATCACGTGGGTCTTGACTATGGCGGATTCTGAATGCTAAACGACGTGTCTACATATATTTTCGGGCACACAAGTAGAAATCTGCTGGCTGAGTAGATCAAAATTCGATCGCCGACTGATCCTTCGCGCATGACATGTCGCAAAGGACGTTCGCTTGCGCTTATCGATAGCCCACAAGCGCCGGTCTCTCTTCCACACACACACACACACACATACATACATACATACATACATACATAGACACTCGACAGCCTGTGAATGCGCTGCGTCTCGAAACGCAAGCCAAGTCCGTGACCTTTGCGTCTTCACAGTCAACAACGTGTGGCGAGCCTGTGGGCAGCGGACGACCCGGGCGAGAGGCTTCTGGCTGCCATCTGTGGCTGTGCGGCCCGAGCTTCCTGCTTGGCCCATCTGGTGGTTCATTTTGGCTTGACGTGATCAAACGCGAGCAAACACACACTTTGGCTCCGAAGGATTCGATCTGCAACATGCTTCGTGTGTGATAGAACTGTGTCTCCTGCATTGTGGGCCTGAAAACGAAAGCCTCTAAAGGGGGGGGGGGGGTGTGATTTTCATCCCATCCCGTGCCTTTCATGTCGTGCGGTAAAGCCGAGAGTCTCAGCAGCCAGCATATGCAGACGAGGCACAATCGCTCAGCCTATCGCTCCACAGCCAACAAAAACGCCATCTCCAGAGCGCGCCGACCCGCCCACGGTCCTCCTTCTCGGACGAGGATCTCATGACGAGCAATTTTGCTCACACTTTGCTTCGGCCTTTGGCGGACAGCGCTTGCTTTTTGCGTATCTCGGTGCTGCTAAGCTTGTTCTGGAACGCTTGGTGCATGGCATCCGCGTGTGCGGCTTTTTCATTGGGCCTGTCGTCGGGCTCTTCGGTGTCCAGCACATCCACCTCGAAGACGTCCAGCTCGCGCCAGCCTTGCTCCTTGCGCTTGTCGTTGACCGCCTTGCCTCCAGATCGTGTCTCCGCTGAGATGACCAGGCAGTCTACGTTCTCCTCCGTGATCGTGGGTCCGTACGGGTCCCAAATCTCGGTGTACTTGATCTTCAGCCCAGAGCCGTATCTCGCTGTGACCACGTGCCCGTTCGGCCCCGGGTTCTTGACCTCAGAGATCTCCTCCGGATGGTCGTTCTCGGGATCAAACGACGTCAGCGCGTGAAGGAACGCGTGCGTTGCAGCGTAGCGCTCGTGCCAGTCCTGAAGGAACTCTGCGTATTTCTTGTTTTTGAGCAGATCTTCGGCTGTGATCCCCACGATCACAGAGCGCTCCTGCTCGCCCGACGCAGGGTCGGACATGAATATGGTCATCGTGAGCAGCAACTTATGCCCGATGTGTAGATGGTCGAACGTTCCCCCCACCACTGGACGGTAGTGCGGGCGACAAGCCGAGGCTGCGTCTTCTGGTCTCGTGCGAGACACGGAGACGATGCCACCGCACAGTTTTTGCACCGCTGAGCCTCTCAATCCAAACGAAGCGAAGTTCTTCAGAACCTGCTCACCCTCCTCACTCTCCACGGAGAAGACCTTGTTCCACCTCCGATGGCACCGGCCCAAAGTGGAGATCTCGATCACGGGACCCTCTACCGCTACTCCAACTTCTGTCGGTCCAGGCTGCACGACGCCATCTCTCGGATACGACAGGAGGAGCACTCGTACGTCAACGCCAGATCCGTCCTCAACGTTGATTTGCTCGCGTACTGCGATGGCGGTAATGAGCTTGTACAGGTTTGCTAAGGCTGTCTGAACCGCGTTGTAGTTCGCCGCCCGTGGTTGACTGCGCTTCTCATGCAGCTGCGGAATAGGCAACGCGACGTCGAGGATAGATCCACTTGCTGCGTTGGAACAATGTCGCAGTGCAAGCTGTAAGGGAGCCTGATAACTGGCTTTGATAGTAGCGTACGTAGCTGGCTCCGGCGCTGGCGGAAGCAATAGCAACGACTTATGTGCCATGATTTGGATACGTCGAAAACTTTTTCGGACAAGTGTTTTACTTCGTGACCGGCAGGCTGAAGTCGAAGGTACAAACGTCAATCGGAATGGGGTCGAAGTCGAAGCCGAGGTTCCCTCCCGGTTTCGGCATTGACATCAGCTCGAGGTTGAGCAGTCGATATAGCTTAAGCCTTCGATTCCAGGAAGACTAAAGCAATGTCTCATGGGGCATGATGCAGTAAATACGATGTTGTAAAAAGAGCACAGTTGTGGTGACTCTCCTTCCGTTTCATAGCCACGAAACATCGCGTGTCTAGCGCTCCATGCTTACATTATCTGATGCGTGTCGTCATCGTAAGCTCAGATGGTCACTCAGCATGTTAATATGTCTTGGAAGAATTTCTGGCCTTATTTTTTTTAATTTTTTTTAACGCTCGTAGATCGAAGCTTTGAGTTCGATTTTGTTGCTTCACGTGGTGACTCTATGAATTTTCTCGTGGTTACTACTACTAGGCAAATGACTGCAGCATTAGACGGCAATGACGACTCCTGGATCATACGGAGCCTTTCGATGGTAGATCGATCGTAAGTCCGGATTTCAAAAAGCTGGCGCCTGGTCGAGTGACGGCTCTAGAATCTCGGCCGCGTGACAAAGGAATGCAGACTCAAGCACGGAGGGTTAAATCACGACCTTCGACACGAACCTGCGACATGGCTGCGAGTGTCACGAATCAAGCGTCTTCGCGTGTAAGACAAGAAGAACAGATATCTCCGCTTCTTTCTGCAATGTGATGACAAGGCGGTCGGGCTGCAGAGGTGAGTCGATCGAAGCATCATACCCCAGGCCCTCACGCTCAATGTGTAAAACACCCCAGTCGAATCTCCATACACCGGCTCAAGTGGGCAATTTTTACCTCATCATGGCTCTCCTTGGACCGTATTCCGAGGATTCAGAGCTGCTAGAAAGGTTAAAGCCATGAACGAGATTTGTTGCCTAGTCTATCTCTATACAGTCCGAGAAAATCAACAGACTAGGAAAGTCGGATAATGATAGTCATAATTGCTGTATTCTTTTAAAAGCACCCTACGCAAAACGCCGCGCTGGAACGCTTCCACACTACAGTAACGAATCGTTTCATTCATGCTTTCATTGGGTATAAAGCTGCACTTTCACTTTTCTCTGTCCTTGCCGTTCAGCATCCTCCTCAATTGAGCCAGCTCAGCCCTTAACGCCGCAACCTCATCCCTCATCTTGGTACAACACCGGCACGTCAATTCGTCATGACGCTTTGTCTGTAACACTGCCTCGGACCTTCTTTGCTCATGTCCTGATACATCGCCTAGGGTACTTCTAACCTTCGCTCCATGTGGAGAGCTAGGAAATGCGAGACTGCTTCTGCGAGGCAGGTAACTATCGACCTTCACAGGTCCTTGATACGACTGTGCGAAACCCGGGCGCAAAGCATTGTCCATTTGCGTTGCCTCATGCCCAGATTCAGTCTGCGGAGACACCAAAGAAGATGCCATAGAACTCTCGACCGAAGGATGCATGGAAGGCTCCATTTGATTATGCGTGAAGTTTGAGGCAAGAGCGACTTTCTGCCTTGGCCTTGTATTCGATCTACTTCCAATAGGAGATGACATCGGGAGTTTGATCGATGGACGTTGGGGTTTCTCCATCGTGTGCTTTGCACTTGTAGCTCCGGACCTTTCGCTGGGCCATTTCAATCGCCGTGACCTTCTACCTCTCTGCATTTGATTCCCTCTCGGCTGATCCGCCACGTCACTCTCATAGTCAGATTCGGCAGTCAGCCATATGTCGTCTTCGTCCAAACTCTCGCAAGGTGTTCGTGCCTCGGCTGTACTGGGCTTCTTCGGGCTGAAGCTTGACAGAGACAAATTCGATACCTGAGAAGATCTGCGTCTTGCAGATGTTTTCTTTTTGACCGTGCTTTTCATCTGAGGCATATACGGAGCGAATAAAGTGAACTTTCCTGGTGCATCTTGACGTGACCTGTGCATTCCATCCGGATTCTTCGCCGCAAGGAGTCTCGCTATTGTAGTCTCGCCAGCATCGGGAGAGGGAGTCACCGTTGTGGTTGGGCTAGGTCGTGATAGGCACGCTGGTTGACGAGGTTTTTCCAGCGGCTCGTTTATTGAGAAGTGCTCCTTTCGGTTCGGATCTTCAGTTCTCTCATCTACATTTCTGAATGTAGAACTCGATATCCTCGGTCGCTGACGGGGAGTGGTTCTATGCGGAGGATTCATCGCCGGTACATCAGGTGGCGCTTGGCAGGGCTTTATAGGAGAAAACAGGTCCATGTAATTGGTCCCAGTTGGACGATTATCGTTTTGTGCCTTGGCAGCGTCCATTAAGCGGTAGCACACGGTGCCGCCGGCTTCAACAGCGTTTGTCTCACCGGTCGAAAGATCTTCAACCAAGGCACAATCTGCCAGACCGTTCCGAGCGGTAGAATCGCATCTCCGCTTTGTCTTCCTGCTCCTCAAGCTTCCTTGCACTTCATACAGCTCGATCCAGGTTTCGTCCACAGCCTTCGGATCAGATCTATCCTCCACGAGCCGTGGCCCCGAGCCTCTGATCCACTCGACGGCAATGATCGGGTCTAAAGAACTTTCTCCTATCTCAAATTGCTTCAATAGGGTACCAGATAGGTGATATACAGCGACCTTGCCGTCTATCTTTCCGACCGCAACCAATGGCACCTTCTCTGCTCCGGGAGGAAGTACGGACAGGGCCGTTGCGGGTGCTCGTACGTGCCAACTCCTTATCGTGTATTTCTTCTCAAAATCGATGACCTTGCATTTGCCATCTATACCACAGGTTACAGCTTGGCCTCTTGAGCCTGGAAGAAAGGCGGCTCCTGTAATGTTCAATCCTCGCGAACTAGATCTAATAATTTCCAGACCGAAGCCCGTACAGTCATGTTCCCTGGGCCGCGGGCTATCATCTGGATCAGCCACGCTTCTTGAGCTTACAGCATGAAGACCTTGAAACACATGTATTTCGGCACCGTGCGATTGTGGGAATGCAGTGTTGTCGCCGTACGACCGGAGGAGTCGCGTGGCATCATAAGCGGCGACCGCTCCATCTTTGTAGGCCAAGAGGAATACGTTTGGCCGATTCGGGTGAAAGCAAGCCTGGACTATAGGGGCCTGTGAAGCCAGAGGCTGCAACAAGAGAGGCTGGGTTCCCAGGGTACGGTTCTGGAGGTAGACGACCGGCGGATCCTCAGATGCACTTAGAAGAATATCTGAGGTTGGAGAAACGGCGAGGGCTGTGGGTCTAGAGTTGTGGAGTGGGCCAGGCTCGAGTAGACGTCCTTCGGCAAGGGAGTACGCTTGGACAGCATTGAGGATGGTGGTTGCAAAGAAAAGAGTCTTTGAATCTTGGGAAAACTCCAGCAAGCTTATGTGGCTCTGTTAAGGCAGCGTTAGCTGGTATCTCTTCAATAATCTATGTTTGACGCACCTCTGAACCTTTCAGTCTGTAGCTTCTTTGTTGTCCGTCCTCGATACGATGAAGAATCACGTTGTGACTGTCGGAAATAGCTAAAGTGCCAGAGCCATCTTTGGCCTCTCTAGCAGCCAAGATGCCTCTTGAGCAAGACCTGAATAACTCTCGCGACCCAGTCTGCTGCACGGCATGCACGTGGCCTCTGGTGGTTACGACAAGGTGGTGGGAGCTTGGGAAGGGCGAAACACCAAGGCCACCACGCGGCGCAACCGCACGGCTGCTCCCCGATTTCTGTGCAGCCGGCATCTAAGTTATCGTTCCTTCTTGCACGCACATTCGTAAAGTCAATTGTCTCGTTGCGAAGACGTTGTGGTACTCAGGGAGCCTCTGTTTGTGCGGATAAACAGAGTTCTGAATGAGGGCAGTCAGGCCCGGAAGGTTTCCGCGAGGATGCTGCCTTCCAGCCGTTCTCCACCACACCGTGCCAGAGACTCCGAGACAATAACCCATCCTTTGTCGGAAACGAAGACGTTACTGAACAACATCACGGCAGCGAAATCTCCACCACACTGTGCCAGAGACTCCGAGACAATAACCCATCCTTTGTCGGAAACGAAGAAGTTACTGAACAACATCACAGCAGCGAAATTGCCGCGTCTGTGCGATATGAGTAAAGCGAGCTCCTAGATTCACAACAACTGTAAGGGCTTTCTCGCCATGTACAGGACGACAACCAAGAGCATTTCTCTCGGCGACCGGGTAACATCGTCTTGCTAGTTTGCGTGGGGACGGCCGTCATCGCGCGTGCGAGCTCGCATGAAGCGTGACCTTTTTTTTTCGCAAGCGATTTTGCCTGTACAAAAAACAAGGTTGCTCTTTGCGCAAAGTTTAATCCTCGTCTACACTCCGCATGGCCAGAAGCACAAGTTCTGACAAGGCATTGTAGGATCCCTGCTCGACCAGGTACAGATGCATGTATACAACGTGTCGCACGTGCTTTAGAGGGTTGTGAGGACGTTCCACAATGCAGATCTGTCGGGGGAGTAACCGTGTAACCGTCTGCAAGTCACCAGATCCCGGAGTCCAGGATCTATCGGAGCCGGAGAATGATCACACGCTGCACGTTGGCTTGACGAAGTATTGGTACCAAATTTTGCGGCGTGAGTCGAGCGTGAGCCCATGGTAGACCATTTTGTCCACGTATTCACCAGCAAAATTGCCTGCGTAAGTGACATTGTATTTCCGACCTGCACACATGAACATGGGAGCTCGCCGTCTTCATCGGAGGATCCACAACATCTGCGAGATGATGTAGTACAAGCCAATCTAGACCATGTTTCCGAAGCGGCAGGGTGTTTGCGTTTGGACCACTTTAGAGCACTGCCCTATGGGCGGAGGTACGTACCTATTCGTCAAGCTCTTGTTGCGGTGAAGGTTCTTGCGTGAGATACGAAAAAGAAATCGAGATATTCGACTTTGAATGACGTGACTACTACTGGGCATCAATGGTTGGAGCAAATATTCCCCCTTCCCCCCCCCCCACGAAAAAAAAACGCAAAAAAGCAAATACTCTGCGGGACAGCCTCCATCCGACCTGTCCAAGTTACCTTGACAGTCAAGTACACCGATAACCCTTGATCCATGTCTAGTATGTCTACCTGTAGTACGCGTTGATAATAATAGCTGTCTTGGGTGCTCCACCAGAGTCTCAAGAGAAGGCCCGCAATAACCACGAATACTCCAAGATATGAGATTTCACGGGCGTTATCACGCATAAACTATGCGTGATTGAGCCTCAAGGGGGCCGCCATTGTAACACAGTGCTAGGGACCTCTGAGAAATTTGTCAGCAGCTCGAGTGAGATTAATCGGAGATGATGATCGTTTCTTCTTCATTTACAAGGCTCAGTTTCGGAATGAATCGCAGGACAGACCGTAACCAAGAGAACAAGACACGTCAGCGGGCGCAGTGGGATGAGAAGAAAAAAAAAAGAAAGACAGAAAAGTGACATCGTGGGTGTGACAGTACCGCGCACACGGCATGTAGTACTTCTGATTGGCGATGAGTCCTCAAGTCAATAACCCCACGGATGATGGAACTGCAAGACATGGTGAATAGATCCGACAAGGCTATCGATGACATGCAGACAAGCTTTTCCAGTTTTGATTTTGACTTGTCCACGCCTTGGATGCTTGAAGGTGTCACGGATCCAAGCACATCACCCTGTCCGCTTAGATCAACTCATCTTGGTCAACCCCCCTAGTCAAGAGACTGTCGTCGAATTCGAGGACGATGTTGAACCGGAACTTGACTTAAAGCCTGCGATCAATCTTCTTTGCCAAAGACGAGAATGAGGTTCCGAAAGGGTCATGTGCTAGGTGAGGTCGGCTGTATCTGGCACATTATCCATGGCTATGGGGGAGATCCTCCGTATTTCGCCGCCGTTTTAGGTCCTGGCCCTGGTTCAACCTCACAACTCGGTGCTCGACATGCCTCGGGTTTTGTTAGGGAATATTTGTGTGCGAGAGATGCTGAAGATGAAAATTCCGATGAGTTCCCGAAGCCATTGATGTACCAGGGATCATCACGCTTTTGTCAAGGACTACGTAGATGACAAACGCCAGCAGCTATCCAAGTTTGCTGCAAAAGCGCATGAGTCGCGTCAACGTCGATAACGCTTGGAGAAATCAGCCAGTCAAGATCTGTTTAATCAAATTTTGTCGAGCCCAAAAGTCCTCAATACAGGCCGGTTGTACAGCAAAAGTACTTTCCCACGGACCTCGAGGCGAGCAAGAACGAACAAAGGTGTTTGTGTTGACGGTGCAGACACACCGCAACCAACATTTTGGATAGCACTTTGGTCTGGTTTCGCGAGTCAAAAAGGCTTGACACGTTGAACCACTAACGAAGAACTACTCTAACGAGAGGCAAGGTTTATGGCGCAAGTGCATCGCTACCACAAGCTCGGTAACTGTCATCATAACCCGCAGCCATGGGCGGTAAGGGAAATTGGACCGTTCGTATCCACGTGTCCGGGATTCGACAGGAAATAAGAATGCAGATTTGCAGCGTTTAGAATGCAGAATCAGATTATTTCATCGAAATCACATCGGTTCATCAGCCGACACACCTGGGGTCGTCTGACTAGGCACGTATGTGCGGTGACTTGTACCTCCAACTCAGCCGAGCCACTAGAGTGAAAGGTGCATAGCTTCACCGTCCTGGGTGAAAATTGACAGGGCCTCAGAGCCAGAAAACCAGGCGAGGCCGCTTTCAGTATTCACCGTAAGAAACGGCGGAATCCGTTAGAGATCATCTCATCTACAACGCTGCTTTCTTGTTCGGAACCAACCCGAGCCAACCACTGATCACACTGGAATAGTCGTTCTTCTTCGCCTCGAGACGATGATCGTGCTACAATTGCCAATCACAACGCCTCGGATGATTTTATCCAATCGAGCTACAAGGCGCCAAACATTGCAATCTTGATCGATGAAACTAGGAGGAAAAAAACTTTGTTAGTGATATTACACTTGGGGCTTACTGTACGCGGCGTGCTTCGGCGAAAGTCTGGTCTCTGCAGAACCTGCAGGCAGCATGCGAGCCATACTATATGCATCATGCATCGACGCACATGAGGGGCATGTACGGCACCACGTAACGTAGTGCATGGACTCCCAGGAGAGGTCACCCGGACTCAGTTGACGGGCTGCCGCGCTTGACGAGGATGGAAAAGCAAAAAAAGGTGATAAGACAAGCCTTTTTGACGGCCACACAGAAATGGCCTAGCCTGCTCGCGGGTCGATGCGCATGTCATAAAAGTTTAATATCGCAACGTGACCTCGTTTTCACCCTGGCGCTCAGCACGATCCGTGGGGGGGGAAACATGTGTGGGTGCGTGTGATTGTGGTGATGTGTCTGGACGCTGGTGGCAGAGAGACACCACCGCTGCATGATCTGGAGGTCAACGCAAGCAGCAAAAGCATCTGCAGCTGACATTTTCCTGTCCAGCAGGCTCCATCTCAGATCCATGGCACAAGGCTTCGCTCCACAGCAGGCATCGGAGCCAGTACGAGCCAGGGGCGCTGGGACTGTTCGCCGTCGACCAAGCCTTGTCAGTTGGAGTGATCGAATTTCTCGCGCTTTGTCCGCTAGTGGCTTCGGTAGCATCTTCCGTCCCAAGGGCCTGGCACCGAGTCTGATTGGCCCCGGCGCCGCACGTGACTTGCGCTCTCTGCACCGCAGCCTGCACGCCTCAACGCCTCCGCTGCAGCGTGCGGCACGGTACGCAGGGTAGCTCGAATCCTGCCGGATCCGCAGCCCGTTCAGCATGCGGGCGTCGTCAACCCCCAGTGTGCCGTGTCCGAGAGTACAGACCGCGCCGAACCATTGGTACACGAGCGCCTGCTTTTCGATGGAGCGAGGCGGCTACTGCGACCCGCTGGCTTCGCAGGCGAATCACGACGCCCATCAGGCTATCCGACTGCTGAGACGGGCACTACCCGGCGTCAACCATCCGGCACGTCCCAGACGTCTGGCAGTGGAGCTGCTAAGGCCGGACGCGGTTTGGACACGAGTGATGTGATCGCTAGAGGAGCACGAACCCGTCGTTCATTGGTTCCACGTCGAGAAAAATTCCCCATCTGGAATGGATCACGGGTAGGACAGCAATAATGAAGGGTGAAGTTGCCAAGTTCAGACGCCCACCTCAAGTTTCTTTTTCCTCGAGCCCAATCTTTCTTCTTTGCGGTAGCGTGGTGGGCTTGCACACTTCAGAATATTGTGCTCACGGGCATTGTATCGAAGCTCAGCGCATCGTAAGTCATTCTGGGATCGTCGACGATCCGCGAAGTCGTGGACTGAGAGTGCAGATTCCCACAATGACGACGACGATGACGCATCGCCTCACACCGCCGCCTCTCGGATTTCGTTGCAGCAGGCGAATCTTGATGATCCGTCCCTCCTGCGAGCAATCATTTCTACGGACTTGCGCGCAGATGTTAGCCCTTCCCGCCGATCGTTCACTTACGGCCTAGTAGATATCCTGGTCTTCGAGAACGAGGGCGTGCAGATTGAGCTACGTTTTCAGCGTGTGTCCATAGCCACAATAAAGCCCACTCATATAACTCCTGGTGGCCTCACCAAATTTTTTTTTTTTTTTAATTTTTTTGGTGCTATACTCCTTTGACGTAACGGGGGTTATCTCTCCGTCTAGACCTTTGTGGGGCAGATCAACATGATCAAAGTCAAAGTGGGAGGCTTGCGAACGTCGCGGCCCAGGCGGGCAACCCCCAAAATGTCGGACTTCCACGCTAACGACACCACGCCTAGACAGATCTACTCACTAACCGTTTTGGCACGGTGCCACGGGGTTGGTACAGCACCAAGAAGAGCAAGGAAGCGAGTGAAATATTTCCGCAGTAGTGGAAGAACAACAGCAGCAGAGCGCCGAGTCCTGGCAGCTATGCTACGTCTGCGAAAGAGTGGTCTTCACACACACCCAGTCGCATCATGTACATGGGCCAGGGAGCCCTATCATCGTGAATTTCTCATTGGAAATCATGGCTTTTCTGTCCGACTTCCGCGTTAGGCCGGGGGTGTGGAGCTAAGCTCTTCAGCTCTCGGGAAGAGTCATGGTCGGGTCATGGCGTCTAAACGGGGAGCAAGCTTGAACCGCACGCTGCACCTTGAAATCTCCTGCTTGCCTGCATGACAAGGATTATTGAGCAAAAGGAAACACAGCCCAGTCTCTGGTTGGTGAGATGGCAGCGAATTGTAATTCGACGTCCCGCACGACCCAGAACATATATCTGTGGCGGTCTGTCTCCTCAGTCACGTTGCGTCAAAGTTTGCCGCAGTTGCAGCGGTGCATCCCAAATAATCAGCCTTGTACATCTCCCTCCATCATGCCCTCTCGGCCGCTGTGCGCGCTGGCATCTCACTACTATTCATAGGAGCTTCTATGCCCTGCATAATTTCCCCCCCCCCCATCATTCTCCAAACCGCTAGTTTCTTCCCCCTTCATCAACTTTCGCTCCAAAGACCGTGACCAGATCAAGCCATTAGGCAACCGGACCCATCCCACACAGTCAAAGCTTTTTGCCGCTCTAATCTATTGATCAGGGAACGTCAAAGGCGTTCCACCTCATGATTCTCACAGTGGCAACTGTTCAACTTCCTTATCCCAACGGCCCCTACGATCAGGGCGCTTTTCGTAACGTCACGTCGATTTCAGACGCAATCCGCACGAAACCTCCAGGAACCCTACAGCTTGCAGGAGAATCACCACTTGCGGTCTCCGCAAAGTCCGCCCAATGGTCCCTCAGCTCGAACGGAGGCGACGGCATAGCGGAGGAACAGCAGATGACGAGCAATGGCCCTGCTTCTCGACCGCTCTATGATAAAGACCAGCAACAGCACGCTTCCAAATCTCCATATCCGTCGCCAGAACATGCTCTTCCTTCGATAGCTGGATCGTTCTCAGCGAAAACGATGGACGGCCAGAAGCGGCCGTCCCCGACGCAGTCACCACCAACTCAAAACCACGCAGAGAACACGGAACAAGGCACCGAGCGCCGTGGGCTACGTCTCTCCGGTGTCCATTCAATCCTCAACCCCAGCCATGGGGAGGACGAAGAACGTCGCTCCCGCAGGAGGGGTGCCGCCGAGTTCGAGGATAACACGCGAACCATATTCACTGCGCCCACTGCGGCCGCAGCATCGGCTGGGTCGTCCCTTGGAGAGACATCGCCTACTTCAAGCGGCCCAAGGATGGTACGACGTATTCTGACTCCGATCTCACCTAGACTCCAACGAGCGACAAGTTATGGCAGGCTTACCGGGACCATTGACGCTACAGAACGGCCGTTTCTGTCGGATGTCTCGAGGATGGCTACGCCTGAGCGTGCGACAAGCATCTCCCTACCACCAGTACATTCACAAACATCCCAAGTTCCGCAGCAGTCGCCCTTCGTTGTTCCCGTGGCACCTACGCCACCCTTGATTCAGCCACCACGTCGCGCAAGCGTCAGTGTCGTCGGCTCAGCACGACCCAGCCCAAGCCCATCTTACGCAGACTCCTACAGCCAGAGCGGCATGAGCGGGCAGACGTCTCCCGCAATACTTCCTGTTCCTGGTGCACCACCAGGGCCAACACCTCCCAGCTCTATGCGGCTGACTCCAAGTCCGGGTCTCGCAGCCGTCAGTGCCGTTCCACCAGGCGCACTGGATAATGAGCAAGGATTTCACGGGGCTGTCGTTTCAAGTGGTCAGACATATCAAATACTGACTGTCGACACCAGCAAAGGACATATGCAGCTTCCCGTCGAAGTGCAAGCGGCTTCGCGCATGGCTGACGAAAAGCGAAAACGCAACGCGGGCGCGTCTGCACGTTTCCGGGCGCGACGCAAGGAGAAAGAGCGCGAAGCCGCAACCAAGATTTCCAATCTCGAGATGGAGCTTGCGTACGCACAGGAGGACACCAGATACTACAAGGCCGAGCGAGATTACCTTGCGGACATCATCCTCAAATACGTGCCGCAGTACGAGAGCCACCTGAAAAACCGACCGCCTTCACCAAGGCACAAGCGTGCGGCTCACATGCCCCGACCAGCGTTGAATCAGACGATGGATTCGCCTCTGTCCACGATGGATGCGGAAGTCTACGAAGATGAGCGTCCAGCCACACGACGGCGTACAGAGGCTTATTCACTTCCGACCGCTGCAGGAGGACCTCCGCAGCACCATTATCCACCCTCCACATACACCCCGTATCCACCCAGCCATGCGCAGCTCACGCCTCCCCAGCAAAACGCGAATGCGCAGTACGCACAAGGCGGGCACGGGCAGACCCCTCATCCACCTGTTCTCTCCAGGTTGCCCGCTACGAGCGAGCTTCAGCGACAAGAGCAGGCTTACGAACGCGGTTGGCCGCCCTCGCGACCCTCCGAACAAGGCCAGTAAAAATCGACAGGATCAGTTTTCTCATTCTCTTTGCTATGTCCGTATCTTCTCTTTTTTTTTCTTTCTTCATTATCGGCGAAAGCTTGCAAAGAAGACAGAAGGATAACATTCGTTCTTATTTGTTTCTCACGCTCGAACTTCGCTCACGGCCGTTGATACCCTGTTTTTTTTGGAGGTACTTTGCATCAGTGGAAGGCTTTTTTTTTTCTCTGGAGCATTCTGCTTGTTCTAGCATGCACTTGCATCATACACCTGTTCTTTGTACTCCTCTATATACCCATTGCGAAGAAAGTTGCAAAGCATCATCTACCGTAACATAAAGATCTCAAAGTCTGTTTTACTAGTCCTCTATAGATAAATGGTCTCGCGGCCATCGTACAACAAGAATAATGAGCAACAAATCTCCTTTTTTTTTCGATCCTCCCTCCATTGGCTCGGCCTGGTATTCTTGAGTGTCGGAATCACCGAGTATTCGTACACAAGGTCTCTCCAATCACGTCCCAGACAGCTCTCACCGCAGATGATGAGCATTTGGATCAGGATCCGTCCTCGATCCTGCGTGCTGCTCACATGTCATGCCGAGTCATCAACAATCCTCGACCACGCCAAAAATGTCAGCACCTCACATACTTAGGGGTGAGGGAGAGGGGGGGAACGCGCCACTCCCATCTGCCGCGTTCCAGGAACGCAGAGGAAAGAAAAATAAAACCCCCCCAAATTCCATCGCTCCGTCCTAGCCGCAGTCACCGCCAGGGAGGGGCCCCCATCCATCCACGCCCGAAATTCTTCGTCAGTTTGCGCCAATCAAAATTCGTCGTTGCACTGCTCATTTCTTTTTTCGAGGTTCTCATTGACCGACGAACGGCGCGAATCAGAATTCGGGGACGGCCAAAAAAATTTTTATTTTTTTCCCTTTTACCCTTTTTCTGCGCTCCTGAGGTGTGGACCTGCGGCCCGGTCTATCCGACGCGAATCGCAGCCAAGGAGGAGGGAGGGGGGAAATGGTGGGCCATTACGGAGTACTTTGTTCGCGTTTCGTTCCAAGGTTTCTGGGTCGCCCGTCCGGGATAAGGGGGGGGAGGGACGAAGGGCGGGCAAACACGATTTTGGGTTACCAAGGAGCCGGAAACATGCCGTGCATGATCATCGCGGTTGGGAAGTCTCCGCCATCCCTCGAGGTGTCGACGGACCGACTCGGTGACTCCCGCGTTCTAAAACCGGAGGATCTGGTCTGGCCCGGCGCTCGAGGCTGGAGCCAAAGGAACAGCACGTCACAAACTCTAATTAACACACAGCGTTGCGCGTCCTTGCCCTCAGGAGGACCGACCGCCTCCTTTGCATACGCGGCGCGTTTCAATAGGCGGGCTATATGCCTCGTACTGCACATCGAGGATGCCTACCCACGGACTGCGATACGAACGGAGGATTTTTTCTGCGGGTAACCGCGGAGAGGAGTTTCCGAGACGAGGTACGTACCTCAGGGCAATTTCATTAACGTGCGTAAAGGGGACGTGGTCGCCAAAATCCAATGTGCGTTCGTATAGGACAACGTTCTTCGGGCTAGTGTTGAATCTGCCTGTCCAGGCGCGAGCGACGGTCACGCGAGCCTACTCCAAGGGCGCCGGTTTTTCTCCAGTACAGAGATGCAGATATCATAGTACATTCTTGATGGTCCGTGAATTTAGCGTTAAAAGCAACAAAAGGCGACTTCGTGGTGTTCTGCAGAACGTACAGATGCGAACCAACGCCCCGCATACGTCCAATGGGGCTTTTTCTCTGAGAGACACAAGCATGCAGGCATGGTTACGCAGTTCACAATCCTGAGGATGAAAAACCCCCCCAGGCGGTGCTACTTGATGTCAGCCCACCTTCCTAATGAGAGAGATTCCGGACAGCGTATCATGTGTGGTGCACGCATATGCCGGCGCAATCCTCCATGCAGCCAAAAGCATCTCAGCGTGCAGAAAGCTAAGCTGTTCTTTGCTTGGTGCCAGTGTGAATCTAATCAAGCAAATCGCCCTGATTTTGATGTCGAGCATTCCCGCCAATTACGGTTTTCAGTGACGGTACGCTGAGCCCGTCCAAAGCCACTGCATGAAACACGGTTTATTCGACTGCGTTTGTTGGCTGGAAAGTGTCGAGGCTCAATTTCTTCTCCGAACAAGTCAAAAGCAAGACACTGCGCTTGATCACAACGCTGCGGGGGCCGGATCCGTAATATTCACCATCGCAACCTTTTGGACTAGGCAAGATTCAAAACGACATGTTGCACAAAGAGCGCAAAATTGCACATGCTGTGAAAGCGTGGACTATCACCATAAAAAAACCGTTTTGTTGGCTTGAAGACTGCAGTCGCGGATATGCATCCGCCTGGCAACACTCGAGGTTGGTCCCACCAACTTGGAACTTGGTAACCCGCTCAGCAAAATGTGACCTGTCTCTATATCGGGGTAGCTCAAGTCAACGTGACAGAGAGTAGACTCCACACACGAGGGTCGATGAATACACGAAAACACGGGGATGTCTCCATCGCCTGTGTCACTCACGAGGCGTGTTCGAGACCCTGTCATGCCGTGGTTGGACAATCAGCAGAATTGACCGGCAATCGCTCACAATGATGGTACAGGACCTTGATGCGCTGCTCTAGTAGTGATCATCCAGCTCCCTTGCTTAATGCAGCTTCAAATGTTACACATCTCAGTGGCGGAGGTGCACGGCCTTGGTGACGAGCGATCCAGGAGGGTGGCATTAGCCGCGCGGCCAGCCTTTCTTGACGTCTTCTCTACCCACGCATCAATGCCCGCTCCCACAAGGATACATCGCTGGCTAGGCTGACGACGATTTTTTTTTTGATCTCAGAACTTTGAGATCAGTCTGAATTCGTTCTTCCCGCGAGGACAGGCAGAAACAATCCCACTAATCGGAGCCGTTCCCACTCAAGTGCAAATGCTTGCAACATCACGTCGAATTTCTAGGAGCTGTCATTTCGCGTGCGAGGCGGACGGGTATCCCACGCATGGCGAGAAGCCTTGTGTTCCGGTCCACAGCACTTACGCTGCGCCCCGATCGCCGCTCCTCGTAGGTACGATAGACCTGCCTGACATTGTCCAACAAGTAGAATTCCCCGATCAGGGCTTGTCCTGTCGCAATGTTATCCGATACGGCGAATCTGCTTTTCTGTCGTGGTCTAGCTTCAGAGTCTCGCGTGACAGTCCTGCTGCTGTTTTCTCCGATCTCTTGCAGCTCCACGGACTCCAATTCTTCTGTAGACGTTCCCCGAATTTCACCTCTTTCTTCGGAATCATGATCTTGATTGTTCGCTTCGACACTTGTGTGAAACGATTTCTTTGTGTCGAGCTCTTTCTTTTCGGTGAACGTAGCCAGGGCGACCAGTTGCAGCAGCAAAATGAAGACGTCAAGAAGCAAGAGGCGCAACTTAGAGGTAGGGCCATGCTGGCCGACGAAGTCAAGCATCAGGCTTCCATGTAGGTAGCCTCGAGTTGCCTCGCCAGCTTCGGGTGCGCTGTTGATGAGGTGGAACATGATGCAGAGGATGTTTATACCGATTATGGCGCCGACATAAGGCTGAGGCGCATTTTGTTCTGGGAATCCCTTCGGCCTCGGCATTAAGTAGACAATTTGCACCATGCTTCGCATCGCAAATCGTATGAACGAGTTACTACAACCGTGGCAAGTTAGCTGTCGTTCACAGGAAGCACATCAAGTTTATGGCCCATCGGACACACTCCAATAAGTACATGACCGTAACCTCCATCCATATCAGCCTGTCCAAAACCGCAAGCAGATCGCTCAACCTAGGATTTCTGGAGAAATAGAATGAAGGCGCATTGTCGTCTGCGATAATGTGTTCGCTCGTTGGTGAGGTCTCTTCATTCGCGCTCGGCGGAGGAACTGCGGGCAGCGCGGCAGAGGATGAACTGGACTCATCATTCATCTCTGTTAGGCCCTCGTCAGCTTTACAGGAACATGAGAAAGTCTGTCATGAGGGAAAATACCTTCATCCGCAAACGTTTTCCTTCCCAACGAAGACGTAGGGGAGTTGTGTGTACCACTGGAGTTGATGTGTTCAAGGCGGCAGCCAGGGTCTGAAATGAAGTCACGACACCTCGCTGGCACGGACTTGCAGATTGGCGACTGAATTGGCTCCCCCAAAAACCTACATTCGCTCCTAGATGTGGATCTTTTCACCCAAAACAATCAACAGAGGAATTTTAATTGATTTATTACGCGCCAAATCTCCTACATCTCTGACTTCCCTTTTTTGCTAATCTATGTCTTACGTTGTTTAACTGTCCTTGCCGCGTTTCTTTATGTCCGTGACTCCACATGTGGTAGAGCTGTAGGATCCGATAGACTCTTTATGTCTTCTTTTCCATGACTTTTTCGAAGAAGATTTTACTCATGCTTTGCCTCTATCTTCTCTGGACCAGTCTTCACGATCTCCTCATCCCGACTTTTATTGTCCAGAGGCGGTCCCAGGTCGGTCATTCCAACGGGATCACCAAAGACCAAGGATATCTCCTCGAGAGTTTTGCCTTTAGTCTGAAGCATGGTTAGCACACTAACATCCCAGGCAGAGGCACAGGGATGTAAATACACTCACTTCTGGGAGGAAGAAATACACTAGAACTCCATACACCACGCAGCTGAAAATGAACAAAAACCAAAACTTGTACCCGCATTTCTCAAATGCCGTAGGAGCCGCTCCAAGAAGGATTGTGGAAGCAATCCACTGACCCGAGATAGAGAAACTTATGCCGAAAGACCGGATGATCATTGGGAAGATCTCCGAGGGATATAGATACATGGTAGCATCGAGGCACAGACTGTAGAAGACGGGAAAGAGGAAGATGAAAGCCACTCCAAAGCCGAGACCGACCTTATTGTCTGAATTTGTGTCGGCGAATCGAGCCGTCAGCGCGGTTTCAACGCAGAGCACGATACACAGGCTTATGCAACCGGTGAGGATGAACTTCCTGCGGCCGATGTAGTCGACGAGAAGGCCGTTGGTCAGATTACCAGGAACCGTAACGAAGTTGAAGCATCCTACGAGAAGCAGGGGGAGTCGACCAGTAATTCCTAGGCCATTGTAGAACGTCGTCTGGTAGTTGTTTATCACTGCGTGGACGAATGTCAGTCGCCCATCCAAAGGAACATCAGGCTTGATACCAACCAAGCGGCCCACAAAATTGATTCCCTGCCTGAACTAGGAAGCCTAGGGCGAGTCTCTTCTGAAAACTTTTTCTTGAAAACGCTAGCTTGGCCTGCGCCAAAGCTCCAACAGCATGGTGCTCCCTCTCCCATTTGATTTGCTCCGTCATCTGCCTAAATTCGTGCCGCGCATAGTCGTCATTCGGGTCATTCTTGTTCGCGTGCAGCCTCTTCGTGGTCTCCCAGGCTTCGGCCGAACGGCCTTGCGCGAGTAGCCACCTGGGTGAATAGGGAAGGAAGAACATGCCAACGAACAAGACCAGAGGCCACAGAGCTTGAACCGCGAGTGGAAAGCGCCATTGGAAAGCGCCATTCGAGGAGAATGAGCATCCGTAGCTGACAAATCCCGTCAGACTGTACGAGAAGCCGATCAGAACCCCATGTAAGCCCACCATCAGACCGCGAGACTCTGCAGGAGACACCTCGGATTGATAAAGCGGGACGAGCGTGACGAGAATGCCGATGGCAAATCCCATGATCACACGGGCAACACAAAACATGGCTACATTGACTGAGCCGGTCATGAGGCCAGCTCCAATAATTGCCATCACACACGCCATCTGGATAGAGCGCTTTCGGCCAAAGAACTCAGCGCTCCACATATTGTACACGCATCCTAGCATTCCTCCAATGGAGTATATACAGTTGATGACACCGATAATGGACGTTGTGTACGATGAGCCTTGTTCTAAGCCCATGTAGCCATACCTATCAGTATCAGCAACGGCTTAGATCTCTGTGATTTTCAGAAATGCACCATGCTGGGGTACCTATGACGGCGGCTGAGATAGAAGATGCGTAGCCATAGGAGAGACTGCCGAACGCAACGAAGAGAGCCACGCAAAAATTGTACCAGTTCCGCGGACGAGGAATGATATATTTCTTTTCATGGCCTGACATTGTCACTGGATGCGGCTAGCTACAGATACTGTAGACGAGGTGAAAATGAACAAGAGAACTTAATGTCCACTGCGAGAAATGGACTCAAAGTCAGACCAACAGCCGTTATAAGATTGCCCCATACTCTGACGGCGTTTTCAGATGACTTGATCGGCTGCACTAACAATCACCCCATGAGGCTTGCGACTATCCCATATAGGCGTTTTGGTCAAGTCACGGCAGATTTGCAACTCGTCTACCTCGCCTTGACAGATACCCCGCAGCTATTCACTTGCAAAGCGAATACCGGAGTGTCGATCATGTAAAACCCTCAGTCACTGGGAAACCTTAGCCACGTCTGTTGTACACCTTTTTTGGCGGGGTTTTGTGAGAATGTCGATCTTCGGAAATGGTGGCAGTTAACGTTCTACGATTTCGCTGGCGGCATCCGAATTGTTCCCACAAATCGCCGACGAGACCATTCACGTTGCGACTCCGTGCGGATGCCAAAAGGTTCCCGGCGATTGCTAGCTACTGTTGCTGAACACATTTTTCCTTTGAAAACTTGTTTTGATCAGACAATATCATAAAGAATGGATGTTTATGAATTTTTACGTTTTGGCCTATGCAGTTCTCAACGGCCCTTGCTGGCAAAGCAAGATTTCGTAAGGATTGATGATATGCGACCCGCGTAAAAGATTTTCAGTATCGAAAACACCGTGCTTGTCACGCTACCAATGCTGTTAAGTCTCTGCGAGCCGTTTCTGATGACGTCGATCACAGTTGGTAGAATTTTATTGGTTGAATTGGATTGTTTTGTCCTCCTCGTTGCACACTTCCTCTGGTTTGCACAAGCTAATTTCATCCTAAGTGGAGCATCCAACAGAGTCTTTCTGAATCAATACCATGTCTTGAGCAAGCAAACCGTAGCGAGATCAGCGCGAGCAACTTAGGCGTTCTTTTTTTTGGTGCTCTCTATCTTCGCCCTGCGCCGAATCCCCACAAGTACACCATGGGAAGCTGAACTACGCATGCTCTTCCCCGAAGAAGTTGATTAGCATGTTAAGATGTCCAGCGGCTGTAACGCAGCCTCGTATACCTCGGTGAGGGTCTCGTCGAGGCTACGGTCTTGGACCTGCGGAGGTTCTCAAAGTAGAATAAGGCCAAAAGAACAATTCTAGACGAACAGCTTAGAGTTACTCGCCGCCTCTCCAGCTGCCAAAAATGGGTTTTTTTTCCTGATTTCTAAGCTAATTCTTACAGGGACGAAGGTTCTTGCGGCTCTAACGGATGCTGTACGAGGATAGGTGCCCGATACACACGCGACGCGGTTAGCTAGTTCGGAATACAGGCAACCGCCACGAATCAGATAAGATAGTTCCAATCCAATTTTCTTTTCTAAAAAAAAAAAAAATTCGTCGCGACAGTTGGTCGAATCCGGTTAGACTGTTCAACGTCCTTAGTACTGACTTCCCGAGTTCAGACGCTTTGCTTACCCGCAAGGAGCCGTACTGAGCTGACCAGATGGCGAGAGTGAGAAAAGAAAAAGCATATGAAACAAATTGAAGGCGACAGGGCCATTTCTCCTGTTCAGCATCACATTTTGCCAGCCATGGCTTTGGATCAACAGTTCATCACTCGATTGTAGGAGATGTGCTCTGCCAAGTGTACGACCCTGTTTTATTGTGAGCGCAATTTCCGACAACTACGATGCGTAGAACCTTCCTGGCCGGGAAGGTATGCTCTATTCGCCCTCTCTATCTAGCCATCAGCAAATGCATCCGGCCTCTGCCGCGAGCGCTCCGTCATACGACAGAATACGGGCGTGCAAGACGTTTTGAATTCATTATGTCTGAAGCTTCTGGGTGAGGCTTGGCGTTACACCTGTCCAATGCTTGTTTCAAGCATTGAACTGCACTGTCTCAAAGGACCTGGATGGCGGGCACAGGCTTTCAATGGGGTAAAAAGAGGGAATAGAATTGAGAGCACATGGGCTTTAGGACTCTCAGTGGGCAGGATTGTATTTCAAGCCTGTGTCCTGTTCAAATGGTTTTGAACATACGATGTGGCCTTGGTGAAACAAGCAATATCATTTGTTGCAGGACATTGCACACGATGCTCCTCTGTACATACGACGAAAACGAGAGAGGCGTGCTTTTGAACCGTTGCGTGATTTAGACGACTGGAACAGACGCAGCGAAACTGCTCCGCGCATTGACGTTCGGATTGAATGAGCAGAGCCTCAGGGAACACGTAACATAGGCTGTGTAAGTACGGCAGCGCGTGCGGCCATGGAGGGTTTCGATGACTCCTGGACTTTCGGTGAAGCTCCGCTGAGAGGGCGAGATATCACGTTTGGCAGCACTACTCTCTGCATTAACGTTAAAGAACTTGCAAGCGGAACCGCGCCTTGGCATCTCACGTGGATAGCCAAGGTACCAAGAGGTCTCGGCAACGAGCATCAAAATGCTTGGTTCTTAGATCTCACTCGGTCAAGGAACGTCATCTCAAGAACCGATCCAGCGTTTTGCTTCTGCACAGCGGAAATAATCCACTGCTGAACTCGAAGCCGTACCCATTAACTAACTCGTGCACCTTCGAAGCAACAACGAAGATGCGACCCTACGCTTGGCTGACGAGCGATGCCGGCGTCATGGCTCCAAAACCGGATTTCCCGACTCTTTGATCGCTCTTTGGGCGAGCAGCGCGACGATCGAGCCCTTGCTGAGCTTGCCGCTCAGACGGCCAAGCAATGACTGTGCGGGTGCGACGCTTTGCTTCCAAAGGGGGTGATAGTTCGTGAAGGGTAGAAGATCGTCTGGCAGTGCACGCTGCGCTATGACGCTCGTTGCGATGTAGTATCAAGCACTCATCGCCTCGTACAAGCAGCTGGCCCCAGCCGTTCCCACTCTTGCATGGCCCTACCAAAGGCAAAAGGTGTCGCCGCGCCTCTCGTGAACGTGTGGCCCTTTACGGGTGCAGGATACGTCATCGCACGCGTTCTCTGAAACCGCCAAGACGATGAATTTCGCCGGGTTTCGATTGCTGTCCTGACGATTCTGTGCTTTGTGCTGCGTGCGTGCGAGTGAGTGAGTGTCCCTGACGCGTGGGAAGGGGTTGGTGAGGTTTGGCGGTGTGCGACTGGATCAAAGCATACGAGGCGCATGGGATCGATTTCCTTTGCCTTCCATTGTTTCCAACCACGACGGGGGAAGGCGTAGCTTGCGCCACGGACGTATCGAGTCGCGCCGGCTGGGACTCGATCTCAGCCCCTCGTTTTTGATGGCCAGCGCGTGACGCTCGGGATGCAATACAAACCTGGCCTGCGGCTGTGCACTTGCAGCTTGGGGGCCCGTCATGCTGTGCTACTACTCGTCCTTCAGCTAAGCAATTGCAGGCAAAAGCTTGTCTCCTGCAGCAAACGGATCATCTTTGACGTGGGGCGCGACTGAGAGAGATTGTTCCTGCCTCTGTATAAAAGCGCTGCCAGCCCTGCACCTCAGCTCTCGTTGCTCTGCTCACTGTCGAACAATCCACCTTCTCCTCTTCACACCATCCATCTCGCACACCTTCACTGCACTCGTCGCTCGACGCACGTCTTTCGTCGCAAGATAAGAAGAACGTACGTTGCTGCTGCTTGACGACAACGTCACGGAGTTGTGTCGCGCTAACCTCCGTCACAGCACCATGCCTGGCAGCACTACCTCCTCCGTTTCCATCGTCAAGCCAAAGCCAGTCGATCACCCCTGCGGTGAGAGCTGCGAATGCGTACGTCTTTCCCGCTCAGCCTCTGTTCCCACCCACCCCTGTGAAATGTTTCATGCGCGTTGAGCCTTTTTCCTGTCAAAGACTGACCCTTTCATCCAACAGTGCGGCATTGGCGAGTCCTGCTACTGCGTTGTTATGTAATTCGATCGTGGATACCCATGCGCAGCTCGGCGAAGTTCCGCATCTTTTAAATGAACGATGGAGGACGAAGGCACATCAACCACGCCATCGGATTTGCATCCTACAATGTGTGGTCTCGCTGTAGTACTTTCGAGTTCTAGGCAATAGTCTGAAGCTATGTAATGCACTCGGCGTCACAACATCGCGATCCGTCCCATCCGAGTCTTCACCCCGTCACTTAGCCATTAATCCTACTTATGTTATTTCGCCTCCCCACGTGAAGTTCAGACGGACCACGTTTTTAAGGCTGGCATTCGTGCATCTGCGCTTCATGCAAGCTCGCCCACGCTTCGATGCGTGAAGGATGATTCGCACGTGAAAGTGCCTTGGCGCCTTGGAACGACGTAATCACCTAATGAAGCAGCTGTGATATGTTCCCATCACCTGATTGGGCGCCGGGCTCCGTCCTACAATCTCAACGCGCAAACCGGGCATTGGCTGTCTTCTGTAGCATTGGCAGCTGCCTATATTGGTGACGATGATTTCCTCGCGCTACCGCCCCTCCTTCATCTCCGAGCACTTACCAACGAAAAGCGTGCGTGCCAAGGGTGCCGCTCGGCTCGGACACTCTCTTCCACGCCTGTGATGCTCTTCCAGCTGCTGACTGCCCAATCTGGGCTGCTGCGTGATGAAGTGATATACAGTGCTGTGCTGCCCACCAAGGTCTACTATGCCTGGACCTGCCTCGTCATGTTTTGCTGCCGCGCTTTGCACACCGTGAGCGTCTACCTGAGCCTGTGGACGGCCTTGTCACATGCTCAGGATGCGCCTGTACCTTCGCCGTATGCTCAGCCTTCTGGTCTCACTGAGGACATCACGCAATGGCTAGCCGTGTCCGCTGGCTCGCAAATCGCTACATGCAAGACCAGAATGATGGCCAACATCAACCCTGTGGGCGGTGCGAATGGGACCGTGGTTGCGTCCACGTCGACGGAAAATCCCAACTACCATTACAACTGTATGTGAACGATAGCCGTTGTCTGCTCCACACGCTTTCTGACCGGCCATCCCAGGGGTCCGTGACGCTGCATTGACCATGGACGTCGTAGTCAAGCTGTATTCGGCAGCGTCGGATGCAAACGCAAGGTCAGGCTACGAGCAGATTCTCTTCCAGTATGCGCAGGCCCGAGCCGACGAGCAGAACGACCCGGACTTGCAGACGGGCCTCGGCGAGCCGAAGTTCGAGCTGAACAACTCCGTCTTCACGGGACCGTGGGGACGTCCCCAGAACGACGGCCCCGCCGAGTCCGCCACCACGCTGATGGAGTTCGCCTCCGCCTATCTCGCTGCTGGTGGCGACATGGGGACCGTCAAGCAGAAGATCTGGGATTCAAGCAACTTCTCTAACCAGGCCCCCGTGCTGAAGGATCTGCTGTACGTAGCGTCGAACTGGTCCGCCGACTCGTTCGATCTCTGGGAAGAAGAGGAATCCCCGAACCACTTCTTCAACCGCATGGTTTATCATCGCGCGCTGGACATGGGGGCGAAGTTTGCTGCGAACCTGAGCGATACGGAGACGGCCAACACGTTGTCTGCCGCTGCTCGCGACGTTGCCGCCACCTTGCCGTCGTTCTGGGACCCGGCCCGGCAGCTGATTGTGTACGAGATCGGACCCGTGCTTCGGAACAAGTCGTCCTACAAGGACGTTGCTGTGGTCCTTGGAATTCTGCACGGCTACAATTATGATGGCATATACAGCTATGCGAACGACCAAGTGCTTGCCTCCGCGTATCAGCTTGCCACAAGCTTTTTGGCGGTGTATCCGATCGCTAATGTGACGACGGATGCCTCTGGTGGAACGCTAGGGATTCCCGTGGGGTATGTTGTCTTTCTCACTCAGCCTTGATTCTCGTACTGATGCGTCACAGTCGCTACCCCGAGGATGTCTACACTGGGACCGGTACTGCGCCGAACGGAGGCAACCCATGGTTCCTGGCTACCGCGGCGTTGGCGGAGCTGCTGTACCGCGCCAGTGCTGAGCTTCAAGAAAATGGCACGCTCACTGTCAGCAACACGTCCCTGCCCTTCTGGCAATACTTTGCACCCGCAGCGGGGCTTGCAGCTGGTCAAACATACTCCAGCAACAGCCAGGCGTTTGGAACCGCCATTGCGGCCATCGAAGGCTGGGCCGATGCGTTCGTTCGGCGCATCAAGTTCCACACGCCAGCGGACAAGCGCTTGTCGGAGGAGTATAATCGAGACGACGGCTTCAGCACCGGAGCTCTCGATCTCACCTGGAGTTACGCGTCGTTGCTGACGGCTTCATTTGCGAGGGCAGACCTCAGAGGAGACACTGGATATATTGGTGCAGTTGCGGACCTGGTGTAGAAAAATAGACACTTTTTAAAAAAGAAAACCTAAAAAAACAAAAACACAAACTCTTTCAGCACAAAAGAGCAGGAACTTATAGAGCCTTTTTTTTTAAAAAAAAAAACCATAAAAATTGATTATTTAGAATACCGCTCCCCAACGCTAGTGTCTCTTTGACAAAAGGCGTGTTGGCAGCTATGCTTTGATGTTCTCTGTCTGGAATGGAGGTTCGTGTGCGAATGTGCTCTATCCTACATGCCTCCTCCGACCGCCCCAACAACGCAACGTACGACTTCCAAGTTTTGCACGTTCGCCCCAAACATCCGCCTTTCTAGTAGATCCCGTAGCGTTAAGGCAGAAACCCATCATCGACGCGCTGTCCGCGCGTGATTGTGTCTGACCCTGTTTCTCTCGACTGCGGCACGCCCTTGTGAGCTGCTCGACCGGCACGGGGGGGAGGAAGGGGCGACGCGCGGACTCGGCTCATTTTCGCTGCAGGTAGACGTCGTCGGCGTGGAAAAGGTCTCGACGAGTGACGATGTGAAAGTGCGCAGAACCCTGTTTGTTTTAAGTGCTCCTTTCGTTGAGCCTTCTACTACTTTTTTTTTTTTTTTTTTTTTTCTGGTGTGAGTGGGGAGTTGAGCCCAAGTCGACGAAGAGACATTTCGTGCTCCAGGCAGGTGCTTTAATTTGGCTCGAAGCGCAAATTTCATGTTACGGTGAGTCATTTTTGAATTATATATTGTAAATTGCGCAAACTGCATTTCAACTCACCGGGCCTGCGACCTAGTCGCAGACATCCGAGCTTCGCTTGGTGTAGTTGGGTTAGTTCCTCTCAACCTATCCAATCAGTCAGCTGAAGGCTAACCTTCAGTTCCAGTTCATCACGTCTGACTGTAACGGAAACATTTCAATCAGAAGGTCCCTAGTTCGATTCTGGGAGCGAAGATTTTTTTAACTCACCGGGCCTACGACTTAAGTCGTAGACATCCGAGCTTCGCTTGGTGTAGTTGGGTTCGTCCACCGCAACCAATCAATTCAGTCAGCTGAAGGCTAACCTTCAGTTCCAGTTTATCACGTCTGACTGTAACGGAAACATTTCAATCAGAAGGTCCCTAGTTCGATTCTGGGAGCGAAGAGTTTTTTTTTCTTTTTCCATCTTATGGTATTACGTGGTAATATTTTTTTCATCGCGATCATTTCACCTTTGTTTTGCTAATGGTCTGGCACGTCGAGAATTTTTTCCTTCTCGTATGCTAGGCGACTGCCGGAGAACAGTACATTGCTCCTTGCACCGCCTTCAACCCGTCCCTCAACTAAGTAGGTGAATTTGATCTGAGCATGTCTAATCGAATCCTGGGGCTTCAATGAGTTCAGTCTTTTGACAAGCTGGCGTTCTTTTTGTCATCTCTCTACCAAACTAGCAAATTTCCGTCATCTCTGTGACTTATCCCTCGCAGTGCTCTTTCGTCATCGTCTCCACAACGTACATGGTACTTGATGGTCTTATATCACTAGAGGATCAATCGCCGAATCTACTGAATGATTGTAATGCTCTTGTTGCGGCTGTGACTGTGAACTCTACATTTCCGTCGGGTCACGGTACAGCCTTGGAACCAGCTGGTCGAGTAGACCGCGCTGAAGGACGCACAGCGATCAAGAGACAAGGAGCTCTGCTGCTGCCACCCACGCAGTAGGTGGTGGACCTGGCCATGTTCGGGCGATTTGAACATTAAGCGATCACGACACCCGGTTCTGGATGAAGATGACCGCTGCCTTCTCTCTACCTGGATCGTCTTCGGACCATGGCATCAATCGGGAAATAGGAGAGTGAGATAGACCCATGGATCTTCGCACATCATCTTCTCGTGTCCCCACGTATCTTCCGTCCAAAGACACACGGTGCTTGTCACGGGGAGGGCCCGTGGCTGAACGAGTGGATGCCAACGGCCTTACGACCGTTGGATGCTGCGAGGATTGCCGGCCTCCGATTCGTCCGACGCACATGGCACCGCCTGCGATTCTGTGCCAAACCGTCCGGCACGTGCGGCTGCCACCTCTGCTGCTCTCAATTGGTACCTTAGCCTCGTTGGGTTCCCCAGCGTTGTCTGTACGTATAAAAAAAGAAGTGGTGCTGGCTTATCCTTCGAATTCAGGCTGTCTTGTTCTCTTTGCGTTCTCCTATTTTCCTCCCCATTCGTCCTTGGCACCGGAGGGGTTTCGCTTGTCCTCACGTTCAGCGGCCATGTATCCCGTCCTTTCGCTTCCGGCTTTGCTGCTGGCGTCGCGTGCCTTGGCCGCGCCGGTGCAGCCCACGCCTTATGACGTCTCGTCGACCATGCAGAACATCCTCGCGAACACGGACGGCAGCAACCTCTATACATATCCCACCGATCTGACCAGAGGCATCGTCCCGGTGTGAACCCTTTCTTATTGCACGCGGCTTTTGACTACGTGCTGATCTGGGAACCCGCAGAAAGCGTTTCATTCGCACAACGACTACTGGAGGGACGTGCCGTTCTATACTGCCATTGCCAATGGCGCCGTGTCGGTCGAGGCCGACGTTTGGCTTATCAACGGAACTCTCTACGTACGTGATTCGTTTGCTCGTTTGCAAAGGGTGTTTGCTGCGTCCCAGTCATCGCCTGTCTCGTCAGCGTCGCGGACGCCGCATCAGCCTCTCCCCAACCCATGTGACTCAAGGCTGAGCAGACCTGCTGATCGTTCGTCAAAAAGGTCGGCCACGAAATCAGTGCACTGACGACAGCCCGCACTCTGCAATCGCTGTACCTGGATCCCATCATGGACACGCTCAAGCGCCAGAACCCGACCACCCGGTTCGTGGATGGCTCGACGACAAAGAACGGCGTCTTCGACACCAGCAGCGGCCAGACCGTGTATCTCTGGATCGACCTCAAGACCGACGGACCGTCCACGCTGCCGGCCGTGCTGTCGGCGCTGGAGCCGCTCTACCAGGCGGGCTACCTGACGACGACGAACGGCAAGACGGTCAAGAGCGGGCCCATCACGGCGATCGGGACGGGCAACACGCCGCAGTCGTACTTTGTGCCCACGGACCCGGCCAGCGCCGACAAGCCGCGATACATCTTCTTCGACGCGCAGCTGGCGACGCTGAACGAGACCGCCAACGCGGCCATCACGCCGCTCATCACGCCCATCGCCTCGGCCCAGTTCAGCGCCCAGGTCGGCACGGTCGTCAAGCAGAAGCTCAACGACACGCAGCTGGCCACGCTGCGCAGCCAGATCGGCTACGCCAAGAGCAAAGGCATCGGCGCCCGGTACTGGGACACGCCGGGCTGGCCGATTGGGACGCGCAACGCCGTCTGGAGGACGCTGTTGGACGAGGGCGTGGCACTGCTCAACGCCGACGACGTGTACGCCATCGCTGCGTTCTGGGAAGCGAGCGGCTGAGACGTCGGCGAAGAGGTGCCAGACGCGCACACGCGCGTCTGTGCAACGAGAAGAAATAGAAAGATGTAGAAAAAGGAAGAGAGAGGGGGAGAGATCAAAAGAGCTTAGAGGGCTCACAAATCATTTGTATATAGACTTCTTCTTCTTCTTCTTCCTGACGGCCTAGTGCCAGTCAACGAATGTGTAATCTTACGCACGCTACGCTGTTACCACGTACATGGAAACAGCAGTGTGATACAGGGGTTTGAACAGGTCAAGACGAGACATCCAAAAGAAAAGTGTGAACGGTATGATAGGTCTCGAGTAATGCATGCTGTATGTGCAGGTCGTCTCGGTGTACTCCCATCTAAGCCCAACGAAGGTCGGCAAGTGCTCTCTAGTGAGTCATCGCAAAGTCAAGACGTCGAATGTGAAAGTCTCGCACAAGAAGAAAAAAAAATTGAACGTCATCCGCGTGCAGCATATCGTGAGGATAAGAAAATGGGCAGTAAGGAACCCTCTCTCCCCACCTTCATAGAAATAAAAAAAAAAAAGATAAAAACTTAAATCGTCCCCACGTATCCACGGACGCCGTCCCTAAAGTGAAAAAAAAAATTAAAAAAAAATCAAACAAAATAAGAGCAAGGCCGCCACGCGAATGCATCGATTCAAACAGTCTGCCCGTGACCAACGCGCCAAAGCCCGTGTCCCGCATCCTTATCCTACCAGACCTGCAACCAAGCGACGCAGCCGTTCTTTAGCACTTCAAAGGCCAGGCCGGGAAAGCCGTAGACGAGCACCTCGCCCAAGCGGACGTACTCGGACTCGGCGCCGTACGCGGAAGCGCCGCGCTTGCGGGACCCGCCGTCCTCGAAGCCGCCGAGCAGCTCGACGCTGTTGCCCAAGCAAGCGTTCTCGCCCCAGTCGCGGTTGAAGGCCTGAGGCTGCTGCTGCTCTGCCTCCTCGAGCGGCGAGGCGTAGGTGTCGGCGAAGACGGCGCGCAGGTGCGACTGGATGTCGCGGAACTTGGTCTCTGACGTGAGCGGGCGCGGCCCGTCCGGAACCGGCGCGAACGTCGCCTGCGCGTGCTCCGGCAGCGGCCACGACTCCAACGTCCAGCGCAGCCGACGGTGCCGGTTGAACTGCCACGAGCCGGGGATGTTGCCGTGGATGCATATCTTGGTTACGGTAAGGTGGTTCCGTGCAATGGCCACGTTGCGGTAAGGCTCTTCCACATCGTTCTCGTCGTCCTGCGGCGCCGTGGGCGAGCGCGCGGGCACTTGGTGAGCCTGTGCGATGAGGACGTCGATGCCGTGACTGTAGTAGTTCCACCACGTGCCGACGTCTGCGTCTTCTTCCGCCTCGTTGACGACCGTCTCGTCCTCGTCCTCGTCCTCATCGCTCCACGCATCGGAGCTGTCCGTCTCGCTCAGGGCGCGACCGGAACCACCGGTTCTGTCGTGTCCATCTAGCTGTAGGCCGGACCGGCGCGAGCTCATGCTGCTGGTCCTGCGCTTACGGCCGCCGACGGCCTTGCTTCGGTCCTGCTTGAACATTGAGTCTGGAGGACCAAGTTCGGTCAGCAGGTCCTGCTGGGTTGTCTCGCCGAGCCGAATCATGAATGGGGGAACGTCTCGCCGAAGCAGCTCAACACGGCCGCGGTCCCGCACGCGCGCCAGCTCTGTCTCGGCGGGCATGCCCTCCCTCCTACCACCCGTTGCACCCGGTGCCAGCGGCAGGTCGCTCAGGTCGGCCGTGTAGATGTCGCGGCGGGCGAGCGGCCAAGACCGACCGCGGAAGACGACCATGGCCGTAGCGGGACCGCACGCGCTCGAGTCAAGCACGGCGACCTGGCGCACAAAGTCCAGCTTCGAGAAGCCCTCTGGCGCCGTGATGGGGAACAGAAATGCGATGCCCTCCTTAAAGGAGATACAATACGTGCCTGCCTTGCCGTCGTCGCCTACGTACTCGCCCGGGTTCGAGGGCCCAAACTCCTTGTACACATGTTTGAAGTCGGGACCGGCCTGTGCGGTGGCAGTGGGTAAGGCGCGAATCTCATCATTACCGGCAGGCAACCTGTTGATCGTATGCTCGCCATGCTGGAGTCGGACCTTACTGAAGTCTAGAACCTCGATGAAACGTAGCCGCTGCTCGGCTGGATCGAAGTTCAGGCGCAGACCGTTGGCGGGCAGCTCGACAACGATAGGGTGAAGCAGCGGCTCAGAGGTTGAGTATTTGACGTGGATCTTGGGCCAGGCAGCTGGGTCAGTCTTGACGCGGCCGAGGACGTGGTGGATAGAGGCTCCAATAGCTATGGATCGGTCAAAGTCAGAGAACCGCAACAGAAGGTGGGAGGCGGGAGAGCATACTAAACGGGCCTATAGACACGCCGTTCACGACACGGAGAGTCTGGAGCGAAGCCATGCTATTGTAGGGGAAAGTGGCTATTGGACTAGGAATATGGAGGAACAGCAGGTTGAAGTCATAGTCACGACGTGGTTGGAGTTGTGCAGCTCGCGATACGTGTGTACGATGACGACGCGCAACAGACGAGTAGAATGACGCGGCCGTGTATGTTGATAGATGTATATATAAGTAGTATGTGTGTACGCAGATGTGCACGGCGGTGGTAGTGTGTATTCAGGTAAGCAAGCAGGCAAGCACGTAACGTCCAGTGAGCTCCAGTGTCAAGCCTGTGATGCGTATGTAAGGGACTAGTTGGCAAGTTAGGCAGACGAGGGGCAGCTGAGAGCCGCCGTCTCATGTGCCCCGCGAGCCTCAAGCCCGCCGCAACGGGCTGCGTCACATGTTTTGGCGACCGCGTACATGACGCCCAGCGTGCTCCGAGATTGATTCGGTACGATTCCTGCGTAGACAGCGATGCCAACGCACCACGCGAGGCTCAATGAGACGCTTCTTTGTCTAAGCTCATCGCTCGCTCACGGACGAAATTGTTGGTTCTGCACGATTGTCCTGTCCACCACGTGTGGGGCGCTTGGGCACCTCCGGGCTCGCTCATGTCGTGGCGGGTCCCCCAAACAGCGGACACCCCCCCCTACAGTCGGGCGCCTGTTCCTAGGGCCCCCCCTTCTAAACTGCGCCCTCATCCCTCACAATAGAGGCTGTCCAGGGGCAAGCTTCTGCGCCAACAGCCCGTGTTTGCCACTAACTTTGTGTTAACATGCTCGTGCGCCTGGCTTTCTTGTGTGTCCTTGGTCATCGCTCTCCTCGCGTTCAACATTGGCCCGAAAACTCCGCCACTGAGTTAACGGCGCGTCAATCTAATCATTGATGACAAACCATCCGTTACCCGGTATTGGGCCTTTTCCAGCTCGTATTATCATGCTGGTCGACTCTCTGACCCCCCCCCCTTCGTCATTTATTCCCTCAAGTCTTTCCCCGCTTCTGGCCCGCGAGACCCTCCCGATGCGCAAGCCGGGTCGTGGATTTGTAATGACGTCGCCCATGGCAATGTTGACCACTCGCCTAGGCTTGGTGCTCCGATGTTGCGATCTCTGCGGGACGTCTTATAACCGCTTTCTTCTGCCGCTCTTTTGTGCTTCTGCTTCTTCAGTCTCGTCTTTCCCCAATTCGAACTATTCTGCCGGTCCATCCTTGTCGTCGTCGCGAACCGATTACGTGACCGCCAGCTCTTTGCTGAACGTTCCGGCTTTAAGGTGCTCCCCATCCTCGCTTCAACCGAAGCACTGGAAACCATCACGGTCGCTGTCGACACTGTCATCCAACTCGCAAGCAAAGATGGCGTCCCTCTACGGTGATGACACGCCGGAAAGCGTCAAGAACTCCAAGGGTCTACACCTTATCACCCAGTCGACACCTAACGGCCAAAAAGTGCAGATCATGCTTGAGGAGCTGAAGCAGGTCTATGGAACGGAATGGGACACCACCCTTATTGTATGCTCAAGCGACACTTTTCCCACTGCACTCTTCCCTTTCAACCCCTTTCCCCTGACTTGCGTCTCAAAGCCTGTCCTCTAAAATGTCAAGGCTCTCCCGTGACTAACCACGTGCTTTCTTCTTGAACAACAGAACATCGGTACCAACGAGCAGAAGAAAGATTGGTTCCTGCGCCTGGATCCGAACGGCCGTATCCCCGTGCTGGTCGACAATTCGGTGTCGCCGCCTTTTCCGGTTATGGAGACGTCGGCGGAGCTGCTGTACCTGGAGAAAAAGTACGACCCCGACAACGTGTTCGGCTTCCGCGACGAGCTCGAGCGCAGCGAGGCGCTGCAGTGGCTGTTCTTCTGGCACGGCTCCGGCGCGCCATATCAGGGCCAGACAAACCACTTCGCCAAGTTCGCCAAGGAGAAGATCCCGTATGCGATTGAGCGGTTCCGCAACGAGACGCTGCGCGTCTACGGCGTGCTCGAGATCCGCCTGTCCGGCAAGTACACGGGCGAGCCGCGCGAGTACCTTGCCGGCAAGGGCAAGGGCAAGTACAGCGTGGCAGACATCGGCACATGGCCCTGGGTGAAGGGCTACGCCTTCTCCGGCTTCTCGGACGAGGACATGAAGGCCTTCCCACACCTGCTCAAGTGGATCGACAGGATAGCTGCCCGTCCGGCAGTCCAGGTCGGCATCGGCGAAAAGTACACGAAGGACTCGACGGATGCCAGCGTGAGCAAGTGGAAGCTGTGACGTGCGCCGGCGCAGCGGTGGGCAAATGACGAAGGGGGTCTAAAAACGCGAGTGTCTAAAGGTGATAAAGAAGCGAAGACAAAAATCAAAATTCAAAACAACCGCTTAAGCTTATTGTTCTCTTCTCTTCTTGTTTCTTTCCCGTTCAGACACATATTTCCGTTCCAAAATCGTGATTTCATGCGAAAGCGGCTCTTGCAAGACCAAAATCGCACACGCCGTTGTACTGTGAGGCACGCAAGACTGTTTCCGTGTGCGCTCACCGTCTGCTGAGAGAACATCGAGATAGTATGTAGACTTACACTTTTGCGATTCACTCTTTGAGTCCGAGCACTGTTTGACAGTTCATGAGAGCGACACGAAGCATGCAGTGCAGTTCAGGGCAGGGCAGGGCAGGGCAGATCTGACGTTTGCGCTCAATTCATATACCGCCCGTTGTGCGCATGTGCCAGAGCTCGCCGTCGTGCGTTTCGGTAGCCTTGCTAGAGTTTCGTCCTTATATCTACAGACACCGTTTGAATTCGTGTTTGTCGGCATCTGGCTTGGATGATGCTGGTTTAGGTAATGGACGAGCAGACTGCCCAGGGCGCGGTCCGCAATTGTACTAGCGCGCGACCATACCGAACCTCACCGAAGAAGTCAAGCGAAGCGAGCCAACAGTCTTTGCAGTCTTGACTTTTCCGTTTGTTTGATGTCTTATCCTCCCTTTCTTACGGCTGTTCTCGAGCTGGATACAATCGCATCGACGGCTAGAGGATCCGCGCGGCGGGTCCGCGGCCACGAGAATGAGGTTCGGCTACGCGCTTGACGAGCTTGTGCTAGACTGGACTGTGGAGCTCAACCCGCATCGGAAAACGGCCAGCGAGAGGGTCAGAATTCAACAGGACATGTGACCAAGACTGGCATGGACAGAGGACCGGGTGGAAGCGAACTGCTGCGTTCTAGTGAGCACGTTAAAGTCTACGGAACGAACGCGACGGGGCCACGTTCGATTCAAGAGAGCGCCGCTGAGACTGCTCTCCAAGCGAGGAGGCACGCGAGCACCACATCCGCGCGGCCCAGTCGGCAAGGCGGCTTTGCCAGCTTGAGGGGGGGTTGCTTTCATTATACTGTAGCTTTTGACGTGCACGTAGCCTGTTGGACCTGCGTCAGGCAAATACATCGGATCCGTGAGGGACGTCATCTCATCGTGACTGGCAGGCCCCTTGCGCCGCCGCGTGAAACCCAGGACGACGACGAGGAGACAGGTCGGACTGTCGGGGAAGCCGGGCGTCGTGCCTGGCACGCGCACGGCGACCACGGGATTGTGCATTCGCAAACGAGAATCACAAAATAAGTAAATGGGCGATTCGGAAACGCTCAATGGGGGAGGCAGGGCGGAGATGCGTGGTATGCATGACCACCATTCGGGCAGCTTTGGACCTGGAGAGGGAGGGGAACTCCGTGGATGCGGACGGGGCGTGCCATGCCATTCACGGTACTGCCAGCGGCATGTTCCAGCATCGCTAAGGCATAAAGTGTGACTGCGAACCGCTGTGGCTCGTTTCTTGGACTGGCCGTTTATCGAGCGTTGAAAAGCAGCGATCCCATCTGTGGACAACGAGATGGAGGGAAAGCCGATCCGGCACGCGACGGCGCAGCGTGATTAGAATGGTTGGCGACTGGGCGTGGCAACGGTGATTCTTTGAATAGGATGATGATGACGATAACGACGGTAATGATACGTGACGATGTACTGGCTGCTTGACTGTGATGCCACAGTTCTTTTTTTGTTTTTTATTTTAATTTTTAATTTTTTTTTTTTTTTCCCTTTCGCGAGCCTTGAACAGCCCTGGTGACGGCACATGTGGACCATAAAAAACACCACATCCGCTCGGCCACATTCTTCTCCAGCAGCATTGGAGCGGCCACAGCGAGGTCTCGATTCGGATGGCAGAGCCAGCGGTTTGGACTGGTACCGCTGGGTTTGGGCCGTGGAGCGCTGGGGTGGTTGCGTGGAGCTGAGCGGACTGCGTTGACGGACGGACTGACTGGCCTGATCCTAGCGTCGTCGAACCCGGCCGGTTTTGAGCCTCTCGCCCATTGATGTTTCTTCTCTCGCAGGAACTGCCCTTAACCTTACGACCTGGAGCCCGCCCGATCTCGAACTTTATCTGTCTCTCTCTCACGCCAGCATCGCCAATCCGCCCCAACCACCCGTCCGTCCCTACGAACACGTACGCACACCCGTATACGCTCACTTTCTCGCCCGCCCGCGCTCCCGTCTTCGTACCATTCCTCGATCACAGTGCTTTTCTTCTTCGAAGCCCCGTCGTCTCCCACGCCTCTCGCCGCTGACGGATCCCCGCGACGCCTTGCTCGCCTCGTTCTGATCGTCCGCTTCCGTCTTCGTATCCTGTGCGGTGTATCCGCTCCGGCGCAGCGTGGGAACCGTATCGCAAGGGCTGCTCTGGCTCTCGGCCGTGTGGTGGCTGCCATGTCTTCTCCGCCTCTACGATAGCTGCACCACCCATCATCAGACCGACGGTCCTGCACAGGAGGAGCCTGACACGACGGCATCCGTCCAGCGGGACGAAAAGGGAGAATAAGACGAAGGACAAGAAGCAGAAGAGCAGGAAAAGAGTGGCATTTTGGGTTTGCTGCGACGGACTGAAGTGGCTTTCCGACGTCGCAATCAGAGATCGGGCAGCGATTGATAGCAGCGACACACCAAGAGGAGCTCCCACCGGCTTGTGATGGTAGCATCTGCTTCCTCTGGCGGCGGAGGCGCTGCAGCGGGAGGCATGCACTCCATGACGGCGACCTTGAACATGCGCGCCCACATGACCGGCCTATCCAGCTCCGCGTCCTCGTCGCACACATCGACTCACCACTCCAAGGCCAAGACAGGCGCGAGCGGCGTGCCCATCTCCAACGCGCAGCCACCGCTCCTGGACGCCAACAACAAGACCATCATCCCGCTGTCGGCGCGGTTTGCCGAGCCGCTCGACCTGAGCACCGTCGAGCGTCGTGGACAGCCGACGCAGGTGCAGGACGTACCGAAAAAGGCACGACACCATGGCCTCCAGGAGGCGCCCACCTTCCGCCCCACCGAGGAGGAGTTCAGAAACCCGATGGAGTACATCCGCAAGATTGCCCCCCGCGCGCGCGAGTACGGCATCTGCAAGATCATTCCCCCAGATGGCTGGAATCCAGACTTTGCCATTGACACACAGGTGCGTCCATCCCTTTCGAGACATTTTCGTGGTTGTGGGCAAGATGGTGGAGGCGGCGATGACAGTGCAGAGCACGTCAATCATGATGGCTGTGGTACTGCTAACGGCGTATGCGAGGGTGAATGCATATGGCGAAATACCAGAGTCTTGGAACTGAGCTCACACTCGCACAAGTATGTCGTGGGAATTGGCACGCTGACAGGTTTCCGCAGAGATTCCACTTTCGCACACGAAAACAGAAACTCAATCTGGCTGAAGGAGGTGAGTCGCGGAACATCAACCGGCGATCCCAGATCTCATCGCTGACTGATGTCGACGCTGCGCCAGACACGCGTGCCAATCTCAACTACCTCGACCAGCTCTCCAAGTTCCACATGGCACGCAACGGCACAAACCTCAATCGCTTCCCCAGCGTCGACAAGCGGCCACTTGACCTGTACAAGCTCAAGAAGTTCGTCGAAGACAAGGGTGGCTTCGATGCCGTCTGCCGTCAGAAGCGGTGGGCCGAAATTGGCCGTGACCTGGGTTACAGTGGGAAGATCATGTCTTCGCTGTCGACCTCGTTGAAGAATTCATATCAGAAGTGGCTGCAGCCATACGAAGACTGGCTGCGATATAACAAGCCCAGCATCCTGCAGCAGCAAGAGATCGAGAACGGCGGGCCCTACACACCCAGCCCTGTCGCGACACCTGCCAAGTCGCAGCAGCACACGCCAAATGTGGGCACCGCATCGCCCACCGTCCGGGCATCAAGTGCACTGAACGCCGCTCTGCAGGCTGCAGGTACGTCGGATGCACACGCCTCCAAGCCGTCAAACAATGCTGGCCAGGCTGCACCTCCAGCGTCTAGCGGCTTCACAGCCGTGAACACGGGAGGCTTCACCGCTGTCAACGCTCGGCCACCGCCGCAACCTACTCAGACCGTGCTCCCTTCTGCCAACCAAGGCTCCACATTAACGGCCGCCAATGGCCGCAAGACCGACACCGCCCAATCGACACCCCAACGCTCAGAGATGAGCCCCTTGACATCCATGGAAAACACCCCAGACGCCCCTCATATGTCGTCTTCCGCAAGCCTGAAAGGCGCAACTCCCTCCACTCCTGCGTTGAACCAGATGCCCAATCAGCGGTTGATAAATGCGCTGAAACGCAACCTCCCGTCGGATCAGGACCACGACACGAATGGAGATGGCTCCTCCCCCGCTGGCGGACGAAGCAAGCGCGCTCGCACAGATTCGGTCCCCGTCGTCGCCGGTTCCAGCATGGTGCAGCCGCGGCTGCCAGCACCACGATTGCAGCTCCCACGTGATCGGTCCAAGGAGAAGCCTGGTGACCTGTGCGAAGAATGTGGGCGCGGTGACGACGAGACGGCGATCCTGATCTGCGATAACTGCGACAGCGGCTACCATAGGTACTGCCTGCGACCGCCGCTCAAATCGATCCCGGAGCAAGACTGGTACTGTCCGCGATGCTTGTTCGGACGGGGCGAATATGGCTTCGAGGAGGGCGCCATCTACTCCTTGCGCCAGTTCCAGGAGCGTGCAAGGGAGTTTAAGGAGAAGCACTTTCACAACAAGGTTCAGCCAGACCCCGTTACGGGCAAACGGCAACCGACCGAGGACGAGGTTGAACGCGAATTCTGGCGGCTGACCGAGAGCCTTACAGAGACGGTCGAGGTCGAATACGGCGCGGACATCCACTCGACCACACATGGCTCTGCGTTCCCGACGCTCGAACTGCATCCCACCAATCCGTATTCCATCGACCCCTGGAACCTGAACGTGCTGCCGCTCGACAAGGATTCGCTGTTCCGACACATCAAGACGGATATCTCGGGTATGACAGTGCCCTGGCTGTACGTCGGCATGTGCTTCTCGACGTTCTGCTGGCACAGCGAAGATCACTACGCCTACTCGATCAACTACCAGCATTTTGGCGACACCAAGACTTGGTACGGCATTCCCGGCTCGGACGCGGAGAAGTTTGAGAATGCGATGCGCGAGAAGATGCCCGAGATGTTCGAGCAACAGCCGGACTTGCTCTTCCAGCTCGTCACTCTGCTACAGCCGGAGAAGCTGCAGAAGGCCGGTGTTCGTGTGTACGCGCTCGACCAGCGCGCCGGCCAGTTTGTCATCACCTTCCCACAGGCTTACCATGCCGGCTTCAACCACGGCTTCAACTTCAACGAGGCCGTGAACTTTGCTCCAGCCGACTGGGAACCCTTCGGCGCCGCGTCCATCATACGACTACAGGACTACAGGAGACAGCCTGTCTTCTGCCACGAGGAGTTGCTCATGTCGGCTGCGGCACGCGATCACTCGATAAAAACGGCTAAATGGTTGGGTCCCGCGCTTCAGCGGATGCTGGATCGTGAACTGAAGATACGTGAGGATTTTGCTATTGAATACACTAAAGCAAGGCCGATGTTGGCTTCCGACAATGGCGCCGACGATGACTCAGTCATCGGTAAGGACTCTGAGTTTCCCTTCGACAAGGATGAGAAGGACTATGTCGACGACGACATCGTGTGTACGTACTGCAAGGCGTATTGCTACCTCTCACGCTTTGTGTGCAAGAAGACGAAGCGCGTTGTCTGCCTGATGCACGCGGGGAAGTTCGAGTGCTGCGAAGGCACGACCACCGAGGATCGCACTAGCATGAAAGATGGGGATCATCACGTGCAGCTGCGGCTGACCGACGAGGAGCTCACCGCGACCGTTCAAAAGGTCGTGGACGTGTCCAGGACTCCGGAGATATGGAATGAGAAGCTGGAGCGGGTGCTCGAGGACGGGCCCCGCGCCCAGCTCAAGGCGCTTCGCTCGCTGCTTGCCGAGGGAGACCGAATTAACCAACACTGGGATCTGCCGCAGCTACCGGAGCTTCGCAAGTACGTCGAGCGTTGTAACGAGTGGGTCGAGGAGGCAACAAATTACATCACGCGCAAGCAGCAGAATCGCCGGAAGAACGAGCGTGTATGGCGCAAAAGCTTGACACGCAACGCCGAGGCTGATGAACGGGAAAAGGAGCTGCGAAGCGTGGACAAGATAAAGAAGCTGCTTGAGCAGGCTGAAGACCTGGCGTTTGACTGCCCAGAGCTGGAGACGCTGCAGGATCGCGCCGACAAGATCGAGGACTTCCGCCGACGTGCCGCCGCCGCCTTCAGGAGAGACAACATCACCACGGCGGAACTGGAGCTGCTAATTGAGGAAAGCAGAACATTTGGCGTCGATATGCCTGAGATCGAGACGCTGGAAACGCGCGCGAGGCGGACCAAATGGTACGAACGAGCCAACGAGGCGTATGAGAAGTTCACAAAAGGCACGCCATTAACGCTGCAAGAGGTCGAGGACTTTATCAAGGAAGGCCGTGATGTCGGCTTGCCTGACCACGACGAGCACCTGCAATACTTCGTCTTGCAACAGGAGCAGGGCACATTCTGGGAGCAAAAGGTCAAAGAGCTCATCGCTGCCGAGCCGATCAACTACGCCCAGCTCGATACGCTTTCCCGTCAGGCGACCATAATACCCGTGTCCAAGGAGACGTTGGCTCAGGTTGACGCCATTCTTGCCAAGCAACGCGAGGCCCAGGAGAAGATCAACAGCCTCTACCAACGCTGCAAGGATCCAGAGTTCCGCAACCGGCCCAAGTACCAGGAGGTGCGTGAGGCCATGGAGTCGCTCGCCGAGCTCAATAACAAGCCTCCGGGAACCATGGACCTTGAAAAAGAACAGAAGCGCCACGAGGACTGGATGCGACGTGGCAAAAAGCTGTTCGGCAAGGCGAATGCGCCACTGCACATTCTTCTGCAGCACATGAAGCTCGTCGAGGAGCGCAATGAGCACTGTCTAGATCTGAATGATGAGCCGCGTCTGCCTGTCGAGCCTTCTTCGCGCGCAAATTCGCCGTCTGGGGATGAAGATGGAACGATGACAGGGACGAGCCGCGAGGTGTTCTGCATTTGCCGTAAGCCGGAAGCTGGCATGATGATTGAATGTGAGATGTGTCACGAATGGTATGTGACTGAATGACGGCCTCGCCCCAAATGTCAAATGCCTTTGTTCGAGTCGCTAACTATGTGAATACAACAGGTACCACGGCAAGTGTTTGAAGATCGCGCGTGGCAAGGTTAAGGAAGACGACAAGTACACTTGCCCCATCTGCGATCACCGCGTTAAGATACCTCGTGACGCCGCTCGCCCGAAGCTGGAGGACCTGCAGGCGTGGCAAGACGAGATCGAGACTCTGCCTTTTCAGCCAGAGGAGGAAGAGACGCTGGAGAACATCATCGACAAGGCTGCAGAGTTCCGCGCTAAGCTTGTCAGTATCATCAACCCGATCATGTCGACGCCAGACGATTTGCCTGTGCAACGCTTCTACTTGCGCAAGATCGAGGGCGCCGATGTCCTTCTCGCGGATGAGACCAACTTCCTGCGTCAGGAACTGCACAAGTGGGCTCCTGTCGCACCGGAGCCTCCACCACTTATCAGTGTGTCATTGTCTACGCGCAAGCCACGCCCGACGAAGCAGCAGAAGCTCATGGCGCAACTGGGAATCACGAACCCGGATGATCTACCGCCGCATCTCAGACCCAAACAGCCCGGCACCAAGAAGAAAGAGAAGCCGGAGATCAAGAAAGAAGGCGACGCGACCGCCGGCTCCAGCGGTGTTCAGACGTCGCACACCCCTCCCGGTCTGCCACATGGCCACTCTGAAAACACACCGACGTTCGTATCTGGTCAAGTTGTCGCAGCCACGACTGCTTCCGGGGCGCTGAGACACCAGACTCCAGGGCACCCGACGTTCACATACGATGCCATGGCCGCTTCAGTCAACACGACGTCGTACGGTGACCTCAACTCTCCGATGTTCGCTACCGCCTCGTCCGCTGGCTCACATACCCTCTCGCGTCCGGCCCTTGCATCGCCCCCACCTCAGCACACAACCTCCACCACGTTCGACCCTACGCTAGACAACATGTTTGGCCGGCCTAGCTCAAGCGGAAACGACAACAAATCGCATGTCGAACATGACGGCGCAGGCTTCGATCTTGCCAGCCCCAAGCAAGACCGCAGTGACCCGGTCGATCTGTTTGGCAGTCTGGTCAACGAGCCCGACGACAGCGGCAATAGAAGCCCCTTCGGAGGCGCTTTTGGTGGAGGTGACCAAGACGAGGCGCTTGGCAAAGGGGCTTTTGAAGAAGGTCTCGATGGAGCGGGTTTTGACTCGTGATCGTATCTCCTTCTAGCCCCCATCACTCATCCAGACACAACTCTCGCGTCCGTCTTTTTTAATCCTCGAGGCGGGCGAGACTTTTCTGTCTAGCTCTCTCCTCGGAATGCTTGATGTTTGCGACTGTGCCAATGGAACGGCATGTAATACCATGTATTCTTCTCTACTCTCCCTTGCATCAAACACTTCTTATTGTGCATGCATGCATTGCGATGCGCGTCTTGGCGACTTGGGGAACAATTTTGTTTTATTATTCAATGTCAAATGGACATCCCACCTTCATATCAGTCTCTAGGCATGCGAAACGTGCCTCTGATGTTACGATATATCCATATACGTTGCTTGTACCCAAGGGGGGACACACACAGCTTCATCCCAAACTTAACAAGATGGAAGAAGGCTCTGGTGGCCGCGCGGATTCAATGGGGAGTATATTTGGCGTTTGCAAAATGGGCTCTTTTATACAGTATCCTTGTCTTTTTCTCATATTCCATCCCATATACGCATATACGTCTTGCTTGGCCCCCCCCCCCCCATCTCTCCGTCTTCCTCCAAACCGCATTTTGGTTCTTGTTCCTCGCTCTTCTGACTTTGTTGCACCTCTCCCCGCTATTTTCGTCGGTGTCGGGCTATCGTCAGAACGCCCGTCGCCTAAGTCAAGCACATTCGTCTTGCTGGGACTAGCGAAGTTCTCTGTTTTTTTTTCTCTGTTCTCTTACGATCATGTTCGAACATGACGGGCGATGCATGGGCGTCCAGACTTCTGTACTTGTACCTCCCTGACCTCGAACTGTGCGTTGTTTGCCGTCACGAATCCGGGTCCCGTTGAAAAAAGGGCGGGACTCGCTGGCTGATGGGATTACACAGGTATTTCTAGCAGAAATATACGTTCTCGTCTTTTGATAATGCGATTGCTATTTGAAAGCTACCTTTTATTTTTTTTTCGTACTCTGTTTAATTTGGTCTCTCTCTTCTCTTTTCAGTGTGCTCTCTTTGTCCTGCCATTGGGATTGCAAGCTGGGAATGGCGAGAGAAGGGTCGAAGTTTGCTGTTTGCGTTTTTTTTTTGTGCGCGACAAAAGACTTTTTCTTGTTTTGGCATATGAAATAGCACAGTAAAATTTAAAACTCCGCATGAGGTGGATATCTCTAAGTGTACGTTCAAGCCCGGGAAAAATCAAAAGGAAACAATAGTCTTTAGACGAAAAAGTATTGGCAGTGGTGGCGGATGGGGGCGGATTTGTACAACGATTTACAAAGTGCTCGCTGATGAAGATGAACAAACAATGTGTATAAGCTGTGTGTGTGTGTGTGTTTGCGGCGCCTGGAGGGGGAAAAAGTGAGTAGAGAGGGTAGAATAAAGGTCGTCCCTAGAGTGTCGTGAGATTACATGAACAGATAGATAAATAAGCCCATCCGTACCGACAAGCCCTGATGCTGCCACCGGCGCAACAGGTGCCGTCGGACGACTCGAAACAGCCGTCGTACCAGCGAAGCGTAAGCAAACGATCTAGAAGGCGTCGCCGCTTCCTCCGCCCACGGCGCCCGCGCACCACATGCCCACCAAGCCCCAGAAACCGACCCTCCATCCTCTCCACAGGCCGTGCACGCCCTGACCCCTCCGCGGCGGCAGCCTTTGCCGCGCGTTGCCCAGTCCTGCGGCGACCTGCTGCGAGACGGGCACGCGCTGGCCCTCCTCGCGGACGATGAACCACATAGAGCCCATGATGCCCCTGTAGGGTCCCACGGGAACTATTGTCTTCATCTCCGGTGCGCCCTCGGACAGCTGCTGGCGGTGAGAAGGGAGGGTGTTCATCCTCTCGCGCGTGGACGCCGCAGACAGGTACGCGACGTGGCCGCGGCGCAGGACCGTCTCGAGCGGCAGTTTCGTGAACAGCTCGGCCAGGCTGAGCATGAAGGCCGTGAAGCTTGAGGTTGCGGGTGTGTTGACGGGGTCGATGTGGAAGAAGGCGCGGAAGAACAGGGGGCCCGAGGTCGATAGGAAGGTAGGGAGAGCGTTTGTGAGAAAGGTGATCGGGGCGAGAGTTGGGGGGACGAGAAGCGAGGGCAGAGCTCTTAGAGAGGGGAGAAGGGCTCGTGGCGTAGATGTTACAGGCGTCAGAATGAGTCTGGCGACCGCGGTTAGTTTGAGCCACTCAAACGTGACGCGAACGAAAGCTTTACCTTGTGCGGACTATGTCTATGGGCGAGAGTAGCAATCCGGCTACGCCTGCCGCTCCCACAGCAACAGCTATGCTGGCTACTGGGTTGGGGCTGTCCAATATACTTATGGTGCCTGCTGGGCTGCCCATAGCCAACAGCGTCGCGTCCGGCAGATCCAGCATTGCCGACAGAAAACTGCGCGTCCACGTTTCTATAGTCCGCAGCAGCACGTTGTACACGAATGTGCTGTTTGTGCCCTTCCAGATGCCCCAAGCGCCTTCTTTGGACCACAGCTGAGAGATGACCTCCATGATCGAATCGTTCCGCCGCAACTCCAGCGTGTACAGCCGAGAGCTCGAGGAGGCAGCGTTGGAATGTGTGGACGGCGTCGGCGTTGCCGACAGCGAGCGACTCGGCGGTTTTCTGCGCCTTCGCGACGACGGCGATGATGGCGTCTCGTATGGTGCGGTGGGAGTGAAGTACGAGGGCAGGTCTGAATCAGATTCATCTTCCTCCGAGTCAAAATACTACGTTCCCGATGTTAGCACCCAGCTCCTTGCTTCTGCCTCACGGCAACAGCGTTGAAGATGGCACCATACCCCTTGCTCTGGCTGAGCGTAGCCGTTCCGCCCTGTTCCACTGCTCCCAGCACTTGGAGTGGAAACATGAGGTTGGCCCCTCTCCTTCGTCCCCGCCGTCGAGTCCGCTAGGTGGCACTGTAGCACAATCTTTGCCACCTCAAACGGCTGCGCCAAAAAAACGCTTGTGTAGTTCCAAATCGCTTGATCCACCAATCTCTTTGTCATGTCGGCGATGCCGTTGCCATCGCCGTGGCGACTTCGGTCGGGGATGTAGCTCTCGTAGTCAATGTCGTTAAAAAGCTCTCGAGCTGCGGCGGGGAAACTCGAACGGCCCGCTGAGGACGGGCGAGGGCCACTGCCGGTTCCATTCTGTGATTCCGGTGGAAAGCCTATGGAGGGAGGAATGTAGTATGGGCGCAGAGGGTTTGGCGCATCTCGCGAGGTGGACGTGCCACGGAAGGAGAAGGTCTGAAAGTCCTGGTTTGAATTCTCCATGCCCTTCCCGTGCCTCTCTTGTCTTCAGCACGTGGGAGAATCGTGTATGGAGATGTTGCGGCGTAGGGTGTTGAGATTGGATGATAATGGGCCCGCAGACTGACGATGCGGAGATAAAGTTCACGCAGGCCTACATTTTCGATGATCTAATGGCTGCTTGCCTATTTGAGAATTTATCAAATCGCCCGGCGCATGAACTCAGCCAACGTCTCTTCCCGAGCACGCACACGCACACACACAATGGCTTCCCCATTGCCGTCGCACAGATTATTATCGTCGTCGCTATCTGCGTGCAGAAGCGCAGTCCGCCGTCAAAGGCGCGTGCCTTCGCAGCCGGCACGCCGCAGCTCACATTTCTCCGCCTGTGACAGACAACAGCCGTTGTTGACGGCTTGGTCCGGCCACGTCTCGCCATGGATCAAGAGCAAGGGATCAGAACCTCACATAGGGAGGGCGATTGAGGGCAAAAGGCTGTTTTCCGTCACCGCCGCGGCACGACACGGACATCTCCAGCCGCCGAAGCCCGGGGAAGAGTATGCAGGCATCCGGTGTCAAAACCTTTTGCGTCTGTGGAAACGGATGGACTAACGACGGGTACGTCAACAGGCGCAAAGTCACGTTCATCGACAAAGAGGGAGAGGCGCACACCTTCGAGGTGAGCGACGGCGACAATCTCCTCGACATTGCCCAGGCCCACGACCTGGAGATGGAAGGTATCCGCAGCCCCCTTTGCCCGGCAACCGCCCTCCACACGCTAACACACACGCACCAGGAGCATGCGGGGGCAGCTGTGCATGCAGCACATGCCACGTAATCGTCGAGTCGGAGGAATACTACGACAAGATGCCCGAGCCGGAGGACGACGAAAACGACATGTTGGACCTGGCCTTCGGGCTGACGGAGACGAGCAGGCTGGGCTGCCAGGTCAAGATGTCTCCCGAGCTGGACGGGCTGGTGGTCAGACTGCCGAGCATGACGCGCAACCTGCAGGCAAGCGACTTCGTGGAGAAGGACAAGAGCGCAAAGTAGGAGCGATGCTCGTCTCCAGGAGCGCAGGGGGGGCGGGCGCGGCGCAAGCACAAGTAGAAAAAAAGGAAGAGGTCACGTGTGTATGGGGGCTAGTATACATCGTTACAGCTGTGGCTATGTGTGTATAAATACGTCCATGGCTAAGCGCCACATCTCTCCTAAGTTCAAGTCTCGAATCGCCGTTCCTGACCCGAGCATGCATCTGCTTGTCTCCACAGCTCTCGAGGAGATCTGTTGTGTGGACTTTGCCCCAACTCTGACGGACGAGTGTCATCTTTGGGTGCAGGCCGTGACGAAAAGTCTTCTTCTTTGGGATTTTCGCTGAACGGGGTAGATACCTTCGTGTCGTTATCGGGAAGGTATCGAAAGCGTTCACATGTCGTGTTTTGACTAGAGCGCAGATAGATGCGCAATCTATCAGCCATGGGAATGGGGAAATGCATCTACATGTTTCAAAGAACTAAGACTGGCACAAACTATCGAAACAAGCCAGTTGCCACGGCAGTAACGGTAGCTGGGTGTCTGGCAAGACAAAGGCAGTCTTTCGCACATGGAAGGGTTTAACGAAACGTTTGTCGCCAGGCTGGGCAGCACACCATGTCTACACATCGACAAATAGCATCGTTAGTATTCTGTATCCCAGAAACTGTGCACGCGAAGAAAAGCGGCCGTCAATTGCGAGAAGCCTAAGCAAAAAGCAGAGTAAGTCCGTCAAAGCAGAGAATAGCAGGTGCACGCTCCGTCAACTGAGGACGCTTATTCTTTCGTGAACCATAATCGCCGCTACAAGGGGCACCTAGCATGAGCGCATTCTTTATCACCCAAAGATCGACCGGGTCACATCATCTATCGTCACATGTGTCGAGAGCAAGCGGAGAGAATGTATATATGTGTGTGTAGGTGAGATAAAGAGAGAAAAGAGAGAATGAGGAGGAAACCACTGGTGCTGCAGCTACCTGCCCCAAAAAAGGTGTACTTTCGAAGCATCATGAGAAATGAGAGAAAGGAAAAGACTGCATGTGTGCAATAATCATTCTGAATCAACCGGCGCCGTCGTCGTCCTCATCCACTTCATCGTTTTCAATTTTTTGCAGATTTGTCACTCGCCAACCATCTTTATCATCCCCCATTCTCCACACCATGACTCGAGAGCATTAACGTATTTTCCATGTCGCTTGTCCAAAAAAAAAGGATTCGTATGTTGTAGAAAGCCAGCACGAATGATTCTTTCATTCTCTCTTCTAGCTCCTTCATATCCGTGCAAAGCATCACCATCCCGTCAGTCTCCGCCATGCGCAGCGAATCGTTCCAGGAGCAGAAGGAGTGCAGAAGAGAGTGCGTTTTCAGGATTCCGTGTTGGACGGTCGATTTTCCGCAATCCATACAGGCATCATAATCCGCGCGTGCGTGTCTCTTCGCCTACGAGTAGTCCATCAAATCCATTACGAAATCGATCGACGACAAGCCAGAGCCTCCGCTTTTCCGTCATCGACAATGATTTCAAAAGTAAGGATCTACTTTCTTCAAGGTTCCGTTTGAGAGCCACGGTAAAGTAACTCCCGCCGGCAAGACCACTGCTAAGTTGGCTCCCACAGCCTGCGCCTGCCGCCACGAGACATGCCCTTTGTGCTTCCTGGACGCGAGTACGAATCTGGATCGATTGGCTTGGTGAGATCCACGGGGGTAGCTGCTTGAAGCTGTAGCTGGCGGGGAGTTGTCGAAGCTCCACCATTGCGTGGGTGAAAATGTCTGTCATTATTGTTGTTGTGATGGTTGTTTGACGAACGATTGTTGGCAGATGAGCCTCCACCTCCGCGACCTCCGCGGTACATGCCACGCGCGCCGCGCGCAAACATGTACTGTCCACGACCACCAAAGACATTCGGGTCGAAGACGTGCTTGCCGTTCGCATGAGCGTTCATAGCCTGCGGCGCCTTTGGCGGTGGTCGTTTGAACACGATCTCATCCTCGTCGTCATCCTGATCATGCGCGCCATCCGTGCCGTTGGCGGTATCGTGCCGCTTCGCTGGGGTCTTCACCCCCACCTCAGCTTCTTTGCTCACTGCCGGGTTCCTGATCTCCTTCTTCAGCATCTGCTGCCTGTTTTTAAGATCCCTGTCCTCGCGAGCGATGATCTCTCGCAGCTGTTCGAGGCGCTTGCAGCGAATACCGAAGCGCTGACCAATCTGCTGCTTGAGGGGGTCGTTTGTTACAAGTATATACGTGTCCATGGTCTCGGTGAAGTTGGTGCCCTGGTTTACTCGCCAGAGCAGGTGGTTGAAGAACGGCTGCAGAGAGCGTGGCACCACTTTCGGCTTCTTCGTTACGATTGTGTGATCTGTCGAGGTGGAGGACACATTGCTGTTGTTTTTTCTGTGCATGGGCCGCCCATGCCCAATGGGTTGTACTGCCTTTGGCTCACGGAATGGGCTAGCGATTAGCAGCCCGGGACTGGTGGCTGAGTACACGGAGATGGGCGACGACGTGCGTGCCCCAACGCTCCCCTGAGAGCTGACGGATGCGTTGTCCGGCAAGGCGTCCATGCGCAGGTCAGCTAGGCTGTCAGCTAGGTTGCTGTCGCTACATTCCGCCGTTGCAGCTGACGATGCTGCGACCGAAGCCTCGGGCTGCTCGCTCTCCATAGACAGAAGCGTCTCGGGCAGCATGAACTTCTCGACTTCGGCCCAGCTGTCGAACATCTGCAACGGAGCTTCCAGATGCACCAGCTTGCTGGCGGGGTTGTCTGAGTCGGATGTGATGTTATCGAGCCAGTCAATGGCCTCACGCGCATCAATGCTCACTCGTCCTGGACGATCAGTCTGCTGCGCGAGGTAGCGCAGGCGTTCGAGAGCTGTGGATCCAACAAGTTAGCGCCTGTCCCGGGTCTGCTTTGCTGGCGGCGGCGGCGGCTCCAGGGTGGACCGGCAGCGGGAGACTCACTGTGCAGAGGCACATAAACTTGAATGGCGCCGTGATTTACCCACTTCTTGATACCGTCGCGCGTGCTCTTCTTCAGACCAGCAATGAGGGCGGTGTCGTCGACGAAGCAGTTGAAGCGCTTGCGCGCAGGCGCTGTCAGACGTCGGTCTGTCGTGTGCGGCATGTCGTATGTGCCGTGGAGTGTGGTGGTCATTGTGGTATACGTGATGGTGGTTCAGCTCATCCTGCAAATCGCAGCGCGCTCAGAGTCAGCAAAGCAAACGAGGCGTCGCGCATGTGACTGTACGCATACGTGACGGACGGAGGTTCGCAAAGGGAAGCGACGGCGTGTGTTTTCTATGCGTGCGAGTGTGCGTGTTTGTGCGAAGGTGTGTGGCCTTGCGGGCGCGGTGCGGATTGTGAGGGTGGCCGAGAACGAGTGGGTACGTACGGAAAAAGCCTATTGTCCGTTTATGCTTTGACGTGTTTGTGTTCTTTGTTTCCCTGCTTCCTTCGTGTCTATCCTTTGTGCTGTTCCCTTGTGGTCAGGCTAGTCTCATTCGCAGACACGGGCGCGCACGCACAAGTCTCGCAGCGACGTTCAGCTCGGAAGCATGAGAACGGTTGCGAGTTTTCCGGGGGCGGGCGGACGGGCGCAGTGTCGTGGGAGCTACGGCTTGCTACTGGGGCTTCTCATCGTTGCGAGGGCGGCTGAAGGATCGGACGAGCATCGCTTGGACACGGGGCGAGACATGCGCAAGCACAGCACGTCGGCCGGCAGAGACGGGTTGGGAGTCGCGGGCGCAGAGGACAGTCGGCGGGCGATGGCGGTTCCGTTGCGGGCGTGCGAAGAAGCTTTTCGCTGAGGCCCACGCAGCAGCGACGACGCCCGCTGTGGTTGGTCGGATCCAGCCCGCGCGCCGCCCGGCCATTGGCTGTCGCCTGCTCGAAATCTGCCTGGCTCCCACCCGGCCTCGACAACCTCCACGACTCTTGCTCGCCCTTGCGTCGACGTCGCTGGTCGTTCCCTGCGTTGCTCGTCTGCTTTGCAGCCACTGGCCTTCCTCGTCGGCTCAGCTTCGCGCTGGCGCGGCCGCGTGCTGCGCAGAAGCAGTACGCCCCCGCGCTCGGAGAAGCACGACCGTCTCCTCGATGATTCTGGGCGGAGAAGACGTCTTGCCTTCGCCCTGTCGTCGTCTCAAAACCGAGGAGAGAAGGATTTCTTTCTACTGTCTAATGATCACATGCTCAGATCAAGTGGCCACTCGCGTTTGAAGCCGTAGATTAAAGCGAAAACAAACCCAAATGCTCGCTGTCTGCAATCAGGCGTCATTCATTGCTACAAAGAGCCCCCTCCGCCGGCTTGAACTCTCCTTGCTTGCGTCTGATTCCTCATGTCCCCTTCCTCCGTAGCCGTTCCCTGTGGAGATATGCTTCACTCGTGTGACGGCTGCTGTCGATTCGAGCAATAGCCGTAGACGGCATCGCATCCACCCTTGCAAGTGTATTCGGCGCTGCAGAAGGCCAAGGTCAGAAGCAGATTGGCATGCCCATAGGAAGGAACACTAACATCACGTCATCATCACCGGCCTTTTTCACTCTCTGCATTTCGAGACCGCAGTTCAGGCAATGCTCTGCGAATCCAGAAGGCTCCGCTTCCAAGCCAGGCCGATCGTCCTGTGCGAGGCCTTTGAATCCTTCCGGGTACGCCGCGGGCCGTGGCGGCACCGGTGTGTTGGCTCTTGACAGGCCTTCAAAGAAGGTCGCCACTCGAGAGTTGGTGGGACGTGGAGCAGAGATCTGGCACATGGGCGAGTCAGGCTTGCAAAAAGGCGTGTCTCGGTTCTATTCGTGATCGACGCTGTCTTTCGACGCCGCATATGAGTGGAAACACGTGCGCTCCTGCCTCGTTCCTTGTTGACGGGGGAGATCGAACGGCTTCAAAACGTAGAACGTGCTGCCCAGATTCCGCCGACATCGAGGCTGCCGCGGTTGCTTCGCTGCCAGCATGGCGTCCTTATTTTCGTTCCACGAGACAAGGCGCGGGATGTAATGCTCCCCTCCGGGGTCATCACCACCGTTGACGAATGTGTCGCACGCCGATATCAAGAGGTCCAATAGGGACATGGAGCCACGCCAGCATTCTCCAGCTGCCTGCTTCAGATCCATCTCGCAAATGCTGCCAGCTTTTTGATTAGTCTCTGACCGTTTTATCATCGAGCGGCAAGTAGCACTCACGCCATGACAAGGTTTGCAGATTGCAGTAGCATTTGAATACCATGATGCATGGCGGATTTCAACTGGGACAAATTCAACTCTTCTGAAGGCAGAGAAGCCCAGCAGATTTTTGATATTGTTGAGAGCAAAAGCTTCCAATATTCGAGGCGGCTCGCTGGAACAAAAGCTGGCGAACGCAGGTCGCGAGCCAATCAGTTTTCTGCGATGTAGCAGCCTCACTTTTGTCAAAGCCGCCACTGAAAAAGCAACTGCACGCTTATGAAATAGGGCGATGCCAGCGATCAAATTTTCTTCGAAGGCTGTACGTTAGGGAACGGCAATCCCGTTCCAAGTCTCCGAGCTTTCTGCCTGTGCCATTTGTACACGTATGTCGACACCGGATTTGAAGGCTTTGGCGCGACTGGATGGTAATGTCCACTTGATGAGAGCGTGCCTGCGGGCCAAGTTTGACGAAGGCAAAGCTGAGTAAAATAACTTCAAATACGTGTGGGGTTTGCTAGGCGGTTTATCGGTCCGCACTAGGTTCGTAAGCCTCGCGCGTTGCCGTGCATTTCGATAGTTCGATGCCTACAGTTGAGCAAGACTACATTTTCGATGATAGTGCAAATGGCCCGACCGGCATACTTGCAAACACGGCGCTACACAACATCCTCAACTCAGGCCGACACCGTCGTCAGTGAGACCTTCCAATCACGATATTTGACTGATAATGACGATGAAGATGACAAAAGTTTACCGCAGGCCAAGCAGAGCCCAACAAAAGTCGACCATCATACGCGAACGTGACTAGCCAGGGATATGCTGAGCGCCCACTTTTCGGAAGAGTGCATACCCCTCCTCAAATGGAGAGATTCTATTGTTGCTTTCCAAGCCCGTGGCTTTCGAGCTCTTGTGCATCAACGTTGGGGCCGGGAGGCTCGTTTTCTGCAATAGCTCCTGCCATATCGTCCAACTTATTGAACGCCTTGACATTCTTCTTTCGTTCGCCTCCTCCAGCTGATTTGATCTGGTAACCTCGTACTCTACTGCGGTTAGCTTGCTGAAGTACGTCATGCGAAAGTCAAACTTGCCGTGGGCCGCTCCCGGTCGTGACCGGAAGCTCAGATTCGTACTGCTTCTCAAAGTCTTCGCGGGCAGCTTCAAAAGTGCCAGCGCCGATGCTCATCCTCACAGCCGAGAAGAATCGCTCCATGACGTGGTGATTGTGTATTTGCAGCAACACCCAAGCAAGCATCTCTTTTGCCGAAAGCAAGTGGTGCACGTATGCACGGTGATGGTTCCGGCAAGCGTAGCAGCTGCAGCCATTCAGCAACGGCGAGACGTCTGTAGCATGGACGGTGTCCCACAGATCGATACCGATGGCCCGACGCGAGGAATCTACTGACCCTTGGGATGCCTCCCCTGGGAAGTTGAAAGTCAGAGCCACGCCGGCATCAGTCGCTGACCCAGTGAAGGATGTGACGAATAAGTCGACGCCCAGACTTATCTGATACAGAAGTTCCTTCGGACTCATTGCAGGAGTCAAGGCTATTCGTGGCAGAGCACGTAGAGCATCCGGCAGGCCCACGACGGACTGAGCATCATGTACGTAGAGACCATCTACGGAGTGCCGAAAATCTTCTACAAGCTCCATAAGATACCATTGCTGCATCTCTACGGACAGCGGCAGAATCGGGGCAAATAAAGAGTACTTATGGCCCAACTCAGCTGCTGCAACTTTCGCTGTCACCGCATCTCGCAGCCATGCGGCAGTTCTGTCTCCCATCTTCTCTGCCCTCTTCTGACTTGGTTTCTGGCCAGTCACGATATCACCGGCAGCTAAGAATATATCTGGCGTAAGAGTTGCCGCGGAAGACAAATAGTCATCCACATCAAGCTGGCGAAAGCCAACGGAAGTGCAAATAGCTAATTTCTTGTCGGCGTTCGACAGGGGTGACTCCAATGCTGGAAATCGTCTTGGCCCTAAGATAAGCACTTTGTCCTGAGCGTGTGCGGTAAACGTTCGTAGCCTAGAGCCATTTTCAGGCGCTGGGATTTCGTAGATGGGTGGAATCAAAGGTGGTTGCTTCTCGATGACTTTAATCCTTCGTATCAGCTACGTCAGCCTACATTTGGGACGATTTGTGAGAATAGCTTACAATCCTCGAGGCCGAAATACATGGACTGGATCTTCGTGTGTCTAGCGATGTTGTCCTGCGACAAGTGTGGTACCACCCCTCTGGAGGTAGTTGGAATGTAGTTGGGCGTAGAGATGGGTATTCGGCCTTTGCAAGCGAGAGTGCCCAAGCGAGGGCCACTTCGTTGCAAAGCAGACTCGACGGTGAATGCAAGCATTTCTTCAGGCTCTGGCGACAGCTTTTCAGCCGCATTGACATTCATGGTGACTGCGCATTCTGTGTTGGATGTAAGGGAAAACGGATTTTGTTTTCGAGATCCACAGTTCGGGTTAGATTTTGGGGCGCGTTGATTCAGCGCCACCGGAGGGCAACAGACACACAAGCTCAACGCGTCGACCGTCTTTCTAATCTTCTACTCTTTGACACTCGTCGCTCGATCGACAATCTTAACGTCAGATCACGCGTAGCGACCATAGCAATGTCGCGGAAACGCGGTAGTTTAATTGTTTTCGAAGGGCTTGATCGTGCGGGCAAATCCACACAATGTGAGCGACTTGTGGAGTCACTGAAGGCTGAAGGCCGTGCGGTCAAGCACATGCGCTTCCCTGGTACGATGCGCCATCGTTACAGTACAAAAAGACGTGGCTCACAAGGCGTTTTGCAGACCGAACGACTCCGATCGGCAGGATGATCAACGACTATCTGAAAGGTGACGTTGAACAAGAAGATCATGTGATACACCTCTTGTTCTCTGCAAATCGATGGGAGGCAGCGTAAGATGGTCAAAGCCATTTGCTCTTCATTGTAGCTTACTGCAGAGAAGCTCATCAATCCGTGCCGACATAGAAGCGGGCATAACGGTAGTCATTGATCGTTACTACTATTCTGGCTGCGTTTACTCAGCCGCAAAAGACAATCCCTCTCTAAGCATTGCGTGGGCCCGTTATCCAGAAGTGGGCCTTCCTCGGCCGGATGCAGTCATTTTCCTCGAGATCAGTCCGGATGAGGCTGCGAGGAGAGGCGGCTTTGGTGCGGAACGATATGAGAACAAGCGTCATCAGGATCGTGTCCGCGAATACTTCAAGTCTATGCGGGGCTTGCCCGACGAGAGCGAGGACTTCAAAGTGATCGATGCCGGCGGTTCTCCCGATGAAGTCGCAGACTCGATATGGACCGTTGTGAAGAACACGCTGTATGCAGTGGACAACAATGGGCTGCCGCTAAGAACGGTGCAGTAGACTGCGGTCTCATGAGCGTCAACTGCTTGGCGTAAAGAAGCTCAACCCTCATTCTAATACTTCTGCATCACTCCATCCAGTTTCTTCCGCAACGGACTTGCTCCGTTCTCTAGCTTGGCTCGATCTACGTGAGTTGATTACGACTTTGCTCCTGTCCGGCGTGTTTATTCCCGTTGGTGATGGCATGTTGTCCTCCAACGCCTCCTTGACGACTATTGATTCAAAATCTTCTAGGTCTGCAATGCTTGCGTCTTCATCTTCTTCGATTTCTTCGATAGTCTTGAACTCATCATCTGCTATGGCCGTCTCTGTTGCATTCTCATTTCCGTTCCTTCTCACTCTTGGCTTTCTGATAAGCTTTGCAATCTCCTTCTCGCCCCGAGTACGGAGGGTCAACACTTTCATCAAGGTGATCCATTTCGCCGGCCTTGAGCAAGATGGACAGCAACCTGCAGTGGGGAGTATGCCGCTTCCATGATCGTTACTTGTAGATAGAAAATGCGCAGACAGACAGTGCAGATGTGACACGGCTTCACATCCATCATGAGGACATACTACAAGAAGCTCCTCTAGACTCCCGATATTCTTAGCACAAACAGCGCATGCGATATTGTCACAAGCAAGTGCCAGCTTGCTCTTCTCGTAAAGAGGCTTCAAGCTCGAGTAACCAAAGTCCAAATTTTCGACTCCGTGAAGAGGCAAATTGGGTCGATAGTCCACACGGTTTGTCAGCGGTTCAGTCTTTGAGTAGTGATCGACGGCATCCTTATCCAGGGTAACATCAATAGTCTCGGGTAGACGTGTGTCAAGCTTCTCGTGGACAGTGTTCCAGACTCTGAAGACGTCCGTGCAAAAGAAGCGTACTGATAACGGCCAGGCGCGAAAACTCCGCGCTCGTAGCAAAATATGCAGGTTCATGATCCGATCTGTCAACGAACGTGCGTGCGAGGTTGGCTTTCGCCTGCGAGCCTTGCCAGACTTTGGCGAAACACGGAAGTCGAGGTTCTCCAAGACGCCTTCATCTTCTTCCCTCGCGTGCCTAGACTTGTAGGTGTGCTGCCACGCCCATCTGTTGCTATGTCAGCCGCAAATTCTTGTGAATTCGATGCCTCGTATTCTCACTCAAATTGCAAAGCCGCGATCTTGGATGGAAAACCGTGGACTGCTCGCATGTTAGTCACGTGCGCAAACAATCTCTCCATCCCAAGGTCAATTGATTGAGCTTACCAATGCACGTTACTTCCCAGGGCTTTAACGTTCTGTAGGAGGTCTTCTTTGCACCGCCAGGAGACTGCCCATTGTGCTGCTTGATTCTTCGCAGCATGTTCGGCGTGGAGCCGATGTAGTTGAACCCCCGCTGCACTGTCGATCGAAGCAGATAGCAGCAGTAGAATGCAGGTATCGGCTTCGTGTCCATCCTGGATATGAGCTATTTGGCTTTTGTCGTTGACTGCGCGATGGTATTGGACAAGTTTGACGAGAATGCGATGTTGATCCACAATCCTGCTTGAAACGCACGGGTCGTGCCATAACAAGCGACAGAGGATACGTCAAGTACAACTTGCAAGGAGGCACCCTCTTTCGAAGAGAAGGGACCCGATCAACGAATTGTGCGGATTTTCTTAGACTCGATGGACCGAGATTTATCTCACAAGCCATATCGCGTGGCTACATGCGCCATCAGCCCATTGACGCCTTAAGGTTTTGACGTTCAAGTTAGCTGTATGCAGTACTTGTACAAGTACGTGGCATCCCGCGCCACCCTCGACGCAACAACATGTACTAACCTCCAGACTCGCCTTTAGATCACTTTTCCCTCTTTTTGCCGGTAAGTTGTCACATCTGTCCCTCGCCCTTTCATGCGCGTACGATACGTCGAGATCTATACAACGCCAACGACACGTTTTTTGCTGATCCCTTGCAGAGCACGGTCAAGCCACGCATCGAGCTGTAAACTCCTGTGCAGCAAAGCACGCTAATCAACCACAGATCGGACAAGGCCTCCGAGAGAGCGATAGCTTTTGCTCTCCTCGTAGGAATCCATGGCAACAATCACAAAGTTTCAAAATGTCTAGTTGCTGTTGGCCACATGTGACAAGTTTGAGATAGATCTCCTCCCTGACAGCGGTCACCTCCACGAACAGCATGGTTTGTACCCCACGGACAGGCAGAAACCCTCCGATGCAGTGGAAAGGGTGGCTAGGGACGCGTGCATGGCGCCAATAGATCTGTACATGGACATAGATCGTTCAACGTGTCGGACTGGCCGCGTTGTTGCACCACATAAACTTAACTCTACTAACTCAGCGCCTCTGCAATAGCCCGATAACGATCGTCTCCTAGCTCTCTTCTTCTGAAATGCACACATCCCTCCCATCTTCGCTCTTAACAGCCTTGGTTTTTGCATCATCTCGTACCCCAGAGAAGCATCAATACAGCTGAATGATAAACTAGTCCCTCTGCGTGTTGTCCATGGCACAGTCGCACTCGCTGCTGGGCTGCCTTTGGTTCGAGCTGGAGGAGGAGGGCGATGGCACTGCGAACATACTACGGGAGATCCTGGGACAGCACACAATTGAGCTCTTAACTCTGGATCACTCATCACCAGCTGATGTCCAACATGCCTTACGGCCTGTTTACTGGATCAAAGCACTCTTTGATCTACAGCGAGCATACGCACAGGCAACGGCATTTCCTAATATTCCTGGAATTCTTCCCTTCGACCTTATATGCGCAACTGTCCTCCACCTTTTAAATGTGCACGTCAGGATATTCCCAGGGCCACGGCTCAAACCTGAGCACAGCGGACAGCGGTTGCTTATTACACATGCTATTCTCTCAGGCTTCCGTTTGCTTACTCTGCTAAACGAACGGTTAGACTTCCAGAGAGTGCAGCATCTTCAAAAAGCACTTCAACAAATCTCGAGCCAACCCGAAAACCTTTCCGGGATCGAGCAGTTCATCTTTACAACTCTGATGCCGTCTGCTCTAGCGGTGCAACCAAACTCGGAGGTGCAAAGTGGTACTGCGTACTCCCTTAACTTGCGACAGTTAGGCCTACCAACCTTTGCGGAGGGACTGTACCCTTTATGTCTCCGGCCTGGTAGATTGATTGAGACTGCTTTTACTCATATACGTGAAAGGGGCCGTCTATGGTTAACTTGGTACTGGACCTTGTTTGATGCTATCTGGGCTTCAGAAGCCGCCTTGATCCAATATGATGTTGATAATGGCGCTAAGAGCCAGGAAGTCGAGCTTGCCGTTCCAACACGGGGAACGTCACCAGGCGATGTTCGCTTGCAATTGCGAAACGGACGACGAAACCTTTTATCGGCAATTTTCAATTCTGCTTGTTCTGCTGAATTTGTTCCGGACTCTTGTATCCTCGAGTCGTTAAAGGCCACAGTTGTGGAATGGTGGCTTGACAGTAGTCTCGATTCACCATCAGGACCGGTGAGTAGTAGCAGAGCCCGTAGCTCCCCACCCATAAGCTCACATAAAGCAGAGCATCATATCCGAAAAACATGCCCTCGATATCCGATTTTCTCTGGACACCTTTGGAACCTGGTTAAGGGACCGTGCACGACATGTTGCGCCGACCGTGACTTGTGTCAAGTGCAGTCCTTCGCCTTTTCGCCAAGTTCCGATCGCCATTCACGGCTCAGAAAGAAGTAATTCGATCTTCTTTCACAAAAATCCACTGGCGCTGCCAAGTCATGAGAATCAGGACACATCCAATGACATTGAGAGATTAGACACGCCAGTATCCTCAGACGGCGTAAGCACCACAATGACTACGAGATCAGCCAGTTTCTCATCGTCCACTACTGGTCCACCTCGACGTCCGTCACGTCCTGTAACCCCACCGATTTCGAGCAGATTGACACCAATAGCTTCGGTCAATAGTCACTTCTCTAGCTCGACGGGAGAAGAAAGTCCACCAGTCCCAACAAGCCCTAAAGTCAAGCTTGGGACTACAATTCGTCAAGTTCTGAAGTCTGCAAAAGAGAGAAAGTGTTTAGAGTCTTGCAGGCCATCAAATTTCTGCTTTTCTGCTTCGGGTCTTCACTTATATCTGTGGGGTGGCAACATCTCAGGTTTCATGAGAATAAGCACATCTCCAAATAGTTCGGACGAGATTGAGGATGGTAAAAAATGGGAACTGCCAGCCATCAAATGCATCGCAGCAGGAACAGAGCGGTGCGTAGTTCTTGCGAGTCATCAAGACAAGTTCAAGCTTCTATTATTTAACGCCGATAAGCCACGTCCTGAGGCGCAAATTTCCCTAGATCTCGCATTCAAGCACTACACCGACTGTTGCATGGTCATGTCCCGAGATGACAAATATGTTGCACTAGCTGTCAACGATTCTGTTCGATTATATCAGATGACAATTGGTCAGATTCGCCGCGTTCGGCTTCATGAGCAACTCCATCTTTACCAGCACCTGGCTAAAGAAAGACGATTACTTCAAAGTCCAGCGCCGGGTGCGTTGTCTTCCAGAGATGCAGCGCGAGAAGCTCAGAGTCAGAGCGCCGTAGTTGAGCAAAAGCTGTCATTTTCTCCCTCCGGAGACCGACTTGTTGTGGCAACGCACCTTGCCGATCACTACGTTTATGTCGACGTTTACAAACTCGATGGAGAACCCTGCTCTCCTATTTCTTCTCAACCAAAATGTTTTCCGATGCCTCCGGTAACGAGCGAAATCTCTGCCAAATTTGAATGTTCTTTTCGCTGACAAATTATTAGTTTACCGCGAGCGACGGCGGTCTTACAAACGTCTTCTATAGTGATGCTCATCAGATTGCGTTAATTTGTGCGTATATCGCAAAGGAGTATCCAAACTTGCTATACTTCACCGGCAGCTGGCGCGACATAGTAACCGATGAAGGGTTTGGCAGCAAAATTGTACGTTTTTCCATCACTCCTATGTCCTGGATACCTAACAAGACTTCAGGTGCAAGCTGCTCAAGCCTCAGATTCTAGCTTTCTCGTGGCTTCTGGCTTATCTGAGATGACTCATCTCAAATTTAACGAAAGCGGCACGACGGAATCTCGTCGCCTTAAGAAATGCGCATCTAAATTGCCTTCAGGTGTCTTCAAACCAGGCAATTTAATTCTGGCTCTACCTCATCCACAAACGGCTATTGCATTCTGGACTAAGGATTCCAAGCTCGTCCTCCGGAGGATGGACATCGGACAGGACACGGAAGCTTACACTGACTATGAACTTCGTTCACTTGTCGACCGCCTACAAAGCGAAGATTGTGAAGCCATCGTTTTGTCCACCTCTGTAACGCGGCCGGGGAAGGACTCCACTGTATTACACAGAGAGTCATTGCTGCAGCCCCCTGTGGAATTACCAGGCAGCTTGCGTCCAATCTCTGAACTGTCTCCGAATGGAGGGCACGCCGTCATTTGAGCGGAACCATTTGCTGGTACTAGTTCTTGGATCTCCGTTGTGCCTCCCGTCTTGGTCCTTTTCCCTTGCTTGTGCCCGTTGTATATTTTACATGGAACGGTGCACATTAACGGAAGCCTGCATTAGTTGTTTTATCACGATAGCTCCTATGGCCTCCTAAGTTTCTTTTTTGAAACCCAGAACCTTTTTCTTTCGGACCAAATAACTCTATATCTATGTATGAGTTTCGATGCGTAATTTGTGGAGTGTAGCCTTCGAAGATAGCGAGACATTTCCTTTGGCTGATTTTTTTTTATTTTTTTTAGAGCTCTGGATCTATGCTTCGGTTGAAGAACTGCAGAGCGAATATTTGAAACCTAGTTAACGGTACTGGAAACTTGACTGGCGAGAGCTTTTGCACAACATTCCAAGCTTCTGCGGTTCCGATAGATCGTATTTGTGGATCAAAAGTAGAATGGTTGTATGGTAACAATCGAAGGATCTTTGTGACATTAGCTAGAGAATGACTATAATAAAGAGCGATTGGCGTTTGTGGTTTACTGAACGGCAGGACGTTGCACGTTGAAAGATTATAGTCGCACAACTATAGACCTCTTGAGCGTTTCTGTTTCGCTAACCAATAGTTCATCTCTGCAGCAACGTGCGCGAATAGGATAGCCGCTACCCTAACCAAGGGTTCTTTTAAGACCGCATGAGCAATAGTTTGATTTCGGCCCAGCAAATCAACCTCTTTCAACAGCTTGGCCGCTTCGTCTCTCATACACTATAAAAGATTGTGGAACATAAAGGTCTAGCTCCTAATGCATAAGTACAGCATATGTGTGATCCACAGTTGCATGGGGCAAAGCTGAAGGACTGCTGGGAGAATCCGAATATGTTGGCATATTCACGAACCGTTGAAGCTCCTATCGAATCCAACACCAGAGCCAGCCTGCAACGGCCTCGAGATTTTCGATTGCAAACATTTTCTTCTCGTTGGGTAGTTGCAACGTCCCTCTTCTTCGTCCTGCCACAACAATCTTCGGCGGTGGGCGTTGTATCTGCAGGCATGCGTTTCTTCTCCATTTCAGAGGCGATATGCCATCTGTCCTAATATGGTAATACGCAATTATGACGAAAAAGACGACGATACCGATGTAGGAAACTATAAAGTCAGGTGTGCTGAATGGAGAAAAGAACGAGCGCCAGCCGCTGAACAGAAGTATCAATGTGCAGAAGATGGTCCCGTACCAGCTTCGAAAGAGCTGACCGTGAGTTCTACATTCAAAAGCAGTTAGCTGTAGCCGCGAAGCTGAATTTTCCCAACATACCTGTAAGGGTACTGCTCATCGTCTCTGTCGTATGCATCCCTATTCTCAAGGGCTTGGTCTTCGCTTGCGTCCTTGATTCGATGATAGAATGGGATGAAGCTGGCAGCTACGACACTATATACGATGAAAAAAGAGACTGTGGCATTCGTCGTGATTCTGCTCAGTATTTCAGCAGGATAAGTTTTTGTTGCTAGAAACGCAAGCAAGCCGAATAGCCAGGATAACGTGACCGTGTACATTGGTGTTCCGTGAGAACTCGTCCTTTCCAATCGCCTCCTGAATGTCTGCGCCCACAGAGGCCAAACTTCCGGAATGGACGCCAGTGCATGGAGCAACCTTGAGGAAATGTAAACAGCATTGACGGCCGATGTCAACGCGGAAAAAATGAAAAATCCGTTGAAAAAAGATGGCCACCCTCGAAGATGGTTGCGAACTGCGGCTATGACGAAGATGGAATGCTGACCGGATGTATGCGCATCCGTCGCAATGGATAGTAGCTGCGGGTCATCCATGGGCACATTTAGACTGGCGGCAAAAGTGGCCAACGTATACAAGGTCGTGATTCGTATGGACAACTTCTTCGACGCCAGACGCATAGTTTCCCAGCGCTCGAGGTCCCGGTTTTCCGCTGCGGTAACGCCGATTGTCTCGAACCCGACTAGGCTCCAGCATACAGCAGTCAACGCTTGCCAGAACGCAAGGAATTGTCCGATGCTTCCCGTGATCTTGGTCCGACCACGAACACTGATGCCGTCGGAAGCGAACGAGTATGGACGATCCCTAAGTTTCTCTCGTCAGATTGGTTGATTCAGTCGTTGTTACGAACATATATACCAAGTCCAAAAATGATCCCCGCCACTAAAAACTTGCACCTTCTGCATTCCGCTCAAGATGATGTTCATCATGATCAAGCCTATTATGAAGATCATCTTTGCGCATCCAAAAACGTACTCGAGTTCTCCATAGTAGCCAACCGGTAGGAAGTTGACTGCAAGAATGACTGCCAGGAATATCGTAATCCAAAGAGCCGGAGAATCATCTTTAGTTGCCCAGGCGAGCGTCGCCTCTGGATAACCAACATCTCGCAGATATTGTTCTGGAAAGCCAAATGTGAAGAGATTGGCAACCGCTACTAGTTCTGCAGCAATCGTTGCAACCCAGGCAAACCTAAGATCGGGTGAGTAACGGATCACTTCTCTTGAAACGACGAACATACCATGCCATCCAACCTACAGCAAAACCCACACCTTCGTCCAGAAATCTGCACGGGAACTCGAACAGCGGGCCCTGGACAGGAAATAGGGCTGTCATTTCCCCAATCTGAAAGATTCGGAATTAGGCAACGATGTGCTGACGGGCTCTCGAGCTAGACCAACTCACTGCTGCAATGACACTCCACATGATAGTACACGAAACGAACATTGACACAGTTCCGAGCTTTGCGCGGTCAGTGATGAATGAACAATCGTCCCTTTATCAGTGAGGCTTCTTACTCCTGGCCCGGCTAGATATATGACAGTCCCCGCTTTCAAGAAAAGGCCGAAGCCTATCGTAGATGTAAATGCCATCCTGCCGCAAGTCAGGTTTCGCACGTCTTTGTCTCCAGACGGTAAGCCTTTACATGTTAACGTGACGCTCCTTGAGCTCCTGGCTGGGCCCTTTTGTCAATCTTATTGTCTCTCAGGACAATAGTGTTCTTACTTCAAGACTGTTCTCCGCGCCATCTTTGCATACATTGTGCGTTAGATTTCTACCGGTTGCTCTTTGGGGGGGGGGGGGGGTTGCTTCAACAAAGGCAGCCTTCGGCACAGGACGTGACCCCTATATAAATTTGGGTCCTACATTGCCAGGTAATCGTGTTGCCATCCGTCTGTGGCAATCTCCAAGGCGCGTTGTGGAACATAGACATGATCTAGAGTCCTAGCACCTGCCGAAAAAGATAAGAAAAATTGACTGAGAGTCAAATGCAAAACCATGGATGGTACTTCAGCGTATTGAACTACATTTTGTGCAACATATATGCAAAGCGGTGCTATAAACCAGTTCTACTTGGGCGATTGGCGTTTTACAAACAACATGCTTTGAGAAAGGAGGGTTGATCGTGCAAGACAAATATAGGGATATGAAAGTGCCGATGTGAAAATAGCCACTTGTAGCCGGTATCAATCATGACGAGATGGACGAGTATACCGAGAGCAGAACTAAGGTGCGTGGCACAAATTTAGGTCGAGCGGCTCCAAAATTGAGTACTGCAGTTCTCGCCTTGACAGGGGGAACTTAGGACTAAGGTAGGGATAAGCGGGGTTAGCATGCGTGAACCCATCCAAGTCCTGAGGAGCAAACGAACAACCATATGTATGACTATGCTGAGACCGCAGAGAAAGCGACATGTTCAGTAATCTTGTCTCCGATGGTATGATGAGCGCGTTACTCGGGCGGATCACGGCTAAGGCCAAGGCGGTCGCCCTCAGCTTACTCGACAACCGAGGCTCGTGGCGGGGGTCCGATGTCTGATCCGCTCATTCACAATCGTAACATGGTTTCAGTCAAATAGATTGTAGGTTCCACCTATATTCGTTCATTTTTGTTGCCACCGTACGGTGTCTACGTGCAGCAAACTCACCTCGAGACGGCTGCTCCGTGTGTTTTGTGTTCCTTTTCAAGTCAGCTTCGCCTGTTCGCGTCACGTGTGTAGAAATCCGAAAGAGGAAAATACCTCGATTCCAGCGGCAGTAATGAAGATGAACAATTACAAGGACATAATAGTCGAGATCAAGGGCCAGATCGGCATCATAAAGGTACATAGATACAGGCTGAATGATCTACAGACCGATCTGACTAAAACTCATAGTTCAACCGGCCCAAATCATTGAACTCATTCGGCGGCAAGCTGATCGTCGAGACGATCGACGCCATCAGAAAGCTAAATGAGCACCCAGACACAGTCTTCACAGTTCTTACGGGAGAGGGTCGCTTTTTCTCTGCCGGCGCAGATGTTCGGGGTGTCGCCGGTGCGGCGGCCATGTCCTTTGACAACATCGCGGAGAAGAAGATTGGCTTCCTGAACATGTTCACCTCAGGTACGTTGCGCAGCAGTCCGACTCCCATGTTCGATGTCGAAAGCTAACTGGCGATTTTAAGGCCTCGAGATCGTGCGGTCCATCGTGGACCACGACAAGATCTTCGTGCTTGCGCTGAACGGACCAGGCGTCGGTGCTGGCGGTGCCTGGTTCCAAGGTATTGCCGACATCGTCCTCGCCTCCAAGGAGGCCTATCTGCAGATACCCTTTTCCGCGCTCGGCCTCGTGCCGGAGAACGGCTCCGCGGTTGCGTTCGCGCAGCACATGGGCGTGCACCGCGCCAACGAGTTCTTCATGTTCGGCAAGAAGCTGACGGCGACCGAGCTGGAGACGTACGGTCTGGTCAACAAGGTGTTCCCCCACGAGGGGTTCCACGACGCTGTCATCAAGTACCTGGAACAGCAGCTCGAGGTCAACGATGGGAAGAGCATGATGGAAACGAAGAGGCTGCAGAACGCGCCGTTGCGCGACCAGCGCATGCTCGCGGCGTATAACGCGTTCGACGCGCTTGCAGAGCGCTTCGTAGCGGACGCGCCGGCGCTGAGATTTGCGAAGAAGAGAGCGGAGTTGGAGGCGAAGAGCAAGGCAAAGTCGAAGATCTGAGCCTTGGCACGTTGAGTCTGTAAACGAATGCATGCAGCAATCAAAACGGGGCGTTCTGTTGTATGACAGATTGGCTTGCAGACGTAGAGTTCAATTCGAAAGGTTATAGACACGCAACGGCCGTTTATTTTATGGTCGGGCTGGATATGATCTTTGCTGCTTTCACATTCACCTTCACGACCAGGCTTACCGTGGTAGGAAAGCACCACAGGAAAGAAGGAAAAGGATGGAAGCACCATCATCGATACTCAATCGTTAGCTAATCGAACATCTACAATGTTATATATACACAATTTTTAATTTTTTTTCTCTGAGTTAAACATCATAGGAGCAAGCCCCTTACTCCATAATCTACTTCAGTATAGCGAGCCTGGTAAATTTATGAATTGCGCAAAAGGCCCGCTCATAGCTTCACAGTGCCTGCACCAAGGGCATTCCATTCCTTTTCGCCAAACCTCTGGTATGCTTTTGAATTGGGCGGCAGCCAAAAGAGTTCATCTCCTGACTTAGAAACGAGAGCCGGATTCACGCCCTCGTTTCTTAATACGGTCTTCTGCTGTTTCATCGTGCCTGTGCGGTTCGCAGCCGCTGCGTCGCCTCTGTGCACTCTGAGGAAGATGGGCACGGCATATCTAGGCAAACCCTTCGTGGCCTGGGCCCCAATTTCTGCGAGCTCGCTCTCAGTGAGTGGCTTCTGCTCGTCTTGGAGCACGAGGGCGGCACAACCCGCGCGCCCGTCATGGCCGGGAATCTGCACGCCGTAGACGTTTGCTTCGTTGATGAGCGAGATGCGGCCCATGACCTCTGCAACCTCGGCCGTGGATACGTTCTCCGACTTCCAGCGGAACGTGTCGCCAATGCGGTCGCAGAAGTACCAGCGGCCCTCAGAGTCTTTGCGCAGCAGGTCGCCCGTCGAGAAGTACGCATCGCCTTTCTTCAGTACATCCCGGTGGATCTTGCTGGACGTAGCTTTGTTGTTGCCAAAGTATCCTTGGAAGGTAGCGTCAATCTCCTTCTCGTCTAGCTTGTAGATCAGCTCTCCCGGCTGACCCGGCTTCACGGGTATGCACAGTCCGGTCTTTTTGTCACGGATAGGAGCATTAGTTTCGAAGTCAAGGAGGATGACCTGTGCAGGTGCACCCAAGAGCTGGTTCAGAATACCGGAGACGCCAACAGCACCCTCTGTGTACTTGTTCTTGCTCTTGTTCCAAAGAGCAGCAGGACCTTCGGTTGCGGCATAGAACTCCACGATAGTCTCGATACCGAATCGCTCCTTGAAAACGGGCCAGACATCGGGGCGCAAGCCATTACCAAAGGCAGTGCGAACTTTGTGGTTGCGATCGGACGGGGAAGGTGGAACAGAAAGCAAGTACCGTAGAGTTTCACCAACATATTGAATGATGGTTGCATCAGTGGCGCGGCAGTCATCCCAAAAACCTTTGCGGTGGAAACGTTCGCCCAGAGAGAAGGACGCACCAGCACGAAGTGCTGAGGTCATACCAAGGAGAGAGCCCGAGGAGTGGTAGAGTGGCATGCACTACGGGGTGGTGTGAGAAAATACACAGAGAATGTCGAAGATCATGACGGCTTACTGTGTAGAACGTATCCTCTGGCTTTATTGGCAACCACTTTGAGACAAACCAACCGGCCATGCAAGCCTTTGACCAGCTAACAATGGCCGGCTTGGGGAGACCTGTAGGAAATTAGATACGAGATGCGCAAAGGGAACGTTAGCATGGCGCACGTACCAGTGGTGCCGGATGTGTAGATAAGCAGAGCCATTCCTTTGAGCTGCTGGCCACCTCTCTCGGAGTCTGGGGCTCTGACTGGCATTACGGCCTCGATCTCCGCCCTCGTTGCTGCGTCGAGAAAAACGACTTCAACTGGCCCTCCAGCGTCACGAAAGTTGGGCCCGCTCAGCTCGTCCAGAACCTCGCCATCGTACTTTTCTCTCCTGAACTGCTCCATGGCAAAGCAGTACCTCGCCGTGCTCGTCTTAATCGTGTGGATAAGCGGGCGATTCGTCAGATTGTAATTGATGAATGCTGGCTTCGCACCGATGCTCCAGAGGCCAAACCAGACCCAGATATAGATATCTGAGTTGACAAAGTCCATTGCCACTATCTCGTCCTTCTTGATGCCGTACTTCTGCTTGAACCACGTGCCATACTTGAGGGCGAGCTCGTATGCCTGGCGGTACGTCCAGCTCTTGCCCTTGAACTTAAGGAAAATACGATTGGCATGGTCCTTGTTGAGGGCCCAGTCTTCAAGTACATAGAAGGTGCTAATGCGGTCAGCGCGCTCGAGGGCTCGGCCCTTGAAGCTAACGGTCATGAACTTGGAAATCAGGTCGAAGTCGGTGCGTATGTGGTATTTGGCGTCGAGCCAAGCCAGCGTCGAGAGGATTGCGGGTGTGGCTATCGCCGTGGGGAGCGAAAACACTGAAACGTCGTTAGCATTGATGTTAGTTGCACCTTGGTGGTCATCCTGCTGCCGCTGCTGCTAACGCTACGTCTTCGACTTCCTTAAAGACACGGCGATGATACAACACACTGTCCCGTCAAAGCAGTCCATTCAACGGAACTTGAAGTGTCGACCAAGAGCTGGTTAGGAAAATACCTACAAGACATGCTGATGAGAAGTCCCAATTAACTCGCTCACAATCTTCGCCACTGTACAAGACGATGTCGGAGTGATCAAGACCAACGACTGAAACCAGACGGCGATATGATATAGCGACAGATAGCCCAAGGAAGTCCCCGAGCTACATACATGCACCCTCGCAGTTCCGGCGCAGGACTAACAATGCACCGGTTATTGCACGCTGGCGCATCGCCATTGTGAGCATAAGCAGCACCAGGTTTCCACGCGGTATGATACGAGCCGAGGCACCCTCGGAGCTGCAACCTCTCTAGGGCCGATGATTGGCGTCCGCCGGTACTCCAGGGGGTCGATTGGCGTGGGGCCCTTTCGTTTAAGGATGGACCAAGCCCGAGTAAGCGGCAACGACTCAGCCTGAGTAAGGGCTGCAGCTGATTCTGGGGAATGGATATGGAGAAGCGACGTTTCGCGCGTCTTAGCCCCGGTACGAGGGTATTTGTGCGTTCGCTTCCATCTTGGATACTGCTAACTCGATTACTCGGGTTACCTGGCACATGTTAAGTTAGGCTCTTGCTCACGAGGCAGCGAACTGGACTGTTGATGCGGACACTAGTGCTCGCCAGTGAAGCTCCACTTCGTTTTGGCTCCCGCGCTTGCATGCATGAAGAGGCAGGCTTTGTTCGGACTAGCAACGATGTCAGAAGTAGCTTTGTACTGTTTTGTACGTGTAAATGGCCAGCTTCAGAGAGGGCTGGACGGCCTTGGTCACGTGACAGAGCTAGAGCGCGCAAGTCACGTGCGGTCGCGACTGCCTAGACGCGAGATCTGGATTTTGGCCCCGCAACGTTGACGACCAAGTGAAAGATTCAATCATCTTGCCGCTCAATCAGGAGGAAACCGGGTTGAAGCTGAATGTGAACTTGAATCTTCACCCTCTTGATTCTCGCAATGGGCGTGCACCATCTTGCATCTCACAATGTGGATTCTCGAATGCGACGGTCCGCTCTTTCATAGTCAGTCGTTCGACTTGGCCCCCTTATGTCGTATTCATTGCTGACCAAGCCATGCCGAAGACAAAAGGTTATGGCTGCGGCCGGGCACGTCGCATCTCTTCGGCCGGACAAAGCAGGCGCCCTTGCGAAACAGTGCGTATCACCCATCTGAATCTGGATACAGTCGTATACTGAATTCGAATCACCAGCCGAGTCATACGTCCTCGATGCAAAGTCGGTCTCTAAAAAGCATCTGAAACTGTCTATTGCTGCTGTCAAGGCCGGTTCTGGCGTACGTGTTGCCTTCGAACTCATGCTCACATCTGGGGCCATGCTTAACGAGGACCATTGTAGTCACAGCTGCACACCCGTACCGAGGCCATTATTGAGGACTTCTCCAAACTAGGCACAATCATCGACGGTGAGAAGATTTGCCAGACAACAAAAGTGCTGAAAGGCACCGAGCATGTCATTCGGGTCGCCAAATACGAGTACGCCTTGAGGTGAAGACAAGCGCTCTACATCTACCATCTTTCACATCGCTAATTCCTGCGTAGGCTGAAATGGCACCCTGTCGTCTTCAGCGTCGCCAATTTGACCAAGGCTGAAAAGTCAGCTGCCGATCCTCTCTCGTGGTTCCGCTCACGGCTCGAACCGCTCGACATCAAATTTGTAAACGAATACATTGCAGGCCAAACAACCCATGTGGTAGCTCCAAAGAGAAACATTCCTGCTGTACTGCAGGGCCTTATACACGCTAGGCATGTCGTCACGAGGGACTTCGTCGACGCTGTGGTTCGCGCTGCAACGGAAGAGCCAGCAGCAGATGGTGTGAGTGAGCCTAGAGCACCCCTCGAGAAAGATTTCGACGGCGCCTGGCCAAATGCTATGAACTATGTCCCTCCAGTGGCGGGGGAGCCTGTCAAGCGTGATGCCAGCTTCCTGACCCCGAATCACGGGCGAACGAACATATTCCACGGATTTACCTTCGTATTCTGCATGAAGTCCCAATTTGAGCAGCTACAGCCTGTCATTGAAGCAGGAGGGGGAAAGGCCATTCTATATGAGAGTTTTGAAGAGGGGAGAATGAATCCCCATGAATTTGTAACTTTCGTGAAGAGCGTAGCAGGCGACAAATCTCCGGGCGAAATTTCACATTCCGGCGAAGGAAAAGGCGTTGTGGTCGTTCGCATAACCACCAAAAATGCCGAATGGGATGCTGAATTCGTGCAAGAGTCGGATCGCCAGCTCAACCAACGCTCCATCGAGCAGAAGGAGTTACTAGATCCTATTTTGACTTTAGACACGTCTGGACTTCGCAGGCGACTTATGGAGGAGATCGATCTGACATCTACAGCTTTATCGACAGCCCCTGAGTCCGAACAGAGAGCAGCTTCTAAAAGCGATCTAATTTCTGGAATTACAAGCGGCCGTGCGGTAAGAGTTGAGCCTCAAACACAGGCCAAGCGAATACTCAGGATACCAGTCACGCAAAGTCGATTTCGAGGTTTTGATGACTTCGATGATGAGTCCGAGCTTAACCTCGCGCCTGGGACTGCAACGAAATCCATGCCACTTAACGACATTACTGTCACAGAAGAGACTGTAGGTCAACCTTCAAGTGCTCCAGCGCAAGTTACCCGTCGAAATGCAGAGACGAATTCACGTAAAAGGCCGACTCCAGAACCAGATAGTGTTGAAATGATGGCTTCCATCTTACCCGCTGCAGCAGCAATGAAACGGCGTCGCATCAACCAACCGGAAAGAACATCTGAAGATCATGCCGAAAAGGATACCAAGCCCATACGTCCTAGAAAGGAGCAAGAGTTTGACGTTCTTGATGAAATAAAAAGGAGACGGGATGAGGAAGAGCGACTAGCTCGTGAAGATTCTGAGCAATTAAAAGAAGCTATCGAAGGTATGGACATCCAAGGACCTGCCAATCTCGTGCAGATAGAGGAGATGGAGGTTACTTGCTCACACTCTGCGTCTCTTTCACGCTTGAGCCGTGCTTCCAGCGAGCGATGGGACGAGCGATGGAATGGACTTCCTAACTTCAAACGCTTCCGACGAAAGGGCGAAGAGCGTCCTGTGAGGCGGGAGAGAGTGATCGTTCCCGTGGAAGAGACACGCAAGAAAGACTTTGGCATTGGGGATGACTATTGGCTTGAGCCTTCTTCAAGGCAGAAAGATCAAACCCCGCGTGAGTCCCAAGTACAGAGCCAGACCCTGCGTAATCAACGTGGCGAAGATGATTCCAAGGAAGAAGATGAATTGCGGTTCCACAGGCTCGTGAAAAGCAAGACAACACAGGAAAGTGCAATCACAGAACCAGATGTAGTCGAGATCATAAAGGAAAGCGGGAACACGGCCCTAAGTGCGAGTCTGCCATCCACAGCTCATAGCACAAGCGGTGCTACTTCTCTGGCAGCTAGTCTAAGAAAGAGACCTGCGCCTGAACCGGCTAATGCACCGCCTGCGAGAAAGAAAACGAAGCCAGCTTGGGCAAGAGACGAGAGCGAGGAGGATGAAGATGAACTCGCGTTCCCGAGGGCGAGAAGAGGGGCGCGAAAGAGGTGAGGCTGATTTGCCTCACGATAGAAATGTTCATCATCTATACTCAGACGTGATTAGGTTTGTGTGAAAGCGCCTCTGGTTCCATGTGCAGTTTCACTTTCAGCGTCCGAAAACGTTGTTCATTCGACGAGCGCTCTTTGAGCGTCTCCGTAAACCAAGCCAGCATTTCCCTGTACCCAGCATCATTTCATGAAGCAAAATTCCAACATTTGATAACGAAACCCCATAACCTCTACATTACTTAGCTCTCATCTAAACTCTTCCGCGTACTTTACTTTGATCTGATTCAAAATTCCACGTCTTCGAGATCGCAGACGATGAAATGGCGTTCCACCACTCCGCCAGCAATCATCTTTTTGCGCACTGGGTCCACCGCGGCTCCGGTTAGTATCGTGATTAGTGAGCCATCGTCCCAGTAAATGACCTCGGGTTCGTAATCTCTGTCCTTCCGCAATCGAAGAACGGCGGCGGCACCGATCATTGAGCTGTTGAGGATATTCTCCTCGGCCAGACGGCCGAACAGCGCTCCGGGGTTAGGGAACACTTCGAACAGAATTTCAGTTAGAAAGGAAGTTTGCGAAGGCGATCTGGTGCCCCTTGTGGGAGTGAGGTCAAACATACCACAAACAGAGACATCACCTGTTCCAGGAATCTCTTGAAGATTGTCTGCAGGGGCGCCGAGATTCTGTGTCGCATGAAGACGTTAGTTACGAAGTTGAAGATTTTAATCAGGGATTTCATTCGAAGGGCGCGACGTACGATTTTCTTCCTCAATTTTAGCATCTTGCTCACGGGGTGCACGTCGTACACCGTTGTGGTGGCCTCCACAATCTCATTGACGAGCAGGGCCTTGCCGTCCTCAACCAAGGCCACGCCATTGGCGGCGGGGTGACTGTTTGGAGGGGAGACAATCTTGCAAAAGGGATCCCCGTCTGGGTTCGCAAGGCAGTGTACAATGCTCGATGCCCAACTGAACGGGCCGAAAGTCTTCTCGAACCACCGTGGGATTCCGAACCAAGTGGTCGGGTACGCGTAATTGTCGTTGGAGATAAAGAAAGAGAGAGCGCCCGTCGCAGCGACGGCGTTTGGAGTCTTGATCAGCGGGTGCTTGAACTCCTTGACGAAGGTGAGCGTCTTGGTGCCCAGCACGTGGGAAAAGAGAAGGATTGACTCGCCCTTGCGGTCATGGTTTACGGCCCACAAATCGATCTGGCGTGAGCTAAATCAGTCATCATTGAATGAAGGAGTTGATTTCGGCTTATTCAAAGGAGATTTACAGTGCTAGAGTCCTCAGGCCTGACGCGGATATCGATTCCATGCAGAACAAGATCGCCGTCCCATCCGACCACGTCCAGCTGTGTGGTTTTGCCGGTCTGCTCGAATTAGCATAACCATTCCACGCCTAAAGGCATTGATCTCTTGCACCTCTAAATCATACTTGAGAAAGTACTCCCGATAGGAATTTGCTGCCGTTGTTGACACGATGCGGATTGGAGGGTAAAAGTAACGTCTTGTTTCTGGATAGCCGCACGCTGTCCGGTGTTAAAAAGTGATAGCTCATGGTTTTGTATACCTCGTACCTAAAAAGGCAGTTGAAGAGTCCTGATGAATCCTTACGTCTTCACATGCCTGACCCTCTGATACCTTGGGTTAGCGCGACACGGGTATATACTCGTCTAATACGCCCACCTGGGAACTTCTTGCACTTGTCATTGTTCAAAGGCTTATGGTCGATATGAACTGTGTACCGAGCAGGATCCAAATCACTTAGACGGCCTCCAAACTGATTCAGAAGCGGGTACCATTGCATGTAAAGAAGGCTCGAGAGAGCCACGACCAGGGACACGATCACGAGGTTACCCGGCCCTGCCATGTTGAGATCGTCCCAGGCAAGACTCGTTCCAAGTTCGACTGTAACTTCTTCTCGCAATGAATAAAGCCAGCCCACCCCACAGGAGAAAAGAGGTCATCTAAAGCGCGCGGGGACCCTGTGAGGCAGGTGTTGCTCTACCTCGGCCAGTGCGGGGAAATTTTGTGAATGACCAGAAAGACGGTCGTCTAGCTCCTAGCTCCTAGCTCCTTGCTCCATTTCGATCTTCTTGCGATCAGGGAACTGCGCCGCAAATCCTTTCGCGGCGATATCTGCCATTCGTTTGCAGAAGTCGAGTGGTCTCGCCGCACGACCATCGCTGCAAAGTGTTGCTTCAAATGGCCGGGACGCCGGAGTCGTTCCGAACAGCTCTGGGGCGGAAACTATCCGTCTCCGTCCTGATGTGAACGTCGAGTTCAAAACTAAAGTGGAATTTGACTTCTGCGCGAGAAGTGTAGTTGCTCTATCTGCATTTATTTACTTGGTGTCAAAAAGTGATGGAAGGAGGCTCATTCTGGCATGATCGAACACAGCAATATCTTTGAGATCAAGACCCTAGAGTTGGGATTCTACCTATAGACAGGGTGCACAATCAGCCTCCAAAAGGACACTAAGTATCGTTCGATTGTGCCCTTGAAGCGATTAGTGTCTAAAGTTCAGATATGATGATCACAAATATAGGATTCAAATTTCCTGTCTATGCTTCTGAAGAAAGGTGAATGATTACGTTAGCTGCAATGCAATCACAAGACGGAGACGACAATTGCCATCCATTAGTACCTGCAAGTCATAGCGTATGTTGAGATCCTAGCAGACTATCTAGTGTATTCGTCTCTTTTTCTTTTGGGTATCATGGTCTTCGTCGTCCAAATCCTTGACGTCATCAGATGAAGTACTTATTCCGGCGTCCTCAGCTCCGCCACCGCTCTCCTCGCTCTCTTCGTCTTCTTCATCAGCAAAAGCATCCAGATTGCCTATGCTAGACGGTAGCACCACTCCGCCAGAATCATGTTCGCTTCCATCTCCATCGAATCCAACGAATTCATCGCCATCCTCGCTGTCGACAACAGAGCTGTCATCTTCGTCGTCTTCGCTACCTTCCTTTCCATCATCCTCCGATGTGTCACCTTCTTCGGCAGTTTCAGCGTCAACAGCACTATCTGACTGACTGGTCTCGGTACGCTTCCTCTTCACACCGGCGCTCATCTCACCGAGCCGTCCCTTCCTGCCTTCCATTCCGCCGTCTTCTTTCTCACCATCTTCGGTATCATTATGAGGCGGTGCTACAAACCACGGTAGTCTTCCCCTCAAGAAATCGTTGACGACGCTCTTAGCAACGGTGTCCATGTCCGCTTCTCCACCCTTTAAGAGCTTTCCTGTCTTCCGTGCAAGCTGATCTAAGAAATCCTCTGAATCTCTAAAATCCTTCAAGTCGTATGTTCTCAAAACATGCCTCTTCTCACATTTCCTTAAAAGTGCATCAATATACTGAGCAGGATACTCTACGTTCTCTACTCGGACCACACCCCTGAGCAAGATATCCTCGGGTGTGTCATTTGCGTTCGGGGGTACCACGCCGGGACAATCGATAAGATAAATTCTCCTGGTAAGCGTAATGTACTGCCAAACTTTGGTTTCGCCTGGTATTGGAGCGGTCTTGCACACTGGCTTCTTGCGAAGAGTATTAATGATAGAAGATTTTCCACTATTAGGATAGCCGATAAAACCAGCTGATATTTGCTTCCGATCTGCGTGGAGGACAGCGAATTGCCGTAGAAGGGCGATGAGCGAGCCCTTGCCGAAAGAGTTCGTGATGGAAGCATGGAAGGCGAGGGTGGGATACTCTTTGGAGAGCAATTTAACCCATTGGGCCTGCACAAGATGAAAGTCAGTAAGTAGGTTTGGCAACAATCATCATCTACAGAAAGCGAGTAGTGTGAAGAGAAAGATGTGTGAGACGTTACTAAGAGAATGGCCACAAATGTCTTCACAGAAGGAGGCCTATCTCAACTCAAACGAAACACTAGCAAGATCCTGGTCGACAAAACTTCAAAACGAAGCTCGTCTTGATCCTCGAAAGAGAACCGGCGGATCTGCGTTTGTTCTCCCAAAGTTGTAACAGATTCCTCTCATGGTGTATAGTGCACTGAAGGCGAGAAGGAGCCTTGACTTAACAATGGGACATTTATACTCCAGCTCTTTTGAAAGAACACGAGGTAGTGATGAAGAAAAACAAAGGGAACTCCAGTGTGATAAACTTACCGCAACTTTCGTGGGAACTAGGTCGCATTTGTTCAGTATGAAGACCAAGTGCTTATGTGGCGCTTCCTCCTTCAAATACTTCTCCACAGCGCGACACCGTGTGCCTAACGGATCCCTTGCATCGAGAACGTGGAGCACAACATCTGAGGAGTCCAGAACTTTGTATAACTCGTTCCATATGCGCTTGCTTTGTCCCTTGGAGAAAATTGCTTCCTTAGACAATGTTGCTGTGCCATAGTTCCAGTCCGCAGCATCGCCATCATCGACTTTCTCCTCGCCAGATTTTCCACTGAGCAATTTCGCCTCCTCCAACCGCTCAGTGTACGTGTCATAAATTTTCTCATTGTGGCTGACAAGATCGTCGAAACTGCTTAGACCGAGTTTAACCCGTTTTCGCTGGGCCTTTGGACCAAATGTGTCCTTGAAGGACTCTGTCTCAATAACCATTTTTGCTTTATGCTGCTTGAGCCCATTAGGTTTGTGGTCATTGTCGCGGATAAGGGACATGGGCAATTTATTTGTCTTCAGCAGGTAGGAGGTTGGGTCCGAGGTCTGTTGAGCTACGGCCTCTCGAAATGCGCTTAGAGACTCTTGCGATATGACACGCGAGTTTTGGAACCATTTTCTGTTCGGTTCAACTCGAGCGGTCGGGACATCTCTTGACTGATAGGCAGCTGCCTTGGTGATCTTACCGGCAGCGTTTCTCTGTGCTTTGCCCTCTTTAAATCGATTGAGAACTTTTAACTTCTTTGCATCTCGGTAGAAGTTCTCGCCCTTGAATTAAATGTCAGCGCGACCGGTAACCAAAAAAAAAGCTCGCATAGCAATTTACCAACCTTGACTTTGACATTTGCCATCCCATCTCCAACCTTTCCCTGGCGCTCTTTGCGAGCAGCTTCTTTCTTTCCGCTGCCCATCTTTGATTGTGGCAGAAACGAAGTGTGATAGGTAGTGGTTTGCGTGAAAGATCTCGTCGAGGTGGGTGCAAGAATAATTTCATGCCAAGATTTTGAGGAGCCAGGGTCCTGCATGAAGCGGACCTCCGAGATCAAGCTCGCGAAAAAGTCCAACTATCCATCGCCTCAGCTCGTCCTTATTTCTTTCATCTCACATCAACGATGCCGCCCCGTCCATCATCATCAATATGTAGCCGTTGCTCCCACCGCCTTCAATGGCAACGCTACTCATCCAGCACCGTTCAGCGGCAGTCTGTTCCGCCTGAGTCCCCAAACTTCATTCACGTTCCAGAGCCTGTTCAAGCACCATCATATGAAAAGCGTCGCCCCGTCAAGGGTACCCTCCCGGTCCCCCGCAATGCATTCTCCAAGCATAGAGAGTATCGTGCCAGTGAAGCCTTCAAGGCAAAGGCAACACCTGAACCGATGCCACGACCAGAACCTCACGGACCTGAGGCAGAGCGTATTAAATATGATCGACAACTGGCCTTTATTCGTCGGCAAAACATGCGCGAAGGTCTCAGCGAGATCTGGGCGCGTCGAGAAAAGACCCGTGATGCTCTCGCCAAATCCAGTGGATTGAAGCGTCTACGAAATGCTCGCGCTGCCGCTGCCCCAGCAGCACTTGATGAAGTGCTCACAAACCCCAGCATCCATCCATCGACGCGTCTTCTACTCGCAACAGGCAATGTACCGGGGCCCGCTCAACAGCGGAGCTCCTCGAAATTCAAATTACTTGAGCTGCGAAAATCCGCCGCACGTCACGAGGCACTTCACAATCTCTACGTCAACGCACAACATTTTATCGTAAACGAGAAGCAGCTCAACGAGGAGATAGACAGGGTATTCGGAAGCGATGAGGTGCCTATCAGATGGGAGGGCAAACACAATGGCATATGGGGCTTGAAGGATAAGCCTCGAACGGCAGCTGAGATGCTTAGCATTGAGAACAAGGGTCTTGCTGCGGTAGCTGATGTTGGCGCCCAGGAAAGAATGAAGAAGATTGCTGAGGTCCTCACCGGAGGCAAGATGAGCAGTATCGGAGGACCTCAGACTCCAAAAGCGTGATGGTGATGATTTGCAGCGCATTGGTCAAGATTTACGATTTTCCCTTTGTGTTGATAAAGATGTATAAAATACAATAATTTTCAACCATGTAAGCGTACTTCTATGTACCGAACAAAAGCGAAGGAATCACGCAGTCTCCTATAACTCGGTAGTGTCGCAGCCATTCGTCCGACCGATCTTTCGCAGTTTTTGGGAGCAGACTTGTCATCTCCAGAACGACTGTTTTCCCATGACATGAAGTATTAATGGTTGCAGGAAGAGCTGCGCTACTCAGGACATTTGTCCCATTGCGAGTCTCCAGTGTCGAATGGACGACCCGTTAGCATGGTGGTCGTGATCATTACATGTTCTGGGCACAACATGAGCAAAAACTCTTGGTTTCAGCTATACTACCTCCTCCCAGACTGAAAACTTATCGGTTCTGGTTTTGACGGCGTATAGTCATTCCTTCACTATGTGTCCTACCGTTCAGTGCATTTTCAGATCGATCTCACGCACAGTCCGATAATGTCCTCTGTTCATGGTAACCTTTTGCTCCCAATATTTGCCGCACTTGGACAACACTCGTGTCGTCACAGGCCAAAACTCGACAATCCACCATCCCTTCGCGTCAAACAATTTATAGTTTATCCTCGCAATGGCATTGGAGTAGTCTTCTGTTGATTTGGACGGAGGTATGTAAGTAGAGTCCTGGGACGACGGAGACCCAGCAACAGTGTTCTCAGGTCCGATTTGGAGGAAGACTGAGCGTACCGTGGGGCGAGGGTTTATTGTTATATTTCTCTAGTAGCAAAGGTTGAGGGCCGACAGGCAGCTTTGTCGGCTTCTCGTATTCTAGCCTCATCATCAGAACCTCAAGATCTTGTTCATCTAGATGGGTAGTATCGAACAGAATTCCGATGTCACACTCGAAGTATTTGCACAACATCCATCTATGCGGAATCTGCGATAACATATGGCGAGACTCGTCATGCATGGCTGTTCAACTCCAACGTCTGCGTGAGCACCCATGAACCAGACTTCAGGAGCGTTCGTCTCATTGTGTATGAATTGTGCGTTGGCTTTTTCTTGTGCACGAATTTGCCTTCCACATTGCCGTGTTCTCTAATCGAGGTGTCCCCTCCACTTGTTGACTTATTGCTGCTGCTCGGTTTGGTGGTGACATACTCTTATCCAATCCCAAAGCACACAATAAGTAGATGCAGCATAATATGGAAGAGCGGATCAAATAATTTGTCAGCATTCCAATCAAATACACTCTTTTTAACACCTGATGGTGTGTTGTCCACCATCTTGCGTCATTTCAGGTCCAGTTGCTCTTGCTCCCACTGTAAAACTTTGAACTTAGCGCGACGCTCATCGAGCGCCACTGCATGCCGAAAGATGTGTATTGAGCTTGTAGATGATTTGCTTGCTGGCAATGTGCGTGGTTTAAAACCAATACTGGCGACGCATTCCCAAAGACCAACAAAATAGACATCGTCGTGGGTACAGAACGTCATTTTGAACTTTCCACTTATATCCCAACCCACTTAAGAGTCGTCTTTGTAAAAATTGTACGCGAACTCGATTTGAGAAATGTTGCTTGCAGGTTGAAGGTCAACCTTAAATAGCATGCCAACGAGACATCGGAGCGTGTATGCTCCTCGAGAAAATCCGAACAAGCAGAACTTATCAGCTTCATGGTAATTTTGCATCAAGAGCTGGTACACATCTTTGATATGAGTACCTAAAATTACACATTTAGCTTGAAGGAAGACGAATACAATTACTAAAGCGAACCTAAGCCCGAGCTCCCCGCCATATTCATGGCAGCAATGGGTCTATTCTGCCTCCCTTAATTTTATGTTCCAAATCCGGTCTGACAATAAGTCACTTGATCGGCATGGTCGTATGTCTTGAGGCACAAAACAAAGTGCACGATGTTCCTGTTGTCATTGTCGAACTGGTCACCTGTTCCATCATGGCAGATCACAGCATTTCGTGGATGATGCTGTGTGGTTCTGGAATCATTGAGGGCACGAATTGTCCGCGGCAGTCGTTCCTGGCGTCCTTCGATTTCAAGCGGCGGTGTACCGCAAGGAGTTATTTCGTATGTTTGTAGCGTGTATGAGCCTGTTTTCCTGATGCCGGGTCATTCGTGCACCATTGTTTAAATACACACTTCATCGCTACGAATATGGTTTACACAAATCTTAAGGGATGAGATGATTAGCTTACTTTGGATGAAAATTGAATACAAAGTGCATCCTGATCATAAATGCTCCGAGTTTGAGATAGAAGCAGGCAAATGGCTGACGACATCCAAACTGAGCAGCTAGCATACCTCTTCAACTCTGTTGCTTATCATAACCGAGGCTGCTTCATGGCGCGTCAATGGAGACGTCGATCCGATCGAACGCTGCTTCGTCTGTGTAGCGTATTCTTGCACTAGCCTAGAAACTTAATATATGGTGTGCGGGAGAATATGTGTCGTCAGATCTCTATAGGATCAGCGCGCAGATCCAGATCGCGATCTTATTTAAGTGAAATCACATCTTTCATGGCGGAGTAAAAATAAAAATTGATCCACAAGGGTTTGTGCACTTGAGGATCAAAGTGATGCTCATGGTAGCCACATTCGAACTGGCCCTCACTCAGTCATGACTTCCAGTACGCTCTCTTCCTTTCCACCAGTCTTGCCGTTTCGTAGATGACAGATCTTGAAGTCCACTAGATCTATCGAAGACGCCTGGGAGATTGCTGTCCGGTATTGGAAGTCGTTTGCCCATCAGCAGACTGTTCCGAACGCTTTCTGTCACAATTTCTGTGCTCAAGAAATGCCGAAACAGAAAGTCGGCGGTCTGATCCGTTGCGGTATGACAAGGTCGTCGTCGTATGCACTTTAACCGAAACGGCAATTACTTCCGAGAGTCTCTGGTACAGTTTATCATCATATCAAGACATCCTCGCCGTGATCCACTATAATAAAAGAATTCATAGTCACTCCTGTTGATTACTCCATCGTCATAATGTATCTCCGTGCCGCACACGCAGACCTCAATATTCCCCGTTTACGTCAGTTCATCAAGCAGAATCCTTTAGGTTTGCTTGTCTCCTCTATTCAGTCAGACAAGTATCCGACGATACAGTGCACACATATTCCGTGGATCCTCGACCTGGAAGATGAGTCGAGTGAAGATGAGTTGGGAATTTTGCGGGGCCATATGGCCAAGATGAATCCTCATACCAAAGCCATCATCGACGAAATTTCTAAATCTACCGCTGATGGATACGGCTTCCTCGGCGAAGAAGTGTCAATAATGTTTACTGGGCCGGCGCATTCATATGTCACTCCGCAGTTCTATAAGGAGACCAAACCCTCGACCGGCAAGGTAGTGCCCACGTGGAACTACTCTGCTGTGCAAGTGTACGGTCGTCTCAAAGCGTACTATGACTCAAAATCTTCGACTGTCGACGCCTTTTTACAGCAAGCTGTAGAGGATCTGAGTGATTTTGCCGAGAACAGCCTCAAGCAGGGCAGCAAGCCTACACCCTGGAAGGTGAGCGATGCGCCAGACTCGTATGTGAGTCTATTGAAGAAAAATATCATCGGCGTGGAAATTGAGATAACGAAACTTGAAGGCAAATGGAAAATGAGTCAAGAAATGAGCAGCGGCGATAGAGAAGGCGTGATTGAAGGATTTGAAGCCGTAGAGACAGATAATGGAAAAGAAATAGCTAGACTAGTTAGGGAGAGGGGTAGGATGAAGGATGAAGCTGCTTCTAAGGCTAAGGCATCGTAATGCCTGGGGAGAGATTCATTATACTACATAGACGTACCGGTACAACTACCCTGTATACACAATATCTTGCCCTGATTTCCTTTCCACGTCTTCAACGTCAACTTCGACAAGCGTAGCACCACCCGTTCTCTCCCTTTCACGTTCGTATTGCTTCTCTAGATCTATTCTTTGTCCGAGTGCCGACAGAATGGCACCTGACTCGCCAAGGTCTGTGAGTCTTGTTGGTGTGAGAAAATCGCGCTCATGCGCATAGAAGCTGTTTCCTCCCTGCTGAAGATCAGATGTCGAGAGATACTTTGCAATACCGAACGCCAGTCCTGTGAGTGCCCCAAGGGGTAGTAAGACGGTGGGTGCAAGTAGTGAAGACAAAATCGAATGTGATATCGAATCTTTGTCTTTGCTCAAACCCTGTTGAGTAAGTGGGTCCAAAGTAGTCGTTTTCCGCAATGATGGCAACACTCGGTAGATGGCCGCTCGAGCTAATGCAGCTACTGATCGCGAAATTGTGGGAGAGACGAATGTGATCAATTTTGACTTCCACGGACAACTTGGATTCTCGAAAATCTCTCCGTACGTTCGTTGAATATACTCATCAAGCTTCGGAAATCTGGTTCGGAGCGCATCTGCCAACCACGGCTGCGGCACAGGAGCTTTTCGCATCAGCGCCAAATAACCTACAGCAAAGCAGTCCAAAGATGTTGGCACATCGTTGCTGAGAAGATAGTTCTTGTCACCCAGAAGATCTTGGAGAGGGCCGAAGAAGGATGTTGTGAGTTGGAACAACTGGAAAGTATCAGCATGTTGTTGTGTCCGTAACCAACTAGCCGATTGTTGCTTCATGACCAATTGCTCTGGATTTGTTATGCCAGACGGAAGATTTGCGGCTGTGCGTTGACCAGCGTGTCTGCTATCGTCCCTTGCCGCATTCTCATCCACACTGTCGAGATCAAGTGATCGAATACCAAGGTGCTTCGTTCGTGCGATTGCTGCTGCTCGTCTTGCAGGCGGTACAATGTAATTCGAGTACCAGGGCAGGATACTCGTGAAGACAGGGCTTATGGAGTTCCAATAGTTGTTTGAAGAGACATAAAGATAAAGATCCAAAAGCGGCTGGCCACGCAGTTGTATGAACGCAGACCAAGCTTCAATGTCCGGTTGTAGATCAGATGATTGGGGTGCGCTTCTCCTGCTGCTGAGGTATGCGCTGATGGATTTATAGCCTGCATAAACGTTGCCGTTGTGTTCCAGGACAGGAAAGTCGCCTCTTTGATGTTAGCTGCAAGTTCATTCTCAGGTGATCAAGATGGCTTGCCGTTGGGGCTACTCGTCGGATCAAAGCCTGGCGAGATATTGAAGTCTTTTGATTCATCAAACTTAAGCAGATAAGCAAGCGTGGCCATGCATTCTGCATCAATGGATGGTAAATCGTCCAGCGGTCCCCAAATATGAAGCTTCATCATGGTTCACCAGCTCGGCGTGTCTTCGTCGTAGTTCTAGCCTGCACACGAGCGACACAGCTGGCAGTCTGACCCAGACGTGTTTTGTAGCGAAATGCGATGCAGGCGATCGATTTCAATCTTGACGAAGTCGTCGTTGGGATCAATATCAAGTCATCGAGAAATTCTTGCAGAGCTGTCGCGCTGTGGTCGCGTCGCGCGGATTTTACCGTATCCGAGCTTCCCCAGAATAAGAAACCCTCTGTCGTCATCGGCTCTTCTTCTACGAAACAAACCTCATGGCACCCACACGAAGATACCTTCGAATAACGAAGTACTCGGTTCTAGAATGTCGGGTGTACATGGACGGAGATCCTGCGTTGGTCGACTCTTGGTTGCTGCGGAAGAGTGAACCGGCGCTCCCTCGAGTTATCGACGCAGTCCGCGAAGTGGTTCTACCTAAATTGAGAGAGGAGAATGAGAGGGCAAAAGTAAGGACAAAAGGAAAGAAAAAAGGCGCCATAAAAGATGTCATTCGTCGAGGTATGCAAGTGGATAGGCGTATCTCAACCAAGCTTAGCTAAAATACCATGCAGATGATTTCGAAGTCTCCATTTTCCTACGAGATCAAACCTCACGCCACGCGTTGCTAGTCAAGAAGAAAGAGTTTTCGGAGAAACCTAAGCTGAAGAGCAATAGCAACAGGCTCACGAGCTGGCTCTCTGGAGGTAATGCACACGAGCCGATCGATGTCGATACCTCGGCTGCACCTATTCTTACTGAAGATGATGACAACGTTGATCTGCATGCCGTACCTGCTGCATTTGGTGACGCAGACGATGAAGACGCGGTGACGATACCCTCAGAAGGCAATGATCCGGATGACAGCTTGTTTGTTTCAAAAAAGGACAACGCAATAACTGTGGACGACAACAAAAAACTAGGCATGAAAATCCAGTATGACGGTTTCCACATCTACGGCAAGATCTTGTGCTTGATCGTTAAACGAACGAATATTCCGTCGGCTCTCAAAACCAGCACTCCCGATCAAGCGTTGATGGAAAATTGGGTCTCGACCCAAGCCGCGCAGGAGATGGGCAATGATGACGAGCAAGGCTGATTCACACCGTTTCAATCAACATTGCCGACCCGTGCTAATTTTTCTTGACCGTCCATTATACTTTGTGTGCAGTAGATCTGGTCTGCGCGTCCTGTGTGATCTGGTAGGGGTTCGGCCGTGGATGACAACTGAGTCTTGTCTCTCGGACCGGAGCTCACCTGGTAGGCACCGTGTTTGATCGCCACGGATTGGTAGCATCGGGCCGGTGAGGCATCTCGTAATTTCATACAAAAACGATTGCCTCCTCGTCGAATAGCGAACTGCCTATTCGGCAAGCGAGAACAAATGCTGGCGTCGATCATCCAGTCTTCCGTATTTGGGGGGCTTGCCTCCGAGGCTTCACGCTATGGAAAGCGCTTTCATATCAGCTCATGCGAACTCAACTATTTTACACCTTTCACAATAATTGAGGCGTATCACCATAGTGCAACATTTAGAAGTGAACACTTCCGCAGCAGTGTGGCTGTTGCGCAACTCAATCATGCACGACTATCTCTTTTATCCTCGCCCCAAAGAAACTGTTTCCAAGGAGCGACCAAGGAAAGAGCCGAGCAATCCAGTGCTAAGAGGCACGCTTGTCAAGCTAGGAGCCAAATTGCTACCATTAATGCCGGGTCTGCCGGCGACATTCTACAAGAATGCTGGGTTCCCTTCGATGCAAAAGGTTGAAGGTCTAGATAAAACGGACGCGCGTTACGAACCGACTGTGATTCCGTGTAGACCGGAGACACACAGTGACACTGCTACACTGTATGTTGATCCAGAAACCGTGTCGAAGCTTCCACGAACAGCTAAGCCTGTGTTCTATTCGATCCTGGACTACTATGAGGCATATAAATCTGGAAAGACAACACCAACTGAGGTCGTTGAAGCTCTGCTACCCATCATCCGTCGCGATATCAAGAACCCAACAGAGTTCTCTACGGCATGGTTCGATCTCAACATTGATCTTGTAAAGGCTGCTGCTGCCGCGTCTACCGAGCGTTGGAAGCAAGGAAAGGCACTCGGAGTACTTGATGGAGTCCCGGTCAGTGTTAAGGATGAAGCTGACCTCAAAGGCTACTATAAGAAGTGTTTGGGTTCAAAGGTTATCTTTGACGATGCTCCAGACGAGACCTCATGGTCTGTGATAAAATGGGAGGAACAAGGGGCTATTATTCTGGGCAAGCTATCGATGCATGGTATGCGACTAGTTGAACAAAGATCAATCTCGCCGCTAATTGTCTATGCAGAAATCGGGATGGACACAAGCAACAACAATCCGCATTATGGAGCACCAATCAATCCATACAACAAAGAGTACTACACTGGCGGCTCTTCTGGCGGTAGCGCTTCCGCTGTTGCGGCGGGGATCTTACCATTTGCTCTGGGATGCGACGGCGGAGGTTCGATCCGTATTCCGAGTTCTTGGTGTGGTATCTATGGATTGAAAACATCACATGGATGGGTCTCAACTCGCCCTTACGAAAGCCGCGCCAGATCAACAGCTGTAGCTGGACCAATGGCAGCGAACATGCTCGATCTTGAAGTAGCCTGGCGCGTAATGGCTCAACCCGATCCTGAAGATTTGTGGAGCAGATTATTCCCCATGCCCTCCCGGCAGCCTACGACGCACCCAAAGCGCATCGGTATCTACAAAAACTGGTTCAATCGTGCAGACCGTCCAGTTCGTGATACCTGCCAAAAGGCCGTGGATTACTTTAAGGAGACACTCGGCTATGAAGTCGTTGACATAACCATACCGTACATCAAAGAGGCGCAGCTCGCACATGCTCTCACGATTCTCAATGAAGCCACATCAACTGTGACGAAGGATCAAATCAAATTACTAACTCCTCCAAACCAAATTTTATTAACAGTTGGTCGCAAAGCCTCATGCGCAGATTTTCTTGCTGCGCAACGCATCCGAACGATGATCATGGAGCATCTTGCCTTTTTGTTCAAGAAATACCCAGGTTTGATCATTGTACTACCAACTACTCCAAACCCAGGCTGGCCAAAACATAAGAAGGATGCAAAATATGGGTCAAGCGATGGGAATCGGAGCATCAGGAATATGGAAAACGTCTGGATGGCGAACTTTACAGGGATTCCGTCCATCACCTTCCCTGTGGGTTACGTCGATCCAGTTCAAGGAGATGGCAAATTCCCTGTTGGCCTGATGGGCGCTGGAGAATGGGGGAGTGAGGAGCGGCTTCTCGAATTTGGTTACGAAGGGGAGAAGTACTTGAATGAAGTGTATGAAGGCGGCAGATTGAAGCCGAAGCACTTTGTTGATGTGATGGAACTTGTCGAAAAGCTGAACAAGCCAGAAAAGGGTACCACGGGCAAGGAGTCCATCAACGGTGCAAAAGAAGCGGAGGCGGAGAAGAATGTCAATGAGACAGTTGATGATAAGACAGAAACGGCTATTGACGTCCGCAAAGACGCGGATAATGAGAAGAATATCAATGGAAAGATCGATGGTGAGGCTATAGGTACGGCTACGGTCAATACGGAACCGGGCTCTGAAATGAAAGTCGATGCCAAGGGTGAAGATGCTCGGAAAGCTTAAACGCGTTGTTGGTCATTTCTGGTTGAAGAATGATCGAGTTCTACATTTCAGATAATGTATAAGCTAGTAATACTGCAGTTCGCAAAATCAACTGTTCATTCGGGAGGGCTGCATTTCTACGAGTGTATATGACCTTAGATATGCATTTTTTCAGCTCATGAACATGACGAGCACTGGTGGTGTATTCATTTCGAATCCAAAGGCGTGGTCAGCGATGAAATGTTGACGATGGCACTCTCAACATCTCCGCTAACGATGCGTATGAAAGGTGGCCAGGATATAGTCTCTTCCGTAATCATCTTGAACTTCGTGCTGAACCAGTGAGGGTCTCAGAAATTGACTGCATTGTGCTGTACGACTTTGCTTGGGCCATTGAAAGTCTGAGAGGTCGCAAACGTCCCTTCAAAATGAGGTTTTCTTGGATCCATTCGTAACAGATAAGACTCTTTTACATCGCCCAAGGCCAGCATGCCCTGATCACAAGCACGAAATAGCTGACCTCAGTACGGACGGTCCAACGCGAGGGAATCCAAAAGATGTATGTTTAAGGATGAAACGCCATCAGAAGACCATTTGGCCCCAATTGAGTCTGACAGACGCTCTTCAGAGCAGGACCGAAACTACAGGCAGAAACCGGGCGAAGAGATGGAAATAGTCTCAGCCTGACGGTGAACACTGGAACCACATGACGTGTGGTAGTACAAGTACATTTGACCTTCCCATCTCCGTGCCTTGGCTGCTGGATGCATGGCGAAAATGCCTCTTCAAGCCACAATGGCGCTTAAAGATGTGTTTTGTTCTACGATTGTGGAGCTGCAGAGCGGCAAACTCCTCCTTTTCTCCCATCTGGGCTCGTATCAAAGGGAAAAACAGTGGTGCATTGACCCAGGAAAAAGCAAAGGTATATGCAACATAACCGGTGCTCTCAGCTACACGGTCATGAAGTGTGAAAGGCTTTTTCAGCACCTCCGTGGCGTCTGTTGTACTCCGTTCTCTGCAGACTTCAAAGATGGCCTGGCGGCTCTGGATTCGACTCAGCTCATCGTTCTGCGCCCATCGCAGGCAACAGTAGCAATGAATATCAGGCCAACCACTGTTTCTTCGCCCTCGAACTGATCAAACTCATGCAGTATCATCTGTCATCTTAGATATCGGGGCTTTATTCGGATCTTCCGTATTTTCCTGCCCACAGATAGTCCTGGACAAAGTAGAGGCCCAAATAACACTTTAGCAAGGAGAGGCTAATGCCCGAACCTATCTCAGTGGAAAAGGTATTTGGTGACACAAACAACCACTTTCCCAACAAGCTGCAGCAGTCACAGCGACTTGGACTGCTTGCATTCGGCAGATGCCCTCACCAAGAGAGGCCCGTTGGCGAAATGCTGCAGAGATGCGTTACTGGCCTGCCCCTTTGGGTGCTCATACCCTTTTCGATTTGATTCTGCTTCTATTCCAAGCCTCTGTCTCTATGAACTCTGTGATTGGGGATGGCTGGACGCCTAGATACGAGGTGGATTTTCACCAGTACCCAATGCGTAAAATGCATATTGCTGAGGTCAATTTTTACTGCCAAAAAGTTCCAGCGATTGTTTGCCCTCAGCCTCGATTAGAATTTCCATTCAAATTACCTCCCTTCACCTTCAGGACTACTCAAAGATAAACCAGAGCAGGAGAGTGCAGGCTATGAATCAATTGCGGCATGTTCTTTTGGACTCTATCTCGAGGTCTTGCTAACCTTATCTTAGAGCCACGCTCAACGAGCGCCAAGTCGCCATGATGTGCTTCAGTCAGAGCCTAGGGATCGGCCTGTTCTTACAAAACGGTCGGGCAATACACTACGCTGGCCCAGGCCTGGCAACGTTGGCCTACTTTCTTGCCGGGACTGTAATTTGGTCAAGCGCGGCTTGTCTGGGAGAAATGACCGCTCTGTTTCCAATCAAAGGGCCTATATATCAACTTCCAAAACGTTTTCTGGACGAGTCGGTTGGCTATGCAGCTGCTTGGATGACCTGGTAAGCGACTCTTCTCAGAGTAGATAGTACCATCTGTCACTAAACATGACTTAGGTTCGGCTGGATTGTGTTGATAGCGGCAGAACTAGTAGCAATCACGCACATGTTCCATTTCAACTACCCGAAAGACCTGCTAGAGGCTGCTCACTACCCTACATCGTCCCTGTCGTTTTCACCTTCGGTTGCACCCGCCGTTTTGATACTAGCATTTATTCCGGTGGTCTTGTTGCTTAATTTCCTGCCTGTTAAGCATTTTGGGCAGCTAGAGTACCTCACGGGCTGCGTAAAGATGATATTTTTGATCATGATGATCGTTATGAACACCGTGCTCCACTCCATGGAACGCGTGCCTGGAGAGAAACGATTCTGGACGTACAACGAGCCCTACTCGTGGGCAGCGTCAAACATCACGCTGGCCGATAGACATTCAGTGGTGACCGGTGGGGTCGGACGGCTCGCAGGCTTGTGGTGAGTGCTTGCCTTTGCCTTCTTCACTTCGTCCAAGAGACTAATCGGTGCTGAAGGGAAGCAATGACAACAGCCATATTTGGACTTATCGGGGTGGAAACGGTGGCGATCACTGCAGCCGAGAACAAAGATCTACGCAACGAAGAAACGGTCAAGATTGCGACGAGAAAGATATGTCTTCGACTGATCCTCTTGTACACTCTTGCCACCTTCACGGTCGGACTGAACGTTCCGTACACGTACCCCACGATATCAGATCCAAGTGTCATTTCGTTTGGGTATGGTGAAAATTCCGCTTTCGTCGTTTCTATGGTCTTGAATCGTCTCAACGGTTGGCCCCTGGTCGTCAACAACTTTGTCATTTTTTCTGCACTCTCTGCGGGAATAAATGGCTGCTACAATGCCTCGAGGACTTTACACGCTCTGGCCAGCGATCGCAATGCGTGGCCTGACTGGAGCCCTGTACAAGCGCTGAGGACCCGACTCGAAAGGACTCATTACGGCGTACCCTATGTCGCTGTGTTGGTCAGTTGGCTCTTTGGTTGGCTCGCCTTTTTAGGAAGCACCGAAAACTCTGCAGTAGTGGGTGCCCTATTCAGCGAGAGAGTGCTCGCCCTTCTGATGATTCTAGGTTCTGGGCCGTCTGGTTCGCTGCGTTACGGTCGCCATCCTCATCGTCTACGGCGTCGTCTGCCTCACATACCTTGAATTTTACAAGTGGCAAGTCTTAAGCCCATCAATACGGAAACTTTTGCTCCCGTTTGCTGACGTTTTGTGACAGCATTGCTCACGCAGCGAACGGCGACGATGAAAACGTGAACGACAAAGACGATCCCGAAGTCCGCCAGCAGTTTGATAGAAACAGCGCTGGCTACCCTTACAAGTCTCACGGTCAGTGGCTCCGTGCGTGCTTTGCTCTGTCAGGCTGCTTCCTGCTGGTTTTCTTTAACGGCTGGAGGTCGCTCACGCCCCCGGTGAACACGGGTGATTTCTTGGGATGCTATATCAGCGTAGGTTTCTGCCAAATTTGGATTCCTTGCAAAGTTCGACGAAGCTGATATTCATCCCGTCCAAAGATTCTTATCTTCATGGCTTTCATCGTCATGTATCAGATCAAGTTTCACGGCTGGAACCCGCTCAACTGGCGAAGGCGTGCTTCTCGGGAGCTGCAAAATCCACAGCCCCTCGTGGTCACGAATCTGAAGCGACGAGGAAGAATAAACCTGGAGAGCACAGATACTTTGTTCACCGTGGGAAACTTTAATGCTCTCTTGCATTGGCTCTGGATCTGGTTGAAATAGTTTGCTCTAGAAAGTTCATAGATATGAAGACCTCACTAAGTTGTGCCGTAATATCGTACAAGTAAGAGGTCAAGCTTCTACAGTACAAAATCAAGCAAAGCTTGGCTCAACGGGCCAATATCTGGGGAGACCAGTGTCTCCAACCAGCGTTCACATCCTTCCAATCGGCCCCAGTCACCCTCAGAATGCAAATCCACGAGAAACCCAACCTCCTTACCCCTTGCCCCTACATAGTCTGCATGATCCGGACTCTCATCTTGAAGACGTTCCAAGAGCCAATAACGCACATGCTCGACACGCCGGTGCTAAAAAACGGAACAAATACGTCTCGCTGTGGAACGAAATAGCCCCGGGCGTCCCATCCGCCTGCAGAAAAGGGGCTCGAGCCTCTGGCTTGTATTGGGGAACCAAGGAACTGCATGGCCAAGCTGCAGCTGGCAGCAGCCACGACCCGCTCAGCAAACAGATGGGGTCGCCGCTGCGTGAAAAAGCCACCCAGGCATCGCCTAGCTTGATCCGGTGAGAAAGTGTCTCTGCGCCCAGCTGGTCTTGGACACGCTCGCTTTCGAACCAGTTCTACTGGAATGGATCATGCAGGCGGGACGTCTCTGATGGACTTGGGTCAGAGCTTCTGGCCGTCCTGCAGATGATCTATCCGCTTGCTCCCATCAGTCGCTAGGCTTGGCTCCTACCTGGTGATCTGAGTATCAACGTAGCGAAACTTGTGCCTTTTTTGCCATCGAGCTTCTCATGATCCCATGTTCCCGCTTACCTACCGGACTGTACAAAATTGCGCGACTCCATTGATCGACAGCAAAGAGATATGGCAGAACGAAGGCGTTGTTGTGCGATCAGATATGGCTCCCAATGACCTGGAGGGATTGATACCCGTTGCTGAAGACGACGACCTTGTCTACGTTGTGGACTGTCCCTCCTTGCACATTGTAGACGAGCGAGCTCTAGGGATGTCTCACATCAATCGCTCCAGATATGTAAGTCTGCGAAAGATTTTGGAGCCAGTGTTAGTTAGGATCATGACCGTCGGTGCTAGAACGACCTTTTATCTTTCGACACGATCCGATCGTGTCCACAATGTACGGGAGCCTTTGCCAAAGCCAGAAGAGTACCATCACAATCACGAAAACAAGACAGCCGGAGTCAAAATATTTCAAACCAATGGACTTCTTCCTCGATTCCATTGCCGCCTACTAGACCTCAGCCTCCGATTCCAGCGACTGGAGGCCGGTATGGATCTGTTACACCCACTGTCCCTCAAGAGCTACCATTAGTCCAGATGACACCAGTGTCCAACTCCATCCCTCCACTCGATGAGTCTTCATCTGCTTTTCGGGAGCCACAGCACCGAGAAGAAAGGCTACCAGCACGTATGGAACGACCTGTACCAGGGAGGTCAGCTCATGTGCAGAACACCATGTCAGTCTCCAGCATATCCACAGATACTGTCAGCGTAAGCGGAAGCACGGGAAGCTCGCAATCTGTCGCCGGGTTGTTCCGCCTGAAATGGAGTCTTTCATCCAAAATGCCGAAGACGTCGTCTACCAAACGCCTCGCCACGACACCTCTTACCGACAGCACACAGTTCTGTTTTTCGGGCTCGTCCAAGCATCTTCTTGTCTGGCGAAAGAACGGGGACTCCGTCGTGCGCATATGCGCTCGCGCTACGGAGAGCACGCTCTTGTCGTTGTCCAATACCATTCCGCAAGGCGAGGTAGACCGCACGGTCAACATCAGGTTTGTTGCAGAAGGGGAAAGACACATATCCGTTGTGTTTTTGAACAGGCAGGTAAGCATTTGGTGACTCAGTATCATCCATTTTCGCTTGCTCATTCGGGTAAGCGGTTTTGGTTCACCATCTTGGACTGCTCCGGCCCAAAGCAGATCCTCAAACCACTGCCTCAAGGCTCGAGACCAACGGCACTCGCCATGTCACGGGATAATTCCTTCATAGCCGTCGGATACGGGTCCTTTGTCCAGGTCTTCTGCTTTCAACGGAGCGAGATTGCTTGGACGACCGAGCTGAACATCAAGGAGTTCCGGTCCGCAGAAGAAGTCCGCTTTCAGAACATCAGCTTTTCTCCCGACGGCAAGTTCTTAGCTGTAGTAACACAAAAGTACGACAAACTAAAGGGTAGAGAGGATGACGGGGTCTGGACCAGGGTTTGGATGGTGAGAGAGGTATCCACGGAGGGCACGTTGTACGGCTTCTGCTTCATGCCTACAGTACGTCCGCGACAGTTCGAACCACGAGCTTAGCTAACCAGGGATTTTTTTCCCCTTGCCGCAGGACCATCTAGGCGTTACCGCCGCCTTCTTCGATCCTCAAGTGAACAAGGTCTTCGTCACCGGCTTTATTGATACTCCTTATCCGCTCTTCCACAGTGCCTCCCAGGACTCGATCCAAAGGTGGGGCCTGCGCGAGACGGAACCGTTCAGGCCAGAGCTGCTGCCAACCTCGGCCTCAAATCCTGTCAGCTACAAGGTTAGATGCGCGGCACAGTCTCCTCATCCAAGTCATGCTTGCTTCTTGACGGCGACAAACAAGCTCTACCGTGTTAATATGAAGACCGAATCGGTGGAAATGTGTTGCGACCTCGGAAACCAACGCGCACGTCTGGGCCCGCGAGAGGAGGCCGCGGCGCTTGGAATGTCCCTTCAAGGATCCATCTACGTGGCCTGGAGAGAAGCAGCAAAACTTTATCTGATCGAAATCGACAGCACTGGAAGGCTCGCTAAAAAGGAAGATCTATGCGAGCTGTATGAAATGGCCGTTGAAAGAGTGTAGCTTTGCCAAATCAAAGCTGTAAAGCCTTCTCTTCGATCAGACTTGGTAGGTCAGCGATCGCAGAGTGTATGTTAGGTTGAGAAACGGTAAACATAGTCAGGCCATGCTGTGGACATTGAACAAGACCACTAATATTCCAAACGTTGAATATAATCAAGACGAGGTCATACAAAAAAAAATTCAAATAATCTGCTGCGAAGAAGTGAGGCTTGAAACATAAGCTCAGTTCTACAATTTAGATGGGATATGAGAGTGGAACCTGGTTTTCTTCTGGCAGTGATAAGAGCTGGGGATATCATCCTTCCATCCCAAACGCCGTATATATAGATGAACAAATTCCGGTGGCCAAATAATTTTTGCTCTCTCAGCTTGACCAGAACCATCCCCGTCCGCTCTTGCCCTCCTTAGCAGTTTTCTCTTCCTGCTGACTGGACGTCGATGGAGCTTCGAGTTGTCTCTGCTTCACCCAGGCCATAGGGCTGCTCTCTCTATGCGTTGAAGTCTCTGTCTCTTCCCGGCCGTCAGCGAAGCGTTTCTTCAATACAGTCTTGGTGGTGATATTTCCATCGGCATCAATGTGCCGTTCTGTGGTTGTGAGAGTAGACAAGATGCTCGACGCAGACGGTGAGGAGTGACGAAGCGACTTATTTTTTGCGTAATCGTCTTCATTGCAGGTCGATGTTTGCTGACCAGGACGGAAGCAGGTACCACCTCGGCTTTCGAAGGAGAAGTGCCGCTCATGCAACTCCTGCTCTGTGCTTGCGTCGTTACATGTGTCTTGACCAGACCGCCCCTCGCCTGCGGCAGGATACGAGGTTGGACCCTCACTATCAATCTCCACGACAGATGTGACACGTCCATCCTTGTCGGAAGAGATACGAGTTTTGTTAGTAACGCTCCTTTCGTTGTTGAGCAAAGGTACAATCCTCGCTAAAAAGTCAACCTGGGTACCCTCCTCTTCGTTCTTGTCACGCATTTCCTTGCCACTATTCAAAGCGACAAGATCCTCAAACCTCTTTCTGAAGCTTTTATCGAAACCTTCCTCGTGTTCCAGGTGCAGAGGCGAGTACTCGCTAAACAGCAAGTAGGCCATTGCTGAGTCTTGTGGTAGGAACGGACGCATGCCAAGCGAGAACATCGTACTTAGAGGCTTGTTGAACGGGAAGGAGTGTCCGAAAAGACCTTCCTCGTCGAAAATGCGAGACTCTCGGTTGTAGCTGTCCTGAAACATCTTTGAGAGTTGAGATGCTCCGGCCATCATCTCTCTCATCTCTCTGTGCATCCGCTCAAAAGCCTCCTCGGCCTGCTTCTGAGTGACAGAAACAGAGCCAATACGCAGCTCAGGCAACTTTGACTCCTCTTCCTGAGAAGTTTTCTCTTCCTTCTTGGACGCTGTGGGTGGTTGTCGTGACCAGGCAGGGAATAAGTCAGACCAGGTCGAGGGCTTTGCAGATTGCTTTTCCTCGCTTCTTTCAGCTGGCGGCACATGCTCTTCAAAATCCTTTCTGATCCTGGACTCCCATTCCCACAACCTCCTTGCAGTGTTCTGTTCAAAGCCTCGCACAACGTCCTCGAGCTCTTCAAAGGTGGGGAATCTCGGCGACGACCTCGGCCACAGCGTTTCCTCCGTGGTATCTTGACGTTTTCCCACGTCTTTGTCACTGCCTTCACTCGTGCGGTGGTGAAGCCCATCATCCATCATTCTCTTCTGCGCGTTGTACAAGTTCTGTGCCTCGCGTTCGTTCCTCTCCAGCGCCTTTGCAACCTGGTTGATCCATTCGAAGTCCTGGTCTACGTCCTCGGCATCGTTCTTCGCGTCGCTTGGCTCCGCATTCTGCTTTTCGACTCCTCCTCGACCGTGGTGTTTCCAAGATCGGTGGTCACCCCAGCGACATGCTCGTTCTCCTCTGCCGTCCTCACGCTCCTGCTCTTCTTCACGCTCTCTACGCCTCTCTTCCAAAAATCTGTTAAACGCTCTTCCGTGATCGTTTCCCCTCTGGTAGATGGACGTGGGCAGTGTCCACAGCGTGTTGAACAGCGAGGATACGTGATTATCGAAGTGGCGGATGGAGCGAGTGAAGGGATCGTCCTGCTCTTGCCGTCGTTGCTCACGGTCACGATCGTTGCGGTTGGAGTCCGACATTGCGCATTGGTAAGAAGAAAGAAGGCGGGTTGACGAAGAAAAGGATAGGAAACGTGCGTGAAAAAGAGATGTTCGATGGCTGATGTGTTCTCGCTGACGATGGAAGCTTCTATGGCTGCGGGGTGTCGCGGCAGCTTTGGCGCCACCGGGGGGTGTGACGCGAGCCAATCAACGGCCATGACGTCCGCAAGAGGTCAAACAGGAAGGCGGAAGATCGAAACTAGACCATTGCCAATGACGAACGAAACAAGAGAGACTTAACATTTCCTGTTCTAATTACTATTTGTATATGCTTGTGTTCCCAATACGCGTCGTCCCATAACTCCAATGCACCTGTCAAACGCGCCGTCATGCCCTGGCGTCGTGTTGTCCCCTCGCGGAAACTCTTTTCATTATCTCATTATACATTCAAAGCTGCAATGCAGATTGTGAATCCGGCTCAATCAGTCACTCTTCGCCGCTTTGCCGCCCGTGGAGCAAGGTGACGCCACATACCCGAGCGAGTCGTCCCTTTCCACGGGTGGGCTGGGCGTTAAACTCTTCTCCCACTCCTTCATCAAATGGCTTGCGGTTCTTTTCAGGCTGCTGGGCGTCAATTTCTCCAAGTCAGGCCAGGGGATACTGTTCCTCTTGCTGCTCGTCGACGTGCGTGGTGTAGGTCGCGAATTCTCGTCAGTCAAGGGAGTGCTGACGCCGTCGCTGGCGGCATCTGACGACGTCGTATCGCTTTCTTGCTGTCTTTGGTCCTGCACAGGACTCTTGACGGGCGTGTCCCAGCTGTCCCACACCTCGCTGGAGTCCGCATCAAAGTCGCCAGATGGGCTTGGAGAGACGTTCTTCTTCGACGTAGTTTGCTTGGTCACTTTTAGCGGCTGCTGTTTCTTGTTTTTCGGGGGCACGGGTGATTCCACGCCGTGCTCTCGCCAGAATGACCCACCAATGTCGATCAAGGCGTCTTGAGGCGGATTGTCCCTGCGCGTCGCAGTGTGTGCTGCTCGTGCCGATCGCGCGGTCCGCGTCGTTGTCGTGCCTGTGGTGTTTGATCGCTTCAACGGTCTCGGTTTGTTTTGAGCAACCGGTGTCGTACTACCGGGTGACAGGGTGGCTTCTTCGCCTATCGTTGCCTGCCTAATATCTTCGAAAAACGTCCATAGGCCGTCCTTTATGTCGTTGGCCATCTGCTTGCCGGTTCGTAATATGGCGTCCTTCGAGGGTCCGTCAAAGGTCGTCGTGCTGTCTCCGCTCAGGCTGGCAGACGGGTTCGTAGTGGCTGATAAGTTTGAAGAATTGTTGAAATTTTGGGACCGGTAGGGATTCTCTTCCGGCTGTCGGGAGTCTGTTGGTTGTGGGAAGGGCTGGGAGAACGTGCCCTTCTCTGGCGACAGCAACGACAGCGTCCGCGTATGCTTGGACCCACTGAGCACCTTTCTGTTCGAAGTTTTAATGCCGCTCAAGAGTGCCTTGCGTCTTTCCATTTCCCTCTGCAGCCACTGGGAGGAGCCATCTTGATCGTCATCGCTGCCTTCGAGCGGTGAGAGGCTGGCACTCAGGGGTTGAAGAGGCTGCATCCTCTTCACATCGGCACGCTTCTTGAGTGCCTCGTGTGTGGCCCAGTGCTTTTTGAGCCGCTCGAGCTCCGATTCGGCTTGTCGCAGTGCCTCCCTGAGCTCGAGCACTCTCCTCTCCTGCGAGGCAAGCTGCGTGAGGAAGTTGCCCTCCGTGGACGGCGAGGGCAGCGACTCTATGGGGGAGATGACAGGACTGTTCGCCCACGACGTCGGCCGCGAGCGGGCCGAGCTGGGAGGCAGGACGGGAAAACTCATGGACAGTCTGTTAAGCCTCCTGGGACTGTCGACGACCGACTTGCTGCGCGAGTGCGCGATCTTGGTGGGCGAGGCGGACATCTGGGAGGAAGCATATGACACGCCGGTGGAAGGGCTCCCGGGCAAGCGTTCAGAAGGCGGCGGCCGTCTTGGGCTGTTGGGGCCCGTCATCGTACCCAGGACAGAGTCGACGGTCATGATCGAGTTGGGCCGTTGTTTGCGGCTGCGCTCCTGTTGTGGGTGCGACGCGTCATCCATGGCAACACCCAACGGCTTAGGAGAACGGGAGCAATCATTCACAAGTTCATCACTGAGGTAGGGACTGTGTTTGGGCGAATGGTCAAAGAGGGTGGAAAGGACAAGGTGTCGAAGCAGCAGAGCGCCGTAAATTGTGAAGGTGATCAAGGATTCGTCCAGCTGCAGAAGCCGACCAATCACGGTCGACGACAGGCGGCGAAATTGTCGCCAAAACGAGACGGCGTAGCAGGGCTGGACAAGCATGAAAGTGACGTGAATGGAGCAATCATTTCTGTAGGGACCGGATCGTAAGTGATAAGTAACAGCGGTTGGTTCAGCGATTGAGTTTATCCATTGTCGAGGCGGCGGCGGCGGAGGTGGTGGAGCGTGGGTGAGAGTGTGTTTGTGTGCGTGTGTGTGCGTACAACGTGAAGAGACGATCTCCGCGTTGTTGCCGTGACGCTGCCTTATACTCGGTTGCTATGCTCCACACCGCGTACGACCGGATGGTGTGAGCAACGATCCCTTCGTCGAAAGGCTCCCTGCATTAGCCGATGCAAGCACCAGGGGGACAGTTCAGCTGCCATACGTTGCAGATGCTGTGCGACTACAGATGGACTTCTCCTTCGCCTCTCATCTGTGCAACGGTTGGCCTGGCAGCGCGCCTGCGACGCCGACGCGAGAAGCGTACAGGCACGACGGCCTGGATAGCGACGAGCTCTGTGTGACGAGTCACCCCAAGAACCATACGCCCTCGCTCGGCGTCTTCTGGTTCGCGGATCATCAGAGATGCACGTCATCCGCAAAGACTCTCTGCTGCTGCCTGTCCACAATTCATTTGAGCGTGTCTCGTGATGAGGCCGATATCCACCCGGCCGCTCTGGAAATAGATCGGTGAGCACGCCAAATTACAGGAACGTTATGCATTGCAGATGCCGTCGTCTTCCATCAGACGCCCCATCCGGGCGCGCGCCTTCGGTGCACGCTCGTCTGCTGCTGTACAGGCACAGCAGACCACTGCTGCTGCACCGCAAGCCGAGATCCTAGATCTGCTGCGAGCTTGCGACGAGGGAGTACAGATCTCACATCTCTTCCTTTCGCTCCAGACATGCGGACTGCACTTGGCCATGCCCAACCCAGCAAGCGCCAAACATAGGCTCATTGGGACGGCGGAATCTCCCGACTGCTCGCACGCAAAGCCAAACCGCAGCCGGCGCCCGACGACCTGATCATGGCATCGTACGCTGACGGGCGGACAGCGCAGAGCACTACTGTTACGGACAGGGCCAAGACGCCGTGCTGCTCGTTGGGTCTCTGTCATTTCCGATGCCTGGGTCGACAGCTGGCTCGACAAGGGCCGTCTGAGCCTTTTTCTCCTGACCGGCAACGGCACACGCGGCAGCAGGCGTCTGCCATGGACGCCAGACTTCGATTCCAAGAGATGGAAGCGTCGTGCCGACGAATTCGACTGTGGGGAAGGCCGATGCTGCAAGGTTCATGCAGGTACAAGTCCAAGGACAGGCACAGCGAAGCGGGAATGATGCTGCTAAGTTGACTAACGTGGTGGCCTGCCGCCGCCTGCTGGCGAGTGTGTTGATCCTGCGTAGAACCGCCTGGCTGGCGCCACGGTAAACAACGCGCCTCCATGCGCCTGTGTCACGCTGTATTACACGTCGGCTTCGCACAGAACTCTGCCATGCCACTGCTTAACGCACCTCTGCGAGCCTTTTGTCTCAAAGTCATGTCCTCTCCTCATTTGTGAAGGATCGGTGTGGTCCGACACAGCCGAACGCTTGGAGCGCCCCCTCCCCCTCGTCGCCCCGTTGCCCCGGTAACAGCGGCTCTTGCACGAGTCGCGGTGCTCCCCAAACTCGTCGTGATATCTGCCCTGCGCAGAGCTGAACCCTCGGCCAGAATCCTCTTCTCCTTTGCGCATCTTGCATATTCCTAGAAGTCTGTACCGACATCAATTGTGCGGCCATCACGAGCGTGCTTGCTGCCGTGCAATCTCGTCTTCAGTGGAGAGTATAGCTGCACACAGCGGGCAGGGGGTTTTACGGCAGTACACAAGGCCGGCGGCGGAATGGCGGAGAACTATGAGATGCTCGAGGAGCTGGGGAGTACGTCGAAGTCCTTTGCAGCTTGTCGTGAGCGACGAGGCTGGATGCTGACAAACGATGGGCAGGTGGCAGCTTTGGAGTTGTGTACAAGGCGAGAGACAGGACAACAGGCGAGCTTGTTGCCATCAAGCACATCGATCTCGAGGGCAGCGACGACGACATCAAGGACATACAGCAGGAGATTTCAGTCCTGAGCACCTGCAACAGTCCATATGTTACACAGTACAAGACCAGCTTTGTGCGAGGGACCAAGCTATGGATTGTTATGGAGTATCTGGGAGGTGGATCTTGCTTGGACCTTGTATGATTCACGTTCCTGGCCTGCATGTCAGACGGTAGCTAACGTTGATCAGATCAAGCCTGGGCCGTTTCACGAATCCCAAGTCGCCATCGTGTGCCGCGAGCTGCTGCACGCCCTCGATTATCTCCACCAGACAGGCAAGATTCACCGCGACATCAAAGCTGCAAACATCCTTCTTGCAGTGAGTGGCAAGGTCAAGATCGCAGATTTTGGCGTCGCTGCACAGCTCACCAACATCCGGTCGCAACGCATGACGTTTGTCGGCACCCCCTTCTGGATGGCCCCCGAAGTGATTGAAGAGTCTGGGTACGATTTCAGGGCAGACATATGGTCCCTCGGCATCACAGCCATGGAACTGGCCCTTGGAGAACCCCCGAATGCAAATATTCACCCGATGAAGGTCCTGTTTCACATCCCCAAGGCACCACCACCGCGGCTTGAGGGTCAATTCAGCAAGGAGTTCAAGGACTTCGTTGCGCTCTGCCTGCAGAAAGAGCCAGACAAACGGCCAACGGCAAGGGAGCTTTTGCGCCACCGATTTATCCGCAATGCCGGTAAAGTGGATCAGCTGCGAGACGTAATAAGGCGGTACGAGCGGCATGTGGCAAAGGGCGAGAAGACCACTCATCCGAAGTATTATGAGGAAACGTTGCAGGATTTGTCCCCGAAGCTGGAACAGGATGACTGGATATTCGATACCATTAAGCCAGCGACAATCGCCCCTCCGAGGAGGAGGAAGATGTCGCGGATACCGTCGGATGCGTCGGACGTCACCAATCCCTACGCGACGGTCGAAACCAGGGAGAGCCCAAGCGCAATGCTTGAACGCATGGATATCAGTGACGGGCCGTTGGGAACCGGTTCCCCGGCACATGGTTACCCCACGATGATGCGCAAATCCAGTCAGACGGGGACGAGCAGGAGATCATCGGTTGTCACTGCGCAGCGTGCTCCCTCCGGCCAGACGCCGACAGCAAGGCGCGTCAGCAGGACGGACGGCACACCGCAGAAGAAGCCGCTTGGTCTCGATATGTCCTTTGGCAACTCTCCGTCCTCAGCACGACCTTTCCGCCGCGTGTCCTCTGGCGGGCACGAGAAGAAGTGGGCTCCAGAGCGAGACGTTTCGAACAGCTCGATAGCAGAGCCTCGAGTTGGCCATGGTCTGGACCGTGAGAAGTCTGCATCGAACGCGTCCACACTGGTCGGCTCGGACGAGAACACGCCGCCGCTCTCGATGGCGGAAGACGGCTACTTCAAAAAGGAGCTGCCCATTCCCGTGAAGCCGATCCAATTGACCAAGGAAGCCCTCCTTGGCCGTCGCGCATACAGCAAAGTGGTTGACGCCACGTTCCAGGAACAGCACGCCCAGACCGGAGATCTCGAGAAAAGAGAAGCCCTGGCGCGGCTGCACAACGCGTGGAGCGTGCTTGACAGGATAGACCCCGAGGGCGAATTCCTGCTGCTCCGGTCGCTCATCGAGAATGCAAGGGAGGATCCAAAGCTCTCGGCGGCTCTGGGGCTGTCCAACGCGCTTCCGCCGACGACACCCATCTCCTCGCCCACGAAGCACGCGTCGCCCGTCAAGAACACCCCCGTGCTCCCACCAGCCCCGGTAAGGGCACCTATGGCGCCTCCCTCGGCGCCGGCGACACCGCGCCACAGGCAAACCCAGTCCGTCTCCGACATCGACGCCTCAGCCATCACCCGGACGCCCAGCAGCGCCGCGAAGCAGAGGCTCGTCCTGGCGCAGAACAACCCGCATCTCAAGAGCCACCGACGGCGCCAGAGCGCGCTGCTGGAGAGCGAGATCGCGCAGAAGCTTTCGGCCGTCGACGAGAAGCGCATGCCGGGCTATGTGCCCCCGGGCATGGAGCAGAGCGGTGGTCTTGCCGACGCCCTGTACAGCAGGTGGCTGGAAGGTCTGAAGAGCAGATGGGGCGGGTCCTAAAGTCATCCACCCCGAATACCAAGAGAGGGGGCGTCGAGCTGGCTGTTGGCCGTCACATCTGTATCATACTGCTAGGTTTTTGCCACGCATCTGCGCATCCATTTTCCGCGTCGTTTGGACGCGGGCCAAAAGCAGGAATCGGGAATCGAAAAAAAATGTCCTCCTGCCTTACGCTTGCACACTGCATGTGCATGGGATCATCGGCGCTCTTGTTCTTGATTCTTTTTTCCCCCTTTCGCAGGAGCATTTGAACTGGTGTACAGCTTTGTTTTCTTTGGGGGAGGAGGGCCCTTGGGAGATTTTGCATTTTTGCGGGTCTGGGTTCGCGAGCCTTTTTGTCTTCATCGTCTTTCTTTTCCTCCATTTTAACGCTATACGCATGGTACGATGATGAGAAAAGGAGAGGTGCCGTCGGAGCGCGAGTTGTACATAGATATCGAACATGGCGAGCGTCATGGTAGTAGACTTATAATCAAAGAACCTCCAACGTTACCTTGCTCTCACCCCAAAACCCGAGAACTTGACACATTCTTCAGCCTCGACACTGCCTTCTCAAGGCGGGGTTTTTGCTTCCTTAACGTGTCTCTATTCTTGTGACAATCTCGCCGCGAGCACAGGGCTCCCGAGAACCTCATCATCAGACTGAGCATCTAATTAGGGTTGAACCTGCACAGGATGCGCTCAACACTAGTCTGAAACGCGAACATTGCCACAAGCGGTGCAAGCTTCGAGCTTATGAGAGCTTACGAATGACGCCGAAAAGAAAATGGCAGCCTGGCCATGATATGAGTTTCCCTCCACCCTTCTACGCCCTTCCGCCAAAAGAATTTGGTGCTGGACAAAGCTTTGGGCAAGCTCAAATCTTGCTCTTCATGTTTGCAATGGCCCCTGGGCGTCGCCCAGCGCTCGTTGCGTGTTCCTTCTCTCTAAGAGCAGCAAGTCAGCCCGTTCAGTCTGTACGGAGGTGGTCTGCTCGCAATTGCGTAAGGCGTGGTTGACTGGGAGCGCGAACACTCTCAACACCCAGCGTTTAGCCCTGATGGCATCCCTGGCTCCGATCACCACCAAGTACACGGCCGTAAACAGGGGGGGCTGCCTCGGTCACGATCTTCACGTGGCCCATCAACGTCATCAGAAAGTGATACTCATATCTCCAACTGTCCCTTTGGGCATGTCTTTCGACGTATATTATTTCAAGACCCGACGTCCCCTTGTGACCCAGACGCGGGCGCGAACTGAACATTTCTGACAAAGATGGTCGCTACGATTCCACTGCTGTTCCTGTCCGCGGCGGCGGAGGCATTTGCTATCACGCTCTTGATTCCTCAATATCTCCCCCAAAATCCATTTGTGTGGACTTTGGTTCGAACCACGGCCGTGAATCTGGCCCTTCTCTCCGTGTATCATGTCTTCATATATCCGTTCTTCCTCACCCCGCTACGGCACCTTCCACAGCCTGGAGTATGCCACCCATGAACCCTACTGCGATGAATGCGCTGACGGCAACCTTAGGGATCGCTGCCGCTTCTTGGTAATGGTTTAGCCTTGTTCAGAAGGCCGCCAGCTGTTGACCTACTAAGATGGATCACCGAAATACCCAACGAGGGTTTGATTTACTTCCGAGGATTTCTCTATCAGGACCGCCTGCTATTGACGAATCCACAGTCAATCAGCGAGGTCCTCGTGCAAAAGTCTTACGATTTCGAGAAGCCGGGCAAGCTGCGCGACTTTCTGAGGATTGTGCTTGGGGACGGGCTCATCATCGTCGAGGGCGATGAGCACCGCTTCCAACGAAAGCATATCATGCCTGTTTTTCAGTTCCGCCACATCAAAGAGCTGTATCCAATGATGTGGCGCAAAGCAATCGCAATGACGGAAGTGGTCAACATGGAGGTTCGAGAAAACGCGGAAGCGGGTGAAAAGCTGAAGGGCGTCGTGGAAATCAACCACTTCGCAAACAAAGTGACCATGTAACCACCACCTGGCCCTTGTCGCAAAGATCGACCAAGCTAATAATCATGGAAAGGGACATCATCGGAATTGCTGGACTGGGACGCGAATTCAACGCGTTGAGGAATTCTGACGATGAGCTCATTCAGAACTACGAGGAGCTCTTGGAGCCGACGATGGAGAAAGTATTTTACTTCACGACGCAGATCGTCGGTCCTGCAGAGCTGATCAGGAAATCGCCGTGGCGAGTCAATAAGCGATTCCACGCCGCAACCAGTGCACTGAACAGAATCTGCGGGCAGTTGGTGCGAGATAAGAAAGAAGCCGTGAAGATGCATTCGGAGGACAATCTTGATATCCTGTCTATCCTGATCAAGAGCGGCAACTTCAGCGACCAGCAGCTGATAGATCAAATGGTTGGTTTTCGAATTTGGCCCCCGTGGCGGCAGGCAGCTAACGGATCGCAGCTAACTTTTCTTGCCGCTGGACATGAAACGACGAGCAGTGCCTTCACGTGGACCACGTATCTGCTTGCGAAGCATCCGGACGTCCAAACCCGCCTTCGAGACGAGATCCGGCAAGCGTTGCCTACGAATCCGGGCCCAGATGTCGACTTGGCCAACCTCCTCGAGTCGCTTCCCGTATTGAACGCGGTCTGCAACGAGACCTTGCGACTCTACCCCACCGTCCCGATCACCGTTCGAGAGTCCAACAAGCCCACCCAGATAGGAAACCAGTTCGTTCCAAAGGGAACGCAAATCATCATCTCCCCTTGGGCGATAAATAGGAACCCGCATCTATGGGGCCCTAACGCACACGAGTTTGTACCCGACCGGTGGATCAACCTTGACGGGAAGCCGAACAACAGCGGCGGCGCTCCGAGCAACTACGCTTTGCTGACGTTCCTCCACGGACCGAGAAGCTGCATAGGAGGCTCGTTTGCCAAGGCCGAGTTGAGATGTCTGGTTGCTGCTTTTGTCGCCGCGTTCGAGGTGGAGTACGCACATCCAGGCAAACAAGCAATACCTGCTGGCGTCATTACGACGAAGCCCAGAGATGGCATGGAGTTGAGGTTAACGCCTCTGGCATCGTGGTCATGACTGCTTTCATAGCTTACGACGTTTCTTCATAACTGTATGTGACATGTGTGCTTGACACAATATACGTAAGCCGAATAATGGCACACCGCTGTTCAGTTTCTCTTCAGTTCTTTCGGTGAACGAGAGACAAGTGAAGTCGCGGATTTTCTTCCAACACCTACGCTCGCATGAAATTATGCCTGATACGTTGCGCCAAGTTGATTAGCATCTCCCAAGCATTAATTTTTCAGGTGGTCTGTTTGACATCTAGAAAGTCGAACCCGCAACATGAGTTCTCCGTGCATAATAGTCGCGGCCACGCTCTTTCCAAATTATCTACGAACTCGAGCCAATCTCACTAGTTTTGACCATCATGGGTTGAAGACTTGTCTTTAGTCTGCGATCTTGGTCTAGTTGTCTTTGCCTATCCATCCTTCTCGACTTCGAGGCTTGGGGACGTCTCGAAGACTGGGATTTCGTGATGTGCTGTTGCTCGATCTGTACCAAGATTGTCTATATGAACCACTAGGAGCAAATTTCAAGCGTCACATTCCATAACTGAGAGCATAACCTCCACCTGCGTATTCTTCGCAGTCACACGACGCCTAGTATCATCGCCAGGAACACTAAATTTCAACCGCACAAGCAGAAACACTTGTTTTGCCCAGCTTGTGGCACGAGCCTACTTGTGTCGAATGCGAAGATCGCAGGTAACGGCAGGATTGGCATCTCGTTTGCTCTGTCGAAGACAATGTGTGAAGGCTCAAAATCATGTGCGTTGATGGGAGGTCGAGAAATTCGTTTGATGATATGAATAGGAACAAGAGAAGGCAGAATCTACAACGCCGAGGTCCGTTTAATCAAGCAAAGCCGTGTGCTGCTAAGGAAGAGACGAGTTGTGCGGTAGTCTTCGGTGGAATGACTTGTTTCATGAGCTTTTGGTATCTATGCCATCTTGTACTGTACAAAGTCTATCGATACAGCCATCTTACGACGAAGGTGATCATCCTTGCCTAAGAGACCGAATTAGTAGGTTGACACCAGAAAAATTGTCAAGACGCCTTACCTTTGCTTATGTTTCGGGTTCTTGCTGCATATTATATAAACGTACTTGCCACCCTTTCTCCGTACGCTCTTACAGCCGTCGCAAAGCTTCTTCACAGAGCTTCGAACCTGAAAGTTCCAATCAGCCATACAACGCATCACTTAACGTTCTCTGCGATGTGAGCCCATACCTTCATGCCTCTAACTTGCTGCGAGATTGCGTTAGATGTTGCCAAAGCAACTCTTGGTCTGGAAGCCATTGCCATTATCTGCGATCCTGCGGTACGCCACGGTGCTTGTAATGACGATAAGGTTCGTGATTGAGTTGCCAATGAAGCAGTGGTTACGGAGAGGAGAGTGCGCCGAGCTGGCAGCAACAGTGTGCGCGCCAGCATTATGTAGGAAAAGGACAATGTATCAATTCGATTAATGAATATACTTAATGCGGACAGTGTAATGCAAAGGCGATGGGTGGAGATGAAGAGTAGTCGGAACTATTCAATCTCTACAAAAGAGGAAAGCGGCTGTAGTGCCACGCCAAGAAAATCGCCTTATGACTTGAAGCCCACTCCCTCCCTTAAGATGAGAGACTATCAAAACTGGAATGAGAATATAATAAGAAAATAATAAAATTAAGTACAAAACAAAACGTTCTTGAGGAAGGTTTTGAAGCCCCAAAAAAGAGCAAAAAAAACCACAAATAGTGTTTTGGAGATGAGAATGCATAAACCGCGAGTCGAACGCGGGTCCCCTGCTTGGAAGCTGTAACGGTTGTTAGACTCAAAGTAAGCGCAGAATGATCCGGAGAACATACGCAGGGATGATAACCGTTACACTATTTATGCTTCAACTTGACACTCTATTTGCTAGGATGTAATTATAACATCTTTGCAATTTCTTCCTTCAAAACCTAAGAGCAATCTGGCAACACTACTGGGTCGTCAAGCCGACCTCTCCAAGAGCGTCTCCGGCTTTCGAAATGGCGTCTTGCAAAAATGCACTCTCGGAGGCTTCAATGAACAATAGTAATGGCCGACCTTGCAGCGAAGTAAAGCCAAAACGGGAGAAGAAAAAGGAACTTCGAAGGCGAAGAAAACTGCGTGCATCTGGGACCGCGAAACCACGGCGCAAAGATTCACGATGAGTGTTTTCAGCACAGGAGGTCTCATCAGGGCTTTGCTCTGGAGTGCGCTTCCGCCAACTTACGCGCGCAACCAGCTCATTTATATATATGTGCGTCGCATAATCTTCGGCCTTTACCCTACGTTCTTGGTCAGAGGCCGAAACGAACTTGAATCCAGCGATACAATATTTCCTTGGTCTTCTTGGAAAGCAACATTTCTTTCATTCTGCTACGGAGCGGAGACGGAGCTTGAATCAACAATGAAAGGATATTCGTCCATGCGCACACACTTTCTACAAACCGCAAGGCACGCAACGGAATCACATCTCTGTTCAGATCTAATCGTCGTATGCCTCCTCATATTCCTCGGCATATTCTTCTTCGGCTTCTTCAAGCTCTTCACGAGCCGATTCCCGATCTGACTCGCTGCTGGCTTCTGCGAGTTCCTCCCGCGCTTCTTTTACGTCTTCGCGAGCTTCGGCTAGTGATTCCGCGTCCGAGCTCGAAATTTCATCATGGACTGGCGGTGGGTATCCGGAGACATAACTCTCTCCACCATATGCGACGGGCGCTACATACGTGGTGTGATGCGAAGAGTCATGCTCTTCGTCCGAGGAATGCTCAGCTATACACCGTTAGCCTCGTCTTCTTGATGGAAGCAACATTCGACACATACTCATTTCGTGAGCGATGATTGCTCCACCGACTGCACCCACAGCGCCTGCAGCGAGCAGCTTGCCTTTGCCACTCTTCTCTTTCTTCTCCTTCTTCTCTTCTCCATGATCCGCAGCGCCAAACATATTCTTGGTGTGATCTTCGCCGGGGGTGCTTGCTGGAGGGTATCCACCTGGCGGCGGCGCATAGCTGCCCTGTAGTGGTGGTGGAGAAAACGCTGGGGGCTCCCATTGTGTGCGACCAGTGGCAGTATCTACATAGAAATTACGCTGCGAGTTCGGATCCCACTGTTGGATCCAGCCGGGCGGAAGATGGAGTCCAGACGGAGGGAGTGCACCGTATTGCTGAGGTTGGCCGTACTGAGGTTGGCCGTACTGAGGTTGGCCGTATTGAGGTTGGCCATATTGCGGCTGTCCATAAGTGGATTGACCATACTGCTGCTGATATCCGGGTTGAGGCTGCTGTCCATAAGGAGCTTGGGGTGGTCCATGATTGAATTGCTCTGCGCTTTGTCTCAGTCTGCTATTTCAAATTTACACGCTCAGGGAACAGTTCTGACCACCGCCAGCGCCAACAATACTTGAATGGTCCTGGGGTTTGTCTTTCTCTCCCATTAAGTTTTTGAACTCTTTTGTGAGCCCCTTTAGGTCTTTGAGAAACGACATTTTCACTGGTGGAGTGAAGTGGGTGTCCGGACTCAGTCGTAGATACACTCTTTTCTTTCCGAATGGAAATATAAAAGCCTACGTGAATATTCTCGACCCATTTATACGCATCTCTCTCAAAATCAAACACCATCCAACATGTGGCTATGCACAGCGTCCGGGATCTTGGGCGTTTAGAGAATCATAGACGAACGGCCATTCTGGGAGAGCTGCGTTTTAGCTTATTCTTGGCAGTATGATTGCGTGCAAATCAAATCACAAACCAAGGGCTATCGTACTTCCGGAAGCATAATCGTGAGCTTGTTTGGTGGTGGCTTTCGCATCTCAAGCAGATACACAGCCCGCGAATATGCGACCAGACGATGCAGGTCGACTGGCTATGATGTCCAGCCACAGCTGAGACGGAAGCTTAATTAAGATCCAAGAGAAACATCTTTCAAGATGCCGTACTTCACCCAAGCTACACAGTCGTCGCCATTAAGACCTTGTTGGGTTCCTCTCTACAGTCTAAGATCCTGGAAAATAAAATGCCGCGACACTCAAAACTTCAGTGCCTGTTCCAGGCGTGATAACGAGAGGCGTCGCAAAGTGTCTCGGCAGGCTTGTCAAGCGCAGTCATATTTGCTTGGCAGCTTTCGCGGGTTAGGGTGTCGGTTATCGCGGGCTGCACCGCTTTCGAATCCTTCTTGCGCGTACGGAGTAGATATTCACAAAAAGGCAGTCTCGGGCCGCAACATGAGGAAGCGCATCTGGACCGAAAAGACTTGAAAGGCTGCAGAAATCCACTGGGCTTTGTTTTGAGGTGCAGTTTTCAGCGCAGGATGGAAAGTCAGATGACAGGCCCATCGTCCATTTCGCTTGCCAAAGAGGGACTCCCACAGTACAGGAGTAGCAGAGGGGAGGAATAGAAGAGCTTGTGTGAGGACAGAGAACAGGTTGCTTGACGCTTTTGATGATAAAGGTCAGCTTCGGCATGTTCGAGAAATCAGGTGACTGGCAGATGGTTGAAAACGAGCGGAGCATCTCCGCAGATCGCTGATTGGTGGGCTAAGCGAGGGGCAACGTGTGGGGAAGTCCGAGCTGCTTGACATCGCATTTGCTGGCGAAATCCCATGTTTGGAACTGCAAGACGCAATGCAAAGCCACAGGTCGCTGACTTACGTAGATCAACGGTCCAGAATCGTATCACCTGGCTCCCACCGTACTTTCAATGCTTGCGACCGGCTCCGTCGAAGCCGAAAGTGCTCGAGACCAGAACTTCGCCGCAGTCGACGTCTTGCATCATTGTTTCGTAAGGTAGATCTTGGACACACTTTGCCCGGCCTAGTTCGCGTTACGTACACAATGATGACGTTGAGGAGGGTCCGCCTCTGTGCTTGCCCGCCTCGCCCACGAGGTTGTTCTTCTCCTTTGTCCAATGGCACAGGTCGCATGGACGCCGCTCATCATCATTGGCTCTGCATGACCGAGTGAATCGACGCAGGCAAGCTAGCCATTTCTTCTTCTCTTCGACGCGCCTGCGAGTGGAGTAAGCTTTTAAAGCTGCTGCCTTGGATTTGGGAAATCTTTTTATTGACCTCGTCTACCCCGCTACCGACCCCATTTTCCAATTGTCTCTGCGCCTCTCAAGCCAAAGGTGGTCGAGCATAGCAGACAAGAACGACGTTTTAGGAAACCAAACCATCCACCGTCAAGATGATCGATCCTGTCGAAGCGCTCATGAAGACGTCGACCATACTACCGACGATTCCCTCAACGAAAATAACCGCCACTGCATCAGCGACAGCTTTCCCCACGGTCATGTGAGCAATTGGTCTTCTACCAAAAATCCAACACGATCAGAGCTGACCGACTCTCAGTCCTGACCCGCCAGTATACGAGAAGGCGACTGCTGCTGGCTTCCGCACACTATGGTATGCATACGAGTGAAAGAGCAAGGAGACGAGTAGTGCTGACGTTCTTCCAGGGTTGTCTTCGTCGTGATGGTCTTGTCTTCCGTGGCATTCGCTGCAATGGCCTGGACCATCCCCTTGTCCCGCCGCCTATTCCACACAATCACCACTTTGATCACCGTCATCGCTGCAATCTCGTACTTCGGCATGGCGTAAGTTGGATCCTCTCTTTGCGTTCTACTCTTTGGCAGCAAACGTTAACGACCGGCTTAGAACCGGACACGGCGTCAACTACCAGCACATCCACCATGTCGAGCACCACAAGCATGTCCCCAACACGCATAAGGAAATTTTCAGACAGGTCTTCTGGGCTCGCTACGTGGATTGGTGCTTGACTACTCCACTTTTGCTTCTCGACCTGTTCTTCCTTGCCGGGGCAAGCGGAGGTCATATCATCATGGCCATCGCTGCAGACATCATCATGGTCCTGACAGGTCTCTTCGCTGCCTACGGATCAACACATAACGCACAGCGCTGGGGCTGGTACGCTATTGCTTGTATTGCCTTCCTCGTGGTCATCTGGCACCTGGTGGTCAACGGTGGCGCCAACGCTCGCGCGAGGAGCGCGAACTTGGGCAAGTTCTATGGAGCTATTTCCGCATATACCATTCTCATCTGGGTCGTGTACCCAATCATCTGGGGTGTCGCCGATGGTGCAAGACTCTTGAGCGTCAATCAAGAGATCATCGCCTACGCTGTGCTCGACATACTCGCCAAACCAGTGTTCGGTGCCTGGCTTCTGCTGACGCACAGCCGTATGGCTGACGCCGGCTTTGAACTCGGCGGATTCTGGACCTTTGGTCTCCATTCTGAGGGTCGACTCCGCCTCGAGGAGGACGAGGGAGCGTAAGCGCACGCGGGCTCCTGAGCCTAAGAGGCAAGAGTCAACCCTGAAGAATCGGTGCGACGCAATGGTCGGAAATGTTATCGCAATTCTGACCGCGGACAGATCGCGGCATAATTAGGCATAAATTGAAACAAACTAAAGGAGTAGCGTGGATAAATTGTTTTTACTGCTTACAGTTTGGTGTGGTTGGCGCTTAGCGGTGATCGTCTCCTCGCAAACGATGGCATGGTGTACGTAACACGGAACGGTACTTGCATTACGGATTATTATTATGCGGTAGTCGCTCGTCCGATCTACTTGTCGAATTCAACCTACGGCCCGGAATTCATCTACTAGGGAGTTTTGCTTGTCTAATGATCTTCTACACGTACTCGTGATTTCGTAACTTCTTTGGGTATCATTTGCTTTTTAAGTTTCCTACAACCGTGAACATCACCTTCCCATCGCAAGGCGTAAACCAGCGCTTGAAAAAAAATGGTCGTACCAAGAGAGAAAAAGCCCGTTTCGCTAGACTAATTCCAGCGACGAGTTTCGTCACCTTCTTTCCACTCCTTCTCCCTGTACCCCAGCCTTTGCTTGACCTCCTCAACTGTCGCCTTGTCGCCAGTGTTCTTGCCGATGTTGTCGCTGATTTTGACGGCCTGTCTGCCATTGCAAGACGCGAGCTTGATCACGATGTTCAACGGCACGGACTTCCGTCCCGTCTTGATGTTCACGAAGTCATCTGTCGGGCCTTGTCAGCTCCGGGCCGTGCGATTGGGCTCTTTTCGGCATCAACTTACTGGTCAGAAAGGTTCCAATGCCAAAGCTAGGTGCGAAGCCTGCGGCCTCGGCCGCTTTCTTGTACTGTAGGCACTTCTCGATGTTCAAGGAGTCCGAGAACACCATGGCCTTCCTTTCCGTAATCCCCTGTTGCTTGTAAAACTCCGCCATGAACTCGATGAACGTCTCCGGGTCGCCGGAGTCCTGTCTCGTGCCGGTGAAGACCTCCGCGTATGTCCTCGAGGCACGACCGACAGCGCCAGCGGCACCACTCGCGGCCGCGGAATCACCGGGAATGTCTGAGATCGGCTTCGCGAATGCTTTCACGAAACTTTCGGTGCCAAACGTGTCCGTCAACGCGATGCCTAGCACGCCCTCTCCGAAGGTGCCGATCCAATACTTCATGGCAAGCTCGTTCGCGTTCTCGTAGTCGTTGGTGATGGCTGCCACGCCCATGAACCATTCGTGGGCCACGGTTCCTATAGGGGGTATGCCATGCTTCATGGCGAAGTGCACGTTGCTCGTCCCTGCAAGCTTTCCCGGCCATCCGTTGTGCACGCCATCGTCGGCGGCTTGGCGCAGACCTTGCAGCACAAGATCATGTGTGTGGTAGTCTCTCCTTCTCCTGGTCCCAAACTCTGAGACGATACAGCCCTCTTTGAAAAGCTTGATGCCCTTGTCTCTTGCCCGCTCGACCTGGTGCATGTAACTCCATTCTCGGTCCATAAATTTGAAATACGTTTCGCTTATCAGAGCAAGCAAGGGGATCTCGTACAATATGGTCTCAAGCCACGTACCGGTTGTGTACAATTCGATGGCGCCTAAGTCGTCCTCGCTGCCCGTGTCCTTGTCGGCTTTAAAGGTCAGGTGGATCTGCTCCCTGGGTCGCTGTCGAAAGCCCGACAGGAAGTCAAGGTACGTCTCTGACAAGTATTTGCACGTGCTTCTCAGGTACGCGAGCTCATCTTGCGTGAGAGCCACGTTCTCCAGTTCTGAGACGAAAGTTAGCGTTCGCAATGCAATGCTTCGACATCGTGACGCACTCTCGATCTGCGCCCACAACCACTTCACCGACGCGCGGCTGAACTTCATGTCCGGCGTCCTATTGGTAAAGCTGTACGTTACTTGAACGTCCGGGAAGTATTTAAGGACACAACATTGCATGGTCAACTTGTATAGATCCGTGTCTAGGATACTAAAGATGCCCTCGGGCAGATCAGCTGGTCGCGGGGTGTCTGCCATGGCGGGCTCCTACAAGGCGGTCTTCAATGAAGCCGAAGTTTGACGTTTCATGCGCGGCGAAAGCGGACCTTTTTTTTGTTATCAGCGAAGAGCTACGCTAATGAAGGCAACTGTGGGCCGCACCAGGGAAGCTTGTTCGTTTGTCAAGTCATGAATGCGCGCGCGGTGGCGCTCCGCAGTTGCCCGTGGCCGATCACCGGAACCTCAGCCTTGATCTTCCCACCCTCTCTCAGAGCTCATGCAAGTTCCTCGTTCTGTCTTATGTCCGTCTTACAAGCAAAGATCTGTGATTTTTGCGGGAAACACGCGTTACTATGCAGGTGTTCCCTCCCATGGACGTGCACCACGCAGCTCTATTCTTTGCGTGCGCTGCAACGAACTGTTACTGCTTCATTTGGGCCACGGCTCTCGAGTCACCTGCTACTTAAACTTGACTACGCAGATGTAGGGTTTTAATTGGCCTCGGATGATCTTGCGCAAGCTTCAAGCAATCACATATTACAATCTAGTCAACCTCTCCATAGTTGCAGCGCCAAGATCCGGCGGCACTGATACCAGGAGAGATTCTGATATCGAAGTTTGAGGACGGGTAGTGGCTCATTTTCAGCTTCGCTATACTGTAATCAAGCAAGGCCATTTGTTCCATTTTTATCGCACTTTTGTGGAAATCCCAACAGTTGTGTAGTGGAGACCTCTCAAGACAAGCCTAACTTGATGACAGTACCTCGCGCTGCAACAAATAGATTGCCCCTCTCGTCGAGTTCATGTATAAATTCACCCTCTATTAGTTCCAAATCCACAATTGACGCATCACGACGGACCCGCAACAATTGCACCTCTGGATTGTTGAGCCATTCAATACGGAAGCTGTACCGTACCCTATCAGCACTCGTTAGGGCCAGGTTTGGTTGCTCAGGGGCGACGATCTGAACTGCAAGATGTTTTGCGACATAAAAAGGTGAGGTGCTGTCTGAATTGATAGTTTCAGACAGAATTTGTCCTTGAACTAGCTTCATCTGCCGATCCAATTTATCTGTTGGCTGTACTGAGGCAACCTTCGATGGCATAGCTGGTTCCGATCCCTGATCGGGAAAATTCTGTGACATATCCTCTTGTTTACATTTTGGATTTACAGCTAAGGTGCGAGATGATTGAGCATGAACGCTTTCGGTGCTGTCTTTGATGATTTTCTTCAACGAATTCGTAGACGAATGTGGCGGAGTAAGTCCTTCAAGCATTTTGTCTCCACGAGTGATATTTGGTGAAGATTTCGCAGTCTTTTGTTCCCCACGAGCGCTTCTCGATGTTCCCGAACTAGGCGCTATAGAAGACGATGAGTAGAGAGTAATAAGCGTGCTCTCGTTAGGGTGCGGGTAAAGCGTCTTTTGTCTTCGTGCAAATAGTGTCCGCAAACTGTTTCGAATATAGTCCTCCATAACTCGATTGAAATCTTGCATCACCTCGTTAGAGGCTGGGAGGTTAGGCAACCGCCATTGAGGATACAATTTACCGTGAGACCTGGGTGTATGCATTTTAGCAACTGACGTCACGAACAAATTGCAAAGAAAACAAGCATCCTTGCTAGAACAAACGATTCGCGGCGGCATATTGTTGCCCGAACCTTGCTGGCAGTAGAATACAAGCTGGACTTCGGCATGAATTTTGGCTCTTTTCAATGTCGTGAGAGTTTGGTTGGCGAAACAGTTCTCAGCTACGTCCTCCTTGGGTTTTAGTAATCGACAAGCGTCCTCCAGCGTGAATTTCTTGGGCAAATGGACACGAGAAAGCGTCCTTCTTAGCTCTGGGACATATTTATTGGTAGACACCTGTGCAAACGCCTCCCTCGGTAGCTTCGCAATAGTGAGTCTCAGATTTCGCATTACTGGGATCTTCTTTGCCATGTGGCAAAGGATTGCCGGCACCTCTCGGTACCTTGCAACCTTGTCAATAATGTTTAAAAGGCTCTTCTTCAATGATGGGTCCATAATTGTATTGGGCATGGGACCAAGCAACTCCTTTAGATCTCCTGCCTGTCGAAGACGGTAAATTCCCTCAACAAGCGCACCTAATCGAGCAGGGACTTGGTGCTTTGCATGTGCATCCAGGAGTTGTATCACCTCTTTAGCTCTCGATATTAACAATTTAGACGTCGCAACAAGCTGCTCGGATTCATAGCTTCTATGTTCGATAAAATTTACGGCGCATTGTAAGACTTCCTTAAGACGTTGACGTTGTACATTGCGTTTGCCGCGGGTGAGTCGTAAGCGTTGAAAGATGCGTGCCGAATCCATAGAAATGATTATATCGAAAATGCTGTCTTGGAGTCTTCGTGAATCAGTGTCTGGTGCGTGTCAGTGTAGAAGACCTTACTAAATCTTGACATGGCTACCTTGGTGTACTTGTTTTAGCATTGAAAACAGCTTATTAAACCCTCTTTCCACTTTTTCTAAAAAGACGTTCCCAGAGTTGTAGTGAAGCCTGTTTACAGCAAGCAAGACCTCTAACGAGGAAGACTTCCTATCCTCGCGAATACAAACCGCCGTAATGTGGTCAGTATCATCTTCGACACTGGAGATAAATGCAAGTATGCCAGCAAGACTCTGCTCCTGCGCAAACGACAAAGTATAGCCTCTAGAGTCACATTTCAGCTCTCCTACTGAATTCTTTGACGGCTGTGAAGGAACAGTGTGTAGTAGCTGAAGCAGAGCGATATCTTCAGCACAGGTGATTGCCGGCAGCAAACTTTTCGATTCAGTCATTGTAAATGGCGGGGGGGAACGACGAAATGACTTCCCAGATGGAGTCAGTTCAATTCCATAGCGATGTGTTAAGCCCAAGACAATGCTTTCATAGCTTGAAAGTTGATCCCAGAGCTTCGAGCTTGTCGTTAATTACTGGTTTGTGCGCAAGCTTCCCAAGGAGCTGATACTTGAGATATCGGTATCAGTGGTGAGTGGCCAGCCTCGCGGCTCAGCCTGGCATCCATTTCACTCTCGCTTAGATTGTCTTCGAACGCGCTACCGTTTGAACATTCTCGACAATCAACGAAGGGCGCATGCAAACTTACTTAAAAGCGTTCTGAGGCTCCAGGACCGGTCCTTCGGTAGTTGCTCACTTCGTGACTGATCCTCTGCAATTAACCGAGGTCGTTGCGGGGTTTGTTGGTCAGAGTTCTACGTGTAAAAAGTGCTGATATAGATTCAGCAGTTGAATCTCTTCACGTGTTCTCTTAGCGATTTGACGAACTTTGCATGATCTGAGTAACATAGAATCATGGATCCGGACATTGTGGCTTCAATTTACTTTCCAGTCCATCTTCAAGATCCCAAAGAGCGGGTTCAAGCATATCTTGACGCCTATAAAGAACAGGGCCCGAAACATGATGTACTCAACGAATTCTCCCTTGTAGAATTAATAAAAGAAGGGAACGTCTTGCTGATGTCATTGTAGTCGTTTGATGCTGATTTAATGCGGAATATTCGCCTAGTATCGGCGACCGCGAAGCCATCAGCGAAGATCGTATTTGAATTCGACGTTCACCCGCGATTTTGTAGCAAGTCAAATAACATGCATGGTGGAGCTGTTGCACGTAAGACAATCTCGACCCAGGGCACAGTCGTTACCCTCTAAACGCGAGGTGTAGTAATGGCGGACATGGGCACCACCATGGCCGTCGCACCATTATCGTCCAAGGATTTCTGGCACTTCGGCGGTGTGTCCCGGGTTCTCTCGGTCAGCTATCTCAGGCCGATACCAAAGTCGATTACTCTCCTAGTGAAGTGCAAAGTTGTGCAGATCGGCAAAACAAATGGTTGGCGACAGTCTCCTTTACTCTCTGGCATAAATAAAACTAACAGGACCTACAGCAACGATACATATGAAGGCTTACAACAAAGCGAATAACACTTTGCTTTGTGTGGCCGAGCACAGTAAGACCTGGGTAGACATTAGACAAAGAATGTGATTTTAAGGAACATATCGTCGTAACAATTGTCAGGCAGCCTCTCCACTTCATCCTCGTCTCAGGCCAGTTGTGAGTACTTGAACCTCGTACGAGGCAAGAAGTGGAGACAGATCCCCGGGTATCGTTTACTCAAAAGCTAACCAAAGTTCTCAAGTCGTTTATCATCTCTTTTTGCATCCGCGTTGCCCAAAATGCCACCATCTTGAATAAATCAGAGCGCTTCCGCCGCCCTAGCCAAAAACGCGTTGAACTCATTGATACGCTTCAAAACACCCACCCTGTTACCAATCTCCTCCGCGGTCGCCAAAAAACCGACTTCCGGTCGCTCATCAGCACTTTCTCTGGACCGTCCTCTTCTGATGGCCTCCTCAATACTCTCTATGTCGTCGATGAGCTTCCTCGTCTTCTCGTCCACACTTTCCCTTTCTAGATGCTGACTTCTCACACGATCAATCTCAATCTCAATCTCTTCCCTCTCTTTTCGCCGAGCAATCAATTCCGCTCTCAACTCTCTCTTGCGCTTCTTCATTCTCCTCACTTCGCCGCTGAATTTGTAGAAGCTGTACTGCGCGAATGTAATACTTCTCAAGGCGTCAGAGAGATTGTCCCGAAATTGCTGGAGAGCTTGCATCTGATGGAGCATCGTTTTCTTGACCGAAGATTTGCTCTGCACGGCGGTGGAGCGCCGAGTGACGTCAGGTACGTTGGAAATATATGCGTTGATGATCTCGGTCGAAATTTGAGACAGCACGTCAGACGCATTCAAGGACGGGATGGGGTCCGGATCTATCCCAAGGGGATCGTCTTCTGCGAGTTTTGTCCGCTTGTAGACAGTAATTGGAATCTTTGCGCCACCCTTGCTCGTTGTTTTTGCTGATTTCTCGGATGTGGCGGTCTTTTGCTTCTTGCGCACCGGCTCGCTGGTCTCATCCTGATCACGTTTGCCCTTCTCAAGCGGCGGCCGTGTAGTGTTTGTGCTCCTGTCTGTCAGGGGTGTGCGCCCACTGGCTATCGACTCGTTCGTAGTCGCGTCTTGCTGAGGTGAGAGCTCATCTTGTTCTCCATCCTCGCCAGAACCGTCAGCGTCTGTATCGGCCAGGATGTTAACTTGCGAAGTCTTCCTAGAGACCTTCATTGGCGCTGGCGTGAGCTCATCTTCGCTGTGCGTTCCATCATTTGGTATTTCAAGCTTCTCTCGCCTCGTGCTTTGAGCTGCCTGGTTACGCAAAAAAGAAGATGTTCCACCATCGAAAGGACCCGAACTCGATGATCTTCGACTTGTAGATCTACCCTTCACTGAACGTCGCTGGGTCGAAGGCGTGGCCCTCGTTGTTGTCGTCAGTATGTCCGCTTCCCGAGCCGAGTCGGCAATCTCAGCCTCGTCGCCTTCTGTTAAAGTGTCTAGACGCGAGCGTGACAAACTGTAGCTCAAACTGACGATAGATTTGCGCGTTCTGCTCCTTCCTCGCTCTTCTCGTGGGGGGCGTCTGTCAGGGCTTTCAGGCGGACGCTGCTCAAGCGGTTTGTTCAGAGGTAATATCGGAATCGAAACGCGCCGCAGTTGAGGAAGTTCAGACTTGTCAATCGGGGCAGACACTTCGGGGCTCAGCTCGTCCAATTCATCCGATTGCTTTAATACAAGTGGTGTTTTTGCTTTCTTTGCAGAGTGAGCAGCCGATAATCGAGAAGCAGGTGCTTCTCTCTTCCTTTTGCCTGTAGATACGTGCGCGGCAGGTGTCCTCTGGGGCTGTGATTGACGCGGCTGCGGCGTTTTATCTCTGGTGGGCTGCGATTGCAATGCGGGCACTCCAAATGAAAAGCTGAACGACGCATTTTTGAGTTCGCGCGGTCTGCATATTGAAGTTAGGAACGTGATATATGAAGAATGTTGTCGTCCTTACCCAGCACCCCGCTGTCGCGCAAGTCGGCGCTCTTGTTTCTCTGGACGTTCGTCAGCCATACAATGCATTCGCGGGGCTTTCTATCGAATCAACGGACCTTGAGGGGCCATCTGAATACTTGGGAGGCAGAATCGAGCGCATGTGTCGCGTGGGTTGATTTGACGCGACTCTTGTGTTTGTATCGCGGCGTTGCCCCAATCGGGTCCGGGAACGGACTTGCAGCCAATCAAATAATAGAAGCGCCGAAGCTTTCTTGGTACGCGGCTTCGAAGCGCAGAATCATAGGATTACTTCATCCCTCATCTTTCGCCGAACGATCGACCGCGTGGGTTCACTGTGAAGGCAAACGCAATGGTGCTAGGATGGTTTTGGGGCTCAAGTTCTTCCAACGATCCGGTGAAGAACCTTGATCCGTCATTGGAGAAAGTGCTCAAGAGTCAGGAATCACGACCATCAAGCCTCCCAAAAATTGAAAGCCAGACCTCCTACACACAGAAACTACGCGAAACAGGTGACTTACCGCCGGCAAGGACATCTGATTCACAGTCTCAACCGCAATCGAAAGTACCACCTCAGTCGCTCTTCCAAGATGGCCGCTATGCACACCTGTGGAAGAATTACGAACCCCAGGCCATAGTAGAGTCGCGGGGTGAGACTGAAATCGACAAGTTGAAGCGCCTTAGCGAAGACAATGAGATGCGAAGAATAGAGCTGGGCAAGGCTGCGCTGGAGAACTGTGTATTCGAACAGTTGGCAGAGGTAGAATGTCTCCGGAATGGGAGCGCTTACTCGAAAATGACCCTGTGTCGGCCGGAGAAAAAGACCTTCCTCGACTGCTACGAGATGCAATGCAAGTTTCTCAAGGCCTTGGGATACTGGGATGCGGTTGGCGATCCGCCGAGAGCTGATGCAATACAGATGCACTCGGATAAGCTGTGGCAGCGATTGAAGGCGCAAGAAGCGGAAATAAAGAAAGCGAAAGAGGAAGGAAGGCCAGTGCCACAATTTGACAGCATACTGTCTCCAGAGAACGTACGCGCAGTTGGTGGTTCCCTGAAGAAGCTTGCGTTGCCATTGCCCGCCTCAAACGATGGGAATTATCCGTATCCGTCCATACCGCCAGATCTACGCGAGAGCTTCGACAAGCGGATTAAAAACATGTCCAAAGAAGAGGCAAAGGTCGAGGAGGCCGTGTTTCTTGCCGAGATGGAGCAGAAGCGGTCGGTGATCCTGCAAGGCGTTGGATACCTCCGAGCAGAAGGGGACGCGAGAAGGAAGCGGTTCGAATCAGGCGAAGCAACCATAGGGGACAGGATAAAACGATGGACGAATTGGGATGCCTGGGACTCGAAATTCCCGCTGCCGGCGGATGCGCAAGCACGACAACAGCCGCAAGCAGCTCTTCCGGAAGTGAAAAAGTAGCTATGGACAGAGAGCACAGTACTAGAACAACGTTTAATCAAGCCGCCTTTCCATGCATACAAAAGACATTTTTTTTCCACTGTCTCGCTTGCGGACATGTCGTCAGCCACTCTGGAGACCGGTCTTTCGAACATCTACTTTGCGTGCCGAGAATCCATAGCCAAACATTAAAACGTGACGAATGAATGTGCAGAATGCTCTACGCTTCTTCATCTTTTGCATCGATCTTTCCTTTTTTTCACGCAATAGGGCTCCGTCAAAGCTTCAGGAGAGCTTGCTAACACCGGTTTGAACACCCACAAATAGCCAAAGTAGCGCAATATAAGCCTCTTTCTACCGTGACCCAATGCACGGAGCCCTCTTCGGCTCTGTAGAGGCTCACAAAGCCACAAATATTATTCAGCATCTACGTGATTGTCTGCTCCACAGAGAGCGAGCTACTTTGCTGGGGCCTCAGGTTCAGAAATCACGCTACTAGAACTAGGATCCGTTCAAATAGGCTTGAAGTTAATAACAAGATCGTCGAAAGAAGACGTCGTGCCAAAAGCGCTTTCTCCAAACGTGACGCCCTTCAGTGACGGTCGTTACATAGGTCTGCAGGTGTCTTGGAGCTTGATTAGTTTCGAAACAGTGGCTAGGGTAGGCAGGTTGAAGTGATAATAAACTTGAATCTTGTCAGATTTGCTCAAGGATATCTATCGAGTCCAAAACAAAGACGAAAAATTCTCCTAAGGCTCCGTGTCGCCAATATCGCCGCACTTACAGCAGCATCGCTCTATCAGCCTTTCCTTACCCCGCCTGATCAGATATCTGGTGATCACGATGTTAGCATTAGTCGTCAGATTTTGACTTTTGCTTGTCTTTCTTAGCCTTCTTGTCCTCTTTCTTATCCTTTTTCATCTGCGCCTCCGCCATCAACTGTTCAAAGGCCATGAAATCTCCTTCTTCATCAGGATCTCGCTCGGCTTTGGCAAAAAGTTCTCCGATGATTATAAGAGCCTGGGCGCGTTCTATCCGCTTTTCGGTGCGGATGCTCTTGTCGTTTAGGACCTTATCGGCAACTTCACGCAGTACGCCCTGTATCTCATATTTCGACCCACGCCATGCAGCTGCGAGGATCTTTCCAGTCACTTTCTTCTCGTACTCCGCCCGCTTCTCGTCCGTCCAATCCTCTCCCCCACGCTCTTCTGCACGAGCCATCTCTTCCATTGTCATCTGAGCATCGATAGCGGTTGAGATAGTGTTCCAAGTATCCTTTGCAATCTGGCCCTTATCCTTAAGCTTTGACCAGAAGCCTCCAATTCCTAGGAAGGACTTGTGTGTCTTCAAAAAGGATGATCCTTTCGCTAAATACGTGGCGCCAATAGCATGTAAAATTTCCAGGCCGAAAGACTCCATTTTCAGGTTCTCGATCTCAAGTATCGTCTTCTCCTTGAACGCTTTGGTGACATCTGGACTCTTGTCCGTTTCAGTCCACACTGATATGTAGTTGATGAGTTTTTGTGCCAAAGTGTTCACTCGTTCTTCTCTCTGTTTTCGGCGCTCCAACTCGAAGGCATGCAGCTCTTCACGCTGTTCCTTCGTCAAACCCTTCTTCTTCTGTTTCTCACGCAGCTGCTTCTCCTCCTCAGTCATATGGGCGGCGTCCATAGCAGCTTGCTCCTCGTAGGCCTTGCTGTCAATAGCGAGCCTTGTTGGTATGCCCTGAGGACGAGGTGTGCCTAGACAAAGTTAGATTGCCTGTGTCACGGGTACGAAATAGGGTACTTGATCTGAAAATGGAGCCGACAAAAGAATATTCTTGCGCTCCTTGTACAAGTGAACGGGATAACATACTTGTGCCTGAAGGTGTTGGAGAAGGATACGCTTCTGCCTCAGCCGTGGCATGAGCCGGCCTTGGTGGTACCGGAGGTGGTACATCCCCCTGCTCTGGATGGGAGTGAATGTCTGCCGCTGGCGTCTCTGCCGTCTTTCCAGCCGCAGTAGTGGTAGAATTCTGGGCACCGGCTTCAGCCTGCGCTTGCGCAGCTTCAGCCTCCTCCATCTCATCCCTCATAGTTATATCCATAGTCTTTGTAAGATCTTTCATGAGAGTAATCTCGCCTATCCAGTCCTGAAAAGCGTCTCCACCAAAGATCATGGAAAAGAACTCAGAGGGATCCTCGAAGCCAGTATCCGGCTTTGCCTTTTCCTTGCCATATTTGTCGTAAGCTGCCCGTAGCTGCGAGTCGCTTAGCACCTGGTATGCTTCTCCGATCTCCTGGAACTTCGCGTGAGCGGTCTCGTCGCCGGGATTCTTGTCTGGATGCAATTTAATAGCGAGCTTCCGGTAGGCCTTTTTGATCTCAAGCTCGGTCGCCGTGGGAGGCACCTGAAGAGCGTCATAATAAGAGGTATCTACAACCATCGTAGCTTGATATAATGAAATCTGCTCTGCGAGTACTAATTGATATTAGCAAAGAATCACTTCTATAAGCGCCGGGGGGGTTCGAGAAATTATGGCGGGACGGCAAATGACGAGCCTATGTGGCTGTGCGGCTGTTTGTGGCGCTTTTTTCGTTTACGCAGTGCTGTCGGTCTGTGTACGATACGTCATAGCTAGTTCTGCTACTTAACATGCACTCGAACTCAGCCACAACAACAAGCTACGTACAAGTTTTCAAAGACTTTGGGAGCGTCAGGAAGTTGCTCTATGACAACAGGCAGCTGTCGTACGTAAGTTTGCGCCATTCAAGTGCAGCATTCAAAGGACGACCAATTGTATGAAGAAAAAGAAGAAGAAGGTGGAGATATCCCTCGGGATTCCGTCGAAGCGTTCATACAACTTGATAAAGCAGACAGCGAAGCAAAGGTACACATGGAAGTTACTTAGTTCTTTAAAGCTTCTGGCCTCTAGGCTGATGATACAAGCTGTTTGCATCGACTCTACATCTCTCGGTTGAAAACAGCACCATCCGTTGGTCCAGCATGCTCTGTTTTCTCGTGGGGAGAGTCTTAAATTCAGTAATAGAGCACACGCTTGTACTATAGAAAATTTTGTAGTCGCAGCAGCATTTCCGCAAGCAGCAAAGTTCGCATAGGTAACGGATTGCGTTTTCGCGCATCACTTGCTGAGGGGGTTTGCAGAAAGTAAATACGTGATGGCCCTGGTCCCATTCTACTACGGACAAACAACTGAACTGTCCTTTGCTTTGAACAATCAGGTGCGCTTATTCAGGCCGCGGTTTGGACAGAGTCCAAGCACCCATCACGCTCGGGTTCCATGGTTTATAAATATCTGCAGCCGGCTCATCATCATCATCGCCGTGGTCGTCATTCGGCTGTCCGTCCTCTTTCTTTCTCTCCTTGTCCATCTCGACCCGCAGACTGTCCACATGCTCCAGAAGTGGCCTGCGATCTCTCAGTCGTGGCGCCCTGGCCTTTGAGTCTTGCTCTCCAGTCTTGTATCCCCACCTCATCATTTCCAAGTAATTCAAATGCAGATCGAGGCCCCTACGTATATTTTCTCGGACCAGCAGCTCATCTGGCCGCAGCATCCGCTCCATGACGTTGCCTAGGCCCCAATTCTCGAGGCATCCGCGACCAACCAGATGAGGCGGCACGCCCAGACAAGGCAGCCTCAAACCCGCAGGCTGCAGCTTCCAGTCATAAAGCACCCACATGCGCATCAGCTGGACTTTATTAAGACGCCCCAGCAAAAGGTCGCGAAGCGGACAGAGAGAGCGTTGGCCGAGCATGAGGTTGCGTAGGCTGATCTCCCCAGTCCCCTCGACGGGATCGGTAAGGCGCATGTCGAGCTTAACCAGGAAAGTTGTTGCGATGAGGATGTCTCTGTCGGTCCAGTATCCCGTGTTGTGCATGACGCCGATCCTGGGGCCGTTGCGTGGGAGATCCATGATGAACCACATCTTCTTGAGCGCGAGCACGAGCTCGTTTGGCTTCCCGGGGAAACTGTGTCCGTGTTCTTCGAGATTCCGGATAATCTGCAGCACGACATCGTGGCGTCGACTCACCATCTGGAGCCACTTCAGGCCAGGCACGTCTCTGGTGACGTTGCCGCTGTTCAGCCTGAAACCTGGGTCTTTGATCGTGAGGCGACGATAGCAGCGCCAAGGGAATACGTATGCCGAATCTGGGGCATGAATGTTGGCGGAGGAGCGAATGTAGGTGGTAAAATGGGAGTTCATGAAGAAATGGAATGGCTTTGATATGGCGTACATGTCGACCAGCGATTGGACGTCCATGATGGCAGCGAGCCGCAGCGTAATCTCAGGATGACGTAGAAGCCTGTCAAACAAGCAGAATGGCTTCTTGATTACGGGCAAGTTCAACTTGTCGGGCTGTACCATAGGTTCCTCCAGGCTTTCCGTCCCATCATCAGATCGGCCCTTGTCAGCATCATCTGGTGAGACTCCTAGAAGCGAACTATCTGCGACTGCGTCGTCAACTTGATGCCGTAACTTTCTCCTTGGATGTGTGTTGTGATCGCCAGGCTGTCGAAAATTGTCACTTCGTGCACGTTTCTTTCCATTGGCGGAGGCTGATAGTCGGACATCGACGCTGGGAACTGGATCTCCTCGATTCAATTCCGAGCTTGCCTCCGTCTGCGGTGTTTGGTTGTTTGGTGATCCCATTTGCACAAATGAGGAGGTACCGCTCCTTTCGCCTGCGTCACGGGTTTTTCGATGCTCCTCTGTGTTTCCACAGCGCTGAATAGTCGTCCTTGTTCGTCGTCGACCTGCTCAATATCCTGTTTTTCACTTTAGCTGCTACTTTCTTAGCCAGTTGAGGGAGATCGAAATGTAAACAAAAGAGGTGGCAAAGGTCAGGAAGCCCTTCATAATTAAGTAAAGTGAAATCACTGGGAATCACCCGTATGTTACCGTTTCTTAAACGTCGCAGACACGGTGTAATCATGGAACAATGCGTGATTACATGGAACAATATCAAACGTGGGGGTTCTGATTTGTCCAGTGGTGGGCGCCGTTCTGTTGACGGAAATGGTTACCACGCGGCAGTGACTATGCGGTGACAACAAGATGAGATTTTGTGCAATGACCATCCCACAGTTGCATTAGAGGGTGTGAAGAGCGAATCTTCCGCCCGACACTTGGGCATACCAACTTACTCATATCGTTTCATCTCTCTTTCAACGGCCAGTTGAAGGCCATAAATGGTGTACGCTCTACATTATGAGCTACTGAGAGTGCCACCGTGATCTACATATTCAGTATGCCTCCCAATGCACGACTTTCCTCGGTCGGTGGATGAGCACCTCACAACGCCGAGAGTGATGGTATCTAAAGTCCGAAAGAATTCAGTCATCCAACGCCATCAATATCCTGTTAAATCCTAGATGGAAACGCGATTTGCCCGGTACGCCATGTCTTTAATGCAACTCAGCTGGAAAGTGAGAAATGCTAGTGCTGGATGAGCTTCAAGAATTCCTCCCGTGTCTTTGCGGTTGAACGCAGGCGTCCAAGCATGCAACTCGTGATGGTCTTCGAAGTAGTTTTCTCTACACCCCTCATAACCATGCAGTAATGACTCGACTCTACCACGACTGCTACACCTTGTGGCTGCAGCACCTCAGACAAGGCCAACGCAACTTGCTTTGTCAGTCTCTCTTGCACCTGGAGTCTCCTGGCAAACATTTCGGCGATTCGAGCTAGTTTTGACAAGCCGATCACACGACGGTTGGGAATGTAGCCGATGTGCATCTGAAGGACTCCTCGTCAGCCCTGTTCAAGGAAAATGAAACAGCGATCACGTACTTTCCCAACGAACGGCACAAGGTGATGTTCGCAAAGCGAAAAGATCTCAATGTCCTTCACAATAACCATCTCATCGTGATCTTCGTGAAAGACGGCGCCATTCACAATGTCCCTTAGATTCTCCTCGTAGCCCTTGGTGAAGAACATCATAGCCTCCGCGTAGCGCTCGGGTGTTTTCAACAAGCCCTCACGATCAGGATCCTCGCCCACGCATTCGAGAATGGTGCGAACGGCGCCGGTGAGCTTCTCCAACCGAGCCTTGGCCTCTTCTGGAGTGGCCTCCAGCCTCGCTCTCGTGCCAGCACCTGGGGGTTGCGAGTTAGCTTATAGAAGAGCGTGCATGTGCCTTTTCGACGTACTGGGCCAGCTCAAGCCATCGAAATCTATGGTCGGATGCTGCGTGAACGGGCTCTCCGGTCTACTGATCGAAGGAGTAGCAATCTGTGCCTCGTCTCTGGCGTCCCTCGCATGCTCCTCGTCTATTATTCCCCTCGACGACTTCCACTCTTTGGCTGGATGCCCATTCACATCGACTTTACCTGGCATTGCTTTCTTGGAAGAGAGGTGAGCGGGCGCGTCCAGGTCGACCAATTGCCTGCCAACCGTGCTTGACGACTCGATGGCAGCGTATAATTTTTCTCGCTCGCGCTTGTCGCGCGCTTCTTGAGACACAGGAGTTCGCAACGGAGATGGTTGTGCGGCTCCGGCGAGGTACGAAGGCAGCGCTGGTTTTGGCTTCGACGGCTGGGCTGACGGATCCATACTTGACTCACAAGTAGTTGCGCCAGTGACTTGCTAACGCCTGCTGCTTTTTAACGTAAAAACGGACAGGATGGACAAGCTAGGAAAAGTTATGCGGGTGGCGGCGTCATGTTCCGGCTGGAGCACGCTTGGGGACGAGCTGAGAATCAAACGGAAATCTTCTGTTTTATTGCACGCCTTCGTGTATGTCTAAGCAGAAGAAAAGGTCAAATGCCCGGAAACTTCAGACTAGTGGTCAATTGACCGAGCGTGGTTTAGGCCAGCAACAAGAGGGACCAACTGACTTAAAATTTTTGGCTGCGCGAATCGGCCGCGCGGGCATCGGAGGCGGAACCAGAGGTTTGATGTCACCGCGGCACGGTCGCCGCTGCCTTGCGCGCCTCAGGCACAAACGTCTCACTCCACAGAGCTTTCGATTCCGCGTGCGAGCACCCAGGCCGTCCTTCGACCACAACAATCCCATCCTTGCAGCACTCGTCCATCATTTTGAACGCCGCCGTTCGCGAGGAGCGCGGGGCGTTCGCAGTACAGCCGGCCTATCTGTCGCCTCTGGAGCCTTGCAACGCTATTCACGAGATGGTCGTCGATCGCGCTGAACGTCTCGCTTGGAACAGGCATCCTCCCCTAGTCGGGGTGGAAATGGGCTCACGACGCAATCAACATCGACATGTCATTTGAATCTATGGGCAGTTTCGCGTCAGAAAGAGAAGGCCAGGTTCTTGCGTTGCATCCAGCTGCATCCGTGTTCTCCAGGTGTTTCGCTCTTTTGCGGCTTTGCGGCTTTGCGGATGATACGGTGAGCTGTGCTGACCTGCTATGACAAGTGACTGCATGGTTCGCTCGCCATGCGCTTTTTTTTCTCTTTGTTGTTGCGTCTATGAAGTATGTGTAGTCCATCATCATCATCATCATCATCATCATCACCATCATCATCTTCAGCATCATCTGTCAAGCGTGCAGCTGTGGTCAGTGCCACGGCTCAGCCGTCGCTGCGGCTGCCGCTGAGCGCGAAGGCATGCTACGGAATCTTTTTTTTGGCATAATCTACAGTTCGGTTGCAAGGGAGCACTCAGCTACGGTCGTCGGAAAGGCATAGGTGGGCATGGGGACAAGAGTATCTGCTACTGCGCTGAAGAAAAAAAAATCGACCGTATGGCATAACTGCGGCCATCCGACCAACGCAGCCTGATGGTGTATGGGGCTGGCTCACATGCAGCAAGCAAGCAAGGCCTTGCAGCTCAACACCCAGGGCTGTAGCCAAAATCCTCACTTGCGTGCCTGTACCGCGGCGTGATGGTTCCTCCATCAGCCGTGACGATCGCTCTGGCGAAAGTCAGGCGGTGACGCCGCAGGCCGTGACCCCGTGCTCATAGACGCGGGCGCTGGTCGCTTGACCCTCATTCCGGGCATCGATGCTTCGATATCATTTTAGCTGGACGATGATCATGCTTGGACCACGGCGTGTCGTTGTCGGGTTTGATGACTTGACGACTGTCTTCGGGCCGTGTCTTTCTCCACTGGCGACGACTCAGGCTGGCAACACGTGCCAGGTCCATGATGTAGTAGATCTGTGATATCGCATCCGTTCAAACACAAGGCGAAGGCCAAACAGCGGGAGATGCTGTGAGCTGCTCCAGGGCGTTATGCGCAAGGCGGCTCTCACACAGAAGAGTTCAAGTCGAACTAGCAAGGAAATCCGTCACCACGCGCACTCCAAACTCGACTCGGCCAGCACAGGCTACCGCCCCGTTCCCACCACCACGCTTCGGACGCTCTCTGGCACCTTCACTTCTCGCTGCTCGTCTCCAGGTGCGCCTGCATCTGCTAATCGAGCGCCGTTTTCCCTCTTATTTTGCTTTTTGTCCGCTTTTTCCTTCGCTTCCTCCGTCTCCATTGCCGGTGGCCTTGGTGCGCTTTCGACTAGGCTTTAGCAGAACACCGCAGCTCCGACGTCCGTGCGTGACCACGGATTCCTGTCACCACCACCACTGACCCGTTCTCGCTCGAATTTTCCGTTTTGCACTTCTCATGGCTCCGCGCAGGCGGACTCCATCAGTTGAGTCGAGTCGCAGGTTTGATCGCGAGGCCAGCTCCAGCCCTGAGAGACAGCGTGCCGCCAGTCCTTCGCGTTGGCGAGATCGCTTGTCTGCACACGCTGCATCCTCCCACCGTGAGCCTCAGAGCCCGTACGCACGCCCTGCTCAGAACGACGACAAGTCTGCTGGCGGTTCCAGTCAAGATCCAGCGCGTCGTGCCAGCCTTGAACGATCTCATAGTGCGTCCTCCCGCCACAACGCGCGAGACAGCCTCCGTCATCGCAGCAGCGTTGCTTCGCTTAGCGACAGACGGCGGGACGCCTCCATCTCATCAACAAAGCGTCGCAGAGACTACAGTCCATCACCTTCGCGTGGGCCTCAGCACCAGCATAAGCGCCGACCCAGCCTAAGTCGTAGACAGTCACCTCTGCCGGGGCCAAGGTACCCACGCCTTTGGTGCAATCATGCCTGCTCCTCCTCCATACTCACATGGGATGCACAGAACAGATCACCATCACCATCGTCGGTCCTCGCCAGGGTCTCCATATCATCGCCGTCGCTCTCACTCGCGAGACCCGCACTATCGCTACAATCACCGTACACATTCTCCACCTTTTGACCGTCAACACCCGCCACCACTGCCTCGAAGCCCACCACGGGCGGCCCCCCGAACCTTGGAAGACCACAATCCATCGCACAGGGGCAGGGGCAGTGAGCGCTGGGAGCGGGAATCTGTCGTCTCAGATCATAGAGACCCAACAAGGGGCGCGTATTTGGACCGTAGAGGGGACGCCCGCGATCCGTATAGACGTAGTCCGCCTCGAGACTACAGTCGACAATCTTCGCATCGTATTCCGCGTTCACCTCCACGTCATTCGACCCGTGGTCGATCGCCACCGCGGTATCCATCGCCTCGTAGACCTGGTCCAAGGTACCCTTACGAGAAATCTCGTGGACCAAGCTATAGTCGCCGATCTTCGCTTTCTCCGCCAAGGCCGGGTCTGGATTCCCGTCCACGCTCACCCGAGAGAGGTCGACCTCGACAGATCAGCAACACGGCCGCGTCGAGTCGGAAACCGTCTAAAGACTCTCGTCGCAGCCCCTCCCGCGAATCACCCCGTGAAGACGACAAAATGAGCTACGGTGGCTACGGACATCCTCCGTCTCGAGGCGGCTACAGCAACTATCGCTACTCGGGTTCACCTCCACATGGCCCGAATTATCACGGAAGCCCGAATGGGTATGGTTCAAGCTCCTCTATGGCTTCGTTGCCTGTATCTGAGCATTTGCTAACAAATTTCAGACCTCATCAATCTGGATATTCACCACAACAGTCGCCATACCCGCCTAGGCTTGGTCAAAGTGATCAGGGATATTTCCAACAGAGCCCACCATATAACAGCCATCATCACACACCGTATCCTCAGAATTCAACTTCCTCTCATACGCCCACTGGCTCATATGCACCCCGCGGTGGATTCAGAGCTGCTGCTGCACTTTCGGGGTCAAGGCCACAACTTTCGACCACAGCACCAGCAGTTACGACTGGTCCTCACGTGCGTAATCTGTCGTGGACGCCAAAAACTGGCACCCGTGGTGGGCATGCACCAACGATGCATGGCGCCAATGCACATACATTACAGAACAAGGAGAAGGATGCCACCACGACGGCAGAGGAGCCGAAGGCAGAAGGCAGCACTGAGAATCCATTTAGGCCAGCCAATAAAGAGCTTCGAGTAGAGGATGAGGCTGGGAAGACTAGCAAGTCGAAGGACAATGAAACCAAAGCAACAAATGAGGTGCATGGGGGTCAGATACGATTTGGGCTTCCAAAACCGGGCGCAACTCCTGCACCAGCGAAGCCGAATCCGTTCCAAGCGAGGAGGAATCCGTTCGAGACTTCGCTACGAGACGCGCCAACGACGGACGAGAAGAGGACTATGCGCACATCTTCGTCACGATTGGACGATCCGGATCGACAAGGGCTCGAACCGCGGCAGGAAGAGCTTGCTCCCAAGTGGAAAGGACCCAAGCCGGCGCTCAAGCATTCCGTGAATAAGACCTTCTACGACAGGAGAAAAGCAGCCCGAAATGTCAGCTGGGGACGGCTGGCGCCATCTTTCGGCGACAAGGAGTTGAAGCAAAAACTCCAAAGGCTTCGGTTGACGGTTATATCACAAGGGCATCCGTTAAAACAGCTTCAGTGGTCGAACCTGCGGCCCAAGCCAGAAGTTGCTGAGCCAGACGACCCACCCGGTCTACAAGAGGCACTTGAGAACAGAAGCATCCTCGAGGAGGAGGCTTACAGAAAGCATCCAAGGAAGAGGCCCAGCGGACAGTTACCACGACTAGCCAAGGGCGAAACCTTGGAGCAAACTTTCAGAAAGGAAGTTATTGCCGTAAAATATAAGGTTCGACGTCCGCAGAAGGTGTTGCAGCCAGAGTATCGGAATTCAAGCGTATACTACCGCAGGCCTGGCAACGAATCCGTCGTAGGCTTTGGCACATATGGAAAGGTGTTCAAAGCGAAACATATTTACAAAGGCGAGGACGTTGCTCTGAAGCGGCTGCGCATGGAAGCTGAACGAGATGGCTTCCCGATCACCGCCATGCGTGAAATGAAGATTCTCAAGCATCTAGAGCAACGGCAGGGTCAGGGCGTAATTCGTTTGCACGAGCTGCTTTACGAAGTCAATCTGCAAAACAGCGTTGCCTGCTTCATGGTTTTCGAGTATATGCCGCATGATTTAACTGGCTTGCTAAACCATCCAACATTCAAACTTACTCTGGCCCAAAAGAAGGACATGGCTCGGCAGACCATTGATGCAATTGGTTTTATGCACAAAAACGGCGTGTTGCATCGTGACATCAAAGCCGCCAACATCCTTGTGTCACACCAAGGCGTGATCAAACTCGCCGATTTTGGTCTCGCTCGCTTCTTCGACATGGATCGACAACTCCATTACACAAACCGAGTCGTCACCATATGGTACCGTGCGCCCGAATTACTGTATGGACAAACAGAATATGGCCCTGCTATTGATGTCTGGGCCGCAGCCTGCGTTATAGTTGAGATTTTCACGCGACACGCCATTTTTCCAGGCAACGGCAAAGATCTCAATCAGCTTCTCAAAGTGTGGGAGGTTATGGGATTTCCAACCCCAGAAGAATGGCCGGCCGTCTCCAAGACTGAATGGTATTTCATGATGCGGCCAAAGGAAGTCATGCCAAACATCTTTAAAGAGAAATATTCGAGCGGTGATCTTGGTCAGCAGACGACCCCCGAGCTGCTTAACCTCCTTGCTTCGATGCTGCGTTACGATCCCTCCAAACGACCTTCCTGCGAAGAGTGCCTTCAGCACCCATTCTTTACGTCAGAAGAGCCGGCTCCCGAGCGCGTGACGACGGAGCTAGAAACGCTAGGTGACTGGCACGAGTTCGAGAGCAAGAAGGCAAAGAGGGCCAAGGAAGCTGAGGATCGTGTTGAGAAGGACCTAAAGGAAGGTCCGCCAAGCTGCGGACAGTATGTAAAGGATGAACGACGGGATAAAGGCTATAGGAAGGATGTGCTGTCGTTACTGAAGACGGAGAAGAGGGCAGCGAATTTCTCGCCGACCGAGCCCGAAGCGAAGAAGCTTCGGGCATAACGTTGTGTTCATAGCCATCTCTTTGGACGTGCGGTTGTGTAGTTATGCTCATGAAATATCGCTTTTGGCTCAGAATAAACCCAGAGACACTTTACATCATATCGTAGATCAGTGTAGCTGCCATCATACTCTTCAATCCTGTTCTCTTTCAAAGCCCTAGGATGACACAGGACCATGATTGCCCTTCAGGTTCCTCTTCTTGTCTCGGTTTTGTAATAATTATGGGACCTGTTGTATACTGTTATCCTGATGGGGCCGTTCACGCTCATGCTCATTTTATTGAGGCTGGTTATGAGGCAGGATGATTTTGTAAAGCATATAAAAGAACATGGGAATTGGATCTCTTAACGTTCTCGTCATGGTGATACGTTATTCAGTTCTCTTTTATGCACGATCGGGATCCGCGATGGTGCTTGATTCTAGTCTGCAAGCAGGAAACAGGAAGGGTGGGGGAAAGGGAAAAAGCATCGCCAACCTTGATTGATCATGTGTACGAATCCATAGTCGACCCAGGAGGCCGGGGAAACTTTCGTCTTCGTCAGTTTTTGTCCTTTTCTTTTAAACTCGAATGTCTCGCCTCCTCCAATGCGTAGAATGGCGTTCAAGGCGTTGGCAGGTCCTCGATGACCGACGTGCATACTCGTCTCGGTCAAAATGTCGGTACGTCGCCTGCTTCTCACTGACTTGCTCCCAGAGAGAATGAACCTCTGGATACCTTACCTCGAGATACAGCCAGTAGCGAATCCGCTGCACACTCGACCGACCACGAGTTGCGCGATCGAATATGAACTGCTTTGGAGGATGGATCCAATCACGGCAGCCACGCAACTGAGAAGCACGGTAGCACAATGACCGATGCGGAAAGCAAACGTGCTGAAGATCTAAGAGGTGATGCGAGCGGCAAGAGTGCAGGAACTGGAGACAAGTGGAATGGTGTATTTTCTCGTGGGATCGCCAATCTCGTCCAAGAAAGGTTTGTGCAACAACATGCCACCGAGGACGCCAACGTCGTATCCGTACATCACGAGGCTTGGACCGCATATAATCTTCATGAGCCAATATAGTGGCCGTCCGCGGAGAGTGATGACGGCCATGTCACAAGCTTCAGCATCTGAGCAAAACGCACCGGCTGAGCCACGAGCGACAAGGTGAGAACATTCATTGTTGCTGGACCTCCGTTGTTTATGCGCTTTTTGCTACGATCTGGCATTCCAAAGTCGATCCATGCCTCGTTTCCGAGGGGCCTTGTGGTATCTGAGGCTCAAGTACGGTGGAATCGTCATGTACCGCCTAAGCGTTTCCTGCTTCAGTCTCGATGAAAGAGATTGCCGAGAAAAAAAAAATGCAACGTGCCTTCAGCGTTTGCGTGATCGTGGGCGCAGACAACGACAGGGCCGCTTACGTTTGGAATCGGCGGGGATCAAAGCATCAGAACGTTGGATACTGAACGGGATAGTCATCGTTGCAACGAGATCTTCGAATTCTCGGTATGATTCATATGTCTAAAAGACATGGCTACGGACGCCCGCGCCGGGACAGAAATGAACCGCGAGCGTGAGACCAGTGCTAATGCTTTCGATACCAATCAATATGCCGCAGTGGGCAAAATGCTGCGTGGAGAAGATGCAAGTCGCCGGGGGTTCTCGATGGAATGAACACAGTGGAAAGGAAGACCATGACTGTGGATCTCGTCGGTATCGGCGGATATCCTCTTTAGCTACGCTCTTCCTTTCACAACGTGGGCCCTCGCCTTAGAAACCGATCTGAACAACAGATTTGACACGACCCGGTTGGAAACAGCGGCGTCATTCAAAGATGCCCAACTGGGCCCCCTCCACATGCACGTGGGCGTCGTCGCGGCTTCAATTCCGCCATCCGGCCCCGACACATCGAGTTTGTGTCGTCAGAGCCTTCTTTTTGGCGAACGGGGAACCTGAATGGACCGGTTGGGATGATTCCTGGCCTCGCGGATCCGCTGTTTTGCCGCCGGATAAAGGCGTCGAAGAATCAGACGACGAGTCCTGGCGGCGAGGGACGTGGTGGGCGCGGACTGTCTGCGCTGGAGTGGAGTCCATTAGGGTATGGATCAGGCCGACGTGACAGGCGTCGGAATGGCGCGATGGTGGTGTGAGTTTGCGACGTGCCTCTTTGTCGTCCTGGATGCTCGACGAGCTTGAATTTGAAAGACGTTCGATCTCATTGGTCTGTGGTCTGATGTCTTACCTGGTCCCTTTCCCGGCGTCGACGTCTTGTCCGTCCTCATATCTACTCGAGCTTGCTCCTGTGGAAGACTTCGTTGATCCGTCTCTTTGATTTTGAATCCGCTCTTCTGCTATTCTTGGCTTCGGAGTGAAGCGCAACCAGGAACGGACATACCCGCCCTTAGCGAGCGATCAAAACTAAGGCTGCATCTGCATAAAACCGTAGCCAGGTAACGTGCCCACTTTCCGGCTTTGCTTCTCAAGATTTAAGGTTGTGCAACCATATATGTGGCTCCCGCGGCGTCGAGGCTTGTCAAGAATATCGATTCACTGGGCCTCTTGAATTGCCTTCCCCTTGTATGCCAGGTGCTCAGTCTAACCGCTGTCATATATAAAGACTCGTGGGCGACAAAGCACACACAAAACACACAAACGCACACACACTCTCTCCCTTTCTCTCCACAGGGAGCGAGACGAGGCATACCAATCATGCACGTGCAAATAATACGACACTATTCTCAGCATGCACATCGCAATGCACAGGCCACGCTAAAGGGCTACGCGGTCACGGGATACCTGGTTGCCGCATTCACGTTGCCATTCCTCCCACCCTATTTGGCGTCCAAGAGATCCGAGCGAGATGGCTCGTGGGAAACGAGGTACGCGCTGTGTGTGTCCTCCACCTGCAGTATGTCATGGCTGATTTCGTGGTAGGAAACCGCTGGGGTACACATATTGCTACAGGCCGTTTCACTAGACGAGCCATCCGTACATCTCTGAAGCGCGTTGCTTGGACCTTTCATGTAATTTGAGACGTTGAGAGCATGAGCTTTTTTTTTATGCTTTCGATCATGGGACGGCGTTTGTGTGGAGCACAGGAATACCAGGATCCAGCGAAAGACAGGCTGTGCATCAGGAGCAGACAGCATATCTCGTAGTGTTGAATTAAGCAATAAATGTAGTGATTGCATTCGCCGTATCGCCGTTTTTCTTTTCTTTAAGCAATACACTTCGATTTCCAAACCGTCGTGACTTAGTACAAACCGCCGCTTAACCTGCTCTTCCCCCGCTGGTATAGCCATTTGCTGTTCAAGGAGACTGACGCGCCCCGACTAGACGGCGATGCAAACGGCGAGGCACCAGGAGACCCGGGACTACCATTCCTGCTTTCATCAAACAAACTGCTGCTGCCTGCGCTGAAACGCCTGCCTCCTTCCATGGCTTTCCGGGCAAGAGGACTGCCGCTGAACGGTGTGGTGGCGCCCACTGGCGAGGACCCGTGCACAGCAGCACGGCTGCTGTCGCTGCGCGGAGTGCTGCGTGCGTATCGAGGAGGGGTGACATAGCCAGCCCCTGGGGATGCGGGAAGCGAAGAAGGCGTGAGGCCCAGGAGCTTGCGTTGGGTGGGCGTGAGGGGGATGTCCGTCATTTCGTCGACGGGGGCCCAGAATGGCTGGAGGCATCTGCTCGCTGCAAAGACGAGGAGCAGACGAAGGGCAGCAATGAGGAGAGACTCAAGTGCGGCCGGGACGGGCGAGATGGCTCTGCGTGGCAGGGGCGTTAATATCATCATCTTCTTCTTCATCTTCATCATCACCAGAAGAGCGTTTCGATTGCGCGGGTGCAAGTCGAAAGAACGTACAAGAGAGCCCTCAGCCACGCTCCAGGAGTCCAGAAGGTCAGCCCCAAGGTGCCGGCGAATACGCACGTGTGCAAGAGTTTTGTTGTGGTGAAGATGCTTGCTTCACGCCTCAGCTCGATCTCCTTCATCCGCGGGTGCTGCCACGTCCCCGTCGGCGGCGTGGGTGCTGCCGGCGGAACGCTGGCTGGAGTCTTTGGCAGTGCCGGCGACGACGTGCTCGTCGCCAATTGAGTCGCCATCCTGTCCTTGTCAGCTTGCCCATCCTGACTGGCACGAGACGGAACCAGGTGACGCCGTCTTTTGCAAGAGTTTTTGCATCGGGTGACCAGCGGCGCGAAGCCTGAGGCAGGGCGACGGGCAGTTCCACACGTACCTTCGCTTTCAGAGTGTGCAGATGCTAGACGTTAGTACGTGAACCTACCTTGGCCTTACCGTGCGCCGTCCATGACGCTGTGTTTTGTGCTTTGTTTGGAGGGAGTCCCAAAGGAGGACGGCGGCCAGCGCCCAGCGACCAGCGCCCGCGCCCGCGCCAGGCACGCACAAGGCTGGAGTCCACTATAGCAGCTGCACCTCAGCTCCCTGCATAAGTAGAGTCCGTTTTTCCCAGGCGATGATGCGCGTTTGGTCGCCTGCACCTGCTGCCGCACTGGCATCTCATCACCAACTCATCAACACTTAATCCATTTCACCTCCCCCAACCGGCCCGTCGTCTTGTCCGCTCCTTGGCCACGCATCTTCTGCTCATCGACCTCTTCCTTCCACACGGTCCCTGGGGCGTTCGACACCTTTTGACTCTTGTCGCTGAGCTCGCCGTGCATCACGAGCACCGTCAACACCTTCTCTCTCCATCCACCACATTGCCGCATACGCTGTGCTGAGTGCATCCTTGCATATCCGCTGCGAAATCCACGCCTTCTCGTTTCCCCCTCGACAGTTACCATGGTCGGTCTGACTTCAGCAGCCGGCCTGGTGGGCTTCCTGGCTGAGCCGGACCCGGCCTTGCAGAGCTTCGCGCTCCACAGGCTCAACGAGAACGTCGACCTGCTGTGGCCCGAGGTTGCGGTGTCGCTGGGACAGATGTAAGTTAGAACATGCAACGAATGCGCCTCAATGAAGCCGTTCCTCCATCGCAACGCCTGTGTCATGACCATGGAACCACGTCGAAGCCTTGACGCACATCTGCTAACGCCATGGGTGCAGTGAGGCGCTGTACGAGGACGACTCGTTCCCCGAAAGAGAACTTGCAGCTCTGGTTGCGTCGAAGGTGTACTACCAGCTTCAGGAATATGACGAGAGCATGCGGTTTGCGCTGGGCGCAGGCAAGCTGTTCAACATCGACCAGCCGGGCGAGTTCGAGAACACCATCATCAGTACGTCTTGCTTCGTTAACTTTTTTGTTGTGAACCCAGTCATGTTGCTTCATATTCCGCACGCATCCAGCTCTGCTCCATGTCTGGGTCGACCGAGGCGCTAATTTGGCCAACTTTTTGTCGTATAGTGAAATGTATCGACACATACATTGCATTGTCCGTCTTGCACAACCCCCCAACTCCGGCTTCGTCAACAGACAAGCGCGATCTACAGTTGTCTACATCCTTCAGTGGCAATTCTGAAGGTGCCAGTACGTCCGCCGGCATCACCTCGCCCACCACACCTTTTTCACAGTCGGCTTTGCCATCGAAATCGCTCTTGTCAAGGCAAGATTCGTCAACTTACGATGCATCGATTCCGGGTGGTGGTAACGCTGGCATCATAGGTGCTCATGCTTCGCCTATGGTGTTGAAGCGAACAGTTCAGAAGAACCTACAGGGCATAGTTCGCAGGATCTTTGAGAGCTGCTATGCATCAGGCGACTACAGACAAGTTGTCGGTATCGCAATTGAGGCCCGGAACCTGGAAGTCCTTAGAGAAGCAATTTTGGAAGCAGCAAAGGCTGGCAAGGGGAAAAAAGCCGCAGTCTCGGGCGCCGCACAGAAGGGTGAGGAGCTCATGGAATATGTGCTTGACATCTGCATGAACGTTGTGCAAGAGCGTGGCCTACGCAATGATATTCTTCGCCTCATTCTGGACCTGTTGAATGATATTCCGAATCCAGACTACTTTGCGATTGCCAAGTGCGTGGTCTATCTCGGGCAGCACTCGATGGCGTCGAACATGCTGAAGCACTTGGTAGAGCGCGGCGACGGCAAGTCACTAGCCATTGCATACCAAATCTCCTTTGATCTGTACGACAACGGGACGCAGGAGTTCTTGGGCAACGTTATCGATGAGCTTCCAGAGACAGAAGAAGCCAAAGAAGAAGGGTCAGCACCTCATGCGAACGGAAGTATCCCACATCCTGCCTCCGCGAACAGCGAGTCTGGAGCAGAACCGAAAGAAACGGATCAGCTGCTTACTGAAGTCGAGCAGCAGGAGGCTAAGACGATGGTGTCACGCACCAAACAGAAGCCGGCATCCGATGAAGAAAAGAAAGCCTTCACATTGATCCGGCACATTCTGCGCGGCACGAAGAGCATTGAACTTAATCTTGAATTCCTCTACAGAAACAATCACACAGACAAGACGGTGCTGAACAAGATTCGGGACAGCCTAGAAGCTAGGAACTCCATCTTCCACACGGGTGTCACCTTTGCCAACGCTTTCATGAACTCGGGAACCACTAACGACTCATTTTTCCGGGAGAACTTGGAATGGTTGGGCAAAGCTGTCAACTGGTCCAAGTTTACCGCAACAGCTGCGTTGGGTGTAATTCATCGTGGTAACATCACTCAAGGCCAAAAACTGCTCGAGCCTTATCTTCCTCGCGAGCAGTCGATGAGCAACTCTGTATACAGCCAGGGAGGTTCCCTCTTCGCCCTTGGTCTAATATACACGAACCACGGAACGAACGTCCTCGAGTACCTGCGAACAAACTTCAACCGTGCAAATGAGGAAGTTGTCCAACATGGTGGTGCTCTAGGTTTAGGTCTTGCTGGTATGGCGACTGGCTCCAAACAAATCTACGAGGATCTGAAACAAGTTCTCTACACGGACTCCGCCATCAACGGTGAAGCTGTTGGCCTGTCAATGGGATTGGTAAATCTCGGAACTGGCAACATCGCAGCCCTGGAGGACATGATCCAGTATGCTCATGATACTCAGCATGAGAAGATTGTCCGAGGTCTTGCGCTTGGCATGGCTCTTGTTATGTATGCCCGTCAGGAGGCTGCAGATGAACTGATTAATGGACTACTCGAGGATCCGGACCCAACTCTGCGTTACGGTGGCATAATGACAATCGCCCTGGCATATTGTGGTACTGGTAGCAACAAGGCTGTGAGAAAACTCCTGCACGTCGCTGTGAGCGACGTTAGCGACGATGTCAGGCGCGTTGCAGTTATGAGCTTAGGCTTTGTGCTGTTCAGAAAACCCGGTAGCGTGCCACGCATGGTCGAATTGCTTGCCGAGTCGTACAACCCCCATGTTCGATATGGCGCGACGATGGCCTTGGGCATTGCATGTGCAGGGACTGGTCTGGACGAGGCAATCGATCTACTCGAGCCCATGATGAAAGACTCCGTGGACTTTGTTCGTCAGGGTGCCTTGATCGCTCTGGCCATGATCCTCGTCCAGCAAAACGAGGCAATGAATCCTAAGGTTGGCACGATCCGCAAGCAGCTCGCCAAGGTGATAGCGGATCGACATGAGGACGCAATGGCTAAATTCGGCTGCGCCCTCGCCCTTGGTATTATTGACGCTGGTGGTCGAAACTGCACCATTGGCCTGCAGACACAAACTGGAAACCTCAATATGACTGCCATTGTTGGCATGGCTGTCTTCACGCAGTACTGGTACTGGTTCCCACTTACTCACTTCCTGTCTCTGGCTTTCATACCCACGTCCATCATCGGTGTGGATCAAGATCTAGAGATCCCAAGCTTCAAGTTCCACAGCAACACGCGCCCCAGCATGTTCGACTATCCACCTGAGCAAGAGGTCAAGACCGAAGAGGCCCCTGAGAAAGTCAAGACGGCCGTTCTATCAACGACTGCCCAGGCTAGAAGGAGACGACAAGCCAAGGAAAGACAAGCACGTCGGGAGAGCATGTCCATGAGCATGGACATAGAACAAACACCCACCACACCAAAGGTATCAACCGACGATGACAAGATGGATACCGATGAGAAGGAAGACAAGAAGGGAGAGGAGGATGCGATTGTAGAGACAAGCAAGAAGAAAACTGAGAAGGAGAAAGTGGGCTATGATCTAGAGAACATGTCGAGGGTTTTGCCTGCACAGTTGAAGTACATCAGCTTCCCAGCTGGGCGGTACGTACCTGTCAAAAAGGTAAGCTCTTGTGCCTCATTCTGACACTGAGTATGATCACCTAACAATCATCGCAGCCAACGGGAGGCGTTATACTCCTGCACGACACGCAGCCTGATCAGCCGAAAACGCTCGTCGAGCTTAAGGTCAAGAAGACGACGGTTCAACCGGCGCCCACACGTGACAATGCAGCGGCCGTGGCTCCGCAGACACCAGTTCAACGGTCTGCGTCAAGAAATGCACCGGGCTCGCTTGCGGCTATGCTTACACTTGCAGCTGTAGATGAGGACAACGACGAAGGAGAGGAAGCCGAAGTGCCAGGAAGTTTCGAGTACGAGACAGACGATGAGGGAGAAGATTAATGGCATTTATCTTGGGGCGAAAAACAAACTTCGGCATTTGTCTTATCTAGCATCCGCTCCTTCAGCCATTGCTTTATTTGATAAGGAGTTTGCTATTTCTTCTTCGAGGGCTGTTTTTTTAGACCCTGGGCCTTGGTAACCTATGTGCGTGTCTACGCGTGTAATATATCAGCATCTGGGCAAAGCCACATGTCCTGCTCTGGTAGAGATTGGAAGGCCGAATACAAGTGGTTGTTACTTTGCTTGCCTACGGTGTGCTTGCTACTTGGTCTAAGAGTGGCAGCCTATTTCCCCCCTTTTCTCAAACCTGGAACATGCAGCTGAATCAACTCAAGAGCCTGAATGACCTTCTCGTCCTCATAACGCCGACCAACGAGCTGCAAACTGACGGGAGCATCGCGGTACATCTCTGGCTCATCTGTGTCACCCAGGTTAATTTTTGAACATCTTACTCGAACGTGGTGAGTACTGACAGAGTTCGTAATTGTACTTGTCCTTGTCATTGCGCGGCTGGTATCCCTCCTCCTTGGTATCGACTGCTGGGTCGACCTGCGTGACGGGGAAGACCAAGCCCGGGTAGTCGAGCAAATTCCACTGCGACGTGTAGCCCCAATATCTGGCACAGTTAAGCGGCGGGGCGGCACCTGGTCCGGTTGGACACAGGATGACGTCCACACAGCCCGTGGGAGCCCCGAACTCGTCCTTTCCCGTCGCGGTGTCGTTCCAGTGCCTCGCGTACTCGTCGCGGTACTCGTCCCGCTTCCCCGTCCACTCCCACATCTCGGCTATGGACAAGGGCTTCACGAACTCGTTGTCCGTGATGATGAAGTCCGTGAGCGGACGTCGCGGTTCGCCGGTGAGAGCGATGGCGGCCTTTTCTTCGGCGGCACCGTCGGCGAAGTACAACGAGGCGATGATGGACCATGCGTAGTCGTGTTTGAGAGGGGTCCAGTCCACCAGCTCGATCTCCGGAACGGGCTTGAGGGCCTCGGATACTGTTTTCAGAGCTCGCAAGATAGGCGGGTGGGGTTTGACGACGCCGTCGTCCCACATGATTGCAACCTTTAGCTTCGTCTTGCCATCGACTTTGGGAAGGAGGTCTTCGTCACCGCGCCAAGGGAAGGGCAGCAAAGCCGACTGATAAAGCCATGGCTTTGCATCAATCAAGGTCTTCATGAAAATCTTCACCCCTTCCAGGCTTGTGGTCATAGGACCGATGGTCGGGACTATATGCTCCTGGTTCAGCATCGTCGCATGACAGCCTAGATTTGGCAGCCGTTTTGTCGTGGGCTTAAGGCCGTACAATCCATTGTTCGCACACGGATTACGAATCGAGCCTCCGATGTCCGTTCCTATGCCTAAGCAGCTGCCCTTGATGCCAATGAGCGCTCCTTCGCCACCAGAGGAGCCACCACAAGTGAGTTTGCGGTTATATGGGTTCACCGTCTCTCCATACAGGTTGCTGGATGTTTCGAGGTGCATGAGCGTTTGCGGTTGTGTTGTTCGCACGTAAAAGACAGCTCCCGCATTCCATAGAAGCTTGAGAATCAAGGCATCATCTTTTCCTACATTTCCGACCCAGCCGACGAATCCGGCATTCAAATCCAAGCCCTTCATACCGATGTGCTCCTTGACGCTGATCGGTAACCCGTGAAGTGGGCCAATCGGCTTCTTGTGTTCAGCATAGTACTCATCGAGCTCAGCGGCTCGTTTCAAAGCCTTTTCGGGCAACAGTTCTGTCACGCAGTTGACCTAGAACTAATGTCAGATCGTGAGACTTCATCGTAAAAGGGATAGAGAATCCCAACCAGCTGTTGTGCCAAGGCCGCTCTTCTAAGAAACGCGTTCGTTACTTCTTTTGAGGACACAAAACCAGCAGCCAAGGCATTGATTAGATATTCCGGTGAACTCTCGGTCAGTTCAATTTCCCGTTCTGTTAAAATCTGCTTGGGAACCGTGGTGACATTTAACGGTAGCTCAGCAGGCAGCGGTGGCAGTTTTGGTTCAATCGCTGCGATCGTGACATCTCTATGCTCTTGCATTTGTCGCGCAGTTTCCTGCCATGTTGACAGTTGCTTGAATGGCGCCGGCATCATGTAAGCGCTCTGAGAGGAATTGGGATTACAAAGCTGCTTTTGCTACAGCCCTTGATCTGGCACTTGAACCGTCCCTTAGGTGCCTGATTGTGCGTGAAATATAACTACGGATATGATGAGGTGCTGCTTCGTTTACGACCAACCATCTAAACAAACGAAATAAAGCTTGATCTGATCAAAGTAGAGATAGTGCGTACGTTTCGCTATCAACTACATTACCAAATGAGCTCCACTGCGCGTGATAGGCCTAGCTCATATGGGTAGGTGTGCACTAGTCGCGCGAGAATCGGCGGGATGCTGCATGAATTCCCGCCAGCCGATCTCGTAACAAGAGGTTGAAAGCTCGCCGAAGATAAGATAAAGCAGAAAATCGAAGAGAGAGAAAAAGGCAGAAGATTTTCAGGCTCAAGTTGTCCGAACTAGTATCAGGACTTTCGAAAGGAAACAAAATTTAGAATTGAGATCGTGCAAACCAAGGTTTAGCAGCTCAAGCTGGTGTTGAGAAACTGTAGCCCATCATACACCAAGCCGAGCGCTCATCGTGTCAAACGAGTAACTCGCCAACGTAAACAGTCCGCGCATAGCGATCGTTGCTGATGGTATCCAAAGAGTACATTCGACCCACTTGAATCACACGCTCAAAGTCTTTGGCCTGAGTGGCTGTCTTGAATTCGAAAGCAACATCTCCTCGCCTTGACGTACGAACACACTCAAGACCTGGTGGGATTGGAAGATAAACACAATCTATGACATCGTTAGAGAGGACACGATTGCTTGTAAAAAACAGAACGGACGTGGGCGATCTCGGTAGATACGTGCTAAGCTGTTATAGTGGTTTTGGTACAACCTCGCTTCCGCACCGCTTCGAAAGACAAGGACTGGCTCCAGGGGATTAATGGACATGTATGCAGTTGTAGGGATTGGCAGTGCCATCGCAACAACGAAAAGATGATCCCAAAGACGTCGAGAAGTTTGCGCTTGAAAGAAGATTGAAGAAAAGCTCGGAATTCATTGATTAAACCCAGCGAGGTATGACTGCAATAGGGAAAAATTGGGTGGTCAGTTACGTTTTGAGCACAGAAAGCGTACGCATCTCAGCCTGATGCCGACAAGGACGCAGCTTGTCAGCACCAGGGCAAATTCCGGTATCTTTTCATCCTACCAAGGCCACCAGCAGGCCGGAATTCAGCAGCAAACGTGAGGTTCGTGGTTTCGAGGCTCAAATGGCTGAACGAGGCACGTGATGTGGACGACTGCCTAAGGCTGGCCACCAGAAGGGATCAGGCTGCGGTTTGCTTTCTTGAACATCCATGTCGTTCAGCAGCATCAAACGTTTTGCGCAGCGAATCCTCTGCTCAACGTCCTGCATGCTCCGCAATCTCGCACGACTAGATTACCTCGCGAGTCGCCGGTTTCTTCAGCATTGATAACTTCGGTACGGATCTCGACGCCGCTTGCGCAAGATGGTCTTCGAAGAGCAGAGATACCTCCATGAGGACATTGAGAGGCTTGAGCAGGCGATTGCGGATAGGTATGTCGAAGAGCCTAAGCAAGATCGCTACCGCCTCAACCGCGACCACGAGATGGCGCAACTTCTCGACAACCTTCACACTCAAGCGAAAGCACTGCTGGACATCTACAAGACAAGAACGGACGACCGCTTGAAAGAGAGCCAGGACCTATCGCTGGGAAATTCCTTTGAAGCGTTCCAGAAGCAAGTCGCGGACATCAAGGAGTACCACAAGCGATATCCCAATCAGCCTGCGGAAAATTTAGAAGTAGCATACAGAAAGCCTGCGCCCGGCGAAGGCGAGCGCATGCCACTGGTGATCAATGGCATGTTCACAGGCGAAGAGTTTTACGGTCGTTACTTTGATATGTATGACCTTCACGAGCAGTACCTCAATCTCCCAAGTCTAAAGACTGGCCGTCGCATACCTTACATCAAGTATTTGGACTCATTCGACGACTTTTCAAACATCAAGAAAAAGGACAAGCTATCAGACGAGTATCTACAATATGTGCGCAACCTGGCAGCTTATCTGGAGGGCTTCATGAGGAAGACGCGGCCGCTCGAGAACTTGGACAAGCTGTTTGCTCAGTTTGAGGATGAGTTTGAGAAGGCGTGGGCTGCCGGCCAAGTGCCTGGTTGGGAGCAGGAGGAAGCAACTCCTAGGAATGACAGTGCAACGTATTGCGAAGCCTGTGAGAAAGAGTTCGGCAATGAGAACGTATATCAGCATCATTTCAATTCCAAAAAACACATCAAAAATGCCGAACGCAAGAAGGAGAGGGTAGAAAACGGCATGACGACCGGTGCCAGTCGGCTACGAGAGAAAGCCATTGCTGATCGCGAATTTCGGGTAAAAAAGCTTGCGGCAGCAATGCAAACACAACGCAGTGACACACGCGACAACGTCGAACGCAAGGCAGCTATGACAGAGCGTGAACGAGCGCAAGAATTAGAAGCGCTGAATGAAGATGATTTTGAAGCCGCAGGTCAGAATGGCGCGGAAGATGATGACGATGAGAATGAAAAGATTTACAATCCGTTGAAGCTGCCTCTTGACTGGACGGGCAAACCAATTCCTTTCTGGCTGTACAAGCTGCATGGTCTGGGTGTGGAGTTTGAATGCGAGATATGCGGCAATTTCACGTATATGGGTCGTCGTGCTTTTGATAAGCACTTTAACGAGTCAAGGCACGTGTATGGCCTCAAGTGCCTAGGTATCACGAGCTCGCCGCTGTTTCGAGACATTACACGGATTGAGGAGGCTCAGAAACTATGGGCAAAGATACAGAAGGCCAAGAGAGAAGAAAAGGCCGCGGCGGATGTTGTACAGATGGAAGACTCTGAAGGCAATGTCATGCCGGAGAAAGTCTACTTGGATCTACAGAAGCAAGGACTGATATGAGTGTCTTCCGGTTTCAGTACGGACGATCACTTTAAAGACTTGACCATTGCGTCAACTCAGCTCCCCAACCTGGAGATCGCCTATCTCCATTCGAAACATGGCCATGCAGAGGAACATCTGCAGTGCAATACTGCATGAAGCTGAATCAAGTGTGAGGACTAGTCTTGCCATGCAGCGGATTGTTCTGACTACTCTAGGCTGAATCAAGCTTCAACATGCTCAAAGCATAGTGCCGCGGATATCATGTCCGTTCTCCGTACGTCACGGAATTCCTCGTATGTATGAGTGTGTCTAATAGAGTCAAGTGTACCAACATGTTGTGACAAAATTCCGAATGATCGTCTTCTCGTGAGTACGTCCTCTATGTCAATCCAATACCCATCGTGCAAGTGTGCAACGCGTTGACAGTCAGTTCGTCGCATCTAAGCCATACGTTGCTGTTCTTCTCGTCCGGTCACGCGCCCTCGTCACCAAGAAATCATCTCCATCTATACAATTACATCAACCAAGGCCAAAAAAAAAACCTCGTGCCTCGCAATCATGGTAAGCTGGAGTGCTTTCAAGCAGAACTTGTAGTTCATTAGCTGCTCATTCTTGTTGATGGTAGCTACAACGGCAAAACTCTTCAGTCGTTGCATAGTATTCTCATGATGAGGCTAGTGTCGTTGAGGATTCTACGCCATGCTTGAGATTCTCCTGAGAACACTATCGCCATTCACTGTTACCGGTGACTGAGTATTGCGATGTAGGCATGAAGATTCGTGCCCTTTGGTTCAACATCGCCCACGACGCGAAGTATTGCACATCTTTCTTACTTACGCTTTGTTTGTCTTCGAGTTCCCAAAGAAATACGGTATCAAAGGCGAGGATTCTTTCGAGGCCGCCAGCGTGATGGTAAAAGCCCCACATCTTTCCATATTCGTCCTTTCCCCCATGCAGGTTTCGTGCTTTTGGAAATGCGTCGAGCAGAAATCCGACGGAGGATGTTCACGCAGCATGTTGAGCTGAGCGGGTGTCTGGGTTCTATACACGTCGTGAACACAAATTATGCGTGGGAACTGTTCTGGATTCGATATGTGCTCGAGAAGCCCGGTCGTGATTGTAGACGGCGCCTTTCTGGCTTAACGGCTCACGATGTTATCTTTGCCAAAGCCGGACAAAGTTTGTCGAGCATTTTAGACGTTCTGAGCATCCGCCAGGCCAAAAAAGCGTTCGAGAGGATAGCAAGTAACAGGCACGTCTAGGACACGAGAGTACGGAGGTTCTATAGATCTGAAGTGTTCACATCGTCTTGGGATGAGGACAAAGCCGCTCGTTCTATAGTACATTTACACATATGATCAATCATGGGGTTGAGCAGACGTCTTGGAACGCGCTGTTGCTATCTTTCTGGTTTTCTTTTGTGGCTCTTCAAAGTTCTCGTCGTCCTCTTCTGCACCGAGAGTCTCTGATCGGCCCGTCACGCGCTTGGTCCGCTTTCCATTCCTTGACCTAGAGCCGTCTCGTCGACCGAGGAGCGCCTCGTCGTCTTCCTTATCGTTATCGTCATCGCGTCTGATGTTGCCCTTTGCTCTGTCACCGATCTTGTGAAGAGCGCTTTCCAATCTCTTACTAGTACCTTCTGCACGACGCCTCGGTGCGAACGCACCAGCTCCCACACCGCCACCAAAGAACGCTGTGATGTTTGCCTGCGTGCCCTCTTGTTCACGACGGTTCATGTCTCTGATGACAGGCACCAAGATCTCATCGACGCGCTCGTTGCTCCAACCAATCGTGCTCATGAGAAACGCCCGCAAGGCCTGAAGGTCCGGAACACCCCATACGAATTCTGAAGGGTCGGAGTCAACTTCCGGCTCGAGGTATGCCTTCTCTACCTGGGGATTCGGGAAAGACACGGGCAGGAAGATTTTTGCCGCGTTGCGACGGAATTTCTTTCGAAAAGCGCTGTTGGCGTCAGCGTCCTTTGAGCGCTGACCCTGCTGCACGGCGTTGAACCACTCTTTGAACGCGACTAGATCGTCGAACTCGGACAGGATCTCTAATGCCGTGACCGGGCCGATACCTGGCAGTCCTTCCGTGTAGTCGCTGCCTAGGAGTTGTGCGATGGATATGAGTCGCTGTCTTGTGAGGCCAAATTCAGCTTCAAGATCTGTGGCCAGATAACATTCCACAAACTTTGCCTGGTTGAAAACATTCTTGTATACTCTCGTTCCTCCAAACAAGAACACGTCGGAGTCATCGGTCACGATGCCGTCGACGAGGCCGAGCCTAACAAGTTCCGCACATTGCGCTTCCGCCTCCATCGGTGCCGTGATGTACGGCAAGCCAAAAAGCGTGAGTAGCTGTTGACACTCAGTGATCATCGTCTGTATTACTTCATCCGCGTCCCGACGATCCTTCTTTTGTTGGGTTCGTAACTGTTTAAGCTCTCTCTCGTAGTCTGCAATATTCTGCTGTACCGTTCTCTGATTGAGACTAGACGTGAATCTAGCATGCTCCTCTTCTTCTTGCATCATTTGAAGAATGAGCTCCTCGTCTTCGGGGTCAGAGTACACATCCTCATCTTCCGCGACTTCAAATTCTATCGCCTCTTCAGATCGAGCTGGATTCGTCAGCTCTGGAGTTGTGGACGATTCAACCGGCTGGGTGGGGGGTAGAAAAGTTGATTCTTGAGCGTGAGGATCGGAGGACGGGGCGTCAAGAACTACATCCTCAAAGTCTTCCTCATCAGAGTCTCCAGATTCAGTACCGCCCGGCTTTGGTTCATTCACTTGCTTCGGCGACCTGGGAGATCGTGTTTCCTCAGGCTCGTTGTCGCTGGCCTCCCACTCGAAATGGTGTTCGACTGCTTGTGAATCGGCTGCGCTGATATTCAGCCCACCCGACTCCATCTGAGTCGGTGGTAGTGCAGAATGCGGTGAAACATCTCCAAGTGCAACTTCTTCCTTCTGGGGTTGTATTACTGCTTCCTCGTTCAAGTGGTCCGGTTTGGATGCAGGCAGGCCGGCAGGGAAAGCTTGCGTTTGTGACATATCGGGGTCAAGCTCAGGCTCTGAATCAACAATAATTACTTCCTGAGCCTTCTCTGGTTCCGCCTCGAGATCGATAACCTCATGGTTCTGATGCTGGCGAATCCTCTCACGAGGTTGAAACTCAAACTGCCTGCTTTCAGCCGCTCGCTGTGCCAACTTCAGGTCTCGCTCCCGCTGCTCCTGTTCTACCTTTCTCTGCGCAGCCATGTCGTGGTCAAGGTCACCTGTAAACCAAGGCGGAAGCGGCCTGGCTTCCTCTTTTTTCGGCTTTGGCTCGACTAGCTGGCGCTCAAACCCGCCTGCCTGATCTTGCTCAAGTTTATCCATCTTCTTTTTTCCTAGCAAGGACGAACCTAGACTGAGCTTCTCAAATGGTAGCGGTCCATCAAATCCTGCAGCGCGAGCAGTAACCGAAGGCGAGTCCGGCCTCGCTGCAGGCACAATTCTTGCAGATGCCGGCGACTTCTGTTTTTGTTTGGCATTTCGTGATTCCATTAGAGCTGCTTGGAAATTTATTGCATCTTCGTCATCACTTTCTTCCAGAGCGGATAATTTTGAAGTAGCCTCGTGAGACCGGACGTTAGCGACGTGTGCAATTGCTTTCCCACCGGCGTTTGCGAATGGGTTCGCATCAGCAGCCCTTCTTTGTGCAAATACCTCGCGGTAGTCGTCCTCGTCATCGTCCTCGCCACCGTTCTCTACCGTGTTCTGTTGCATCGACAGTGCGATTGCTCTTTGCAAGTCCTCATCTTCGTCGACCATGATCGCATCTTGGCCGGCAGCATCCTCGAAGACATCTTCCCATTCCTCGTCCTCTGCTTCAGAGTCTGACTGTACAAACAGTGAATCTCGACTTTCGGCCGCTGCCCCTCTGCGCGTACTGCCAGCTTTGCGTCTTCGTGCACCATACAACGCTTTTCGACGGTCCATATCTCGGCGTAGAAGATCGGCTGCAGGATGAGTAGGCTGCGGTCGCTTAGGGAGCCTGTTAACACCTTCGATAGGCACGTCCTCGAACTCGATGTCCTCGTCCGATTCTCCTTCTTGATCTGTGGCGTTTTCTTCAGCATCAACATCGATCGGCTGATCTTTCTTCCCCTCGTTGCTAACTACGCCTAGGGCCCAACCGCCCTCTACACCGTCATTGCGTACGAGCACATACTCTCTGCCTCTTTCTCCTGCTATTCTGCTCATGGCACCGGATCCGAAGGTGAGATCGCCCTCGGCGTTGTTGATCTGCATGAGCCGCTGCGTAAGTTCGTTACGCTCCCTCACGCGCTCGATTTGGAATCGGGAGAAGTCCATGCGATTCGGGAACATGACGTCGAGCTGCTCCTTCGAATAGCCCATTCTCAGTCGGCTTCGCAGTCGCGCGGCGTTGAGGATGTTGTACCGGTCGCTTGCCGGCAGACTTGTAAAAAAGGGACTGTCGAAGTCGATCTTCGAAAAGTCGTACACGTTGATGTCCTCGCCGCTCTGGAACTGGTTCGCGTAGTGCTGCAGCTCCTCCAAGCTCATGATCCTCGGATCGTTAGGCTGACCCATCTGCGCTAGGTCCGCATCGAGGTTTGGCAGGTGATAGGCATCTTGCTTCTTGAAGGTGCGGTTCTTCTGACGCTCTTGCGCCGTCAACGCAATCTCCTCCGCATACACCAGCTCGTCGGGAAGAGGCTCCTCCTCCGCAGGCGCGGGCTTGTCCCGAGCATCTTTGCGTCTGTTCTCTTCCTCCTCCGCCATCCGCTGCATCTGCAAGGCAAGCAGCTTACCTGCCGTCTTGACGGCATCGTCTCTACGACCCTCGCGTCTTCTTCTGCGGTTATTGATCGTCTGCCTCTTCAGCGCGGGGGCTCCACCGTCGAACACGAACACGGGTTTGATGCCAAGATACAGCAATTTACATATTCGCCTGAAGAAGCCGACCACATGGCTGTTGCGCAGCGCGTTGCCATCTTTGTCGCGCACGGCCTTTAGGAACTGGTAGATCCAGATCGAAGCGTCGACAGCGAGACGCTTCTTGTTCAGCGTTTCGATCTTGATCGGACGGGCACATGGGTGGACGACGTTCCAGAGGCCGGTGACACCCATGGTGAAGTGGAAAAGAAGACTTCAGCCATGAAAGGCGACGAACGCTGTCACAAAGGTTGTCTTCAAATGCGAAGGGACTGCAATCGGTAACTTATGCGAGATGTCGATGACTCCGGATGACCATCAGCCCCACTGACGTAGCCTGGTTGGCGCGTAGTCACGTTCTTTCGCGTCGACGTTCGTTCGTTCAACATTCATTCTACAATCCTCACTTGCACATGCACCGTTTTGCTGCTCCCCAATAGAATCATGTGAGGATTCAAAGGAAGTAAAACGAAAAGAAAACGGTCATCGACCCAAATTTTTGTGTCACACAAGGCCTGCCAGCCGTGAACTCGTCGCTTTTCTTGCTTTCATTCCGGCTCTCCGACGGAGGGTCTTACCAATGCTGACGAAGATCTTTAAAAGAGCGAGCAACAACTGCATTACTTCCAACTTTCTTTCCAGTCACATAGCCCGTACCGCAGACACTCTTTCAAAGCCTTCATTTCCTTCTCGTCCCTTTGAAAGGAAAAGACGTGCGTCCATCTAAAGGCGCCATGGCTTCGACGGCCCGCAACCTTTTTCAGAACCTGCCTCCCCCAGCCGAGTGTCTCGCCCTCCTCATCGGCACAGCAGAACTCACCGTCTTCGGTCTCGGCGGCTTCGCCAACCCAGCCCAGTTCGCGACCGGCTTCGGCATCCCACTTCTTCCCGCCTCTGCGACGCAAAAACATCCCGGCGCGATCGAGTCGAGCCCGGAGGAGATCCGGCAGGCCAAGAAGGTCGAGGATACGCAGAAGGCGCTCATAACCGCGATAGCGGCGCGCAACGTCCAGAACGGACTGCTTATCCTGACGTTTGGCGCGTGGTATAGGGATAGGAAGGCGCTTGGTATACTTACAGCATTCGGATTGGTTACGACGGCGACGGACTACTTCGTCGTAAAGTCGTACGGCGTAAGGGAAGCTGCTAGTGGTCACCTCATAGGTGTGCTCAACTGCCTACTGATCGGTAGTTCGCTTCTGTTCTGGGGTCGTGAAGACCCTTGGTGGTAAGGGAAAGAAAAGGGCGCAGCATTCTGAAGAAAATGGACGGTACAGTTCGTGTATGTAGGCTCCCTTGATGAATGTTCACTCATGAGCGCTTGGACATGCATCATCTTAGGCTGAACTCTGTAAATATCCTTCAGTCGCCTCTAAGTAGGCGGTTTGGTCCTCAAACAGGAGCTTCGCTAGCTCCAATCCGCACGGCAAGTGGACTGTCTTGATTCATTTTGGCCCAGTCGACGTAGACAAAGGACCACGCTCAGCGCCTGAAGCCGGACTCACTCGTTCACGGCGAGGAACGTTTTCGACCAAAATTCGTCGTACAGAGCTGCGCGATGGACTTGCAGCGGCCAAAACCTCAACCAGCAACGTGCCTCACTCTGACATGCCCCCAAACTCGCGCGATGAGCCGAGCAAGCTCCTCGGCCGGCAACGACGTGGGCGAAATGTCGCCGGAAGTTGAGGTGGTTGGCGAGTCTCTAGCTGAACTCCGTCCACGGCCCGACGAGCACGCACCGGCGCAGATTTTCGGGCAGGCAGACTACAAGCCGGACGACGGTGAAGTTTATGCTCTGCTCGGGGTTGAGGCCGTTCGCCGAAGCGCCTTCACATCTCGAACCACAAGATGGCCGGCGAAGGCGGCGAGCACGCAATCCCGCAGCCTTTCCTTGTCTCGACGCCGCTCGAGTCGTCAAGCCAATGAAAGGCTGTCCCGTCCGGGTGGTGAGCGTGAAACACCTTCTTCGCTGTCGGAGAATTGCGGTCTCGGCAGAATCCTGCGGAATGTTCCTCACGTCACCAAGCCTCTCTTTTTCGTTTCCTGGGATCCTCCCGACTCACTGGAACGGTCGCGGAGCAAGGTGCGGGATTTCTGTCCCTGGTCTTGCGCTTATCCTTATCTTATCACTGGAACGGGGAGTGTTTTGTTGAGGTGTTAGAATACTGCCTGGCTTCACGCCGTATTACAATAATATTTAGACCAACGTGAACAGCAAGACTTGTGAGGGACAGGGACCTACTTGGAACTGCGACTCTCGTTGCGTAGTGAAAACTTGGTCCTAAATGGATCAAGGTGGCGTGTTGACCATTTTGCAAGGAGTTGGGAGGGAAAAGAACGGTCCAAACCTGCTTTCGGTAGGAACAAATCGAAGACTCGTCCACCTAGTGGCCTCAGCGAGATGAGTGTGCAGACAAAAAAAAAATAAAAATAAAAAATAGAGACGACGCCTTTCAGTGAGCTATAGTGAACATAATTGCAGCCTTCTTGTGGGCTTCTGAACTTTAGAGCCGGCATTGTCGGACCACAAGTCCCAGTAGCTATTCAAAGTCACGGACGCCAACTGAACAATCGCAGCAGGCGGAGCGTGGAGAGCGAGCAACAAGCCAGTCACAAGAAACGATGCAGTGGTTGGTCCTGTCAAGAGAATGAGCGCCAGCAAATTCTGCGTTGTCGTTGCAGATGTCCGGTTGAGATTCACAACCTATCGTCAATGTCCACGCCAGTGGGGCAGCGGTTTCGGTACCAGGGATAGACGAGGAGGCGTTCGCTCGGCGTCGTTCTGGATTATGAACGCATACAATTTTTGTACGTAGGAAAAAAAGAACATGGTAAATGCGCTACGGGTAGATAGTCTCATGTGGGCCACGACTAAGAGAACGCGGGCGGCGCTAATTCTCCACCGCGCATGTAAGCACGCCTCTAACTGCCTCGTGCAATCACAAAGGAGGCATCACTACGATTTGGGAGAGGGACGACGGCTTTGTTCTACTACGTTTGGAGTAGTGGATGTGCCTCTTGGCAAACGAATGGCGCCCACGTGCTGGTTGTGGAGAAGGATACTTGGGAGACTAGACTACAATACCGCGAAAGCGCTGCAATAGCTCACGCTGCTGTCTCGCGGACTTGTGACCAGACTGCTGCGCTCATACCGCACGAACTTGAATCGACCTTGACCCTGTGGCGTGACGTGTTTAGCAAAACGTTCTCATCAAGAAGCCGCATGTTTGTGGTTGAAGGAAATGGCGCTGAAGACGAAACGGGAGGCAAAAAGCAGAAAGGACATACCTTGGCCGGATCGGCCTTGCCTTCCTTCTCCAGGACCTCGACGGCCGCCATGACGACCCCGATGGGATGCCTTCCGCAGACCGTGTTTCCCGTCTCTTCCAGCACACGCAGGAATTCGTCGTGCACACCGGTCTCTACCGCGTCGATGCACTGCATGTCGACCGCGGCTATGCTCTCATGAATCGCGCGGTCGGAGGGCCGCTTAGCTGAGTTCAGGTGCACGGCGGGTCCGCTCGCGGGCTGGTAGTACGTGTAGCGGAAGCGGGAGCCCCAGTGGCAGAAGTCAGAGGAGGCAATGAAGATGGAGGACGGGTCAGCGAGGTAAGGGGCAAGGAGAGCGCCAAACGCCTTTTCAGTCGCACGGTTCGTTGATCCAACCAAGATTGGAATGAGCGGTGGGAAGTCGGCCGGCGAGGCAAAGTTGCTGCGTGCACCGAGTCAGCGGTTCGAGAGCGGCGGTGACGGTAGAAAAAGTCTGCACACGCTTACCGAGAGAGCATCTTGTAGATGTAAGGCAGGTGCATCTCCAGGCTATGCTCGTCCTCGTCGGCCGCTCGGGACATGTGCGAGAACTTGCCCGTCTTCTCCAGCTCGGCGATGGTGGGCATGTCGAGCTTGAGATCGCCCAGCGGCGTCTCGTACGTCGTGCATCGCGACAGGGCACATGTTTCGAGGTAGTAGTGATGGGACGGGCCCAACAGGAACACCCGCTTGCTGTCCGCTCTCGTCAGCCTCGAGCACCGCGACAAGATCCAGAGTGCCTTCTTCTTTGCCTTACACATTGGACCAGTCCACCGCCTTATAGGCCCATGCCGCAGCAGGCCCCGAGTACGAGTAGCCAGCGTGCCTGCGAGCATGCCATGAGCGCAAGATCTCACACGGGTGTCTGGAGTCATTTCGGCGTACGGTGCTATGATGGCCCTGGCATTCGAGACGGGAATGTCCACGGGGTCTTCCTTGGCAGACTGGGTGCCGATACACGCAGTCTTGCTAGGAACGGCAGCAAGAAAGCTGTCCAGCTGGCCTGACAACTCACGTTCATCATCGGTGTACCTGGCTCAGGCCTTAGTACGACGGAGACAGTCACGACTTGCCAGGAAGCTCCAGCTCGAAGAGTGGGAACGTACCACGAGCCCGCGTGGGTGGCTCTTCTCGCCGTCATCATGCCTTCGGGCCGTGTGCTTAACCAAGGGCCGACTGTCTTCGCGGCCGGGATGTCCGCTGCGGTGGGATCTCTTCGGTGAGCCCTCGCGATTCAACAAGCACGGTACTGAAGAGCGCAGTCCGGCGGGCTGGCTGAGTCTGGATCACACGTGTGTAGTCGGATCGGCGGTGCTTTGGCGGGGTAGGTCGAGCACGCACGGACGGCGGCGGGCAAGGTGCCGGTCGCGGCCGTGGCTGCCTGGCAACAGGCGGGTCACCCCCTCTAGCGCCCGGGCACGGGAAATTGCACTGAGGATCTGCGCTGCGATTGCCCAGCGCGATCACGCGTTCGTGTGCCTGAAGAGGCATATGCTGACGCCGTGTGCTCTTCCTCTTTCCCTGCCGGCGGGCGTTGGCTCTGCCAGGCTGCAGAGCGAATGTTGGCCTGCGCGCGGCACGTCTGCGTGATGCAGTGTGGCATGTGAATCGCGGCACGCCGGGCGCGTGCCCAGTGCTGGCTAGCGACTCTCGACTTCGAGCGAGCCAAAAGTCAAAAAAACGAGGTGTGGTGCAGTAGCGGAGCGCCTTGGAACTTCTGGAACGCTGCACCGCCCGAGTCAGCGGCCAGACAATGTTGAGGGCGCGCGGAGATGACTTGGCGCCGGTCGTGCTGGACGTGGTGCTGCTGGCGAAAGATGTGCGATTAAGGTGTGGCTTTGTTCGCCATCCCTCGCTCTGCTGGCGCCCTCCCATCGCTCGCGGGTCCCCCCCCTAGCCCTCCCCTAAGGCCTCCCCTACCCCCCCCTAAAGCCCCCCTAACCCTCCCTCTGAAGGCGGCGCTGCCTCTTCACCCGCTAAATCTCCCTTGTGGGCGCCCCCTCCGGCCTTGCCTTTCCCCTCTAACTCCCACCAAACCCTCCCGCCCCCCCCCCTTCCCATAGGCCATCGCGATCCACTAGACGCAGCAAGGACGTATTGGCTGCCGACCCAAACCACCTCTGTCCTCCGACGGAGTCAGATCCCAATTCTTTCTCCACCCGGCTCTCTCCTTCGTCGCGCTTAACTGATCCGCCCCCTCCCCCCCCCCCTTGGCCCGCCGCCCGTGGCCCCTCCATCCTGACAGCCCGCCTTTCCTCTCTTCGCATCGCGGCTGTAATCCTTCCTCTGCTCCCTAGTCCCTTTTCTTCTTCGCTCCCCGAAAGTAACTTCTCATCCATCTCCTTCCTCCTCCTCCCTTTTCTTGTCGAAGATTCTTCGGCCAGCACTCGCCTTTCACACGCAGAACGATCCGGCTCGCCCGTTTCTAAGCGTGCCGCTCCTTTTACAAATACCACGCGCACACGCACATTCACACACAGTCGTTCGCTAAGCACGGGTGATCTGCAGGGCCCGGCATCTCCTAGCTGCAGCGCAGTGCAACCACACGAAACATGGGTATCTTTTCGAGGCGGTCTACAAATTCTGTGAACAACAAAAGCCCACCCAACAGTCAGGGCAACGGTATACTTGCCAACGGTCACGCTTCTCGTCCATTCAGCAAGATGGTGCCCCAGATACCAGACATTCCTCTCCCCAAGCCCCCCGACCCATGGCAGGACCCGGTCGCCTACTTGCGGAGCATTCATGCCGTCCGCGAGAGGAGCAAACTGGTGCTCGAAAAGGCGAAGAGGAACCAATTGAAGCACTTCGACGTGGACATGGGCAAGTTCGCCGAGACGGCGAGCTATGTGGTCTCCATCATCAAGGTATGGCGTCTTCCGTGCCTCAACGTTCCTACGTGAAGAGTTATCTAAACGTTTTTTTTTGTCCTGGTGCAGAGAGATTACGCCGCCGAAGGCTATGACACCATCCCCCCGCACGGCCGTTGGCAGCACTTCGAGGTCGGTGGCCGCCCACGCGTGGACCAATTGCTGGCAACATGGCCCTCCACCGTTGATGCGCAGGAACGCTGCCGGAGGCTCATCGATCTGTTCCTTGTTTCCGTGCTCCTCGACGCGGGGGCCGGCACACAGTGGCAGTACAAGAGCAAGGAGAACGGCAAGATCTACCGACGGAGCGAGGGGCTTGCTGTCGCGAGCTTGGAGATGTTCAAGGTCGGCATGTTCAGCAGCAACCCCAACGAACCTTGCCAGGTGGACAGCAAGGGACTGCGTTCCATCGACGTCGCCACCATGGCCAAGGGTCTGCAGGTCTCGGACACAAATCCTATCGCGGGGCTGGAAGGACGGACGGGTTTGCTCATGCGCTTGGCAGACGCTCTCGAGAACACCAAGGTTTTCGGTGAGGAGCGGCGGCCGGGCAACATGCTGAACTGGCTACTCGAGCACCCTACTACCCAGGTCTCCTCGGTGCCCATCATCCTTCTCCCTACCTTCTGGAACCTCCTCATGGACGCGCTTGGCCCCATCTGGCCAGCGACGCGGACGAGTATCGACGGCCAGTCTCTCGGCGACGCCTGGCCGCTGCAGATCCTATCGTCGATCCATGAATGGGAGTCCATCGTCCCATTCCACAAACTCACACAGTGGCTGTGCTACTCGCTCATGGTTCCCATGCAGCGGCTCCTCAACGTTCACTTCGCCGGTGCCGAGCTCATGACTGGTCTACCAGAGTACCGAAATGGCGGACTGCTCGTTGACACCGGTCTGTTGACTCTCAAAGAGGAAGACATGCAGCGTGGACTGGAGGCCTACAAGGCTGCCATGTCTGGTGGAATGGAGGTCGTACCGCTGTTCACCACGGACGACGATGTCATTATTGAATGGAGAGCGGTTACTGTCGGCTTTCTGGATGAGTTGCTCGTCGAAGTCAACAAGCAGCTCAACGCAAAGCTCACCCTGGCTCAGATGCTTGAGGCCGGCACGTGGAAGGGCGGTCGCGAGCTCGCTGAAGTTTCACGGCCCAACACAAAGGAACCTCCCATCATGATCGTATCCGACGGCACCGTATTCTGAGAATCTTCGCACAACCGAGGACCAAAAAAAAAAGTCTCATAACGTGAAACAACATCAAAACAACATACCTCTATTGATTGTGCGTTTGTCTGTTTGTATGCTCTTACTTTTGCGTGCTTGTTTCTCAGCTGCGAGGTCCGAAAACATAATTCTGCTCAACGTATGCTGGGATCGCAGGAGGGATTTTTTAGGACCTTTCTTGTTTAACCACAACCAATAGCCTGACATGGGCCTGCGCCTTGCCCTGCGTTCAGCTCTTTCTCTCTCTCTCAAGAAGAGAGTGTACTGGACGCATGGCATGACCAAGCGACCTGGCGAGAGGTTTTAACGACGGTATGATTAATCACGTGTTTACGAACTTTCGCATCGGGGAGCAGAATGTACAAGAGACGGCACAAAGGGGGCAGGGAACCTAAAGGGCATCCAAAAGGGCGGTCATGTTTTCTTTTTTTAATGTCATCTTCGCACGAGACAGAATATCCACAATGAGAAGTTTTCACGTATGCGCTAAATGGCCTATCAAATGGAACGTCCAGATCGTTTCTTTTCAAAGTCGAAATCCCTTCGTGGTCCTCCTCACTCTGCTGATTTTTGTTTTTGGGCTCTCTCGTCACGCTTGCTGCGGCTGTACCTTCTTCTTTTTCTTGACGAGGCCGGACCCGAGCGTGTTGACGCCGTTGCTTGGCTCCGGAGCCTCAGCGACAGCGTCGGCCTTCCGCTTAACGCCCAACGTGTTCACAGCCGAAGAGGTTGTCTGCACGACGCCGGGAGATTCTGGCTCCTTGCGGCCAACGACGTCCTGGCCCCACCGCTCGCCTCGGTGGGCGAGCACGGCAACCTCGTCAACCCACGTCTTCGTGCTCGCCACAGCCGTCTCCTCGTTCCTGAACTGCAACGCCAGCAGGCGCTCGGCTGCCTTTTTGTAGTCCTTCTCAGCGAGCACGATCTCGCCTCTGCTGGACGGCGGCCAGATGAAGTACTCTGATTCTTCGGGCACGGACTTTGACGCTAGCGCGACGGACGCGGACTTGATCTTGGGCGTCCGAGGTATGATGGGGCCTTTGAGTGCCTTCTTTCTCCGACGAGGCATGGGCCGGCCTCGGGCGTGATGTGGCGACGACTTGCGCTTCGACGACGGGGACGGGGACGTCGGCGTGCTCTGCGGGTCCTGCTCACACGCCGAGCCAGGAGCCGAGCCATGTGCATCCTGAGAAGCCGCCTTCTCGGCTTCCGGGGGTGTGAAAACGACCCAGATGAAACCGACGAGGCGGCCGGACGAGCATTCTTGCCGAAAGGCCATCATTTCCCAGAACTGCTCCAGGCTTCGCACACTGCGCCAATGGCCGTTTCCACGCTTTGACGGCGACGCCTGGAGCTGACTTGATGGCGTGCTGCTGTCTGGAAGCTCGTCGTCGAGTTCATCCAGGAAGCGCGCTTTTGGGTCGTCTGGGAAATGAGGGACGAGGCATCGAGGTGGCGCCGAGGGGTGCTTTGCTATCTCGAGCAAAGGGTGGCCATGAGTCCATCTTGCCCGGCGGGCGGGATCCAGCCGCACGTGTGGGGGTAGGTAAGGTACGATGGTATCCTCGCCGGGCACAATCAAGTAAGCTTGAGACGTTGTGTCGCTTTGCGCCGCACTCCTCTCACCCTCCTGGCCACGTGCCTTGTACTTTGCCAGCACTGGGTCCAGCACTCTGCACCACCACCTCACCAGCTCACGATCATCGCTCACATGTTTGGCCTTGTTCTCCACACTGCCTGGGAAAAGGTATTGAGAGTTGGCTCTAGCGAAGAGGCTGAGAACCAGCCTGATGCCCTTTCTCTGTCTTTTTTCTACCAGATATCCAAGGAAAGAAGTCGCAATCGTTCGCAGAGGGCTTGAATGGCCTTTCCCCAGCTTGAGCAATGCCAGATATCCGGTCGAATCGGCCTTCGAGACGAATATCGTAGTGAGTCGGCGCGTAGTGTAGATCAGAACTTCAATCGCAAATATGAAGACTTCTTCGCCCCCATGACGGACAGATACATTGAGAAAATGAGATTCCGTGTACGTTTTCTCGGGCTTAGCACCTGGCGGAGCCGAGAACAGAGCGGGTGAACGTTTGGGAGGTGTGCTGATGTGATAGAACTTGAAGCCAGCCTGAGCGGGTAGAGCGTCTGCCAATCTATCGGCCAGCGAAGGATCGGTCGATGTAGAACCCATTGCAAAGAGTGTTACAAGGAACTTTCAAAAGATTGAACAGTAGAAGACACGAAAGAGGCTCGTGGACAACGGACGTACCATTCAAGACTGCAGTCCAAGTAACTGGGCGAGTCTGTACTGGACGCGACGTGCGCACGGATCCTCCGACCGAAAGAGGAAAGAGGTCTGCCGCAAGTTTCAGTGCTCAATAAAGAAAGTGAAATACTTACTGACACGGATATTCATCATTGATTCGCATGCAAGCCTCAATGGCCACCTGTTCATCGGCGCGAAGACTAGCGACGACTACCTCAAGCCCGCTGCGATGTATAGGTAGCACAAAGACCTGGACACAGTCCGCCAATCGCACCTTTGTCTGCTCACAATGTCGGCACCCTTCGTCGAGAACGTTCTCCACGGCCCCGTACGTCTCGCAGGAAGCAGACAATGACCGTGCAGAGAGGCCACGATGGCAGCAGACGCCAAAAGGAATGCAGATGCCTTTCAAGATACGACCGAGGGACAAGCGCAATGAGTGGACGTGCAACGAAGACCCAAAGAAGGTTGCCGACTTTTACAACAGATTTTTGGGTGAGGGCGGAGAATCTGTGCTGAGCGAGGAGACGAGATGGTTGGCGATCACGCACAAGAGCTTTGATCAGGGAAGGAGAGGTTTCAACGATCGTTTGAGCTACATGGGTACGTTTTTCCAGGCATCAACTCAGGTGCAGCGTGAGCAAGTCCTGACGAGTGCACACAGGTAAACGCATAGTCGACCTGCAGACATCGCTGGCGCTCGTAGCGAAACCGCGGGATCCGCTCTCGGAGCAGGGCCCGGACGCGTACGGTCGCTACCCTTTTGAACACCCTCTTCTCGAGGGCCTGGAGCACCTCTCGGAGCGTCAGAAATCCGCCGTGCTGAGCAAGAACAAGCTCGCGCAGCTTGGCAAGGAGTACGGTCTACAAAACGTGCTGAGGTGGAGGCCAAAGAAAGTAGATAACCTGTCGGGCTCTGGCTTGGAGCTCGTCATGGCTCAAGCCATGTACGCCGTCGTGGGAGCAGTCGCGTTGGAGAGGGGCGGCGAAATGGCGAACAAGGTGACGCGGGAGAAGATTCTGGCTCCACTTGGTCTGGGGCAGCCTGAACGGTCGTAGCGGAAATGGGAAGCATCAGCATTGTACGATTATTCTGACCGATCATAGATTCTTTTGCGAGCCGGACCAGCTGCACGTTACTGGATTTCTGGATGTAGGTGCAAGTGCCAGGCACCCGAGGACAGCAAAATGTATTTTGATTGCACACCGCTCTGCGGGCCTTCGTCGTTTGTTTCTCTATGCTTTTGGTGCTTGAAGTTGAATCTACCGCCCAAGCCGAGGTTGGCGCTGCACAAAAAACGGCAGTTCTCGTCGCTCGTCCAGCGATCATGTAGACACGCAATCAGCCTTGCTCACGTCTTTGACGGTCATGATCCGCATTCCGCACCCCTTGGAACGCAACGGAGACACGCTCCCAAGGCGCCCACTGCGCTCGCCATTCTGGCCCCGATGACGTCGAGCGCAGAAGAGTCGAACTGGAGAAACGGACGTTCGTGATCTCGCTTGCAGTCGTACGGGGGTTCGTTCTTAGAACGAGATGACGGTGTGGAGAGAGAGAGAGAGAGAATGCGCCTTGCGACCTTTGCAGAGCGTAGATGTTCATATAGCACGGTCCACTGCAAATCAGGCTGGTCGTTGCGTTTCTTGACGAACTAGTCCAGCCGGGGGGGCCGCGCGCGAATGCTGAAAAGTCAGCTTTTTGTTTTTGATTCGGATCATCCCTCTCGCTATTGAGCGCAAAGGACAGGACGAAGCGCAGATTGAGGAGCCACGCGGCGAAAGTCGGGGGGCAAATTCAGACGGTACACTGCTTGCTGGGGTATGCAAAGGGTTGTCATGTCATTATTCCTTTCTCTAAGGATTATACATCTAGAACATGGTCGTTATATGCCTGGCGAGAGAGGAAAACAAAAATAAAAATAAAAATAAAAAAGCAAGGCAGCAGAGGTCCTTCCCCAGCCAATAATGTCAACCTCTGAATGCAGCTCTGTCTTTCAAACCGGTCGTTACAGTGATGACAGCAATTTAAATACGCAATACGCAATGTGGGGTATACATATATATATATATACAATGACAAAGAAGCAATAATACAAGGTATGAGATCCAGAGTGCAGTTGCGCTCAGAGCGATGATGTTCGAGCTGGGTGAACCGAAAGACAAGGATGCGTATAGTGCCTTTCGAATAGACAAGGACTCCCTCTCTAAGTGATACGCAGATCCTCTTCACATGCCACGTTGCACGTGAGAAAACGTCCAAGTTTTCGTCGGCCAAGAGCAAATGATCATGGCACGCGTAGCTCAAGCCCCTCTGAGGGCCATCGTACTGCGTCTTTGGCGGAGAAGAAGATTTACGGTCGAGGAGGATGACGTTTTCATGCTGGAGCTGCTGTGGATCTCTCTCGACAGCGAGGTGCGACGCCGCCTTTGTGGGCTTGTCAGCGCAGGCACATCCTGGTCGTAATCCTTGGGACAAGGAGGCAGCTCGATCGTCGGCTCTCGTTCATTCGCGCCACGAGCGACCATCTTGGGGAAGCTGCGCTGCACGGGCGTGCCAGCCAGAGCGGACGGAGTTGCGCTGCGCGGTGACGCAGACTCGCTTTTCGAGGTGGCGTGCTCGCGGTACCACTGGTCACGAGCCCGCTGGCTGAAGAAGAAAGGCGGGAGTTCAGATCCTGCTGCGGGAGTGGATCCGACGACCGAGCGACGTCGCTTTTGCTTCGTCTCCTTTTCCACCGGCTGCTCTGATCCCGGCGTGCTCGTCGCGGACCTGAACTTGGAGGAGATGCTGCGGAGACGAGAACGAGTGGTGCTGCCCGGCCTTGGCTGCGTTGTCTCGTACGGGTCTGATTCGAGGAAGGAAGGCGTGCTTGCGGACGGATCAAATGAAGTCATAGACGCTGTCGAGGGCATGCCGCAGTGCGAAGAGCTGGCGGGTGTCTTCTCTTGGCACAGGCTCTCGGGGGTGTCGCAATAGCTGGAGGCGCTGCTGAGAGATTCGTGGGCCGATCGGGTGGCCAGTTCAGTATTTAGATGCAAGGGAATAGATCGTGCTGTTGTTCGCGCGGGTCTTGTAGGCGACGGCGAACTCGATCTGTTTGACAGATAGCTCTGGCGGTCGTTCAGCGTTGACCACCGTTGAGGAACGTTGACGACGTGTGCTTTGCCCGGAGCTGCGATGCAAATTGCAACGGCGACGTCGATACGGTACGGCTCCAACTCGGTCCAGGATGCTTGCGTCTCATTTCTTTCTTCCGCGTCGTCGTCGTCGTCGTCCTCGTCCTCGTCCTCGTCTTCGTCGTAGTCGTCTTCAGCCCCTGTAGTCTCCTCATCGAGCATTGGGGACAAGGCTTCCTCGGATGACTGGTATTCTTGCTCAAGGCTCGGGGTCATCTGCTCCTTCAGAACATGACCGATGTCTTCCATGGCGGCTGAGATCCTTATCTTCTCCTCAGCATCGAAGTATGTTCCTGACGAAGACTCGCTGGCAGGGCTTTCATACGAGTATTGCGATGTTTTGTCGATACTCCAGGAACGAAACTGCTCTTGTGTTGGCGTTATCATTCTTGCCACCGTCTCTGGATTTCGTTCCGTGGGGTGACTGACGCCCACGACGTCCGCTCTTTGGTTGCACAGCAAACAGGCGGGCCGAGATCAACGATATAATTTGGTTCGTTTGTCCCAACGCAGCTTCGGGGTCTGGCCAGACAACGCCGTCGAAGGGGATTTGACCACACCAGACGGCCGTTTGGCAACGGAGTAAGGCAGGGCCAGGACGAAGGGAGAGCCTCTAGGTTTTCCAAGGATAAAAGACGTGTCTGATATACGCAGGCTTGGTTTCACATCCTCGTGCGTGATGGCGGAGGACGGACAAGGCCAAAAGAAGGGGAGCGTCAGGATGATGTCCGACAGCGGGGCCGCTCCAGCAATTATGAAGCGATTGCTGAACCAAACCAGACCTGATTCTCCCATCGTGACAGTGCAAGGATGGTAATGTTCAGGGTGGTAGCCACAAGTCCGGGGCACGTTTGCACGGTCGACAGTGCAGTCGAGCCCGCAGCCGATTTGTTTCAGGACATATCCATGTCCATCGACGGCACATCTTCACTAAACATGCTGCTAGGCAAGCTGGTCAGAGAGCAGATGGACTACAGAATTTTCTTTTCTTTCTGCTTCTTCTCTTCCCATCTGGCGTGCGCGGGCGTCGATGGATCACGATGCCGAAACACGCACACACACACACGCCCTGCTTACAGCCGCCAGCAGCCGGTTTCTGCAGCGCAACCTCACGCGGAGGGTCAGTGTGACGGCCCAGAACGGCAGTTGGCAAAGAGGCACCGTCTGGCTCCAGAGGCTCGTGTGGGAGTATGTGCGAGATAGACGAGCGCAGGGCAACCTTGCAGCTCCCGGCAGGCTGGAAGCCATGCGTGACGGTCAGCTGGTCGCTCATCCACCGCACGAGCGCCGTGCGCGGACAAAGCGCATTGTCGCTTCTGGAGAAGACAGCAGACGGGCGCGTGTCAGGGCCGCAAAGATGAATGCTCGGTTGAGTGGCGCCAGCGACCGGTTTTTGCGCAGAGGAAAAAAAAAGATCCTGGGGTTGGCGAAGGTGACGTGCGCCACGGACGCCACCGTTTCTCTGTTGCGTGCTAACGGGTCTGTCGGCCGTCGCGAAACCGCACTTCGTCCGAGTACAGCAGCTTGGCGCGCGTTTCAACGGCTTTTCGTTTCGAACCCAACTCTGCTGCGCTGTCTCGAAATCTGATGGCCGTTCCCCATCAGCTTTGATACAGAATGCACGTAGGAACGAGCAGCGGAGCCCTGTGCGCGCCTTGTTCTTGAGGCCTTCTCGTCTCGTCCCCACGAACCACCACCATCAGCAGCGCATCTTTCGTTCGCCTACGACGGCGCATGCACTCGAGATTAAATTGGCCACGACGATGTGCGCCGGCGCGAGCTGCTCCAGTCCGACTACTTTTAGCATAACGCTCCCGGCGACGAGGTTCGAATGCCCACACGCTGAACTCGGCCGTCCCCTTGCGTCCAGGTAACATGGCGCGCCACTCCGATTCGCCTCTGCACAACATGCAGCCTCGCAAAAAAAAGAACAAAAAAACCCACGCAGGAACAGGTTTCGCGTATCTGGACCGGTGCAAGAGCTTTTCGGGGGGCTACCGCCAGAAGAAGGAAAAAAAAAAAAAAAAAAAAGCACCACGTTCGGCCGCGCCGACGGCCGATCGCGTCACCCAGACGTGGCTTGCTCGATCCCTTTTCTACGGCCCTCTCCCAGCGCTCGACCTTGTCGTCCAGCTCCCTCATCATCTTCCCAGCAATAACTTATTAGTGGTGACCCGCTCGCTTCTCGGCTAGCTGAGAGTCATGTAACAGCGTAGCGGTGGGACGCACTGACTGCGGCACGGCTCATGTGGCGCTCACTATTACTACTTGTACGTACAAACCGTGCGGGGCGTAGCTGTCAACAGTTAGGACGAGAACCAGCCTGGAGCCTCTTCATTTTTCTTGAATGGTGTGCGATCTGTGCTGTTCTACGTTGCGATCTGCGCACGCGCAATCGATCCAAATAACTTAAGCATCACATCCCAGCTACCCATGCATCGTCCAAACGACAAATAGATATTCTTCCCTTCCGGCGCCTTAGGGTATCTCAGGCTCTCAGTCTTCGACCTCTCCTACCGTCACCACCTTCTTGGGAGGCACGTTGACCAGGGCACGTGCTGGTCGGAAGATCTGCAGTTGGTTGTCTTCTGCTGCCGCCAACATCCACCATGGGTCGTTCTTGTTCCAGTCAAATTCCGTCAACCTATTTGTGAAACCTCCGTGCATGAATAGCCTGTCGAGTGGTTAGCACGCAATCGAATTTGAGAAGTGTTCCCGGACCGAGACATGCGTCTCCGTTTCGTTCTCGGGAATGGACAACACGTACAACTCAGGCGCCCCTTCCTCTGCTTCCTCCTCCGTCTGCTCTTCTCCGGTGCGGCTCAAATCATAGATGATGATCCGTCGGTCGTAGCTGCCGCTCGTCAGGATTGCTGGCTCGTGTGGATGCCATTGCAGCTGTATGACGGCGTCTTGGTGGGCCTCAATGGCGTGGACCTTCTTGTCAGGACAGCGAAGGTCCCACAGCGCAACGGTCTTATCGGCTGAGCCTGTGGCCACCGTGAACTCAAACTTGGGGTGGCAAGCTATCGCGTTGACTGCGTCCGTGTGCGCGTCCTTCACCTGGAAAGCAGGGCCAGATTTCGCCGGCTGTCGTGGATCGATCACTGCCCATGTGAGATCATCTGAGGCGGTCGCGATCCAGTGCTTGTGAATAGGATGATGCTGCACGTCGTTAACAACGGACGAATGATGTCTCCATGTCTGCAGCGCATCGATCTTCTTGGCGCCCTTTCTAGCCCCTGCATCCACATCCCACAGCTTCACGGTCTCATCCTCACTAGCCGTTGCAAGGTGACCCTCTTGATGCGGGCTCCAACTCAAGCCAAAGCCCTCTTTGTCGTGACCATCGCACGTGATTTCGGGCTCGCCTTTGTCCTTCTCAGCGTCCAGTGTATGCCGTGTGCGATCCCAAATAAGAACGCCATTTTCGACGGACCACGTTGCAATGAGATTCGCGTTCTGTGGCATGTATCTCGCTTTGTTCACCTCGCCTGGGTGTTTGATCTGCTGTCGGACCTCGAATTCAAACTTCTCCTTGCCGCTACCGTATCCGCCGATCTCGTTCGTCGATTCATTGTAGTCGCGCGGATCTGGGCCGTCAAGCTTGGGCACCCGAATGTGAACAATCTCAAGGAAGTTGTCTTCTTTGTCAGATGTGTTTGTACCTATCAACAGGCGGTGCTGGCGCAGATCTGTGCCCTCCACATCTTGAACATCTGGAAGCCACTGAGCAGTCAATGTGGGCCATTTCAGAGCGCGCGCGTAAAGCGTATCGTAGAGGAAAGGCACATTCTTCTTCCAGATCTTGTACTCTTCGTTGATGCGCTTTTGCTCAAGAGCGTCCGACTTCTCCTCGCCGATCTCGTCTTCTGCGTGCGCAAAATGTTAGTTCACATCGATGGCCTTTCAGCTGGGACTTTGAGCAGAGCCTCTTTCAGCTTCGGAAGGTCTAATGACGACGACGCATGATTGTCTAGGATGCTTGCAAGATAAGATGGAGCAGATTCAAGCGCAACTGATTGTACGTACCCATTTCGATATCGTCAGTCATGGCTTCCACGGGTGCTGAGGTATTGGAAAGAAGGGTGACGAACTGCAATCGTGGGACGCGTTTTCGTATAGACGACTTATAGCGCGTTGGAGCTAACTAAAGTGGTTTTAGCCTGAGGCAACATCCCCACTGCAAGGCGTCAACATCAAGCACGCATGCCAACCTCAACTGGCGCCAGCCTCACAGCGGTTTCTTTCCTTCCTTCAAGGACTCCGTGTCGAGAATCTTAACCCACAAATCATTTCCCTGAAGCACTTGTGCTTCGCTAGCGCTTTTGCGCATCCGATTACCAGTTGTCTGTCGAGCTTCGGCACGACTGAGCTCACCGTTGCCTTCGACTATAGTATCATCGCGACCACTCCTCTTCGATTTGCCGCTTTTTCGCAGTAGTTTTGATTGTACGCAGCCATCATGGGTGTCCCCAAGTTCTTCAGATGGATGTCTGAACGCTATCCCGCTATCTCGCAACTAATCGCAGATAATCGCATTCCCGAGTTCGACTGTCTCTACCTTGACATGAACGGCATCATTCACAACTGCACCCACTCTAACAATGACTCCGCTACGTATCGCTTGTCGGAAGACAAAATGTTCATTGCCATATTCAACTATATCGAACATTTGTTCAGCAAGATCAAGCCGCAGAAGCTTTTTTTTATGGCTATCGACGGTGTCGCCCCGCGCGCCAAAATGAATCAGCAGCGTGCTCGCCGCTTCCGTACGGCTTATGACGCAGAGGTTGCCCGTGAAAAGGCAATCAAGGAAGGCGTTGAGATGCCGAAAGAGGAAGCGTTTGACAGCAACTGTATAACACCTGGCACTGAATTCATGGCTCGCTTGACCCGTCATCTCAAGTATTTCATCAACAAGAAAGTCTCTGAGGACGCAGACTGGCAAGGCGTGGAAATCGTCCTGTCCGGTCACGAGGTCCCAGGCGAGGGTGAGCACAAGATTATGGAGTACATCCGACAGGCGAAAGCTCAACCGGACTACGACCCAAACCGTCGTCACTGTCTGTACGGCCTTGACGCAGATTTGATTATGCTTGGTTTACTAAGTCATGATCCTCATTTTTGTTTGCTTCGTGAGGAGGTCACTTTTGGTCGTCAGTCTCAGTCGAAACCGAAAGAACTGGAGCACCAGAATTTCTACCTTATGCACCTTTGTATGGTCAGAGAATACCTGGAACTGGAATTCCAGGAGCTCAAAGGAGCTGAGCTTGGCTTTGAGTATGATATGGAGCGAATCATAGATGACTTCATCTTAATGGCGTTCTTCGTGGGTAACGATTTCTTACCAAATCTTCCGCATCTACACATTAATGAGGGTGCGTTGGCTCTCATGTTTGCAACTTACAAGGCGGCTTTGCCGAAGGCGGGAGGTTACATCAACGAAGGTGGCACTATTAATTTGGACCGCTTGGCTCTACTCCTCGACGAACTGTCGCATGCCGAATTTCGGTTTTTCGAGGCCGAAAACTCAGATGCTGCATGGTTCAAGGGCAAACGAATGGAGAAAGAGGATGTCATGGAGCGGACGAAACGTAAGGGTCAGCTTGTCATGTCTTCGGAGCAGCGAGACATCTTCAGAAATGTGAAAGAGTATGTCCAGAGCCGGCCTGCGAGCGGAGACGCTACACCCTACGATCTTCCAAAGACACTTCCAGCGCGTGACCGCAAGTTCGTTGAGGAGCTAGCGACCAGTCTTAATATGCAGTGGAAGAGCATTCAGGACGAAGAGGGTAATCGGCATATGCAGCTTAGCTTTCCTCCAAGCGCAAATGCTAGTAACGGAGTGGACGACGATGAGTCGCCATCGGAGGATGATGAAGAGGCTCAATTAGCGTTGCTTCGAGTCTTGAAGAGATATGAGAACGCAAAAATAGTGGACGTGGACGCAGACGAGGCTCAGGCGCGAATGGAAAAGAAGTACGAAGAAAAGTTCCAGGCATGGAAAGACCGATACTACAGGGAAAAGTTTGGTTGGGGCCTTGATAATGAGGAGGAAATGAAGAAGCTCACCGAAAACTACGTTCAGGGCCTGCAATGGGTGCTGTTCTACTACTACCGTGGAGTGGTATCTTGGCCGTGGTACTTCAAGTATCACTACTCACCGATGATTTCAGACGTAAAGAAGGGGCTAAGGGCAGACATGAATTTCAAACTCGGTCAACCTTTCCGGCCATTCCAGCAGCTCATGGGCGTCTTGCCTGACCGAAGCAAGAAGATTGTTCCCAAGGCGTATTGGCCTTTAATGACTGACCATAATTCTCCCATCATCGATTTCTATCCTCGCGATTTCGAATTGGATATGAACGGCAAAAAGCAAGACTGGGAGGCTGTTGTTAAGATTCCGTTTATTGATGAAAAGAGGCTTCTTGAAGCAATGGCTACGAAAGATGCAGAGCTGACCGAGGAGGAGCAAAGTAGAAACACCTTTGGTGTTACACTTAAATTCGGATGGAATAAGGATTTGGATTTTGTCTATCCATCGTCTTTGCCAGGGTATTTTCCCGACCTTGAGCATTGCCATTGTGTGGAGAATATCTTTGACTTGCCAACCATGGACGGCTTGGAATATCACGTTGGTCTGATGCCTGGCGCTTTGCTTGGAGCACAAGCTTTGGCTGGATTTCCCAGCTTGAAGACGCTCCCTTTCACTGCGCGTCTAGACTTCCATCAGGTCAACGTCTTCCAACAAGACTCGAAAAATGAAAGTATGGTCGTGGAGTTAACCGATGCGTCTACCCGAGCAGGAGTGGATGTTGCAAAGAAAAAACTGGGAAAACCTGTTTTCGTGGGATATCCGTTCTTACAAGAAGCCAAAGTTGTGCGTGTCTCGGACGAGCTCTTCGACTATGCTCTCGCTACGGATGGTTCGGGCAGGATAGACCAGTTTCCGCACGATCCGAAACGCATCGAGGAATGGAGGCGTAAAGCCGACTCGATAGAAACAAGATACAGCAAAAAGCTTGGCATGATCATCGACGAGGTTCAGTCCATTTGCCATGTTGAAATGCTCAAAGGCTTACAAAAGCTCAATGACGGGTCTACTGTGAAGGAATACGGAGAGATCAAGGGCACGGAGACGGATTATGCGACGCAGGTTTTGGTTGATGAGGTGCACAGTCAAGACCAGCGATTCATTGAAAAGGCTGCTGTGCCCATTGAAGAAGAATTTCCTCTGGGCACAAAAGCATTCTTCCTCGGTGAAGCTGCGTACGGACGTCCTTTGGAAGTCACCGCACACGTCAATGGCAAGCTGAACGTCTGGGTGTCATTGCTTGCAAAGCGAGAGCCTGAGTTCGGCCGTCAGGCCATCATGCTCTCTGAGAGTACTGTCCAGTACATGCCTTCCTTTGCGGTCGCTAAACAACTTGGAATTAATCCTTTGGCGTTGAGCAAGATCACTTCTTCACTTACAGTCGAGTCCAGTGGTCTGAAACTTAATTTGGGATTAAACCTAAAGTTTGACCGGAAGCAGCTCAAGGTCTTGGGCTATTCTCGCAAAGGGGCCACCGGCTGGGAGTACAGTCGCAAGGCTGTGGATCTAATCGTTCAATACATGACCAAATTCCCAGAGTTCATTGCTGGAATCAGCTTGAATCCAAAGGGAGACATCTACAATGATACAGATTTTTATCCCAAGGACATTGCGAAAGCTAAGATGAAGGAAATTGGCCAGTGGCTAAAGTCCGTGGAGTCAAAATCCTTTGAGAAAGTACCGCTGGAAGCCGATCAGCTCGATTCTGATACCGTGGCCAAGATTGAAGAGCTCGCCGACCGCAATCTAGCTGAGATCAAGCCCGTGCCAAAAATGTTCAAGAATGTTCCTCGCCATGCTTTACTGAACCCTGTGGATGCTGAGCACCATATTGGTACGCAAAGATTCAGTCTCGGTGACCGCGTTGTATATGTGCTCGGTACTGGACGGGTACCCATCGCATCACGCGGTACTGTTATTGGCATGACGCGTACGTCAAGACAGACTCTACTTGATATCGTGTTCGATACCGGATTCATGTCTGGCACCTCACTAGGAGAGCGCTGCAGGCCCTTTCACGGTTCGACTGTGCCAAGCAATTCAGTCTTGAACATAACAGATCGACAGCGCATGGTCGTCACCCAGGCTTCACGACAGCAGAATACGGCTCCAGTCACACGACCTCTTGGTGCCTCAGGATCACGCGGTTACGGGATGCCAGGTCAAGGTCAATTACATCCAGCCAAAGCACCTGCACCACTCACTGGTTCATATCGTGGCGCCGTCTCCGGTCAACCCCAGAATAGCATTGGCTCGCAACATGGTCAGCTCCCAATTCGGACTGGCCCTTCGCCTGGCGGACGGGCAGGCTATGCAAATATAGCTAACGGACATGGAAGCTCATCTTCTGTTAGAGGCCGCGGACGAGGAGGCAGCTCGACTGGAGGCGTGCCTCCGCAATCGACTGGCAACAAAGAAAATGCGAACGGTACAGTGAGAGGTGGACGTGGCCGTGGTGGCATCGCAACTGGAGGCGTTGTGCGTCAACAATGCACGGCTTGCGGCAAGCCTGGTCATACTGAAGCACAATGCTGGCATGCCCATCCTGAGTTGAAACAAGGTGGAAGTGTGAACAAACAAGGCTTCACGGTGGTTGACAATGTCAACCCTAACGAGGGAGTTCGTGAGAACCACAAATTCAAGCCACGATCGTATCACAACGTCCCCCCACCGCCCTCTCTGGATGCAAAGTCCAGTCGTGGAGGACGCGGCGGAGGACGCGGTGGAGGACGCGGTGGAAGGGGAAGGGGGAGAGGCGGAGTCTCATAAGCTGTGTAGATAAAAAATGTGTACACAGAATTCCTACTCGGACAAAGAATATCTTTCCACGGAAATATAATATGCCATCTGACAGCTATCATTCTTCAAAACGAAACACTCTACTCATCGTCGCGCTTCGGAGTTCACTTGCTACCAAAGACAGGTAACGAATATGGTGGATCATCGGAATTTCCACTCGCAGTTGACGTAAATCCCGAATCGCGGGGTGCCGCCAGAATGGACACGGGTGCCGAGGTTCCCCACGAATCCCCAGATATCACCGTTCAGCATCCCTCCAAACGAATTTGAAGAGACCAACATAATATCTCCTGAATTAAGTAAAAGTTATTGAAAAATCTAAGGCGTCATCTTCATCGCGTTTATAGGTGCATTGATCAACTCAGCTTCCAAGCAAATCGTCATGGCTTATACACACTCCTCGGCAACCGCAGATCTTCGTGTATCGAAGCTATTCGACTTCAGCAATCATGTAGTGCTTGTAAGATTCAAGCCGATCATAATCGAATTGGTTGTTGACGTTGCGTAGGTGACGGGTGGTTCGACTGGCTTGGGCGAGATGGCTGCTCAAGGCTTTGTTCAGAACGGTGCACGAGTCTTCATCGCAAGTCGGAAGGAATCAGAGCTGAAGAAGGTAGGCGGCTTACTTTCTTTCTTCCCATCCCTCTTCTTGAAGTCTATGGCGGGAGGCATTTGTTCACTCTGTTTCGCCGGGGTAGACTTCCGACCGTCTTAACAAGCTTGGCCCGGGCACCTGCGAGTATATCGTCGCAGACCTCAAGGACAAGGCGGGTTGCATCAAGCTCTGCGACGAACTGAAGAAACGGACCGACCGGTTGACAGTGCTCGTCAACAACTCCGGAGCTACTTGGGGAGGCCCCTATCACGACTTCCCGGAAAGCGGGTGGGACAAGCTGATGGCTTTGAACGTCAAGGCCATCTTTTACGTCACTGTTGGCTGCCACGAGCTGCTGCTGAAGGGGGCGACGGCAAGGAACCCTTCCCGGGTGATCAACATTGCGTCTATGGCTGGGATTCAAACGATGGACGTGACCACCGGCAAGGGAGGTGGACTATCGGCACCTGGCGATGGCACATTCTCGTACGGTCCCTCGAAGGCGGCTTGTATCCACCTTACACGGCTCCAGGCCTCCAAACTTATGCCTGACCATATCACCGTCAACGCTATCTGCCCTGGCGTTTTCCCAAGCAGGATGACAAACTTCGGTCTTTCAAACTATGACAAGCTGCTGAACGCCTCTCAGCCCAGTGGTCGCATTGGTGTTCCAGAGGACTTCGCTGGCACTGTTTTATACTTAAGCAGCGCAGCAGCAGCCCACCTAACTGGCAACGCTCTTGAACTTGATGGTGGCTCGACACGAAGCGGCCTCAAGGGCAAGGCGAGAAGTCTCGGTGACAGTGGGAAGTTATGAGCGTTAAATACTGAAATGGTGGGGGAAAACTGTACAGTGCACATCTAGTCAAGTTATTCTTAATTTTAAAAAGCGTCAGAATCAGTCCATAGATACCAAAGGGAATTTCTCCGTATATCATATCTGATAACTAAATTTTCTGCGATAATTAAAAGAAAGCAACCAAATGGAATCGATTAGCCTGCACTAGAAAGGAATAAAAAGATCATGAAATTGGGGTATCTTGGGTCGTCCACATGAACTATCATCCCAGGCATCGCATAGTCCCAAATTCTCTTCCCTATCAAGTCATTTATACGGGTAAAATCACCCCCTGAGCCATAAAAATGAAATGTTGAGAAAAGAGCCGTGGTGCATTTGCAGATGCTTCAGTCATGCAGTCGTACTACAAAGAGTTATAGTTCACGGCGTTGCCCGTTTTGTGGTTGGCCTTGTGACAGTGGGTGGAAGAGCAGGAAAGACCTGTGCGCCGCTGGTTTGTCTGTTACGTGGGAATGCGAGATTGCCATGAATCAGCAGAGGAATTACTGCGATGATCCAGAATAGGTTGATGAGGAGCATGGCAAGATTGATCTTCAGCTCGACATAGATTGTGCCGACAAGAGCACGACACCAAGCGAGCGACTGCCTTGAGTACGACCGGTCATACAAGTTTGAGGCAGCCTCTTGTTCCTGCAAGGTTTGCAAAATCTGCCAGGCAACGCGGTTGTTGATACGCTTCCAAGTTGTTTTTTCGGCAATCGCCCGTGAGGCTTTTGACATGCGTTGGCGGCTTTCTGTATTTGTAATCAGGTAAACCGTCTTCTCAACAAACAACTCAAGATCGTCTTGATCAACCAAATAGCCGCTGATGCCGTTGCGGACAATTTCTGAAGGGCCTCCTGCATCACGAGCAATCACAGGGACACCGCAAGCCATGGCTTCGAGCACAACAAGCCCAAAGGTTTCCGTAACTGAGCAGTGCAGAAAAATATCGGCAGAGGCGTAGATCCGGGCTAGGGCAGCACCTTCGAGGAAACCAGTGAACACTACTCGATCTCTAATTGGTGCGAAGAAACCACGAACTTCTTCCTCCACTGCCGGGTTCCTGTTGCCGCCTGTGATTACCAACTTGAAAGGAACTTGTAGTTGTGCAAGTCGTTGAGCAACTTTAGCCAGATAACCAAATCCCTTCTCCGGCGCAAGACGTCCCACGCAGACCAGAATGATTTCGCCACTTGGGGCAAGTTCTCTTCGATAGCCCTCATCACGTCGTCTCGGAGTGAAGAGTTCCGTATCGACACCACGACCGAGATGGACCATTTTATTTCTTTGCACCCCAGCCTCGGCCATGTATTCGGCTACTGGATTTGACGGGTAGAAAATGGCCTTTACTGACTCATGGCTATAGAGATATCCCTCCACCAGCCGCAACAACCAAACAGCGTAGCTATCCATGGGCGATGGAAAGAGGATATCCGAATATGCAGAAAGATCTGTCTGGAAGTTGCCGATGACCGGTGGGGGGTTTGCAAGACATCGAAGTTGAAGCATAGCCTGAAAACCGACGGATGCTGGGCTTGCAAGATACACAATGTCTGGTTTGAATTGGCCGCACACACGGTCGAAACGAAAAGGATAAGCAACGGACAACTCTGGGCTGTACGGAAGCGGCATACCACCCAGTCGACGCACAGGTCCTATGGCGAGAGCTGGTCGTTTAGACTCCCCAGAATAGTGAGGGGCGATGAGCTTCAGTTCCATTCCATTTGCCTGGAGATAGCGAATGATTTGTGTGGTCGTCCTACTGACCCCGTTGATGGGGCCGAGGGACTCACTAAAAACTGCGACTCGTTTGCCTCGAAGAGCTTCTGGGAACTCCTCATCGTAGAGCTCCTCAACATTGGCGACGTCGACGGATTTTTGGTACGTCATGGTGGATATGGGCAGAGGAATACAAGCCATGCGGCGAAACTCGCCGCGGTCATGGCTACGTTTTTAAGAATCCCATAACCAGCACGTCTGTACACTTTGCCTGCGACGGTGTCAACCCGAGGTCACAAGGAAGACCTGCCGGCGATATGATGTTTTGATGAGTTGCGAATGATTATGCGTTGAAGTTCAACGTGCTTTGAGCTTGTGTTCATGAGCAGCCAATCCCTGCGCGTTTTCGTGCGCGTGGTTGTGGCGATACCGATTTCGCCCATGAACACGCACGCCTGATGCAGCGACCTTGCTCTAGCTCGTCAGATCATTCTCAAATACAATCGCACAGCATGAGTTAAGCTTAACTTTGGATCCTCGTGATTGGTAATTCTCGGCCATCGATCAGTGTTGAACAGCCTAGCATTTGCTACGTTCGCTTCGTTGATAGATTCACAGCCCTTTCTGGATCCATCTCCTGGTCCCTTTCCTGTTGTTACGATGGACAACTCGATAAGCGGTGAATCATTATACCATCTCCGATCAGTCGCACGTGGTGGCAATAATTGAATCCTGCCTAAATACAATCATCTGGCCACTGTTATCCGAGAGACCATCTGAAACAGTTTTGCCGAAGTAACCATAGGAACGGTAGGTTTCTAGTTTCCCAAAAACCCATCTCCTGTCCAACAGAGGACGAATTAGGTGCAGATAGTCATTTGGGACCGGTGATGGAATCGTTACAAGAGGTAAGTATTCTGTGAGGCGACACATCGACTTCTGTATAACCAGCAGGCTGTGCATAAGTAGAACACGCCATTGACAATCACAAGGCGTGTGCAACTGCCGCTCTGGCTATAGAAAATCCAAAAATTATGATGCACTTGGATTTATATGGCGACAACATCATGTTCGAAACTTGAGAAGAGATTTGCTGTCGAGGTTAAGTAACACTGTGTGAAGCAGGTGAACGTTAGTATGATCGCAGGGTTCGTGGTGCCGACTTCGGCTTTCGGGCAGCCTCGTCTTAGAACTTTTCCTGACCAGCAATCATCCGAGCATAAATCTTCCAATTGACTTGGAATCATGGCATCTGCGGCAAGAACGTTGCGTATTGGTGAGCTTCCAGAATCAATTCGTCGAAAGAAAGCTGCTGATCTTCCAATTAGGTCTCATCCCAGGTGATGGCATCGGACGGGAGGTCATCCCAGCCGGAAGGAGAGTCCTAGAAGCTCTGCCAGCATCGTTGGGTCTGAAATTCTCATTTGTGGATCTGGATGCAGGCTTCGATACGTTCAAAAAGACAGGTGCTGCTTTGCCAGACAAAACTGTGGAAACTTTGAAGAAAGAATGTGACGGAGCGTTGTTTGGTGCCGTCAGGTGGAGTTTGACTCGGTTCAGTAAATTTCCACTGCTAATTGAAGAACAGTTCACCTACCGTCGCGACAAAGGGATATTCCTCGCCTATCGTCGCCCTGCGAAAGCGGCTCCAGTTGTACGCAAACGTTCGTCCTGTGAAATCAGTGGCTACGGCAAAGAATCCGGTAGACCTAGTCATAGTTCGCGAGAACACCGAAGATTTGTATGTCAAGGAAGAAAAAACATACGATGGTCCAGAGGGCAAGGTTGCGGAAGCTATCAAACGCATTTCAGAGAAAGCCAGCTTCAACATTGCAGCGATGGCCGGTGAGATCGCGCTCCGCAGACAGAAAATTAGGGACTCTGGTGCATCGAGCATTCATTCACAGCCACGAGTGACTATCACGCACAAGAGCAACGTTCTATCGCAGACAGATGGGCTATTCAGAGAGACGTCGCGCAAGGCGCTCGGACAGGAAAAGTTCAGCTCCATTAAGATCGATGAGCAGATCGTAGACAGCATGGTATACAAGCTCTTCCGCGAACCTGAGTCATACGATGTCATTGTTGCACCAAACCTGTACGGCGATATCCTCAGCGACGGTGCTGCAGCCTTGGTAGGAAGTCTTGGTTTGGTTCCCAGCGCCAACGTGGGTGCTGACTTTGTCATCGGTGAGCCCTGCCACGGTTCGGCTCCCGATATCGAAGGCAAGGGCATTGCCAACCCGATCGCTACAATCCGTAGCACTGCCTTGATGTTGGAGTTCCAGGGCCTGGAAGAGGCTGCCGCGAAGATTTACGCTGCCGTTGATGCAAATTTGGAAGAAGGCAAATTGCTATCTCCTGATCTTGGAGGCAAGGCAACAACAGAGGAAGTGCTGCAGGACATCCTCAGACGGTTGTAAGAGACACTGCCATGCGGTATTTAGATCGTTTCTTGCTTCTGAGCGGAAGGAACTTCTGTTGGATACTCTGATTCTTCACCGGGAAAAAAGTATCGGGCGATTTTTGTTGTACAAATATCGTGTTGAAATTCGCCCAAGTATTCGAGTCACTATCTCAAATAGTAGCGTCCATTCTTAAAATGATGGCAGTTTCATGATCTACATCTGTTCTGAGATGGCCTTGGCTAGTGTGCTACATCTGATGTCATGATGCCGATATCGTCAGGTTTTCTGCATGTACACGGATTCTGTTCGTGTTTACAATTTTGCGCACACGACTTAGTCCTTCCGGTCGCCACCAAGGTGCAAACACGAAAAGTTTCAAAATAATGGCGGACCCATCGCTGTACCAGTTAAAAGTTACTGGCGGCCCAGATTATAAGGATCAGCGAGAGATTAAAGTGAACACCGCCGAGTCTCTTAACTTTTCGTCACAGCATCTTGACGTGCGAGTATACGTGCGAGTGAAGGAATTTAGAGGTAAATTGCCTTCGTCATTTTTCCTAGCATGTACTAATAGAGAGCTGCAAAGGCTTACCAAAGGGTTCGCCATCGGATTGTAGCTACTTCAAGCATCCTGCGCATACAAATGATCGCTACTCAATCTCTTTCACCTTTGTGCCGAAATCAACCATCAACGGTGACGATCTAGTCTTTGGCAACGATTTCGATCATCCGATACGCGACCGACTTCCTCCGCTGTTCGACAAGGCTTTCTCGATAGTGAAGGGCTGGATAGACCCCGGGTTGTACGGAGACCCATACGCCGACGAACCCTACCTCTACGGCCCGCTGCTGAGCAGCGTCAATGTGTTACGAATAGGACAGAAGACTCCAAGTAGTAATGAGAAAACTCCAGAGGTGGAGGCAGAAGAAGAGCTGGAGGACTCGGGACCCGTCATTGAGGAGGGCGCGGACGATGAGGAAGGCGAAGACATCAGAAGCAAATATGGCATACCGGCGTTGAATACAGCGAGGCAAAAACACTTTCTGAACGAAGAGAACAGAAAAGTCTTCGAGTTTGAACAAGGCAGGACGTACGGATGCGACTTCTTCAACCCGTACTTGGACTTCAACAAATTTGCGCTGCGCCTACCGCTGGGCTTCACGCTCAGCATACTCGGCCATTGGGACGGCCAACCGCTCAGGTAAGACTCGCTCCATTTTCGCTCCGTTTCTCATTTGCGGGAGCCAGGTCCTTCTGTATTTGCTGCTTTTGAGCCGACAGCACTGACCAGAATTGGCAACTAACAGAGAACACACGCTCAGATACGTGCTGCGCAACCGCAAGACGGACGAGGTCCTTTTTGTCGTGAACATTGCGCTGATACCTTCGGAGAACGAGGTTGTCGTAGACGATGATGATGATCAAGAGAGTGAAGAGGTTAAAGCGACCGAGGCAGAGGACGAGGATCTCGATTGATCTGTCACTGAAATGATGGAAGCCTGGTCTTTCGTTGCAAAGAGTTGAAAGCCTCCTTCGAGTCTTTGCATAGCTCAATATGGCGTCGTCCTCAATACACATAGAAATATACTAGAGCAACTGTATTCCAGGACACGGCGTTCTGACAACGCTATATGTGGAATTCCGTTCGCGCGAATTCCAACTTTATTCTAACTGTTGCAAGCGAATGGTTACATATACACATGATCATCGACGTGAATCTATCAAAGTTGCACTGATAACACCCAACTAAAAGTCATAAGATCGAAGTGCTGAAACATGCCGTTAACCCTTGGTAGCGACCGGAAATATGCAGTTCAAAGTAACTCCGCAACACAATGAGGTGTTCATTTTCTTGCAGCGTTTCAATCAACGCTGACGAATTTATCAATATCTACGCGCTTGTAGAAAGAAATATGACCGAAGGCCTCCCAATACTGCGCGAGGGTATCATGCGAAATAAGGATGAGCTGCGAGGGAATATACATATCTGGAACAGTTAGAATTCATCATTTCAGTGCATTAAGCTACGAGCTTACCATCTCTGAAATCTCGTGCTGCGATGTGACCCACGCTCTTGACCACTCGTGCGCCCTTGAATATCTCCTCATTCGCAACCCGTAATAGACCTGCGTCACTGATGTCTGGGGCTATAAATGTGTACTCGCCACGAGGAACGTTGGGATCGCCAGTCAATTTCACCGCCATGAGCTGCCCTTCATATGATGTCTCATTTTCGCTATCGTCGGATTTTGTGATACGTGGCGTCCGCCCATATTCTGCGCTGATATTTGACGTAAGTTCATTAATGAGGTTCAGATCCTGGGTGTGTTCAAACAAGTGTTCGTAGTTAAACGTCGCTGCTGAGACTTCCTGCTGGTTGGTGGGCGCAGCGACCGGTGTCGACATTGCACTCTGCCAGCTATCTTCGCTTTCTGTACTGTCACTGCTTTGTCGCCTCCGCAAGGCTGCTTCAACGCCGTCTGGGAGCTCAACAGGTTCCTCTGGCTGTAATACGAGGAGAAATTCACATCCATGACCGGAGTAATCACCACACCAGATGCCGCGCCATGGCTTCTTTTTCGTGGGCGTGTACGACTCTGGTGGCAAGGTGGCGAAGGTTGATACCTCCTCGGCCACACGCATGGTCATGCCTTGAATGAGCGACGTGAAATCAAGCCATCTACGCAACCGGAAGGTGTGTTGTGACAATTCCGACATCTTTGAAGGTTTATGATCCAGACCTCGGAAAGCGTTGCTACTAGCGTTGCGAGTACGTTCAGATGCTGGTAGTTTTAATGGAGGCCATACTTGAGTTCCTATACCTATGGCCGACGGTGGCAGCGGTCGTGATAAGAGCAGTCGAGTGTTTAGGCCGTTCATGTGAATGCTGCCATGTATATCCATGATAACTTCCTCAGAGTAACGTTTGCGTAGCGGCAGACTTGCTGCCGTCTCCGCATCAAGCTTCAAGGCGGGTTGATTGAGGTCCAGTTGTATCCGTGGTTCAAAGGTATGGATGATGACATCTGGATTCCAATCCCAGAATTCAAATTTTGAAGCAGCTCGCTCAGCACAGAGAGCGTAGGCCTCAATTGTTTGTCTGCGGGCCGAGTAGCGGGCAATTAAAAGCCTGCCAGTATGGACAGTATCAGAGTACCAGATCTTATACTTTGGAATAAACCAGTAGGGATGATGAAGCAAGAAATGCTGTCGAAATGAAGAAGAGGGTGCAGGAGTCTTGATTGTTGCGTGCGGAAGATAGCTTTGGAGATGCCGCTGCCACAGACGATCATCGTATGCATGTACATTTAACAGTCGACAAGTCTGAGAGACAACTGCCAGCTCTGTAGGTGGCAAAAACATGAGAATTTGGTGGATAAGCTCCGCGGGGAGATGCAAAAGGGGTGATCCAGGCTGCAGCATCTCCATCGTACTTTCTCCTGACTCTGAAGTCATTGCGTGCTATGTGTTGTGAATAGGTTGATGATACTGTGACAAGTGAGACGAAGCCGATCGGTTTTAAGATCTGTTCGACTCAATCCATAGGTCAACGTCTTTTCAACTCCGCTGAATTCTGATGCTGGCTTATCGACGCTATGAGTCAAAGTTCGACGGTCTGTCTGCGCATGAAGTATGCAACATTCAGAGGATAATATCAACGATGATGTGAAACCACAAGCCTCGAACTGAGTGCGGTTGAGGCTTTATATCTGAAACCTGCCCGGGCTTTATGGCACTGTCTTAACTGGCCCGGGTCATTTCGATAAGAAGCCGAAGCGGTCAAGTCGAGATGGAGAGAGTGATGCTCAGTGAATTCAGGACTTATCGAAGGCAAACTGTTCGGAGAATCTTATCATCCACGAATTGGTGTAGAAATCATTGCCGAAACCGGAATCTTGGAAATATCATTGAGTTATTTGTCCTGATAACAGCTCTCGTTTCTCCTCAGACTTAGGCTCGAGCTCACGTGGTGCCTTCGCCACGTCGTGGCGCACAACCCGAGGTTGATTGGTGCAAAGCTCCACATCAGAAATGTGGTGAGCAATACGTCATTCTCACTTGACCTAGATCGAGGCTTCCCCCGAGACAATCGCGTATTTATCATCATTTGTAGACAAGTTTAAATGGCGGAACATCTATATAAATTGAATTCTCCAAGGGCGAGACATGCAAGACCCGCTCTTGGCTTGTTTGTAGAACGATCTGATAAAGACATCCGCGTCAACGTAATTGTCGAAAGCTATACAGCGCTTGATTATTGGAATATAGTGATAAGACGCTTCTATTATGCTTGATTCTACTTGTCCACGATAAAATTTGATGCATTTTGAAGAAGCGAAGACAACAATTCCATGTCGTTGAGAGGCAGTCAACACTAATAGCGTGATGATCACAACCAGATGGTATGGCGAATCTCAAGATCGGGAGCGATTGTGTTGGGATTACAGTTCGTGCTTCCTGTTGAAGAGGAGCCCTTGCCAGTTTCTGAGCTACAGAGCGCCTTCAAATGGGAGGGCATTTTAGGCAGAAATTTGCTTGACCGTAGCAGTGATTGAAGTAGCGCACGATACAGCAGTCGGGTTGAATCTGCAGTCTGCGTAAGGACGTTGAGTAGGATAGATACCATACTGCTGTCAAAAATTTGCAGGATTAGTTTGCAAAGTGCACATTTTAAATCCCACCTAATAAGCATCGATTGCACATCGCCGACTTCGCCCAAAGTGGTGTTTCAATGGCGGGTGGACAGGTCAAGTAACTGCCTATGGTGCAGCCATAGACCTCTCCTGTATTATTGTAGGTATCATTGTGCATTTAGCATTGATCCAAAGTATGAGAAGAAAAGATCCATAAGAAGTTTTTGAAATCTGAAGTAGTCCATGCGGGCTGCTGCTGACCATGTTGAGAAAATTCAGGCATTCAAAAAAACCATAGCGCTTCTCTCTAGCAGCGTCTATGATTCTTGTTCAAGTCATGATTAGGAAACTAGCTGACGGAGCACGGCTCAGCGATGCGTTTGCTAGAACTCCCATATGAGCAGGAACCAAACACAACAAATCCTGGAAGTTGAAGGTATGTGCTTGAGCGTTTTAATTACTACTCTAAGCTGGTTGAATACGGATACCTTCCACATGTCCGAAAGCGAATACTATCTCTTTTCTACAGTTTCATCCCAAGTACTCTCCATAATTAGGTAGGTTTTTGCTGTAGCAGATGACGGCACAGTGGACTTTGGGTACTAGTATAGACATGTACAATGCAATCAATCGTAGGGTGTCCGTTTCCTTAAGAGCAACAGACTTCTCAAATTCGATGCAGAGGTTGAGACAGATTACAGCACCACCGGGAGACTTAGAACAGCTTGCTGAAGCACTTCAGGATTGCTAGGTTGCGGTCAGCAACGTGAGGCCGTACTGCCTATATTCTCTATCTCAATTCCAATCGAATGCGCGCGGTTCTTTCCAATCCAGAGGAAGGAAATGTAGGCAAGTTCAGTGGTAGTGTGAATATGACGCTGGATGAGATCTGCCTTACTCTGCACAATTGGTGATTGATGGTGGCAAGAAAGTAAGCTCAAGCGCATTTTAAGCTGACAAGATCATGCACGCCTATCTCACTATGCTGACGGAAATAGTTTGACGTGCGAGGTTCCGAGAAGAAGGTTCTTTACTTGAATAGATCGAGTCAATGGTGCGGAAACTGCGGAGATCTGCCAGCTGCGGTGGTAGCTGCGAGCGGTAGCTCATCCGGATAGCTTAGTATGTTCTGGCTTTGACCATCGGGATCAATCCGTATGAGTGCCTCAAAAACTCTCACATTGTCCACCATTTGGCCCTTTGCCCGTAACAAATACCCATATCCGAAATGATTTGAGGCGACCTGGGCTCAATGCCGGTGCAACGCTCGGGGCAAATTGCCTGGATTTGGCCAGGGGCATAATTCTGTTCAGGACACGAGAAACCAGGTTAAATTAGCATCCTGAAAAGTGTCAAGGAAGAGAGCACGCGCTCTACCGAGAAACTTGCGTGCGTAATCGTGTGCATGAAGTCCTGCTGAAAGCCCTGTTCGTGAGGCAGTCGCACAGTTTCTTGTTCTTTAGAGCCTAAAAGCCTCTCTGTTCTGTACAGCGGTTTTGGCGTTCCCTTCTTAGGGCATCCAAATCCCACTATAGTCCGTTCTGGTCTGTGAAAGTGATGACGGACACCGAGTTCGTGTTTGCTTGTTCAGCTTGAAGTGAACAAGATCACGTGGATGGCGATCACGGGAGCACGCGACGCACCAATCGAGACCCAGCAAACACGGCGAGATGGCGTCGTGAAGAGTGTTCACATCAAACAAGCATTCAACACCTCTTCCTAAAGGCCTTCTTCGTGTCTGCATCTGCGGCCCCGTGCTGACCAAATATAATATCTCAAAGCTTTGCTGTGTACACCGCCTGTGCCACGAATGAAGCTAAGTTAGCCAAAGCGCGACTGTACCGTGCGCTGACCGACCCCATCCTCGCACACAAGGTTCCGTTTGCTCGCAGCCACAATTCCCATCCAACAGACACGGCTGGCTTTTGATGCTAACTGGCATCGAGCCAGTCGTGGCGACGATGAAGACCTATTTGTTAACGGACGGTCTAGATGCTCTGGGAGCAGCAACATTGTCGTCATCGACAAAGTACAAAAGCTCCAAAAACAAGTTGATGAAATTGCCACCGCGTCCTAGCGCCGAAAGCTTTGGCGACGCTTAGCGGCAAGGCACGTCCTGACCGTTTTTCAACGGGCACATGAATGCATGGCACTGAGAGGACAAACCGCAAGACCATGCTTGTCACTACAGTTCATCTGCTGCTTGGCCCGAAAATGATTGGCTTCCAGAACACGTAGCAGAGCCTAACAGGCTGAGCAGGTACCTGGGTCATTGCCAGGCGCCTGCAGATCTTCTTGAATGGCTTGGGGTGAGAATCCAATGGTGGACATCGAGCTGCTCTAGTGCGAGGAAGTAATTCTGTTCATTTTTTTTATAAGATGACTTAACTCACGAGTTCGCTCAGGCAGGTGAATTTGCCTTTACGTCACCTTTTCGAACTCGTGTGACATAGCTTCTTCAACCAATGCCCCCTTGCCTCGATAACACAATCTTGGGTCGGAAAATAATCTTGTTTGTAACAGCCTTTGACTTAAAAATTTGCTTGTGGTCATTATTGCTTTCAGTCTGCAATAAGTTCCTTAACAACATCCTCCAGGAGTAGCTTCCCGATACTCATCACCGCACTGCCAGATGACTCCACCACCAAGAAACATGGTCAACACACGGCTCTCTCAAGCTAATCAGAAGCGCCGCAGAAGCTTCTCTGAAGCATCTTCTGAGTCCAAGGCAATCAAATTTCGGAAGATAGCTCGCCGTCGAGTAGCGACACCAGACGGACAACTCCTTGAGGAACAGCGTGAGGCTTCTCTTGGTGGATCTCAAGGAGTTAGATCACAAGAAGTCCATCCCAGTGTAAAAAATGCCATCGAATTCACAAATTCAACGAAGTCTCGCCGGTCTCGACACTCTCTACCCGTCAGTCTGGAGACCCCGGCGAATATTCGAACCGAACCCCTCGACGTAGCAGTTGCTCGAGTGAACGAGCATCGACGCAGGCAGACAGAAGGTGTTCCGCTCGAATTTAATGTTGCAGATATCTACATCAATCCAGAGGACCTCGACCTGGACGCATCACAGATCATGACTCCGAAAATCTCGACCGTAGTACGCACGAAGCCCACGCCTATCTCAATCACACCTCGACCTTCGCCCAACACGAGCCGAGAGGACAAAATCAGCGAGTATGAGAAGGCTATTCGTCTGTTAACCGACCAAAAGGCCGAACTGGCGGCTAAGGTCCAGATTCTAGAACTTGGTATCCATAGTCTAGGTTTCCGCGATGCTGAGGTGGAAAGCACTGATATTTTTGCTGCCATACGCACTACCTTTGACCTGGTGAGAGCACAAGAAGAGGAGATGGATTTGGGCTTGTCTGTGCAAAGACTCGACAATGAAGAGCTCCTGCGACAACAGCCCAATATTGTGCGTGGCTTGCTACTAGACATCGACAACTATGCCTGCAAACTAGATGAAATTGAAAATTTACTGGTCTTTACTGATGCCCAGTACAAAGGAGTCTTGGTTAAGTTGGCAGAACGCGAGGAAAGGAGCACGGAGTTGGAACTACAGCTTGAAAAGCTTGATCGCCATCTGAAGTTTATAACGCACAATCTGACTGAAGAGAAGAACACGACTTTAAAGCTTGAAGGAGAAAACGAAACATTGTCCGAGCAACTTACAGCCCGTGAGAACGAGTTGAAGAACCTACACTCGGTAAGTATTAATTCCCGCAACGAAGTTGTTTTTAAAGATTAACTCGTGAAATAGCTTAGCCAAAAACAAGGCACAGAGCTTAATGAACTCCGATCCACGTGTAATGATCTTATGAATGAAGTTAAGACACTCAGAGAAGCCGCTGTCCGGCTTGAGAAGGGATATATGCAGCACATAGCAGATGTGGAAGGGGATCGTGATGAGAGATTAGGTTTCATGGCTGAGGAGCTTGACCAAGAGCATGATTATCGTACTATTGCTGAGAAAGATATCGCAAAGAAAGATGCCGCTTACACTGCTCTCCAGATCGACTTCCAGAAGGTACGAGAGGATCTAGACAATCTGAAGGAGCAAAACGACAAGGCAAACGAATCTCTCAACCTGCAAAAAAACAAATTGCAAGAGCTACAACAAGATTTGACTGCTAAGATAGCGGACAATCAAGGACTCCAGCACGAGCTGAGTGAGCTTAAAGTCAAGGCACAAAGTCTCGAAGAAGATATTGCCTTCTTGCACGAGCAACGTGATCAAAACAAACTCACTATTGATAACCAGGCTGCTGCCCTTCAATCTGCAGAGGAACACCTCGCATCTAGTGAGGATCGTCTTCAACAGGCCAATATTGAAATAAATAGATTGAGAGCAGACGTTTTCGGCGCCCAAAAAGAGCGCGAACAGATCGTTAGCGAGCTTCATGTCAGCGCTGAGAAATGCCGGAGGCTATCGAACGAAATTACTATGAAATCAAACAGTATTGAGAAGCTGGAAGGCAATATTGAAGCGCTCAACAAGGCTATGGAAGATCTAGTAAAAGAGAAGGATGCAGTCATAAATGCCAAAAACGCAAAACTTGAGGAAACGTTGGCCACTATCGACGAACAGGCGAAGACTATGCGTGAGCAAGCACAAGAAATTTCTGGACAGGCATGGCAAATCACGCAGAAAGAGACCGACATTCAGGCTTTGCGCAAGGAAAATCTTCGCTTTATGGCCGACCGAGATAGGCTTCAAGCCACCCTGGCCTTACGTGAAAAGGATTTACGTACACTCAAGCAGGTCCTGCAATCACTCATCACTGATGCTGAGAAAGACGAAATCAAATACCGTGAACGTGCGTCTCAGAAGGCAGAATTGGTGCAGGTTGCCAATAGTGTTTTAAGTGGAATCAGTGCAGAACAAAAGGTTGGGACTTTAACACGAGAGTCTACGGATGGCGCCCATGTCGTCAAAAAGAAAAGGTCTTTGCGTGATTCAGGTTATGTTGGTAGTGACATAGACGAGGAGTTGGAATTAATTGATGCCGAAAGAGAGATTGTATAAGTACGCGAGGCATAACATATCAGGTCTTGAGATTTGTCTTTCTGTTTAAGAAAAGTACACGCCAAATTTGAAAAACCAAGAACAGGCTATTACAATTAACACACAGTAGATACACATATCTTCGCTTAACAAACGACACTTATCGGGATGGCAATGACGCAGAAGCGTACAAGGTAATGGATAATTCAACTACGTCATGATCAATTTGTCTTTTTAAGGTGTCATTAGAAGAAGGCTCCATTTTCATACTGTTATCATCTATCTCTCTTCTCTAGATCCCAGACGCTACCTATCTGAAATGCAAGTCAATAAATATCAATGGGTGTAGCGTCTCGATCTCCCTCTTCACCATGCATAAGGCCGTCTACGAAACAAACGCCAATCATTCTGCACACAGGTTTCAATTCCAAAACGTAAGGCAAAGTTGATCCGTGGAGAATTGCGACCGCATTTCCAATCTTGGTTGCTTGTGGAACAAGCGCAAGTGAATGGCTTTCCAACATAGCAAATCTGCGGTTGATGCAAGCTCTCGACTGCCACGCGAGAGCAGCTAGCCATTTTTCAAGGCTAGCCGTGACCGTGAGATCACTTCGCACCGATAGCCTTAATATTTGATTTATCATATGGTCACAAGTTGTTTCGCTCCAAGCGTCAGCTGGTAGCTCGAAGTCGCCAGTGGCTGTCTGACGAGTATACCCGTCTAAAGTAATTGTTTTAATGATTCTATGACTTTCTTGGGCCAAAGTCAAGCCAGTAGGGTGGGAGCGAAAAGACGTCTTCAGGATCGGAAGTATTTCATCCCGTAGCCGATCTTCAAGGGTTTGTGAACTCGTGAAGTCTGATATTTGGATATCAATAAGTTCAGCAACGGTGTCTACGATATATCCTTGCACGCGAAGGATCTCTTTACTCACGACAACGTCTCTATGCGGACGCCGAAGATCAGCGCTGAAGTAAGCATACGCTGGGTTCAGATATTCGAAAGCATTGTTAGCTGCTCGAGTAGACCAATCAGTAACCCATGACGGTAGGTCGCTGACCTGACCGCCGAACTCTCTTTCAGTTGCAGTCGCGCAAATGCGAAGGGAATTTTGCGAGCGAATGATGTTTCTGGATGTTTCGATATACAATTGGCGCGCCGGCTTCTTCAAGTCAACGGCGATGGGTTCAAAAGGCCCGTCCCCGACTTCGTTTTGCATCGAAAGCAAAACGTAGATCCGATCTGCCGGATTGCTACATTTATAGAAATCATTATTCAGCAAGAGCCACGCCAACGGAGTCGGCTTTTGGTGTGCAACGGCGTGTCTAGTATCAGAGATTCGTTGTAGGCTAACTCTGCCATTACTGTGATTGACGCCAAATGAGTGATCAAGGCCGAGGAGAATCGAAGCTCTCATCACGGTGACAAAGGGAGCATTGTATCGGCCGCAAATAACGACATTGTTGCCTCGGAATGACAACACAGCTTCTTGAAATGTCCACAATCTAGAAAACCATTCTCTCTGGAGCAACTTCCCAAACGCAGCCCACCCCGGATCCGTTTGTGATGGTAGAATATCCTTTCCGTAATGCTGGATCAGCATTTGGCGTATTTGTGAATGGGTTGAGGTACGTGCTTCGTACGTGTTAAAGGTGATAGGTTGGTTGAACGGCATTACCGCTTCAATTCTGCGCAAGAGCGTAAACGCAGCTTCGGTGTCGTCGTCGGCAGGTCCAAGCCATATTACACAGCACCAACACTGTCGATATATTCGACCCACGAGTTTGAACTGCTCTAATACCTCCTCGTCGTTCGATTGATCAATGCATACTTGATCTGCCCAGAGAAGGATTGATTTTCCGTGCATTGAGACCAAACTTGGAACGACGATATTGACAGCATCCCAAAGGCTCGCAGTAACTGGGAAGATGCAGTCCCCGTCATGTCCACGTAATACGAGGGCTGAATCTTTGCTCTGATTACCCCGGACGTAGGACAGAGTGACATATTCGAGATTCAAGTCGTCAAGCGATCTTTCCACAATTCCAAATACGTTCCGGTTGTAACTATTGGAATGTAAGCTTCGCTTGCGTACTGATTCCAGTTTGATCAGCCTGATAGAGTTTCTTCCCGTTATTGGCTTGTGTACGAAGCGTTTGTGGAACGATTGGCTTCCATTCTCGGCTTGAAGAAACATTTCCCCTAGGAATTCCTCCATCCTTGATTTCCGAGGCCCAGAACTGACTGATGGAAACAAATCAAACGATTAAGAAATTGTAAGAAACACCCTTAATAAGACAGTATAAAAAACCACGTGACCAAGGATGGTCGACGTGGCTCTAAGACGGGAAGCAGCTTAAATAATGTAGACGTATGACCGTTATCCGTCATCGAGGATTCGGTAAACGCAACTTATATCGATCTAATCGGATAAGTCAAACGAAGCACAAGTTGATGAATTGTCCCAAGTCGGTTAAGAAAGCCGCGATCGTTGTGTTTGACGCGTGTAGTATCGATCGGACAAGTCCCATTCGCCAATATCACTACATGGCTTCTGCATGGCAAGGTCGAGTCACAAATCATAAATGCTTAATGTTTGCCAGCAGATAGTTTAGCGGACCTTCTAGATCTTCCAATGATAATGCTTAACGCAAAACTGATTCTAGACTCCGCGACACTTCATGGAACCTCGTGTAGATACCCTAAGAGCCATCGGAGTCAGCTCCACGTATCCACTACGGCTCAAATGGGATAAATTCGAAAATTCAATTCGCGGCGCTGATGTTGAGAACAATTGGTAGTTAGTTGTATTCATCGCTCCCATGCAAGGGACAGGCCGACCCCGCAGTGACCCGACTTGCTACGACTGCGCTGAAAAAAAAAGCCCCGCCAAATTTTTTAGCACTCAACGTGCGACGGTATTTCTTGACCATCCACACGTCGCTAAAAAATCGCAATGGAACCAGACGAGTCGGAGTATCTCATTCTTCCAGGCTCGAATGCATACTCGGATTTTCGCCTCGCTCGTCTCGCGAAGGCCATCGGTGCAGAGGAGGTTCGCGCTTTATGGGTTCATTACATTAACCCCGCGAGGCAGTTGACGGAGCAAGAGATCAGAGATTTGCAAAATATTTTGGACTACGGTGATAAACCCGACCTCAGCGATAGGCTTACAGCCGTACTCAATGCGTCATTGAGCAATGTACACGTTGCGGACGACTCGAAGACAGCTGTCTTTCACGTCTTCCCAAGGCCTGGTACGATCTCACCATGGAGCTCGCAAGCCTCAAACATAGCACAAATATGTGGTTTAGACAAGGCAGTCAGGCGAATTGAACGTGGCATGGCTATTGCGGCTACATTTGCCGAGCGAATTGAGGATAACGCCATTCCACACGCAGACTCTCTTCACGATCGAATGACACAAAAGATCAGTCGAACGGCGCCGGATTTGAATGAAATATTTGGAGAGCATGAACCAGCGCCGGCTAGAACCGTCGACCTTTGGAAACCTGGCTCAAACCCTCGTGCTGAGCTCGAGCACGCGAATCGCGAATTGGGGCTCGCTCTCGACTCATCTGAAATCGATTATTTGGTGCACGCGTATTCTGAACAACTTAAGAGAGGGCCGGTTGACGTTGAGCTTTTCATGTTTGCACAGGTAAATTCAGAGCATTGCCGCCATAAACAATTCAATGCGGACTGGACTATCGACGGCATAAAGCAAGCCCACAGCTTATTCCAGATGATACGAAATACCCACCAGAAGAACCCAGGATATGTGGTCAGCGCATACAGCGACAACGCCGCAGTCATGGAAGGAGATGATGCTGCGTTCTGGGCGCCCAATAACTCAACGGGCGAGTGGCAACAGTACAAAGAAAAGGTTCATTTTCTTGCCAAAGTTGAAACACACAACCATCCTACAGCCGTATCTCCTTTTCCGGGGGCCGCTACAGGTTCCGGTGGCGAAATCAGAGATGAAGGCGCGGTTGGCAGAGGCTCGAAACCGAAAGCAGGGCTGGCTGGTTTTACTGTCTCTGACCTCTTGATTCCAGATTTTAAGCAGCCATGGGAATTGGACGTAGGTAGACCGGCTCACATTGCAAGTAGCTTAGACATCATGTTGGAAGCACCCATCGGAAGCGCAGCTTTCAACAATGAGTTCGGTCGGCCGTGCACGACTGGGTATTTTCGAACATTGACTACGAAGGTTCCAGTCGATGAAGGGAAGGAGGAGGTTAGAGGCTATCATAAGCCAATTATGATCGCCGGAGGAGTTGGCACAGTAAGACCAGAGCACGCGATCAAACATGCCGATATTGTGCAACCGGGAGCAAAACTCATCGTGATTGGCGGACCGGCGATGCTCATTGGGCTCGGAGGTGGTGCGGCATCAAGCGTACAATCCGGCGAAGGTTCAGTCGAACTGGATTTTGCTAGCGTTCAACGTGGCAATGCTGAGGTTCAACGAAGAGCCCAAGAAGTAATCAATACATGTACAGCGATGGGTTCGGCAAACCCGATCCTGTTCATCCACGACGTTGGCGCTGGAGGCTTGTCAAATGCACTACCCGAGCTCGTTCACGATTCTGGACTCGGGGCGACCTTTGAACTTCGAGAAGTGGATAATGCCGACAGAGGTATGAGTCCTCTGCAGATATGGTGCTGCGAGGCTCAGGAACGATACGTCCTTGCTGTTGCCCCAGAAAACTTGGAGCTATTCAAACGCCTATGCAAACGCGAAAGATGCGGCTACTCAGTTGTTGGCACTGCAACTGGAGGCAATAGGGACGAGGATAAAAGACTCATTTTGATGGATCGAGAATCAAAGGAATATCCAACGCCAATTGATCTGCCCATGTCGATACTGTTTGGCAAGCCGCCTCGCATGAGCAGGATTGTAGATAAGAGGAAGCTGAAGCTTCCGGAGTTTGATTCGTCACTAACCACTTACGCGCCTCAGCTTCTCGCTGATAACCTGCTTTCGGAGGCTGTTGATAGAGTCATGGCTCTCCCGTCAGTTGGCTCAAAATCGTTCCTGATCACAATTGGCGACAGGTCAGTCGGCGGTCTGACCACTCGAGATCAAATGGTAGGACCATGGCAGACTCCTCTTGCTGATGTATCCGTCACTGCTACCGCACTTCTTCGCGGCGTGAAAACCGGTGAAGCTATGGCAATGGGTGAGAAGCCGACTTTGGCGCTCATATCACCAGCTGCGTCTGCTCGAATGGCTGTCGCAGAGTCATTGATGAACATATTAGCCGCACACATTCCCGACAGATTGTCCAAAATTCGCCTCTCTGCAAACTGGATGGCGGCAAGTAGCCACCCTGGTGAAGGAGCGGCGCTGTATGAAGCAGTCCAAGCTATCGGCATGGAGCTCTGCCCTAAACTTGGTATTAGCATTCCCGTGGGCAAGGACTCGATGTCCATGAAGATGAAGTGGAAAGACTCAGGAAGCAACGAATCGAAAGAGGTCATTGCACCACTGTCCTTGGTCATCACTGCATTCGCTCCTGTGAAAGAAATTGCGAACACATGGACTCCGGCACTACGAAGACACGAGGATCTTGAAGAAGATACCGTGCTGCTATACGTGGATTTAGCACATAACAAGAAGCGACTTGGCGGTTCAGCACTCGCCCAAGTCTTTGGCCAAATTGGAAGTCAAGCGCCGGATGTCGAAGAAGCATATGACCTTTTAGATTTTGCGGACGCTGCTGAGCAACTCCATGAATCAGATATTGTTCTTGCGTATCATGATCGATCAGATGGTGGCCTGTTCACTACTCTTGTTGAAATGGCATTCGCAGGCCGTTGTGGCATCGACATTGACCTGGGACATCTCAACATCTCTCCAGATCGTCAGGCCGTCATCGAGACCCTCTTCAATGAAGAACTGGGTGCGGTGTTCCAAGTGCGCAAGAAAGACGAAACTCGCTTCAAGAGCTGCTTTGCTTCGTGCGGGCCACCACCTGGACTTATCAAGCGACTCGGCACGGTCGCGAGCGGTTCGCGAAAGAGCCAAGTTATCACGTTCCGCCACGGCTTGAAGATCTTGTATCAGTCTACAAGAGCTGAATTGCAGCAGAAGTGGGCAGCCACGTCGTATCACATGCAAAAATTGCGCGACAATCCGGCTTGTGCTGAGCAGGAATACAGTAACATACTCGACGATTCAGATCCTGGTCTGTCGTACCGGCTCACATTCAATCCGAAGGATGATATCATGCCGTTGACGAGCAAGATGTCCTCGCTGTTCGCTGGAAAGCCGCGCGTCGCAATCCTTCGTGAAGAGGGCGTTAATGGCCAGGCTGAAATGGCTTTCGCCTTCCATTCGGCAGGCTTTTTGGCAATTGATGTGCACATGACAGATATACTTTCTGGCCGCGTCTCTTTGAACACTTTCGTAGGTCTGGCAGCATGCGGTGGCTTCTCGTATGGAGATGTGCTCGGTGCTGGTCGAGGGTGGGCCAAATCAGCCCTTCTACATCAGGAGGCGCGAAAAGAATTCGCTGATTTCTTTGCCCGAAAAGATACGTTCGCGTTGGGAGTATGCAACGGATGCCAATTTCTCAGTCAGATGAAGGAGGTTATCCCGGGTGCGGAAGACTGGCCGACATTTGAGCGAAACACGAGCGAGCAGTACGAGGCTCGGGTTTGTATGGTCGAAATTGTTGACCAGCCTCCTTTGCAATCTGCATCCTCCGCTTCCGAGTGGCAACCGTCTGCCTTTCTGCACGGTATGCACGGGTCTATGCTGCCTATCGTAACAGCCCACGGAGAAGGAAAAGCCACATTTTCTAAAGACCTATCGTCTACGTCGACGCCGGAGAACCTCGTGCAGCAAGGACTCGTGAGCATGCGTTATGTGGACAACTACCGCAAGGTCACAGAACGGTATCCGTATAATCCCAATGGAAGTCCCCTTGGCATTACCGGTGTGCGCACGCCTGATGGCAAAGTGTTGGCGTTAATGCCTCATCCGGAGAGAACCATCTTAAAGGAGGTGCGGAGCTGGGCTCCCGAGGAAATGGAGAGTGAGTGGGGAGACTTTGGGCCATGGATTAGAATGTTTAAGAGCGCAAGGAAATGGGTTGGGTAGATGGAGTTGCATTTACAGCTTTGTCCTTTGAGGAGATATGGTCGACTGGGTATCAGGTACATTTCATTCATGGTTCGCAAGCTGATAGACGCGTGAAGCAATTTGATTATGCTTTCTACTCAGAATCTTCTTATTCTGCAATCGAATAAACAAACCCTCTGAGTCCCATTTCTCTCTGAGAATATCTGGGACGTGCTTAAGGCTCGCTTGCAGGGTTTTCGTTCATTTTGTTGCATGCCGTCGTAGAATCCCTGGTGTCGAGTCCCTTACACCAACGTGTTGATCATAGTCTTTGATGGAAAATTGCACGAGCAAGTGACAGGGGCATTATCCGGGTCACGAACAGCGCGAGCGAGAATTGCAGGAAGTCGGACAAGGTGGATGGGTCTTTTGTTTGTCTGTTCTGAATCCAGCGTAGCGCTGTGGTTAGTCAACATGGAACCGGCCAGGGTGTTCGAGAATTTGGGTCGAGCAGCAAGTGGGTGTTGGCCATGCGACGATTTTTGAGTACGGCGGGCTATAAAATCTCTGCACGAGCGCACGTATGCGAATCCACATAAATCGCAACACGCATACTTGAGACCCTCCACGATTGTATCCAACATGTCTGCGCCACCACCGGGGTTTGACCCAGAGACGGCCGACAATAATGAAGATGTACGTCATATATCATCGTGCGTTTGTGGCTTGCCAGCGCCCTCGTCCAACTGAGGCTGGCTCACAGGCCGGAGATGCCTATCGCCAGGAATTCTCATCCGTACTGACAAGTCATTAAGGTCGAACGGCAATGGGCGGTCAAATCAATCCAACACATGCTCACGTACTGGAAAATCCTCGAGTCCATGCGCGGAAGCAAACTCAAACTCACAAAGTACGACGACGACATATATGAAAAGTTTCAGACGCATTTTCCGGACTTCGATCCGAAGGCGCGCATCAATGAGGATGAGATGAAGAGTGCGAAGGGAAAAGAGAGGTGGAGGGAGTTCATCAAGTTGTATGAGGATAAGATTGAGGACTTTAACTTTGGGACCATGCTGAGGGCGGATCCGAGCAAGGAGTATAACGAGGAGGACACTATATTTGCGGTGAGAATGCAGTTCTATGCGATCGAGATTGTTCGTAATCGCCTCGGCTTGAATGACTGGGTGTACGAGCGGGCACACCCAGAAGAGAAGGGCAAGGAGGAAGGCTCGTGAAGCTACATGTCGTTGCAACAGGCAAGCTTGGCCGAAAAGCTTCACATATGTATAGCCAGGTTCCCGGTCTGCTTCCAATTATGCAGGCAGAGCATGACAAAAGGTCTACAGGCCTCGCAAAAGCAAGCACGTCGCTGCGTTGCCCCGAAGGCCTCGAGAGCGTGGAAACCATGCTGGACTCTTACCGAGCATGATGACGAGAGGTTGCGCACGCTAAGGTAATCTAAGATGGCGAAAGACTTTATGACACTGAATAGAAAGCATGATCCTGCAATTGGAACTTCCACAGTCCAGGTGCCATGGACTGACCATGACGTTCAGCACGCGTCCAGTGATCATTTCACTCTGTTGGATCGATTCGAAAGTTCTTTGTCATATATCGTGAGCTCGTGGATGTGATGGCATCCCAGGAACTGAATTCACGTTGTCGTAGATTGCTTGAGAACAGCAAGTGTGATTCCTTTAGGACTGATTAAATACAGGATTGAAAGCTCGGGTTCGTCTCAAACACTTTGCGGACAGGATTCAAACAACACTTCAGGGAAATAGACATGTTAAGGCTCAGACTGGATCCAAGAAGGAATCGTGAACATCCTCAGTGTTGCGCCATACAGCTCCGTTCTTCAACGCAGAGAAGCAGATAGCTAACAAACGCCATTTGGTGGCGCTTTGCGCTGCATTATTTGCCATACTTGTCCATGCCGTAACTCCGACCCAGTCTTGCCTGCTAGGCCGAGTTTTCTGGTGCATTTACCAACTTGGCCAACGCCAGAGCGTCCGAAGGAGATTTACGAAGCCTCAACCCTCGTCGCTATTTTTGCGTGATTTGCCTCTCAAAAGGATAAAATTTGCAATGAAAACCCAAACCGAGGGTTTGGGAGACGTTTCCAAGTACGACATAAGTGTCATTACGGCATCCAAATCGTGAAAACTTACCACGAGGAAGCCGTCGAGAACTGGCGCCATGATAGGTTGGTAAAGCAGGCAAGAAGGCTTCGTGCACACCAAGTCGACTGCAATGCTTTGCAGGTTGCGAGCCTGCGAGCGATCATTCTGAGCGTATTCGTCCAAAGCTTTTGGTATGACAGCAAGCTTGTTCAGGCACTTCGGGAAAGGAATTCGCCGGCAGTCTTCTCACTGCGTTCCAGTGTGGCATTGGAGCTACATGTACCGTGGTAGAGTTGATGCCAAATTTGAGCTCGTTTGAAAAGGGCAAGATTGGAGGCCTTCGTCGGAAACTATTGATGGTGGGCACATCCACAGTGTCAAACACAAGCTTTGTCAGACGCAGCGTAAATCTCGACACGAATTGGAGAAGTCGTATCTGAACCTGTTCATTTTACCGATCCGAGCAGCGCATATGGAGTCGTCACTTCGACTTGTCTACGCGCACGCTCTTCCCAGTAGGCTCCTCTCCATCGATGCTATGCAACCATGCACAATCACACTACATAGCATTGTTTTCGAGATGCGGCAGCGGTCCGTCGCTGTCGGTTCGGACTCGAGTGTGAGGCAGTAATAGGCCACGGACTCCAAACATGTTCGCGTGAGCGAGCCGACGTGGACATGTGACGTGAGAAGTCCCCACAGCGATCACCCCACAGTGGGTCTTCCCCCGCGTTCGGGCGCTGCGGCCACGCCTGATGGTCACGTAACGAGGTTGCTTTTGCTCGTCCTTGGGCCGCGCATACACAAAACTCCCCCAGCCCGCCGTCCCTGAGCTCTCATACATCTCACCCGCTCCAGCCCACAATCCATCTCAAAATCATCACCTTTTCCACCACACACCTCAAATCCGGTCAAGATGAGTGCAATCGCTGACGACGGACCAACCAAGCCCATTGAGGTGCTCTTTGTCGCCCACGACGGCTTTGACACCTTGGACTTGCTTGGTCCTCTCGAGGTCTTTTCCCAGGCCAAACACGACGGTGGGAAGGATGGTGAGTGCACAGTATCCACGCTCAAAACGACATTGCTGTCAGCGTCATCGAGCACTGCACTCATAGCTTGGTGGGCATCAGCTGACACGTCACGCCACAGTCAAGGGCATGAAGGCCTTCAACACAACCATTGCTGCACCCACTCAAGGCGTCAAGACTGCTCAAGACGTCACGATCAAGGCAGACATTGACCTTGACGATGCACTCGAAGATTTGAATGACTATGACATCCTTGTCATCCCGGGTGGCAGCACCGAACCCTTCACGGGCGATGGCGGGGAAAAGAAGCAGCCCATCCCACTGATCAAGGCATGGGCCGATCTCCAGCGAAACGACCCTTCGAAAGAACGAACCCTGTTCAGTGTTTGCACCGGCAGTCTACTCCTCGCCAAAGCCGGCGTCCTCCAAGGCCTTGCCGCCACCACCCATCCTGATCACTACACCCGACTGGAGATGTTGTGCCAGGAAGCGTCCGTGAAGGACACTGGAATCCGCACAGACGTCATGGAGGAGCGTTATGTGGTCAACAACGCGCGCTTCGATCTGGGAGAGAAGCCAGAAGACAACCCGTTCATCACCAGCAGAAAGCCCGACGCCCGTCGCCCAAGCATCATACAAGGACGCAAGGGCAGCGAGAGCTTCAAGCAAGCCAAGAGAAGGGAGAGTTTGCTCAAGCGGGCAAACATGCCTCTGGGTGGTCTGCGAGTGATCACCGCTGGCGGAATCACTTGCGGCATAGATGCGGCCCTGTACCTCGTCGCTGCCCTGGTCAGCGTCGAGTCCGCCCATGAGGTTGCCCGCGTCACTCAGTACAATTGGCAGAAGGGGGTAACGGTCGAGGGTATTGACGTCTAGAAGGGGCGGTTGAAGGCTCATCACTGGCTTGACTTCTGACAGCTTGAAACATGGCGGGGCTGGAATGAACATTGATCTGTATGGTGCAAAAGGGTAACGGCTGAAATGATGAAATCTTCGATATCGTATCTTAAATGAAAATTACAAACATTTGCACCTGTCGCTTGACGCCGCCTCGCCCGAGGACTGCCTTGGCCGCTTCTTGCTTCGGAGTGACTCAAACCGCGTAGGTTCCTGGCAAGGCTGACCCCTCATTCGATCAACCTGACTCGCGGCGCCGACCCCACACCTGCATCGAGCTAGCAAACGGGCAGGGCCTAAAAACCTTTTTGCCAGAAAGCTTTCTCTCGTGGAAATCAGTTCGACACAAAACCACACACGTGCACCGCTTGCCAGCCAGAGCGACAACAACCCGGGTGAAGATGCCAGACTCGCCGCCCCCAGAGGAGCGCGAACGCCTCGACAAGGAGGCCAAGGCGAAGGAGGAAGCCGAGCAGGCCGCGCTGCCGTACAAGTGGACGCAGACGATCAAGGACGTCGACGTCACGATACCGATTCCCGCGAACATCAAGGGCAAGGACCTGGACGTGACGCTGACCAAGAGCAAGCTGAGAGTTGCCGTCAAGGGCCAGGCGCCCATCATAGACGTGAGTGACGACGAGGCAGTGTCTCTTCCCCTCTTTGAACAGACACGACCGAGAAGGAAGAATGAGGAGGGAGAGGAAGAAAAGAGAAAGAAATCTTTTTTTTCTCCCTTTGCTAATTCCTCCCTCACTTTTTCTTTCTTCTCGGTCTTTTTTTTTTTTTTTTTCATTTCTCCTCATCCTTTTTTTTCTTTTCCTTTTTTCTTTTTTTTCCCCCTTCTAACCCCCTCCCCCTTCACTCAAGCATCTTTTTTGCCTAACAACCGCTTGCCTACAGGGCGACTTCCCCCACAGCATCGTGCCGGACGAGTCGGCGTGGACGGTCGAGACGGTGAAGGAGGGCAAGGAGATCTCGATCCACCTGGACAAGGTCAACAAGATGGAGTGGTGGCCGCACGTGGTGACGAGCGCGCCCAGGATCGACGTCACCAAGATCGTGCCGGAGAGCAGCAGCCTCAGCGACCTCGACGGCGACACCCGCCGCATGGTCGAGAAGATGATGTTCGACCAGCGCCAGAAGGAGATGGGCCTGCCCACCAGCGACGAGCAGCGCAAGATGGACATCCTGAAGAAGTTCCAGCAGGACCATCCCGAGATGGACTTCTCCCAGGCGAAGATCGGATGAGCGCGGACTGTTCTTCTTTTCTCCTTGCAGGGCGTGGGTGCAGGCGAAGACGGGGTGAAAAGGTTTGGGGAGGCGTGAGAAGGTGCGGGAGACGTGGGAGCAAGACAGCCGCGAGGCCAACGCAAAGGGCGGTCAACGTTGTCTTCGCGCGGCCTACATTGCTGCCGAGACGGTCCCGCCTGAACGGCAGCCAGGCATGCGTCACTCCACGTAAGAGCCTGGAATCGTACTCGGCGAAGCCTCTTCCTCGTGGTACCGCCGGCAGCGTGGGTTACAGTCGATCGTCTCCTGCGCGGCGGATGCAAGCTACCTCCCCTCCCCCTTTTTTTTTTAAAAAAAAAAAAATTCTTACGTACCTGTGCGTTTCCTTACGTGACAAGACTCGAGGAGATTGCTGGATGCACACTGTTTCAAGGCTGGAAGATCGTAAAAGCACATGATATTAATACAACGACAAGAGTCTTTCTAGTTATATTACATTGTCATGAATCCGTCCCCAAGGTGATACGATTCCCATCATAAGTCGTAGCATGCCGATTGTCCGTTTGATCATACAGATCTCCCATGAGAAAGCCGAGAGCTCCGAAACCATCAATTCACCTCCAGATAGCAGGCAGTAAATGACATCAAGCTGAGGGAAAAACGCCAAACAAACAAGCAAACAAAATAAAAAAAAAAAAAAAAGGGGGGGGGGGGGGGGGCCGGTCCAGCTGCACGTCCAGCATCGTTCTACCAGTGCCACACGTGCAGGGCTGTATTTACGGCTTTTGGAACCACTGTATCAGCTCTATCTTCTTGCGATCTTTGAAGTAGCCGAGATCGTCAAAGGCCAGCTCAACTTTCACGTGTCCCCGTCGGTCCAGAACGCACTTGATCAGCCTCTTGAGCTCGTCGATTCCCACAATGTCGAAATACGACTTGAGCGGAGCGTCCCGCATCTCGCCGGACGGCCGGCGGGTCCTCAGCATCTCTGGGGAAATTCTGATGTTCAGAGAGCGAAGGTTGACGCACTTGTCCGCCAGGATGTTGAACGTGCGCGGAGCGGCCTCCTCGGTGCGGTGCTTTGGGTCGGCCCGGAAGCTGCCGGCGATGCGCTCCCTGTTGTCCCAGTACAGGTTCGTGCCCGAGATGCTGGCGAGGCCGTAGTCGTCCAGTTCCGACAGCATCCAGCTGAGATCCTCGAACCACAGCTGGTCGACGCAGACCGGCCGCGTGCGAAGCAAAGCCTGGTGTATCGTCTGCATGCAGCTCTTCATCAAGGTTCGCAAATGCGTGCATGTCTGCGAGATGGCCTTTAGGTCTCTTCGCGCAGGGCCGCCGTTCAGGAAGTAGACAATCTGGTGGAAGGCTGACGAGTTCAGCTCTAGACGGGCCTGTTCTTCGCCCGTGACTGGGCTGAGCACCGTACCGTTTGTGCAGTCCGGTGGTACGAGCGGGTGCAGATAGGTGAGCTGGCAGCAGATTTCATGTATTATGTCGTAGGGAAGGTCAAGGATGGTGGTGAAAGCATTGGACATGGGCTCGAGGTACGGCTCGGATGCACGAGATTGAGATGATAGGTGGGAAGAGGCCGAGCTCTCTTCTCCGTGCGAGACGTCGTCCGTTGCAGCTGGCTCGTTCGGCACGTACATGTCGCTGCCGAGGGTGTGTCTTGGGAACGCGGCGTCGATGATATGTGTCGGCTCGTCTTCGACCCTCTGCCTCGACGACGCCGTCACCGACTGGTTTGTGTCGATCGAGCGCTTACCAACAGCTTCGTCCGCGCCGGAACAGACCTCGCGTAGCCACGGGATCGTGACCAGATTGGCGGTCTGCGTCTCTTCTCCCTCCGACGTCCCGATGGGAGGCACGGAGTGCCCGTCGAGTCGGTGGCAAGCATGCACAGTACTTGGTCCGACCGTTTGCCCGTCACGCGAGAAGGCAGCTTCAGACATGTTGGCAGTCATCACAGTCGACCACACGAACGCAGAAAGCAGGGGAACAACCAAGCCGTCTCGCCCGATTGAGATGGTATTTTTTTTTGAGCCTGATTATGTGTCGAGCCAAAGGGCCGGAAAACGATATGCTTGACTCGTGGATCTAAGAACAGTCGACCGCGTTGTACATCGCCAAAGCAAAGAACGGTAAGGCTGAGGTGATGGTGAGGCTGTGGTTGCACAACCAGCGCTTTCTGTATCAGGAAATGCGCACCGTCGAGGTCACAGTTGCAGAACGGGCGTTGCATCGCCCAAGCCGTCACCCTCATCCGCTGATAAGCGGACAGTGACGAAGCAACGACATCAGCAAGGTCAGAATGGAGGCACTGTAAAATCATCACGACACAGTGAACTGCACGGACAGGCTCTGGGCCAAAATCGAACAGCGGGAAAAGCTGTGGGATGCGGGGGAAAGCCAAGTCAATCGTTTTTGATTCTCGGCATGCTAGTTCTAACTGATCCTACGACATCATCATAACTCTTCTGCTTGTCTTGCAGAGTCCTCACATGAGCGTTTTGCTCACCCTTGGAACGCCAAACGAATACAAACCATCCAAAAGTATGTAAGATGAAGGAGAAGGAGCGATTCGGGTATCATCTTGCGCCCACACACAAAACACATCGTGAACAACGTGGCCGTCAGGTCGCTCTATCCGCGTCGACCTCGGCCGTACAAGCCCCGTCTGTGGAATCCAGCCTGCCTCTTAGCTGTGTCTAAACGGTTCGTAGGCGGTTTCCCGGCCGCCGTACGGACCGTGAGCGCCGAAGCTACTCATCTCGACGTTGGTCGGCGGCTGCGCGTACGAGCCGCGGCTGTCGCCCAGCGGCTGGTAGCCCTTTCCGCCGCCGTAGCCCTTTTCGCCGTCGCGACGCTTGCGGTCGCTCTTTCCGGAGCAGCAGCAGATGCTGACGGTCCAGAAGAGCGTGGCCGCCAGGGAGGCGGCGAATGCGAGCCAGTCGACGCTCATCATCTTGGTGCCAACGCTGAGCTTGATGCCGTACGTCTTGAGCACCGAGTTGAACGTCCCTGTCAGCACCGAGAACAGGATCGTGCTGGTGAGCGCGGACAGGAAGGTGAACAGAGTCGCCACGGACGACACGATGGTCGTCACGCAGGAGCCCCAGCGGGAGCAGATGGCCAGCAGGCCCACGATGATGTTGGCCAGCGTGGCGAAAAAGGCGATGGTGTAGGCGACGAACATCCAGTTGCTGACGGCCTTGTAGATGTTCAGCCCGTGCTGGATCTCTTTGGGCACCAGATCCGCAACACCCGAGTTGTTCAAGCCCCAAACCTCAACCGGGTTGAACCAGTAGCGCGCCTCGCGGGCGGAGCAGTAGGTCAGCTTGACGCTGCCATCACTCTCCTTGCTGCCGGAGCAGTAATTCCACAGGTACACCTCGTAGATGTCCGAGAGGTTCTTCTTCGCGTTGGAGCTGGTAAGCTGGTTGAGGAAGTTGCGGAGCTGGTCGTCTGCTGAGCCTGGCAGATTTATGCTGAGGACTCCAGACTCAGTTATATTGCTCTTGAAGCCCGTTGTGTCGGCCTATCAAGTCGAGTGTTTTGTCAGCGTCAAGCGTTGCAGAACGAAGAGAGTCGACTAGGTTATGGATATTCCTCTTTTTTGAGGGGGGTAGAACTACTCACTTTGAAGTAGTACAGCGACGATAGGTTCGAGTCGTTCTTGTTCCATCCTCCGAGGAAGACAACAACGAGCAGGATGAACGAGATGACGGTGAGGACCATGGGCGTGGTTATGCACGCTATTCTGCCGAGTTTACCCATGATGTGTGATGAACGCCTGTTGCGGCGGGTGGACTGCTGTCAATCGATTCGAAAGGGTCGGCAAAGCGAGTGGGTTGCGCCACAGGAATTGAAGCAGCGCAATTCCAGAGACGGTCGTATGCGTGCGAGCGAGTGCGAGTGCGTTGTGTGTTTATGAACCGACGAGGTCTTTGGGCAGGTGGAGCCCTGGCAAGCAAAATATGACGAAGGTCAGATCTTCTCAGCCCCCGAAACGAGCTGGTGGGCCAGGGTCGGAGTGGATAAGACGGCGCACAAGAAATGAAGCTGACGGGAAGACAACGAGGGTGACGGTGAGGAGACCGGCAGGACCAAAAAGAAAATAAAGCGGACGGAGATGAGATGCGTTGCCACGGCAGAAGGCTGTCGTGCTCGTCTTATACGTAAGGTGGGCAAGTGCGCTCGCAAGGCTTTGCGGGCCTTGGGTCGTACGCTGACCTGGAAGACGCTACAGTTTGGGGGAGGGGACACGCCAGGCTGGGCTGTGCTGCCTCTTTTTGCTGCTCACTGCTCGCGGTCTACGCACAGCACCTTCAAGGCGTATGAGCGTGTGCGAGGGGCGCAGCAACTCACCAGCGCGCGCCCCAGCTGAAACCAAATGAACTGCGACCGACAAAAAACAAAAATTAATAATAATAATAAAAAAAAAACACGAGGCTTGAGGGGCTCGCCCAACGCGCAAAGCGGTGACAGCAACGACGGCGACCTTACTCTCTTTTCTCCTTCTTCGTGCGTCTCTCTCCTCTGCTGCCGTCCCCCACGTGCGTGCCATCCTGGCGTACTCCGCACTGTCCCTTTCCCGTCTCCCTACTCTGATCCACCCTCATTTTCTCTCCTGTCGACGTTGTCGAAGATTATCAAAAAATACGAACGCCGAGAAGGGGAGGGAGAATGGTGGGGGCGAAGACGTGGCGGCGTCTTGTCCTCGGTGGCTCGCAGAGGCGGAAAGACGAAGAGTGACACGCTCGCTCCCTCCAGCCCCAGCAGCAGGGCTCAAAAGGTCCCGCCTGCCAAGAGCCTCACTAACTCTTCTTGCACTAGTCCGGGCCCCGTCGAGCTCGGAAGTTCCAGGCAGCGGCTAAAAATAGGCCGAACCCTGCGCTTTTGGGCCTCCGCGTGTTCCCCCGAGGCTGGCGCACACAAAAACCAAATTCTTTCCGTGCTGACTCACCCCCCCACTGGCTGTACGACTGACTCACTGTGAACTCCTCTCACTTGCGACCACTCTCTCGCCTCAATCGCTCAAGTCACATGATCCCACAAAGGTAACAAGAAAAATGTCCACCCTGCTTTGCTCAATGATGCAGGTTTTTTTTTTATCAGTTCCTGTTGCTTGTTGCTCTGCCGATCACGACCGACGCGTTCTCACATGATCTTCTTTTGCTTGGCGGTACGCGTCATTACTGGGCGAGATCATCTTCCTGAACGAGGCCGCGACGTCGCCCCACAACACCCGAAAAAGTCGCAACGGTACGTCTAAAAGCAAATAAGACTGATTAAAAAAATAAAAAAAAATTCGGGACAGTGCCATGGTAGAGAAATAGTCTGTACTTCGTTCATTCCTTGTATGCAAACATCTTGCGTCATGCTCGTCGTTCACCCAACGTCGACCCATATCCTTTATGAATTTTCTTATGTCGAGCATTCCCAATGTTTCCCTCTCTTGATATGTAATAACATACACGCAATGAAAAACGCCCCTCTGAAAGTATATGAGCAGAGGATTGAGGACTAGAAACAAAAGTGGAAGAATAAGTGCCGCCAGTGCTTGCCTGCTAAATGTACTGTGACGAAACTTCTCGGAGAGAGTAAGCGTTCCATGCGTGAGGAATGGAAATCGAATGGACAACAAGAAAAGGCTAGCAAAGAAAAACGCCGTCGGATGCAATGATATTCTGTTGGTACAATGCTCTCGCTCGTGCTGAAGGAGCCCCAATATCCCGTTTGTGACAAAGAAGACGGTAGTTGTTATCCTGAAAAGGAGGACGTGTGCGGTTCGAATCAACGAGCTCGGCAGGGTCGATTTCTGTATGCCCAGTGAGTCTCATCCTCCTCTGGGTCGTCGCGCGCTGCCTGATGGTCCCGCTCTGAATGTATGCATGCATGCATGCACATGCCATATCCCTTCTTCCTCTGTGTGTGTGTGCACAAAAAAAGGAGAACGGTCGGGATGGAAGAATCCACGAGGGCAGGAGTGTGGTAGTTGACCTCTATGCAACTAATGGATGAGTCCTTGCTCATCGTTGCGGTGGTTGCTCCGGATTATGCGGGTTAGGGGAGCGTCTGGCCGCATTCAGTGCCGCTCTGTTCGCCAAATTCCTCTCGGCTTCCTGCCGCGCCTCTTCTGCCTTCTGCTGGTCCGCATCCGGCTTGGGTGCTTGCCGCCTGGGAGGGATCGGTTGCGCTTGGGCATTGTACAACTGCTCTGGAATGATTTTGCAAATTTCTTGCGCGATGGCGCCCGCGACATAGCCCTGTAGCTCGCGATACTCCTTCATGTCCTCGCCCTCGAGCTTGAACTTCTCCTGCTTGGCCAAGTCCTTCCGTCGTAGGGCACGGATCTCGTCGAGAATGTAAAGCAGGACCGCCTCCGGCGCGCGACTTCGCTCAGCTCCCCATTTGGAAAAGTTGCGCACGTAACGTCGCGTCACGTCCATGCAGCCGTCCGCCGAGAAGGCGATGCAATATGCAAGCTTTCGCTGCCAGCCCGACGTGTATAGCCAGGGTTTGTCCCACGCTTGCTCGCAGACGTCGACTGACACCCATCGTTTGCGGTGCACAGAGTAGATCTCAAGCCAAACGTGGTCCTCCGAGTTCCATATCCACCGCACCCTCGCGCCCATGGCTCGGCAGAGCATGCCGAAGCAATTCGCCCATTCGCCGACTCGGCCTTTTCGAGTCTGGAGAAGAACAAACGCATCGGTATAACGGGGGAAGCGCTCGAAGGAGCCGCACGCCTCGAAGGAGCACTTGTACAGCTCCACCTGATTAGCGCCTCCCGCTCGCTCATCTGGAGTTGGCGCAGCCATTCCGACGCCGACGGTCGGATAGCCGCAGTGCTGACATGGTGGGTTGTTTACCCACGAGAAGAAGGAGTTCTTAAACCACCGCATGAGCGCACGAATCACGCAGTCCTGATAGCCCCATGCTGCCTTCTTGTCAGGGCCCAGACTCTGGGCTTCGGCTTCCATAATCTGGCTTTCTTCCTCCGCCTCGTTGTAAATTTGCTGCAGCGGCACGTGCTTTAACGCCTCGTCCAATAAGCCGGGGTTTTCCCATTTGCACGGCATGCTCGATAGCGTGTGCAGCATATTGCGAAACCTTATTGATCGCGAATCTGTTGGTGGCTGTGGGATGAGCGGTATATTTCGAAGAGAGGAGGACCGCGTCGGAGTGCTGCCTCTGTCATCGGCGGGCAGCGGTGAGCTGTAGTCTCGATGCCGCGCCGATTGCGATCCGGTCCGTAACAAGGACGACTGTGAGCTCAGCGCATTCATCCGCTTTGTACTGAGGATCTGGCGAAACTGATTTGTGAGCTCCCGACAGGCCTGACCGTCGAAGATGTTGCGGGACGACGAAGCGCCCCGATCCGGATTGGCAGGATTCGCCATGGCTTGGAGAGGAGATCCACGAAGGTGTGAACTGGCGTCGCCAGCGCAGTCGCGTTGCTGGAGAAGCGGGGGGGGGGACGGAAGGTTCGAAGAGATCTGTGATCGACAGCTGAGATCGGTCGCGTCTCAGCAGGCTGTCGTCCCAAGACAGGTGCAGCCCCTGCTGACAAAGGAAGCGAAGCGCCTGTGCAGATGGCGAAGACGAAGGCGGCGACGGCAATCCAGAGGTCGGGGGTGGATTGTTTTTGAGGAGTGGGTTGGGCAACAGTGCGAGAAGAGGGAGGGATAAGGGAGACGGGCGTACGGTGACTTGGGTGTGCTGGTCTTCGGGCGACAGTGGGGATGAGATGCGGATGCTTGCGCGTCCCGCCAAGCCTTTGCCTGCGTCTGCGAGAACGACTAAGCCTCGCACGCTCCGCCACACGAGACTGCCTGATTCACCGCACGAACAGGCACAGAGTCGCTCGGGTCGGGCGAGCCTGCGATGCGAGTCGGCGCGAGGACGAAGAAGCAGAAGAACGCGGGCGTGGTCAAGAAGCACCGAGGGCAGAAAGATATGTGGTGCGCGTTGGACGCTGCTGACGGCGACATGCGCGCAGAAAGACATTTCGCATCGGCAGGGGCCACGCAAGTCAGCGTCGTAATGCGCCAAGCATCTGCGATCCAAATAAGGACCTCGACTAGCTCGAACCTCGTCACCCGCGCCGCGCCAGACGAAGGGTTGGGCGCGAAGAACGAACTGCTGGGGAAGAGGCCGTCGTCGCGTCGAGTCCTGCTTTGCTGCGTGCCGTCGTTGCGGTCGTACGCACGCCAGCCCGCGTGCAGCGCAGCAGCAGCGTGCGTGCGGGAGCACTGCGACGACGGGCCTGAATTGCCTTTCCTCGTCCTCCCGCGAGCCAGACGCCGGGACTGCTTGGCGAGCTTGTGTGATGGTCTCCCTATCCGCGCTCTCCTCTCACCTCTTTGCCCGCGCTCGTTCACAAGCAGCAAAGCCCTTCCGTGTCAGGCGTGCGGGCGGGCGGCGGCCCCGTTGGTGAGCGTGGTGGGCGGCAAGCCACTACGCACTCACCCTTGCCCTCGCACCTCCGGTACACGCGCACACAATGGAGACAGCTCGCTGTCAAAGAATCCCCTTTGGTCCTCTTTGTGAGACGTCGTGCCATGAAGCTTCGCTGTGTGCACATGACAGACCGGCCTTGGTGGCTGTCCACTCTCGCTGCCAACTCGGGCTGCTCTTCTTCCCAAGTCGTCGCCCTGCTCACCGAACGCCTCGCTCAAGCCGCGGTCCTCTTGCTTGTAGCACTTCAGAGCAGTCGAAACGCAGCCGCGAATCGTCCGTGTATGAACGCATCTCCCCTGTTTCAACCGCCGTCGACTTGTTCTGCTCCTTACCGTGTGAGACGATCTGCAAGTTGACGAATGCCAACAGCGCCTGGGCCAATCAGAGCCTCTCCCTCCTTTCAGCCGCAACGCCTGCAAACGTATGCACGACAACCCGTTCTGGCAGCATCTCGTATCGTAAAAGTAAAATGCGTCGCCACTGGGAGAACGCGCATTGTGATAATCATGATTTTTTTTCTGGAGTGGCAAGCTTTCGCGTCCGCCATTTGGCGCTGTATTGCTACCCATCTTTTCCCAGCTGTACCTCCACAATGCCGCAGCCTCCGAACGGAATGAGATCGTATCCCGGCTGACATTGTCCCACGAAACACGCCCTTCCATCCCACCCAGGCTGGCAAGAATCGCCAGAACTCTCTCGACGGCTGAAGAGCCCCTTCGGAGAATTGGGCATAGTCCTGGAGGCCTCGACTGCGCACTCGCATTCAAGGGCGCCCGACGTTGAGCTCCAAACGGGAAGAGAAACCGCCCGCTTCTCGAGCCCGTAGCGTGGAGAGCCGCGTCATCCACCACTCCCAACGCATGCTGCACAGTCCCGCGCTCCTGCACCCTCCCTCATCATGTCTAGGCGATCCACCAGTGCCCCTGGCACCAGTCCAGTCCAGATTTTGTCTAAAGGATCCTCTCTCCTGGAACACGGCCTTGCCTCGTACGCCATCCCTCACACGGCTCGAAGTGGCAAGTGGCTCGAGGGCCGGGTCACCTCTGCGCTATACAACAAGCGGATACACGCAACTAGTTGACGTGAGCGTGAAATGAGCACCTGCGTTGTCCAACATCGCCTCGAGTGTGACAGCAGCAACTCATCTGTTTGCCCGCGTGTCATTCCCGCTTCCAATCCATCAAGTCTGCCGTACGCGTGTCCTGTCTTGTGCCTGTCAAGGAAAGTGGGGCCCATCCCTCTCGCAGCAGCGAACCTGCGCGCGTGAACTACGGCCGGGGTTGAGGTGCGCTCTGAGCAATCATACAACCGACAAAAGCGCCTTCGAAGCTATATCGTCGGGATTTCCGCGGCCTCTTGCTGGTCCCATGAGCATTGTGCTCACCGCTCATTCGAGATGGCACAAGAAAAAGATAGCCTGCGTTCATTTGCCTCTGTTGACAAACTTTGCCCATCTAAGAACATGAATGGCTTTCTTAGGCCGGTGGAGTTGACAACGTCTGCTGTACCAACAGAGAGGCCGGGATGATCATGATGATGACGACGACGACGATGATGATGATGATGATGATGATGATGATGATGATGATGATGATGATGATGATGATGATGATGATGATGATGATGATGATGATGAGGTGAGACGCCCAACTCTACTCTAAAAGTCATTTGCATGCCTCTCTCGCCCAAGTTGCAGAGAGCAATTGATTTTCTCGGACATGTAAGCCGTTCTTGGTCCACCGTCCAAAGCTGCAGAGGTCAAGCTGTGTGTATTGCCGGCTTGATTGGTCTCGTCCAGGTGAGGCAAAGTTTTCTTCCCTTGCGTCGGGCACGACAAGCTCTGTCCTTTTCCACGTTCCCTCATCAGCTCATCTGGGCCGATAATGCATCCATTTCAGGCTTGGATAGACCTTCAGATCGGAGATTTCCCGGCGGTATCTTCGCCAGCGTTGTGATGTTCTGTCAAAAGCGCAAAGTGGCCCATGCCGCATTTTCATATCCTACCTCTATTATCTTCACAGCTCAGCATGACAAGGAAAGATGCAAACTTGACATACTGGATTGGATGGCAAAAAAAAAATTTTTTTTTTCTTAGCGATAACGCTTTTTTTTTTTAAAAAAAAAAAAAAATTGGGACTTGTGAAGTACAAGCCTGCCATCACAGAAGATCATGACTAAAGCGGAAGGTCGGTCTACACGTGCCCCAAGAGGAATCCTTTATACCCCGCCCACTTTCGTACATCATTGTCTCAAATCACATTCATAAAGCTGCGTCCGGTCCAGGCAGCGCCTTGTCTCTCAAATCTCGCACAAAAGCTACTCACAAAGTCCGGTTCTTTGCGTCCAAGAAGTCCTCCGGATGTATGTAGATTCGGGCAATGTCAACATCTTCACGACGAGAAGCTCGGTGCCGTCAATCGCCTCGGTACGCGTCATCCATTCGTATCGTTTTGGCCCCTTGATATCCTTTGCGGACTTCTAGATGCTCATTTGCTTGCCGCTTCTCCGCGTGTGGCTGTCGCAATCTTTGTCTAACGCATAACCTGCAAGCGGCGAGACGGAGCTACCCGATTTCAACACGCTCCGCCATCATTGGCGATGGCAAGTCCAGCGACCAAACGCCGATGATCCAGTCCGCTCAACGTGGAACAATTCTCACACGGCAACTTTGACCAAAGTCCCCTGGTGATGTGTATCGTATTGGAAGTATTCTTGGTCAAAAAGGATCCTTCTGGGACTGAGATACATTCTTTTCGCTAGTAATCATGCAAAGTATCTGATTCGATGATTGAAAACGTGACCTAGAAAGCGGGTAGCTACATAATCTTCTCGAATAGGAAAAATCAACGCGGTAGAGTTTCCAAAATATGATTGCCTCGGGGAATATTACTTTGGTGACCATCTTGATACGGTCGTACATACCCGCTGGCAAGCGCAGGTGCACCTATGTTGGGTTCTTTGAGCGGCGATTGAGATACAAATACCTATTCACCTTCAGCCCTCATGGTTCTTCATCGTCTGAAATAATGTTAAGCTCCTCCCATTCCTCCTCGTCAATGCTTTTTCCAGTCAAAGCAGACCAAGATCGCTCCAAGAGGCCCTTTTTCAAAATCATACTAGATACAAGTATTAGAGGCAGATGCCAGACGCTTGCCCAAAACAACGCTCTGGCCGTTCCCTTCTTACCCTCGTGCTTCCAAAAGCGTACTGCTTCGTAAATAACCCAGCCGTTGATAGCGGTGCTGATTGGAATGAACGCCTTCTCAACAACCCCGGCGTAAGCAAGCCCCAAGCAGACGGGCAGCATGAGCACGCTATAACGCAACGCAACCCGCGCGTTGCGGGCGGGGTTCGTCCAAGCCAGCATCCGATATCCCGCGTTCTTGTATTCTTCTCTTATGCCCCAGCTAAGCGCGTTAAAATGAGGGAACTGCCAGCAAAAGAGCAAAGCAGCCATAAGCCAACCGCCTGCACTCCTCTCGCCAAGCAGAAGCTCACGCCAATCGCCCGGTCCCGTTGCTGTCTGGCCCGCTGCAGCTGTCCAGCCCATCAAAGGAGGTATGGCTCCAACCACTGCTCCCACCCATGTATTCGCCACGCTTATCCGCTTCATTGGCGTGTACACACCTGCGTATAGAAAGATGTTTGCTGCTGCTAGGGTCGCGGTTGTGGGATTGACGCCAAACCAGAGTGCGACGGTGCCAGTGATTCCTGTTGCGATAGCAAATAGAAGCGCACCGCGCTGCGTGATGAGCTTTCGAACCAGCGGCCGATTACGGGTGCGACTCATTTTCGCGTCGTGCTCTGGCTCGGCCATCATGTTGAGCGTGTTAGCAGATGCGCACGTAAGAAATGTGCCGGTAGTGAGGAATGCGAGTGTTAGGGTGCTCAGCGAAGGCGCGGCTGTGGTTGCAGTCTCGAGAAGAGTGGGCACTGGATACACGCTGTACGCCGCAGTGGTCGTAAGAACAATAAGAAAACTAAGTCTCGGTTTCGATAGTGAGAGATAGGTTGTGAATAGTCTTCGGAAGGAATTGGCTGGCATGTTCGAAGATAAGGTGGTCAATCGATTGGAGGCATCTAGTGGAATAGCCGGCTCGCCCGACTGATCGTGATCATGACGCCGCCTCCGTTTCCGATGTGGAAGTTCCTCGCGTTGAGAGTTCAGCGCAATTGGTGTGTCTGATTTCGATGTTGCCTCAGAGCCTTCAGTGCTCTCCGTCCGAGAATCAGACGCTTGTAGGGAAGCCGTTGATTGCTCCCGCGTAGTTCGACCACCGTATCGAGATCTCGAGCCCCGTGGAAGCTCTTTTTCTATTCCATTTGCCGAAAAATAATCCCTAAAGAGGTACCCGCGAGCTGCGAGACTCGAGTCTTGCCGGTGTCTGGTCGAGGTGGCGAGACCTCGACTACCATGTAACGGAAGCCTTGAAAGCCTCGACAGACATCTTGAGCAGATGGTTTCAACTCCAGGAGAAATTATTCTCCTTGAGAGAATACCCGGATGGAGCATTGTCCGTCAATGGCATCAATGTCAAGCAGTCGGGATTGGCGATTCCTGAGACGAAATGGTCATTCGACTTTTACGGCCTTGTTGCCTTACCCCCCAAAACTTGGGTGCTTCCACCGATCTCTCCATACTGCCACTTTGCACAACATTGTGTCGTTCTCCTTGCTTGGCCTCTGTTGAGAAGAACACGAATACCCATAGATTTCTCGACGACTGGTGACTTCGTATAGGTAGTTAATCTCTGTGATCGACGCGGTTCTTTTTCAGAGGGATATGTGCTTGACGGTAAAACGCAAATGCGAAGCACCTCAGAGCTCATGAAGGAACCGGAGATTGGGTTTCAGTAGAGTTTCCGACATCACATGTATCGGTCTGCTGAAGATAAATTTCGTATATAGTCGCAAATGTGACGTTAGCGGGAAGAAGAGTACATGTTCAATATTCTAACGCCGCTCTGCCAGCGTATATCCACTGGCACCTCGAACGATGAATCATATCCGACCATTTTTTTTTTTTTAAAAAAAAAAGGCGTGAATTGGAGAAAACTAATACATATTATGCGGACGATACCTATTGACAACCTCGGGATCCTTAACGCCACATTTGTATGGTCACTCTCACGACTAAACTCCCAGTTGAAAGGCTTCCCCCTAACAGACGCGCACAATACGGCAGAAAACAAGCCCCTGGTCAACTTTACTGAGCTTACAGCCGAAAAGACTCCAATGCGACGATATATCCAAGAAGTTGATTTCGTCCAAGATACTTTTCCTGGATTAACCAAGTTAGCTATCTCATCGTGAGCTTGCAACTCTGTTCGACCTTCATCCTAGACATTATACTTTTGGAAGACTGTTTATCTACTTATTATCATCCGCAATACCTGTCTGATGACGTTCCAAATTGCTCTAAACGCAAGTTAGAGAAGATGGGAGGGGGATGGGTATGTGATTATGTCCACTCTGAAGGCCAAAAAAAATGACAAAAGCCATCAGCCAGTGAAGGTAGATGTTTTTTTTCCCTCCTTTGTGAAGATCATGCAATTGAATGTTGCTTTCGAAAGTAGCAGAGTTGTCGAATGGGAAAGTTTAACGAACCCTGTGTCATGAATCCAGTTCCAACAAAGTTCTTACCATTCATGGCCCTATCAGCCGAATTGCGTAGTAAAGTATATAAGCACGCGCGAACAGATTCTGGCGAGCATCTGATAGTCTCGGGATGCCGTATGTACCGTCGAATGACCATACCTGTTGATGTCATTACATTTTTCTTAACAACTTCCTTAAAACGCGAAAGACGTAGGCATTACGCTAATGTCAACTCGATGGACAGGACCTGCATTTCGGCGCAGTTAGTGCAGGCCGGGCAAGTAGTCCAAGAGTAGAGTTGCTAAAGCATGCGAAAGTCTGCAAAAGTTTAACCCTGGCTTGCTCCGCCTCAACAATACGATCTACAACGAAGCAACTGGGCATTAATACAGCCGCAAGTTCGTTTTTGCCGACACCCACACGTCTCACGACTTTCCAAGGCAAGTCGAGCCAAGGATGCGACGTTGACTACGTGAGATTGAAGTGGCATAATGGCGCTACTCGACAATCCTTTCGACGATGAACTATCCGACCCTGTCGCTCTTCGCCAATGCCATCGATCTTGAGAGCGTTTGGTTGCCCCTCTGGAACTGGAATCAGCCTGGTCTTCGCGCTGAAAATCTTTCGCGATGGCTGGCTGTATGTTTCTGTTCGATTACGAGTTGGCAAAACGTCGTAAGGATGCCGCCATTGACATTCTGAGGTTATAATCCTCGAGCGATCAGAAGAAACTGTGGCAAGTAGAGAAGACATCAAGCCTGCTGCTAGTCATGTGAAAATACATCATAGTTTGAGAAAACTTGTTCGAATGGGATAAGGATACAAGTTAGAGGATCTCGGTTTTTCTCTTTGACAAGAGAGCATGGAGGAACAGAGAACATACTATTGATGCTAGCCTGGAATATATACCTTTTGACATCTGAGTTGGCTATGACTGTAGAATGTGAGATGTCTAGGACCTTAATATTAGATTACACTTAATGCGGTCGGCAGCAGTACATCTAACAGCTACCTGGGTATCTTTACTTTTAATCTGCACCTACACAGGCCTCGAGCAACAGAAGTTCTCTACGTTTCCGTAACAGAAGTGACGTAGACATTTGAAAAAGTTTTTGATATCACCGATTTTGTTCAAATTTCAAGTCATCATGGTGCAAGCGATCTCCATGTAATCCTGAACCACCGTCATACCATCAGGACCATTGCTGTAATAGCTAGAGTTCTGTAAATCTGTGTTCCCAACACAAATTGTCGTGTCCCAAGGTGCTGGTTCTCTGATTCGCTAGTCAGCTTCAGACGGCGGCGACTTTGGAGAATGGCGGATTACCCGTTCTTATACACCCGGTGAAACCATAACACACCTTCTTGCCGCAGACTGAAACCGGCGTCTGTGAAGTTGCATGGCGTGTAGCCATTTGAAAAGAGCGACTGGCCTACAGGCAGGAAGCTCGAACAATTGGCTGTGAAATTCAACCCGCTATCGACGTTGGGATCGACCGCAATGAATGTAATGTGCTGTGTTACGTTTTTCTGCGTCGAATTTGTTGGCAGTGCGTTGATGGACAGGTTGTAGATCTGCCATGGTTTGTCTTCGCCAACTAGGGCCGCGCCTTCTACTGCGCCGACGAGAGCAGCAGCAAGCAATGCCGCGGACTTTGCGAAAACGTGACGCATATTGTAGAGGCAGTCAATGAGATGCTAGTATGGATGACCAAAAAGAGGCTTTGTGTGCAGATCAAAAAGTGGAAGCAAGACTCGCCGAGCTCAGGAAAATACAGGCGGGCCTGAACACAAATTCAAAGCTCGCGAAACGATGCCAAGAACAAATACTAGGAGCTTAGGACGCGTAAGCCGTGGCCTGGCTTCGAGAAGACATTGAAAGATCGTATTGATGCAATGTCGAAGGCCTTTGAAAGGAACGAGGAAGATTAAGAGGCCTCGAAAACTCCCAAAAATGGACGGATCCACATCGGAAGGTTGTATCGTACGAGCCGAAGAAAAGCTGGAAACTGGGCCCCAGTGGATTAGAGTTACCTTAAGGCCATTGGGATTTGCATCAGGGCATCAGAAAGGGATGTCGTCTGGTTGCGCACAGCCATTCGACAGATAAACATGACCGGTTGAAAGGCGGATACAACCGGGCGAGGGCAAAATGTCGAATGGGGTTACAGAGATGTAAATCGCCGAGGGTTGCTTGGCCAATAAAGGGTTCAAGCGCCAGGAACGCTTGGAGCCTCATTCGGCCTGGGTTGTTACAGCGTTCCATGCCCGTAATAACGCGACGGACCGGTCGTACAATCACCTATGTGCAAAGGTTCCTGGGAGGCCCAAGGATCACCATGTGCAGATCAGCTTGGCCGACACTTGCTGAATGCTCGCTAATTAGCGGACGACAGTCCACAGCAGCTTTTGACCGTAACCCACGAGACAGACCTGTTCTAGCTGCCAAGACCTGATTTTGAACTTTCGAGGTGTAAGTAATCGGCCCGACGACAGTGAAAGATAGGCGGGACGGTGTACGAATGCAGTTCAGATACCTCGCGGTCGTGCAGTGTTGTAAAGAAAAGGCGAGCACAGATATGCACTGCCAACGCGCTAGAGGCATGTGACCGGAAGACGTTTAAGCTTCAGCCTAAGCCTCTAATTCGCATTTTATAGAAGTCGCATATTATCTATCGATCACGTCGTATTCTCTTCCACACGATTTTTTGTTCGTGATTATTACTTTGGATCGCATGAGCTGTTTGGCATGTTGGTAAGATAACATGGTTGTCATGTGATCTTTCCGCATGTTAGGCAGACCCCACCATGGCACCCGCCGCGCTCTCGAAGATCGTGCTGGAGAATATAGTCTGTACTTACGAATACTGCAACTTCTGACAACTTCTCTCACGATGGGGCTTGTTCGATGCCTGTGAAGTTCCGCTGGCAAAACATGTGCCAAGATTCCATCATAACCTTTCGAGACGGTGCTCATTGCTCAGATGGAGCCAAAACTGAGCTTTACGATACCATCAATTCACGATGATACTGTTCTTGATTGTCGCTTGTACTATTCCACTTCAAGCAACATCGGATCGGGCTTATATCGCGCTCGGGGCGCCGTAATAGCCCATCCTTACGCTCCTCTCGGAGGCTGTTATGATGATCCTGTGGTCGGCCTGGTCGTATCTGAAATTTCCAAGCTGTCTTTTGGCTTCATTTGCACGTTCAACTTTCGGTATGTGAAGCTAGCAAATGCCTTTTCATTCTTCGTGTCTGATATGTCGCTAGAGGTGCCTATGGCTCGGCTGGACACACGTCCTGGACAGGGAAGGCAGAACGAGCTGACTACGAATCGGTAGTTGGTTTCATGATCGAGTATTTGCGCAGATGTGATGTCGAGACTACTGCAGACAATGAAGTCTTCGACATCCAATCTAGTTTGCCGATACAGCTCGTGCTTGGTGGGTACAGCTACGGCTCTTGGATTTGCACTCATCTTCCGACCCCGGCAGATGTGCTGAAGGCATTCGATGCTGCGACGGAAGGAAGCGCGTATACTGAAATCAAATCCAGAGCTCATCATCTAGCTATGCAGACAATTTTGGAAATACGATCCACACAGCGCGATTCTAATGCTCATCATGGCCATACACTGTCTGTGGGTGGGGAAGAAACATCGCCAGAAAAGAGACGACGGAGCGGCGAAAATTCCCCCAGTCGATTTAGTTCGGATGTTCGCAAGAGCCTCGACTTCGCGCGGAAGCTTGGGTCCTTGAGAAAGAAGCAGGATGAGTCTTCTAGCCTAATCGCCGGAACCCAAGCGGAGGCAGCCGATCACACAACTGTAGAGCTAATAAAGTCACCTGTACCCGAGCTGAAGGTTGCATACTTATTGGTATCGCCATTGCTGCCTCCCATCTCGGCATTTGTTACGTTGCCGTTCAGCTCCAATGCTCTGCGAGCACACAGCGAAGTCGATTTACAGAAGTTTAGTTCGAACCCAACGTTAGCAGTGTTTGGCCCCGATGACATGTTTACATCCGGAAAAAAGCTCAGAGCTTGGGCAAAAGAAATCGGAGGAAAACCAGCGTCGCAGTTTCATTTCGTTGAAGTTGAAGGAGCAGGCCATTTTTGGCGGAGCCACTCCGCGCAGAGGGTACTTAGAACTGCAATCAGGCAGTGGTTCGAAAGCTTGTCCAACGGTACGACTAGTTGCGTAGTTACCAAGCCCACAGCAGATGAATCATGCAATCCTGGAGATGGGTGAATGGCCATGCTCACCACCGGGTGTGTGAAGGCGCAATTCTACATTACACTCGACTAACTTTCATTCGTCCTTCCATCCTCCTAAATTGAACTTTTTGTAAGACAAGATGGAGCGCTACGTCGGACTGTCGCGAGGAAACAAAATTTAATAACATGCGAGTGAGCGAAGAAATAGTGCCGATGCGTCATTCGCACAAAATAATATGCTGTGCTCTCGACAAACGTGTGCTTTACAAGTTCTTTTCACAGTTTTGGAGCTTCGGACTCCGTTCTCGGTGATGATCATCTGAGCTGAACGAGCTGAGCTCATGCAATGTGTCAACGCTTCGTTCCGTGGTTAGAAGAAAGGTGATCGTGGAGTTATCGCACACCATGACTGTTATGTCGGAGGCGATCTCAGCGCACTGCACCAATTCAAGAAAACAGTAGGGTTGTGCACACCGAAACGAACCGGGAATTAAATGGAGAAGTATTTCGAGAATGAAGGTATGAATGCTTCTCATTACCACTCCCCGAACCACAAGATGTTGGCACGCTTATGCAAGGTATCACGTTTCCGGACCACTGAACGCATAGAACTAAATCATCACTTCAGCTGACAGATTTTGCGCCAAATCTGCGTCCGTCTCTTTGGTCCAGTGCATCCGTGACTGCGCCATTCTGGCCCCAGATCTCGACCACTTTCTTTTAAGCCTTGACCTTCTGCGCAATGCCCATTGCATAAGATCCCGGCTGATCTCACTGAAGATCACTAACAGAAAGGGGCTCGCCTGATCACTGGGGCCTATCGTGCTCTATGCCCTGCGTTTGTGCGTCTTCACTTCCAGCAAACTGGATCTCATCGTGGCCCGAGAATCGTCTCATTCCGCATCTTGGGTCCTTTGAATAGAAGCCGCTTACGATTCCGGGACGCGCTGCCTTTTCATGCACATGACCGGTTATTTTATCTCAAGGACGCACGCTACACAGCAGGATCTGCCAGACTAATCTCATTCCCGAAGCACTCGTGTCTCGCAGGCAAATATAGGACGCTTCTTGCAAGAAGTTCACTCGATCCTCACAAAACTACACTCTTCCTTCTTTTGCATCTCGCGCTTTCGATCGCATCCCATCTGGGAAGTAAAATCTATTGCGTGCACAAGGAGAGCTATCAGTCGCGTATCCCCTGACGCCAAGCGTAACTCCTCTTCTCAGCCCACAAGGCGATCGAGCGCCCTTCTCAAACAAGGTAAATTTGAAAACCTGGTTTCGCTTGTCAAACCGTGGGAAACGAGTCTTTGTAGTCGTATATATATATATGCCCGACACTCGTATTCGAAATCTTCCCCTTTCCATAATCTCAAGTCGACGAAATTGAAGCATCGCGAACCGCCTCATGTTCGTCAGTCACCCATCACTGACTGCGAGATCGCCTTCTAGTTTCAAGATGCCGCTGCTAATCGATGGCCTCCCAACGTCCGCAATGGGCACGATTTCTCCGCTACGGTCAAATCTAGAGGACATGATTGGATCTTGCAGAGCGCTGAATAAGCACATTGCCATGATGAATGAAGACAAGGAAACTTTTGGTCTTTTGACTGAAGAGACTTATTGTTACGATGCACCGGTAAGATTCGAACCTAAGTCGCATAGAACTGTAGATGTTAATTTTTTTTCCCCAAGGAAGTTCTTACTCAACTCACTAAGATAACACGAACGGCAGCGCTGTGCATACGAGATCTGAACTTGGATGATGAGGCATTTGAGACTGATGAACCGCAGCTCGCACTGGTTCTGTACAACGTATGTGAAACAAACTTATACTTGCTCAAGTCTCAAATCACTGATTATTTTGATGATAGTTCATCTCCGAACACAAGAGGATATTAAACCAGCTTACTGCGCTCGGAACCATAATGAAGTCCACTGGAAGCCTGTACGGTGCGCTCGGGGGTGCCTTGCACAGGCAAGAGCACGTTGTTAGCGTACGACACCTCTTTTGTCCGCAATGAGACAAGCACTAATACTTGTCAGCGATTTCGAGAAGTGCTTGACGCCAGATACATTTCCACGAAGACCCTTTCCGCTCCAGACTGGGTCGAGCAAGTCGAGGCTATGCGCCTATGCCTTGAGGCGTATCCTGCCCCAGTAGAGGAAGATTACAACATGTCCGGAGTGCCTGAATCTGTTTGATTACGAAATTTTTTGAACACTTTTTTCTCGCTTTGTTTTGATATTGGAACTGAGCTCAACTAGGTCTCACTGGTGTATCGACTTAGACGCGGAGCATGACATGAGGCCAATGATGATAAAGCCTTACTTCTCTGTAACGAGGGACGAGCAAATGGATCTGTCTATACTTTTAAATGTACAAATTCTGCAGAGAAACGATATGAAATTCTGAACCAATGATAACTGCACCGGGAGGATCGCCACGTTCCAGGCCGCACACGTGTCTTATCATCATCAGTCGTCTCGGCATCTCTTATCCAGATCCAATTTTTTCTCAGCATTTCCTGACTTAATCGAGGCATGTTTTCCTTTTGCATGAACTTTGATAGCAGACATGAAGAAGATGTTGATTGACTTCACACTAGATCTAAAAATGGCGTTTTAAACGGCAAGCACCGACAACCGGCCAGACGTTTCTTTGCATTGTACCTTAACAGGGCTGATTGAGTTTAATCTCGACGTTGCAAATCAGGAATGGTCATTTTGATGCTTTCGCAGCAAACTGGTAATGTAATGGCAATTATCCATATATATATTTCATGAGCGCGCCAACAGTTGAGGCTTTTGAGCAAACATTGCGCCAAAGCACGCCATAACCGCTTGCGAATATTTCACGCCTTGCACGCTCCGCTGAAACTCATCCATGGATGCGATCTTAAGTATCAAGTACGTATAATCTGTCTCTCGTACCTGATTTGTTTTTCCCAGGACAGTGTATCTTCTTGTTCATTACCGACGTGACACGGAGACAAACGACGCAAACCTGTTGCTTCAAAGCACCATCATGACTACAGCGACACTGTCCTCAGTGTTCCAACCGCACAAGGAAAATTTTGGAATTAAGGACGCTGTTTTTGTAGCTATCGAATCGGCTTCTGATTGCATCACTGTTGACAACAAAGGCCTGGATAGTCATAAATGTTCGATGCAACATTACGACAAGACAAAAACGGCGCGAGAGAAAGGGTCACTGATATCGGCATCACTTATTACGGTGGACTTCGATGCCCTGAGATTCGACGCAGCTGCTTCGCTGCAGGTCCTTCCAGGTAACCGTCACATTTGGCCGAATATACCAAGGTCGTATCACCTGATTTCATCACCATACAACGACGCAAATCACCTTCTGGATATACGAACACTGGATACGCAATGTTGTCTACTTGCTCAAGCACTTACATTCCTCAAGCCCATCAGAGCAGATTATGCCACGGCGGACTATCTAAGCTCTTTTAACTGGACCGAAGTACTTTCGATTTTGCGGTTGCTGGCCAAGGACATCGGGCACACATGGACCTCGCGGGACTTTTACACCGTCATATTCCGCTCCCAGCTCAATGCCGGTGTCGATCAGCAAAGGCTACATGATTTGGATAAGACCTCGCATCTCGAGGCCGTTGCGAGCGGACAGCTGTTGAAGTACTGGTTTGGCAAGCGTGATGAACATGAGCGAAATTTAGCTACTTGTAAGGGCCTATCTCTGTCCGTATCGAAGTGTTCTTCACATTGATACAATCTCCAGGCATATGGCGATCAAAGGAGGATGCACGCTTAGGCGGTCTTGGTCCCAATCACAAGAGAGCCAGGATGGCCGCAAAGGAGCTATATAACGAAATCAAGTTCAGCACGTGGAGGCTCATCGTCGACGACGATGCTAAAAACGTAAAAATTGAGGAGTGGAAAGAGAAATGAGACTACCCAGTTCGAGAGAAAGGCGAGCGTCTTCAAAAGACCAGATAAAAGTAGGGCACTAGGTCAGCTGGCTGTCTCAAGGATGGCAAAGAATATCATCGAGTTGGAGATTAGCTGCTTAGCTCGGTGGAGGAGGGTTCACGGTGTTAAAAGGCTTTTGATCACACAAGCAAGTTGAGGCGTTGTATTTGAATAATGGAAGAACAGTGGATTACGGTATAGCATCTACCGCCTTGCCAAGGAGTAAAGTCTGGCAATGTCTTGTCCCGTATGCTCTAAAATGAGCTCCCGCTGAAAATGCAATGGAGGCGTGATCTCCGAGTGAGCGTCACGCAGATCAGAGAGCTGCGCTATCTTCTACATATCGAAAAGAAATTGACTCTGATAATTTTCATATATCGGTCAAACTTTTTTTTTTTTGAGAAATTCGTGTTTGACTGCTAGGTGCCAAAAAAGACGTCCGGTACGAAATGCTGGAGATTGGAGAGCAAGCGTTAGCATCAACCTGCGGCCTGCTGAGTTCGAGGTACAGGGACATGTGATTGGCTGCGCGGTTGGTCATACCTGGAAACAGCCCGAGCTCTGTGACTATTTACAGCGAGAGTCAGGCAGTCGTGTGCCAAATGTCTTATTTGCCTTGCATTTAGTGGAAACCATGGCTCTTCTTTCAACCCGTCTCCGCTAAGCCTGTGTTCGCCGTCTACGCAACGATGTCGCTCTTCCGATCACTGCTCCAGAGCCGTCCTCTTCAGCGAACGGATTACGATCTGCCGTTATACCAGACGTACCAAGAACCCGAAGCATTTCCTCCTGCCCCGGTGAGCGACAGCATCCTCGTGCCTCGATCAAACGATGTGGGAAGGCAGAGCTCTCTTTCTGCAAGCAGCCCGCGGCCTTACGATCTGGTTGTCCTTGAGAGGCGAGAGAGGTATTATCAGCAAAAGCTTCAAGACCTCCTAGACGCTCAGTCCGACGGCTTGCTCGCCGGGCTTGAAGGCGATGTGCCCAATGATGACGAATCTCTTGACACGCCTACTCAGACAACGTACAGCTTGCGGAGCCATAGTGTGTCCCCTGCTCCGTCGCTGAGCAAACCAAAGAAGCGCAGCTTGGGAGCTGCGAGGCGAGGAATATGGAAAACTGTTCTGGATTGTGCAGCAGTCAAGGAAGAAGAGGATGCTATCCTGAAGCGAGAGCTGAGAGACAGTCAGGCTATCCTGAAGCAGCTAGATGCGTGGTCAAGCAAAGAGCAAGGTTTGCGTGAGAAAATCACAGCGATAGAGAATGAAGATACAGGAGCAAAGTCGAGAGCCCTCAAAGAAGAGGCTTCAAAGTTGGAGAACGATATACTGGATATGGAAGTGAAACTGGCGCAAATGAAGACGCGGCATAGAAGCCTCCTTCATGAAATTTCGAACATTGAGAACTCGGTTCTCTCAAAGCTCAGTAGTTATAAAACAAGTCTCTCAATGCTGGAGCAGGACGTCCAGAATTTCCTAAAGGCTCCTCCTGTACAGGACAATCGTTCTAGCGACAAGTCTCCCTTCTTAGCTCTTCCTGTCACGCGACGCACGCTCGAGATGGCAAGGGAACATTGGCAGGGCGATATCGAAGAGATCAAGAAGAAACGCCAGGCTATTCGACGCGATCGTGCTGCTTTGGAGGATGGCGCTGCCGTCTGGAAAGACGTCGTGTCTCAAATTACAGCGTTTGAGAGATACTTGCGAGAAGAGACATGCAAGCTAGCGCAGCAAAACTCAACTAACGATAAGGGAAAATCTCCTGTTGCGTCAGCGACGCCTGAGGAGCTTCTAAGAAGAATGGAAGCCGTATTGAGCAGCGTCCAGGACAAGCTAGATCTGGCCCACAAGAAGCACTGGCGATTGTTAGAGGTTTGCATAGAAGCCGAAGTCGAGGCCCTACAGCAGGGAAGGGAGTTGCTAGAGGAATCTTTTGGTTTGAGAAAGGAGCGTCATACAGACGTGGAGAGGACCAAGTCGGTCGATGATGATGCGTCCGAGGACGAGCCGAGTATCTCTACCCAGAACAGCAGCACGAAGGACTTGTTTAAAAGTGCAACAGAGGGCTTTAGCAGCAATGTATCGCTATCCCATAGCGCGGCATTAAGAAAGAGCATGTACGAGGATGATGATGGCCCAGATCCCGAGTTACTATTCACAAGGCCATCGGACGATACGGAATAGACAATGCTGTGTTCTAGCTATCCCGACAAAGTTTTCTATTTCTTGTCTCTACCTCGCGCCTGGGCTACTTTGTTCGTCTAAATCTTACTCGGCATAATCTCCCTGTGGGCGCTTTTCGAGTCACTCTCACGTGTTCGACACAACATCACTGGGCTAATCTGCGCAAGGTCCAGGCCAAAGATGATCCTCAGCATAGGTTAAAAAAATATGTACATGAATTAAACGATAAATAATCTATCTACCTTGTTGAAAACGCGAAGACTCGCGCGCACGAGTGTGAAATTGAATTAAAAATTTGTCATTTCTGTTCCATCAAAATAAATACCTCTTACAAGATTAATGGCTCGTTACGTCTCTATTAGTCGGGGCATGTTATGGCCAACTTGCTACGGGACAACTGGTTACAGTCGAAGTAGACGTAGTTGTCGTACTCAGCGTTGTGGCGTAGCGAGTTGTTGTGGTTGTAGTCGTACCCTTCGTAGTTGTCGTTGTCGCAATACCCCAAGTGGGTGTGACAATGGTTGTGGAGGTCGAAACAACACTCGAAGTCATGGTATGAGTAGACGGGCTCAACCAAGTACTCGTGGAAGTCGTGCTGCAGCCGGACGGGGTGGCTGTCAGCGTAAGTGTACCTGAAGTGGGCGTCACCAAGAATGTAGTCGTAGTGCTAAAGGTGTGCGTGGTCTTCAGTATCGAGGGGGACGCCCAGGTTGTTGTATTGACATAGGCAGTTCCCGAAGGGCTGGCAGTCAGCGTTAAGACTCCCCAGGCTGGAGTAGACGGTGTCACGGTCGTTGTCGTAGCATATAAACTGGTTACGGTGGTGGTTCCCCATGGAGGAACTTGAGAGGTTTTTGTAGATGTGCTTGTATATGATGTAGTTGTCGTGGTGGCGCATGATGTTGAGTACGTGTAGTCTGGGAAGCCATATTGCGGTGCTTGGATTGGACCGCGTTTCCACAGGTCCGTTCCTGTCGGCTCGGGAGTTACGGTCACTGTGACGTAGACTTTGGTTGTGGTCGGAATACACGAAGGGAAAGAGAAACCACCAACCAATCCGTTGAAGGCAGAACTTTCCGGAAGCCAAGCAGCTGTGGGTTTCACTTCAAAGGCGGCAGAGCTAAGCCATCCGCCCTTGGTATGGGTTGGTAACTCATTACCTTCAAGCGGGCATATTGTCGTTGATACTGGTATCGTTGAAGTTCGAATTTCAGTGGACTCGGCTGGGCAATCCGTAACATATCTATGAATCTCAGTATAAAGTTCATATTCATGACACGAATGTACATACGCAGGACATTTCGTGATTGTGACCGTGGTAGTCGTGTAGACGGTGGAGGTAGTGAAGCCGTAGCTATAATTACCGTGTGAATTAGATACCTGTGGTCTTGCTGTCTGTGAAGAACCGGGGCCTTCAGGATGCGAGGACGTTGATATAGGATAGGAGCTGATTGGATTCATAGAGTGAGAGTAATCATTGCCACTAGGCTGACTTCGTGAGGCCGTTGGACTGACTTGAACGAATGACGAGCTTGTTATTGATATGAAAGTAGGGCTGCCAGGAACAGAGCTTAGACTAGCAGGATTTGAACTGGGATTGCCAGGCACCTGGATTTGTTAGCGGGTGAAGATTTCGTCAAACATGCAACGCTTTGAAGAATCCCAAGCTCCTTTGAAAATCGTGCAGCATCCCAGAGTCTATATTAAATCATGAGTAAACGAAAGACTTACACTGCTGTTGGTCCAATGCATCGTAGAATATGTGTTCAATGACGATGGTGGCCATGACAAGACCGATGAAGTAGCCACAGCGCCTGCAGAATTGCTGACTGGCCATGTGTATGACCAGGTGGTCGAAGTCTTCCAACTGCTCGTGCTAGACGTTGAAGGAATCACCGGACTTGCTCCACGGCTCCAGGTTGAAGAAGACGGCGCAATTGACGACAGCGAATGTGACCAAGAGGACGGAGATGGGAGGACAGGAGATCCGAGGGTCGAAGAGCTCTGTGAAGAGATGCTAAACCAGCTTGAACCTAAGGAAAATTAGTACCATGCGTCCAAAGCAATCTGAAACTCGTGAAGGGACTGTCCACGTCGCGAAGGAGTCTGCATGAATACTTACTTGTTTGAGAAGGAGATGCCGACCACGAAATTGAAGTACTACTCTTAGATGAGATTGGGTGAGATGGCCACGTGCTACTGCTCTCAAAAGAGCTCGAAATAAACCATGAAGAGGTGCTACTACTCCTGGAGGAGCTTGGATGAAGCCATGACGAAGAAGTGCTGCTGCCCTGCGAAGAGATGGATTGAGGCCATGTAGAGGAAGCACTAGTCTTCAAAGAAGTCGAATGAGTTGTTGACCAGGTGCTTGACTTGACAGGGCTGGAAGTCCATGAAGACCAGGTACTGCTGCTCTTTGATGAGCTCGAATTAGCGGATAAGGAGGATGTGGTGCTTGTCTTTGTTGGACTGACAGCCCATGAAGACCACGTGCTGCTGCTCTTTGAGGAGCTTGAATTAGCGGATGAGGAGGATGTGGTGCTTGTCTTTGTTGGACTGACAGCCCATGAAGA